TGTTGTAAGGAAATATTTGAGTTCAGGCACACTGAACCGGTTGCAAAGTTCCTTACCAAAGTGGAGAAACTTCATGCATACGTCCATGAGTGGCAGCTTGTCGCAAGCAGAGAATACTCGGCCGCGTCAATCTACGATGAATTGACGAACTTAATCATAAGTTGGCGCCGTTTGGAGCTGTCTACGTGGGCAAAGCTGCTCGACATAGAGAGAGAAAAATGTGAGCAGGATGTCAGCTCTTGGTGGTTCGTAGCATACGAAACGTTGTTCGCAGCTCCTCTTCAAATGGCACAAGCTGGCGAGAATCTGGCAGAGCACACAAGGGAGGTCATTGCAACGCTCGAGAAATTCTTCTTATCAACAACCATGGGTCAGTACAGTGCGCGTCTGCGACTCGTGGAGAATTTCAGACTTCTCTTGCTCTCCTACGTGGACGAATACCCAGTCCTAGCTAGCTTTGGTTCAGCCCTTCTCAACTTCATCTGCCACTTCAAGCCCTTCGAAAGTGTCCTCTCAAAGGCCTTGGCAGATGGAAGACAGAGTTTGGAAAAGGACATCAAACAGCAAATTCAGCTCGCCAGTTGGAAAGATACAAATATCGCCGCTCTGCGAGAAAGTGCTCGACGCTCACATTACAAGCTGTTTAAGGTCGTGAAGAAATATCGTGGTCTGCTTGGGCAGCCGGTGGAGACCGTACTGACTCAAGGAATGCCTGAAATGTCTAATGAGGGCACAGTTGTTTCCGGAAACTCCCTAAGGTCATCTCCAGCCGTGTCTTCAGGGGCACTAGCAGTCTGTCAAAGGAAGATTGCTTCATGGAGCGATAGGCCTCTAAGATTCAGAGATCCAGATGCTACAACGAGTAACATGTTGCGCGTTTATTCCAGCGCCATGGTTGATTTGGACGTCTCAGACCAACTGCACAGTTTCATGAACGACGTAATCGAAACTATGAAGGAGCTCAAATCACAGACACCGAAAACACTGACCGAGGAAAATAAGGAGGACGTCCAACATCTCAAGACAAGGAAACGCCGCTTCTATGCAGAAAAGCTACACCAGTTATTCTTCATGGGAATCAGGCGCAACGTGGGCGTTAACCTTCTGGAAGAACAGGCATCCGTGGCCCAAGTCCTCGCGACAACTCCTGATCTTATTGCCACTTCTACATCAGGAAATTTAGTCACCAATGCGATCTCCTATTTCCATAGGTTTTTGGACGTTGTGCCTCGCGTACGCCAGGCAGCTCACCAGTACTCTGAGGAGCTCAGCAACGTCGAAGTGTCCAGAAGCGTGGGGTCCATCGAAGGGCTCCTGCTCCTGCTAAGAAAACAGAGAGATGTCCTCTCTCCAGCTCTGTCTCAATTGGGATCTCTCGAGTCTATATTAGCCAAGATGGATAACGTCTGGACCTGTGGTTCAGAGTCGCTGTCTGCTATCCAACCTGCCGTGGTAGAGGAGAAGGGCTCTGCTACGCGAACTGTTGGATGGCTGGGGCCAATGCTAGGACTTGCTTCTGTTGTGGTCGAGATTCATTCCAAGTTTTCGGGCTGCAACTCGTCGAAGATTTTGGATGGCCTCCGTGCTTGGAGAGACGATGTGGACCATTTAAGAAACTTGCTTGACCAGCTTCCAGAGCTTCCAGCAGGCCTTTCCTCGCCACCACATGACAATACATTTAGTCAGGCGCGCAAATCGATCGGGGAGTTGAAACAAGATCTGACTAAATGGAATGATGAGCGACCTGACTTATCGTTTGTTTTGGAGCAGCTGATTTCCTGGACAGAAGTAGACTGTTCCAGTACTACAGCCGCCAGTATGAACAGCGACATGGCTCTTGCGGATTTTGATGGCCTCCTCCTTTCAACCGCTGACAAGATGTTTGTTGGCCTTCAGCGCGTCAGCTCTGCTTTGAGCACTCTGCCGGCTTCAACCGAGGATCGCAATTGGCTTTCTAGGTCTGAAGAGCTCTTCTCTAAGGCCATCAAAGAGGCTCACCTTTCCGATATAGGTGCCTCTCTTGAACATGTTCTCAATGAAATCCAGCGACTCCAGAAAGGGAATGATGACCTTTCTGTAGCATCTGCTCTTGTCGCAAGTGTGCACCCCATTGCCAAGCAATACTACATTATATGTGCAGATCTTGTCGACAGATTCGTTTCGATACATCGCGAACTGTGCAAGATGTCTTATATTCTTGCGAAATCATTTGCGCAAGTCGCATCTGAGGGTTTCTGTAGCCCGGCCGAGGCCTCGAACGAGCAAGGCGACACTGGGAATCTGGAAAGTGGAACTGGCTTGGGCGAAGGGGAAGGTGCAGAAGACATCAGTAAAGATGTGCAAGACGATGAAGATTTGTCAGAGCTCGCACAGCAACAGAACAAGGAGGATAAGACAGAGGAGATGGAAAGTTCAAAGGACGCTGTTGACATGGACCAGGATGAGCTCGAAGGCGAGACAGGACAGACGGAAGAGAAGGAGGACAATGAGGACGGTGCTTCTGATGGAGAGGACGAGGAGAACGATATAGATGATGAAGTGGGCAGTGTTGATGACCTCGATCCTAACGCCGTTGATGAAAAGCTATGGGATGGAGCTCATGAGGACGAACAGAAAGAGAGTGAAAATCAAGAGGGTAAAGGAGTAACGCAACCCGACGAACAGACTGCGGCTCAAGAGAAGGACGCCAAGGAGCAAGGCGAGCAGACGGAGGATCAGAGTGAGGACGATGAAGAAGCTCCCGAAGATGAAGGGGAGGCTGTTGGGAGGGAAGATATGGATGTCACTGATCCCCACGCCAAGGAAGAAGATGCCCTTGAGCTACCAGAAGAGATGCAATTGGATGGTGAAGAGAAAGAGGGTGGTGAGTCGGACATGGACGACGGCATGGATGAGCTCTCTGATATGGGCCCCGATCTTGATGAAGAGCAATCTGGAGCTCCTGAGGATAAGATGGATGGTGACGACAATGCTGAAGAAGAGCCGGCAGAGGCCGACGATATAGGCCAAGACGAAGGTGAAGAAGGCCAGGACAATAACGAAGCTGAAGGGCCAGAAGAAGCAGATACCACAGGAGATGAGCCGAAGGAGGAGGAACAAGAAGATATTTTAAGGGCCCAGCGCGACGAGAATGATGCAGCTGGTGAGAATGTGGCCCCTAGCGAGGCTGTTGCCGGTGGGCTCGCTGCCGAGGAAGATCAAAATGATGATCAAGGAACATCTGGCGATGCGCAACGAGAAAATGGCTCAAAGGATGCGGCTGAAAACACGGAGCAACAGAATGGTGCAGCAGAAGATGGACAAGACAGCAAGACAACCAGAGATGCTTCCGGTGGCCGCGACGATGGCAAGATGGAAGGTCCTGAGCAACAGGCGTTCAAGAAGCTCGGAGACATGCTAGAGCAGTGGCACCGAAGGCAGCAAGACATCAAGAACCCCTCCGAAGAAAACCAAGAGTCCCAAGCACTGCCGCAGGATACCGATATGGCAGATGCAGAATTTGAGCATTTGGCGGACCAGGAGGATGTTGCTGATACCCAGGCTCTAGGTCAAGCCAGCGAGGAACAGGCAAAGGCATTAGACCAGACCAATGCGGTGGAGTCTGAGGACATGAAGCCTAACGGAGATGATACTCTACCGGATGTCTCTGGTGGAGATGAAGACCTTCCTATGGACGCCAAGATGGATGAAGATACTCCAATGGTTGGAGACATGTCCTCCGCAGATGCTCATACCACGGGTACATTCATGGCGACCGATACTCGCGTGCATGAATCGTCTCAGGATGGCACCGGTAAAGTAGAGGCAAATGAAGAACTGGATGAAGTCGATAGCCAACTGGCTGCGATCCATCTATCTTCCACCCTTCCTCCACGGACATCACCCGAAGAGGCCAGGCGGTTGTGGTCTCATTACGAGGCTATCACCAACAATCTTTCACTTTCCCTGACTGAGCAACTCCGTCTTATCCTTGCCCCTACGTTGGCAACAAAGCTGCGGGGCGATTTCCGCACTGGCAAACGTCTGAATATCAAGCGCATCATTCCTTATATAGCGTCTCAGTACAAGCGCGACAAGATCTGGATGCGGCGCTCGATTCCTTCGAAGAGAAACTACCAGATCATGCTTGCCGTCGACGATAGCAAGTCTATGCTGGAAAGTGGAAGCGGACAGCTGGCCTTCGAGACTCTTGCCCTGGTCGCTAAAAGCTTGAGTATGCTTGAAGTTGGCGATCTATGCATTCTTGGGTTTGGTGACGAAGAACATGTCAGAGTAGCTCACGAATTCGGCAAGCCATTCTCTTCGGAGGCTGGAATGCAAGTGTTCCAGCAATTCAATTACCAGCAAACGGGTACAAACGTTCGAAAGCTGATCGCTGACTCCGTCGCCCTCTTCCGCGAAGCACGAACGAAACGTGGCCCATCTGGGGGCAATGCAGACCTTTGGCAATTGGAGCTGATCATCTCAGACGGTATCTGTGAGGACCACGACACCATTCGACGACTCGTTCGGCAAGCCCAGGAAGAGCGAATCATGGTCGTCTTCATCATTGTCGACGCTGTCAAGGGTAACTCTATCCTGGATCTAAGTGAAGCAAGCTTCGAGCCGGATGAAAGTGGCACAGGGGAGATGAAGTTGAAGATGAAGAAGTATCTCGAAGGATTCCCCTTTCCTTATTACTTGGTTGTTCGTGACGTGCGCGAGTTGCCAGCGGTTTTGGCTATGGCGTTGAAGCAGTGGTTCGCAGAAGTTGTTGATACCTCGTCATAAGAACCATCCTTTGCATATACGCATGGAGTCTATCGGTCTTGTGGTCTGTCAGCATGATACCTAACATGTCTTCTTTCCTTTTTGTTTTCGTGCATATACATGGCTAGTGGTTTTTTGGAGTTACCCAGAGGGAAAGGGAAAAGTGCCATTGTACTGTATTTAGCCTGATGATTATATATTCGATAACGATAGAAGAATCTAGAGTTTACGCATTAAAAACTCCCTGTTATCACATGTACAGTATGCTGCTGCGTATTGGTCTAGCTGATATCTGATGAGTTAATTGGAAATGCTTGCATCCGAGCAGTGTTGTAACATAATCCTCACTCTCTACATGGTAATAAATGGTATAGTCTGAAATATGAAACAGCTCTCTGCCAGATGATAGTCAATAGTTGATAGTGGGTATATACAAACACATTTAGAAACATTCGAAACGTTTAAGCGCCAACATCTACCACCCATACTTGGAGCCAGCCTCTTTCTTGTTCCGGCGCCCAGCAGCGAAGCTCTCCTCTAGAGCTTCCTTCTGGCTATTAGCCACATTAACAAGTTGCTGCAACGAATGCTTTCCAGGAGCGACAGAGCGAACTGGGTTGTGTTGCTGTGCGGCAAGCTCCGCCTCGGACGCCTGCGCAAGGTATGCTTGATTGGCAGCATATTCTGCGTCTGTGTTGAAGTTGAGAATACGAGACTTGGACGCCGCAGGTTGTCGACCCATAAGCTGGCGCCGCTGAGCGCGGGAGAGATTCAAATCGTTTGCGATATCGTCCAGTGTTTGTGACGTTGACGAAGCAGAGGCGGTCTGGTCATAACTTATTTGCTGACTTTCTGCTTCTGAAGGCTCTGGCTGAGGACCAGCGGGGGGTTCATTGAGATCCGTATTGTATACCAACGGCTGATATGTCGCTGCGCTTTCTGCCGTTATATCTGGTGCTGTCGTCCTCTCCTCGCTCGCAATGGAGAAGAGGCTAACCTTTGGCTTCTGTGGTACTGGTGCCGGTGCAGATACTGCAGGCGGTTGCGGTTCCTTTGACTCAGGAACGGGTGTCGTTGTAGTCGCCTTCGTCCCGCCAGTAGCTCTCGACGCCGCCGTCGATGTCTTTTTCTTCTGCGCATTCCTAGCCACCGACAACGGCTTGAACATCATCGCATTTCCAATCTTCTTAGGTTCCTCCTTCGGCTCAACTGGTCCATCACGTAAACTTCCAGCCGTAGGAATACTCTCATCATCGGCGCCTGCGCCTGCGCCTGCACTTGCACTGAGAGCCTGTTCCTGCCGCATCTCCGCATCGGCTGCACGATCAAATCCCGGCGTTGCGCCCGTCTTCAAACTGAAAATCTTCCTCGTAGAAATAGGCCCGGGCTTCTTATCCGCTGCTGCTGCACTTCGTTTCGGCGCAGGGAGGAATGAGTTGAATCCGGAAAATGCGCCCCCTCCACCACCTGTCCTAGCTTTCTTTCGAGCCGGTCCACCATCTTCCTCGCCCGTTCCATCAGCAGTTGATGTCTCTGGTTTTATTTCCGGTAGTGCGACGCGGAGTTTGCGCGGATTACTGCGGTCGACGAGGGATTGGAAGCCTCCAGGTGCGGCGGGTTTGGAAGGTTTCGATTGACTTGAGGTTGCGGGTGTTGTTGAAGAAACTTCTTTCTTTGGAGACTGGGTCTTCTGTTCGTTCTCCGAGTCTGAACCTTCAGAGTCGGAATATGAAACGAGAGCCATCTTGCGAGTTATAATGTGGTCGTGGAGGGGATTTGGATGAAGTAAGAACAATAGTTAGTTACTAGTTAACTATCTAGACTATGGTAATAATACTCGAAGATCTCTAGCGCTCTCGCCACGGTCAGGACGCGCGGACCACATGCGGGCATTGTTAAGCTCATACTTCAACAAGTTCAACTCAACCTAGCGAATGCTTGTCTGTGTAGTTCGTCTATGAATCTCGAACGGTATGAGAAATAAACTTAATAGTATGGTCAACTACTAATGACTTGTTTATCAACATTCTAAGATGGAAATGTCTATAAAGGAAGCGTTGAGAGTGCCTTTGAGATGTACATAGTATGTTCTAAGTACCTCGATTAAAGGCTCCTTAATTGGTAATAAACCCCTGCTCACAGTGAATAATAGGTCACTTGGATTATCTTCGCATATATTATCTATCTTTATTTACCATGTAATCACGCGCGAAATTGCGGTCAGAGATCAAGATCAGATAGTCAAGTTACTTCAGTTAACTAAACATCTTAACCAAGTTAACGTTAAGATAAGCTCCAAATGACTAATCAGCGGGACGCAAGAAAGCTAACTACATACCTAGTTAACTATTGCGTCCCCTCCCAGCATTGTTAGATATGCTTCGATAATTCTCCTCCAAAGCCCGGATCGTTACTACAAGACGTATTCGTTCTCTAACGAGCTACATACCTACCATGCTTGTTACTCTTTAGCAAGGCAAGGGGATCGCACCTTCCCTTTCCCTGGCGCTTACAACCTCGATGGCGGATTCAAGAGGCAAATAAATCCGAGCTCTGCCCCGACGAACGCGGAGGGCGAGAGAAACTAAACCACATCATGGACACGACGATTTCTCCCGAAGCTGCTGATATCGAGCGGCGCAAGCTTCTCGAGCAACTAGCCGCGCAAACAGGCACCAAACGCAAGAAGCCAGACGACAACGACGGACCTACTCCATCGCATGATGCAGAAGAACAAGACAGAACCGGAGACGAATACTCTCGCTCGCAACACGGCAAGTTTCGATTCAAGTCCTCTAAATCGAAATCGAAATCACGTTCCAAGCGCGATTCTCCCTCTAATCATGAGGAGGAGGAGGAGCGTCATCACAAGCACCGTCATCATCGCCGACGACACCACCATGGCCACCATCGAGCGTCGTCCAAGCGCGAAAAGATTGACAGCGAGCGTTCCGCGTCTCCTTATTCTCTCCATCATCGGTCACTTTCGCCAAATACGGCGTTTCGCGAGTCTCTCTTCGACGCCCTAGGCGACGACGAAGGCGCCGCGTTCTGGGAATCCGTATACGGCCAACCGATCCATACGTATCCGAACCCAGCTGTGCCGAAAGGACCCGATGGGGAGTTGGAACAGATGGACGAAGAAGAGTACGCTGCATATGTCCGGGCAAAGATGTGGGAGAAGACACATCAGGGGATCATGGAAGAGAGGGAAAGACTGCGCGAAGAACGTGCGAGGGCGAAAGAACGTGACGACAGAAGACGACGGGAGACGTCCGAGAGGATGCAGTTCGAAAGGGCCATGGAAGAGAGTCTGAGAAGGGGTCAGGAAAGAAAGAAGGTCAAAGCATGGAAGGCTGCGTGGGAGGAGTATCGACGGAGTTGGGACGAACTCAACTCGTTGGCTTCGTCGTCATCGAACAAGGATGAAGGAAAGGAAGAAGAAGAAAAGCCTAGAAATCAGCACCTTCGCAATCTCCTCTTCTGGCCTGTGGAATCTGGCAAGCGTCGAGATGTTTCCTCTGATGCTGTTGAAGCATTCATGCGACATGCTCCTGCAATTCCTTCTCCGGACTCTAAGTCCGGCAATACTACTCCCCCAGACCTGCTTGCGACACTCAAAGCGGAGCGTATCAGATGGCATCCGGATAAGATCCAGCACCGGTACAGCGGTCTCGGAATCGACGAATCGGTCATGCGAAGTGTCACAGAAGTCTTCCAGATCATTGACCGACTCTGGAGCGAGGAGCGTCATAGAAGAGGCGAGAAATGAGCTCAATGTCTTCTACACTACCTTATCGACATATCCATATTTTCTTCCCGGAATCATCTTGTACTGTACTATTAGCACGTTACGCGGCGTTATGGACTTTTCTTTCCTTGCAGAATAGACACGGCATCTTGATACCCAATCAATGTTTGATTTACAAAGGCACTTTTTCTTTCGCTGTTCCTTTTCGTTCTTCTCCATCTCTTATACCGAAATTCCATCTCAGTTACCATCCCCTTCTGCTCCTTTCCCCCCCTTCCATTCATCATTACTCCGATCCCATCATTTTAGGCAACAGAATCAAGAAATCATCAGATAACACTCTTCTTCTTCTTCTTTTTCTTTCTCCTATCGCTAATCATCACATAGACACAAGACAATAGATAAGGAGATGCTATCGAGACAGCTTGGGCGACAATATTGTAAAAACACACAGCATATGATGAACAGAGTTAATTTCAGAGGTACAGCAAGAAGATAGGGAGAAAAAGACCAGGAAAAGGGAACATGTAGACGGTTTGGTTTGCGGAGGCCCTCATTGCATGATGCGCCGTGGGAAAAGTTGAGAAAAAGAGACGAAAGCGAGAGTTCGAGAAATAAGGAAAAGAAAACCGAGAGGTCAGAGATGGTCGAGGTGATAAGTAAGTAGAGGAGTTGTATTGTAGTTCGTTTGTTTGCCGAATTGCTTGTTGCTTCCGTTACGGTTTTCACGGCGGGTGTTTTGTTTGTTTCAGCCCGATAGTAGGAGCTGAGACTCAATTGGGATAGATATCGAAGGCGAGCAAGGGAAATATGACATGGTTAGGCTCTGTTGATTCGTGATCAGGTCGGGGAAAGGCTGGAATAAAAGCTGCAGCGGCAGTATGCAATTGGTACTGAAATAAATTGAAGATACAAGGGCGCTTGCGTTCTCTAGAACCTCGAGTAACGCTGCTTCGACCTGTACAGCGTCCAACCGAAGTATCCACCGACAATTGCGCCGAAGAACAGGATCGTCTTGAAGAAGAACCAACCCCAGCCGCCGCTGCTCTTCTGCGGCTTAGGTGTAGCCGCAGCAGGTCGTCCACGACCTGCCGACGGACCGCTTCCACGGTTGGTGCCGCCAGAGACACTGTAGAGGTTATTCGAAGTGATAGAAATAATGTCATGGTTATCGCTCAGCTCTCCGGTCTCGGCAGAAAGACCGAGATAGGAGACGGCAGGGATAGCGATGTTGTATTCCGGAGCCGTCAGAGTGAAGCAGTTGGTCCATGAATGATCCGATTTGTACTGCAGATCGAGGGTCAGGGACTTGTCTTGGAAGTAGGTAAGACGAGCCTTGGTGGGAATCGCAGCGTCACGGATGCCACGGGCCTGGAAGATTGTTAGTTCGTCTGCTGCTACATCCAAAAAAAGACAACCATGAATCCGTACCGAACAGCCAGCCAATTCATTCGCTTTGCCGTCGTGAGACTGATCATACGTCGTCTGCCCATCACCCATCATAGCCATAACGTAGGGGAAAGTGACACCGGGGCGATTGTTCTTGTAAGTGTCAAAGAAGATACCCAGACCCTCGAATCGATCCGTCGATCCAAAGACAGGGCCCTGCGTTGCGCGCTGCTTGGTGAGCCACAACGCGAAGCCATCCCCGTGGAGGTTTCCGGAACCGTGAATCTTAAACTCGACCTCGATCTACTAGACCTGTCAATCACCCCGAATCCCTATCCAAAAAGTATACATAGCTCCCGTCAAAGACGGGCAACATGATAGAGCACTAACCTCCCAATTCGTCGCCGTGAGAGGCACACGAGAGAATAGCCATCCTTGCTGAGAAGGCTTGTCGGACGTCAGACGGATATACCTAACAAGCAAATTCATTTCAGCAAACCATCATCCCTAGCCCGCGAAATGAGCAGCTTCATACTTGTCCGCGCGAATGATAGTATCTCCACCGAAATCGAACCACCGGCTCTGCATGTCGGAATCCAGATATGGCTATATACGAGGAACCAATTAGATCACGATTGCGTCCAACACGACGTTGAAACACGAATGGGGGCGCTTGTCAATTCATACCGGTGCAAGACTATGAGTCCGGAGCTAGATGTTTCCCAACATAAGGGCGTTAGCAAGCTTCCTCAACAAGCACATTAATACACCAATGGACCCAGGAAAAACTCACAGGAATACTCCTAACATCCGGATCCCCCTCATAAGCATTTGCGGCACCGACGACCGCCAAAGCGGTCCATAGACACGCCGAGAGGCGCTGGAACAACATTGCGAAGAAGGGCTCGAGTCAAGTCAAGAAATCAAAAGCGGAGGTGGATGCTCCGCGATTCAAAGGATAGGAAGAAGTAGAAAGAGGCGCTTCAGCTGGCAGGGTTGGTTTCAACTGAAGCAATGCGTTACAGACTAAGGTTAGGAAAAAAACGACCGGAGGTAAGGTAGCTGGAGAAAGCGGGATTGGAATTGTCCCTCTCGTTTAATTTGTTATAGAAAAAAAATAATGGATTTTGCTGCGCGTGGACGTGTCCAGATCAGTCACCGGGACTTTTCTGCACTTCACAGAGACATGATCTTTCCCAGGGAGGAAAGGAAAGGCGCGCCGTCGGGCTATGTAGATTGTTAAGTTGGCAGATGTAGATCTGGATGCTCTTCCACCCGTAACATCCAAGTGTCCACATCGGCCCTTGAGGTGGCGCAGGCAACCAGCTCCAGCCACAGAGCCCAGCAACCTTCTTTGCCCGCGAACAAGATCTTTCTCATACTCTCATACTCCCGACGAAACAATCCGAACCAAATCTCCCCATTTATCTCTCCATATACATCCTTTCAACATGTCATCCTTCTTTGGCGGCAGCAGCAGCAGCAGCTCTCCTGCTGCTCCCAATTCCTCCGAGGAAATGAAGACCGCCATCATGAAGCAGCTCCAAGCCGAAGCTGCCATGACCAACGCCCGGGCTCTTATCGGCGTATGTCTGCCCTCATTACCTTCTCTTCTCTCCGCTTTGAATTCCCTCCAATTTTCCCCTCCTTTAAACTGACTCAAAATCAATCCGCCTTTCTAACTTCATACTCTCCAAAACAGAAACTCAACGAACACTGCTTCGACCGCTGCATCCCTACCCCCGGCGACTCTCTCTCCTCCAAGGAGGAAAGCTGCCTCTCGACCTGCATGGAAAAGTACATCTCGACCTGGAACACCGTTAGCCGCACGTACATCTCGCGCGTCAGCAAGGAGAGCAAGAAGCTTGGCGGCCAGGACTCCGCGGCCATGGCGAGCATGGCTACGGGTGGTAGCGGACTTTTGTAAATGTTGCACGACTCCAGAAAAGGAAAAAACAGAGGGGAATTGGAATCGGGATGAACTTGACTCATGACAATAATGTCCGATGAGCCGAAAATGGGATTTTTTGGCAAGGGTGCAGGTTTGCCATTTCAATCCGATGTGTGATTATAATGTACAATATTGGACCGATATACCGCTGGTTTGTTTGCAATTCTCCCTTTATGAGAAAAGAAAAGAGGAAAGAAGACGGAATAGTCATCCTGAATAGAAGTCTTGGAATTTCTGCCACAACTTGGCATGGTTATCTCTCTTGGTACATCGCCTACTGGAATCGAAGACCCATCCAGGATACGGACTAGGACGTCACAAGCCCGGAAGAAAAGGCAAATACAATGGACAACCGTCGAGAACACCATAACGCTATATACAGGGCCATATTCCATACAAACTTGGTTCCAGACAGAATTCAGATTAGAATATAGATCAACATAGACAGCAGCCCATTTAAGATTTCTAGTCTCTACAGGGCGGAATAATTGAAACAAAGAGACATGTATGTATGCGTTCCCTATCCTCGCAAGATCTGGTATCCACAGCGTTCCAACTGATGCCCCAGTGCACCGGAAGATAGCAAGAAAGCCACCCCCTACAGAAAGCTAATAATAGTTCCACAATTCGATTGTCCTGTTCAGTCCAGGTAGATAAGATGAAGAGATGTCACTGTGAGTGATCGACTAGCGACCAAAGCCAGGGGCCCGAAGCAGTAAAAGCCCCACACTAGAATATAACCGCACGAGAGCGTATAAGGTAGGATTATGCAGGTTAGCAAAATATAAGATAGTAACGACTATACCGGGACATTGTCGGCGAGATCTGTCATCCAGCGTCTTCTGCTATGCATCTGCATCGTTTCATCGTAATACTAAGCATTGGAGACTAAAACTCGGAAAACAAATGGCCGTAACTGTGGCATATTAGTATCTGCTTTGAGATGGAGTTGCCAGGTTCAAGGGCCACTTACGGATCATCACCATGAGCACCATAGGCTTCACGCTCCTCCGGGTACTTGTCGAATTGGCTGGCGTCACCCTGGCCACCTCTAACGGGCGGCACATATGGAGCGTCGATATCTTTCCTCGCCAAGCGGTCCCATGTCACTTCCGCGAACCAAGGATGGTTCTTGACATCCTCAGAGCCGCCGTGCAAGTTGCCAAGCCGCTTCGTGAGATCCGGCGTGATGAGCTGCGAAAGCAAGTCGACCGCATCGGGATGCATATAAGGTGGATACTTGATCTTTCCTCGAAGGATATTCTCATAGATCTTCACGGGGGAACCACTGTCCCAGAACGGTGTAAAGCCGCACAGCATCTCAAAGATCAAAATACCGAGTGACCACCTGCCCCGGTCAGCAAGTTGCACATCTGCGATGTCTAGGGAACCTGTCTTACCAGTCAACGGATTTGTTATAGCCCTTTGACGACACAACTTCCGGGGCCAGATAGTCTGGCGTCCCACAGAGAGTCCATGTGATATCGGGAACCTCCTTTGCGAAACCGAAATCGGTAATCTTCAAATGGCCGTGTCGATCCAACAGCAAGTTTTCGGGCTTGAGATCTCGGTAGATGATATGCTGAGAGTGCAGATATTCCAAGGCCAATGTCACCTCAGCGGCATAGAATTTGGCGACGGGATTGGGGAAACGCTGTGTTGCTGTCAGTATCTGGCTGATTGACAGCGCGGAGAGCAAGAGTGAGAAAGGAAAGCGCGCTTACCTGCGACTTGCGAAGCAGACTAAACAACTCTCCACCCTCCACGAAATCCATGACCATGTATAGGTTGTTCGAGTCCTGGAATGTACCCCATAATGTGATCAAGAAGGGATGCCGGACGCGTTGCAGCATCCTCCTTTCGTCATTGGTGTGTTCGACTTGTTTCATCTTGACGACTTGCGCCTTCTTCAGCACCTTGATCGCATAGAAGCGGTGGTTGTGCTTGGACTGCACCAGATGCACTCGACCAAAACTGCCTGTTCCCAGGGTCCGCTGGATCGAGAAGTCCTCCAATAGATATTTTCCTTTGAGCTGTCGAGGTTGCGCCTTCACAGCCTGCTGCTGTGATTGACTTCCATGGTGCCCTCCCCCGGCCGCCTGCGCATCGTGGTGGTTTATTAGGTGGTGTATGCTGGAGACATTCTGATGCTGGGAAGCCGAGGAGGGGTGCGACTGCGCTACTGTCGAGTTCATCTGTGACTGGTTGCTGGAATGGTTTGCATCAACGGGGGAATTGGGATTGGTGTGATTGTCCGCGCCGGTCTCCTGTGAGGAACTGATCTCCTTTGATAGGCTGTTGGAGTCCTTCGTCCGCTTCTTCTTCAGTAGGCCTCCGAGAGTCGGCATGAGAAGGGATCTGTAGCAGTTTCAGACTACCACGGAATTCGCCAGATGAATCATGAGCTGTCCAGCACCAATTGACCCCAGTCGAGGACTCTTTGGCTCGACAAATTGCCCTTGGTTCGGAGCTCTCGGGTATGGACTCCCGACAGACGGCGGATAGACGTAATCGCCGGGCTCTCAGGTTGAGATTGGCGATTAGCAGAGCGCTGGGGAAAGCCTCCTCGAGGAGAAGGAACTTCGTCCTGGTGACTGCTGAGGATGGAAGAGATAGGGGGTGGTGCAGTCGCAATGGTTGGGGAAATTGAGACGAGCGGGCGGGGTTGGGAGGGAGGAAACACGGGTGATGACGGTGATGCTGCTGCTGCTGCTGTTGCTACTCCCAGAAGTTGCGATGGCAGTGAGCTACTAAGCGTCCGGAGAGTTGAAGCTGTCAGCCCTGCCCCGCGCAGCCAGGAGTCGTGAACGATCACGGATTGGGGGTTTTCTCAAGCGACGCTGATGCTCCACCCTCGTGCTGGTAAATGAGAAGCACTGTGAGCTTTTCCAGCTGAACGTTCACACACAGTGGCTCCCGGCAAGCCGTTTCCGGAACGTTGCCAAAGGACACCACAATTGGCGGTTTGGGTCGGGAGGGGTTCGAGTACAAGTGATGCCACCGACAACAGCAACGGGGAAACAGGAAGCAGGAAGCGTCAAGGAAAAGCAGCAGGAATCGAGACCGGTAGTAGTGTGGATTGGAGAGTGGACTACCAGGTTGTAACAAGCGCAGGTTCAAGGGACAAGCAAGCAAGCAAGCAAGCAGAGAGGATGACAGCAGGGCGGTTAACTACTAGTCAGTTAAGTAACTAGTTAGTGAATTACTTAGACGAGTCGGGAGAGGCAGTGGAGGCCCTGGGGAGAGAAGAATATAACTCAAGACGAGGCGTTCTCTGTCAACTCCCTCGGACATTATTCTTAACTAATTAACTAATTAATCATTATTAACTATCCCATTTCATTCATTTATTTCGTTCAATCATTCATTCGCAGGAAGCTAGCTAGCCTCTGGGGAGCCGCTAGTTATGCTACAGGACAGCCGCGACAGGCAAAACGCCCACCTTTCCAATTGCACCATCACCACCGTCACTATCTAACCCTTCAGCATCCATGATTCCTCTATATGATGCTCTCTTTTCCCTTTCCCTTTTCCCTTGCTCCGCGACCGTCGTGTTTGGTTGGGGCGAACCGTGGATCACGAAAGGACGAGGCCCCGCTCCGGTTGATTCATATCATTTAGATTCAACCAACACGGCCGACAATCGTCATCTGCGACGCTTGTGTAATGAATTTCGGTTGAAATCAGGGCACGTCGCAGTCGTCCTTTCGATCTCTCTTTTTCCGGCTAAAGTATCACGGTGCGATGCGAACGTGCGATATTATTATTATTATTCCACACTCTCAGTGCCTACTGTCTGCCCCCAGCTCGTATAACTTAAGTAATAATAGCTCCCGCTCCGATAGTTAGTCAATTACAGCTTTTCTCCGCGAACCTGAGCGGTGGGAACTCAGTTACCATACAGAACTCCCCGACAGTGCACGGAAGGCCCCAGAGAATATCCAGACCCAATAATACTCGAAACCATCCTGTCAGGTACGCCAGTATGATGCAAAAACCCCGTCTTCCCTCGGAGACAATTACGCCCAGGAAAGAAGCATGCAGGCTTTGCCATCCAGCGTCTAATTTATGGTACTGTATCTACAGGGGACAGAAAATCAATATTCCCTCATTGCAGAGACTAGGTAAATCCGTGAGAAATTGAGAATACTAGTTAGTGCCAAATATTATTCCTAGACCGACAATTAGAAAGCGGAGAGAGAAGAGAAGAAAGAGAGATAATAATCCTCTAGGTAGATATGGATTATTAGACGCGCGCATGACTTCTGAATCTGATGTGCGTACCATAGTCCCGACTCCTCCCCCGGTATGTCATTCGATAACAGTATCCTGTAACGGTAGTCTGGTCAATTAGTCGATATGATGATCGTGCCGGCGTTTGGCTGGCTAGACAACTCCCGAACTTCAACTAACGAATGGGCGGTCTTTAGTTAGCTACTCCAGTTAATCCTGCTTAAGTGATCCCCTCGCACTTGAGACATTGGAAACTACTAGTTAGTTACGACTATCAATCTACCTTCTATTTAATCCTACCTCAATCCTGATCCTACCTGAAGAAAATGAGTGTCTTAAGGTAACAGGTAACTAAGGTCCCTTTTCAAACACGCAATCTGAATTATCTGATAGATATATTAATGGGTAGTTATTGGTTGCCAATCAACGAGTAAAGAGTATCCTTAAAAAGCACAGGACAATTCTAACCTAAGTAACTAGCTGCTATTGGGCACTGCTCTCCATCCAACACTAGGCCTACTTGGCCTACTACTCTAGTCTATATCCAGTTTTAGATACATACCGTACTCTTTAAGTGCCGAGGTTAACGACATCTTAATCAAGAGACGTGTCCGCCTCATTTAGTTCGCCCTGCCTCAGTCTAGATTTAGAACAAAGAGAATCACTAAAGAGTCTCGGAGAATTTGTGATATCATATTTAAACGTTTACTGTAAGATCCTAATACGTAGTACTATTCTACCGGAGAAGCTTGTCTGAAGAGTCGAGCCAGACCGACTTTGCTTCCCCACCTCTGCGGCGCAACCATGCATACTCGAATCACTAGCACTCTCCTATATAGGAACTACAGTTTGCCTCGTTATGCAAATAATCACAGATGTTTTCATACATTGCATCATGAGATAGAAGAGTATCAGTGGGAACAAAAAAAACCCCATATCTAGCTACACTAAATAGACATACTTGGACCTATAAGACTCCACCAGCACGTGCAATCGCTCCCAACAAGACAGGTTACAAGCTTTTTTAGCTTTTTTTTTGCAAGAAAAAAGGACATAAGTGACAAACAAGTCGTAGCAGATATTCAGCTCAGTCAATGGCATGACGGACAAAAGCTTTAAATGCGATAATGTGCCATGTTTTTCTTAATCTCCTCCACAATCTCCGCTGCCTCCACTGCATTGCGCGCCTCGAAATCGTACCGCTTCTGCTCGTTGGCCTCGTTTCCCCGCAAGATCACGACGCGGAAGCTCTTGGGATGGCGTCGACTGACTTTACATCCCACCACGTCATTAAAACTGATCGACCGCGTTTTGGTGCTAGTGTCGAAGACGCCTTTGCCAGTGTCTCCGGGCATGATATGCATATAGTCGTTATCGAACGCGAGGACACGCTGGTTGGAAGCAGTAAATGACATTGGTTGTTTGCGGAATACCTGGTATCGACGGTAGTAGCCCCCGATGAGATCTTGCTTCTGTGCAAGCGGATGAAGCATCTGTTGTCCACTCTTCTTGCCTTTCTTGGTCGGTGCGCTGGTCGTGCTGTCAACCAGAAGTGGCGCGTTAGGAGATGAGCTGCCTGGAGAGCCTGTCAAAGAGAGTGGACCTGCACCAAAACGCCGGCGGACGAGATCAAGCTCCGTGATATTCCCTAAAGCTTCAACGGTACGATCGAGCGGTGCCACCGTGTTCGACCCCATAACCTTGAGGAGATAATTGCCCTTGTCAAGGCCCCATCTTTTGCAGACTGAGTCGAGAATCTCCGCGATATAGCTATCAGTGGAAGTATTCAGCGTCATGACCTGGGTCGAAGCCTCCAAGTTGATAAATCGGATCTTCAGTGTCTTCTGCACCCCCATACGGGGCGTGGCATGCGACGTGGGCACCGCGGGACGGTCAGCAGGTGTGAGTGAAGTGTCATTAAGAGCTGACGAAAACGGTTGTCCCAGTATAGGATTGAGCCTCGTTGTTGTTGTTGTTGTTGTTGTAGCTTTGTTGGCCGCAGCTGGCGGTTCATTTGCTGCAGCGGGCGCGGGCTGGCTTGCACCAGCGCTCTCCTCAGCGGCCGCAGCTTGACTGTATTTAGGGTATAGTCTTTCATTCTCCTCGAATTCCGCTTGAGTAGCCTCTACAAGCGCAAATTCATCGTAAGGCTTGTTCCTTGACCGGCCTCTCAATGCAGCTGCCCTGTTGTTGTTAGATGTGAAGTCAGCAATCGGCAGGTTCCTCCCCAGAGGCGGGAAGTCATATTCGACTTCGCCATCTTCTACCATCCTCAAGGTCCATCGGTTCACATTAAGTTTCTCTCCCCCTATAGGTGGTTCACGGCCTTCCTTAATGTATGTCCAGAGACATAATCCGATAGCCTCGGTGACAGTGACAGGGCCTGGGGGATCACCATCTGTGGACTCCCGCACTAGCGGCATCTCGAAGGGTTCATCTGGCTCTGATGAAAAGGGAGCATAGATCTTGATATTCAAAGCCGTGTCACAGCCTTTGCCGGAAAGTATGGCAAACCGTTCCACAGGGTTCGCGGGGGCTTTCTTTCTAGCATTGAGCTCCTTGGAGAGCAGACTGATAGGCTGAACAGTGCTGATAGGCCGTGGAGGAGGTAAATCTATTTCTGCTGCGGGGGTCCTTGACTTCCTAGGAGACGCGTTCTGGGATCCGCTCCTGTTCCGCAATTTGTGCATGATTGTCATGGGTGATGATGAATCTAAACTGGCGGTTATATCATCGTCTTCCAGCAATGACCCTGATCCTGCAGTAGCGTCAAACTCGGAGGAGAGAGCAGATCCGACAGATTCAGCACCAGAATCTTCGTCCTGCTCATTCAGCTCTTCCATAGTCACGGTTCCCGTACCCGAGTGGCGTTGGTCTGACCTTTTCTTCGAAGGCTCTATGACCTGGTTCCGGGATGAGAACTGGATCGATCTTCTCTTGTCTAATGCAGAAGGATCAAGCTCGTTGTCGGAGGACATGTCACTGCTCGTAGTGGTATCACGACGCGAACGTTCTTTGACTACATCGACCGCACCCATAGATCCACGTCTGAAATAGCTGCCTGTAGACGGGCGTGAGGGAGAGGTCACCAGAAGCTCGGGGCCATCGTTACGATCCAGGGCCCTTATCGGCGAGGACCCTGCACGGGTCCGTATAGGCATCTTTGAGAATTTGATTTGTTGAGCGGCCCTGCAACATGTGAGTACGGGATATGAGTCTCTCAATGCTCCCTCTAAGGGGAGAAATGCAAAGATATCCATGACTAACCTCGGTGCCGACTCTCCTTCCTCGTCACTCTCATCACTCAAGTCACTGCTGTCTTCTTCTTCTGCCTCCCGATGCCTCTGTTCCTGTTGTTGCCGATCACGTCGACGGTTTCTTTTCCCTCCTCTTCCATGATGCCGTACCCCAAATGTATAGGTCCCACCTCCACCGCCTGTCACCATGCCACCTTCCTCGTCCTCGCCTTCATCCCCGAATCCGAAGCCCCTCTCCCCATTCTCCCCTTCTTCATTTCTGGCAAACTGGTAGTATTCCGATGCGACCGCACCAGCCGTAGGTATGGGTGGAGAATAGGTGCGCTTGATTTGAGCGGCGACACTCTGAGTGGTGGGGTTGGCAGATATTGACGACCAGCCGGCAGCGCGGAAGCCAGGTGTGTTGAGTATGTTGTTGTTTACATTGATGAGGCGTTCGCCGACACCATCTTTGATCATGGACAGATAGGAGGTCCGTAATTGCCAAATGGTAAAACTGAATCCATTTAGTCCTCTTGGTCAGCATCATGGTTACAGTGGCAGACTTTCACATAGCGGTGGGGGTTTACCAGTCGCTACTTACTCTTCATTCTGAAGGAGAGACATCTTTCGAGTTTCGGAGTTGTCGACTGAAAAGAATGGAACTGTGTTTGCCTCACGAGCTCTTCCCTAGCCAGTGTGACTCGAGCAAGGCGAAAACAAGGTAAATCAAGTCGTGAACTGCATGGAACTCTTTGACATCACATCCAGTGAAGGACGGTCAACATACACCTGCGACGCTTCGAGAAAGTAAATGAGGGCCGTGTTCGATCAGGACCAGCCTGATCTAAGGAACGAAGAAAACGATTCTAGACGTAAAGGACGCGACGATATAAGCATGATCTCCCTCTACTAGGTACCTAGTAACGGGTGTAGGAGTGAGATCGTCGCGAGGCCGAGGCTTGATGGGGGGCTGATGGGGCTCCGCTCCTTGGCGGTCGAAACTACTCCGCGTCTTCAGCCACGGCATCTCATAACTAAGAATACTTCCCAGTTACACATAGTTAGTACTTCTTGGAGGCGCTGTCGTCAATGGATAATTCTTTATTATAATACATGCACTGATCATGATAGAATGGCAACAGACCGCTGAACAACCACTCCGTTGCAAATAGCCTGGCGATACATGACGGTTTCCAGCATTAAATGTACAGCGTTCAAAGCACTAAATGGACATCGCGAGTCCTAAGAATGATACCGGGCAGAATGGAAATGCAATAACCATGCTCAGGCTTTTGCCTTAGGCTTCCGACCCCGCCCCTTCTTGGGCTTTTCCTCCTCTTCGTCGTCGTCGATAAAATCCTCTTGGTTCCCACCCTTTTTGCCCTTCGTGGCTTTCTTCCCCTTTGCTGCTCCTCCCTTCGAGGCTGGCTTCTTCGGGACCTTCACATATTTGTCTTTTTTGAGGTCGAGCTCTTCGCTCTCATCGTCTTCCTTGGTCTCGGCATCTAAGACTTCTTCTCCCTCGTCCGATTCATCGATAGCTTCTTCGATGTCCGGCTTCTCTCGGGGTATGTTCTTAGGCGCTACAATGCTGCTCGCCTTCATGAATGGGATAGGATGCGACCGTTGGTTGTAAAGGCGTGTAAAAGTGGCTTTCGTCTGACTCTCCAGTTTGACCTTAGACTCGTCCATGGGACCCAAGCCGAGCTCGACCATAGCATCCCAGTCATCGCGGGTCAAGAAATAGCTGTCCATTAGATCAATGACACCCTCAACGCTCTCTTTTCCTTCATCCATCATTCTGCGGATCAATCTGTCCCACAGAAGCGGGAAATACTGCTGTCTGACTTCGTCGCGATCGCCCGAGGAGCGAAGACGCATATGGGCTTGTATTTCTTTGATGTATCGCGAAAGTTTCCCTGAGAACGTTGTCAGCGAGCAGTAGGACAAATATTAGACAGTAATAACATACCTTGCTTGCTGTTCTGGCCGAGCCAACTAGTAAATGTTGGCCGCTCAACCATATTACCAGATACGAAACTAGCCGGGCGGACAAAACTAAAGGCAGCATGTGTTGGCATCAAACTCCATTGTTGTTGTGCGCCATGGATCATTCTATCCACGAGATCACCATCACTAATGCTTGAGGCTGCATTTTCGGCCAGCTCGAGCAATTTCAGGTTGCGCTCCTTCCCTTGATAACCGCCAGCTAGAGTCGGGTTCGTCTTTAGATAGTTTTCCTGTAGCATGAGATAACTGAATTCATGGTCGTTGAAGTACAGCTCGATTTTGTCATTCAATGTAGCCTTCGAGCTTTGGGAGAACATCTGGGCGCTCAATATCTTGCTGACGATATCCCAAGGCTTCAGGATAACGTGCTTCTCCCATGCTTTCGACAACTCTTTGCCCTTGTCGTAGTCAAGATTTTGCTGGTCGAGCTTCACTGTAGAGAGCATATTAATGACTTGGCGTATATCGGCATGAGTGCCTTCAATCAGCCCGTCCAAGACCTGAGGCGGAATCTTCAAGCCCTCCCTAAAACAGATAGTTGAGAGCCTCGCCCGTATCTGATCGGCAGTCGGTCTTCTGAAGGGCAAGTCAAATGTTACATGATCGAAAGGCTTCATCTTTGGAAGTCTTCGGTCATTGCAGATGAGGATAAGTGGAATTCGGGTCTTTTTGGCAACAGCAGCTAGGGCGCCAACGCCACCCCGGTCACCAGCTGACATTCCATCGACTTCATCCATAATGAGAACCATCTTCTTTTTGTCGCTCTCGACCTTTTGCCCTGCGCCGGCAAAATAACCTTGCAGAGAGGTCGTGTCCAGGACACCAAGCAAGCCGTTTTCTACAAGCTTCTTGCTTCGGGTATCACTTGCATTTGTCTCAACAACGTCGTAGTTCTCTAGTTTGGCAACCAGATGTGCTGCTGTTGTCTTTCCGATACCCGGTGGGCCGTGGATCATGACAGCACGATAGAGACCTAATCCATCCTTGCCCGGTCTCTTGAAGTTCAACTTTGCGTTCGTATGCCACTCCCTCAGCCAAACCTGAAGCTTTTCAACCATGCCTTTGTTTCCACATATCATGTTTATAGACGTCGGGGCATACTTTGTTGTCCAGAGGCGATCATCCACCCTGGGTCCTTGGGAGCTTGAAGGAGCCTGTGACCCCTGCGGAGCGTTGGCTCCCAATGTTCCCACACTCTTGATCTTCTGCTTCTCCTCTCGGTCAATCTCAGCAGCCATGGCTCGAATCTTTTCTTCCTCGGCTTTTTTCTTAGCGGCATATTGTTCCGCCGCCTTTCCATCACCACCGTTTGGTGGCAGTCGACGAATCAGCTCAAAGAGACCATCCTCATTTATAGTCTTGATCTTGAATTTTTGAATTGTCTCGAGCTTTTTAGGTCCAGCGTCACTTCCTAGGACCACATAGCTTGTCTTCGAGCTGGGCGCAGTAGTGACTTTACCGCCGTACCGTTTCACAAGCGACTGTCCTTCATCACGGCCCAGAGTATCTAGAATACCAGTAAAGACAAAGGACAGGCCAGCAAGGCAATTTTCGGCACCGACTGGCATCTCCTTAGTCCCAGCTCCCGGCGGAGGTTGTGTGTGTTGGGCATGCTGAGCAAAGTTGAATTTCTTGGAGTCGCCAGACTTCTTCGGAGGCGAAGGTGGTCTAACTGTTGGGATACTGTCGAATATATCCTGGATTTCTTTACTCTCCGGCTTATCCTGCTTTGTCGATGCCGCTTTCGGCTTCTTGGGCGTCGCCTTTGCCGATGACGGCTTGGCTTTCTTCTTTGCATCCTCATATGAATCATCATCTTCGCCCTTGTCAAGTAGAGCTTCTGACTTTCGTTTCCGTCGAGAAGGTTTAGAGGGCACAGGGGCATCCTCCATCTCCACATCTTCCTTATCAACTGACGCTTTCTTTCGGCTCTCCGATTCTTTTCTAGCCGCTACTGCAGGCCGTACGACAAGCTCCTCGAATTCACTTCCGTCATCGTCCTCTTCGACATAATCATCATCACCTCTGCCGGGCTTCTGGTATTCTGTCGCGAAAATGTCATCACCACCGAGATTCTCTTCTTCGTCCACGGTATGGAGCTTCTTGCCTCGCGGCGGGTTACGCTTCACACTCTCTTTCCCGACAGACGGAGGGGTCTCTGGAGGCATCTTGAACTCAGCAAACTTCTTAGATCCGGGTGTGCCTTTCTCGGGTTTCTCTTGCGCCTCGGGTGCAGCAGTCGTAGATTCACTTTTAGCCTTTGGGGGCCGGCCCCTCTTCTTTGAGGAAGCGAAGTAATCAGAGGTGGACGTCGGCTCTCCTTTCGCTATTTCCTCTTTCCTGAATCGTAGCATGTGTCAGCTGAAGGCAAGGTTTAGAATGTGACCGGGAAATACAATACTTTTCAGACGCTGGCTTAGGCTTCGGCGCCGGAGCTTTTTGCTCGACTACCTCTTCATCGTCACTATCGTCGACGACCTTCCTGCTTCCTGTTTTTATATTAGCGGCTGCGATTGAGATAGAAATTTCTGCCTGACATACGCTTCTTTCTAGCAGTGGACTGGTCCTGTAGAAATGATTGTATCAGCAAAGCTAAGCTTAACTAAATTGTCATAGTGGACGAAAGCATTGGGTGCAAAATGTAGATTTGACCTTTGCAAATTCACTTAACAACGAAGGAAATGCAGGGAAAAATGTATAGTTTCCTTTGCTTCATGGACATACCTCTGTCTTCTTAGCTGGTGCCTTCGGAGCTGAGCCTTGGGCGGGCTTGCCACCGAAGAAGCTCCTGATGTCCGCAGGCATCGTGGATTGAACTTCTGGGGCGACCAGGGCAGCAACTACCAGAGCGGGCGATGTAGGATTGACAAGCTGTTGACAACCCAGCTGAAGAAAATAGCGTCGCTATAACAGCTCCCAGGCAGCTCCTACAATTACACGTCCCGTCGCGGGGAGACGCGCTAAAGCGTGATCCAATATGTCTGCTGACATAACACAGACCTCTGTGGCACGTGCATCCAACTTCGCCAATTCGGGACAGAAGATCTCCGGTCTCGAGTATCGGAGAGCGTCAAAAGACCGGGGTTCCAGATTTCAAGCATCAACCATCTTCAACCAGGATCTGGTCAGTCCGTCACAATGGGTCCTCAGTTGAAGATGTTCCGAGGCCCCCAATTGGCCTTCCTCCGGCCATCCTGTGAGTATTACTGGCGTCCGATGAAAAAGAGGTTTTCACAGCCCATGCTGACGAGTTTTGGAATAAGGCCTTTCTCTTCCGTTGTCGAGATGTTTCTCGACCACATCACCCGCCCTGGACTGGCTGGCCCCAAAGTTCATGGAAAAATCTAAGTCTCCAAAGGGTCGCCCGCATGTCCCAACCGGAGGATCATACCGAGGAACAACAGTCGTTTGGGGTGATTATGGCCTGCGAATGAAGGACCACGACCGACGTGTGTCTGCGGCGCAATTGAAAATTGGGGAGGAGACCATCCGTCGAAGGCTGAGAGGAATGAATTACGAACTTTACAAGCGCGTGAGCGCCAACATTGGTGTCTACACATCCGGAAATGAGATGCGTATGGGTAAGGGAAAGGGAAAGTTCGACTACTGGGCCGTCAGGCTTCCTGTGAGCAGGATTGTTTTTGAGCTGAGGGGTGACATTCACGAGAAGATCGCCAGGGAGGCCTTCCGACTGGCAGCTCACAAGCTTCCTGGTACGTCCAGCTCCGCATATGTTTTCAAATATACTTGTATTGATTATCTGTCTAGGACTCTGGGAATTTGTGAAGAAGGGTGACCCTCCAGTTGTTGGATTGACGAAGCTCCAAAACGGAGTTACATTGGAGAGCCTCAAGCGCCCGAGGAGAGAAGTGCCGCTCGGCATGGAGAAGTCAGCACCGAAATCGGTTTCGTCCAGCACCTCCCCTACGAGCACTTCATAGGCTATATATCCTATCGCGATGCTGCTTCATACCTCCTTTAAATGCACTTTTCCAACATCTATGCACCGACACCTGAACCAGGCCCATACCTCTGTGCTCGCCTGCTTTTCCTCGCCTCCTCATCATCTTCTGGCGCCCGTGGTTTCAGATCTTGTGTACACTACCGTCAGCTTTTTTCTTCGTTTCTTTCTCAACTGAAGGATGTGTTTGTATATGGGAATAAATGAAAGAATAGGACAATAAATACAATACCTTTATCAGCCTCTCCCGATACGTCAGTTGTTCTGCCCGCGAACCCATCTTCATCTGGGGAAATTTCGCCATAACCCTCCTGGGCCTCTCCGGGCTCTAGACCAGTTTTAATATCACTGTATGTGTGTGCAGCTCCAGCTACAACACATGTTAGTTTTCCAAGTACAGGACGCCCGGTTTAAAGCAGCCAGGACATACCTCTCAGCTGGCCACTCTGTTTCGGGGGCGTCTTCGTGAACTCCTTTATGGACTCATACCTATGAATAATCGATTAATCGAATATTCTCCAGGAGGAGCAGAAAGTTGACGCATCAAAAAGACTTACTGTCGGCTCTCGCCACCAGGTTCCGTATCCATCAATTTATCAGAGGACGACATGTTATGAGGGTGTGGTGTAGGTACGAACAGAGCAATTGATGTTGATTCGAGCCAGAACAGAGAACACAAATAGTTGTTTTATTAGGAATTAAATGTATTCGAGGGAAAATATGACATGTCCCAAAAGGAAGCTGGAGCTTTAATGGTAGGTTGTAGCTGGATACAGGATGGGTATGACGTAGTTTCTCCCCTGGTTCCCCCAACGTGGGGGATGAGATATTCCCACCATTCTGAACCACCCGCACGCTTGACATCTTGAAGCTTGAGTATGTAATTACTCTACTTTGCGATGGAAAATTGTTACTTAGTGAGGATGAATGATACGGAGCAATTCTGTGGTGTGGTCCAATTGGAGATACCACGATTGATACAATAGAGTTCATGAAGCTGGAATGATCGTCCTTTTTCGTTTCGAAGACGTAGAAATACAGGCCTCAGTAGATGGGGTAGCGGAACAAGAGATATACCCCTTACACACCTCGAATAAAGATCTTATGCCCCGGTAGTTATGATATGGACGCAATCATTAATTCATTTCTCTCATCTCCAGATTAAAAGTCCATTCCCATCAAATAACTAGAAAGCAGAAATTCAGCAAGTATTTCATCCAATCTCACACAGAATCACTCACCTTTCATAGATACGCATAAATTTTGCGACAAACGCCTCCAGATGGAATATCACTTTCTGTAAGTCTTATCTCAGCATTCTGAACATGGATACATCCTAATCGTAAGATACTTACGCTACCCATCTTTATCCGATGTTCATAGAAAGCGGACCACTTGATGACTTCCGGTTTCAATGCGTCATCAACCTTCGGAATGAGTTTGAAGGTTAAAGTCTGTAGCTCGTCAGCTTGGGTCCCCAGGGAATGAAAGCCATGATTCCTACCTTGAGAACAGTTGTAGGTGGTATACAGTGAGTAAGAAGGTCATAGAGTCTTGCGCGAACCTGTAGCAACCGCGCCGGCGATCGCTCGGCCATGATCTCGTCTGCAGTCAAAGAAACCAAGGCCTCCCAGTCCGGAGGCGGTATCGGTGTTTTATCTGTCACTTTCTCACTGTGAAGGGTAAATCGGTTAGGACAAATTCGCTACATATTTGCTGGGGCCAGACATACTTCTGTGCATAGATGGCCTCGAACATAAGCAGCGCTCGCCGAAGATTCCTCCCGCTCTCTTTTGCGATCCTCTTATTGAGCGCATCAACCTGCGTCCACCCCTCCTTCTCCGCAGCTGCCTTCAATACAGTACTGATCTCATCCTCGGAGGGCGCTGCCACTCTGACCAGCAGAGTTCGCGAGCGGATAGGTGCGATGATATTCGCCGTACTGTTCGCTAGGAGGATCAATCTCAAGTTCGGACTGTATTTCTCCATCGTCCGTCTCAACGCTGCTTGTGCATCACGAGTCAGGTGGTCGGCTTCGTTTATCACAACGACCTTGAAACGCTGCTTGGCCGAGACGTCAACCTGTTGCGTCTGTGCCACTTCCTTGAGCAGCTCCTGCACAACGACTCGATCATAGTTTCCCACATCTGATGGTGTGATTTCTAGATGATAGACAGAGGCGACGATGTTGAATTCGAGCTTTCTATTGCTAGTCGTTTGGAAGACACGTGCGTCGATCTTGATCTTTTCCACTCCGGGGCCGTAGAGCTCCTTGAGAGTTGCGATGATACGAGTTTTCTTTCCAGCACCTGAAGGACCGTAGACGAGAAGATGTGGGAAGTCGCCGCTTTGTGCCTATACAGAAACATACCGTTGGTTCAGTTCCTACCTTCAAGGGAGCAATTGAGAGAAAACGGGCGTTAGCTTACCAAGGACTTCAGGCGGGCAGACAGCTCATGGTGATAGGTGAGCGAATCAAGGGTCCGCGGCCGCAATTTATCAACAAGAAGAGCCATTATGCTACTTGTGTTCTTCGAATGAATATAGCGTCCGTGGAAGCTTCAGACTCATTCACGGCGCTTGTGAGTACAATTCATGATCTTCGAGACCATCGAAGCTCTCGACGGAACGCGTCTTCGCGTGCAATTAATTGATGGTCCGTGCGTGACGTGAAATGGATTTCATGTGTTGATGCCTGAGGCACCATAAATATGATGATCAACACCACTGGTACAAACTTAGGTACCGTAATCAGTCTAAGCCGATACTATAGTCGAATTCAGTGGCTAATTTTACAAATAAGTTCTAGCATTTTTTTTTTCTTCCATTTCTATATATTCAGGGTTCCAGGAGGAGTTCGGATTTATTCAATGTCCATCCCATGGAGATGATGCTCTATTGTACAGATTGTTTGCAGAAAATCAATTTTCCACCGCAGTATGTGTACTCCTTGTGTGCAAATAATGAAACAGGATGATAAGTGGAGAATCTAAGGTCACTGTTGACAGAAAGTATGGCCTGTTCAACATGAATGGGACCATGGCTTTTGCCCAGGTTCTGAGCTGTTAGTTCCAGCCATGATGCCTACGATGGGCTGCCGCGCTAACCATGAGCATCTGCCCGTTCCAATGATACGATCTGCCGATTAACTGAGCATAATACTTGTGCCTCAGCTACCGGGAGTCGGCTTCAGGACTCCATTGTCATCATATCGGGCCTCTGTTAAATATTTATTAGCAACCATAGAGTACAAGAACTCCTGACGTACTGCACTTACTGAAAAAGGTATAGGATAGAGTAATGGTATCAATTCCCTTCATGGACGGATCTTTTACGAAATCCGGGTCAATGAAGAAGAAAACCGGCATATCAACGGATTCTCCCGCATTTAGTTTCTGTTCCTCGAAGCAGAAACATTGAATCTTGCTGAAGTACGGCGCGACCTGGGCAGGTGTCACACTGTACGTTGCAACTCCGATGATATCCGCAGGACCCTTGTTCGTCGCCGTATAGAAGGCAAGAGCCGTCTCGCCGGGAAGCACACGAACTTCTCGTTGCTGCGGCGTGAACTTCCATGGGAGGACATCAGAAACGGTTCCGTTGAATGTAATTCGAAGACGTCGAGCATCTGTGACGGGCTGGACGCGGGACGAGGTATCGCCATCACCGACGCGGTGAGTGGAAACCGGTTGACCATTCCAGCCGGTCTGCTGGCAAATCTATAGTTTTCATGACAATGGTCAGAACAGATCTTATACTGAACGGGTACGATGATTCCTGCTTACCATCTTATAGAGAGGTACGGAACCATAAGCCAGAGCAACAGTTCCGATGATTATGCTAATGGTATAGTACCTGAACAAGGTCGGCAAATTTGACGTCGGCAATCGAAGGAGGAAAACAATGCTCACATTGTAGAGGTATTTCTTTTAACTGATTGAGGGCTATTGAATGGCGCCGCCGACGCGGCTTGTTGCCGCCAAACTGGGCTCCCAGACAGGCATCTCCGCACTGCTGGAGTACGCTCTCTGATAATGTAGCTGGGTATCCGAGGTGCGACACCTCGTGAGAGGCATCGCCCCAACATTGTGAACGGAGCTGGCACCATAATTGATCAAGCCAAACCCCTCCGGATTTTTTGGAGAAATCGCTTTGATGCGGAGTTATGGACGGAGACTTTCCAACACGTGATATTCCTTGGCGGCGTCATCCGGAATCCGGATGTGCTAGTTAGTAATGGAACCAACTGTCGACAACACGCTCCTGCTTCAGTCTCATAAGCTTTGGGGTTTTATTTGATACTATTTACTGGGTCGCAATATAGGTGCCATTGGATTGATTCACATTGAAGGGAAATAAATACTACTATTCGTATGACAGCAAAGCTTACGCACATATATTTTTCTAACTACTCTGTAGCTGTACTTTCATCAACGCTCAAGTTAACTATATATATGGCCATGAATAATGCTAGGCGGCAAACAAATTAACACAAAGAAATTAACGCTTTCCTCGTTCGCTATGGCCAAAGGCAGAACGGTCTCATCCCTGGGGCTGGCAGAATTAAGAAACTTGAGGACTATGCAAGCGCTCTGCCTCGCACAGCAGACCGTCTCAATAAGAGTTCATGTTGCCTTTGGGGTACAAGTCCCTGAACCCAAGTGCGAAACCCAAGTGCGAAATTACATACGTAGCACCGCTGTTCTTCATAGACGAACATGAGCTAGAAATTATTAGTTATAAATTATGACACAAGTACGTATACAGAGTATCTGGGTATTGAAAACCATAGCCTAATCATGGACACCTTGCGAATCTTTTGCCTTCGGAACAACCGACCTAGCCAACGCCCTGTGTTATGCGGCCAAGCATGGTAACCATCCAGACAAGTACACAATGCAGAAACTTTCATCTTATGACCCGGGCACCAATTCGGCCAATGAAACCCCTGACAAATTCTGGTCGCTCTTGCAGACAGGTGAAAATTACTGCAGTACTAAGGGCAAAAGCCGCCTGTTCCCGATATTCATACTATAGCAATTCGTTAGCAAGTCTGAAACCAACCAGAGCGACAAAGCCCAGCTTCCTGAGCCCATAGCCTTTACAGGCACATGACTCTATGCTCTATTTTCAAGGCGCATCGTACCTTCTTCTCGTACCGTCGGGGTAGCAGGGTTGCTGCTGCTCGCGGTGCCACAAATAGGGCTAGTTCCTGCCGCCTACGCGCACCCTCCACGAGGACACTGCAACCGCAGAGGAGACACCCGGCACCAACACACAGTCCCGAGTCCCACATCATCGGCGTGATCGTCTTGTAGTCAAAAATCTTTGGTCCCAACCTCGTCCGTGCAAGGCAGACCGAGTAGTAGAAGATGGTTATAAAAGAGGCAAGGAATGTTGATGACCGCAGCGTGTCCTTAACTGCAGCAACGACACGAGAGAGTTGCCGTTTCGTCCGAAGCCGTAGTGCGAGCTGAAGAGGAAGATAAGTAGCGCTTGCAAACTTGAACGCTCGTACAAAGCGCCACGCGGCATGTTTCTCGCAACTAGGGCCGCATCCCATGTGAACCATTTCACATGGTATAGGGATTGTTTTTGCTGGGTCGCCCCATTCAAGTGGCCAGCTGTAATCCTCGCACATAGACTGAAGCAACGGTGCTTGGCCAGTATCCTTTCCGTATACGAATATCCCTCTTCGAGCTCGACGGAGAGCCTCGATTAGCCTCGAATCAACCTTCGCAGCTTCCCCGATCCACTTTTCGTACGAGCGTGGGAGACGTTCTGGCTCATAAAACCACGCCCACATAATAGCCGCAGTGCTTGCGGTGAAAATGACGCTATCTGCTAGCCGTGGTGCAATAGATTCAGCGAAGGTCCAGCGGTTCTGCGCCTTTCGTCGTTGCCGCCAGCGTTCCCATGCTATGCATGCAACCACATCCACGGCCCTAGTGAATACAAAGAGAGTCAAGTCCAAGGTCCTACCAGTCAGTTCTGGTCGCTCAGTCAAATCGTGTCTCGATGTAACCGTCACGTCTTCCTCCCGTGGGCTTGAGTTAACAGAAGAGTCTCGCACTTCATGCTGCCGTTTGTTGAGGAGCCGGAAGCTAAACCAAGACGATATGAAAGCAGATAAAAACCGGACGAGCTGTAAGACTCGGCGGGTTTGTGATAACCTCTTCGTCCCCGCCTTTGCAGTAAGAGTTGAATAGATCCTGAGGATCAGGACCGGAAGTAAGGTAGATCCAGCAACGACAAAAGCGCAGAAAGCTGGAAACCCATTCAACCGCAATGCATTAACGAGAATTCGACGGAGCTTGAGGTGTCTTCAGTTAGTTTTGCTTTTCACGGTACAGTCTCTCCGGATGTCAGATATGTCAGTCATCCTCGCGAGGCTTCCACCCGCAGTACAAGTTGCAGCAGCAAGAGAACAAGTAGGAAAAACCGACATCGAGATAGAAGGAAAGGAAATGCGGTACTTAGGTTATCCACAGAGGGAAGCAGGTGAGAATTAACGCATCGTACCTCTGTAATTCGTTGCCCAGGACTTGAATTTGCATCTTCCTTCCTTACCAATCGCACCCATGATACGATCCTCGGGACCGTTGATGACAGGTAACTCAAGGCATAGGCACGCACAATGCTAGAGTTTACAGAAGCAAGTCAGTTCAGGTGTACGGAGTTTCATGCACAACGACCTCAATACATCTCCGGAAGAACGCTCTGACCAGAGGCCGGTGGTACTTACGGCTTTAATATGCGAAGATCGACAGTTTTCTCGCGGTCCAGGAGAAATCTAGGGTCCATGTCGTCGGCCCGATCATCTCCAGATGAGCCTTTCCCTTAGAAGCTCCTTCTACAGGACGGATCTGGCAAACATCAGAACCAAGAAGCCGAACGCCCATTGACAACGCCCCGATACATGAAGGCAGCCTCTTGACGTACTCGACCCACCACTATGTAAAGAATCACAAAACGTACCCTTTTAGTGGCATATAAAACCAACAGTTATTGGGCTGAGGTTTGAGCTAACCACGGGGTTAGCCCAACTTGCAGCCGTGTTAGGTAGCGCAACAAGCCACGCGCAAAGAAGGTAGGATCAGACTTTCACCTAGGGCCGACTTGATGGTCTGCCGTCCCTGAACCTCGGTTTTGGAACACGGCCAGCACCGATAGAATGTTGGGTCAGGGGACAGACTTGATGATGATCATCAGAAACCCGGGGAGCCTAGTCCATTGAGGCCGGACGAGTACGGGACAAGAGACGCGGGGTAGGAGACGTTGGACAGTTTGAACTTTGAGGAAAGGAAACGTGGAGCGCCCAGAACAGGACGGAATAATAATAGACCAAGTTTGCCCTTTGGTCTTTGCCCCAGAGTCGCGCTGTCCTGAGCCGCAATGCGGAGGCTGGGGAAGTCATCTCCGGGCCAAAGAGCTCTTGCGGACTTGGGATAGTTCGACCGAGCGTACTGTAAGTAATGGGGAGACGGAAAGTTACAAGGTTACACAGACCGGCCGGTAGGCAGAGCGTGTGCTGTGGTACAATAAGGTACATAATTCTGGTAATAACGATACGTCACGCGACCAGCGCTCGAGCGGCCGAAATTTTGCATGTGATTGCGAGAGTGGTCGACCTCGACGAGGAGAAACCGAGTCAACGTCGGTTCAACGCCGTCGTATCTTGACCTTTTCCTCTCTATATCAGATCACTTGCCTGTCTGAGCTCCTGACCTCATCCGCCAATTTTGTTAGGCTTGAGATCTAACCGGTCCTTATGCTGCCCTATTTCCCCAGACCCCACCTCGCTCCAGTCACAAGCGTCGTTTTCGCCAGCCTCAGAAACGCCTAGCAATCTAATCAACGGTTTTCAGTTCCCCGCGCATGTGCAGTAAACAGGCGCCCTAGAGCGTCATCATCTCTCCCTCGCGTCCCATTTTTCTTACCACTTTATCTCCTGGTTTTTGCTCTCGAGGTGGATTGATGTCGACCCTACGCCGTGCAGTCAGAGATTTGACCCGGAGCTTGTAACTGAACTGCGGTCTTCAGCAATTGTCGCAAGCGCATGTGGATGACTCTGACATATGCTCATTCCGGAAACCTCGCGCGTTGAGCCCTGAGGACCCTTTTTGTATATATCGTTATAACGATTTTTATCTTTGGCCATGAATCTGACAGGGTCGGATCTTCGAAATGGGCGTGGGACGTCTCCAGCTCCTGGTCCCTTTGGCTGTGCGTACTCATTCACCATACCGATTGTCCGTCTGCATTATGCTGATGATAGCGGTCAGATTCATTCCTCTCATCGTTCGATACGCCATATGACCCAGCCCCTGCTCCTCCGCCTGGTCCAGCTTTGCTCGACGACAGCGAGTCGAATATGCTCGACAATTTCTTCACTACCATGAACGCCAATCACCTGGATACGAGCGACTTCTGGTTCCGTGGCCAGCAACCGGTTAAAGGTCCTAGCAATCTGGACTGGTCGGAGGAGCTACCGCCGATATTTGAAGGATCTACAACCACGTTGGGCCAACCGTCAGCTCTTCAACACGGCTTGGGAAAAGGAGCCTTTTCTACAGCAGACAATGGTATGGAAACCAGTTCGGATATCCTTGCAGCTGCCTCGATGCTTTACGGGAATGGAATGAATGCAAACGGTTTTAGCTCGCCATTCAGTCACCAATTATTTCCCGACCACACACTTCATAATGCCAATAGAAACTTTTCTGTCAAAGGAGGGGTCTCCAAGAATTCAGCAACAGGTGACCAACCCGCAATGGAGGAAACTTGTCCACAGATTGCCCGGAAACAACCATTGCCTCGTGGATACCATGCGCCAGAGATGTTCTTTGACGTTCAGCAACCTGTGACCATGGACCAGCAGACGGTCGCCAAAGTCAGGACTCTGCGCTGGGGATCAGATGCTAGCTTCATGGATCAAGGCTACTTGCCACCGCCTCAACACAACATGGAGGAACGTACGAAAGACCTCCTGGACAAGCTAGAATGTTTTGAACCTCAAAGCAGCGCCGCAAACACCCGGGCTCCTAGTCCCGTGAGGATGACAGGCAATGGAGACTGGGCCTCACTCCATGGCGGATATATGCCTAGTGGCCTACGAAACGATGAGAATGTCTCCGACCAGCTACAGCCGAGAAAGCGGCAGAAGTCGATGGTTAAGGCGGAGGACGCTGATTCTGACGTAGATGCCTCGCGGTCGAGGACGAAGAAGACGAAGACGTCTAGTCAGGATAAAGCAAGGCGAAGTTCCAGCGATGCTGGGTCGCGGAAGGCCAAGCAGGGTTCAGGCAAGCATGCACGAGAAAATTTGACGGAGGAGCAAAAACGGACAAATCATATCCTTTCCGAACAGAAGAGACGCAACCTCATCAAGCAAGGCTTCGATGAGCTATGTTCTCTTGTGCCGGAACTGAGAGGCGGAGGGTTCAGCAAAAGTGCCATGCTCATGCAAGCAGCGGACTGGCTGCAAGATATCCTACATGGGAACGAAATTCTCAAGGCCCAACTCGCTGATCTAAAGGCTGTGGATGGCATCCGAATGCCACGATGACATCTTCATATGATTCGTCCATTGGCCTTCTAAGTGACATTACGGGCATTGTATAACCAAGCTATTTGTTTTGCAAGGGTAAATAGCCGGAAAGCGAGCGCGGCGTTATGATTGGGTTTTTTCATTTATTGCAGGTGGACTTCAACAAAGTCTTCCACATTGTGGCGACGGATCTTTACGGGAATAACAGCTCTAGAAGGAAATCGGGCATGCCTGCCGTTCTCCTTCCTTGAGGTCGTCCGCACATATAGAGATTACGCTTAAAGGAAGCGAAAGGACAGCTAGGATTATGGTTTCTTATTCTACTATATATAATGTCTAAGTCCCTACCGAGACCCTTCTCCGGTCAGTAGGAAGTTTGCTCTTTTATTCTTATTGTAGAACGCACGAATCTCCTAAGGTCTGCTATATGTCGTGGTGTATCATGGATCTAAGGCGCACTCTAGAAGCCAAAGCAAAAGTCAGTTACCACATCTTCCTGCCCAAAAAGATAATCTGATTTATACCATTCAAGGTATCTCTGTCTAGAACCAACGACATTTTCCGACACCCGTCGCCTTGTTTAGCCCGAGGAAGTACCCAACTTTCCCCCCACCCCCTATGGCTTCCGCTAAATTACCATTGGAGATGTGATTCCTAACAAGATGATGGGCTAGCAGCGGTATGCACCAATACTTACGAGTCGACTCTACCCGTGCAACATTTCCCTCTCAGACGACATGGGGTTTCTGCATATAAGACTAAATGTAGTAGCTACCTCATTGCTGCGCAATGTCTCACGAAAGAATGCGGCCTCTTGATACGACTGCTGATATGATCATGTTCGAGACTTCGTTAATCTAATACTAGGACTATCTATAGTTTGGGTTTGTCTGTTTTGCAGCGTCAGCGGAACTCCTCCGTGTTTTGACCCACAACATGTGAAACTGTCCAAAGAGTTCCGCTAGCAGTCTGTTGTTCCTTTGTCCTTTCAGGAACACACGACACTTCTTGGCGGCGTCAAAGCTATCTATTCTCACGCGACTCACAGAATTTCGATCTCGCATAAGACCTTTGAAATAAATACTCGCGCTTACTGTTATCACCTTTCGTCGCTACCCATTTGTTACGCGTTCCCATCATGCCTCCCAAGAGGAAGCGCTCAAACGATGCCGACGACGACGAGAGAGACGGCGGCTCAAATAAGCAATACGCCTACCTCAAACCTCGTGTTCGACATATCTCGGAGCGAACGATTAAGGCAAAATGGACGACGCTACCAGAACCCGTCCAGCAGAAGGTCTTGGATATGTTTAGATCTCTCGAGCGGCCGGTCATAGTAAGACAACGTGATGAGCGCAAACGCATCGAAGCGCAGACAGCGGTGGGCGCGCTGGTTAGAAAGTGAGTTAGGGCACAGGGAATGATTCTTCGAAGATTGGTTTGGCTGATCTTCGCGTCATTTTTTCTTAGCTTAGGGAGACGACTCCCACGAATGCCTTTCCCGCCGATAACGAAAGATACCAATTTTGACTATGAGTCCGCCATTGATGAACACGTTCGTATTTATGGTTCCTCCTCGAAAATGGCAGAAAACTAATCGCAAGCCATTCAGCGTTCTCTAGAGGCACACTTGGCGACCGTGAACAGCAGTATTGACTTGCTTCAAGCAGAGATCGATAAAGAGGAAGCATTGCTCGCGAAAGAGACAAAGCAACTGGAAGAAATGGAAAAGAACGCTAAAGCAGCGGAGTCAGAAAGGAAGAGACAAATGAAGAATGTATGCTTGGCTAGGATTCGAACACTCGCAGTTTAGGAGCTGACTCGTTTTAGGAACATCCTGTTCTTCGACAGCTCGACAATATACCCAACGGAAACGATGAAGGATGGTCTAACTTTGTCATCCCTGAGATAAAAGGCCGGGAAGTGGCTCTATGTGATGTATGGCTGCGCTTTTATCTTTGTACATGACGTGCCGCTAACAAATTTCCAGCTTCAACCGGATTCCGAAGTCGCGGGTCTCTTAAAGCAATTAAACGGCCACCTTCAGTCAATGCACAATAATGTCGCTCCCCTTGACGGTTTAAAGGAAGCAATTACCCGATCGCAGGCGGCATTGAATTTGTTGCCCATTCCAGCCGACTGAGTGTCTACGACCGGCGTAACCTGGAGATCCCAGGCTGTTATTCAATCATCTCTGTCAGTCTAAGCCGCTCAGAGTCAGTCGCGAACAACCGGGAGCTGAATCCCGAATGCAGAGGTTGATGGTACTGGAAGATACATCGGCGCCTCACCTACGGTCCCTGGAGAACAGTGTCTCGCAGGAGCATCTCCTGCTCGGGTGGGCGCCAAGAAACAGGCTATCATGTCTGTCGCAGGACCTCGACTGTTAGCTTAGGCACACAAACCGTTGGGGTTCCTGATTACGATCGTATCTACAGCGGACGGCTCATGTGCCGCCTGGCCGAAGCAACTAGGGCGTGGTACCACGCGCACGCCTTTTTAGATGTGCTGCTTGTGCGAGTGACCAGGAGCATTTTAAAAGCAGTTTGCAGAGATAGCTAGGTTTAGTTAAAACCTTCAATAATATAATCTCCCTTGACGATGTACACATGCCAAGAAATAGCGTGGTTCGTACGCGATATGCCACTAGCGCAACAATTGTAGGGAAGATGTCATCATAACCAGTCTTTTTGCGCCAGGATCTCCGGGAGCAGAGATGTGCCATTTCGACTCGCGCGGAGCCGAGGTCTATAGTATAGCGGAGTGCGGAGAACAAGAGCAAAGACTCCAAAGAGATCGGATAGCGGGGCGAGAAAGTTCTCTCTCCATCCAATCCAACCCTAATGCGGAGGCGAAATCGGGAAAATACGTGCGCGCTTAAGGTCCCGCTCCTCCGCGCGGGACTCCATCTCAGTCGCTTGCCCTCAGCCCAGGTACAGTGCATCTTTCTATCTTGCTCCGCATTGTCTGTTTCCCGGTATCTGCTACAGTCGTATCTGACGTTCCTATCTGCAGTGGGCCATCCAACTGCCAACGCTGTGGAACGGGAAAAGCGCGATAGCCACTGCTTGGTTTGCGCGCAACGGGCCTGTCTTGACTCTACATTCCAACCCCAAGCGGTCCATGGCGGAAGCAAGCTCATCGCAGGCGGGACCCCCCGCCGGAGGAGAAACGAAACATAATGGAACAACGGAGAGTACAAAATCCAACGCAGCAGACGGTGATACGTTCTCTAAAGAAACTCGCGCAAATGGGAATACCAAGACGTCGCCCGCCGGGAAGGCAGACGGAACAGCTGCACCCACGCACGCGAGCCCGAAGAAGCGTCGCAAGGTCAATCATGGTACGGAGAATTGGTCGCCAATCTTTAAGCTTCCTATCGAATAGTTTTGGCTAACTGAATTTCTTTCGTAGCTTGCGTCTACTGTCGGCGATCGGTAAGCAACGAGATGCTCCTTGCTTGATGCTACTTTTCTTTGCATGCGGTCCTCCTGCATAATGCGAATCTGCATCTTGGCGACATAAAGCCCTTGGAGGATGATAGGCTGACCGTAGATACTTGGTAATGTCGGACAGCATATGACCTGCGACTCGGTACGACCCCCTTTTGACACGAACCTGCATTGTGGCCGAGACTTTGCCGCTGCAAGCTTGGAAACAATATGAGTTGGCTGATCCGATCCATAAATAGGAGCGACCATGTACGCGATGTATAAAACGCAATATCGGCCACCTTTGCCACGATGAGCCCCGAGAGCCGTCGAAGCGGGCACGAAGTGAACACGAATTGTCCGCAGCAGATGAGGAAGGCTCGTCAAAGAACGAATTTTCCAGCAGCCAAGGCATGCCCAGCAATCTCGACGTACAAGATGCGACCGCTCAACAGCTACTTCCAGATATGCAACCACATGGTCTGCCTCCTTCGACGGTGAATCCCTCACAATCGATCCAACCGGGAAACATTTCAAACAGCTCAGGTCAGCGCCCAATCACGCGCCGTGCACATCGGCCTATTTTTATGCATTTCAATGTAACATATACGCTAACGAGGCTTCAGTGCTTGGGTATAATGATTGGCCGGTCCAAAGACAAAGCCAGTTCCAGGACATGCACACATTTCATCCTTCATACATGTTCAATGCACCAGAATTCACCAACGAATATAACCTGCTTAGTGATTTTTTGAGTCACAGTTTACTTGATGATGGTGCTATGTATCAGGGCGATGATCTTCAGGGCCTATATTCCGACCCTTCACTGCTCAATTCGATGTCTCTGGCAGGGAACAATTCTGGGTTTCTCCAGCCTCCGCAGCTGGGAGCCGCACAAAGCCAAAATGCGGGGAATGGGATCCAACGTCCAAGCTCCACTGTCGGTAACGACAAAGCTAGGGAAACCTATTACATGACTGCGGCTGATCCCTCCGGAACTGATCCTCCGGAAGAAAGGATGAACAAGCTACTGAAGGCGAAATATGACGCTGGAATGTTGAAGCCATTCAACTATGTCAAGGGTTATGCCAGGCTAAACCAGTACATGGAACAACACATGCAACCTGCATCACGACAGAAGATTCTTCGCCAACTGGATAAATTCAGGCCCAAATTCCGCGAACGGATGCAGAGCTTGACCGATATCGAGCTTGTGCTGGTGGAAATGTGGTTCGAACGAAGTCTAATGGAATATGATCGAGTCTTTGCCAGTATGGCGATCCCCGCTTGCTGCTGGAGACGAACTGGCGAAATCTTCCGCGGAAACAAGGAAATGGCTCAGCTTATCGACGTCCCTATCGAGAATCTAAGAGATGTGGGTTCCCTTTATATTTGAGACGCATCTTTCGTAGCGATTTACTGACGAATTCCAACCTGTAGGGCAAGTTGGCTATCCATGAAATCATTGTCGAGGACCAGTTAGTTAGCTACTGGGAGAAATTCGGCGCCATCGCTTTCGACAACACCCAGAAAGCGATGCTCACGAGCTGCACGCTGAAGAATCCCGACGCCACCAATCCTTCCCAAGGGATCCCGTGTTGCTTCTCGTTTACCATCCGTCGCGACACACATAATATGTTAGTATAGCACTCATCCATCACATCTCCTGTACAATGCTGACCGCTATTCCCTAGCCCATCACTCATTGTCGGTAACTTCTTACCGATGCAGCGAAGTAGACGATGATCCTTGTCGAGAAAAAAATATATATATATATATAGATACCCAAAACGCTTTATGCATAATTGGCGCGTAAGGTCATTGTGGGATGTCGATATGGGTTATCTTCCACTTACTAGGCGTTTGATGCACCTTTCCTTACCAGCATGATTCTGCTGTGTTGATTCTGGGACTAACAATCCTCTTCCAAGGTTCCCGAAACCATGTGTGCTTTCTACTTATATATACCCCTTTGAATAGTGCATATCTGCACTTGTTGCCAAGTTACAGTTGGGCTTGAGCCGGCTCTCTTTGGGCGTTCTGTATAGCATGTGTTCTGTTCTTATCTCTCTGTAGATATTTGATACGTACCAAGAGGCTGCATGCGTCATTGTCGATAAAACCAATTTCCGCTTCTAGCCTACAAGGAATCAATTGAGTCAGAGCTATTGGAAATTTCACAACATCAAAGTGTCATCAAAGTCAATAAGGATCTCGTTTATTCCTGAGGAAAACCAAGATAGTTGTACGGCACAGCGGATGAAAAATTGAAGTGGACTTGTACAGAAGTCAGGTGAGCTTTTCGACCCCGTCGTACTGTACATCCCGCTCTGACTCGATCGTCGTCACAGAGGTATCTTCACGCCTCGTCTTAATAATGCTTCGCATCACTGCTATCCTGTCAGGAATCATAGCAGATTCAAAACGGATACTTGAGCTGAAAGAACCCCTAGAGAATTGGCCATGACCCGGACAACGCAGGACAGCCAAACGGAGCTGGCATCTAACATCACCAGTAGGCACCTCGTCCATATTATAATACCCTCACTTCTAAGCCTATACACCTTACTGATGCTGCTGACTTTCTCCATATAGCTTTCGCCGTCAATCTAAAGACCAGGGTTCTCGAGGCTGCTTCTTTTACCACATTCTCGCTGGATGATGAGAGTGTCAAGACATTAGACAGATATATTGATCTGCTTCCTCTGGAATCTTCACATGTACTGGTATCATCTTGTCATGGGCTCGATTCAGCAGGTACTGAACTATGGAATGCGTGCTCTCGTTTGATGAGCGTAGGTGATGGTGAATGGGGACAGGAAACATGTCGGTTGCTTATTGGAGGTCTGTTCTGAAGTAGTAACCTTGCGGACATTCAGTATGGCTGACTTTGCCTGTCTTCTATTAGTGAAAGTCCTTGCATTATTGATGCTTGAGAGCGCGGCGGCGAACAATGGGATCAAGGAGGGAGTTAATCCCTTTTCGGCTGAGGAAGGAGATAAAGACTCCATGGGACTTTCAGATACAGACAGAATAAGGCTGCTTGAAGTGGCTCTTCGGACGGCTAGACTTTGCATAGGTACATATGGGATACAGAATCTCACTGAATCTCTTAGAATGGCTTGCTTTGTGTGATATTGGCTAACGTCGAAGCAGAAATAGAGCAGTTTCCCATCAGCTTAAGAATTCTTGAGATAGCTGCAGTGCATGTGGAACGCCTTCACGCTTCTCATATCCAGTCTGGATGCGGGATCGGCAAATATTTAGTTCAAGAATACTACATACTTCGAATTATGCTGGTATAGATAGCTTCGGGATTTCGATACATGTGTGGGAGACTAACCGGTGTCCAGTATTGGCGTCAAGACAGGCTCGATCTGGCAGAACATATGTTCTCTAAGCTCAAAGAATACCGGACACATCACAATCTGGAGGCGGCGGGAAATCTTGCAGATGCGTGTTACAGGATCGGAAAGTGGCTCCTCTCGAACCATGACCTTCAGGCTGCCATTATATGGTTCGAGCGAGCATTAGGATCAGCTGGAGATTCGCAAATGCTTCAGCATCAGGAGTGTGATGCGAATAGCACGCGGCTGGTAACTCAGCAGGCTCTAGGTATGCACTGTCTTTTATGTTACGAAACTGGTTAATGCTGAGCAGACTTCAGTACGCGCACATCTTGAGCTTAACACAGAAAAATCTCGAGTTCGTATCACAGAACTCTTAGCTTCTCTGGACGAGGTGCGCAGGTGTCTACCCTAGAGTGAAGCCTTGCTGATGTTTTGGAGGAACATGGTAATGCAATATCGACTCTGATGCTTAAACTTGAAGTTATAGTCAGAGGGTCCAGTTTTGATTCAAGTGCATACTACGATAGTAAGTGGAGTTTTGCGCTTCGATAGGGATGTCGCTGATACAGTCTCCTTATAGCGCTGTTGAAAACTGTTCATACTCTACAGCCTACCGACAAGAATACTGAAATGTAAACCGCAATGCTTGTCTCGACCTTGATTCCATTCTCTAACTGAAACCAAGGATTCTATACTATATCCACAAGCTCAGGAACCAGAGGTAACCACAACTCGCTATTCTTAATATCTTGGCTACTCACAGGCTGCCAGCGTAGAGCTGTCTGCGGAAGCGTTTCGGCAACTGCTCGTACAGAAGACCATCCCCACCGGGAATAGGTCGTCGATAGAGTCTGTTTTCCTAGGCTTACTTTGGTCCATTGCTACATCTCCATCACACCTGCCAAACGGGCTGGACATCCTCATCGATGCAGTGACAAAAACTAACGAGGGTTGGGGAAAACCCCTGAGTGCAACCTGTTCCCACGCTTCTTTGATTGTTCGTCCCAATTTACACACTGGCTGCACATTATTACTGATGCAGTTATTAGCTTATTTGGAAGAAGGTTGATTTTGCATCTTCCCAGGGAAATTATGAAGAAGCAGAGAGATGGTCTCAGTTTGCCCAACATCCGATCTTCCAACAATGCAAAGAAGTAAACAGGGCAAAGATCAAGAGGTAGTGTACTATAGAAATAATGTCCTATAATACATTTATTCAGTTAGCTAATGTTGTTTTAGAAAGTTGATGTTTTGTGCTCTCCAAAATTCGAACGTCGTGCTGGCTCGTCAGACAGCCGATGAACTGAATCAGGAGGATAAATTGAATCCTCTAACACTTTATTTGATGTACAACTTGTCTCTGAGAGAAATGAATATGGAATTGGGTCAGTTCACCTTTCAACGCAGGGTATAAATCACTACTTAACCAGCGAAAGGAGCCTCTTGTCTGAGAGCTCTATGTGAGCTAGAGTCTGGTCGAACCTACATCCTTGCCTGTATTATGGAGGCACAACAGTCTGGAAACAGACAGCAAGCGGTGGTTGCTTTAAAACAACTTCTAGATACACTGGACCACAATGACAGTAAACAAATACATTTACCAGCTCTATTACGGTGTGTCATTTCTACTTCAACCTACGTTAATTCCACTGACCCCCACAGCTGCACAACACGTCTGCTTGCATCTAACTTAGAAGATGAGACACACGAGCTCGAAACTCCAGAATATTTATGCCAAATTTTCGAGAAAGGTCTGCCTCAAGATCACTTGAACTATGATATCGAACTGATGAAATACAGCGGCGACACAGGCGACGGAAGAACACTACTCGTCCAAGGCAAAGACTTTCTCCATGACCGAGCTCGAGTGGTTTTCACGTAATAGCTACAATCTGGCCCTCGAGTTAAGGCGTTCATGGCCACTAGATTATAGCCTGAGGTTATTGAATGTCTCTGTAAAGGTTAACCTTTCTCGCAACCCAATACACTGCCGTTGGGTAACCATTATTAACTGCGAGAGTAGCTTGTTGGCTTGTATCCGAGAGATGTTGATCCAATAGCGCAAATCTATGCGAGGCGCATGCTATGCGAATTCCTCGCCACCGCGATTATAGTTTCGAGAGCAAGAGAACAGACAGATTCTTCAATCAAGGTAGTAATTATTCTTGATCTTATAGGATCCATCAGAATATCTAACCTTTTCCAGGAAGAGCAATATCTTGACGTTCGGATTTATGTTCAAGGATTCCGTAACAACATTCAATCACAACTGGACCGAAAAGATGCGCCTGACCACGAAGAGTGGCTACAACGATACAGAACAATGCTCTCATTCGATTTTGAGGCGGTCATATATATGAATCAATTGGAGAGTCTCCGCACTCTGATCGATGAGGCAGGTACGGTGGCGGATGGTCGCCTCTATACGATCTTTGCGGATGCTATATTGTGCTCTCACATTCCGATAGAAATTAAGTCGCAAGTCTTTGAGGTAGGAGCATCCTCATATGGTCCCCAAGATCCAGGAACTTCAGTCTCTGGGTCAAGAAAAAGGAGCATTGAATTAACAGAAACCAGCAAATGATCCACACCATCACCACATTGCGCTCACCATACCTAAATACTGCATTCTATCAGAAGCTTCCCCGCTATATCCACTGCTTATTCGAACTTGCACTTCCACCTACCAAAGCAGCGGAGCTAGAACCAGCTTCCTCTTTAATCTCCCCCACTCTGGAATCATCCCCTAGTTCCAGCAACACCTTAGCCGAATCGGTTCTCGATAGAGCATACATCATGGCGCGCGATATCCGACATTCTCACAGGCAGGACATGTCGTACCCTGATGACGAATTAGAGTGGCTCGCTACGATGGCGTTCAATAGAGCTGTAGATTTGTATCTCGCTTCCGCAGATGAAGATTCGCGCCGCTGGGGACGGAAAGCGATCGAGTTAGCCCAGTTGGTGCAGTATGATGGAGGCTGCTTGTCGAGGTTACTTAAAGATAGGTTCGATAAATTGTGGTGAGGGAGAACCCATGGTTACCGGGGATCGGGGTATAAGACCAGACTTCATATTCTTTGCTGCTGCGAGCTTTGGCATTCTCAAGGCCGGGTATCAAGTATTATGTACAATACTTTCTTTCTTATGGTAAGGGTGTCTCCAGTAATCAAGTAATGCGGTTAGTTAGAAAGCTCCATTAACCACTGCTAGTTTATAGGTTAGGCTATTCAATAGTTTTATTAACGGGCTATCTCTCTAACTGCTTGTTGTATTCACAAGATCAGGCTTTAGTTGGATTGCAGCCTAATTGTGATTTGCCGATATTAACTCCGTCATGCATATCTCACTCTGTATTATAGTTCTACAACTTAGCAAGAAGCAAGAAATAGCCTATGAGGTATATAAAAGCCTGACACTGCATAGATCAAGGCCTCAACTGTGACCTTCAAAAAATCCCTATGCGGTAGATCTCACTCAGTGTCCTCTCTTCCTATTTCACTCAACTCTCTTCTTCACTGTTGCCTCACTGTTCTTGTCGTACTGGAGCACAGACCTTTTAAGTATCTACCTGTCTTATCTATTACTTTTTGCATTTTGCTCCTCAAATAACCACCATGGCTCTTGGCAACAGGAGCGGTCATCACGACCAAGGCCAATCTACTGTGAGCTCTGAACACTCTGACGCGCCTAGACGCGTCCCCCAGGGTCAAAGCCTATCTACCGCGAGTTCTCTTACGGCTCAACAGTTATTCTATCACATCAAGCAAGAGATTCTTCGCACTGACGGTCCAGGCGATCTACAATATGAATCTATCTTCCCCACATCGGCTACCAAGTCGCTAGAAGCCTTTCCTCTGATGGTGACATTGAACGGGAATCCACAACAATATCATACAACCCAACCACTTCCATTCTGTGTGTTACTATGCCGACAATCTTTCATGGATCTGTGATCAGTTGGGCTCACAATCAGATGCTTACAAAGTGTCTGAACGGCTTTTTTACCGTGAACGAAAATCAGGACTTGATTCTTGGTGGAAACAGTCGTAAGTCCCTATAAGATCGCATATTCACATATATATATAATAGACTAATCAAGATCAACAGGTTTCGGCAGCTTCCCGCACCCTTGGCAGTATATTTACAAGGAGCCGGATCTCTACATTAAACAGTTCTGGGCTGCGTTCCCGGCAATCGTTTTTGAGGCTGGATATTCGAAATCATATGAGAAACTTCTTTCTGATAAGGATCTGTGGTTTATTGGCGCTCCTCAAGTCAATGTTGTGGTCCTAATTCAATGGTCAAAAGTCGCTAACAACCGTATCAGAGGTTTCATTGAGCTATGGCGTAGAGCTACTCCAGGTACCCAGAGAATTGTAAGTATTCTATTGCTCTAAGGATTATTTCTTCTCTCTTATATATCTGAACGCCTACTTACCAGATATATTCACAGCAAATCTTTCCGACTCCTGCTCCAGGAACTCAATCACAATCCCTTACGTTTTTCAGGCAAGACTTTTATGTGGGAGGTATAGTGCCTGCGGGGAGGCAACCTCTTGACCCATGTCCATGGGATATAGACGATCTCCGGAGATACGCCAATGAGGCAATTAGAGCCGAGGGGCTTGTGCCCGAGTAAGGAAATCAACAGAAAGCATGGATAGTTGGTACTGAAAATGGTCATATGGCTGGTCCTTCGTGCGTTTTGTCAAGTCTTGTCACTCAATAATAGTGGTTACCTAGTTAGCAAGAAGGTAATGTACAGTAATTTACTCCATAGTTAACATACAGTACATTTGATAATCAGAATAAAGCACCGGAATTCTCATTATCGCTAATACATTCTAGAAATAAAAGGCTTTCGATTGGCTACTCAAGGCTACTAAGCTCTGGTTGCAACGAATGCCTCATACAGAAATGGCGGATCGGACATGGAACGAACGGATATCGTTTTAGCGTAATTTGAATCAGACGCTATAAGTACTCAGTTCGTTATAGAAATGATTTTCAGTATTCTCAAGATCGGATATTATCACGGCACTTCCTCTCAGCATAGTAAGAAATGCGGGTATCTTCTAATAAAGTTATGCGTCCAGTCAGAAGGCAAGAGGCATCGCAAAATGAAAGGAAAATATAACTAAAAGACCAGATAAGCGAAAGACACGAGGAAAGAGAGAGACCTGTAACGAGAGGCAGTGGGGTTAAACAGGGCAAGCTCAGGAACACACCGGAAGTTAAAGATCGAAAATAAAGAAAATAAAGAACCGGAAGATCCCATCGAATGTCAAGCTGGTCGGCCTGATGGCTTCTAGAACCGATAAATGTGGCCATATATGTTCAGACCCTGACCAACCCAAAGCATTCTAAGTGGAAAACAAGATCGCCAACGAATATTCCTCCCCGCAACATGGTTGTGATATAAAAAAAAAAAAATAACAGGATGCAAAGGGACTCGCAAAGCTTCAAGAGTACGCTAAACCCGAAACCTGAAAGCCGTGAGGACATGTAACTTGTCTTCCATCGAAAATTAACCCAATAAAAACAAATTTCTTCGTAGAAAAAAGAAAAAGAAAAAAGCCAAACAAACAAACAAAACGATCTACCCCTCGCCATCTGTTTCTAGAGACTGGGCCCTGGAGAGTTCTCTAGACCTGCTGTGTCGCAGACTGGGGGTAGACGGCACTCTCCGTGCAGTAGTGAGGGGACTGTGGGCACGGTGTGGAGCACGACTGGATTTCTGGTCGTTCTCCTTCCCACTGCTCTCCGTCTCTGTGTCTTCATTGCTATCCTCCCTCTTGATCCGCTCACCCAGTGCTCGAAGAGTAAGATCAAGTTCCTGCTGCAGCTCTCGTGCTGCACGGAGATGGGTCGAGGATCCGTGGAGTTTCTTCCGATAAGCACGCAATGTGCGGCAAACCTGCTCCGTAGACGAATTTAGGCTCCCAAACTCGGAGCTCTTCGTGCGAGCTCGAAGGTCCATGGAGGAGCGACGGAGATCGTGGACGCTCCTATGATGTACATTCATTGTTCTGACTCGTGGGCTTGGTGGAGAGGGAGATCTTCGGTTGATTCCCAGGTGAACCGAAGATGTGGGAGAGCGACGACTGGAAGACGCGGATGATGGTGGCGTCGAGACTTTGTGTCCACATCTTTGACTTGGGGGTGCCAATGAATACCTAGAGGGCCTCCTTGGAATAGCTGGTGGAGACTGGTCACGCACAGGCGTAGGGCTACCAGTTGGGCTATCGAACTTCTGGAGTCCAGCAAGCTCGCCTTTGGAGAGTATCCGACGAAGAGGAGGCTTGGCTGCAGTCAATTCTTTGACAGGAGTCTCCTCTTCCTCCCGCGAACTTCCCTGGCAGGCCTCTTGCTGCTGTACATGGAGACCCCAAATCATCACGATACCGTCAAGACCAGTACTGATCAATGATCTGACAGGCGCGTTTGAGCTATTCGATTGGCTCTCCAGTAGTAGAATACCGGAGACGCCTTCTGTATGTCCAAACTCACGATTGAGAAGCACACCACGCTCGAGGTCATATACTCTAATTGACTTGTCCGTCGTCGACACTCCGAGAAGTAGCTTTGGGCTCTGCCCCGGGATTTCTGCAACTGCAGCTAAGGATCCCATCACGACGGTGTCACCGGTTTCCGGATCTGACGCTCGGAAGGAGTGAATGTGCTTTCCCGTAGGGATTTCGAATCTCTGTATGTGCCTGTCAATCGTGGACAGAATCAATATATCAGGATCATCCGGCGCTAGAGTCATTGACACTGGAGACGCCTTCAAGGTGATAACTTTCGACATGATGAAGGCGAAGGGTAGTGCCCCATTGGATTCCCGAGCCACTTTCTCCCTGATAATGACCGTGCGGTCCGCAGAGCAAGAAAGCAGCCGGTCTCCATCGTTCATAAAAAGCAGCTGTCCAACAGCGCCAACGTGGTCATCCAAAGTCTGGATCAATTCGAGGCCATCCTGTGTTCTATTGAAGAGTTGCACCATGCGATCTCTACCAGAACTGGCAATCAGAGTACTGCGATCCGTATGCACTGCAATATCTGTAATCTCGGCACCGTGAGCGCGCACCTCAGAGATGCATTTCCACTCCTTTGCCGAAATAACTCTGGAAGGATCGTCAGTGGGATATGCTAAATTACATTAGGGATATTATGGCATGTACCTCAAGACTCCGTATCTATCCCCCGACACAAAAAATTCCATGTCTTCCGTCGCCCGCAAGACTTTGAGCTCATTCGGGGCGTCGTCATCATTGCTCGGAAGCTGATCTAGTTCGATCTGTTTAGAGGTCTGACAGCGTCCCTGGGCGTTCCAGAACTTCACAGCCCCACTGCAAGACCAGGTGAAGAAATCAGATTCGTAGGTATTTGGTTGTTTCAGTGATCCAATGCCAAGTACAGCATCTTTATGAGCTGGCAGCGACGTCTCAGCACAATCTTTGTCCTTTTCTCCGTTTAACGCCTCCGTAGGACAGACGTGGATGGCGCGACTTGCATCCACAGTCACGATATGGCTGGTGAGGAATCCCATAGCGACAATGGGGAGTCTCTTTCCCTTCTGTATGGATTGCTCCCTGTCATTGGGAATTGGGGACGGCGGTTTGGATGATACCAACTGTCGTAAATCATTGATTAGGAGTTTCTCCATCTTTCTATATGGCCCACCCAGCCATATGCTTCCCTGTTCGAAGTCCACCGCCATGGAAGTTATACTGAAGTCGACGTATTTAACCAGGGAGAGTTTCTGGGACGATTCACTATCATCGAGTAGACACACCGCACCAGTGTCTGAACACACCACTGTCTCAGTATCAGAGATACTTGCAGCACATGTAAATGTGTTCTCACTCAGTGAGCTCAGCACACAGTTTCGTCCAGACAGTGCTTTCGGGGACACCCCAGGAGAACTGGCGTATGAATCTCCGTTGAATCGAGATTTCGTGGGTGAAGATGGAGTCGTTTCTGGTAGCCTCCACACCTTGATATGTCTTACACCCACCCTGTCGGAGATTTTAGCCACTGTCTTATTTGCCCAAAAGTCAAGTGAACATACGTAATGAGACACTGTCCCATCCAACACATAGCGCGCACAAAAGATGTACACTTGTTAGCGGAGTGTAGTTTAGCAGTCCCATTCTTGAGACTGACAGCCCATACAAAGAGGAAGCCATCGTTGACATCGCCCAGGGTGGCTAAGTATTGAGAGGTAGGGCTGAATGCCAGGCCACGGATCCCATATGAATGATCGGTTATGGCCGTGAGAGGGGTATCTAGAGGCGAATCCTTAGCCGTGGAGAAGATCAAGACTCGAGGATTATAACCGGTCTATACTGTCAGTGTACGATTCATGGTCTCAGCATAGAATGTCGCTCACCTCTCCAACGGCAAGGAAACGTCCATTCGGACTTATGTCCACGCTGGTAACTGCTTTGATTCTCTCTCTCGACGACCACGTGTCGCTCCCGTCCGCCGAGGGAGAAGCTCTGTATGAGCCTACATTTAGACCCAACTTGCTCGCAGGTGTAGATCTCGCTCGAGACTCTGGGGTTGTTGGAGGCGTTTCCTGATTATAGAAAGACGTCACCGGGTTGATCGGTGTCGCCGTCGGACGCGCTCGAAAGAAACGCTGACTGATATTATCCTCGGAATCGACCTCAGCGAGGATCGTCGCCGATCCCGCACACAGTGCGAAAGATTTTGTAGGCTCGTGGCTAGAGAAGCCATTGGGGTTCGTTGTGGTTGTGCCTATGACCGTCTGCAGAGAAAGAGCCGACATGGTTGATGAAAGCTTGTAAGGCGATCGTGGCCCCGGTCGCAAGACTGGAGAATTGGAAGGCGTAATCCTAAGCGACGAACCCTTTCCTGTGACCTTGTTCTTCCCACTCAATGAATTATTTGCCATCCCTCAAGAACCATAGACAGCGGCGGCTGGAGAGTCGATGTGCCCCGATCGCGCTGACCCGATGCGCATTCCAGAATAGAGCTGCATTGGTCGAAAACAACGTGCCCCAGTGTTCCAATTTCACCATCTAGAGGTTCGCTTTCACAGGAATCAATGGAGTGTCAGGATGGCGGGTATCTGCTCACAGCTAATGGTGGTGATCGGAATGTTTTGGTGCGGATGGCGGTGAGTATTGAATAGTAAGAAATGTGCAGTAGAAGCCTAGTACAAATGAGAGATCCACTAGCTTGTACTGCAGTGAAGGAGTGACTGGGAGAGAGAAGAGAAAGAGAAATCGGGTGTCGTGAAGTGGGAGGTGGTGAAAAGTGAAAGCCGCCCTCAGAGCCGTAAACACGGAGCTGAAGCTTCCTGTTAGCATTCCCAAACTCCTGGGCCGCACAAGCGCCGATTAGGGACTAGTTCGATCCAGGCACGAACTCCCCGCACACCACGAGAGAAAAGGAGAACTTCCCCCCTCCATCTGGCAGACTAGTCTAGTTGGATTCATATCTGCTGGTCAGGATAATCTTCCGACAGTTGATTCCGGCTCTCCAAGGCTGACCGCGGCCCCAATGTCCTGCATATCGCAACGCAGTCTGGCATGTCCTGCGGCGTGTGTTCGTCGGGACGATGAACTAACTGATCATCAAGTGGCCCGTCCGTAGTCTTGCTAGTGGGGAGGGTTCTAACTTCTCCAGCTCAAGTTATCGACTCTAAAGTTGGGAACATCTTGAACTGTAAGGAGGAATCCGGTCTTTCCGGGGTATCTGACTGTCTGGCACGCCGCTGACTGTATTACAGTAGTCTTCTTTCTGCGGTTTCTGTGTCAAATACATTCTTCCAGCGAACGGATTCTTCTCTCCTGTGTCTGCGAACCACAGGATGCCCTGGTCTTGAACCCGTGTAGAAGACCCTGGATTGGTGAAACACATCCTCGTCTAGTGTGGTCAGATCACAGTTTTGCATAATGCAGCTGCCGCAAATGATATTGACAGCAAGCGACCCCCTGAAAACCAGCTGCTTGACTTGGTTCATGCATTCGCCAAGATCACAACTGATGTTCTAGTGCTGGGCAGTGCGTGGCTATATGTATGAGTGGATATCCCTGAGCGCTGTGAGACCCGTGTCAATCAAGGCTGATCTTCGTCGCGGGACTCGGATATTTATCATAGTCTCCAGGCAGAACGACCGGGCCCATGTCTTCGAAAAGGAAGAACAAGGACGTGGACTACATATCGTCGTTCACATCTGGGGATATATATCTACGGCCACAACCTCAATTGGGACACGGGCAGCCACGCAGTAAACATTTTCAACGGAAAGATGCGTCTGTATGAATGCCTGCAGAGCTCGTAGCCAACATAGTTACTGCATTGCTCTTCAGTTTAAAGAGTGATTTCTCTGGTGGTAATGATTGTTTTATCTTGAGCCTGTTTTGTTTTACCCTGTTCCACTATTCCACACTAGCTGCAACACCAATCGATCGCACTTTCCAAACAGTTAGATAGCAGCGCACTTCTATATCATAACCTCGTCTCCAGAATTTCAGATGTGGATCTGCTGAAGTTCTTTAACAGTGATGTAAAGGCATAGAAAAATACTAGACACCTGAGGTACCCCATAGTCACACCACGTGATCCAGGCGGTGAAGCGGCCCCCGGTCTTTTCGTCTCCGAAACAGCTCCCAAATTATTATTGATAACGCAAGTCATCTTCCTGACCTACAGGAAACAGACGGATTCTCAATATTAAATTACTCCCAAGATATCATCCGAAATGTCGCGCTCCTGCTCTGCATCATCAAAGCTGGCTCTTTCGACGGTTTTGCAGGGCTTGTTTCGTGCCGAAATCGCCTCCGGTCTGCGACTACAGCCCAGCGTCTTTTACGCCTGCGAAAACCCGTTCTTGCCAAAGTCATATTTCTCCTCGGCCGCTAGACTGGGCTCGAGACGCTATTTAACGTCTTCTTCCTCTCTCCGAATATCGCCGTCAGCAGACAATCAAATAGATTCGCGTCATCCCGACCCTATTCACAGCGATGGACCTGCGGCTGTGAAGAGACAGGAGAACGAGATCGATACGTTGACAAATACCGAGAACGTATCTCTAGAATCTCTTAAAGCATCTCGGGAAACGGGAGAGGTCCCCGATTCGGTCGCTGTGACATCGTCTTCGACTACAGAGGCGAAACAATCGGGCAGAGCAAAAAAGAAGCATACAAAATCGGAGAAGCAGTCGAATACGAAACAGAAAACAGAACTCAATGGAGAAAAGAACCATAAGCTCCCGGAAAAGAAGAAAAAGCGTGAGCCATGGCAGATTTACAAGGAAGCTCTGAAGAACAAATTCAAGGAAGGCTGGGCACCTCCCAAGAAGCTCTCTCCTGACGCCATTGATGGCATCCGCCATCTCCACGCTACAGCCCCGGACAAGTTTACTACTCCAGTTCTAGCGGAACAGTTCAAAATCTCGCCAGAGGCGATCAGACGGATCTTGAAGAGCAAGTGGCGACCTACCGAGGGGGAAATGGATGATCGACGACGGAGATGGCAAAGGCGGCATGATAGGATCTGGAGTCAAATGGCCGAGCTGGGTCTCCGGCCAAAGAAACCAATTGATGAGAATTTGTCGGATGTTGCGAGTTTATACGACCGCAAGGAAGGCAAGAAGCCTATCTAAAAGCGTGCATTGGGAGGCGTCCGGCATTGATTACGATTCGATGGAATGTAAATATCTCAATATAGACATACCTAATCATCGCAATTTTTCTTCTTTTCTTCTTTTCGTGTCCTTTTTTTTTTCTATAGCAGTAAATTCCAACCGACTCGTCAAAGTATATTGTATGTATTGGGACTTCGGCGGTTGTTCTTTTCGGCCACGGGTAGCTTGCCCCGTGCGCCAACCAATTTCCCCGACCCGGCCCAGGCCAGTTTGCGGAGGCACGATCACAGCTGTAATCTAGCTAACCACCGTCTCTTCGGACTATGGATAGAGACACCTATCCTTTCTTTGCACTATAATCCTACCCTCCCCCCCCCCGATTCTCCTGTGATAATGGGTGGCTCCCTTTGACAGCATGCCAAGGTCGCATCACCTCCATCCAACGGCGCTTGACCTGACCTCCTTTCCTTACCGCGGCGCCACAGACTACCTGTCCAGGTCCCGTCTGTCGTCATTCACCCATATGGTGGCATTGCATCGCTCACCATGTCCTCCGACATCCAAGTTTTCGTGAAATGGAAGGAACAAACGATCTTCGCGGGCGAGGATGTGGAATGTATAATCACCTTCAAGAACGTGGCGGAAACTAGCAGTCCCGATGCCAATGGACCGCAACATCCTGTGCATCAGAGAAGGGCCTCTCGCCCCATCACAGCTGGATCTCAACCAGACAGCTATTTCTCGTTGAAATCGCCGCAGAGTTTCTTCTTCAATAATAACAACAACAACCGACGGTCCATCGCTGGCAGTCCCCGCAATAAGGCTTTCGATCGGTCTCATCGCGTCTCTTCCTCGTTGGGCTCACCATTCGGAGCCGCTCATAGCTTTCCTCCCCAGAGTCCTTCTAACCTAGGTCCGGGATCGAATCATAAACACAAGAGATCGATTTCCATTCTATCGATAGACAGTGAAGGTGGAGGGAATGATAAGACTCCGGTGCCGCCACAACTGAATCGTTCCAGGCCAGCGAAAGGTCATGGCCGTTCTGCAAGTCTTCAGATCCTTCCTAGGAGAAATGATGACTATGAAGTGTCTTTTTCATCACCAGGTTTGTCTCTTCGAAGTCCGCAGGCGAATATCATACTTGATGCTGAACCAAGCAGGGCGACGGAATGGCCGAGGATTTCCCTCTGCGGAATCCCCCCTGACTCCTGCGATCGCGAACCTCAAGGTTGACGGAGATCCCCAGCTTAAAATAAGTCGTCCGGGTTCTGCTACAAACAGTCCAGCGACTCCGATCGAGCAAATGCGGAACTCAGCTTCAGCTAGAGGGGCTAATCCTCTACCTACGGATTTCAAATTCCCCCCTCCGCCCTCCTCCAACAATGATGTGACAGTAAGTCACGCTGCCAGAACTCCATCTGTGCCCTCTGTCGACGAGGTCCCTAAATCTGCGAAGCTGCGCAAGCCAGACAATGACCGGCCCAGCTTGCCGCAAAGCCGTCTGGCTCCTGTAACCCGAATCATATCGGATTCGACCATGAATGGGGGCAGTAGAAGCAGCGGAGAGTTCTACTCGCAGAGTAATAACTCGTCTGAAACGATGGGTTCGGAATATACGTCGTATTCATTGAGTCGAGCACGGTCGATTTTCTCGAAACACAGGCGGCATTTTTCTAGTACGGAACACCCTGCCAGGACCAACGGAACTCAGTCGCTGCTAATGGGGTACGCCCAAATTAGCGCTTCTTTCACTGTCGACGGTTCACTCGTGAACCAAGCTGCCTTTGAAGAGGTCAAGCGCAAAGGTGTGGTTGGCGCACAAGGCAGTAACGGCAGGCCCTCTGGTGGTCCCGATAAGTCACGAAAGAGTGGGCTCTGGGGCGCATTGGGATGGTCCGCCATTGAAGATTCTATTAATGGATTGCTCTCAAATGGTGAACTCGATGGTCTCCGGGATATGCGAGGTGTTACTTCTTCGAACTCGATTCCACTACTGTCTACGCCACAGTCGCTTTTGTTTGTGGATCTCCGCCTGGTGCCTGGTGAAGAAAGATCTTTCTCTTTCTCGTTTACGCTTCCTCGTGGGTTACCTGCCAGTCATAAAGGAAAAGCTATCAAGATATCCTATAATTTGGTAATTGGAACCCAAAGGCCGAGCGGACCCAAGCAGGCCCAGCAGGTCAACCGTATAAATATGCCGTTCCGAGTGTTTAGTGGGGTTAACTGTGAGTGAAACCTTTTTCCTCTCTTTGCCATTCTATGCAATTGCTGACGCCCCATAGCTCAAGGAGATGTGCTTGGTCATGACCTTATGGTTCCCTATGTCCTTCTTAAGGACGAAGCCAGAGTACAGAAGCTAGACAGCACCCCTTCATTTCACACGAAAGACAAGAGTATTAGCGGACCGACCTGGAACTCTGCTTCCGAGTTCCTGTCCTATGTTGACGAGATCCTCGAACAAAACAATCGTCGAAATTCTTTCCTTTCCGTGACTACTCCGACTCTCGAGAGACGTCCAAGTCATGAAGTGATACGGAGTCCACCATCTTGCAAAGATGCTATCGACTTTGCTATCCTTCGTAGTAATCAGGTTACGAGTACGAATCGCAGTACAAACCGGTTTGAAATCGCACGGAATGGGAAGCGCATTGCTGTTGTGGTGCTCAACCGCCCGGCACACAGACTTGGCGAAACTGTCATTGCTACCATCGACTTTACGGGTGCTGCTTTACCTTGCTATTCGCTGAGGGGAACCCTGGAAACTTCCGAAAAGGTGGCACCCGCTTTGGCTGTGCGATCAAGTGCAAGCATTAACCGAGCCACGCGCCGTATCTATGCATCCTGTTTCGAGAATACACTCTACTCGACTAGAGTCGTCTTCAGTCCCGCGATTCCAGTCGCTGCTACACCTACGATATTGACAAGTGGCGTGAATCTTGAATGGGAATTGCGCTTTGAATTCGTGACAACTAGTTCCCACGGCGAGAACGACTTAGGAAATTATGGTCCTTCTGGTGCTGGGCTATTGGAGACCATCGGGGAAGATGACAGAGGTGCCGTTTTCTCTTCCCTCGAGAACCTGTCCTGCGAATCATTTGAGATCGCTATACCACTTACCGTTTACGGCGAAACGGTTAGAGAACCGTTACCCGAGGAGCATCAAGGGCATTCGATATGATATCTGTTAATTGCTGCTTCTTCTTGATATGCTAATGATAGCCTCCCTTTTCTTTCCCCTTCCTATTGACGCGCGGTGGGTGGAACGTCCCCCCTGGTTCCACGGCATTATCGGCAGTATGCCCCATATATATTCCTATCTGCACTCGTTGATACCCTTGAAATCAGTCATCCTTTAATGAAAACATGATAGAGGCGATGTGTGGGAGAACTTGTACTATATCACTGGAGAGAGACGTGAGTTATGTCGGGCAAGTGGAAGTCATTTAGTGACTATTCCAAGAAAACTCTCTATTTAGCTGAACTGTTTGTTCGATGATTATACCTATGTTTTTGACGGCAGTTACAATATACAATAGTAGTGAGGCATTCTCCTTCATCAGATCTATGTCCTGGATTGTAATCACGTGACGCGATTGTCACCCGGGCAACGTCTGGCCATCCCGCGATCAGCTAGAGCAATCTGGTTATCTCCCAGGCTGAGCCTCGTATTGCGGAGAAGCGCGATCGCCCGATCCAGGTACATCATCAGTGCGACAAACATCGCTGGTTCATTCTTCATCACCTGTTTTCAGCAGCCTCTCCTCCCTTGTATTTTCTTGCGGTAAGCTCTCCACGTTCACATACCATTACCACAGCATTGCAATGTCCGCAATTCAATGCCGCTGCTCGGGACAACCTTGACTGACGGAGCTGTCCCCGGAATGCAGGCACATCGCAGGATTACGAAAGGCATCGACAGTGCACACGACGCCCCGTACTCCCTAAGACGGTTTATTCAAAAAGGCTGATATCGCTTCGATCCTCTCCCTTGGACTTTGAAATCTGGGATTGATAAACGGTTAATCATGACTTCATTCATCACTACAATGTCCGTTCCCTCCGCTTGTTCTTCATCCCTTCCTGCCCTACCTGTCCCTCCTCAGTGCACGCTCAGCCAGTCGGTGTCGTGCAACACCATAAATACTTCACGTCTACCCCTCTCTGAGCCTCCGTCATATCTCTCGCCAGCAGTGCGGGCTCTCAAGGATGGTCTCAATGCGCTAACACCGCCTAGCAATGCCCGAACGAGGGGTCCGTTCAGGCCGCGCTCTGCGGCTAAGGGAACGAGTAGTTATCAACTGAGGCAGTTTGCAGAAGCGACGCTCGGTAGTGGTAGCTTGCGCAAGGCCGTGAAACTGCCCGAAGGAGAGGACCTGAATGAGTGGTTGGCTGTTAATGGCACGTATATGCTTCGGGCCTGTATGTCACTAGTCGAAGTGCATACTGACGAAATTCTGTGACAGTGGTCGACTTCTACAACCAGATAAACCTTCTATACGGGTCCATCACTGAGTTCTGCTCCCCGCAATCATGTCCCGAAATGAAGGCTACAGACGAGTAGATCCCCCCCTGTCCCCAGCTCCCACTATACGGGGGAAAACAAGCCGCTCATGCATGTTAGGTTCGAATATCTCTGGCAGGATTCGGAGAACTACAAGCGACCTACCAAAATGTCAGCACCGGAATACATCGAACATCTTATGACTTGGGTCCAAGGAAACATTGATAACGAGCAGATGTTCCCAAGCCGAATCGGTATGACCATTGATGAATCCTGATGCCGGGCTCTGTGCTAATCGAGCTGCAATATAGGCGTTCCGTTCCCCAAGACATTCCCCAGTCTGCTGCGGCAAATCTTCAAGAGGCTCTACCGTGTTTACGCACACATCTACTGTCACCATTACCCAGTAGTGGTACACTTGGGACTCGAGCCGCACTTGAACACCAGTTTCAAGCACTACGTCCTCTTCATCAACGAACACAACCTGGCCAGCGGAAAGGACTTCTGGGGCCCCTTGGGCGACTTGGTCGACAGCATGCTGCGCAGTGACTGAATGACTTCAGCGGTCGAATCGACCGTAGTATACCTATCAAAGCATGCAGATGGGAGTCAGGGGATGGACTATAGAGAGTCAAAAAGGGCGAATACGGCGTTTCGGGTTTATTCGTGTTTGTGTAAGGAACGGACGAGTGATGAAATCTAAATTTATGCAGTACTGTATCGTACTTTTTCTTTTAATTCTGTATGCAGGAATCATGCGACGTAACAGGAATAATCTTTCAAAATGCGGACGGCCTGAGCGAATCTGGATATACATTATTTACGATGGGAACTCGACTCGACTTTCCTTCCTCTTCTAAGCATTCAGCATTGCTTGCCCACGGATCGCTCACTGAGTGGGTTCTTCGCGGACTTACTTCCAGGAGGTCATCGAACGACTTGGATATGGAATGAATATCATCGAAACAAGCGTAATTTTTATATCTAGGTCAGATACCAACCCTACCAGAAACCTAAATCTCTAGCGGAGAGCTTCCTTCCGCATGCTTGACTGTACTCCCGACTGATACCAACAGTATTCGAAAAGAGAACTTGCCTTCCACGATATTCTTAACGAGTACTTGAAAGCTTACAACTAGTCGTAGGTATGTATGAAAAGGGAACGGAACAAAAATGATAACAAGCCAGCTTGCAGTAAAGTTGGTTTCAATACGGTACATATAAGCGTTGATATGATCTCGATGCATTCATTAGGAGATTATCCTTAGTGCCTTCTTTAATCGTAGTGGTCGTAGTTCAAGACAGAAAGTCCCCAATGGTAATAGTATTGTGAGCTTTAGAAGAATTCACTACATTCGGACATTCGTTAGATGTATAGCTCAATTCGCTTACAGTTTCAAATAGCATACTGGACCTAATCACTCGGTGCACGGTCTCACCTGATGCACGACCTTTGCTAAGGCATTTGAAACTTTAAAACGCGAATATCTCAACGCACTTTTGACGGAGAGCAGCGAATTAATCTTAATCTGATGCTCACTAACTGCAACATTTATTGCTGACCTTTCAGAATTCCCATTTCTCCGGGAGATCACGCCACTCCCCATTTTCGCGAGGCCGAGCCAGCCCGTATGCGACATATAAGTTGTCTGACCATTGAAGTTTACCAACGCTTGGCCATACTCCTCGAAAACCCGAAATGCGACTGAATCCATTAGTAAATAGTCCAAAAATATATAGAATCCTTGACGTACACATTGCCAGTGGACTTATCATATATGATCTTCGAGGTACGCGACGACTGTGGTTTTACACCGCAACGCAGCATCTCTCTGTTAATCGTATTAGCGTTTTGTCTGTCTGCTATCTTGGGTTTGCGTAAACTGACTCAAAGGCAACACGAAACTTGGCGCGAATATCTTGTCGTACAAGGGGATCCAAGCTCCAGAAATATTCCTGTGTAAGAGGCTCCCCAGGCACCTTTTCCCATACGAGGTATTCGACAAAGCCACCAGGGACGAGCTCATGTTCCTCTTGTGTTCTTCTGCAATAACCAAGGAAACGTGGAACAGAGCTACAGCCGTGACGCATCAGTAGCCTAAACGCCTCTAGTTCACCACGCGGTTGAGGAGGTTTGACTTGTTGGGCTAGTGTAGCCAGATCAGCGTCCTCCGTGCCAGTATAAGGAATCTGATAATATATTCGCATGAAGGCTATCTGCGTCGGGTCCTCCTCTAGGTGGCACAGAAATTTGCCAACAGTCATAGGAGACCCGACGACTCTGTCGATATCTTCCTGTGAGAGATAAGCAGCTCTCTCCCCGAGCTTTTCCGTGATAATCCACGATCGGGAGACCGCTGAGGGAGCAGACGGCCGTTGCGGGTCGAGGTCATCAAAAGTAGTGACCTTTGTCCCTACGAGGCGGCGGAGGAATCGGGCATCGAAGTCAGTCGGTCGTGAACGAAATGTCATGATAATGCTTGTGAGCAGATACCTCTAGCGATATATAGACGAAGGTAGAACAGGGCAGCTTAAAATATGGGCAGTTTCAGCCAATAAGTTGAACTTAAGTAGGAGGATGCAGAAGGGAAAATAAAGAACAATAAATAATTATATATGCCAATTCCACGCGAAGCGCTAAACTCTAGAATCTAGTGTTAGACAGAAAGTTCCCATGGTAATAATTGCCATTATATACCTTATTTTTAGCTTTAGCGATAACCACGTGAGCTTCAATAGATTTTATCAGGTTCGGCTATACTGCACTTCTGTTAATATATATTCGCCAAGCGGGATGTTTGTGATTGTGCCTGTAAAGACTTGTATGCTCCCAATACGCACGTTCCCAGCTCTCCGATGAATTTCTTAGATAATACAGAGCATTGTGGCTCTGTTAAGCCTATTTTATATCTCTGCGTAATCAGGGTATTAAAAATATTTTGCCTCTGCTGTAAATGTGGGTGCTATAAGTTTTAAGAAATAAATAATATAATAAAAAATTATCTTTAATAAGTGAGCTATATTAAAAGTAGGCTATTTCCTATATAGAAGTATTAATTATAATATCTAGTTTAGGGGCCAGAAGTTGTTCCAGAGGGTTCGCTATTGACCATTTAGCATTAAGCACTATACGTGCGCTCTCTCAAGGCTCAAAGACTGAGGAGAGGACGAAGAAGGGGTATATGTGAGCAGCCTCAATGTAATCACCCCCCCGAGTAACAAGGCAGGAGTGTTTATCCCTCCTTTTACACTGTCTCTGTTAGTAATGTACTAAGGACTGCATATGCGGCTTGCAACTCACATTCTCCGCGATGGCAATTGAACGAAGGTAATCTTTCGGCTCACGACAATTGACTCCTAGGGCTATAAGGTATAACGGGGGGTGGTGGGATTTTTAATAGGCTTTCGGATCTTTAATTTTGATAATAGAACTTCTGCCTCTAGGAGGCAAGGCTATTAAAGATTTAATATCTTTAATTGCTCGCCCGTCGCTTTTAGTATGGCGTGGAATTTTCGAAGGAATTAGTGAGTTCAGGGTATCAGTTGTAGACTTGCGCTTTTGATTCTTATCTTTAATGCGTTGGCGGGTAGTCCTTAATAAGATAATACCTGTTAGATCAACTGCTTCCCAATGGGGGTTTTATGAACTCACAAATCTTCAGGGCCCTCGTCCGACTTTTGTTTACGCAAATATTATACCTGCTAGATTTCGGCCCTGCGATGAGCCATTTTGTGTAGGCCTCGAGTTTGATTAGAGGTATAAAGTAATCAACTTATAACAGATTCGCGTATAGTAGGTTCTCCGTCTTATATAATGTCACGCATGGCCGCGCGTATTGATGACCACATTCTGTCTCAATTTTGAAGGGATAAATCCCTCTATAATCATGTTTATTAATAGAAGTTGCTGCACAAAGATTATAGTCGTACTATAGATTAGTCGCGCTATCCGTCGTATAGTAAGTATGTGTGTGATTCCTGATTATAAAATAGGACGCGGTCAGGAGTGTTCGCTTCAAGGGATTTTCCAATTGCCGAAATGTGAAGAATAACTTCTGGCATATATAGTTTGAGATCAGCACCTAGATGCGAGTTCAAGTATGGACCTAATACTTTCAGAGCCTCTTCCAAAGTCTCGACAGACAAGGAGGTACTCATGATGGTTGTTTCGACAGGTTTCAAAAGAGACGAAAAAACTGAGGGAGAAGACATTTCGGTGACATGTATGTTAGAAACTATTATGGGAAACTGCCACTGTTAACCAGGAAGGTAAGGGAAACTTAATACGAAGCGAGTAGTTGCATTATGTCGACGTAGATAGAACGAAACTTCACCAGCAGAGGGAGACAGGAAGGGGAACAGCGGGGATAGACAGATGTGCAGGAGAAAAAGAATGAATAAGAAGCGCATTCAATAGTGGCGTGGAAGTGAATTGAAAAGTGGTATGGAACGATCACAAAGGCCCATCACAGGCAGGCAGACGGAAGGATTTGGAAACCAGCCAATCGATTTAGAGTCCCCTGAAGAGATAACAGCCCATAAATGTCGGTGTTTTCGACCATGGAGAAGTTGCATGATGGTGCCTCGGTTCCCTCCAGTGGTGGTTAATATCGATTGCAGCAGCATATAGTCCGGGGCACACTACCCCTAGAGATTCATCATGTTCTAAAGACTTATTTCTACGAGATTTTCCTGTGCATGATCGACTAATATCCTCATCCACTGAAAATGATTTTGTTTCAGTGGCCATTTCATTTCACCTGGCAATGCAATAGTATTCGTACATCATGTATTGGCAACCGCGAGGGGGTCTTAGCATCATAGAGCACGCGCTCTGCTTGTTTAAACCTCTTGATCCAATGTCGTGAAGAATTATTCCAGACTCCGAGACCAAACAGGATGCAGGGCCCAGCCCGGGAGTCAAATATCCTTAGAGGTCTGGTCCTAGATCTGACATCCTATAACGGGCGGGCAAATCCCTTCTGAACTGTTCTAGGATCGATAATAAAGTCGCATACCTTTTGAATGGCTCCTCAAAGTCCTTTTTCTCTTCTGTTACAAATCCTGGTTGCTATCGCGGAAAGGCAGAAATCCGAATGCAGTCTTTCAGTCATCGTTGAACAGGTTGCGAGCTACGCGGGAATAAGGCCCATGGCCTGTATTTTCTCCCTCGCTAGCATTCGCAACCTGTTCAAAGACAACAGAAAATATGCGTTCGGATTCTTACCTGGCGATAGGTGCGGTCCGAAAAGCTCATCTAACGTTATAGGTATATCTCGTTGAACAGCAGGAGTGGGTACCGGAAATAGCTGCTATAGATTATCAGAAATCTTCATTAGTAAAACATTGAAGTCCAATAACCAAGATAAAAGAAAACAACATACTTCGTGGTGAAGGAGAATTGCGGCGCCAGCAGGGTTTCTATGGAAGACTTCGATCATGCCCGTGACACTGCCGTTTGAAGTTTTCGTCCACTTCAGGAGAATGACATATCTTACGTCCACCCCACCGGAGAACCACAAGGTCCTATCTGACTGCAGATGCGGCCAGCTCTCTGACCAACCGCTCTCAACGATAACGCGAGGTAAAAGCCCTCTTGTATCAGGTTGGAGATAAAGATCCGGCTCCTTGCTTGAGCCTGCATACGCCCCAGAAAACCCGGTAAACGCTAGTTATATAAGTATTAGCAAGACGTAGTTAGAATATAAGTTCTGATTATAATAATTGTACTGACTGGTCGCAACATTGAGCTCTAGATACTCAAACTCGTCAAATGTAAGAAACTGAGCCATTACCATACGAAACAGCTCGTTCTTCATCCACTGTAGGTAGACGTTATGTATTGGAGTAGGCATTATATGAACACGCAAAACGCCTCTAGCTGAATTGAACTGGATTCTAAGAAATAGTAAATTTATTAATGAGGAATACTCGCATAATAGTTAATTTAAAGTAGAATGCAGACTTACCTTGGAAATGCTCGCTCGACAAGGGGTTCGTCGGCGAGAGAATCTGCGACCAGAGAACCAATCTCACGTGGAATGTTTTCGTAGATTAGTTCTTTGCTGTCTCTGGCATTGATAATAGCATCATAGATCTCAAGAAACAGTCTCTGTGCAGTTAAAGGTGGTGCAGAAGGTGGGGTGTTGCTCCTGAGATTGTGGGCAGGAGTGATAGTAGGCTCGCAACGTGGGGCTGGAGGTGAAGCAGAAAGTGAATCAGAAGGTAAGGTATTACTTCTGAGATTGTAACCACGACTGCGAGTAGGCTCGCGATGTGGTGACCTATTCTGATCCATCGTGAAAACCAGGCAGGCCAAAGGATGTGTGAAGCCAAGTTGAGGCTAATCAGACTTGAGAATGGGGATAGTTTAGACAAGGAAAAGATTAGGAATCAAGGTGAGATTTTGTCTTTTATATGTAAAGAGAAAAGTGAAATGAGTTGGAGAAGTTTAGTGCAGGACTGAGCCGGGTATGTCCAGGAAACATGTTGGTACTTTGCCTATTTAGACTCCTGATGGCAGATGACCTAATTCAGGCTCAGCATGACTGGTAGTTAACTCCAACCATCCCCGGTTCTACCCAACATGTATCTGAAAATTTTGAGACGAGTCACTAGAATAAATAATTGTGTGGCGTGGGTGGTGAGTAGTAAGAATTGATTCTAGATCACGAAAAGACAATTCATCATTGACAGAACCGATTACGTTCTGGTCCATCCCAGAAATGAGAATAACAAGACCTTACGCATCCATCCCCAGTTGCTTTCTAAGCGAAACATCCACAGCCTTCACTAATGCATACACCATCTCCAAAGTGGACACATCTAGACCCAGGCCTCCTCGCACTTAGTGTAGCAGATATCTTTCAAGCCCGCGAGCTCGATCTCATGAGCGAGAAAAAACAGTTTTGTATGCGTTAGGATAGGCGCACTGATGATTCCCCGCTCTAGAAGAATAGTTTATCAGTGAGATACGCGAAGACAATGGCCGGTGGTTGGCATTATGTTACTTATGGTGAAATGAGATAAGACTCTCGAATAGTTTCCAGTGTAAATGTATTCTAGCATCATGGAGACTATCCAGGTATCTTTGTGCGCTTCAAAGGCTATATCCCTTTCGGTTGAAAACTGGGTTGGCAGAGACTGGGGCAACGTATTTGAAATACGAGCGAGTGAGTGACCAGGGAACGGGATCATCTGTTTGCCGATATGTAGTTTCACATCAGAATGGTCTGAAGAGTACAAAAGTCTGCAGGTATATTCCTGTGAGTTAAATGACTTGAACAGGGTTAAGTTTTGTAGACCTTTTGAATCGATCCCAAAAGTCACCTTGGCTTCCCCCATCTTCGGAAGTCTCCTTTTTGACACAAGAACCAACGTCAAGACGACGCTTCTTTTCGGCTGGAGAGTCTTTTGGCATGATGGTCCACGAGTGAGTTGCTGCAGAGATGGAGGTGGATGAAGTCGGTGAGTTGGTGAGAGGTTTACAGGTGTCCCCTACCAGATCATTAAAAGAGTATAGGAGTGTTGGTTGGAAAGCCCAACAGACATAGAAGAGCAGACCGGTAACAGAGTGCTACTACTGCAAGATGTAAAATCAGGGCAACTGATTGGGCCCGGACGCTCCGTGCCCCGAGGGTCACGGTAGCGAGGAAAAGTAGAGGATAGAACACCCAGGGGTTCACCGCCAGAGGGGAACATGGTTGGAAAGCAGCAATGATTTTGACGAGGAAGAATGATACCTGAAGTAATGGTAAGGTGACATGACGGTAAGAGAAATATCTCAGGTAGAAAGTAATCGTTTGGAGAGAAAATCGAGTTGGCGGCGGCGGTAGTAATGGTGGTCGGTGGATGTGGTGAGAACCATAATGATCGTCCTGCTCGGGGCTCCCAAACGGGGATAGAGAAGGTGACGGAGAATACCGGGGACGGAGTATAAGGTGTCCCTCGGGGCTTCCCGAGAGACGACGATCAGTCTCCGGAGTCTGACTGGTCGCGCCTTTCCTCGATTCATACAATGGGCTCTGACGCATGCCAACATCAGCTTCAACGGCAGTCCTCCTTGACGGTGACTGTGTAAGTCGGGCATCAGATTCAGGTGCCGGGCTATCAACCGGCTGAATGCGAGAGCTGGAACGGAAATCGGGACTGGCAGAGCTTGCTCTCGCAAAGCGACGGTTTTCATTGCCATTCACGCCAGCTTGGATGCCAGTCAATACTTCATCTGCAGTAGGCCGTCTGGCAGGGTCGACAGATAGCAATCGCCTGAGGAAAGTGTATAGTTTCTCAGGAAGATCCGCTCGTATTCTACGCTCATCATCAAACCCACCCCATTGACTGATTTCCGCACGGAGCTGGTCAAGATCCTCCTTTTCTTCGTTGATGATGTCAGCATTACGGTAAGGCAGCTGAGCGAAGCAGAGGAAGTAAAGGATCATGCCCAGAGAGAAGACGTCGGACTTGAATGTGAAGTTTCCGAATGGTCCTCCTGGATACTCCTGGCGCAGGACTTCTGGTGCACAGTACGACACCGTGCCTGTTGCGCCAGTAGATCTGCGAGCGGTATTCTCAGACTGGACCTCACCGAAATCGCTTACAAGTACCCGCAGTTCATCTCCGGTCTTATGCAGCAGACAGTTGCTAGGCTTCAGATCACGATGGATGTAGCCGTTAGCATGAAGGAAACGCAGACCGGAAGTGATGTCCTTGAAGAAGGAGTATATCTCCTCAAAGTGAAGCTTCCTCGGACGTGAGAGATCCGATGGTGGTTCGGGTTGCCCTTTCGAGCGTCTCCTCAGACGTTCCTTCAACTGCTGTGCAGTGCTCGGACGCTCTGCGGAACCGTAGATATACTTGTGCAGGTCTCCTGCATTGCAGTATTGCTGAAGAATGAAGGCACACGGCACACTTGGCCCAAACGTAGTGAGCTTGACGTCTTCAAGCCAGACATGACGATAGGAGACCAAGTTCTGATGGGAGAGATGCTGTAACAACTGCACTTCGGCTAGGACCTTCTCTAGCCACTCGTGATCATCTCCAACAGGAACACGCTTGCAGGCATAATGACCGAGTGAGACTCCATCCAGCACATGCTTAACTAGCAGAACCACGCCTTTGCCACCCCTCCCAAGTTCAGTCTCCTCCACGAAGAAATTCTTGAAGTAATTCTGGGAAAAAGCTGCGGCAGATATCCCTTGTGGCCCGGGGGTGCGTCCACCATCCGAACTTCCAGTCGTCGGTCCATCAGCGAGGACCGGTTGAACGAGCCGTCGACGCGGAGACGGCGGACCTGGCGTATCTGTCGAGTTGGGAAGGCTATTATGAAGCAAGCGGAAGTAGTCCGGATTGACGAATTCTGCCTGGCTAGAGGTTGAGCCATGGCGTCCTTGGCGGCCAGCTTCTCCATCTCGCATGGGACGATGACAGTATGGGCAGTCGATCAATTCGATGTCGTTGTCATTGTGACTGTTGCTGTCTCTTCGGATGACCAGCTGCCGGGATTCACGGTCGAGGACGACAACGGAGTCATTATGTCGCCTGTTGAGAACAGATGCACATTAGATTCAAATTCTCTGATCACACACACACACACACATTCCTATCTCCTCGACAAGGTGTAGAATCTTACAGTACGACGTCACGGTTGGAGGCGTGATAGGGTATTATCGACATGCCATCTTGCGCCATTATGGAGGCAATAGTCGGGCATTCCGGACGATGCTAGACATCAAGGGTAGTGGTCGCATGGCCATCAAGAGAAGAAATGAAGAAATACCACTGATCCTACAAGCAAGGACAGGGATTCTCCCCGTATGCCTGGGGCAACGTCGTGGTTAAGCTGGCAGTGGAGTGAGGCGGCAAACAGGCCCCACGTGAGCTCTGCCTCTTGCGGAGCAAAACAAGCCAACACAGCTTGCTAAATGTTGTCAACACGCGACGCTACACAATCCACATCTACAAATGAACAATTCGGGTTTCAAAATAGAGAGTATTTCTATTGCCATTGCTAATGTCTCACAGGACAGTGGGGTATCTAAGATGCGTGATCGCCAGAGGATCTAGGGTGGCTACCCCGGCTGTGCTGGGGTGTAGCCGGATCCTTCTAGGAGGCTGGAGGCGCGGGTGGATGAGCTGGATTGGCTCTAAATGCTGCAGTTGCCCGTCAAGCTCAAGCTAGTGATTGCCGCAAACTGCTGCAGGCTCAGCTGCAGATGGGACCTGCGGTGAACAAGTCGCCAGCGTGGCATGGCTTGCTTGTCTTCTCATGACGTGAACAGCTCCTGTTCGGCGAGCGGCTTGAATGGACACGCGGGGGATCGAGAGGGTCTGTCCCTCGTCCTTAAAAGGCTGGATCCTCTGCTTCTTTCTTGCAGATAGATGAAGCGGAAATGAAGTCCAGACCAGGTCATTCAGTCATTGTCCTGCGAGTCTCCCTCGTCTTCAGACGTCTCGTACTGGATGTCCTCCTCGTCGTCGGAGCCAGCAGCATCTCCGTCTTCAAACCCTTCGAATTCATCTTCACCTGCATCTGATTCTGCGTTGGCTGACTGCTCCTTCTCCTCAGGCTGCTTCTCCGAAACGGCATCATCCCGCTTCCGTTTCCGCGCCATCTCACCTAGCCTGCCTTCTCTGCCCTCCAGCTTGGAGTCTGTACTTCCATCAGCCTTTGGCGGCGGGGTGTACCAAGGGATCTTTCCCCGGAGGAAGTCATTGATAACCCTAGTACAAAGTTAGATATGGCTGGGGATTTAGGAGAGAGAAAGGAACGTACATCTTGGCAACACCGTCTACATCGGGCTCACCACCGCGAAGCAATCTGCCTCCCTTGCGAGCAAGAATACTCAAAAACTCCGTCGCATCAGCGTAGTTTTTAATTTCGTAAGTACGCTCAATGTGTCGGGGCTGGCACCGCCGCAGAACTCCTGGGATGTACTGTTCAGGGTTTTCGACATTCTCCACTCGAACGACACCGCGCAAAAGAATATCTTCTTCGGTGTCGTTGTTGCTCGGAGGAACAACTCCAGGACAGTCGATCAGGTAGATCCTCTTCATCAGAGTGATGTATTGCCACACCTTAGTTTCACCGGGGATCGGTGCTACCGTACACACCTTCTTCTTGCGAAGGGTGTTGATGATAGAAGACTTTCCGGTGTTGGGGTAACCGATGAAGCCGACTGAGATCTGCTTACGATCGGAGTGGAGAGACGAAAATTGCCTTAGCAGCTGGATCAAGGAACCCTTGCCAAAGGAGTTGTTGATCGAGGCGTGGAATGCAAGAGTAGGATGTTCCTTCGAGAGGTGACGAACCCAAGAAGCCTGGGAGCATCAGTTAGCAACCCGTAACAAGTAATGATTGGGTTCGTAGAATGTGTGGGATGTTACTAAGAGAACTGCTATGAAGCCACCGGACAGCAGAAGCAGCCCTCAACTCAAACAAAGCACGACATGGCCCTTTGTGACCGGCCCTCAAAACGAGGGCCGGTCTACCTGAGTTCAGAAAGAAGCCAGGCGGCGGGCCAGTGTTGATCTACCAAAGCTGTAACAGACAAAACTTCCATAGAGAGGCGGCAAAGGAATTGCACGGAAGAAGCCTTGACTTAGCAATGGAACGTGTCTGTAGGACACGGAAAGGCACGGGAAAGGGCAGAGTAGAATAAGAGAAAAAAGAAAAAAAAAAAAAAAAAAAAAAGGATAGACGGGAATGATCAAACTTACAGCCACACTTGTCGGGACAAGATCACACTTGTTGAGCACAAAAACCAGGTGCTTGTGGGGAGCTTCCTCGCGGATGTACTTCTCAATACTCCTGCAACGGGTGCCCTCAGGGTCACGAGCATCCACGACATGGATAACCACGTCAGAAGAATCGATGACCTTGTAAAGCTCGTTCCAGATACGCTTACTCTGACCCTTGGAGAAGACCGGTTCACGTGCCAGCGTGAGGTTTCCATCCTCGTCGGCATCCCCCCCAGCTGCGCCAGAGTTGCCGCTGAGCAGCTTCGCCTGGTCCAACCTGTCAAGATAATCATCGTGCATCTTGACAGACTCGCCAGCAAGGTCTTCAATGGAGCCGACGCCCAGCTTGACTCTTTTCCTCTGTGCCTTCGGCCCAAAAGTGTCGCTGAAAGGCGCAGCCTCGACAGCAATCTTGGCCTGGTGTTGTTTCAACCCATTGGGCTGACCGTCTCTGATCAGACTCATGGGGAGCTTGTTCGTCTTCAGTAGAACCTGGTATGGGTCGGAAGCCCGCTCGGCAACCGCCTCTCGGAAGGAAGCCAAAGCCTCCTGGGAGATGACACGAGTATTCCCGAACCATTTACGGTTCGGTTCAATACGAGCAACGGGGGCTTCTCTCGACTGGTAGGAAGCAGCCTTTGTGATCTTTCCCTCAGCATTTCTCTGCGCCTTGCCATCCTTGAACATGTTCAAGGTCTTGATCTTCTTCGCATCTCTAAACAACACGATTAGCTTGCCATCAGGACTGGAACAGAGGAAGGCAGGGCTCACCTGTAGAAATTCTCCCCCTTGGTCCTGACATTGCTCATGCCATCGTTATTCTTGCCCTGCCGCTCGCGGCGGGTGGCTTCCTTCTTTCCGGTACCCATTTTGACTTCTACTTAGGATCCTAACCGACAGAATCAAAGCTAGGTTCTTCTAAGATAGAAGGAGGCCGAAAAGCTGTTGCGGAATTTGCGCCTAGTAGGGAAAGAAGGAAAAAAAGATTGGAGTTGAAAAAGCGGGAAGAAAATATTATTTTCCTAGTGGGCTAGGCCAACAGCCGCCAAGCGTCGGTGGTGCACGGGCCAGGCAGGAAAATCGCTTCAACTTCTGGTCTCCGGACTTGCGCTGAAGCAGACGGAGAACGTCGAGTGCACGTCGGGGCACTTCCTACGTGGACTGATTGTACTATCTGACGGGAGAGAGGGTTGGATTTTACTCTCTGCTTCCCTCCATTTCTTTATTTCTTTCCGTTATCTTCTCTCCCCATGCCGGCCACGATGGCCTTGTTTCGGAGCTCTCGCACCCTCACAACACAGGTCCGCGGATTCGCATCTTCCTCGTGCCTGAGGGTTGGACCGGAATCCCCAAATTTCATCGAAGTGCCGCGAACCATCCAGCCAGATCTCCCCTCAAAGCCTCAGGTGAAGGGTACCCTTCCCGTGCCCCGAGAGATCTTCCCGGCCCGTCGCGTGGATAAGCCAACAGAGGCGTACATCAACGATGCGACTCCCTTGCCTTCGAGAGAATTGAACGTCTCGCCCGATGACCCTCATGTCGAGTACAATGTCTGGAAACGGAAGATGGCAGAGGCCAGGCGAAAGAATCTACGACAGGGTCTGCTGGAATTGCACCGCCGGAAACAGAGAACAGATCGATTGATGGAGAAGCGAAGCCGCGACAAGCAAGTGCAGAGAGAACGAATCCTGTCACAGCCGGAGCGCGAAGATGAGCGTCTGACGCGGCCATCCATTGTCCAGGCGATGCAGCCTGTACGGACACCGATCCTGCCTGATCCGGACCGTGAGGCCCGTCTGGCCAGATCTCGGGCGCTGCTGGAGATCAAGGAGGCTGAGAAGAAGGCCGAGAGACAGGACTACGTCCACTCGCTGTATATGAATGCACGGAAATTCATCACTACGGAAGCCCAGCTCGCCGCTGAGATCGAGCGGGTGTTCCCCGAGGGCGAGAACGACGCATGGCGCAACGATCACCAGCCAGGCGAGAATATCTGGAACCTGGGTGTACCCCCTACCATCCAGTCGAGCGTCAACGATGCGAAGAAGAGCGAGGCTGCTCGGTGGGACGTTATCCAAGGCCGTGTCAAGAAGCTGGGAGAACAGATTACGGGTGGAAAGCTGTGAGGATGATTCTTGGGAGCCCCTTGTACATTACTCCAATTTTTGCAGTCTCTTCACGATAGTTAGACGGAGAATTAGAGATATCCCCTTTTCTCAAAACAATCAATCTTTCCCTGCGCAAACCATCCGTTAAAGCTTTTTGTGTCACGTGGCTGGTTTTAACCAATAGGACCATACAATGCATGCATAGAAATTGCCTCTACCATTACCAGTACTTAGTGTTCGTTCGGCCCCTCTAGACCTGATTGCGGTGTGGAAAAGCTCTGGATGGCCATTGTAGTCTGATCCGAGAACCATCAGCTGGACTCTTCATCATCCGATGTCATTGGTGCCGGCAGGGTCTAACACGAGATGCTTCTAACTAAGGAACAGATTGACCTGAAAAGTTGGGATCAGTCTAAACTCCACCTCGGTAAAGTATTGTGATTCGAGGATCTGGCAGGAGGACAGGCCATTCTCGGTGATTGCAAAGATACGTAAGTGGCCGCATGATGCTGGATTTCAATGAATAATGGAATTCGACAGCATGCCGCTGGTAGGTTCAACAACCTCGAACAAGTTTTGAGTAGTGATTACTCAATTCTCATTCTTAGTTAATTAACCGGTGATCGATCCAGAGACCGCGGGATATGATTGTACCATACAGAGGGGTCGGACAATCTGTACTTCCACCCATCATAGGAAGTATCCAAACATAGAGCAAACCTTCGTTGTTGCCTGAATTGTTCTTATACGAGGGATCCTGTGTCCGAGAGCTTCCGATCTTGCCCTTTGCCCTTCAATTTGTCCATTGTACTCGTGTTTAGCCTGTGGCAAACACGATCCTGTCAAGGGCGACAGCAACCGAGACCTCATCGATCTTCACCCTAATCAGCTTCAGCTCGCTCCGTCTTGCACAGGGTCCCAAGGTTCGCACGCGAAAGAGTACTCTCTATGGTAGTTTTTTGAGGCAGGGTAATGAGGGCTGCGCAGAGAGATGCGAAATTGGAGGGTAGATCGAGTACCATACTCAACAGCCAGCAGCAAAACCATCCATAATTAATTAATTGATTCCACCTGCGGAGAAGGTTACGCGTGCAAAACACCTCATTGACCTGTTGTTGAACTGGTTAGAGAAGAGCCGATTAATTTGCCATGGCGTCATAAACGGGTGAAGCGCGGCTCTCCTGATCCGCCCGCGCGCTAAGAATAGTAAGTAAGTAAGTAAGTAAGCGGTTGTTCTTCAACTCAATCGTCACGATAGTCGATACCAAATCCACTGCTCGACGATCTTGACAGCATCGTGTCGTCTAGCGGAAGCTTGAGTGGCCGTCACTGTGCCATCGACAATGACTGATGCCAAGAATAGTTAACCAGCATCTCGATCTCGATTGCTGACTACATGATGCTATCGCTCGACCCCTCGGTCCCCGGGCTGAAAATAGCAACGTATGAGAGCAGAACGTGGGAAATTATGCAGAAGAAACGAACCAGGGCGTTCCCTTCACGGTCCTCCGTCTGACCGGAACAGTCAGTCCCGGTTCCTGGACATCCGGTTGTCTGGAGTATCTCTGGCTCGTTCCGAATTGCTCTCGAGAACTCGACGAAAGGAACAGTTGGCAATTCGTCAGTCAACCACAGTGACAGGTGGTTTGTCCAAGGTCCATGGAGCCCCAGAGCGAACTCCAACATTCCGATGGAGCAAGACTCAACTAACGCACGATCGACTCGTGGATTCCCCAAGGTCTTGTTGAGCACAAACCTTGAGATCACATCCAGAACTTGCTGTCTTTTTGGTCGATCAACTCGACTGTTCCACGCCGTGGGTCAGTTCTACAGCCCTACCCCACCACAGCATTCAAGCAATTCATCCTATTGCTTCAGATGACGCTTCTACTACCCATCCCCTTCCAATTCGAGTCCGGTTTGCTCGGAAAGGTAGATGTGGTTGAAATGTTCAGGCTCCACGTCCCTTGTCAGGTTCCTGGGCATAATGACGGTCCACTCAGACTTCTCTTTGGGATGGCTTTGGTTGTCTCCATTAAGATCGCTTGACACAGATTGTTTTTATTATTATTATGCCAATGTGGAAACCTCCGTCTCTTGAATTGCTTGGATATTGGATATCTTCTCATGACGTCTACCTACCCACATTAGGTTATAAAGGTAAGGGTACAACCCCTCGAATCTGCCTTCTACTACCATCAGACAACAGAGTCCCAAAAAGCAGAAAAGCAAAAAGCTGAGGAGACCGGTGCCAGAACCCCACTGCCTCACATTCTTTCGTGTTCCAACTTAGCTCAGTCTGTCGCTTTCTGTGCATCCTGCCACAATGATGAAGAACCTCGCTGTCGCAGCGGCCTTCGCTGCCGGAGCGAATGCTCTCGTTCCCCGAAGCAACACTTGCTGCTTTGGACTGACCGCTTCTGGCTCTGCATCTGGCACAATTGGCCAGCTTTCTGACGGACAGAACCGCATCGGTGGCGGCCTGCCTGCTGCTCAGTACTGCATCGACTCCTCCGGTGGTATCACTGACAGCAACGGACGCGGCTGCATCCTGACTCGTAAGTGACTGTCGAGCTTTATTGAATCTTTCCTAGCAGGTTCTGACTCTTTTACAGCCCCTACTACTCAGTTCCAGTGCGATTCCGGCGCCAAGCCGACCACTGGATTCTCCATCAGCTCATCTGGCACTGTCGAGTACAACGGCAGCTCCCAGTTTTACGCTTGCGAAACCGGTGACAACGGAGAACTGAACATCTACTACACCACCAGCGATGCCGAGACTGGATGCAAACCCGTCACTTTGCACGCAGACTCCTGCAAGTCTGGAGGAGGCTCTTCGTCCGCCGCTCCGGCGCCGGCCAGCAGCGTTGCTCCTCAGCCATCCAGTGCTGCTCCAGAGTCGACTTCGGCTGCTACTCCTGCGCCTGCTCCAGAGTCTAGCGCGGCGGCCTCTCCTGCTCCGGCCTCTCCTGCTCCAGCTCCTGAATCCAGTGCCGCGGCATCTCCTGCTCCGGAGTCTAGTGCACCAGCATCTCCCGCCCCGGCTCCTGAGTCTAGCGCCGCGGCGTCTCCGGCTCCGAAGCCAAGTGAATCTGCTGCTCCTGCTCCCGCTCCCGCTCCGGAGTCGAGCGTCTCGCCTTCTGCCAGCACTCCTGCTCCCCAGCCTTCCTCCAGCTCTGGAGGATGTGGCACTACCCTCCAGAAGGGCAACTACGAGTTCCCTCACTTGATCATCCCTATTGACTCTTCCGCTCCAAGCAAGGCTCCTGGCACCTCGTACAATGGCACCGTCACTTCTACCATCTCTTCTCTCTTTAACTTCGACATCCCCTCTTCGGACTCTGGCAAGCAGTGCTCTCTCGTCTTCCTCTTCCCCGAGCAGAAGGACCTCGAGACCTCTTCTTTCAGCTTCAGCGGTAACGGCGAGGTTCGCTTCGCTTCTCTGGACTCCCCGGCCCAGCAGTCGACCAGCTACAGCAACGCCCCGGGTGTCAAGAGCGAGCTTGGTACCTTCACCGTCTCTCCTGGCCACAACTACACCATCTCCACCTTCACCTGCCCGGCTGGCCAGACCGTCTCTTACGAGATCAGCAACGCCGGCTCTACCGACCTCAACTACTTCCAGGACTACAACCCCTCTCCCATCGGTCTGTATATCACTACCTGCTAAACGCGGATCTGATGTCATGACCACTTTCTTCCCCACTCTGGGTATTTAAAATCTTTTTTTCGACTCTTGTATTTCCAGAAATACCTTCCTTTTATCAGTCTTGGGATTTTCTGATGAATATATGACCCCATGTATACTACTTTCCTTAACGAACCCATGTCACATGTGCGCAGTGCATCTATTTTTTTTTTTTTTTGTTTTGTTTCTTTCTTTTTCTTCTTACCTAGCAAGGTTTATACCGGATCTTAGCTTCAAACGGTTTGGACCTGGGGTGCACAATACATGGGCTTTGTGTGTATATAACATACATATATATCACTAACTAGCAGAAGCGAATGGTCTTGGAAGTATGGTCGAGGCAGAAAGGCTAAGTTGACTAGCAAAATGAAATAATTTTTCGAAATGTTCGGATTATAAATATAAGTATCTAGATGTAGTACACTAACCAATATCAACTTCAAGAATGGGTCAGTATAGTATAAAATAACTAGTGAACTACTTTATTTACTATAAATCTACGGGGAAATAGAAATAGAAATGAGAAAATTCGTCTTTATTTATTTATACAAGTTCGATTTAAGAGAAAGAAATTCTCACTTTTTCTAAGAAGTTTTAAATCGAAACAACGCGGGTAGAAGAAGAAATGGCTTATTTATTTATTTATTCCCCTTGTGCTATTCACAGTAAGCATATCTGTATTTGACTTCCGTATTATATTGTAGTATAGTATACTATATGACGTCCTTGTCATATCTTACATTCATGATAATAACATAAGTAGGCCGTGAAAGGAAGGAAATAGGGTCATAGGTCATCATCACATCGTTGCTGAGCTCGTGGTCATTATTCGTTATCATTGGAGGAGAATAGAACGGGAAACTGAGTAGAAAATGAAAAGAACATGGAGAATCAGAAGCACAGACAGACATAAAGGTAGAAGCACACAAAATAGACAGGCAGAAGACTCGTGGCGCCATAAGGTAGATGCCGAGATGAGTGTATATGGGTTAAATCTTCCAGACCAAATACCAGTTACAGAGATATACCCCGTCTCGAGCTCGGGGGTATAGTTAATCATCATGAAGAAGAAGCGAGCAGAACGGTTGCTGTCGCTAGTCTACCATCTTCCCCGTGCTGGTCGTCTCTCTTCGATGACCAGGTCACGCTCGCGGATTTTCTCCTCCTCCCATGGATGACGAGGTAGCGGGGGCCGCTCCAGCATCAATGGTGTTCGTACTGGTATCGGTGCCGGTGGGGGAGGCAGAGAGGCGCGTTCGCGATGGATTTCATGGATCCGCTCACGTCGTGCTCTACGGATATCTTCTGAGAGATCAACCAAGGCGGCAATATCATCCTGTAGGACAGTTAGCCTTGCTCTCGTACCAAAGAATAAAAAAAAATTAAAAAAGAAATCAATAACGAGAAACAAATGAGACTTACATAGCGAAGGTAAGCAAAGATGTAGTAGAAATATTCCGTCTCCTCAAATTCGTAGCCAGAGCGCTCAATGGCCTCCCTCACGACCAGATCCTTGGTGATTTCCGTCCATAGCTTCTCATGTCGGTCTTTGACTCCCACGTAGCGGCGTCCGATACGGCCAACGTCATTCTCCGGCTCCTGTTCCTCAATCTCCTCGCTGTCGGTGATGAACCTTGACCGACGGACGCCGTTGTATCGCTGCCAGCTTATCTCCTGCTTCGCACCGCCGATGCCGTCCATCGTGACCCGTTTGGTGCCGGGCGGGACATCGACGATGGTCCAGTCGCGGGTGGCTCCGTTGTAGGCTTCGCCAATATAGCTGCGTTCTGCATTGATACGATTGTAGTAATCAGCCTCTTCCTGAATGTCCCGCTCATCCCGGCGGTCCAATCCATTTCGACGATCACGTTCTCGGATGACAATTTCCCTCTCGCGATCTAGGGATTTGCCTCTCCTGCGGGAAATGACGACCTCATCTTCCTCCCGACGGTCGTAGTATGCAGAGGAGCGACGCCGCAGGCGAGGCGGCGAGTCGTCTCTCTCCCTTCGGTCGATTGTAATATCGTCATGGTATGGCCGACCGTTTCTTTCGCCGCTGGAAATCAGTTAGCACCGGACGGGTAATAGCAGATCAGTGATATTGCAAACTTGCCGTTCATGAATCTTGATCTCCTCGAAGCTGTCCCTGGGGGAACGGAACCCAGGACTCCGTACTCGGGGTGGAGGTACTACCTCGAATCCTAACAAAGTCAGCCATGACCTGTCTGCGTTTTGTTGGGGGAAGCAGCTACGGACCATGATCGATATGGCGATGATGAGTGATTATCTCCTGGTGAATGGGCGGTGCGCGAATGGGCGGTGGATCAATAGGTGCTGGAGGTTCTGGCGACGGTGATCTCTCTTCCTGTCTGCGAATGATAATCTCCTCTCTCTCCGAATCGCTTCTCCGACGGCCACCCTCACGCTCATCTCTGCGGATAATGATTTCTTCCTTGTCGCTGGGTCGATGTCGGGACCTTGAGCGACGGCGAGAAAGAGACCGATGGCGAGAAGGAGACCGGTAGCGTTCATCCCGCTCCCATTCGTAGTCCCGACGCCTATCGCGGTCCGAATGACGGAAGATAACTTCGTCCTGCTCATACTCTGACCGAGGTGGACTCCTCCTGTCCCGCCGGATGATGTATTCCTCCCGTTCACGCTCCAGCGGCGGCAAGGACCGGTCGCGTCGACGGATACGGATCTCCTCCCTCTCATCCCGATCGACTGGTCTTCTTCTCTCTCTATCTCGCTCCTCCTCTATGATGCGGATCTCCTCCCGGTCAACTTCTCTCGGTCGAGGCCTCTCGCGTGGACGGTACTCGAACTCGTCCCGCTCCCGCTTCAGCACCAGGGGACCGGCATCACGGCTCTTGGTGTAGTCTTCATGCAGGAAATCGGGGACGGAGCGATCTCGCATGCGCAGCCGTTCAAGCTCTCGCACCGGGGGTCCAGACCGTCGACGGAAGTCGATGTCTTCTTCCACGAAGCGGTCCCGTCGACCACCGTTGGAGTATCGATCCCGTTCATACAGGTCCTCCTCGAAGAACTCGCGGGATGACCGAGGCGCCATGGCACCAGTTTCGATGGGAGGGAGTGGTAGTTACCGCACGAGTGCCCGTCCGGTTAATTATAAGTGACTGGGTGATGAGCAACTGTGTGATCGAAGAGTAGTACACTAGGTACTAATCCTCTCTGGAGAGATGGCTTCTGGTTGTTCAGTAACCCCGCCGTGAGAATATATCGATTCAAGCACGAGAGTGGTCATCCAACAAGCACATCGACAGCGAAGGAACCAGTGATGGAATGGGCTAGAATCAGATAACGAAGAACGTGCAGACGCCAGGAGTAACCCTCAGAACGAAAGATCGAGAAGTGGGAGAGGAGGGGAAGATAGTAGACTGCTAAGTAGGCCGGGAAGTAGAAGAAGAAGAGGATAGTACTAGCAGCCCGACACAGCCCAGCAAGCCAGACGGGGCGCACAGTTTATCAACTAGACGGAGGAGGATGATGATGATGAGCTGAGGATCAGGATGAGAGTCAGCTTGTCTTGTCTTGTCTTGTCTTGTCTTGGATGATCGGCTGGAAAGTGGAAAAAGCCAATCGGGTGATGTCACTGTGCAGCCGCCAACGCGTCAAATGGAAAGACGAAGCTGAAGATGAAGCAGAAGAAGATGGAATCTGTAGAAAGGTCAGCAGTCAAAGGGCCAGATGTTCTAGATTCTCTAGATGCAGAGAGGTAGTTGATTCTATGTACTTTACTTATGTCCTCGAGTCTACTACTTAATTAATCACCCCGCCATTCACCCTATCTACTTAACTAACTTATCGTAGCTAAGTTAACTACCACTAAAGTTGTTTACTCTGAATCTCGAATAGATAGATAGATAGTTAATCTAGGTAAACTACCTAGAAACTGGGAAACTAGAATGAGTTCAACCATGGAACCTCATCTCCGTTCCTGGCCAAGTTTCCATTTTCCGTTTGGCTTTTCCGTTCCCATGGGGATTCCAGAATATCTACAGAGTAATTATAGTAATAATATGATATATTTACTATGATCTACACAACCACTGACCACTCCTCGTTATTTATTGACTTGACTATTAAATCAATTAAAGAATCGTCTCCGGACTAGTTTTCTTGCTTTTTCTTTCTCCTTATTGTCACTGCAAGACTTGTACATAGATGATTCATCTCGTTTCGATTGTCGTTTCTTTAGCTGGTGTCATTACGGTATCGTAGGAAGAAAAGAAAAAAACAAAATGAAATGAAATGGTAGAATAAGAAGTCTGGTTGGTATCGCTCATTAGATACAAGCCATGTCCTGGTATGGATATATAGATATTTCAAACGATCAACAGATCAACCGATGAGGTAAGATAGATACAGAAGACGATAGTTAGATATCGACACACATACACTCTCACACACTCAAGAGGACAAGGCGAAAAAAAAAAGAACAAGAAAAAAACAGTCGCAACTCCAAGATGCTTTCGCCTTTTGACCCCTGCCAAAAAGCATATATATATCTATAACACCCGCTCCAAAACCGTGGCTAAATCGAATCGTGTCCCCATGTCTGCTGTCGCTGGATTGCTTATGCCTGATACACACACGTTCATTCGTGTGGTCACTGGGGAGGCACGTTCCCCGGAGTGCCCATCCCCGTCATACCCATCGCATACGGACTCATCATGTTCCCTCCGCCACCGGTCTGATCGGGGGGCGAGCCATCCATCGACATGCCCGCCCCGACGGGATCCAAGTTGAATGGCAGGAACCACGCACTTGGCTGAAAGAACTCGCCCGTTCCGGCCGGCGTTCCATTCATCGCAAACGGATCTCCCCAGACCGCAGCCCCATTCTGCGGAGCCGCCGGTTCGCTTGGAATCGGCACGGGCATCTGGTTGTGCGCCATTGTGGGCTCCAACCCAGCATACGCGCCGTACACGAGCTGCCGGTCGAGCTGCGGGAGATGATCTGGCGTGAAGGCGACGTCGAACGGTGACTGATACATCTGTTGCTGGTTGAAGTCGGGCGCCCCAGCACCCAGGACGGCCTGTGGAGTTGCCATTGACAGTCCTGTCACGGCATCGAAGTTGGGCGCCGGAGGGGGCATCATCTCCGTCGGCGCATCCTTCGTACCCGCGCGATCTTGCTTCCGCGCCTGTTTGCGGGGAGGACCTGTCCGTGGGGTCGGGGAAAGACTGGCGAAGAATTCTTCCACGCTCTGAAGATCGGGTCGCTGAGCCATAACGGCGTCTTCGCCCGTCTCTTTCTTCATGTTGGTCTCCAGGTCTTGCCAATGAGTCTGCGCCACACCATGGGGATACTTGTCGAACCAGTCTCCGTACTGGAACATCGGGGAGCCCTGTCGGCTCTGGTGTGCCACCGTCCCCTTGATGGCGGCGTCAGCAAACTGCCGGTACCGATCCTTGGCACTTTCCACCATGTAATGGAACATGCCCCAGTATCGCTTCATCTTGTTGAGATACCGGTACGTGTGTCGCAGGTTCTCCTTCGAGCGGGCTTCTAACTGCGCATTCTTGGAGAAGATCCCCCATATGTGCACCGTGCTAGCCGAGTAAGCGCAGTATCCCGCAAACGGGACGGTGAGGAGATAGCCAGAGGCGCGGTCGATCAGCAGGGAGATGTGGTGAGCGGCCTCGACAGCCGCTCGACCAGCGTCGCTGAGAAACGCCTTGGGCATGTCTTTGGGTGGGCGAACCCCTGGTGACAAGGGAATAGCGAATTGGTTGAGAAAAAGCACGTTTTGATGGATGATCATATGGAGAAAAAGAAACTGATTCGCCACTTTTTCCGCGGCGTGATTCTGGAGGTTCTCCAGCGTAAAGGCGAGGAAGCTGGGCAGCGAGGCGGAAAACTCCTCGATCTGCCGCTTGAGCCGACTGTAGCCCGATTCTGGTGACCATAAAGGATGGGGATCCTTCTTCTTCCCTCCCAAGTTGAGGTAGTCCACAATGCGGCCCCAGAGCATGATCGCACGGATGATGTAGGCCGACACTCCCATGTTATCCTTCGGGTTGGAAAGCTGCCCGTAGCCTTCGGGCACCGGATTCGGGACATTCCCGTCGAGATCCTCCGTTGGGCCTGGGATCTCCATCTGAAAATGTGATTCTTTGACAGGCAGCTGGATATGCAGGAACTTCTCATTCCCGATGGGCGGCCGCTGACTGCCCGACGAGTTGTAGCGGTCCATCAACACGCACGCCCACATAGTGCGTCTGCGGATCTCGCGGTCTGTAAAACTGATTTCTGATGCTTTCGAATTGTTCTGCCCCAAGGGGTCATGGTCGAGTTCCCGATGTAGCTGCAGCGCGTAGGCCATCCTTAGGGCCTGTCCGCCAAAGGACCAACTGCGGCCGCCATGACAGGTTCCGAACTCATGCAGACCCAGCAACAGGAATACCGTAAGAATCGTAATGTTGGGCTCGTCGTGTCGACTCAGGGCGATCGCAGCCGCCGGATTGGCCCAGTTCTCGCCTCGTTGGAACGCTGGTTCTGAGCTGACCTCCGGATGTGTCGAAAACCGAGCGGACACAGCACAGACGGCGAGAATCAGCACAGGGGGAATAGTTCCGGCCTTCAGTCTGCGCATGAAACTAGGCTTGTGCAGCAGCAGGTAGGATTGACCGTACACGCAGTCAAAGAAGACCTCCGCCAGATGCTCCTGGATCTCCATCGGAGGCAAAAACTCGGCTCCCTCCGTGAGCAGTCCACTCGCATCGGGCTGCCGGATGTTGCCATTTGCTGGGATTGGATCGGGAGCTGTAGTTTTTGGTCCTCGTGTCCATTCGTCTAGTTCCGCTGCGAATGCTTCGTCCGCAGACCTCTTTTTCTGCGCGGTCTTGGGAGCTTTGGGTGTCTGGCCAGGAGGGGCTGGTTTCACGACTGCTCGCCCGATGGAAGCTAAATCCCGGGGCTCATCCTTTGGTATGGCCTTGATCACTCTTTCTTCCATACGCTTTAGCCGCTTGTCCAACATCGCCATGTAATCCGTCCGCGGCGCAGCTTTCCGGGTGGTGACTTTGTAGACGCACGGGATGCGCGAGCGGAAGCAATGCTTGCAGGCGGGCTTTTCGCCAGAGCATCTGATCTTCTTCCGTCGACAGGCAATGCACGCGAGAGGCAGTCGCTTCCTCTCCTTGCCCGCCTTGGTCTTCAATTCGCTCCATGGAGGTAGTTTCTCGCCGTCGTTCTGGGATCCTTGCTCCGGGTTTCTTCCTTCCGAATTCCCATCCGTCGGAGCGGTACCAGGGTCCCGGGAGCTGGATGGACTGATGGCGTCGCCATCGTCCACAAAATTATTATGACTGTCCTGGCCTGACGTAGGTACTGTTGCACCCATGGAGGACTCGGAATCGGCGGTGGACATCATGATGGAACCAGGCAGTCCTGTCGCATCAGACGGCTGTTGAGATACGACGCCGTCTGGCACATTGTTCGCGTCGCCAGTATGATGGGAGCTGCGGTGGACGACGTTCAGGGCGCGCGACGGCGCAGAGCTGTTCTGGTATGGCAAGTCGTAAGCGGGCGAGAAGGTTGATACAACAGAATCGAGAGCCGCAGGCGGATATGGGGAACGACCATCGGCGTCTAGTGGCGGCTTGGCATCTCGTCGTCCATCAGCCTCGGTCATGACTTGGTGGAGAGGGCCAGAGAGGAGATTGGAACAGCAAAGATGGGGAAAAAGAGGATATCCAGCGTCTGGGTTCGTTTTCCTGGACTTTGCTTCCTGGTGCTTGTGCTCTTCCTTGTCTCCCGCTAGACTAGTCAAGTCGACCGGCGGCGATCCGCTTTCTTTGCGACCGCCGGCTGTGTCAACAGCTAGTGGTTGCAGCGGAGAAATCCAACAAGCAACCAGGGAAATTCTGGGATTCTTGATAGACTATTGGGGGTAAAAGCGTCCCAAGACGAGATGGGAGACTTCTCTAGTCGGGGATCCGCAGGGACCGGAGCGTCTTCGGGGGACCGATAGCTTGCACAATAGGCGACGCCCCCGATGTCAACGGTTCTTTTGCCCTTGCGGCCAACCCCATTCGACAGTAGTCTCTACTCATTCCAACAAGAAAGACAGAAAGGGAAATAAAGGAAAGGGCTTCTGGTAATAATACCATACACGTTGGGCGACTATCATCGACTAGAAACACCTTGGAGGAGGTACGTAGCTGGAGCTAATTAGGTATAGATACTCTAGAACAGCATTGGCTACTCCGTAACTTGCTGAATTTCTGCGGACGAGAGGATTATTAGTAAATGAGCACTAGCAAGTGCGTGAGAACCATGTCGGCGCAGCGTCGATGACATGGAGATCACCTCCTACTGGTACGTCCACCATAGTGACCATACGCATTTCTCGGCCGAGCAGAACGTGGACGATTTGCGCTGCAGCTGCACGCGTGCGTCTGACGCTCGTCGCTGAGCGGGGAAAGATGGAAAAATACATATGGTAATAATAATACAGGACTAAGAAGTTAGAAGTTAGAAATTGGTATGCGAGAGGAGTCAGGACTGTGGATGCGGGGGAAGAAGAGACGGAAGACAAGAAGGGAGAAAAAGGAAAAACGGGATCGGACGAAGAAGCGAGACATCCCAGCCAGTCACGGACGGTGGCTTCAGGTGATTCTTCACGATCGTAACGCTAACTCGGGGCTTTAAAAGTTTATAACGGGACCGTTCTAATCATGATTAGCCAGTCGAGCGTTCCCAGTCCGTGGGGATCCGAAGGACGATCGCTGGGATGACCGAGGTAGGATATGGTTTCTTCCGGATGAGCATGTAACTAATAATAAAATAATTAATATTAATACTCGAAAAAGTACTGTACAAGTAGGCTCTCTTTTCTCCTCTCTTCTTTTACGCCAGAAGTTGAGGATAATAATAATAGACGTCCCGACTACGGGCAGTATTCAGATGGTCCCTAAACGCTACTAGTTAATTAGTTATTACGGACCCGTTTCTTATGATCATTCTTACATAGTTTATGATAGTTATAACTACCTATACCACCATAGTCTACTTAGTTAGTACTAGCACTACTACTACATACTACCTAGACCTATAACTGTTCCACCACACCGGATCCGGAAACAGGACAAAGTCAGGGCACCTAACTATCCAGCAGCATTGATTATAAATCTGCGGTCCTGGAGACAACAGAATAATAATAATAACCCTACGGACTATAGTCTCTTCTAACTAGACTACTATCTAGCAAAGAAAACCAAAATCCAGTAGATCTATAACCAACCGGCGCCTCCCGCAGCTGGCCAGCCACCGTGGCAGCCCATTAGAGTAACTAGTTAGTTATTGCGCGCACAGAGATCGACCCACGAGCAGATGGTGTCTGGGCGACCCGCTCTTAGTTGGCGTCGACTATTTATCGTTCTCCCCTGCCCACCAGGGATGGCCTGGTAATCCATACCGAGTAAAAAGAAATAGCCCTACCGCAGCAGCCGATAGGAAAACGAGAAGAAAAAAAAAATAAGGCAAAAGAAAGAAATGCAACGAGATCCGAATCCAGCGTTTCAGGATCTCGGAAAAAGCCCAATCGTGATCGGCGCAGAACAGACCAAGGCTGGGTTCATCCCAGATCGGAGAGACGTCTATTATTGAAGTGAAGGATGATCCGTGCAGGACATGGTCTGTTTTCCACAGTGTACTGTACTTTTTTCTTAATAGTTAGTAGCTTTTCACCAATGTTCCATTCTAAACATAGGATGTCGGAGATCCTTTCGAGAAAACTATGGTTGAACCGTATGCGTGGTTCTTTCAGGGACCTTAACCCCTAGTACATACTAACTAGTAGATACTAGATGCTAGATAATAGATATACTCCGTACTCCTGGGTATGCTAGTCAATCGTCGTGAGCTTATTACCTCGAGCTACCTATCCAATTCGATCTGATGAACTCTAACTTCTCCATATGGGCATCCATCACGTGTCATTCTAAGCAACGAGCATCCTATAGAGGAGTACGCCCTGCTTGAGCTGTGTGTGCTCCAGTTGAATGGATGGAACAAGCTCTAGGAGTAATTATTGCCATTCGTCGTATCCAACCATCATTTATTTACTAATAAATCTATCTTGTCACTCCACTAGAGATACTTGCATTAGTTGTCGCTGAGTGAGTAGCATGAGATAGTAGGTTGCTCTCGACTATTCTAGAGCATTAAACATTGCATATCCGTCTTTATACAAGGTTCAGACCCTAAAGCGTATCAGATACTATATCTGAAAAAAGTTTCCGTACGCCACATACTCATATCTGGAAGAGTGTTTTGCTGCTCCATTTCCCGCCCATTAGCTAGGAAGCTGATGAATAACTATAGATACTTTCCTGCTTAGTAGGACCATGATCTTCTCGACTTCTTAGGTCACCATCGACTGATCCATAGGGCCCGTAGATATATGCATATCTCTCAATATTATTATGTCGACTTAGCCCGACCTCTGCTGCGTGCGGTTGCCGTCTCGAGGGAGTTGACGATCTCAGCACCAAGAATATAGATGTTGTAGCTCGGGAAGATGAGCCAGAGACCACTGGATGCACCGTTAGTTTATGTCTCTGGGTTTTATCGACATCACGTAGTTATCCATCTGATGACTTACTTAGGCACGATCCAGTATATGATCAGTATACCAATGCTGTTGTGACCGATGTTTTCGAAGCCCGAGAACACTTCATTCAACCCTGCAATGCTGTTAGCTATATCCTACAAACTACCTAGGAAGCGATCGAAATGGCGCGGGAGACTGACAGTATAGGGCAGTCTTGCTGACAGTCATGACGGAGGCACTGAAGGCAACTAGAAGCGCAATGGCACCTGTCCTTCCAGCGATAGACTTGTCCTCCTTCAAGAGCCAGACCAGGCCTTTCTGTTGTTTCCTGGATGCGCGACCGCTGCTCGTCACGATCGTTCCATACCGGTAGACGACGAACAGATAATACAGATACCCCGCAGTCTCGACCAAGTTCATCACCGTTTGTGCGGCCGTGAATCCATTGCGCGCATTAAACGCTGGCCAGCCGTATATATAGTCGATCGTCCCATAGAGCGCATAAGGAGTCCAGATGGGTGAATGTAGCTTGCCTCCGGGCATGCTATGCGGTCGCAGAAGCACATAGCCGGCGTCCCAGAAGATTAATGGGATCGAGAAGACCAGCCAAATAGTGACCGCTGCTGATGGCGTGTGAACCCATTTTGAGCGACTGCTTCCAGACGTCGTAGGCGATGGAGTCGACTTCGCGACAGCATTGGAACTAGGCGTCGTGGGGGGAGGGAAGTCCCGGGGATGATGTCGCGTGGAGACCATGGCTTCTACCCGTTTTGTTGCGCAGCCGCGATCAGGTCAACTAAGTAGGTAAGTACTGTTGTGATTGGAGTTCTCAATTCGAATAGATAAGCGCGCGGTTCTGGTAGAGGAAGTTGTCCTTTACCTTCAGCACACGAGATGTTGGAAGAAGAGGAAACAATACAGGCATAGGGGGTTCTGCGACGATGGTTGCTTGACTGACTGACGAGAGCGGCGGCGTGCCTGTGACGTCTACGTCGCTGGGGACCTCATTCTGGAAACTCCTGGGCTTTGAAACGATTCGAGTTGGATACAGACGCTGTTTAGAAACCAGGCTGAATGAGCAACCCTATTCCATCCAGACACTGGCTACTGGCCCAACTCAAGCTCTACTACACTGGCTGATTCCCGTGATACTCCAGATATAATAATAATTATTAACATGAACATGTTCTTTGGCCCCAGCCCTTAATTTCCAGCGCAGCCAATCATCCATCGGAGATCTCCCCGTGCCGCTCAGCGTGGCCACCACGTGATCACCGTTTGCGGGTTAAAACCCCGACTGCATTCTGGGAGGCAGCAGAATAGAATCTTCTTAATGACCGCAATTATTACTCTTGTCTCCCATACCCCGCACGATCGAATAAGCTAAGAAATGCATGCGCGAGACTGGCGGTTGGGGACCTTCAGTCTCAACGGCTGAAAGTGACGTTAGAAGTGAGCGAGTCTAACCTACCTCGGAAGCGACAGCTTGAGCTCTGTGAAACTAGGCACCAGGCCAAATGGAGGTCGAGACTGAGCAAAAGGTGAATTGCTATTCTAGTAGTTGGTAAGGCATTATTGTATCCTAACGACTGAATAGAAACGGCAGCGCTTGGCGCGAATCCGAGAGAACCAGCGCAAGAGCAGGGCGAGAAAGCAGGAGTACATCCAAGAACTGGAACATAACCTGTCCGTCTGCAAAAAGCAAGCTCATCAGCAAGATATCAACAACCGGATATCTATACAGAAGCTAGAAGTCGAAAATGCAAAACTGCGTCAACTCTTGTCCCGCCTCGGCGTGGCACCTCCTTCCGTCGATGAGTATCTACGGGGAGAGGATAATCCTATCGTGGCCCAGAAAGTAGCAATACCAGCTCTGCGTCGACCGGAAGTCAATATACAGGCAGCTCCTGTGGAGAGCAAGTCTGGTTGCAGAACCGCCTCTCAACCTCCCCCTCAACCTACTTCACAACGCCCCCTGAATCTCCACGAAAGTATTACGGAGGCTGCAAAGTCCCTGCAGTCGCTAGCCAGTAGTATGGCTGCGATAGAAGCCAATAAGAAACCTGCCTGCCAACAAGGACCATGTCAGCAACCTCGGCCTCGTGAACAGGAGTCACTCCAGCCGGAACAATCTCAACAGAAAGGGTCCTGCTGCGGCCAAATCCAGCCCCAGCAGTCTCAACCGGAGCAACCTCGGACAGAGCCGCCTCAGACAGAGCAGCCTCACACCACACCTCCGGTGGAATCTCCTAAAAGTGAAGAAGCCTGCGACTGTCCTCCGGCAGTGGAGGAACTATGTGGATGTCCTCCCTCTGAGGGTGTCCCTGAATCTTGGCCTAGCGGTGATGCAGTCTTGAACACTACTCTGTGCTCTGTCGCGGGGGAGTTGATCAGCCAGTACAACACTCGTGGTGTTGATTTGACCGAAATTCGCAAGAAACTATGGGCTGGTTTTCGGAAGGGATCGTCTGCAGAAGAGGGCTGTCGAGTGCAGAATCAGGTGCTCTTTGAGATATTGAATGAAATTAGCGGAAATCTATCTTAATTATTATCATATACTCTATTATCATGAGTGCTCTATCGACATTCAAAATTTATGATCAGCATGTCTACCAATTCCTTCGCCTGCCAATCCAGCGGACGATATACACCAGCCCGAGAAGGACTGGGACTTCCACAAGCGGGCCAACAGTGGCAGCGAGGGCCTGGTCACTATCGACCCCAAACGTGGCAATGGCCACGGCAATAGCGAGCTCGAAGTTGTTGCTCGCAGCAGTAAAGCTCTGAGTGCATCCAAGCTCGTATCCGAAGCCGAGACGATGTGTTATCCACAAAGTGGTCAAGAAGATGACGAGGAAATAGACGATCAGGGGTGCCGCAACGCGGATGACGGACACTATCTGATGCACCACATGGCGTCCCTGCGAGGCGAAAAGGATAATAATGGTGAAGAGCAACCCGATCAGTGAGAGCGGCCCGATGAAATTCAAGAACTTCTGATAGAAATCCTTTCCAAAAATATTCCGCAGTGTGAATCGGGTTATGATGGCAGCGCCCAGCGGGATTCCAAGGAACACACCAACGCTTTTGGCAGCGATGGAGTAATTGCTCGAATTATGATCGTCATCCTTTCCAATAACTCCGATAAAGAGAAGTGCTATCGGTGCGAACAGGACCATCTGGAGGATGGAATTAATAGCGACCAAAATGGCGCAGTATTCGCTGTCTCCACCTGCGAGTCCAGTCCAGATCAGGACCTCCAGAGCTGTCAGCATTTGAAGCCCATGCAGTGCAGATAGGGTTGTTACTCTAGCTTACCATTGCAATACATCTTGCGATACCGACGATGATAAGCCCTTCCCGTAATCCTTGCTCATCAGGGAGGAAGGCCCAGGCTAGCGCCAGCTAGAATGGAGCTGTTCGTCAGGATTCCATATACATTGTCAAGAAACAACATGAAAGCAACGTACCATGAACAAGGGAGCTATGATCCAATTCACTATCAGACTGAATAGGACCTGGATCCAGAGCGATTTCTCGAGAAGTGTCCGATGTAGAGTCTCGTACCGTACCTTGCAAAGGATCGGATACATCATCACCAGCAATCCAATGGCTATGGCGAAGATATGTCAGCCGTGAACAAACCGATGTTCCTTTGAGGAGGGGAAGATTCTTCAGATCGAACGGTGAATCAAAATCATCATCAAGTATACTTACCAATAGGTATCGAGACCCCGACAAATTTTCCCTTCTGCAACGCCGGGCCCGTATTAGGGACAAAATTCCCCAAAATAATCCCTATCGCCATAGCAAGGAAGATCCAGACAGCTAGAAAGCGATCCAGAATCCCCAATTTTTTGAACGCTGAGACATGTCGTTCTGTCTTTTCTTCCTCTGGACCATCTGTGCCGACGGATGGTTGGATATCCGGAGAAGCATTTCCAACTTCTAGATCTGGCGTTGGCTTCGTTTCGCCTTGGTATCCTTCCGCGAGCTTCTCATCTGTTATCACGGGGCCTGCCATCCCCGTAATGATGTCTGGCGTCGAACTGGTATTTCTGTTGGCCGTATAAGTATTTGAGCTTTCCTCTGCGAGTAAATAAAGTCGGTAGGTAGTATGGTAAAGCTCAATACCAAAGAAAGCGGGGCGCGGCACTTGGGAAACAAATTAAACCAGGTCAAGGAATTAATACAAAAAAAAAGTCCAAATCAAAATATATAAGATTCTCCCCGAGTCTCATCCAAGAAGGCGAAGAAGAACTCGTCGAGAAAAATGATAAAAACCAACACCGTCGATCCCTTTCCCACCTTGTCTCATCCCTACAGCCTACGCTCCTTTATCAATCTTGGCCTCGTAAGCTTATTTCGATCTGGGGCAAAAAAAGCGTCTGGCTGGCTCTACCGCCCATTCAACCAATGAGCGTGCCGCGATGACATTTATTTTGCCTTCCCACGTACTTAGGCCGGTCTCGCCTGTTCCCCCCAACTTCTCCCGTTCTCGACCATATTGGGAAGTTGTTCGAATAGAATAATTAAATCAAGTGCACAGATGCTTTGGCGTTTCGTCTCGCTTAATGGGATCTTTTGTGCTTTTAGAAGAACTGAACTGAACTGTTGATCATATTCACGTATTATTTCTCTCCTATTTGTGTATATTAATCAATACACTTCCTATAATCTGTTTTGAACCCGTATGTCCATCAGAAGAGATAATAACTACAATTAACAGTTTAAGCAAGCAATTTAACTAAAGAATAGATAATTTACCAATCCCTAAAACTCACGTTATGTTTCCATCCTTGTTCCCGTGCTTGTGGATTTGTCGATGTAGATATTAGTTAGTGCACGTTGTGTATTGGAAATTGGATGTCTATCCTACGCTGTAGTAGGTTATGGTAGTCGATAAAGTGTAAAGAAAGAAAGAAAGAAACAGATCTATCCTGGTCGTAAATGAGTACTGTTGACGACAACTATATTTGCAAATCAAAGAAGATCCTTGATAGACAGTTTCTCTGGTGGATTTCATAAAGTCTTGTCCACGCAATGGTGTCAGAAGTTCGAGGTGGATGGTGGATAGACGTACAAACGCTACTCAAGCAGCAAAAAAGCACTTGTAGAGGGCCGGGACTGGAGGATTTATAACTGGACCAGCGACAGGACAGAATTGAACTGTCCACGAGGTCAGTTCTAGCTCCCGAATTAGTTATATAGGCAAAATACCTATCACATTGGTAGACGGTAGCTGGCGGTTGAGGTCAAATACCGAAATCCATCACAGACCTAGCCTACTACAGGAATCGAGTAGGTCGGTGGTGTAGAGAACATAACGGCTTAGAAGAGTCATAATATGAGATAATCTGGGAGAGTGAGTTGAAGGCAGGATATGTATTGGTTTTATGAGAAAGTATTATTATCCGCCGCGGGAATTTAAGCAGCCAGCTTCGTTCGAATAGCTCGGTCAGATGCCGAAATGACCTGCATCGTTCGATGTGTTCATCTACCAGGCTATCTACCTCCTTCTTTTTCCTTACTTAGTTTGCGGGGAACAAATCCCGCGCTAGATATTGTCTTTTGCCCTCTCCGGTCCAACTGCCCCGGCGATATCGGCCAGAGAATCAAGGAAATTCTCCGTCATGGTGTAGTTGGTTATTATTAATTCGGAAGTCTGGGGAAATTCCCCGGATCCCGTCGAGACATAAATGAGTTAGTTATGTAGCAGCTTTACCCCAATTGGTGGAACTGTTCGAAAAAGGAGATTCAGCTTTCGGGTAAACTCAAGGTTAAATACTGGACGCCCAGACGTAGTGGGGTATAACGAAGAGAGACAAAAGAGAAAAAGAAGAAAACGGGAGAGGGATGGCATCTCCGGTTTTTTTTTTTTTTTAACTTTCAACTTTTGTTGATTTGACCAACCTAGCTGTGGTTTCTCAGAAACAGCATCTGGATCTCGACGGCTAGAGCCGAAGCTTCCAATGTTGTGTGGGAATGGTGGCTTCTGCCAGGTCAGTGCGTATATCCGATATGCTCGTTTCCGGGTAAATAGGAATTATTTCGTGAAGCGGGGTTGATCTTCGCGAAATTTCCGTCAATAATGCCCAGGTAGAGTGTCATGTTCTTATTGTACGAGGTATTACTGCTTCGTAGACGAGAATTGCATGTACCATAGTAGTAGATTGTAGGGAACCCTCAGTAATAATAATAATTACTATTCATAACTATCTAATTTTAGCGAGGACCCCCGAAAAGGGTGTTGATCTGAATCGATCTTCAGGGGTTTATCGATGACCATGGATCTGCTGTAGGCTCCCGAAAGAACCGTCCGGATCACCGTTTTTCTGTCTCACTCCCTTTTGCCTCCGCTTGTTCGCAGGAGTATCGGGGATAAGATACTCTGCTGTTTCTCCGTATCATTTGCCGGCAGTAGTCTTCCAAACGGTAGATTATTGATCTACCTTATTTTCAACTGTTGGATCAGTTGGGCCCGGAGTTTAAAGTTCCATGTGATCAAAACCACTGGATAAACAGGAGAAAAGTATGTCTGTGTAGTATGTACAACGGTCACATTTCATTTCCAGCCAATTGAGCAGTAATCATCCTCGTATAGATCGTAATATCTGACCGTTTGTGCTGACGGTCTGGAAATTTCCTCCAGATTTCCATTCCCGCGGAATGTCGCCCCCCTCCCCCAGGACCAGCTCGCGTCGTGTGGGGAATGTGACGTCGTGAAGAGAGCGAAAGCAGTTGATCTAAAATACTACTTCGTGGATGCTAACTATCCCGTAGACTGGTGTTCGTTTCATTGGCAGACCGTTTGCTCCGCTGCTGCTAAAATCTTCTGTATCAACTCTACTCCATACTCAAGGTCAGCTGTGAGGATTTGGCAATAATAACTAGTTAGTTAGCGGTAGTTCAGGGGATAATTCATACAGGATGTCTGCAGCCATCCCCTTTTCTTTTTCTCTTTCTCAGTAAGCTGGAGGCTGGTAATTCACTAATAGTTAGTTAACTATAGCGACTCTGATCTCTAGGCGGTTCATAATGCCAGGTGAATGATATGATAGTTGCTTGTAAAATAAGCATCGAGGTTGTTTGATCGGAAAACTGGAGAAACCCCTTGTTTGCGGAATATAGCTTTAGCCTGCCACTACTAACTGGCCCAGAAGAGACGGAGTTTTATCGGATCAGTAAGGTTGTAAGTTAGTTAGTTACCTTAGTTACTGCCAAGATATGTTTTTCTCATTAATCAATAATACGGATTATCTCCCCCTCTTTCCAGAAGGTCTTCAGTTCGTTTAGATCGAGCGGTGTCAGCAGAGTCCTCAGGGCACAGACTATTATTGATGTACCCCTTCCGTGCTACCGAACTGCAGCCATGGCCGATTTAACCGGCCAGCCACTGCTACAGAGATGGACAGGCGAAGCTTTTCGTCCTCCATAGCAACGTAGCATCCCTAACAATAATGAGCTCTGCAGGGCCAACTGCGGGGGAGGCGCTCCTTAGGGTCCCAGCCACGCTTGCTGGGAAGCCAGGCGATGGCAACGATGCCGAAACCCGACCAATTTATTTGCTTCCTGCGTGTCTCATGGGGTGGTGGATCATGATATACGGAGTAACTAACTAATGACCTTCTGAATTCTGAAAGATGCAGACGAGATGAGGATTTAGGCCGAATAACTAGAGTAGCGTCAATGATGGATGCTCTCTGGTGACACCAGTCTCCATCAGGTAGTATCTAACTATTATCCAGGGACATGGCCACTCAGTTTCCACTTGGACCTTCCTCTCGATGGGGAATTCGGGCCTCCATCGCTTGTTTCCATTAATATGATGGATGATCGACATGCCGCGCCCGGTCGCGGTCCTTGATCGCGTCCCTCGCTGGTGGCAGCAATTAAATATCACTGAAGATCCGGCCAGACCCCAGTTTCCCAGTGACAGCGCTGAGGGGTCTTTGCTGTAGATACTCTCGGTGTCCTCTTTTCATCCTGCTGTGGTTGCATGCTCATCTAGTCTAGTTTGCAGTGTAACAACCAAGCAGACAAGACTATCTATACCTCAGACAACTAAGTATGAGGCTTGGATGGCTTGAGGTAGCTGGCGTCGCGGCCGCTACCGTGGTCAGCGCCAAGGTACGAAGCTCTCTCCGCATCCGCCCCCTGGTTTACCCTTCGGTGCTTCAGCAAGCGCGCGCATACTTCTCTTTTTCCATTTTCATCTTTGTTTCGTTTATACCATAATTGTTGCTGGGCTCTGGGAACAAAGATCGATTAGAGAACTAGCGACAATTCTGACAAACTTCCCTAGGATTTGGCATACTCACCGCCCTTCTATCCGTCACCATGGGCGAACGGTCAGGGCGAATGGGCCGATGCATACAACAGGGCCGTGCAGTTTGTATCGCAGTTGACATTGGCTGAGAAAGTCAACCTGACAACTGGTACTGGGTAGGTCGTTGGCGCTCATCACACTATTTCCAATTGCATTTCGGTCTGGATAGATTGGCTGACTGCTAGAAAGTTGGGAGCAGGAGCGTTGTGTGGGTGAAACGGGCAGTATCCCCCGGTTAGGTTTCCGTGGACTATGCCTGCAAGACTCTCCTCTGGGTGTGCGATTCGGTAAGCTTCCAGAGCAGAGACAATATCACTACCGACCTGGTCAGACATGCTAACTAGCGTTCAAGCGGACTTCGTCTCGGCTTTCCCTGCCGGTGTCAATGTCGCAGCCACCTGGGACAAAGAGCTGGCTTATCTTCGCGGCCAGGCGATGGGCCAGGAGCACAATGGAAAGGGGGTTGATGTCCAATTGGGCCCTGTTGCTGGTCCACTGGGACGATCAGTTAACGGCGGTCGTAACTGGGAGGGCTTCTCTCCGGATCCTGTTCTGACAGGTGCGCTTATGGCGGAGACCATCAAGGGAATGCAGGACGCCGGTATCATCGCATGCGCCAAGCACTTCATCGGTTATGAGCAAGAACATTTCCGACAGGCTTCAGAAGCTCAGGGGTATGGATTCGACATCGACGAGAGCGTGAGCTCCAATATCGATGATAAGACGCTTCATGAGTTGTACTTGTGGCCGTTTGCCGATGCAGTTCGCGCAGGTGTTGGCTCTTTCATGTGTTCCTACAACCAGATCAACAACAGTTACGCATGCTCCAACAGCTACACGATGAACAAGCTCTTGAAGGGTGAGCTTGACTTCCAGGGATTCGTCATGAGCGACTGGGGGGCTCACCACAGTGGCGTTGGCGATGCATTGGCTGGCCTCGATATGTCGATGCCGGGTGACGCCATCATGGGCAATGGCCAGACATTCTGGGGCACCAACCTGACTATCGCTGTTGTCAACGGTACCATTCCAGAATGGCGTTTGGATGACATGGCTGTCCGCATCATCGCTGCATACTACAAGGTCGGTCGTGACCGCCACCAGGTGCCGATCAATTTCGACTCCTGGACGACGGACGAATATGGTTACGAGCATGCACTCGTGGGCCAGAACTACGTCAAGGTAAACGACAAGGTAGACGTGCGCGGCAATCATGCGGATATCATTCGGAAGATTGGATCTTCGAGCATTGTCCTGCTGAAGAACAACGGAGCACTTCCATTGACAGGCTATGAGAAATTCACCGCCATCCTCGGTGAAGATGCTGGATCACCCCAGGGAGGTGCCAACGGCTGCAGTGACCGTAGCTGTGACAACGGTACATTGGCCATGGGCTGGGGCAGTGGTAGCGATAACTTCCCTTACCTAGTCACGCCGGAGCAAGCGATCCAGAATGAGATCCTCTCCAAGGGCAAGGGTCCAGTCTTCTCCGTCACCGACAACGGTGACGTTGATGCGATACAGCAGTATGCCTCTCAGGCTACCGTCTCCATTGTGTTCGTCAACTCGGACTCCGGTGAGGGTTATCTCAACGTGGCCGGCAACATGGGAGACCGCAACAACATTACTGTCTGGCAGGGAGCCGATCAAGTTGTCAAGACTGCCACGGCTAACTGCAACAACACCATCCTTGTCATCCACGGTGTTGGTGCGGTCGAGGCCGGGGAGTGGAACGATAACCCCAACATCACTGCTATTGTCTGGGCCGGTCTTCCCGGCCAGGAGAGCGGAAACTCCCTGGTTGATGTCCTGTACGGTCGTGTCAACCCAGGTGGAAAGACCCCCTTCACCTGGGGTAAGAACCTGGATTCCTATGGCACTCCTCTGCTCATGGAACCCAACAATAGCAAGGGTGCGCCGCAGGTTGACTTCACCGAAGGCGTCTTCATCGACTACAGACACTTCGACAAGGCGAACGACACCCCCGTTTATGAGTTCGGCTATGGGCTCAGTTATACCACCTTTGGTTACTCTAACCTCTATGTGCAGCCCATCCCCGTCGCGACGTATGGACCTGTTTCCGCTCAGACCAAGGCAGCCCCTGTTTTGGGCAACTACAGCACCGACTACGCCGACTATCTTTACCCGGACAACATTGACAAGATTCCATTGTACATCTACCCATGGCTGAACTCGACGGATCCTAAGAAGGCTTCCGCCGACCCCAATTATGGAATGAAGACTGAAGACTATGTCCCCGCGGGTGCCACCGACGGCTCTCCCCAGCCCGTTCTTCCTGCTGGTGGCGGCCCTGGTGGTAACCCAGGCCTGTACGAGGAGGTGTACCGTGTCAGCGCCATAATTACCAACACTGGCAAGGTGGCCGGTGATGAGGTTCCCCAACTGGTAAGTTTGCAATGCGCGATCACCTCGAGAAGCATTGAATCACTGACATTGAGCAATAGTACGTGTCCCTCGGTGGCCCTGACGACCCCAAGGTTGTCCTCCGCAGCTTTGACCGGATCACCCTTGCTCCTGGCCAGCAGTACCAGTGGACCACGACGCTGACCCGTCGTGATATTTCCAACTGGGACGTTGCCAGCCAGAACTGGGTCATAAGCGAGTACCCCAAGACGGTCTATGTCGGCAGCTCTTCGCGGAAGCTGCCTCTTCAGGCACCGCTCCCCGCGTTGTCTTAAGGGAAGCATGGGAGGCTTTGAATAGCATGCAATGATTCGAGGGGTTTGGGGAAATTCGGTTATAAATAATTAGAAAACCATCACATTCGTACATAATAATGTATACTCATCGCTCAAATGGAATTATTTCATGCTGTCCATTTAATTGGTTAGTAAAACACTTGAGAATAAATCGCGAACAAACAGTACCATCAAATGAAGACCATGTCTCGTATTCCCTATTTTACTCCGCGGTAAACTGGAACAGGCACATGACCGCGACGTCATCACCGCCGAAGCGATTCTGCCTTCAACTTCCGACTTGCTTCTTCTTCTCCTTTGACGTCGATTGGGAAGCACATCAAGGCAGGGATCGAGAGAGAGGAATATTTACAACTCTCGGTCTCTTTTCACGCTCTTTTCTCTCTCCTTTTCGACTATTATTTCGAACATTGGATCTTATTCTGCTCGTCCAGACCATTCAGCATTCAGCACTCGTGGAATTGAGGCACCTTTCGATTAAGCGACACTCTGATGGGCTAAGAATGGCCAGCACAACGGCCTCAGCACGACGAGACGGCTCTCCGTCCGTTACGCCGCGGACGAGCTTCTCACCTTCCTCCCAGCCTCCTGGTCTCATCTTACTCGTCTACCCCATCACGTTGATCGTTGGAGCGATCTTCAGAACCATCTCTCCCACCGCGAGGGATGCCCGCGTCGAGAAGCCTCTAGCACCCACGCTGGCATCTGATCTGAACGTACCGCATCATCCATCCTCGGTAAACTACTTCGCTCGCAAGGACAATATCTTCAACTTGTACTTTGTCAAGATTGGCTGGCTGTGGACTACGCTCGCTTTCGTCGTATTGCTGCTGACGCAGCCGGCGTATTCGAATTCGAGGACGCGGGGCAGAAGGACGGTCCAGGCGTTGGCGCGTTATGGGATTGTGACCTTTGCGTGGATATTGACAACGCAGTGGTTCTTCGGGCCGGCGATAGTTGATCGCAGTTTTGTCCTTACTGGAGGCAGATGCGAGGACGTACGGCCCAAGACCCCGGGACATCCGGCTTCGGAGCTGAGTGCGGTGTTTACGGCTGCGGCGTGCAAAGCGGCCGGGGGTGCATGGCGCGGTGGGCATGATGTGAGCGGACATGTGTTTATGCTCGTCCTGGCAAGCGCCTTCTTGGTCTTTGAGGCTTTGGGCGCGTCTAGGGCGGAGAGCGGAACATCTGTCGAAGGCAGCAAAGCGAAACAGGACAGTGAAGAACCGGCTGAGAAGCAGTCAGATCTTTCCCCAGATGACACAGTTAAAGTCTGGGGCCTGCGGTTCGTGTGGGGAGTAGCAGGACTGAGCTGGTGGATGCTCTTCATGACTGCCATCTGGTTCCATACATGGTTGGAGAAGGTGAGGTCTTATTCCTTGATATTGCCTTATTTCTCGCCATGACTAGCTTTTACTAACGCGCGTGTTTCAGATATCCGGTTTGGCCATCGCCATTGGCGCTGTTTATATTAGCTACTTCCTTCCTAGGATTCTGTCCCCTTGGAGAGATATTGTCGGATTTCCCGGTGTATAGATAAATGACGAGGAAATATGTGTATATCCCATGTATGAGATTCATTCCTGGATCAGACTTTTTTCGTATGATGTTCCGTTTGCGATTAGCTTGGTAATAATATACTTGTACATTATCATCATTTCTGAGCCTCTTGCACTCAACAACCTACTAAGGAATCGTCTTCGGTTCCGGACCCAGATACCCAGATCGAAATGCTAAAATAGAACGATGAGCACACATGCTATCCCACTTGACGGAGCATAACAAAGTATCCAGGTATCCAAGGACCAAAGTAGACGTAGACTTACCTCCCGGAATCAACGCCGTCGCATACATCACCCTCGTGATAGGTCTAAGATCATCCTCATCAAACCCGTCCGACAAGGACACATCCATATACGGATCCCAGACGTCAACAATTGCATCCGCGTAGCTGGTCAAATCCTTAGTACGCTCTTTGTCGTCTGCGGTTCGTTCAGATTGGCATCTGATGCCTAGCGCGGTGCCGAATTCGCGGAATGCGAGACGATATCTGATGTTTCGTTCTAGATATCGGTCGATTTCGAATAGTTCGTCTGTATCAGAAGCGAGGGGGAAAGGTATTGGTTAGTCTCTGTTTCTCCCATTCCTTTTTGGCAATATAACATGAATCAAAGTAAGGTAAGAAAGAACGGGCATGATCTGGGGGGTAGAAAGATGAACTATACAAATCTGCTCAAAACACCTCCCCGTCAACCTCGTCGCCCACTCCTCCCTATCCGCAAACCAATGCGCCGTCCACAGCGTCATTCCCAAATCCAATGGATCACTCGAGACGAAATGCTCCCCCTTTCTCTCCATCACACGTTTATAATCCCCAATCTCCTCATCAAGCTTCTTCCCCTCATTCATCTCCATAGCCGCAGCCTGCAGGAGCCTAAACACCACATACCCATCAATCGGATCTAGATTCCCCTCTGACGAAACCAACGGAATCGACAGATCCATCGCCATCTTCCAAACCATTCGCGGCCTGGTTGATTTGCGATTAATGAAAAACCGCGGATGAATCGCCTCCGCCAGCTGCACCGCCAGACGGTTATATTGCGGATCACCGCTCGCGAGCGATACGCGGTTTAGAGCGAACATCCATATCGTCAGATAATGATGATACTGGCCGTCTCCGTCGGGGCCTCGTTCGTCCATTTTGCCAATTCGTAATCCGCCCCAGAGGGGCTCTTGGTCTGTTGCGCCGGGGAGACGAGCGGTGCCATCGCGCGTGCGGCCGAGGATGTTGTGGACTGTGTCGACGAGACGGCGAGCGAGGATTAGGTATTTGTCGTCTTTGGAGCCGGTTGGAGCGAGTGCGTTTGTTTCCTGGTGGAGGGTGAGGAAGTTGAGGACGCCGAAGGCGTCTGTCCAGAGATATCGGCCGCGATGGCCGCCGGATTTGGGAGGGGGGGTCCAGTTCGATGGGTCTGTGATGGTGGAGAGATCTCCGTATACACTTGACATTGCTTGTTGGAAGCGGTGGAGACGTGATGGTTGGGTGTGGGTTATTATGGTGGCCATGTTTCTGCTTCTGATATTGATATTGATACTGATGATGGTGTGGAGTATTATGTACTTCGATGCTGCTCCCAGACGGTGATACATGAATCAAAACAAGCAGTATAATATCGAAAAGCAACCTTCTTCTTCTCCCAGATTAGCTCCTACTGACTACCGTATGGATTATCGGAAAAGAAACCGCGGGATCGTTTGTATGTACTTCACGTTGAAGTCATAATGATCCTGGTTGGCGTTACCCGGTTATGATCTCATGTTTCGTTTTTCCCGGAAGGCGAAAAGAAAAAGGTGAATCCTCGACAGACGCTTGCGTTGATTGTTATTGTTATTGTTTTTATTGTGTGCTTTGAAAAATAAATAAAAAAACCAAACAAGAAACAAATAAGAATTATAGAGTGTTGTGGATGAGATTTCCGGCTCTATTCCCCATGGCTTCCCGAGTCCAACAGTTACTGGCCGCCGCGGCGCGTCCGCTGCCTGATATCTCAGATCCGAGCTTTGGCTCGCATTTCGATTCCTTTGCAGATTACAAGGTCATGCTGCTCGGGGATGGCAGTCATGGTACATCCGAGTTCTACTCTGCTCGCGCGCAGATCACTAAACGGATGATCGAGCAACATGGCTACAATATGGTCGCTGTCGAGGCCGACTGGCCCGATGCAGAAGTCATTGACCGATATGTACGACTGCGTCCCGGCCCCAAGGCGAAGATGGGGACCGGGGTCAGAGAAGAGCCGTTCAAGAGATTCCCTACTTGGATGTGGAGGAATCGAGAAATGCAGGACCTCGTGGAATGGATGCGAGATCGGAATTCGAAACTTCCTGCAGAGAAGAGGGCTGGCTTTTACGGTCTAGATCTCTATAGTATGGGAGCGTCCATTCGTGCAGTTGTTGATTATCTCGATCACGTTGACCCAGAGGCGGCCAAGGTTGCTCGTCGGAGGTATGGTTGTCTGCAGCGCTGGGTGGATGATCCAACCATGTACGGATTGGCTTCTGTCCAGGGCTTGGAGTCATGCGAGAGACAAGTGGTCCAGATGCTCCGTGAGCTTCTGGAGAAACGACTGCTGTATTCCGCAGACATACATGATGGTGAAGAGTTCCATAGTTCTGAGCAGAACGCCTTCGTGGTCCGGGATGCGGAAGCCTACTACAAGTCGATGTACTACAGCTCGGCCAGTTCCTGGAATCTGCGAGACACCCACATGTTCGAGACGCTGCGGCGCTTGCTCCAGTTCAAGCCGTCAGATTCCAAGGCAATCATCTGGGCGCACAACTCCCACTGCGGCGATGCGCGATATACCGCCATGGGCAGCCGCCGCAACGAGGTGAACATTGGCCAACTGTGCCGGGAGCACTTTGGCCGGGAGAATGTCACTATTCTGGGCTGCGGCACCCATACTGGAACTGTGGCCGCAGCTCATGAATGGGACGATGACATGGAAGTGATGCGAGTGAACCCGTCTCGCGCTGACAGTTGGGAGATTCTGGCGCACAATACGGGCATTCCTCGTTTCTTCGTGGATCTTCGGCCCAAGAGCACTGATCCAGAGCTGCGGACGGCCATGAGGGAGGAGAACCTGCGTCTGGAGCGCTTCATCGGCGTCATCTACCGTCCCGATACAGAGCGTATCTCCCACTACTCCCAGGCGTACCTCCACAACCAATTCGACGCCTATATCTGGTTCGACGTGACCAAGGCCGTGCAGCCTCTGGAGAAGGTGCAGCCCAGGACACCACTGGGAGTCGACGAGACCTATCCGTTCGGTCTGTAGATCAGGGGGTGTGCTGTGAGTTGCATGATATCATATTATGTCAGATGACATTCTTCACGAACGCGTCTGGCGCTTGGTGTTTACCATGGAGTCATGGACTGCAGGATGGTCATTCTTTTGGTTTCTGGAAGGCCGAGATGATATTGATAGTCGGCATGAACGGCGAACACGGGATCAAGGCGGATTTCCACGGTTATGTCATGATGTGTTGGGTATAAGTTAAGTTATGTATCAAAATAGGATCATCGTTGTCATTGGAGTATGTACTTCGTAGCGCATTCCTCGTAATCGATAAGGAGAGGGGGAGTGTTTCGTGTTGAATCAATCTATAATAATCTATAAAAATGCCCGCGGGGAAAAGCAAAGGCGGTGAAGTTTGACGTCAAGCGCGCCGTTTGTTTACACTTCCGTTTCGGGAAATCGAACATCAACGCTCTTCGCACTCTCAAGTTCCGCTCTCGAATCCCACCAACTCTCTCCATCCTCACCCCTTCATCCTCTCGTCCACCGTATTCTCGAACCATCATCCTCTATCCAGATTGCTGCACTCCTTTTGAACATCAATCGGCATGGTTCGCCGCTCCGCCCGCCTCAGAGGCGGCACGCCAACCGAGGTGAGTCAAGACGCTGTCAAAAAGCCACTCGGCCATAGCAACCCCATTTCTGCCCGCTCCTTCAGGAGACCCAACGGTGCGGATGACGACGTAGGGCCGCTAACAGGAAATACGAACCCAGGAAGCAAAGCCATCACCCGCAACGGTTGCAAAGCTGTCTGCTCTTACGGAACGCGATGAAACCCCCGAAGTTGGCTCGCAGCCCAACATCGAGACAGTCATGTCGACGCCGGCTACCAAGTCTGTCCAGGGGACGATGTCTGCATCCGCTACCAAGTCGCCGCTGACCAAGACTCCCACCACTGCCGGCGACGTCAAGCCACCGCGTGAAGAGATGCATCCGAGTAAAGCACGGCACAGCACGACCAAGCAACCAGACACTGGCCTCATTTTGGGCTTCAATCCTATCAAACGCGATGCGAACGGAAACGTGATCAAGGACGGAATCCTGGAGAGCACTCCCACCAAGGCGAGGTGTTCGCCGCGGAGCGACTTTGGCACGCCCGCATACGAGTTCAAATTCCCCCAGGACGCTCAGCTGAGCGAGGAAGCAAGAAAGCTCATGGAAAACGTTCGCGAAGATGTGGCTAGAATCAAAGCAAAGATGATTCTCGACAAAGCGGAACAAGCTCGTGAGGAGAGCAAGGCAACAGACTCACAGAATGCCAGGAAGATTGCAAAGCCTAAGGGTATGACTGGCCGTTTCAGCGAGGCTCATATGGCCGAATTCAAGAAGATGGACTCCATTGCAGGTCATCCGTCTGCTTTTAGAGCTACTCCAGGCCGTTTCCAGCCTGTTACAAAGCCTCTCAAGCGTAAGAGCTCGAAAGCCTGTCTGGAGGAGCGCTCCTCGCCTTCCAAAACTCCGACCACCCCATCCCGCATCGCAGAACTGGCCACAGCGAAGCGCATCAAGAAGTCGGAGGGTGATGATGCCTCTACCGGCCGATCTGAAAAGAAGGCGGACCAGCCCAAGATATCGCGGCCATCGGCCATTTCTCGTCCAAGGGCGTCTATCCGCAGTTCCTTGATGACACCAACCAAGGCCTCGTCATTGCGCTCTGCAACTGCCAAACCATCGAAGGTCTCCATGCTGCCTGTGGCACGCTCGCCTCTCTCCAAGATGACCACCATCCCACGCACTCCTCAGACGGAGTTCAATCCCAGATTGAAGAGTAACCTGCCGAGTCTTGGTAACCTTAAGTCGATTCTACGTCGTCATCAACCCTTGTTCTCCAACGACCCGGTGAAGATCGCAGCCGGCACGCACATCGCCTCTCCCGATTTCAATCCGGATATTCAGCTGGATAAACTGTCGTCGGTGAATTTCATCGATCCCGCCCAGACGCCTTCTCCGAAGAAGAGGGTTGAGTTCAGCCCAAGCACCAAGTCTCGTTACGAATTTGCCCTAGCGTCTCCTTCACCATCCAAGATCCCGGCACCCTCCACCAACACCCTCGAGTCTGACGTCGTCTATCCAACTCTGCCGCTCCAGACTCCCGAGAAGGAGAAGAGCGAACCTAGACAGAACAACGACAAATCGAAGACTCCTGCTATCCGTCTTGTTCGAGAATCTGCCCTTCCAGCTGCCCCAGAGAGCCCGTTTCCCAACATGCCTGCTGTTCCACATGGCATCAACAATAAAAAGCGCCACCGGGATAACGAAGATGATAAGGACGCGGAGCCGGAGAAGAACGAATCCAAAGAGGACAGCGACAAGCCGAAGACCCCTGCCATTCGTCGTGTTGGAAGATCCGCTGCGCCGCCAAGTCCGTTCCCCAACATGCCTGCTGTTCCGCATGGTATCAACAATAAGAAGCGCCACCGGGACAGCACAGATGAGAAGGACGTGGAGAATATCCCACCAGAAGCGAATGACGAACGAAGCAGCAAACGTCAGAAGATGAGCTCTACTCCCGTGGCCAAGGTTGCGACCCCTAGCCCTCTGAAGAAGCAGCCTATCAAGAGTGCGACTCCCAGCCGCATCCTCCAGAAAAAGCAGGCGACTCCTGCTAGTGCTCGAGACAGGGGCAAACGAATCCTGAGTTTGAGTCGTCTGAACATGCTCGCCAAGCCAAAGCAGCGCACCTAAATCTCTACCTACGACTCATGTCGGAAAGTCACTTTCTCGACGAAAATTGTACCAACACTCCGGGCTCCCATCTATCGGAGCCAAGGACTCGGGGCCCGGGGAACAACAGCCTGGTGAGCTTCTGCTCAGTATTGGTTCCTAAATGTCACCGCAAAACTCGGGTGTATTTCTCAACTCACCCCTTACGCCTTTCATGAATCATTAGATTGAAATAACTTCTCCTCGACGCCTCGTACGTTGAGTTTTGTCTCAGTGACACATTGTTTTCGGCGTTCTAATCAAAGAATCCAGAGTGATGGTCGTTTGGCGTTTTGTGGTTGAATCCTTTTGTGATCTTCCCTTTTTCCTCTTTCCTCTCAGATCTTTCCATTCCATTCCAAATACGTGTGCATGATCCAGGGATGCGAATGGAGCTCACATAGTTATCATCAAGACAAATCTTCATGGGTTCCTGTTTGTGTGGGATGTGACTGGATCACGTTTCATCTCTCTGCTCTTCTTGTTAATGCTTGGGTTCCTCCGAAAGCATGCCTACTTGCTACGGGGTTAATTTACCACAAAAATGCTTTCTGTTTCTACTTTCCACCAGTGCATATTGCTTGCTGTTTTTTTTTTTTTTTTTTTTTTTTTTTTTCTTTCTTGCTATCTTGCTTCCTGTGTAAAGTAAATTGGGGTAACTAGTTTATCTGCTGTTTTGAATCTGAGTAAGATATTATCATATTCAATAAGGAATCATGTACGTTGTACTATATTGCTATTATTATTTAGATACACATAATTAATTTTCGGGGTAGCAATGATATTGTTCTCTCTAGGAAAAGGAAAAAAGAAAGTATCGTAAAAGAATCTCTCCCATGTGCACCATTTCCATTTCCATTTCCGCATCTGATTCTGGAAGAAAATCATCAGTGTACTAATATCTATCTAACTAAATACTAATACAAGAGAAAGTAAAAAAAAAAAAAAAAAAGGTCATCTCATCTCTCTCTCTCTTTTCCCCCTTCTTTCCTTGCATATGCTAAGCAAAAAAAAAAGACATGCAACGAAAACGGGGTACCAATTCAGGATAATGAAAATAACAAGAAAAAAAAAAAGAAAAGTAGTTCATAAATGATGCTAATAATAGAACAGGGTTCGTTCGTTTCTTCGTGTCTCCGTCCTGACGCCTTCGACCAAGTAAAGGGGAAAAAAGATAAGCCCAAGATGAAATGCATCCAAATCGGGAGAAGAAGAGAAAATGAGAAAAAAAAAAGTTACATAAGTACATAAAAGGGGATAAGGGAGGGAAGGGGGGCTTCAGGTAGGTTATCCCTTCATAGTGTGCAGGAAGGAATCTAGGTCGTATTCTTCCTGGTATTGTTTGTCGTCCCAGAGTTCGCCGAGATCGTCGAGCCAGCCTTTCTTTCCCTTTTCTTTGACTTCGCCGTCGATATCGACCATGTCGATCTCGTTGCCCACGGCTGCGTCGCCGGGTTTCTCGGCGCCTTCGGCTGTTTCGCCTAGGTTGAAAAGATCCAGTAACTGGTCGGTATCCATGGTGTTGAGGCCGGCGTTTTGTTGGTTGACCACCGTCGAGGCGACATCGATCTTGAAGCGTTGGAGACTGGGCAAGGGTTAGCACGTGCTTGTAATGTGAGTTGATATGGGCAGCATGGTAACTTACTTCAAAATCTTTTCCTCTAGTGTGCCTCTGGTAATCAGACGGTAGACATTGACGACCTTCTTCTGGCCGATACGGTGAGCACGGTCCATAGCCTGGATATCCTTCTGCGGGTTCCAGTCATGTTCCACGAAGATGACCGTGTCGGCACCAGTGAGATTAAGACCAAGACCACCCACACTCGTTGTCAAAAGCAGCACATCGTAACTGGGATCGGTGTTGAATTGATTGACGATACTCTGGCGCTTCGTGGCCTCCACACTACCATCAAGGCGGAGATACTGTACCGAAGGAAGCAATTTCTTGAAAACATCGTTCTGTACGATATCGAGCATCTCCTTCATTTGACAGAACACCAGAGCGCGGTGTGGGCTGACATAACTGGCGCCAGTGTCCAGTTCACCTTCATTGCCCGGATCAGCACCGATACCGCAGTCAAGGAGGAGATCGCGAAGAGCGGTAAGTTTGGGTGCATGGGAGATGTCCCGGATGTGCGAGTGTTTAGCAGCGAGATACCTCTGGACCTCGTCATATTGTTTGTGTCCCTCCTTCACAACGAGGGCAGGGGAGTTGCACAAGCGACGCATGTACTGCAGAGCCTGGAAGATATGTTCCTTGGCAGCCTTGTCTGCACTTCCGACCTTCTGCACAAGGTCCTTCTGTTCCTTTTTCGTGAAGTCTTCGAAAAGCTTCCGTTGCAGCTCACTGGGGTCGCAATAGTAGTTCTGCAGGATCTTCGGGGGCAGATCGTTAAGCACTTCCTCCTTAAGGCGGCGCAGCAAGAACGGAAGGACTTGCTTGTGGAGCGCTTCGATTGCCAGGGCACCAGCCTCTTGTTCCTTCGAGGATGACTTGCTGAAGCGACTAGCCGCAATTGGTTTCGCGAATCTATCCAGGAACACCTTCTCCGTCCCCAAGAATCCTGGCATCAAGAAGTCGAACAACGACCAAAGCTCCAAAACATTATTCTGGATGGGGGTTCCCGACAAGATGAGACGATGGTTGCTAACGAGACGCTTGACTGCCACCGTGATCTTGGCCTTGGGATTCTTGATGAGATGACCTTCGTCGAGAACACAGTAATTCCAACTAATGGGCATAAACACATCATTGTCATTCCTGCAAATATCGTAGGATGTAATCACAATGTCTGCAGACTCGAGCTGGCCCTTGAGTTTGGAACGTTCCGCTGGAGGCCCGACATAAGCCAAGGTAGAGAGGAAAGGTGCGTATTGTTTGATCTCTTGCTGCCAGTGTCCTGACAGTGTTGGGGGGCAAACAATCAGAGAGGGAAGCTTGCGGACTTCCGGAGCCTGGGTCTTGGCGAACTCTTCGGCCCTCATGTGGTGGTCACTTGCAACAATGCAAATGGTCTGCAAGGTCTTACCCAGGCCCATGTCGTCACAGAGAATGCCATGTAGGTTGTAACGATTGAGGAAAGCAAGCCAATTCACCCCCTCTTGCTGATAAGAACGGAGCTCTGCCTTGATGGCGACGGGGATCTGGAACGGTTCGACCTTGCGCACATCCAGCATCTGGGACATGAACTTCCTCTCACGGTCACGGCCCTTGAGAAGTTCTTCCGACAGGCCTGGCGGGTCCGGAATGCCGGCCTCAAGAGGAACAAGCTTAACAAGGGTTGCAAACGATGTAGTGGCGAGAAGTCTAACATCATTGTCCGAATCGCTCATTCTTCCCAGAACAGGGACGACCAAGAAAATGACATATGGCAGAATCTCATCTTCCATCACGTGGATCAAGTGGTAGATACACTCGATGGCGCCCTGGCGATAGTGAACATCCAGAGCATTGTTGATGGTAGGAAGAACCTTTTCCACGAGCATAGTCATGCCCTCCACTGTGATCACACTACAGATAGTAGCGAAACACTTGGCGGCCGCATACCGGATAACCGAAAGCTCGCACTGAAGAGCCTTGGCAATAATGGGCATTAGGTCGATCACCCACGGGTAGAGACCACGATCAAACTTGGGAAGAAGGGCACGAAGCGTAGAAAGGCCATCCACAACCTCCTGGCCGAGCTCATTATCAGGCTCCCGGATGCTCTTTGGTAGTTCCCCAGCCAGGGCATCCCGCAAAGGTCGCTCGATAAGCGCAGCCAGATTAGGCACCTTCTCAAGCAAAAGCGGGCCGAATTTGGAGGCCAGTTGTTCCAGAGCCTCTTTGGCTCCTCGTCGCATGATCCTGGCTTCCCTGGCTTCTCTCTCGAACTTGGCAGCATCAGGATGGTCTCGTCGATCTTCTTCTTTCCTAAGGGACAAGATAGTCTTTTCGAGGTGGGCGTTGTGCTGGAACTCTGGAGTTTCCGAAGTATCGACACAGCAATACTTGACCAGGTTGCCAATGACTTTGTCCACAGGGCCACGTTTCGCAGCTGCGGTGTAGTAGCCGACCAGGATGGAGATCGCAGTGGCCGACCGTTGCTGAAGTTCAGCGTTCTCTTCTTTCTTAATGCTGTCCATCATGCCCTTGATGATCTGACTTGGTTTCTTGGGGATATCCTGCATAGCCACCAGAGCACCCGCGGCCGCGGCTCGGATACGCATGTCTCGGATATCCTTGACAGCCTTGGCTTCCTCTATCGCTATCGTCGCAGTAGATCGAGTATCATTCAAGAGTTGCAGAGCAGTAACGCGCTGGGCCGGCGTGAGGCTCTTCTTCAACCGCTCAAAGTCAGGGCCGATAACCTTTTCTGCGTCGGCGATAGAAAAGGCATTGGGCCCAGCTTCAGTATCACCTTGGACGACGACAGCAAGCGTCGGGAGTCTTGAAGGAGGCACATGGCCATGATCTCTAAAGGCATTGAGGAGAGAATGGCATTGGGCCCTGGCAATTTGCAGATAGCAAGCGATATCACTGTACCATGACGGGCGTTCGGTTTCGACAACTGGACGTAGCGATTCGCACAGGAGCGACACGTACTTGCTGCTGGTACCGTTCTTCCTTGCGTATTCTTCGACAATCATCGAAGCAACGAGTTGAGAGCTTGATGCCGGCCAGTTGATGCCGGAAAGAATAAGTTGCCAAAGACTTGGCAGCTCGTGTTTATCCCACAGCGTCAAGAACTCTCCGAGAGCCTTCGCAGAATAGATCTTCGATCTCATGAGAGTCTCAGCTCCCACGAGGTCGACATCACCTTGAAGCATGTGGCCATCCACATTGTGGGTTGAAGGGAGAGCAACCTCCTTCTTCTCCGATTTACGTCTGCGTCCTTTGGCTGGTTGTTCCGCAGCAGGTGTGGAAGCACCGGGAGAGGCAGACTTTGCAGGAGTAATCGCTGCACTCGAATAGGGCAATCCAGATGGTTTGATAAACAACGAGGTATTCATCGGTATCGGATATCGGGGAACTCCAAATGGACCCAGACTCAGGGTGATCAGCGGCTGGACGTGAGAGACCAATTCGCCTTCTGATTTGAAGAAACCACGACTCTCCAGGGCTTGGAGAAGCTCTGACCAGACCTGGAGAGATTGTTTCAAGACACCCTCGTTCCGCTCGACCAACAAGTTCTGGAAAACAAGTCTCATAGTCTTCCCATCCACCCAGGCATTCGTTCCTTCGCCCTCCAGTTTGAGGAAGGTCATCAAGGCTCTGAGAACAGCCGCTCGTACACTCGTAATTGTGTGACGGAGGAAAGGATACAGACGTGGGACCAGGTTAGCAAAAGACGCTTCCGGGTCGTCCGCGGCATTCGCTTTCATGGCATCGAGGATCTCAGGGAACGTGCAGAGCTTTGCTAAGAGATCCATCACGGATCCAGTACTCGCGCTCAGGTCGTCCTGCAAGTTGGAAAGACAGTCCCACACGATGTTGATGAGTTGGTTCAAAGCGCCAGCCCGAGAGGAGACAACCTCTCCGGCAATTGGGACCAGAGTAGCCGCACTGACAGCCCGGACATCGTCGTCGTAGTCTCCGAGACCCTTCATGACAGCTTGTAGGACTCCATCGACTAGTTTGGGATACTTTACTAGCAGGTCTTTTCGAACCGCTACGAGATATCTCAATCCAATCATGCCACCATGGCAGACCTCCCAAATGGGACGATCCAGACCCAAATCCGATTGCATGATGATCCTATGAAGAATGTTATAGACTGCAACGACTGACTTGGCCGGCAAGTGGGACAACAGAGCGCCAAGAGTCTGGCCGACTGTCTCTCGAATGGGAGCGACAACATTGTCAGAAATGTAGTCACCGAAGCGGTCCAGCATAAAGACACAGACGAGTCGACAGGCCAGATCATCCAACCATCGGCGGTTCAGAGCATCGTTCTCAGCCCTACTTTTCCCATGCACACGCCCAGCACCCAAACCCTGCACCCGGATGACCTCTCGCAATCCCATTGCAGCTCCGTGACGGATCTCCCAGTTTGGATCAAAGAGATCCACCATGAGAAATTCACAGACGTGCTCGTAAGGCCATGTCAGGCCTTGTTCTTCGGCTTCCGTCTGGATCACAGGCTTTTCAGGGACAACGGCGCCCTTAAACTCGGAGACGATCTTCGAGTCATCATCCCCGCCGTCCCTGTCGAGCGAGAAATAGTCTGGCTTCTGCTCCCCATTGCTTTCCTCGGTTTTGATCGGGTGGGGGGTAGGAACGGGCGCGGGCGTCGATACCTGATCGGAAGGTTTTCGACCAGACACATCGACCACGCGGACCTTGTTTGCGCCCATCTTGGCGTTCTGCTTGTTTTTGCGCTTGAGCTGATTCAGCTGGCGCTTGCTTAGACCAGACTCATCGCCGTTGGGATGTTCTAGGGGGGATGGATGAGGGGAGGAAGCGTTTTGGACGCTGTTCTGGCGCGACAAAGCCGGCAGAGACGTGTCCAGCTTGGGACGTGACTGTTGCTGCAGGGTGAGGTTGAGGTCATTATCGTCAATGAGCTCGTCCTCGAGATACTCCCCAGCGAGACCCAGCCGCGACGTCAAGGTCTTCTTCTGCTGCTGTAATCGGGAGGCCGGGTCCATGGCGGCCAGAGAGTATTCATATTCCTTGCCGGCGGTGCCAAGCAGCTTCTTGCCGTACTTGAGAACCGAGGAGATGTCGAGACGCTCGAGTTGCAGAAGCGAGTCGTCTTCCGGTAGACCATCACCTTCTTGCTTGATATCAACGTCTTGGTCATCCTCTGGCTTCTTGATCCCCTGGCCATCATCCTGGTTGGGGTCGAAGGGCTCTGCATTGGCGGCGATCAGCCCGATGGCCTTGGCGGCAGCCGTCCGTGTGTCCCATGACTTGGACCGGAGATACGGCAGAATGCGACCTAGCAGATTAAAGAGCTCATCTGGATGCTGCTTCTGCACATCGGCCAGTTGCTGGGCGGCCGTGTTTCTGATGACCTGAGTACTGCCGGTCTCGAGCAGCCTACGTACATGATTGGTCAGTCCGGATGAAGGCCATGATTGGCTGCGGCGGGAGGATACTCACGTGACCAGACGATCGAGCCTAGCGAGGAAAACGGTTAGCGCGGTATCGCGGGATGCAAGGGCCGGTATGGCGGAAAACGGTAACTTACCTGGAAGTCATGGCGGCGTTGCAATAATCATGCAATAATAAATATTACCTAGTATGATTAACGGGCTCGCCACTAAGTAAGGCGGCAACTGGGAAGTAGATGACCTCAGGTCACGGCGCAAGCAGAACGGGACTGTAAATAACACGAGGCAATATTGATACAGAGCATGCGCAATGAGGCCGACCGCCTCCGGGTATCAGCGCGCGATCAGAGCGAGCGACGAGCGACGGTACAGCGACAAAACAAGCCGGACGCCCAGAGAGCTATGGCTAAGGCCAGCACGCGTCGTCCATCCGCGGCAGCACGATGGGTCGGGGGGAAGAGGTGGCGAGTGGAGGGGGGGTTCAGCTAGGGCAGTTAGCTAGGGCAGAGTCGCAAGAGTCGTTGCTGCGGGCTTTGGTTGCTGACTGCGCTGGATCATCGAGTTTTCTTCGAGGTCACGCAGCCTGTTTATATCATTGGGGCCATCTGGAGGCCGGCGCGCCTACCCATGTTTTGCGCGCCGTGCCCTAAACCGCTTTCGGTGCTAGCGCCTCCACACGGGCAAAGGGTTTTTCAGGGTCACGTGAGATCAATCCCGCCGCGCGATTCTCTGCTCGCTGTGTGGGCGATTTTCTTCCGTGATCGTCGACTCTCTGCCCCCTGCGTGGTCGGTCTGCGTCTTCATCCAACTGCCAAGCTAAATGCCAGATGGCCTCATCACAGCCGCAGATACCTGACGGGGGTTCGCGGATGACAGCGTCTATCGAGTATGCGGGATACGTGGAGCAGGACTGCTCTAACCATCAGATCGAGAGGAAACATCTGGCGAGATTCTGTCAGTCTTAGTCGGTCGCTCTATGAGTCTTTGATCTTTGGGTATTCTGCCTGACAAGGATCTACATACAACCTTAAATCTTCTATCTACCTGAGGGATTACCCGTGTGGCAGTACATGTAACTACCGGGAATATTCCACCGCTGCTGCTGGCCTGTGTAGCCGACATATGTACATTCCAGCTATAATCTTCTACATTGTCTTGTCCCCTTAGGGAACTGGCCGTTGAAAGACGTACTCTAGTCTTCGTCTAACGGGTCAGCAATGGTTCAATCAGAGTGCTTTGATTACTGTGTACAATGGATGTGGAACCCCTCCGTCGAGCAGACATTATGGGAGCATATTTTTATATGATATCTACTTCGCGCTCCAAATAGCCCTGCCAGCGGAAGCTGAGTCCTGTTCTCCTTCTTTTCAACTCCAGCAGATAGCTTTTTTTTTCTGGGAGTAAGCGCGATCTTTCGGGTAACCAACCACCGCTACCATATAGTAGCAGATATAGTAGTTCGCGTTCTGATCTCAGACTCTCCCCACATATACGTAAAAAAAGAATGCTGCAACAGACTGGACACGCAGAATCACACAGTCAAATCGGATATCAATGGTTTGGCATTTCCTGTACACATTCAATTGTATGCTCTAGCCGGGAAGAAAAAGGAACAAAGACGAGAACCCCCAAAACAAATCACGCCCACGGCCAAGTTTCTTCTCATGCCTTCAGCACCGCAGCTGTCTCTTCCTCCTTGCCTATCAGTCCCAGGCTCCGGATCTGTTCGGCCTTGGGTGCGTTTTCTCGTGGGTGGGCGGCCTCCGCCTTGCGGTAGGCGGCTTGCATCTTCATCGTTCGCAGGGCCTGGTTTTGCCAGTCATCAATCGTCAGCGTCTCATCATTCAGACTACAAATCTCCAGCATTGCCCGCCTTCCCTGGTCCGTCGATGGCAAGAGGGGAGGGTGTGAATCCCGGGTTTCCATGCGTACCTCCTTCTTGTGGTGCAGGCACTCATAGTAGTCCTCGTAGGCGGGGATACACTTCTTCTTTCCAGTGTCACCCTCTCCGCCATTGACGACGTAGCATCCTAGGAGCTCTTGCCAGAAAGCAAAGCAGCGTGAAGGGCCTGAGATGCAGTGGATGGTTAGCCGGTGGCGCGGAAGCGTTTTGCAAAAAACGACGGAAATGCGCAGGCAGACAGCCTAATTGGGGGCGAAACAAATATCAATGCGTGCCAATGCAGGACATACCGCCATTGAGACCGTAACCAGAGGCCATTTTGTCGCTCGAAAACGGGGGTGGAGGGGTTCGTCCGGGGTAGATCGGTGCAACTGGACGTTCGACGCTGGACTTGACGTTCTGCCGGCAAAGGCGCCGCGGTTGGTCCAAGCTTCGCCTTGACGTTGCTCCGCCAAACGGAATCCGGCCACATCAGTAAGTAGTGAGGAGTGCTTGCTGTCCGGTCTGATCAAGGCTTTCGACGGCCATGTGAGATCGCACCATGGCTGTTCTTACCGGGTTGTCAAATGCTCATGCCATTCTGCTCGCTACTCACCTCTGCGCAAATGGACATGTTGCTGCGCTGCCGCTGCTACACGCCCGGTTTCCTAACGCGCTCCATCTAGAGCGCCTGCTCCGGATCATATTGACCTATTTACCGGAAAGCACAGAACCCCAGAGCTACGCATCTGTTCTCCAGGCGCTTGTCGACGGCTCTCCCGCTGAAACAAAGGAAGATGATATTGACGTATCGTCTGTCAAGAACTTAGAGGTCACAGTTGCGCAAAAGCGTGTGCGGAAGCTCCGTTTACTACCGTTACGGTATCCAGGCGACGAAGAAGACGAGGATCCCCTGACGCAATTTCTAGTCCATCGTGCTCATCGAATCGACACCGAGACGGGTCTGCAGACCCTTGTTCTGGATCTCCTGTTGCCCTTCTACCAACGCTCCGAAACGATTCGCACATGGCTGATATCCGTCATACTACCGCTGCTACGACTGAACTATGAATATTACCCGGACAAAGAAGATACAGTTGCGATTGAGACGATAGAGTCTATGGACGATCAGACAGCAATCAATGTTCTGTTATCAATCACAGGCCCTGACGAGAACAACATGGACCTTGCAAGAAACTTGAGAGGACTGATCGGCGCGTGGATGTACGGAGCTGGTCGATCAAAGCGGCGCAAGCTTAATCAGCCTCAGGATGCTTCGATATCAGCCTCGCAGAATACGACAGCTAGACGAGAAATACAAATGTCACGCTGGCAGGACGTTAACGAATGGTTGCTGTCACGAAGTTTGGTGGATTATGACCGTGTCGTGGGAGCTTTTGCAAACTGGAACGGCCCCGATGATGTGGACCTTGGAGGGTATGAAGAAGGCACGGTGTTACAACCCGATGAAGCTGCTGAGCTGAAAAGGCGTTATGGACAGACTGGTCTCGCCGCTGTGTATGCGAATCCAGACACCAGCAGAAAGGCGCTGGAGGGTTCTTTCCAAATTGCAAAGAGGGTTGCTCAAGTACTGGATTTGGAGCAGCATTTTTCTGCTGAAATGGACGAGGCGGTTCTTCCCACTCTGGAATTCGCTATGGACTCCATCTCTTCAACAACTCGAGCGTCATTGCTCCAGAACAACCTGTTGGTTCGTTCGAATCCGCTGACGCTCCCTACGCCAGAGTCAGTTGCGTTCATTAACGCCCTTCTGATCTCGCTCCGTACCTTGGACGAGCTTGGCCGTCAGATGCCTTGCAGGAGTGCGGCCAATATCTGCCTACACAGCAACGATGAGAGCCAGTTGTTGGAGTTGCGGGGTCTCGTGGAAACGATAGCAAAGCATGCTAGACCCGGGCGCAGCTGGGTTAATGTACGTCAGCAGGTGCTCTGGCTGCGAGACTGGCGAGCCCCTGATGATGCCCCCTTCGATGGTTCGGGCCAAGCCCATCATGGTCTGTTCTGGCGAGTTTCACGAGCTGCAGCTGAGACCGAAATACTCAAGGCGATGCTGGCAACGAAAAGCCCAACCGGTACGTCCTATGCAAAATGCAGATCTGTTCCTATTTACTGACTATTTCCAGATGTCCAAGTGGCTGTGGACATTTACACGAAATCTGGAGCGTCTGCTCTGAGTCCCGAGGAAGTAGAATCTGCAGTAAAGGAAGCTATCTTCACTGCCTATGACAATGCAAGCAATGGCAACAAGACAAGAGGTGGAATTAAAAGAGCCGCAGAGATGTCAGTCATATTTCCCAATGTCTCAGCTTATGGCATCGCTAACCTGCAAACAGTCTACAAGCTTTTCGACCACATTTCCCGAACTCAACCTCATTCAAACAGATCGATTCGCTCATTGCTGCCACGCATGCCTTGTCTTTCTACTCCCTCACGCTGCAGCATGGTGTGCCGTTCCAACCTGTCAGCATTCGGGTCCACCCTGATCCGATCTATCTGATCGAAAAGGTCCTCGAGCAAAATCCCAAGAGCTATACAAAACTGGACGATCTCTTGTCAATCGGACGCAACCTCGTAGGTGCCGGTCTGGTACCGTCACCGAATGGCGAATCGTACCCCGAAGATTATTTACCAGCTGAACCCCCTGAGAAGGCTACTGTGACGACCGAGCGACGGATCATATCCTTGGCCGTCTCATCCGCTCTTGCATCAAATGATTTCGGCACCGCCTACTCCTACATCCTCACTCGTCTCACGCCTCCATCTCTTCTCCCTAACTCCTCAACTCCAAACCCCGCAATCGAGGATGACATCTCGTGGCGCGCAGCATATAACGCAGGCCGCCACCGGTCCACTACTCCCGAGTCGCCAAGTCCCAATCTCCAGTCACAGATCGCCCATCTGTCCCAGCGCATGGAACTACTATCTCTCGCTCTCGTCCTCGCCCCCCCAGAACCACTCCCCGAGATCCTTGGAGCCTGGCGCCGTTGCGACGAAGAGCTCAGCGTCCTCCACGCCCGCGAGAACGACGAAGCAGAGCTCTGGGACCTGAAGGGCGACAAAGCCTCCCTAACAGCTGTCCCAGGCGGCTTCGGTCCAACAGACAGCGAACTTGACGCATTCGAAAACGAACAACAGCGCGCCAGACGCGCCCGCGCCCGACAAGACCGCAGCAACCGCTCCATGTATGAAGAAGCACCCATGGGTCTATTCGACGTTGCTCGCGGCGCCGCCCGCGCTATCAGCAAGAACGCCTTCCCTCTCCACAGCGCCATCTCCGCCTCCGCCTCTTCCTCCTTCGCCACTGCTGAAGGAGGATCCAGCATCCACGGCCGGCCCAGCGAAGACGGCAGTATCGCTTCCCCGACAGGCGAGCATGGCGAAAGCCGCGTCCGCAAACGAGACATGGTCAGTAACATGGTCACTGGCGGTCTAGCTACCGGACTCGGATGGGTTCTAGGCGCTCAGCCTGTTAATCGATGAGATGAGATGAGAAGAAAAGTAAAAAATACAAAAAGAGAGAGAGAGAGAGAGAGAAACGGGTATTTTTCATATTTACATATTACTTATCATATTCTTTTTCTTTTTTTTCATTGTTCCTTTTTAGCGTGGAGTTCCGATGGGTTTCTGTCTTCTTTGATCTTGCTTGGTAGGTCGTCGATAGTTATGGTATATCAAGGGAGAGAAAACAGTTAAAAGTTAATGAATCAAGCACCTGAATGCTGCATCTTCTCTTCATATTAGAATTTCTATCCATATAGGCTATTCTTTCCCTTCTTTTCATATACGCTCCCTCCTCAACTAACTAGTTATTTCTTGTTACTTGCTAAGTAGTATATTCTAGTTATTATGGACAAGCAAGAAGTGGGAATCGAGCAAACAGATATTATTCCCGTTTGCATATGTACAATTATTCTGTTCAGAAGAGCCAAATGGTAACTAGAGAGAAATAAGAACGGGTCGAATGCAGATTCCCGTCCTGGTCCAGCATCAGAAAAAAAATACATATTCGAATGGGCGAGCAAAAGGTAAAATTTATTTTCCATCTTTCACAAAAAGACTCCCCATCTTTCGGACACGGTCCCGGTTATGTCCCGGTTGCATATTCTCCCCCTGCTTGAAAACCAGATCATGTTTCCAGGTGCTTTCGTACTTCTCTCTTTTTTTTTTCTGTCCTCGACGAATCGAACAATGGGAAGTCAAAATCCGACGCAATGTCTGTAATCTGGGGACGAAACAAAGCACAAGGTTTCATCAAAAAGTGTGAAGGTGCGACTGTAAAGTCGTGATCGAAGGAAAGACGTGAAGGTATATCATCCAACTCCGGATTTCTCCCAAAAAAGTGTAAAGGAGAGGCATGCTGTTGACGCTGATACAATCGAGCAAAGGATGGTGTCGTGATGTACGAAACGGTCGTGTGACAGCCAGGTCGAAACGGCGAGAGGGCCAGCCACTCTTAAAGTCGAGAAGAATTGAGGCAAGGTGTGATTAATAGTCGGAGACTGGTGCGTGGAGAAGTGACTGGTAGGAAGCAAGTGTGACCCTGGAATGCTCTAATCTTTCCAGTCCCACACTTGCTTCACGAATTGGGCCATATTCACTTTCTTGTTCTTCATATCCACCATCCACGGATGTTCCAGCATCCGCCAAGGAGTGGCTCTTCGGGACGGCTCTTTCTCAAGGCTGTACGAGACAAATTAGCATGGAGCATCATCACCTGCTCGTTGGAGTTCACATACCAGCATTCGATAAAGTACTTGAAATTATCAGACCAGTGGATTCCGTGATCCGGCTCATCCTTGAGTTTCGGAATAGGCTGGCGGACAATATAGGTGAGCAGGTCAATCAGTCCCGCGCGTGGCTGCATCTCTGTGCCGTCCGCAGGGAACGGGAAGCGGTGCTGAGCGACTTCCAGCAGTGTCACACCGAGCGACCAGACATCCGAAGTAATGGTATATGATTGACCAGTAATCCGCTCCGGGGCCATATAATACGAAGTTCCAATGAACGTGTTTGCGTCTCCCTTGGTGCCGAACTCTCCGCTAACACCGAAATCACAGAGCTTAACCTGACCATTTCTGCACAGCAGGATATTCGATGGTTTGATATCTATGGGAATTAGCTGCAGTACCAATATATCGATGCGTCTCAGCATACCTCTGTGAATAATCTTCCGGCTGTGGAGATACGTCAAGCCGTTCAAGACGCCTTCTGCAACCTTGCCCAAGACCTTTTCGCCTGTCCGTCCTCCTAGTTTCTTCACCTCCTTGTAGATACTGTCTAGACTACCTCCCTCGCAGAACTCCATCACGATAGAGATCGTACTAGTCGATTTATCCATGAACGCTCCGTAGTAGCGACAGATGTGTTCCGACGCGCAGTCCTTGTTGAAATTGAGCTCTCTCACAATCTGCTTTTTCACATCGGGATTCGGGTCCGTGGTGATGATCTGGACACAGACCGTATGTTAGCAACCAGCTTCTACGGCAGACAAATTCTGTCAATTCCCACCTTCAATGCGAAGACGGTCTTGCCGCCCTTCAACATGCACCTCGTCACGGCACCCCCAGCACCTTCTCCCAGACTACCCAGTTCGATGATTTTCTTCTGCTCACTGGCAGCTAGCCAGCCTTCGTCATCCAGATCCTCGACATCGAGCGGCCGGCCCTTCTCCAAACTCAGCTTATCCAGATCGGGCAAAAGACCGTTCACGCTGTTTTCCCGTTCCATCGACACACCGCCATCTCGATCCGAGTACACCGAACTGATTGCTGAGGATGGATCCGGGGTGCCACCGTGGGGTTGCCGGAGCATAGCGAACGACAAAGCGGAGTATGTCGACGACGATGCCGACGCTGGACCGCTTCCCTTGCCCTCTGTATTCGTAGCGCTCCCATTTCTCGAGTGGCCATTTGGATCACTGGGACGTAACGAGCCTCCCTCCTGTGGCATCTGCTGGGATCCCATGGGAGTAGCCAGTCTGAGCTGGGGCGGGGCTGGCCGGCTCGAGGGCCGTTGCAGCTTGGGGAGTTCGGGCAGGGCGGCATTTCCCTCTGGATTCACTGGTCTGGCATTGGGCGAAGGCGGGATTCCCAGTGTGAGGCGAGGAGTTCGCGATCCTGAGTTGTTGCGGGCACGAGGGACGGGGGGTTTGAGCAGCGGCGCAGGTGAAGACATTGTGAGATTGTTTTGCCCCTCACAAGGCAGAAACAACTCGTTTGGGTCAGCCAGAGCGGCAGCCAGCTCGTGAACTGGGAGGAGAATTCAGAGGCAGAAGCGACGACAGGTTCGACTTGGAGCCTTGGAGATACTGGAGAGTTCGACTAGTTACTCCTCACTTAGGCGGTCCAGCGTACACGCGGCGCAGTTGCGTCGGAGCCCGGCGGCGGTCGATCCAAGCCGGGAGTCGCGAGCAGCTCACGGACGAGCAAGTCTCAACAACACACACAGAGAATGGGAAGAAGAAAGGGGAGAACGAGCGTCAAGCAATCAAGCAAAGCAAGAAGAAGAAAAAAAGTGCGATGGGCAGCGTTGATGGAAGTTCGTCCAGACCAGACCAGAACAGAACAAGAACAAGAACAAGAGACAAGACCAACTGCCCCCTGCGAGTGTTCGGGCAGGCCCGTTGCTCAGCCGCTCACCACGAGCCCCAGCACGAGCCCACCGGCGAGGGGATTTCACCAACTAGACTCATCAGCGCCTCTCCAGACCCTCAAGACGCTCAACCATAAGCGCCCAGCACAGCAGATCTTCTCCCACAGACCCAGTCACATCACGGAAGCCCATCCGGGGCGCCAGCTCGTCCGGTCGAGAGCGTCGTCGAGGCGCCCGTCCGCGCAGCCGCAGCTGCTGAAACATCCAACGCCGGTCTGTATCTGACTGAGACAGCTTGATGTCACCCAGTGGGACTCTAAAAATGGCCGCGCTTTGTTGACAGCTTGTTGGACATTGGCCAGGCAGTCCAATCCAGCCCGTTGGAGCCACAGCACTACTAGACATCAGCATGATGCCACAGGGACATGGACGGGGATAGGGAACAAGGAGAACTGCGCCATCTTCCCTTACTCGAGAGTAGAGAGTATCTATTCTTAGAGAGAAGGGAGCACAATCATCCTACGGAACTCACGGCCAGGAATCATCACATTACAAGCAGATCCGGACGCGCAACCCTCTCCTACAAAGCCAGGGATGTAGATGTTCTGTTCCCTTTTGAGTCTTTGACAGTCGTAGAGAAGAGGGTAACTATAACGAGGTAGTAATTTGAGGAAAGGAGAAAGCCATTTCTGGTAGACAGGAAGTCTATCACTTTACCTTCTGATAGTTGCCGTTCACAACAATGCTTGTTTCTTCCCCGTCTACTCTACATATCAAGCAGGTCAATACTCGACAGGATCACCCACATGTATATATACTAGTTAAATATCATCATCTACTATCATCTCTCAATCTGCTCATGAAAGGTAAATCGATCAACAACCGAGTTCCGATGCTGTATCCGGACGTATTTTCAACATCACATCATCCAGGATAAGTCGCTTTCAGAGTAACACAAGACGTCTTTCATCCCCTTTCAACGAGACACTGCAGGTAGTCTTTATTAGCAAATCCTCCAAAATTATCACAAGGACTTCCCGTGTCCGTCTTCGTCAAGTCTGCCGCTGCGAACCATCCAGGCAAATAATGCCAAGCACGCCCACATGGCCAGGAACAACAGTCAAACAAAAAAGCCCAAGGTTCATTCCCGAATTTATGCATGCCCTGTTGTACATACATACATTCTATCACTTATTCCAGGACCGTAGTGCAATAATAATAGCATGTTTAAATTACCCTCCCCATCTTCCACGGTCTCGAACAAGATATATGCCCAGATGGTGGGGCGAGGCGACTAAAAAGAGATTAACTCTGGTCATTATTGGACGTTCTAGACTTCAGGTAATAATACGTAGCTGATCTTGAGTAAAACGATGCCTGGGGCTTTTGATTCAATTTCACTCGGTAAGATTGGATGGTTTATTTGTGGTTTTTATGGATGTGATTCGTTATAAGTCTGTCTCGTAAGTTTGGGTCTGAAATGTAAGTACTGTATGTGCATGCGCAAAGTTCATGATGGTCTGTCGGAAAATATATATCCGCAATACAACTATTTGGGACCAGAGTCCACAAAATAGAGTCGACATAGTTGCCACCGCTGGGATTTCTGATTAGTTGTAAATGTTCTCTTAGCTAAAGTAGTAATGTCTCTCGCTGGATCGATCTCCGCAGGCAAAGGCAGCGATTTCTTATAGGAGTTAAAAACTCATGTATTGATAAATCAATTTAACTATGGTGGTATCATGCTAAAAAAAAAAAAAAAGGAAAAGAGGCAAGATCATGATCACGGGCATGTTTCATAAGGGTGTCCCGTTAGAGTTAATATATGTGTCTGTCGATACAAAGAACAATGCAAGAGAATGTATAGCAACCGCCATGGCCTATATGCTGCAGGCTTGGTGAACGAGTATGAGCCTGCCTTCTTTCATATACTGGCAAACCCTCTATCTCAGAGCCCAGCACTCGTTCTTTCGTGGTACTCTTGCGTAGCTGCTTCATCGCGAGTCTCCGTGAACTCGCGCGGGATCGGACTCCCTCTCTTCTCGGGGGATAATCTACTCGTAGCGCCCGTAACCTTTGTAATTTTGTTTGGTTCGGATGCAACAACCGGCCGAGTCCCAGGTTGACCGGATATAGGGACAGCTCAAGGGGTGCCGTAGTCGGCCGTTTCTTGAAACGAGGATGTCCGGAGCCGGGAGAGCTGGTTGACGAGGCTACCTGTAAAAGAATGATTCGCCACACTCTGCGTAGTGGAATAGCCGCTAATTGAGGCTCTACTAGGAGCGCAATTTGCTGCGGAAGCCTCCACTGCAGCCGCTGTTAGACTCCTCTTCTTGTACAAAGGTCGCATGAAAGTGCCAACGAAGTAATCTTCGTATCTGCAGGGCTCTTCGACGGCAGAAATACAGGCCTCGAGATAACGCGGGTAGTCTTCCAAATGTCGGATGATAAAGTCGTCCCAAAGGAACGATCGTCGCAACTGTCCCCCGGCTCTCACAGCCTCCAGCTTGACACACATCCTAGTAAAGTGCCTGAAATCCCCAGGGTATACTGGGTAGTCACGGCAGAATTTTTCGTATGCTCTTTGGGCTTTGACGAGATTACTCCCCACGGACAAATTTTGCTGATCAGCTCGCACAACGGGACTGGCTCTAGGAGTGGCGTCTTTCTGTATATCAGAGGCGAAATCTGCAGGTGGCTCTGCGGGAGGCTCTGAACAGGAGATCTCGTCGGTACGTATTTCATCTCTTGACTGGTTCAAGGAAGATAGGTCGACATCGTTCTCAGGCCGGTCCATAACAGGATGATGACGCGGAGATATGTTTTCTGCTGATTCTTTCTCCGCATGTTCCTGGTCTGGAGAAGGTAGGCGCGGAGATGAGTGGTCTAACTGTTCCCCAGAGTTGCTGGCTCCTTGAGGAGGATGCTGTCCAGACGAACCGCCCAGTGGTCTCTCTTCAGGGCTCCCTGTCCTTCGCCGAACAATCGACCGTTCATGCTGGGACTCCTCAAGCTCAGGTCGCTGGGACTGTGAGTTGGAATCGACGGACATCTGTGAATTCAGCATGGAGTCTCTGGGTTCGGCAGAGCTGATTTCAGCGGGATCGTGGGAAATGGCGCGTTCAGGATGAGCCGAGGAAGCTTCCGGGGGAGGACAGTAACTTGTCTCAGGAGCACTGCTGCCATATGTGGCCATAATCCTCGACTCTGACGAAAACTTCGTACTCTGGGACGAGTGCTGGTGTCCGGGCTTTGGATAAACCGTATTGCCATCGATCCTCTTAGCCCGGAGACGTTCAAAGGCTGAAGCTGGCGTTTCCACTACTTGAATTTCGTGTACAAGCTTCTGACTCGGGAGACTTTGACCGGAACTGACCGCAGCAGAAGTTTCACTCTGCTGGGTACCTGACTGGAGCGGATGGGGCATTGAGATATCCATATCTGACTCATCACTTTCGTCATTTGATTCTTCTCGTCCTCCTTCTCGTTCTTCTCGTTCTTCTCCTTCCCTTAGTTCTTCTCGTTCATCAGCAGCTAAAGCGGCTTGAGAGCCAGATTCAGGGCCGTTGTTAGACGAAGAATGCGACTCTTGAGGATTATCCCGGCTTTTATCTTTAGCCGGTTTGGTGCGAACAGCTATCTCAGGCGGACTGGAATCGGGTGGCACGAGTGGATTTTGCAGGTGATGTGAAGGGCTTGCTTCCAAGGACGCTTCCGATTCGGAGTCTGACTGAGATCGGTCATGGTCATCGGGACTATCGGGCGGCACGAGCGGATTTCGCAGGTGATGTGGAGGGCTCGGTTCCCAAGACGCTTCCGATTCGGAGTCCGACTGAGATCGGTCATGGTCATCGGGAGTAGGGAGGGGAGGAGATCCGATCTGCGAAGGCGGGCTTTGGTCTGAGACATCTTTGGACCGAGAGAACCTTCGAATTATCGCGTCGTTCCATTGCTGCAAGAGAGCCGGAGGTACATGGCAATGGGGCGGCGGAGCGCCAGGAGCTGGAGGCATCCAGCAGGGACTATCCTCTAGCAACCTGGCCTGATCTTTCGGGATTCGAACGTCCCTGCGACGTATCCTCGTCATACCATACCAAGGACTAGAAGGATCAGATTCTGCATTTAGAGGCAGATGTAAGTGCTTTCGTCGTTTGCGTGGGCTTCTGCCGGCCTCTTTTCGACTGACTGTCTGACTTCCCTGTGGAGATCGGTCTATCTTCCGCTTCTGACCTTGCTCAGTCTGTGAGAGACGCGTATTGTTTGCATGGTTGCCATTTGCAGGTCTGGAGCTGCCGATAGAACAAGTGTTACCAGCGTAATCGCGTGAAGATAGCTGTGAGAGGTTAATAGGAGCTTTCTGCGTAGAGGACTGCGTCTGCTCGCCCGGCTTGTTTCTGTCCTCTTTAGAGGCTGACTTATTGCTCTCCAGCGGTAAACTCTGGCTTGTAGTTTGTTTGGGAGTCGTATTAGGAGCGCACTTTTCCGTCGCGTTCTGAGGCTCACTAGTAGGAAGAGGTTTTTGAAGAGGCGTTTCGGTATGGACTTGCGTATTAGAAGTAGATCTGGAGGGCTGTCCCAGTACACCTAAGAGATATTTGCCAGGCGCTACACAGCGCTGCTGCCGGGCCGGAATAGAGTCAGAAAGGTTGGCACTTTGGGTGGGCGCAATTTGTGTTGCAAGATTCTCCTGAGAGTCAGACCCGTTCCTTTGATCTGGTCTGGACATAGACAGTACACTAGCCTGCGATTTCATGGAGCCGTCCGACTGGGAAGCGTCTGCCTCTGGGTCATCCATAGTGCCTCAAGAAGCCTTGATATGCTTGAATGCCTATTCACGTATTCGTAGACGTTTCCCGTCTTAGTGATTGGCTGAGCTCCGAATCGACGATTCTCTTTCCTTTTGAAGTTGGAAACTTTCGATATAGATTGGATCTCAGGCGTGTATTTGAAATAATTCAATTCTGCTGTCGCCGCATACTTTGAACCCACATGTACCGGAGAACGACCAAGTGAGTTGTTACTATAAGCTCGCGAAGAGGATCTGAACAGAATTGTGACATTCGCATCGCACTTGGCGGCTTAAATTCAACGTGGTTCTTCAAGGAACTAATTAGAAGAGTCAGCAATAAGAGAGGATAAACGGGAAGAAAGGCTGTTGTATGTATGTACTTCGACTATTTGCGTCTCCTGAGTTGCCCAACTTTGTAAATTGCGAATTTCTCCGGCGTCTTAGAGGCTGACGGGGAATGCCGTAGTAATTGCTTATCTGAATGATCGGTACGCAACTGAAGATATAGCTCTCTTAGCGACAGGGCGAATCCAACTGTCCGAAGAATCTAATACCTATGGTTTAATGTCGGTAGAGCTTAGAGGGCGCTGTAGAAACTTCATTTCGGAATCCCTGCTGCGGCTAGTCTCGGGAGAACGGAGCCAAAATGGGGTAGAATTGATTGAAAGATAATAAAGGCTGTTCATCACTGCAGCTGCTGTTTTATTCACATTATAGCGGCCATTGATGCGACATCTGCCCACTCCCTGATCACTTTCCAGACGCGACACGCACGGGATCTGGAGACGTGATTTCACCGCCCGAGAAGTTCTGCCGGACAATTTGTGCTGAGTCATCCATCACTTCCACGTGCCGTGGGCGCCACACCACGTCATTGGGCAGAGACGTTCATATCGTAGGCCTGCCTGCGTCGGAAACAAAGAGAAGAGAAGAAGCTGGTCGTCTATCGGCCCTTTATGAACATCAGCGATCTTGGTCAGTCTTGGTTTACTACTGCATCCTATTCTGTTATTGGTATGGTCAGATAGCATGCACTATTCTAGAAACTGCTCTGAAGGCGGGGTTTGCTGACTTTGCGTATTGGGCAGGTTCCTGGAGACGATGGGTAACTTACCCACCTCATAATAGACTCGATGCTTGCTGTCTCTATCGATTATTATCTGGGGAAGCTTCCCCAGTTCGTGATATCCGATACCTGGAATGGTGATATGTTTGACGCGCCATGATATCTTGTCGTTCGCTTGCCCAAGTCGCTCTGTGACCTTCACGATTCAAGCGTACCTGGTATGGCTTCGCAGAAGTCTCCGGGCGCGAGCCCATCTGCGTCGTCGATCTTTCTACCTCTAGGGAGACGTAGTTCTCGAGCATCGATATCGAGTCAGGCGGAACGGGAAAATCTGAACGAGGCCTTGGACCAAATACATTCTGCCGCCTATCAGTCAGACTCGCTGACAGTCTTCAACGAGTTTACGCATCCTCCGAATTCATCAAATGTGACAGATAACAAAAGTTTAACCGGGGATATTCAGGGAGGCTTGAGTGGACTGTATAACCGACTCAGGGCGTCTGTTGGAGGAGTCAAAGACATCGTCGGTGGCTCTGGAAAGCCAGTGGATGGGGCCCCTTCAGCAGATGGATCTGGCATCAGGAGTCCCAACAGTGACTTCGTTAGTCCCAAGTCGAGCGCTGCTCCGACTCCTGTTGTCCCGACTGCAGATTCCCATTCTTCGTACCCGAGCTCGGCCCAAGGGTCAAAGATCCATTCGCCGATTTTGAACGCTTTCCCGTCAAATGCAGATGCCTCTGCCCAAGCGCAGGCAGCGAAGAGCTCGAGGTTCTCCTCGAAGACTGCTAGCATCTCCTCAAAAGCTTCCGTCTCGCCAGCTCCTCCCGTGAAGTCACCCACTGCGCCTCTCCCTAAGACGACAAGTAATGTCTCTACGGCGGATCCCACAGTTACGGAAGTCAAGGTGAACGCTACCAGGGATGCTCCTGATCGCTCTAGGAGCAATTCTGCCAGCTTATCTTCTCATGCCATGTATAATGCGGATCCAGTCGCGACCGGCAGAGATGAAAGTTCACCTAACCCTTCTCAGGGTCAAAGCTCATTAGGATTGAGTCCCCGCAAGTCTTATTCTCCGATCCTTACTGCTAAATCTTCCAACGTCTTGTATGGCGATGGGCAAAATGTACCCGATAGTACCCGCTCTCCGAGCTTAGGACGGGAACCGTTGAGTAACGATAAACCGAAGAAAGCTGGTTATGTCCCCCTCGATCGCCACCCGTTGCCCGAATTAGACACATCTGTGCCCAACTCAACATGGAAAACGAAGCAAACTGATGGCGCACATGACACTCAGCTCTCATCTCAGGATAGCTCGGCGCCCAGCTCATCAGTCGCGCTTGCGTCAGAAGAGTCAGCGGGCATAAGCTCTGCTACAAACAGCCTTTCTAGAATCCCTAACGATGATAGCTCCGGACCCGAAGCACGGACTCCTACTACATTGGAGACGTCCATTGCGATGACTGACAATGAGCATAAGTCGGCTCTTTCCTCCAGGCATTCTGTTAACAAGCCACGACAGAAAGCGACTCCGCACACCGTACAGAGTCGCCTACCAGGCTACATCATGTCCCGAACATCGTCAACAGATACTGCCACAACAAGCTCACCTGTTGCTACAAGAGGGTCTACAAATGGCTCGAATAGCCAAAATTCCCGTGACAAACGCCCTTCATATCCGGCTGGCGAGACAGCAAACCAAAGTAATGTTATGACACAATTGAGGAGCAGACTACTGAGCAAAGACTTCTGGATGCGTGACGAAAATGCGAAGGATTGTTTCCACTGTGGAGAGCCTTTCTCGACCTTTCGACGGAAACACCATTGTCGGACATGTGGCCAGATCTTCGATTCGAAGTGTACCTCCTTGATCCCTGGCGCGCAGTTTGGGCAGAGCGGGTCGATACGTGTCTGTAAACCTTGCGAAGTCATGATAAACGCTCACGAAGACGACTCATCAGACTTCACGGAGAACGAAGCCAGCCCTATCGTGCCCCACACTCTCATATCCAACTCTCCTTTACACGTGAACCCTCCTCGACCGCTGATTGATGATGACGATTCAGCTTCTATAGTTTCTCAGTCTATAGAGCACGTCATGAAAACACCGACAATGGCTATTCCTGCCACAAAGCGAGCGGGAGAAGGTCATAATCGTCGTTCAGCTGTCTTAGAGATCGATTCTGACCGACCTTTAGCGAGACCGACTTCGTCTCGTTCTCTGAAGTCATCTCATGGGGGACGTCCCTATAGCATGAGCCACAAACGTCACCATTCCCGTCAGCAGTATATACGCAACTTTAAATCTTTCCACGACGACAGGGCCCCCTTTCAGCGTCGGCATGTGGAAGAGATCGGCCCAGAGGCCCATCTTCCGGCCTTCCATAAAGACAGTATCATCGATCCCGACTTAGCTCAGTATCTTTCTGATGATGCGTCTAGTGGGGATGAACAACCAAACATCTTCGCTGCTGTTTCCGATGGTTCCTTGCCCAAAGGTAGTGGTGATCACGAGAAAGCTACGCTTGGCGGGCTTTTGGCAGCTGTCAAAAAGGGTAGATCTCGTTTTGGCGACCGCAGCGCTGCTAGCGGTATCCATTCTGGTCGCGACGCTGAGGATGGTAGCATCACTAGCTCGAGAGCAGTGAATCTACCGCGTCAGGGTCGCCGCCGCAATCTGAGTGTTGCCAGTAGTATTCACCAGCGACCTTCACCAAGGATCTTCAAAGAGGGTATTTTCAGCGTTCTCCCTCAAAGTCCACAAGGGGTTGCCTGCTCTACTGGTGTAGCATCCAGTGGGTTCAAAATGACAAGAAGCTCCTCAATGAGGGGTGCTGGCGCCCCGGCGATCGAGCTAAACAGGGCGAGCCTGCAGCATGTCCGTAAGCTACTCGGACAACTGCTAAAAGACACTGCTATACCTCATGCCCATAGTTGGGAGAATGCCCTTCTGCCTATTCTTCTGAAAGCCACCGATGAGGTGGATCCAGACGTTCAACATGGAGACGACATGGATATTCGCCACTATATCAAGCTGAAAAAGATACCTGGTGGCCGACCCGGCGATACCTCTTATGTGTCAGGACTTGTATTCACTAAGAACCTTGCACTGAAAAGCATGCCTCGAAGCATCCCACAGCCAAATATTCTCATCATTACATTTCCGCTTGAGTATGCGCGGTATCAGCAACACTTTATGAGTCTCGAGCCGGTGATTCGGCAAGAGCGCGAATTCTTGGAGAACCTTGTCAGCCGCATTGCTGCTTTGCGCCCTAATTTGCTTCTGGTCGAGAAGAATGTGTCCGGTCTAGCACTCGAGCTTCTTGAGAAAGCCAACATCGCAACTGCGTACAATGTGAAGCCGTCTGTACTGGAGGCAGTGTCCAGATGCACCCAGACACGCATTATCACATCTATGGATAAACTCGTAACCACTCCAGCTCATACTGGCCACTGTGGCAGTTTCGATGTCAAAACTTACGTCTACGGTGGCCGCAGAAAGACGTATATGTATATCTCTGGCTGCCCAAAGGAACTTGGCTGTACCATTGTTTTGCGCGGAGCTGATAACGACGTCCTCGTAAATGTCAAGCGAATCACGGAGTTTATGGTTTACGTCGTGTACAACCTCAAGTTGGAGACCTGTCTGATGAGGGATGAATTTGCGCAGATACCCACATCTCCTGACGAGCTCGTCAAGAATGGAGGTGAAACCTCTGGCAAGGGCGGCAATGCGAAGGCACTGACCGACTCCAAGGAAGCGGCAGGCGAACAGTCAACCGCGGTGGTACCGTCGAAAGATCTCGTTATGACAGCTACTGGTGAAAGCAATGACGTTCCGGATGACGTACCCATGCCTACTTTCTACGAAGATATGGTCGAGAAGCATCAGACCAAGATATTATCGGCCTCTCCCTTTGTCAAATTTGAACCTCCTTATCTCCTCATGCGCGCGCGGGAACTAGAACGCAGGCTTGCTTACCTTAAGCGCCTCCGTGATCAGGATGATGCCGCAGATCAATCAACCGACGAGAAAGCGAAATCACAGAAGTTTGTCTTGATCACACCGGAGATGGTGCATCAATCACCTCGCGGTGCTCCGCCAAAAGTCAGGGAGGTTCTTCATGCTGTTCACGACGCAGAGTTTGACAGGGCTCTTCATAACTACCTGACCCAGAAAAGGCAATGGGAGGCTTACGTTTCGGGTAACACGAACTTGTTCGACCCTTATGCCCACCAAAATATTGTCGTTCTTTTCAGCCTGGTCTGCACGACCACGTCTATCCCTTGCTCTGGCCCAGATGTCTTCGCGATTGAGTTCTACAACGAGCACGAAAGCGACAGAATGTTTGAACCTGACTGTACGCTCGGGCAATATGTAGAGGACCTTTGCTTAAGTGCCAATGCTATCTGCACCGCAAACGGGTGCGAGAAGAGGATGTTTGAGCACCACCGCCAATATGTCCACGGTGAGGCTCAAATCAGCGTCTTTGTTCAACCATATCCAAGTAAGCTCCGCGGTATGCAAGATACAATCCTTATGTGGAGTAGCTGCAAGATATGTGGCAATGAGACTCAGGTCATGCCGATGTCTGAGAGCACCTGGAAGTATTCCTTCGGAAAGTATCTGGAGCTGTCGTTCTGGTGTGCAAACTTGCATCCGCGGGCCGGTGTCTGCCCTCACGATTTGCACCGTGACCACCTTCGCTACTTCGGGTTTAAGGATGTGGCTTTACGTATCCATTATGACCCTATCAATATACTCGAAATCATCGTCCCGCGAACTCGCGTAACGTGGAAAGTGGACAATGATTTGCGACTCAGAAACGAGGTGTATTCAAAGACCGAACACCGTATCAACAAGTTCATGGCATCCGTGAAAGCTCGACTTAAAAGCATAAATGTGGAAAGTGTGATGCCGGAATTGGTCGAGAGCTGTAAACGGGAAACAGAGGCTCTGATGAAAAAAGCGAATGATGACCATGCAGCTTTGATTAGACAGTTGCAGGACAAGTATATGAACTCACAGTACTGGGCGGTTATACCTCTCAACGAGGTTCTCCGTTCTGTCCAAGAGAAGGTTGTGGAATGGGACGCTGCCTTCGCGGAATTTGAGAAGAACTTCTTTCCCTCCGAGAAGGATATTCGACGATTGGCAGCATTGCAATTGAAGAAGATATTCTTGGACAGAGACGCATCTATCACTTCATTGACTTCGACAGAAGAGGCTGCTGCCACACCTTCAGAACCGGGAGCCGAGGAGGCTGCTCAAGACACAGAGAAACCACGGCCAGTTCGCCGAATGACCCTGTCCCCAGAAAAAGCGCAGGACGTACTCGTCTCTGTCGTCGAAGAGCACTCTGGAAAAATGAACAAAGACGCAACTCAGGCTGTCGTTGACTCTCCGACTCTCTCCGCCAGACCGGATGATATTGAGGAACAAGCGCCCCCTGCGAGTCCTGAGGCAAACAAAGACTCTCGCCTTCCGCCGTCTGAAGCGACGAATCCAGAAGGGGTTCAGCATCTGGATCTGGCTATCCCGTCTAGTCTCTCGCAAGAGTCAACCTTGGAGTCTACTTATGCAGATCGCGTAGGAGTATCGAGGCCTGCTACTCCTTCTCTGGATCTGGATGAGAGAATCAGTAACCTATCACCCCCAGGCTTACCCTTGCGTTCCGAAAAGGTACCTGCAATCGAGAGACGTGAGTCGAATGGAGCGACTCCGGAAGCCACACCTGTTCTTCCACCTTCAGCAATCCCGAGGCCCGTCGAAGGGGGCATGCGTTCCAGTGGTGGGAAAGCACGATCTCCTCCGTTGTTCCGGACTTATTCCCAGCCTGTTGGCTTACAACGACAAAGGAGCAATGGCTCAACTGGCCCACTAGGGGCATTGAAGTCTGGCTTTGGCAACACCAATTCCAGGAACGTAGATAAAGCAGCTATCCCGCCGTACGAGCCAAAAATCAAAGTCAACGACAAGAAGCTCTCGGATCGTCTGGGATTCAGCGCTCTGAAGACCGGAAGACTCACGGGCGGACACTCGCTAATTCCTCGCTCCGTCCCTACTAAAAAGAAGAGCAGCCGTGTCTCGAATCTGGCCAAGCATTTTGAGCAGCTCAGTCGAGAATTTGAAAAAGAACGCCAGAGGGAGAGACAACAACGAGCAGCAAAGGGCAAACACTCTCGTGCCTTCCCACGGGCGTCGTCAAAACCGATCGTCGAGGTTTACAGAAACGTGCGAGAGGCAGTGGAAGAACGGGAGCCATCAGGTGAAGGGGATGATTTCATGTCGTCCGAACGGCCTGCTTCTTTGGATGACCAGAGCCGAGAAAGCGAAGAGCTCACACGGAAAAACTCTGCCGATGTTTCTACGAAAGAGCCTGCCTTGGAGGAGGTGACGGTGCAATCGACGGAGATCGAGGAGCCTACTCGTGAAACCAGTCAAGTTGCATCTGAAGCTGAAGAGGAGCATAGCGATGCAGAGAGGAGCTTGACCGATGAGCTTCAGTTGGTTGAGACCCCTGACGAACTTTCAAAGCTCGAGCCAGACGATAGTCTGGATCTAAAGGAACTGCCGAAACATGAACGAAGTACGCTGGTGCGAATGCTGACCAATTTCTGGGCTGAACGTTCTGCGAGTGGATGGGCGCCGCTGGATTATCCGTTGAAGGTGTCTGATCATGTCTTCGCTGACTGCGACATCATTGTGCGCGAAGATGAGCCTAGCTCCCTGATCGCTTTTGCGTTAGATTCGTCGGACTATAAGCAAAAGCTCGCCAGCATCCAGAAGCATTTCGAAGAGACGGAAGAGAAGACGGAGTCAATCGGCGATCGTGACGATGACGAGGCGCAAGTGGAACACTCCTTGTTGAGGGCCACAGGAACACACCTCAAGTATCAATTCCAAGAAGGACAAGCAAAGATGCTTTGCAAGGTGTTCTATGCGGAGCAATTCGACGCTCTCCGCAGAAAATGCGGTATTGCAGACCGCATTGTTGAGTCGCTGTCTCGCTGCGCCAAATGGGACTCCAAGGGTGGCAAGACTAAATCATTGTTCCTGAAGACACTAGACGATCGGTTCATTCTCAAGTCACTCTCCCCCATCGAGACCCAGGCCTTTCTGAAGTTTGCTCCAGCCTACTTCCAGATCATGTCGGAGGCGCTTTTCCACGAATTACCGTCAGCCATTGCTAAGATGTTTGGATTCTACCAAGTGATCATCAAGAATCCCTCTACGGGCGTGGAGTTCAACTGGTATCTTCTCTTGATGGAGAACCTCTTCTACGACCGTATTCCGACACGCATCTTTGACCTGAAGGGGTCCATGCGGAATCGCAAGGTGCAGAGTACTGGGGAGCGCAACGAGGTACTGTTGGACGAGAACATGGTCGACTTCATCTATGAGACCCCTTTATTCGCGCGGGAACATTCGAAAAAGCTGCTCAGCCAGAGCGTTTGGAATGATACCTTGTTCCTGGGTCGACAGAACGTCATGGATTATTCTCTTATGATCGCCATTGACGAACAGCGCCAGGAGCTTGTTGTCGGCATCATCGACTGCATCCGGACGTATACGTGGGACAAGAAACTGGAGTCGTGGATCAAGGACCGTGGCTTCGCAGGTGGTGGTAAGAACCGGCCCACCGTCACCAGTCCGAAGGAGTACAAGAGTCGTTTCCGAGAAGCCATGGCTCGATATGTGCTCCACGCGCCAAAGTAAGTACTGTACCCAGGACGGCTTTGGGGTCTGTTAGACACTAACTTCTCCAGCTGCTGGCACCAATTCCAATCTGTGCACATAGAACATCGTCCGCGTGTTGAAAATACTTCTCGTGTCGCAAGCGCAGCCGACGTGCGGGGCGATGATGGAAGCACTGATGGGAATGTCTCATGAGCTCTTCGTCTCGTCTACCGCCTTTCTATGCCTATTATAATGTCCTGTAACGTAGCCATGACCTCACGACAGTATATCTTTTTTTCTTTTTCTTTTTCTGCCCGGTGTTGTGTTCTTACGATGTCTATTTCCCCTCTCCCATGTTCGAGCATTCGTTGTCCGGGGGGCTTTTCTCAGTCCCTGTCTTTTGCATTTAATGCAGGATCAGACCCAGTTTAGGTGTGGCAATAGTTCTTCTGTACTCTGGATAGTTAACTGTTTTTGCATTGTCCTTCTCATTGCTCACATGCATTGTAAATAACTTGTGCGGCAAGGGTCCCGTCTGACTCTGGTTCCATGTTGAAATCGGTAATTCGCGAGCAGAGGTTGTGAGAATAGGAATGATATTTGGAATGAGTATTCAACGCGACAGATTGTAGTTAACTTAACTATCTAGCTGTTAACTAGTTTAATTAATGATCCCGAGCATCGGGAAAAGTCTGGCACATCCGATCGCCCTCGGGACGTTCCGACGGGACGGTCCCGGCACGGCGTTAAGTCGGTTTCTCCCTTAAGGAAGGCCTTTGATGGTACAGTACTTTTCCTCTTGCAACTCTCCACTCCTCCCGGGCTGTTGATGTATACTGCTCCGTCGAGATGACAGGTAGCAGGTCGTCAGGAGATGCGCAGTCTGCGCCCCGGCAGAAGGTCCATTATCCCTTCTGGTTTGGCGGTTCGGCCTCATGCTGCGCCGCCGCGGTAACGCATCCTTTGGATCTGGGTGAGTCTATTTCCGCCATGCCATTGAGGCTTCACAACACATCTTCTTACTGACTGTTTGAGGTTAGTGAAGGTAGATATTCGGCCAGAGTTCAGAATCACGGCATTTGTCACCCTTTTCTCCCGTGCTGACCTCAATTCTTCTCCATATAGGTCCGCTTACAAACCCGTAAGCATGGAGATCCCAAGGGTATGCTGAAGACTTTCGTGCATGTGGTCAAGAATAATGGTGTGTTGGGTCTGTACAATGGGGTATGTGGAACGTTGAATTGCTTATCTTGACGTTGCAAGACTAGATGGTGGTTGCTAATGTCATGTGTGATTAAAAAAATAGCTCTCCGCATCCCTCCTGCGGCAGATCACGTATTCCACGACTCGTTTCGGTGTGTACGAGGAGCTCAAGAATCGTGCGACCACTTCTTCTTCCTCCCCTCCCTCGACAACTACACTCGTTGGTATAGCATGTCTCTCCGGTTTCATCGGTGGCCTGGTGGGAAACCCGGCAGATGTTATCAACGTTCGCATGCAATCCGACGCTGCGCTACCTCCGGAGAAACGGCGCAATTACAAGCACGCCTTCCACGGCTTAATCCAGATGGTCAAGAGTGAAGGAACAGGGAGCATGTTCCGTGGTCTCTGGCCTAATTCCACCCGAGCGGTGCTCATGACGGCCTCACAGCTCGCGTCGTACGACAGCTTCAAGCGCCTCTGCATCCACCAACTCGGCATGTCGGACAATCTGACAACACACTTCACGGCTTCTTTCCTGGCAGGGTTTGTAGCAACCACCGTCTGCAGTCCTGCCGATGTGATCAAGACCCGTGTCATGAGCGCTTCGCCCGCGGAGTCTCACGGCCACAGTCTCTTGGGTTTGCTGAAGGAGATTTGTCGGAAGGAAGGCATCAGCTGGGCATTCCGCGGATGGACACCCAGCTTCATCCGTCTGGGACCCCAGACCATTGCGACGTTCATCTTCCTGGAGGAGCACAAGAAGATTTATCGGAGACTGAAGGGAATTCCTCACGAGGAGATCTAAATGGGCCCCATCAGGGCAACACTAGAGGCATCTCGTGGGGTGTCAAACTAAAGAGGGGAGACAAAGAGCCGGCTCCGATAAACTAATCGAGCCGATGAGACCATCTGATCCATTACTCCTTGATCCGAGTCTGCGGCCAAGCAGATGATATCTCCGCGGAGATTGACATGACAGCGAAGCGCTGTCCACAACCGTCATCCGAAATTTCTCACTATCCTCCACACTCGATGCAACCTACCAAAGGATAATACAACCCAACCGCTGGAGGAACGTGGAGCAGCACTTGACTTCTAGAACTCGGGGATCCTCCCTATCTTTGCTCATTTCATCGAGCTATAATACTGACGAATCTGACTTATCATAGGCCGTGCCGCTCAATCTTTTCCCCTGCGACACGCACAGATACCTGGTCTCCAGGATACAGAAGTTATTTTTTCTCATCATGTACAGTACAGAAACTGATGTGTACAACAGATTACACCATATACATGACTCATCTAGAATTAGAATAGGCTGGGTTGGAGTATTGGGATTTGGGATAGGGAGGGGATATATGTCCGGAAATCTAGATTGAATATATATACTGATACAGACAAACGACTTAAATTAAAAGCAGTGTACGAAAAGCACAGCGGTTAAGAGAATAGCTCGGCTCAACGATCATCCACAGTGAGGGCGTTCTTTCCGTCAAATAAGCTGAATTGATCCCTCAGGACTACTGCAATTCGAGACCAAAATATCAAATCTGATCCTTAAACAGTTGTTCTTTGTTGTGCCGATCTTGTGGATCATATGGAAATGAGAGCTCCAACAGTTGGTCTTGAAGCTTCCGGTTCCTATCCTCTTTACACCAAAATTTCTCTTGCATTTTACGATTATCTCGTTCGGATTGAGTGTGTCTTTCCATCTTTTCCTTCTCAAACAAGCTGGTCGATTGTCTGCTGTAAAAGCTTCTCGACGTCCGAGCTGACACACTCTTTCGTTTTCTGTTTTGGGGTACCACTATTAGCAACTGGTACAGTAGCTTCACGTGAAGCCATTCCAGAGCTGCTTTTGGTTAGGATGGAAGTTGTATCGGAGCTATTACAAGATCGGAATCTGAAAGCTCTACGTAGGATGAGTTGAAAAAGAGAGTTCAGAATACACAGGATTCGACACAGGATTGCTTAGATATCGTTATGGAAGGTCAGCGTGAGGTATATAAATTGCATTGAACTGTTATACAAACCCAGGGGATCTAACTGGAGAGTGTGGTCTGTATCAAATCTGTTCAAATAGATATTGTCCAGGTCTAAGAGCCTGATAAGCGCCAACGAACCAAGAGGATATCAATAAGAAAAGTACAAATCGCGTATTATTTTACAGTATAGTTAAATCATCAACTGGCACAGGCGGTGATGGGCAGAACATCTAGCAAACGTCCCATAGTACATACAGCCAACGATGGCCAGGTTGTCCAGGGCATAGTAGTACGGATATATCGTATAGTAGCTGGAAACTCAGATATGAAAATGAAGAATAAGAAGAGAAAGAGATCTAAAAAAAAAAAAAAAAAAAAAAAAAAAAAAAAAAAAAAAAAAAAAAAAAAAAAAAAAAAAAAAAAAAAAAAAAAATTATAACTTGACGTGGCTGTCGCAGTTCTCCACGGCCGTTCTCCCCTACTAAGTATCCTTCCAAAATTCATGCATAAGCACCACCGATCCCCCAGTCCGCCAATAGATAGCCATCGAAGAATGGCTTCTGCTCTACAATTTGCAAATCTCTCCGGCAATCTCTTGGGATATATATTAGAGACAAATGGGACAAACTCGGTTCGGAATGGCCGCCTGAGACCAAAATCCATGACGGGAGAGTCGTCTGAAGCGCAATCCAGGATGATTGCTAGATTAAGTATATACCTCGATAGGGAATATCGATGGATGGCCAAGGCAAGGTTTCAAATATTGCAAATGAGATCTTATATTACAATATAGGGACTTGCAGGAAGTGACTTACCCATGTCTCGCCTTGCATATATTCCTTATTTTTGCTAGCAAGCGAGGTAAAATTCCAAGTACCAGCCAACTCTGAGTGAGATAGGAGTATGAGAAGTTCCCTTTATTGTTATTCTAGAAATATGAATCACCTGGCCACTCAAATACTATGTATGCGTCCCTTTTATGTTTCTCACGATGAAACGTCTAATAGCAAAACAAAAGGGAAATAAATATGTTCTTTCCAAATTGATTACCAGCTTTCTATTGGATTTTCGGGATCTATAATTTCAGCGATTATACTTGCTGCACAATCGGCGCTGCATACATACATTGCTACCCGCGCAGCACTGACCAAAGACACTGCAGACGTCCAACACCAGTAACTTTTGACCTCAGAATATTTATACGCTATTTTAATTGTGATTAGCAGAGCCTACGTATGCAAAGGAATAGCTGTGGGACTGCGAGTTTGGCCTCAACGGCCATACAAGGAGTCGCGCAACACGAAAACCAGGCCATTAATACCTACCCGTTCTTCCTGGGCGGCAAGCAGCGAAGTATCGACTGCGCATCAGCCGAAACCACCCTCCAGCCTCCGAGTAGGGGCCTTTCTCTCTCACTTGCATATCTTTCTTCGAAAACGGATAGTGAAATAAACAATAAACTTACAAGATGCCCCATATAGGTCATAGATACTACTTGATGGAGAAGAAGCGTCTATCTAACCGACCAACCAACCAATCAAAGAACGAAAACTCATAGATATTAAATGATTATTAAAAACAGAAAAAGTGAGAACAGCTGTAGCTCTACTTTCTTACTTACAGTTGTATGTACGTAATTACGCAATAGTTCTAGTTCTTGCGTATAGGTTCTACTTTTGTAGATTGCTTTGCTTTCTAGTAGCTTCAGTCGATTGGTCAATACGTCTACCTGAGTGTGTCTGCATTGATGTTGAAAATACCCGTACTATAATGTATACGCTCGCTGGTGATTATGTACTCTCTATACTGCGCATTGTTAGAGGAAAGACAAAAAGTGAGGCGGTCAGAGTGGAAAAGAAAACCGAACCAAACAAAAAGGTCTTCGGGGACAGGGGTAAGTTAAGTAGGCGCGATTTAGTTCTTCGAGTTCAAATCTAACGGCTAGCTGCGTCCTGTCAAGTTACGTAGGTTACGTAGGCTGTGCAACGTTGATAATGATGATTAAGAGATTTACTAACCTAGCCGAACTAATGAGTAGTTTTGACATAAGCCTAGCTTACTTAGTTTAACTTTAAAGGAACACCCCCTGTTGTCGCTGGAGTATGCGGAACTCTCGTCTTCGCTCCTTGAGGGCGATAATCATAATAATGATAATAACAATCAGAGGGCGCAGGGATAAGAGAGATTATATGGAATCAAAGCTTGAAGGAGCAATGAGTGGAAGGATTATACCAATTCACGTAAGGTACGCAGACTAAGTGAAGCCTGCAGGCTGTATGGCCCAAGTATTGTCGAGATTATAGGATGCTATATCCAAAATATAAAAGGGGAAACGCAAAAGGCGCCCGAATTCAGTACATTCGGTCCGTTGTCGAGAACCCAGAGTATCTAGTTGAGTCTGAATCCTCCGCTGGTTCTCTTCTGGAAGAATCCATCAGGATCGTACTTGAGTCTGGTCTGTAACGCAGTCTCCTTCGTGCGGACACGGCCCCAGTAGTCCTGGCGGTAGTAGGCATCATTCATGAACAGGGGTCGGTAGACATCAGGCAACAGACCCCCGTCAATGTGCTTCTCCACTAGCTCACCAAGACCGTTATAGAGCTGCTGGTTGGCAGCGTCCACCTTCTCGTCGTCGATGGCAAAAGAGTAGGAGAAGTCCATCTCGAAGATTATATAGTCCTGGTCGGTGGGAAGGTCGAGGATGTCCTGTTTGAAGGGTGATCAGTATATTGTGTGACCATGAAACAAACCGCCATGCGGTAAGGAGACTAGGGGAGCGCTTACCCCGCCGAGAGCTTTGGCTTTGCTGGTAATGGTGCGAGGCATGGGCTGGAAAGCAAAAGAGCCAATCAATCCGGTCACTTCCAGGATGCTCGAAGACACGTTGAAGAAGTGGTCGTAGTATGACTGCATGACTTCGGCACCGACGGTCTTGTTCGGAAGGGGCGTTGTCTCTGTGGCGATGGTGTATCGTTGTCCGCTATTGTATCCGGTCAATCACTATAAATAAGCCTTCTGCATATATGGGCGAACTTACTGCAGGATGAACTGGTCATTGTTTTTAAGCTGCAAGATAAAGTCAGCACTCCTTATTCATTCAAAAACAGCGGTATCACTGGCCAGGTCATAGTAGGAATCCCATGTCTTCGTAGAGTCGATGACGGGTCCGATAGCCGTGAAGTTGGAGAAAACACCCTCGGGAGGGCTAGGGCCATCGTAGAACAAGAAAATGATCCAGGTGTTGAGCACAGCGGCATGCTCAGTCGTGACAATGACAGCAGCCTTATCATCTGGATAGCTCTCGGTGAAAGAGCGTACGGCTTCGAGAACCTGAGGGGTCTGTTTCGAGTCGAAAACATAGTTACCTCCCCAAACCTGCTATAATTAGGTTTTCATTCAGTAGCGGAAATATAGTCTGGCTTACCTTCTCCGAGATGGGGTGTGTCTGGATGGTGTATGCCGTCACGATACCGAAGTTATTACCGCCTCCCTTGAGAGCAGCAAAGAGGTCTATAATGTTTAGTCTTGTTCCCGACCCGTCTTTCTTGAATGTCTGTCTTACCGGTGTTCTCCTTGGCATTGGCATTCACGATCGTAGCATTAGCAAGGACTACCTGGAAATTAACGACGTTGTTCGCCGCCCAGCCGTATTGGGAACTGAGGAAACTCAAGCCACCTATCAGGTATGTTAGACGCCCAAACAGGAATGTCCCCAAGACTGAATTGCAAGAGACTCACCTCCAAGGAGATAACCTCCAACACCAACACCACCGATACGACCACCTACAATGGTACGGCCAGTGCCGTCCAGCCCCTTCTGAGCATCTTCCCAAGCAAGACCGGGTCCAATAACAGCAGTCTGAGTGTCCGGGTCGTAAACCACCTGGTTGAGATTCTTGGTCGAGATAAGCACTCCATTCTGGATACTGGCAAACCCATTGTTTGGCATATGGCCACCGGACTTCACGGCAAAGAAGTCGTCCGTATCCTGGAGAGCGCGAACTATATCCGCGACCTGCTCTGCACTGGAGGGAAACAACATGCAGGAAGGACGGAGATCCGAGCATGCCGCAGACCAGTAATGGTTAATTTCGGTCTCATATTGGATAGATGCGGCATAGTCCACATTTTCATTCTGCTGCTTGAGCGTCTGGCAGATATCTGCCGCTGCCAGCGTTGAGAACGCCGTGCAGAATCCGAGGATATACTTGATACTGGATGCGAAACGCATCTTGTCACTTCACAACCGGAGGGAGTTGATGCCAAGGGCCAACAATTATAGTAGTAATATGAAATATGAAGAACAGTATTAAACAAAAGTTTAAATGTGTACCGGGGAAAAATATTAATTAATCAATACAAATGAGTGTATGGGAGTGACACATTTCAGAGAAAGGGAACAACTGGGCCAAAGAGAGACGGCGAAAGAGACGGGGCGCCCGACATCGTACAAGATTGTCAGAAGGGTGCTTGATGGTTATATCTACAGCATCAGCTGCCTCCCCTCACAGATATGACTTACCCACACTGGAGTAGGGGAGAGACATTCTTCCAAGCCAAGCAACTCCGGGTGTTCAGGGTGGACCTAGATCTCTATCTGATGCTTGGGGCCCCATAGCCCTGACGGCAGCGTAATGCCTTAAAGAAACAGGATCGACATTTTGGGAACGGAGAGAGGTAGTCTACCACGGTTGTCCTGGCTGTATAGACTCAAATTATAGTCATCTTGAGCGGCGAGCCCGATGTAGATGTTCCTAGCGACCCGAACTTAGTTGGGGGGGCCTGCAGATCAGTAAACGTCCCAGTCCACCTGCTCAATGCTGCAGAGAAGTTGCGGAGAACAAGCGCCAGAGTTCTTCAGAGCCGAGAATGCTGTTGATCAATGAGACGGAGCGTTGAATTGGATCTCATGGTTCTCTTGCCAGATTCCGCCAACATCCCCGGCGCCAAACGGCAGGGATGCGGCTAAGCGAAGTCACGTGAGCAGACCGGCCCCCCGTAGCCCCGAGTTCGCATTGACGGGAGTAATTTGAATACCTTAGCTACGGACGTATAATAGTTTAGTTTGATTTGGCGTCAGGCCTGCAGAGTAAAGGGGTTCCAGGAGACGGGTCTATGGGTTTGGCGGTGTTTCTATTTAGAGATGCATTCGCTAGTAGAAAGGACGATAGTCGATATTTCAGCCAGATCAAAAGTCCTGGGGTTCTCATTGCTCTTTAGGGGACGCGACTCTATGTACTGTACAACATTCCTGCCTCCAAGAGATCCAAAGAGTCGAACTTTCGGCCCGGATGCTTCGGATACTTTACACGTTGGATCATGAACATGGAGATCTCGTGCGTCGATCAGCGGAATCTCGTCATTTACGCGTCCAGACGAGCAGGGAAGTTTCCGGCTTCTGGATAGCACAAAGTTAGAACCGCTGACGCCACATGCTCTCTTACATAAAGGAAAAAGAAGAACTGCGAGTGCTCAACAACGGAGCACAAAAGGCGACTTACCACGCTGGTCATCCCATCGGTCGGTCCAGGACTTGGGGCACAGAGAGCGGTAAGCAAGGTAGAACTGCAAGTTCAGACGGTTACATCAGCAAGGGTCCATGCACAGCCAATCACCGCTCGATCGATCGGGATTCATAATATCCTCGACGGCATCGAGGCACGGGGACCAGATGGAAAGAGATAATATGGATCGGTACCTGGCGACACGGGCGGAAGTCCTCGCCCTTGGCGTTGATGCACTTGAAGTAGTCGACGTAGTTCTGCCAGCAGTGCTTGGTCCTGCAGAGTGTGAGTTAGCCACCGTGGTATGGGCATGATATCAAGACGGAAGTCGCGTACTGGTTCTGGTTCGGGAAGCGAGCATCGTAGCCTGTCGATGGATGAGATTGTCAGTGGTGGGCTCAGCAGAGCCAACGGCGATGTTTGAGAGCAATCGGCCGTCACGATGACCAGGACATACCAGCTGCGATCTTGTTAGCAATTGACGTTCATGCGCGGGCGTGAAGCCTCGAGAGATCAGTGAAAAGTGGCTCACCTGTCACGAACTTGAAGGGCTTGGTTTCGAGAGGCTCATCGGGATCAGCTTCAGGAATGGCACCCATTTTGACGAGAGAAGAAGAGCACGAGCAATTGAGGTCGAAACAAGCGCAATGGAGGCGTGGTCGGGCGGCGACGGTGGGATGGAAGAGCTGCGAAGAAAGGACGTTAGAAGGTAAGGTTGGGTTCGAGTTGGTGCTGGTGGAATGACCGGCGGAGCTGGGAAGCCGGCCTGGCCGCAGACGGCTAGCGAGCCACTCGTGGCGCATGATTTCCTAAACACCCGAGACTACGACAGACTACGACATTTCCTCCCTTCGACCTTGACCTAGCTTCACGTCACCATCTCGACAGCCCACCACCACCGTCCATCATGTATCCCACTCGTGTTCTGAGGATGCAGCCCTCGCGGCCCTTGTACTATGCCTCTCCCGTAAGTCTGCCCTCGTGGGGTCCCCCTCAAGTGACCTTTTTCTCGATCCACGGTCATGCTAACGTGCTCTCACAGAAGGAGGCCCAGAGCGGTATGCTCTCCCACTGCGACTGCCATGATGCTCTCGAGGATCTCGCAGATGCAATTGGATCAATTGGATGGAACTGACTGCTTTGACCAGCCCACACGATCTCTCAGCGTCTCCGCCAGATCAAGAAGATGCCCCCAGAGCTGATCCCGCTGGGTATGTTGTGACCTACACTGCACCCCAGAATGTCAAATTCTACAGAAAACTAACATTTCCAAAAACAGGCTTCGTCTTGTGGTAAGTGCTAGTCTTAATATCTACCTCCAATGCCAAAGCGCCCGCTTCCGCTTGGGCCTCCCACATCTACATCACATCCTATGCTATCCCATCCTATTCTCCCCCAGCTAACCCAGACACTCTCAGCGTCGCTGTCGGAGCTGGTATCTACTCCTGCATCCACAAGCTCACGTCGGACAAGACCCTCCGTCTGTCCCGCAACCGCCCTGAGGACCGTGCCCACTAAATGTACCACCATCTCTTTTGGACTGTATGATGGAGGATGATGGGACTGGAATTGTGCACGGGCCGGCAATAATGACAGAACATTGATTCTGCAGAAAATGCCAGGGATTACCGAGTCATTGGGAGCATATGTGTATATAGTATGACCCGGTTTGAGGAGTTTCCGCGGAGGAATATGACAACATTACTGTCCTTTTACTCTCCGTCTTCTTTTTCTTCTTTTTTTCATGATTGTCGCGTCCGCACATGAAGTTCATTCAGGTTTTGGTCCTGCCACGTCGAGTCCTTCCAGACCCTGCATGGGATCTTCAGGACGGCCGTTGGCGCCCATCCGGGCTTCTTCAGCGGCCAATCGATCCTCTTCACTCACGGCATGTTTGGCCAGGTAGCCCTCCTGTAGGATGCGTAGTCAGTAAGTTGCTAATGCCAAGGTCGAGTAGCACAGTAATAAAACCAACCTGTTCCCAAATTGCAGTCTTGCTACCCAGTCCTTCGTTGCTATCCTTCTGCGGTTTGGCAGCCGCTACCTTGATCGTCCGGCCGTACAGTTCGCTTCCGTCCATGTTATCGATCGCTTCCTTGGCATCCGGGGGAAATTCGAATTCGACATAGCCAAAGCCCCTGTGCAGATCGGTCGATGAGGGCAGATCAGGCTTGGGGAGAGAGATATCGACGATCTCGCCGAAGGGGAGGAAGGCCTCGGTCAGCGTGTGAGCGGTAACCGCTTGGTCGAGCCCGCCCACATAGACGGTTGCTTTGAGGCGTTCTGCTTCCGACATGGTGGAGGATGAGGCCCTTCTGTTTTTCTACTAGGCCACACAAAGACAGTAGATGGACGCTGTAAGACTGGAGCAGCGTGGTCGCGAGAGACTGTCAGACACTATCTAACTTATATGTATAATTATCCTCCTCGAGTCCCTCCATCGCTGTCTCTGAACGGGACCCGAAAAGACGGTATCACGTGCCGGGGACCCGCGCGCGCAGGCTAGCGTGTGAACTAGTCGTGAGTTGCCCCAAGATCGCATCCAGAAGGACACTTGGAGGCATCCCGGTATTTACTGTTGCTGTCCAGTGTCGCATTTCCAGCCATCTCTACACCCCTTCCAGGGTGCTTCTGGGAAGAAAAGGGCATCCTGCCATATTCCGGCTGTCCTTCTTTTTGTTCTAAATTTCCATTGCGGATTTTATTCATGATACGTCTTCCTGCTACGGCCTATTGTTAAACCCCATACAGAACGTTCCGTCATCAGTCAGTATGGTCCGTCTAAGGGAAATTCCCCGGACGGCCACCTTCGCTTGGTCTCCCGGTGCCAAATCGCCCTTGATCGCGACCGGAACCCGAGCAGGGGCAGTCGATGTTAATTTCTCGAATGAGACGTGCCTCGAGCTCTGGGATCTGGGGTTGGATCGCGAGGACGCGGGCACGGAGTTGCAACCCACCGCCAAGGTTTCCACCGACTCAGGGTATGGCTATTCGAATCGATAATACAGGTTGCATGGAGAGATGATCGGGATCTAATTCGCTTACAGGTTCAATGACCTGGCTTGGGCAGAGTCCGATGATAATACGCGAGGTGTCATCGCCGGTGGTCTAGAGAACGGCTCCTTGGATATCTGGGATGCCGACAAGCTGCTCAGCGGAGCAAGGTACGAGGACAAATTACGTAGAGTTATCGACATGACCTAATTCTCTCCAGTGACCCTCTCGTCTCGAGAACCAGCAAGCATACAGGAGCGATCAAGGCCCTCCAGTTCAACCCCCGACACTCGAACCTCCTGGCCACCGGAGGAGCGAAAGGAGAGGTACGGTCACAGCCCTACAATCAGGAGTCAATGTCCCGCATCGGAGCACACTGACTCGTTCGCAGCTTTACATCAATGATATTAACAACCTCGACAACCCATTCCGCCTCGGAAATACTGCAGCCCGCGCTGATGACATTGAGTGCTTGGATTGGAACAAGAAGGTCGCCCATATCATGGTCACTGGAAGCAGCGCAGGCTTCGTGACCGTCTGGGATGTTAAGACAAAGAAGGAGAGTCTGACGCTGAACAACCTCGGCCGGAAAGCCGTCAGCGCCGTGGCCTGGGACCCGGAGAAGGTACGAGTACTCAGAACCTGCTGTGGACTCGCTCTGACCTGGAACAGCCAACTAAATTGATCACCGCTACTCCTCTGGAGTCAGATCCCGTCATTCTTGTCTGGGATCTCCGTAACTCACATGCCCCAGAAAGAGTAAGTTCGTGCCCGCCGTGACCGTCGCATACGGCTGACAGTCTATAGACTCTGAAAGGACATGAATCCGGTGTCCTGTCCCTCTCCTGGTGTACTCACGATCCGGACTTGCTTCTCTCCTCCGGAAAGGACAACCGCACTCTCTGTTGGAACCCGCAGACGGGCGTGGCCTACGGAGAGTTCCCCGTCGTCACGAACTGGACCTTCCAGACTCGCTGGAACCCTCACAACCCCAACTTCTTCGCTACCGCCTCGTTCGACGGAAGAATCTCTGTTCAGACGATCCAGAGCACTAGCAATGAGGCTGCGCAGTCGCTTGCCAGCCAGAACCAGACTCTTGATGATGAGGATTTCTTCGCCAAGGCCCAGACGCAGCCGCAGATATCAACGTTCTCGCTGCCAAAGGCCCCCAAGTGGCTGGAACGTCCGTCTTCTGCTGCCTTCGGTTTCGGCGGAAGGGTTGTCTCTGTGGGACTGACGGAGAAGGGAAAGCGTTCCTCGACAGTCAAGATCACACCTTTCGAAGTGGATGAATCTGTCGGGAAGGCCACCGAAACTTTCGAGACGGCATTGAAGGAAGGAGACCTGCGGAGCATCTGCGAAACGAGAATCTCTGCTGCTCGCTCAGAGGAAGAAAAGGCCGACTGGAAGGTTATCGAGACTTTGCTCTCCGAGAACCCTAGAAAGGGTCTCTTGGAGTACCTTGGATTCTCGAATGAGACTGATGAAGCCGCTGACGGCATCGCCAAGCTCGGATTAGGAAAGGAGGAAACTAACGGAGTGACTGAGGACAAGGAGTCCCGCGGGCCGGGAGCCAAGAAGCATAAACGAATCACGTCTATATTCGAGACAAGCACGGAGGGAGAGGAGTTCCTGACAGATCTGGCAGCATCGAAGGGTGCCAGAACTAACAACCCCTTCAGCATCTACACTGGTTCTGAGTCTGAAGCTGACAGGCGGATCACGCGGGCTCTTCTGCTCGGCGAGTTCGAGAAGGCCCTCGACGTCGCTCTCGAAGAGGACCGGATGTCTGACGCTTTCATGATTGCTATCTGCGGGGGCCAGAAGTGCATCGAGAAGGCCCAGGAAGTTTACTTCTCCAAGCAGGCCGGCGGTCCCAACTACCTGCGCCTTCTCGCTTCCATCGTGGGCAAGAACCTGTGGGATGTCGTGCATAACGCCGATCTTTCCAACTGGAAGGAGGTTATGGCAGCTCTCTGCTCTTTCGCGGATGAGAAGGAGTTCTCGGATCTCTGCGAGGCGCTTGGTGACCGGATCGAGGAGCAAATCAGAGCCACAGGTGACAAGGCTTCCCGTAAAGACGCATCCTTCTGCTACATGGTTGGATCGAAGCTGGAGAAGGTGGTCGCAATCTGGATCGACGAGCTCCGGGAGAACGAAAAAGAAGGTCTAGACGCCGGCACCGATGACTCCAGCTTTTCTGTCCATGTCCGTGCTCTGCAGGGCCTGATCGAGAAGGTGACCCTGTTCCGCCAGGTCACCAAGTTTGAAGACACGGAACGCCAAAAGGAGTCTGACTGGAGACTGGGCCTGCTCTACGACAAGTATGTGGAGTATGCTGATGTTGCAGCAACTCATGGTCGCCTGGAGATCGCGGAGAAGTACCTCAGTCTCGTTCCTGAGAAGCATTCTGAGGCCGAAGTCGCGAGGAACCGGATCAAGTTGGCGACCAGACCGGCTGCTGCGAAGGCAGCCCAGGCTACCGGCCCTGCGGCGCGAGTCGCTTCCAAGCCTTTGGCACAGCCGAACCTATACCAACCTCCTCAGCCTACGTTCTCTCCCGCAGGCACTCCAGCTCCGGCAGTAAACCCTTACGCGCCTCCTACTCCGGCTGCGGCTGCCCCTGTCCCTGCTGCTCAGCCAACTAATCCTTATGCTTCCATCGCCGCTGGAGGCTACACGCCTACTGGCTATCAGCCTGCTGGTTACCAACCTCAGCAGCAGATGAGGTCGGCTGCAGTCCCCCCGCCTCCTCAGTCTTTTGGCCATTCGTATAGCTCTTCTATTCCTCCTCCCCCTCGTGCCTCCAGCCAGTCCCCAGCTACCACTGTTACTACGTACACCACGGCCACGAACCTCCCTGCATGGAACGACCTGCCAGAGGGCTTCGCTCGGCCTACTGCGCCGCGAAGGTCAACCCCAGCTGGTACCACTGCGATAAGCTCCCCCTTCCCCAACCAGTCTCCCACGGGCTTCCAAGGGCCTCCACCCCCTGGTCCTCCGGTTGCTGCACGAAGGGGTACTCCTCCTGTTGGGCCACCGCCAAAGGGTCCTGCTCCTCCGCCTCGTGTCACATCGCCGCCCTCAAGACCTACTTCAGCAACGGCCATGAACCCGTATGCTGCCATCCCCCAGTCGCCGCCCGTCGCTACGGGCATGGTCCCCCCGCCTGTTCAGCGGGGTCCTTCCCCGTATAATGCACCTCCCGCTGGCCCGCCACCATCGAATAGATACGCCCCGAGCCCTGCGTCGCAGCCCTCAACACCCCAGCTCCAGGCTCGAGGCCCTGTACCGCCTCCTCCCCAGGCTAGTGGACCATACGCACCACAGCAGTTCCAGCAGCCGCCGCCTCCAAACCCATATGCCTCGAACCCGCCTCCTCCCGCTCAGCAAGCTCCGCCGCAGGCACCACCTTCCCAACCTTCGAGGCCGGGCACTGCGCAATCGCAGCGGGAGCCGCCTGCTCCTCCAAAATACCGTAAGTCCGGCCTCTCAGAATTATAAATCTACTTGAGTACTAACTGCTGCTCAGCGCCTGGAGACCGCTCCCACATTCCCGCAAATGCTTTGCCAATCTACGAGATCCTGTCCGGCGAGATGCAGCGAGTCAAGTCTCGTGCCCCCTCCTCGTTCAAGGCACAGGTGGAAGATGCGGAACGGCGGCTGAACATTCTGTTCGACCACTTGAACAATGAGGATCTGCTCAAGCCCAACACGGTGGCAGACATGGCCGAACTGTCGCGTGCCATCCAAGCACGTGACTACGAGACTGCCCGGGCCATCCACGTGGATATTCTGACGAACCGGACAGACGAATGTGGCAACTGGATGGTAAGTGATTCCTTTACGTGTATATTGAATGGGAGTCGATATTGACCAGTCCGTTGCAGGTTGGTGTTAAGCGACTGATCAGCATGAGCCGCGCAACACCTTGAACGACTCTCACGTGACGTGTTATGCCAATCGTAGAATCTAGGGATCTGAAGACAGCTTCTTACCCTGTATTACGTGCTAGAAGGCTAGCAGCTTGTCGGCGATCTGAATCTGTGTCTGCTATCAGGTCGTTTATTTCTCGTGCCATGTTTTTAATAGCCTGTTGAAGATTTCAAAGTTAGGCCCCATTTTCTTTACTCTTAGGAAGATGCAGACTGCAGATAAAACGTTACGTATTTGAATAATTGCCTGATCAGTTGCTGGATCATTTAAAATGCGGTAGGATTATGTTAAGTCGCCGTTCTCCTCCGTAGACATTTGGCATCCCACATAAAATACATTTACGGTCCAGAATCATCTCTTATATTACGAAACTACTAGCAGGCATTTACTTTGCGTTATCCAATGATATCTAGTGGTGTTGCCCGAATGACACGAAAAGCATGGTCTGATTTGAACCACCTAATTAGGCTGCTTGAATTACTTGCTTAGCTTCTAGTTCCAGTGGCGGAAGGGATTTGAACTTATGTTTATCTCTATAATATACACAGAATCTAGTGATCTAGTGATAGGTTCTATTGTATATTTATGATATCAGAGAACAATGCTGCAAATGGATGATTGACAGATTATCTGGACGTACGGAACTTTGTGTGTTAACAATATATATTGTCCTGTAGGGGCTGAGGAAGGGAGTCAGCGGGGGGTTGAGAGTGTTGCTTGTGGTCTTATTTAGATTTAATGTAATTTAATTAATTTGGTAGGTCGGTAGTTACTGTGCGGGTTCTTGTGGTTTACTTTTTTTTGTTTGTTAATCTACTCAGGTTTTTCTAATGGTGAGGGATTTGGAAAGAGATTGCATTTGCATCTGCGGGCTGTGTCATTTCGCTGTGTCAAGGTATAGGTATAAAGTACAGTAGTGCGTAAGCACGTCGTAAATGGACATGTTCGATTTCGAACGAAGCATCGAGTGAGAAAGGGAAGATGAAATGGGTATGTGTACTTGCTCGTACTGGCTCTTCATGATCGTGCTTTTCACCTCGCTACACCTGCTACGATGCGTCCTCCACGGCCGGAGGGGAAGTTCCTCGCGCTCAGCAGAGCGCCCTTGACACCCCGGATCTCAGATTTGATTTCTGATATGGCGTCTTCTTCGCTCTTGCGCATGCCTGTCGCGACCCCTGGAGTGGAACTGTTGTCTGGGCTGCCCGCGGCGTATACGCCGTAGGCGTTGCTGTTGAGATAGCCGGGCCCGCTGTATGTCAGAGCGTCGAGATAGCTTTGCAGCTCGGACAGGCGGTCACGGACAAGATCCTCTGGAGGACGGGTTCGGTTTTCACCGTCCAAGAATTCCTGCATGTGAGAGCGGATGGTCTGAAGGCGTCCGACGTGGCCGGTCACTGACTTGACCGGATCTGGAGCCGAGCTTGCCTCATCTGAGTCGCTCGAGGAAGCCTGGCTGCTCTCTGTCCGTGATAGATCTGGGGTCGTCTGAGTTGCAACGTCACGATGGAACAATTCCGTCGGGTCAGAGATAATGGAGTCAGTATCCGATGCGTCGTCACCGTTTTTAGCTGCCACCGCAGCAGCGGCGCGCGACGGATAGGGCGGTATCGTGGAAACGTTCTGTTCCAGTTTCTCATTCAAGTTGCGCAGATTGCGCTGGGTTGTCTGCGCGAGATCGTGTCGGGCCTCGTTGAGATCTTGCAACATCGGCTTGACAAGATATTCGCTGGCACCGTAGATGCTGGCACCCAGGCCTACAGCACCATAGAGGGTATAGAGGATACTGCGGAAGGTGAACAGTGGCGGTGGCTTTGCGGCTTCTACCAGGAATTCTGGGTATGTGATGATGGGAGGGACATCGCGGGAGGATGTGGCGGAAGTGGCTTTCGTGGAAGAGCTCTGAGAAGTTCCAGTTTCTGACGGCTTTTGACTAGCTGGCTGAGAGGATGTAGAATCTGTAGATGCCCCGGATTTCGCTTCTGATAAAGATGCATCGGAGCTCGAGGACTCGTTGCTGCTGGCCTCCGGGTTGCGCGAGAGCCCCAAGAGTCTATCTATCTCGTCCTGTCGAAGTCCCTTCGATTCGAGGAAAGACACCTTGCGATCTGTGGGCGCATCACGAATGGACTCATCCTCCAGGAACTTCGACGCTTGTTTGAGCAGCTCTGTGCGAGGACTGGCTTCAGACTGCTCCTGGGATGCCTCATTAGTCGTCGCAGATGGAGATTGCGTGGAGGCGGATTCCCCGGCCTTTCTCTGCCACTCGGGGATGGCGGGCTTTTTGGGGTCCGAATCTGCCATGGTGCTCACTGAATCGTTCAAATGACGAGCACTGGCTTCCTGGGGCAGGGAAGGGTAGAGGAACCGGAGCGTTGGTTGAAGATGGACGGGCTTATCGCCGGAGACGATGTTCTTCCTCCGCACGGGGTAAGCTTACCATACTTGCTTGGCCTGGACCTCGGCTGCTGCCCCAAGGATCGGGCACCGCCAGGCGGAAGCGGTGGGAAAGTATACGGTACCTCATAGATGCGCTGGAAAGAGGTGGGATCGGAAGTACCAGCGACATGGCCAGCAGGATGATGAGGTTCTTCTCTCGTACAACACAAAGGCGTGTCATGCCCTTCTCATCGACTGCTTTCTCGATCGTCCGCTGGCCATTCTCCCCCTCTCATCTCACATCACAACCTCGTCCGGATGGGTGATGCTCCAGCATCTTCCCTGGCAGAACTGCTCTCGGAATCGATCAGACACCACGCGATCGGCTGACTGTTGGGCAATCGCCGGTCTCTATTGTCCATGAACCAACTGCGCCTCTCTCGCGCGATTGTCCAATATTCTCCGTGTTTCGTGCGACTACAATAATAACACTAACTACTACTGCACTTCCACTTCCCCTCCGCCTTCCCATCCCAACCCAGAAACCCCGGCAGAAACCCCACACCGCCCGCGATGCCCGTCGTCCGCCGCCTTCGCCGCCGTCCGCAGCGGCCATCCGACGATTATTATGATTATTCTTCGTACAACGATAATTCCAATCGGACGGAGAGCAGCGACGATTGGCAGCCTGAGACCCCGGACGGTGTTGCGCCCAAGCCACAAAGGTATGTCTGCCTCTGCTTACTGCTGACCACTCCGCGTCCCTGCATTGCCCTACCATCCGTTGCTTCCTCGATGCCTGCAGAAGTCCCCCATGCTGCGCGATAGCACTGGCGGCGCAGCTGTCCATGATCCATCCAACGGGAACAGGTCAATGTTCTTTGTGCCGGGATCAGCTGGGCGACCAACTGCTCCGGATAGCCCATGCGCCTATTCACTGTATATGGCTTCGCTCACTGGAGCTCAATGGGCCAATGCTTCTCGCCCCATTTGACCCTTAGCATGCCCTCACCACATCTGTCAAGATCGCCATATCCAGAATAGATGATATGTGCATCGCCCAAACCCGGATCTCACCCATGCTGATCCTATCTTGACTGTACTTTTCTCGTATCGCCATCTTTCCTTCTCTTACACATAGTGATCTCGTCTTCCCGATCATCTTGTACTTCTGCTCATTGCCTGCCCTGACATCTACGATACCACACTATGTCTCCACGTCGTTCACTTCGGTCGCGCGTGGTCGTTAACAGAGAGTCAAGCCCGCCGCTTGCTAACCCAAGAATCAGGTCGAGCAGGATTACACGAGTTGTCCCATCTTCTTCATCGTCATCCCCGTCGCCGCCCGTCACACTCTCTCGCGCATCGTCGCACTCCCCGGACGCAGGCAAGAAATCCATTCGCCTAACAGTCAAGATGCCGGCGAACAAGTTGCGCGAGGCTACCAACAGCTCCGCTCGTAGCGCGACTGCGAGACGCTCCCATAATATATTCATGGACGACCCCATCGTATCGGGACCTCGAAACAGCAGGACCAAAAAGAAGATGGTCGAGGTTGATACGAGCGACGAAGAAAACCTGGATGACGAAGAGGAAGACGAGGTCGATGAAGATGAGGATGCAGAAGGGGAGGAAGATGACGATGTGGATGCAGACGGCGACGTAGACATGGACGATGTACCTCCTCAGCCACCGGTGTCTAAGAGACAGGCCAAACCTACTGCTGCTGCCGGCCGAGGTCAGGTAAAGAGTGTCGAAGCCAAGGAAATGGAGAACGACGATGATGAAGATGATCAAGAACTATCAGAATTGGATTCCGACGCCGAAGGTGAACTGGACGATCAGGAGATGGGAGGTGCAGCGGAAGATGAAGAATTAGAAGACGAGGAAGAAGAGGAAGACGAGGAGGAGGACGAAGACGACGAGGATATGGATCTGAGCAAGATGACAAAGCGTCAACGTGGTTCTCTTGGAAATGATTTCTTACAGCTACCCATGGGTAAGTCCGATTATGAGGCTCCTACCTACGGACCAGTACTTATTATCTTGCAGAACCGCAAGTCAAGAAGCATTTGACCGCTGAAGAACATGCGATGCGACGAGCTGAAATGGCCCGCCGGAGAAAGAACCTCAGTGAGAAGCGGAACGAAGAAGAAAAGGTATGCGACGGAGTCGACGTTCTCAGACAGACCATTATCGATCTATTGGACTTTTTTTTTAAGGAAACTATACGTGAGAAGAAACTAATCAAAATATGACAGATGGACACTATCAACCGTCTTTTGAAAAAGCAAGCCCCAAAACGCCGCGGCAGAGCGGCTGCAACGGAGGCTGAAGGTACTCCCACCGTCCAGGAACCGCCAGAGCCACCTAAACCTGACCCTACAATGATCCGGTGGGTCAGTGGTTCTAATGGTGTCTGCCGGGTCGCTGTACCGGAGGAATTGTTCGGTACTCCTGCTGGTCGTCTCTTTGGAGAGGCTCCTTCTAGTAACGGACAACGGAAGCTTGTCGAGGAGGTCTAGGGGACGAAAACCATCGGGAAAGTCCAGCAGGGTTGTGCATAACTATTACAGGGGCCTGGGGGAGGATGTCAAACTATTCGGGAGTAAGGCTCACTTGGGTTGTCTATCTGCCAAAATAACACTTGTCAATCAGCATTTATTTATTATGGGCGGAGTTTTATAGGGGAAATCGGCAGGAATACGGCATGGATCGTTCAGTTAGAAAGCGACATTCGAGTAAACACATGTCCTTAGGGTTTCAAAACTCATGATCATTACTACATCAAATACGTCTCGTAGTATTTGTTATTTAATACATCCAGAGAGAGAAAAAAAAAAGAACCGTAGCTTTTTTGCCATTGTAATTTCCTGACGGAGATGCAATTGAGGGCCAGACAAAAGAAACCCTGACCCGGCATGGCGGTAATGGGCCCTGAAAGCCATCCCATCCCGATATGAAATAACAGACTCAAAATATACATTCTATCAAAACACTTTTTCCAAGAAAAGAATCAGTACAGGGGCAACAATCGACATTACCACGGTAAATAGTTTCCGGGCGGGAGCCCCAGCTCTCATGAGTAGACGGCACGAAAGGATAACTCGTTCTCGCTGGTTAGGACAACTCCTTCTCTCCGATGATGAGCGCTTGGTTGAGCTTCTGTAGGTGGATTTTGGCACCATCCATCCACTGCTTGTTGCATGCTTCAAATGACCATCTTCAGAATTGGGTTGGTGGCCCCGTAAAGAAGGTGAGTCGTCTATAGCGTATTAGATAAATAGATATAATCTTCGTCACATCATATCATAACCATCGATGTATGCTCTGGTTTTAGGTCTGATATAGTTTCCCGATAGCCAGGGCTCCTGGTGATATACCATACGTCCCAACTGAGAGGCCCACTGTTGCTGCAGCATTTTATCTATCCTACTGATCAGATGATCGATCACTCAGGCTCTGATCTGACCGCGTGCTCTCAGCCACCGTGCTAGGGACTGCGTTTGTCCGCGCGGGCTTGCCAAATGGCCAAAGGCGCTGTGTCCAAGTGACGGCGGGAGTTGCGTTAGGATCTTGGATTGTCTGCGGCGGAAGACCGGAAGGCGTGGATGAAGAAGAAGAAGTTGGGATATCCTTGGCCGGGCCTCTGACTTCGATCATATTACGCTCAGATGGGTTTTGTTGCCTATGGAGCCTGTGACGGTGTTTCTATGTTAGCATCGTGGTGACGTAGTGGGTAGGTATGTAGAGTAAATGAGACTGGGGTGGAGGTAGCCACAGTATATAGAATATGGACATACTGAGTGCGCTTTTCTGCTTCAAGCTGCTGAAATGCTGGTTGGAAGGTATAGTACCCTGTGCGCGCGCAATGTGTTAGCTACCTATTCATCTGGGAATCTTGTCTCCGAGTACCAGAGTAGGATTAGATGCGTAGTTCGTACCTGTTACGACACCAACCGCGATGGCTATGGCAGCTGGGAAGAATCCTCGAACGGCACTCATTATGTAGGATAAACACGCCGCGAAAGCAATGAATTGTGGAAATCAGTTGGTTATCGAATAGTATGGCGATTTCTCAGGCGGCGCAAGATTTGCGGAAGTCCAGAGAGTTCGGACTTTAAGCTCCCCAAGCTCCGGGCACCTTAATTAGTTAAACTCGGGGAGTCGCGTCTCCCCACGTCCTCAAACGCGTCAGGCTAGACTGGCGGCTAGGAAACATTCAACACTCGCCTTGATAACAGCCAAAGAACATACTAGCGAAACAACTGCAGTGATTCTTAACAACGGCGAAAATCCACGATTTTACACTCGTCTCTTACTGGCTAATTCGATCTTTAGGCCGAGTTGTTCCATTCGCAGCTCACCTTTTCGGGAGAATCTATAACTAGCAAAGGGAGCGAAACCACCCAGAGCAATGGACTATTGTCGTCGAAGATACCAATGAAATCATGGCGGGAGCAAGGCTTCGTACCGGACTCGGACGACGAAGATGACTTCGAGAGCCAGGGTTCGAAGAAACAGGAAAAGGAAGAGCAGCCTTACAGAAACACCGAGCAAGATGTGACGGCGACGTTTACGAATAATGAGCACGAAAATATCGATACGCACAATAATAGTGACGATGGAGGCGAGAATACTGTTGGGGACAGCGCTTGTTTGCAGGCTTCTATGGAACTCGACTCGAGTAGTGACGATGGAGAAGAGACATTGCTTGCTGTGGACGTTGGGCAGAACAGATCAAGGTCTATCACTCCCGATGAGAGCGAACAACTGCCAGTGTCGATGGACGTTGATTTTGTGGACGGAAGTCAGCAGCTAGGTGGCGATGGCCACTCGCAAACACAGCCGCAACTGTCCCGGGTTTCATTTCAGGATGAGAATCAGTCAACCCAAGATGAAGACGAAATCGCAGCAGATGTCGGGCTCCCAGATACATCCACTACACGCCCTTTTGCTGCACGACCTGCAGATCGATCATTTGACGCTTTCAATATCCCCAGTTCTCCGGACGAGCTACAGCTGGAATCTCAGCGTCCAGTGACGCTTCCCCCCGTGGAACCCCATAATGATAGCTGGATCAGGTCTGCATTTGCCAGTGAGAACGATGACCTTTCTCCCTTGTCATCTCCTCCATCGTCTCTCGCTTCTTTGGACTTGACCTCCGGACAGGATGGCGATCAGAGGGAGCCGGAACATCCTGCCAGTAGACCGGAAGATCTACTCCCTCCTCTGGACATCCCTGAAGAGATTATGCGGGAGCTCTCTCAGCCTGTACAAAGATCTCTCAGACAGCGAAATCCTATCCAGCTGCACCCCTATCTTCTCGAAGATGCCAAATATCAGAGTCTCATGAAAGCAAGAGGAGTAAAACCAGTGCGTTTGCCGAATATCGGCCCACAGCGACGCAATGAAACAGATGAAAGTCAGGGGCAAGATACCCTTGACATCCCCGAACCTCCTTCATCGAGTGATCCTGCTGCGGAGTTCCATCTCCCTCCGTCTTCGCCAGTTGATCCATATGAGAGACTGCCCGCAAGATCACATAGTCACACCCCGAGGCCCGTAAACCATACGAGCTCTCCCCTTCCAGCTTCTGGCTCTCATAGGAAACATAGGCACAGTGCGAAGAGACGGAAAATTTCGCATGGTAGCGGAAGAACGTTATCAGATGTGCAAGTTGTCATCAATCACAGTCCACAAGGACAACGGGACGAACATTCGATATTTGATCATCCCCCATCGCCACCACGTTCTGGGAGCCTGTCCTCTACGCAAACAGTGAAGCGTACGTCTGGATTCCGATTTCCGCGGGGCTTTACGCCCCCAGCGCTGGACGCACCTGTTGCTGAATCAAGGTCAAACGAGAGAAATGACGCAGAGAGTCCTTTGGAAGGGCGAGGTACCGATGGTGGAGATGAAAGTGCTCAGCCGGAGGATCTGTCCGATTCTGAAAAGAGTTCCGCGGGAGAAGAGGAACCGGAGGACGAGACCATAGAGGTTAGACGACTACAGAAAAGAATCAAAGGCGTTCTGCCCGCTTCTTGGTTGAGATTAGACTTGAAGCAGCAGGAAGAGCAGCAAGTAAGGTCTAGGGAAAGGCAGCGAAATCATGATTTTTCACGAAGGCTGCAGAACGCCAAGGGGGTTGCGAGAAAAATAACAAAGCCAAGAAACGACGCAGGCATCTCTTCCAGTCGGCCGAGTTTGCCATCCTTTTCAGACGAAGATACTGGGTCTGATGACAATAGCCCTGCCGAAACAGACTCGCGCAAGGCCCTGGCAGGCCTCGTTGGGTTTGATGACCCCTTTGACGATGTCCAAAACGATGATGATATTCCGGAAGACAATCGTATCGACTATATGTTTCCGCCTACATCGTCTAGGCACGGTTCGTCGACTGCAAAAACGTACTCGAAACGCGATAAGCCCAAAAAGCATGAAGCCAGGAGGAGACCGCCTTTACAACGCCAAATGAGGATTACAGATTCTATGTCCAAGCCCAGAAGAGAGAAAGGAGTAAGGCGTGCATCGCAAAAACCTCCTAAACTGGGAATACTAGATGCCCCTGATATCGCTCAGAGGCCGCGTGCAGAGCAGCCGCAATTCCTCAGGATCGCAGCAAGGCAAGCACGTTCTCGTCGCGATCAAGGAAGAAGAAGTCCAACTCGCAAATTCTTTATGCTTGGCACGAGGAAGGATACAGAAGATGCTAACAGCTCACTGCGCGACTGGAAAAGGGGGTCAATTCGGCAGACAAAGATCGTAAAGACAGCGAATAAACGGCAACGACGCCAGCCTCTGAATGATCTCTCACCCAACGAACACGATCCTTCTAGGAGAGCGGCATCCGATATATCTATTCCTGATGGCGAAGCCACGGATGCTCTTAGAGAGCAAGTCGACGTAGGGAACAGTCTGTCAGAGATCGAATTGGACGAGGGTACTTCGAGCACTGCTGCCAGGCGTGAGCAACTATCCAGGAAACCATCTGCGGTGGAGCGTCGCCGTGATAAATGGGTCGTCCCCAGGAAGTTTGCGGTATCGTCCCTGAAACGACAAGATCCCAGACCAGCGGAATTTGAATCTGTGGGGGCAGGTCAGACTACGATCACACCGTCGTTATTCCAACAGTCTTTATCCGCCCTCAATAGATCTTATCGCCATGCGCATATGCCAAGGAGGTTAAAACAGAGTCTAACTCTGGATCGTTTCCTATCGACTACAAACTCATCTCCGGCAGCTTTGAAAAGTGCGCCACAGCGTCCTGCAGCGGAGATCAGTGTCAATGAGCCCCCCAGGCCTCGGCCACACGTACAGCGGCAGGTGAGGAAGCGACAGCCGAAGCGAATTGATGCACATACTGCTGAGCATCAGCAGGCTCAAGTCCTCACATTAGACGATTTTGACAATGTATCGAGCGTGTCAGCAGAGCACCCGAAACCGTCCACATCTGTCTCCAGGGGACTGGGTATATTGAAGCCAACATATTCTGTCGATTTCAATATTGCTCCCTTGCAGCCAGGAACATACTTCCACGATTCGACGTTTATCGGAAGTGGAAACTTCTCTCGTTCACTCGATATTCAAGTCCGCAACCTTGACGATGAGGGAGGCCATTACTTGGCCCAGATCGATGAACGCAGCTACCGGTGGGGTGCATGGAATGATACCGTATCATCAGAGCTTTGCCTCGTGTTTGATAACATCATGGACGAAATAGAGAAGGACAATGCGAGTGCGCCCGATGGAGGGCCATTCACGAGAAGCCGCAAAGTCGAGCAGTTTTATCGTTCAGTTGTTGAGTATGTCACTGAGAAATTATGGTTCCTCGATCCGGTTGATAGAGTTGCCTTCGTGGATAGATGTGTGGACTTGATTTCCAAGCTCAATGAGCAGATCACGACGTTTGTCCCCGTCTCGCCAAATAGTCGTCGTTCCTGCCTGTGGGCTGCCACTTTCAACGTTGTCTTCGCCAGCCAAGTTCTGCAGATTGCTTCCCATGATGTGGTCTCTCCGTCTACAACTGATCGAGCTCGGACTGTTCTGAAAGGGGTACTAAAGCAAGTGACGGGATTAATCTTCAGTCAGCAAGGACTAGCAGATATTCGCTCCTTTTTGGAAGAGAATAGGGCCCAGGAACAACGGGAAACAGGAATCCGCGACGAATATCCTGCTGTCAGCGCCTACATCGTCTCGCGTCATATCATAGACAGCAAGCCTTTTTCGAATGACAATTTCGAGGCGCCCTTTGTCACTGAATACTTGTCAGCTTACTTGACCGACAACGAAAGGACAAAAGACGTCAATTCACTCGAGTGGGTCTGGCGTTCGCTGTTTACAACTCTTCCCCTCGACGAAATCGATCAAATTGGGATCTCCCAGGTCGGCTCACGGTTTAGACGACCGAAAGCTAATTGGTCCCTGATTAAATCTCTTATGCTGGAGGTACTGGATAAATATGACGTTGAATCTGAAAAGCAGCCTGTTTCTCTAAATAACTACTGTCGGGTGCTCTTTCATCGATGTTTCCACCTGATCAACAGTTGGGGCTGGCGGGATTGCAAACTAATCTTAGATGCCTTGTTCGATTTCTTCGCCAAAAATACACTTCATAACTTGAAGAATGAAGAAAGCTTTGGATCACCATCCTTTCTTGACGAACTTGAGACTGACCCGTCTTTGGAAGTCCTCCCGGGTGATCCCTGCTTCCATATCTTCTTGAAGATCGTTGGCAGTGGGCTACGTTTCATGTCGCAGATACATGAGAAGAAAAGGATCAGAAATTTCGCCTGGCGTCTGCTACCAAATCACGGTCGCGTTTATCCGAAAGATAAGCCGCTACATCATGAGGATCTAGATGCATTGAGGAACCACCACGACCTACTCTGCACACTCTTCTTCGCTGTTCCAGACGGATGTCGACCTCGACTTGAAACAATACGTAACCTGGTCGATCCGGCCAACTCCCACCGGGAGACGTGTAGCATGAGTCTCCGCTCATGGGCCAGGCTCGTCCGGTTCAAGCTGTCGACTGACGAGGACTTGACCGCGCTAGACCAATTTGCTGAATGGCACGGATATTTCGTGACGGAATTGGTGAAGCAACATGCGCTTGCTAGGTCTGAAGTGGAAGCTCAGAGTGAGACTGCAGACATGCGATTCTCTAAGCAAATAGTCGAATCCACGATATCTCAGAATCAGAAACAGATTGAATCGCTTCTCAGCACTGCCCTCAGTGGCATGAATAATGCGCTCGGTATCGCGCCATCGTTGGAACATGCCCGGATGCTTATTTCAAAATTACCCCTTCAGAAATTATTCGGTCTATTCAACCCGAAGCAATCGCGCGTTAACAAGACTGTATCGGAAACACTTGAGATCTTAATCAGTTACACCTGGAAAGACGAATCCCTCGCCTCACGACCTGCCACAGTCAGCGCCAATGAGGATAGCCAGGAATACGGCGATTGGACGGGAATTGAAGAGATGTGCGTGGACGGCTCAGATCAACCGGATTCTGCCGTTGAACATGTCGACGCTGTTTTCCACCCAGCTGTATCTCGTCTTGTTTCCAATTGCTTTGGTGAGGATTACTGCCCGGAGGATGCAATTCTGCTAAAGGTTGTGGACTGCTGGACTGGTATTTTGCATATGCTTGTCAAGCATCGTCTTCGCTATTGGGATTCCTGCATGAGCCCATATGGTGCAGACTCCTGGACGGCACTCCGTAGTACTGTACAGACACGGAAGTTCACTCCATACTTCTTGGCGAAGTGCATCGAGAGAGACTCGGAATTCTATACTGAGTGCAAGCATCAGATTCTCGGCATGTGGATTTCGTCCCTGGTGGAACGATCCTCCATGTTGAAGTTTCAACATTATCTGACCGAAGTATTGCTAAATCAAGCTCCTGATACCCCTTTACTCGGCAACCTACCATTCTCTAGAGGCCTCAGCAGTGATCGATACCGTATCACACTGGAGGAATTTGGGGAGCGGAGGCTATCGCTGATTTCAAGCTTATTGTCGAACATGCGAGAGCACTTACAACTCCTTGAGGATGTTGGAGATCGGGAATTAAGCAGTACGCGTGACCACTACCGCGATCTCATCGAAAACCTCATGGCATCAATGAAAGCCAACTATCTAGAGCTTGGGAACAATGCAGAGGCAGCCCAAGGCGCTTATGTGACTTTTGTTCACAGCGTCGTGGGCTTCTTGCAGCAACATGCTCCAGGTATCTGTGCGGTAGACAAGTTCTTCACTGAGCCCACGTCATTCCCTCTGCCTGCAACGGACCCGACATACATTGTGGCGAGACTCAAGAGTTACGGTCTGAGACTCTCTACAGGGAAGGCAGCCAAGCCTCTTGTTGTGTTTATTCAAAGCGTCTCTGAACGGGCGGTCTTGGACGGCCAACAAGAGTACTTAGTGGACCAATTGTACGCATCGATGGGCGACGTCTATGAAAGTGGAAATACCGGTCGACCTACTTTGCGTGCGTTTCTGTTCCGGAGTGTATTCCCTGCTTACATCGAAAGTGCCTTCAGCGATCTTTGTGGCTGGATTCTGGCTGGTCCTATCTTACAGGCAGTTGCCCGTGCTTTTACCGACATGCTACTGTATGTGGATACAACAGACCCGGATTGCGTCTCCTCGGTGACGGAGATCTTCTGCACTATCTTCGAGTCATCATATCGCGCTCTACACCTCCTTGTCGACCATGCCGGAATGATCGAAGAGCCTACGGTCTTGGTCACTACAGCCTGCTTCTTTGAGATGATCACGGCCGCATTGCCGGTGATTGATTATATCGATCGAAACACCGAGTCTGGGGAACTGCTCGTGAGGCAGCTCCAAGTTTTCAGACAGATTGCGCTGTTTGCAGCTACTTCCTTGCTGGATCCGGGTATGGCGGTTGATCCCGACTCTCTCGATGGTCGTTTCGACGCTTTCTCCGGGAGACATCCGCGGTCAACAGCTACTCCCCGTATCTTCCATGAAGCTCGTGCCTTCGCTGCTCGAGAGCTGCAGACGGCACTTCGGACCAACTGGTCAAGGCATAAGGGCAAATACTTCACTCGCCGAGGCCAGCAACTCAAAGAAGTCCAGATCGATTTATTACAAAGACCAGACTCCGCCCAAATCGCTAAAGCAAAATTCATCGATTCTATCGAAGTACTCTTCGGCACGATGCAGCATCTTCACCTCCTCCATGAAGATGAGTCAATCCGACCAGAGTGAGGGAACAGCTAGTATCTAGGTATTTCGTCTCGGCTTGTTCATTTTCATGACTTTTGTCGGTCATGTAACGATTTTGTTTTAACCATAGCCACATATGCATTCTGGGAGTTGGAATCAGCTTCTTTCATCTGCTTTCCCTTTGTTTTGGCATACCAGAAGTGGGGAAGTTTGTATTCCAATCATCTGTCGAAGGATTACAGTACGGCATGGTGTTAGCCACTGTTAATATACCTATATAGATTATACCATGTCTGCTCTTCGATCTCATACTATCCGATCCAATACCATCTTGTTTGTCCATGCATGTTGCACTGCATTTGTACTCATCGAACTATTGTAGAATATCAATCATACTCTCCCTTGCCGCAAAATGCGTGAGGAGTGTGCAAACCAAATATAATAACATCCATTTCAACCGCGGAATACCAGTATGACAAGAGGCAAAAATCTCACGGAAGAGAATACCAAATATATCCATCACCTGATCATTATGTATATATTATCGTATAGAGACAGAAAAAATGAAACTAAATATCGATTCGAAAAAAGAATCCGTATTTGATGCTCATGTTTCCTCAGTACAATATGATGCGTATCATGGCGCTTTGCGTGAAGATGAAGAAGAATTTATCGTATCCCAGAAAAGAAAAACTAGAGCTCAAAATCAGAGTTAAGTGATGACATAACGAGAATTTCCCAAGTCCATGGTTATATTGCTCCAAGCTCTCCAATTTCCAACGTCCAGTTTCCGTTGGAAGTTTGCAATAACAGCATTGATATTGATTATTCAGATCACGGTCGTTTCATAAAGCACGCCTTGAGTTAATGAGTAGACCGCATGTCGGTGATGAGATAATAATGAATAATAATTTGACATTACTCGTACTCCAGCCCCTCAGGATAAAAGAAAAAGAAACAGTACAATATCAGTCAGTCTTCTTGATCTTCATCTTGATCTTGAATTTTTTTTTTCCCTCGGAGACCTTCTGATTATGTTTTTTGCGTTTCAGGGTTCTCTTCCACAAGGGGAACATCGTTGGCGCCATCGCCGCCTGTGCCTTGGCTGGAGCCTCGTCGATGGAAAGGATAATGATGGATACCTGAGAAGCCGAGGACTTTCTTCATTGCGCCAGCGACACCATGGCTCTTCCTTTTCTCGTCATGATTATGGTTGGTATGATTGGAGGCATTGACTCTGCGGCGGGCGACGATGTTGTCCCCTGGTGCTTGTGGGGTTGGCTTTGGAGGCCATTGCCCATCTGCTTTCCAGCCCTCGACCATGGCGCGCGTTACGTCCGCCAGGTTGATGGGCACAGTGGGCGTCAGGCCTTGTACCACGATCTTGCTGTAGATAGACGGATATAGCGAGGGCTTGATAGAGGAGCGAATGGGATTGCTTTCGGGGAGAAGAGGGCGTACTAGAGGGACGAGAGGCTCGTTAGGATCCTCGTCGTCTTCTTTCTCCTCTCCCGTTGATCGTTCTTCTTTCGTTGTTGCCGGAACAGACGTCTCCCCTTCCTTAGATGCCGCATCATGGTTCTCACTCACGGACAGGGCCTCTGTCTCCGGTACCAGGGAAGAACCATCAGACGAAGGCTGCGACGCTTGATCGCCTCGCTCCTCTCCCTCCGCAGGCACCGTGCTGCGACTCCCCGCACTCTCTGAGCTGAGAGGACGCACAAGTGGTGCCTTCTCCGCGATTTTCTGATCCACCTCCTGCGCCGCTGAGGGAGCAGCCTGCGCCCCGGATGTGCGTTTGACATCTGCTCTCGTGCGAGCACCGGACCATGCATTTCTCCTCTCAACCCAGATCCTCAGCCCGATATTCCACCGCATCTCTTCCTCGAGCTGGCGTCTTCGTCTCCGTCTGCGCTCGACGACATTAGCCCGGACTGCTGCGTCCGAATCTTTACCCTGCTCGGGACGGCGATGCTGCTTCCCAGCTTGAGCAGGACCAGCCTGCTCCGGGTCGAATTCCGAGCCTGAACTATCATATTCGCGTAGTCGCCATCCCACAACATCAGAAAGGGATTCCGTCCCTGCCGTCGAGCTGGACGTGGTACCCGTAGCGGTGGTAGTAGTACTATTAGTAGTAGTAGGAGCTGATGATGACGGCGTGGTGGCAGTCATAGAACTGGCGTTAGAACCAGCCGATGGCGGACTATTCGTCAAGGACGTTTCATAATCCCAATCATTCCGAACGACATCTCGGATATGTCTCTTTGCTTCGAGTATGATAGCTTCGCGTTCTTGTTGCGTGGGCACCGTCGCTGTCGTCGTTGTCGTTTCCGGCGAGCGGGGTTTGCGATGGAAGGAGAAGACGGAGGTGGGAGAGCTTGGTTTGCTGCCGTCCATCGCTGCGACTGTATCTTCGCGCGACGGCGGAGACAATGATGCGACGAGGGGTTTTATTCTTTGGTTAGGAGAAATTGCAGCACAAGATCCAGGGCGCAGCTAAGAGGGGAATAATAGCGAGAGAGGGGGGGGGGGGGGGGGTGGAAAATCCCCGACGAGAGCGGAAGCAAGCCTTAGGAGGTTATGATGTGATGGCGGCAACACGACGTCCATGCGCGGATCGTACGCCCGCGCAGCAGAACGAGGAGTTAAAAGAGAATAAAATAGCATCTTATATGTGATTTGTGGCTAGTGGTACAGGTCTATCATGGGTCTAGTATTACAAAAAAAAAAATGAATAGCAACAGAAGAGTAGAACAAGGTCGTGACTCGATATTTCCCATGATCAACCGCCCCAACGGTAAATAGTCAACACAGAACGCCCATCAAGTGCGCACACGAGCTGTGTCGGCGCTTGTTTGGGCCTCACCGGGGGGTGTGAACCCCCAGGAAGGTCCTTTCTTCCGTCGTCCCTTGCGGTCCCCGTACTTTTCGTCAAACTTCCTGATCGCAGACAGAGAGGACATGTCCTCATTGACGGAGGCGCTGATCTCCTCCATACCGCGCTCAAAGTGCTTCAGCTGCAGGACGCGCCGTTCCGGATACTGGTAAGGTTCCGGGCCTTGGTGCTGCGCCGCCAGATCGTTCTCTTCACGGACACAGGCGAGGGCGGCTGCTACACAGAGGTTCTTCAAGTCAGATCCGGAGTACAGGGGCGTACGGCGCGCCAGCTCCGCCAGGTCCACGGCCGGGTCGAGCACCTCTTCCTTGAGATGGATACGAAGGATGGCTTCGCGGTCCTTCTCCGTGGGGAGGTCGACCAACAAGCGTCGAGGGAGACGGCGGAGGACGGCGTCATCCAGGTCAAATGGTCGGTTTGTTGCAACCATGATGAAAGCAGACATATCATTCATGCCGTCCCACTCACGCAGGAACTGGTTGATGAGTTCGCGGTGCGATGTCCGGGTACTTGCTCCTGTTCGAGAGCAGAAAATGGCATCTGCCTCGTCGATGAAGACGACGCAGGGGCTGAGCTTCTTCGCCAGAGTAAAGATGGCTTTGACATTCTTTTCACCCTCACCCACGTACATGTCGTATACTTCAGATCCACTGACTTCTAGGACAGTCGCGCCGCTTTCGCGGGCAACGGCCTTCGCGAGTAGAGTCTTACCGGTTCCAGGTGGACCATAAAGTAGAAGACCGGGGATCTTGTCGGTTGCAAGGACACCATACGTAAAGGCCTCAGGTCGAACTAATGATAGTGATGTGAGGGTCTTCAATGCGTCAATGGTCTCTGGCGGAACATGGACATCGGCGAAGGTTGTGCGAATGCTCTTAGCGTCCACCACGCCGTTCAGAAGCTTCTTTTCATGGGTATTGCACGTCTTTCGAAGGGCTTTCAGACTCTGCTCCCGATCCGCCTCTGGTTCACCCTGACTGGGCTTGGGGGACCGCTGCTGCAGCCAGTCATTCTTGATACGGTCTGTCCGCTGCATGAGCTCTATTCCCCTTTGGATGTGTCGCAGGCCTAGTTTCTCCTCGGGTTCAGCACAGCCAAGCGCCAGAGTAGTCACCCAGTGGACATGGTTATATGTCCAATACCGCTCATTGATTCCAGACTTCTTGACCGTCTCATCGTCCAACGGCCATGTCCAGGTGGTTAGGACGTCATCGTCGGCAGAAATGGATTGTTCATCCACTCTTATCCGGAGCATTTCCTGTAGGTGTCGAATGTTGATTTCCATCGTCCGTCTCTTCCGGTCCTCCGTAAAGATCTTCTCCACTGCGTCAGGGTCCATGGCCGGTGTGACGACAAGAGTCTTGGAGAAATTATCATCCAGGGACATCTGGATGAAGCGCGATGTATCCTTGCCGCCAGGAGTGAAGACTTCTCGTGCAACGGTTCCCACCAACAACACACGCGCCCCTTCTTTCCGTTTCTCCCGAATTACTGACTGCAGCAAGGTAATGAACTTGGAGCCCTCACGCGTCGCTTGGATATCTCTGTAGTCCTGTATCTGGATAATAACATCCGGATGCTGCGTAGCTTGTCGTGACTCAGGGACATCTGTTTCCGTTGTGGAAGGTGCTGTTTCCGTAGAGACTGGACGATCCTTTGGCGTCACCGGAGCAATCAACTCGTTCAAGAGCTGTGACCACCGATGCTCCGCCCCCTTTGCGCCGCCACGATCAGCGGAGGAATCACCAGCGGACACTCCAAGAGTTGACACCAGGGCCTTCAGACCCAGCCAATTGGGCATGGGAATAATGGCGAGGTCGCGGGGGTTCTCGACGGGGATAAACTTAGGGGCACTAAGATCTTGTCTTGACGGTCGTGCAGCAATGTCAATATCTGCATCATCTCCTTCAACGTCGTTGGCTTCATCGGACTCCTGCCATGACACATTGCTGATAGGCCGGTAGACATCGTATCCCAAAGACCTAATGGCAGAGGTCATGCCAGTATCGGCAATGTCCTGCTCAGAGCACAGCTGCGCGATGTCCTGAGCATTGAGCGTCACCACGTTCGCACCAAGACTCTGGCCCAGTCGCTTGACGACCGCATCAAGAAAGAGGATCCCGTCATTGCCAGGGTACTGGAGGACGAGATGAGACTTCAGAGCTGCCGGTTCATTCACGTACTTCGCAGCTGGCAGTCTAAGTCCAGCTTTAACGGAGGCAAGAAGCTCCTCCCACACTGCCGGGCTGAGCATGTAGCGTTCCTCTGAACCCGCAGGCTCACTGGCTCCGCCATCATTGCCGTCGTTACCACCAGAAGCCAAGTTATTCGTAGTAGTCTCCCCCACATCCGAACCTGGTTGACCAAATCCAACCTGCTGCGGTGACTGCCGCTCCGACGACTGACCGCCGCTATTTGAAACCGTATTCCGCTCGTAGAACCAGCTGGGAACCGTGGCTGCGGGACGCATGAACTCACGAGCGGGCTTCCGATTTCTCATAGCCCTGCGCACCGCAGAGCCATATGGACTCGAAGGTCCGTTCGATGTTCGCGCGGGGGACCGTGAAGAGGGCGTCGTAGACTCGCCTCCCTCCGCATTGACTGCCTGTGCTTCCGCAGGTGGTACTTCGCCAGAGACATCACTGGCAGCTGGATCGGCGGGCCCATTGGGGTCGGCAGGCGCCGTGGCCAGCCATCGTCGCGAGATATGAAACCGACGAGCGGCCGGAACGACAACGACGGGATAACGGCGACGGGCAATGAAACGACAGGGTCGGATAAGTGGCGAGAGCAGCCTGGGGTGCATTGAAGGATGCATCCGGGGCTAGTAATTGGAGCCGCCGGATCGGAAAGCAAGGCACGAGCTGCGTCTGCTGCTGCTTCTGCTGCAGAGATTGAAGGTACACATCGGCCACGGGAGATTGTCCGGCCAGATGTTTGCAGGTCGTTTTCTCGTTGTGAAGCTGGCCAGCTTTCCCTTTCGGGTCAGACCGAGTGGAATTTGATATCACGTGAGAGCACCGAACATGAGCGCGCACAGCCACGTGGCTAATACGGTGGACGGCACGATCCAATTGCGCAACTTTTCATTGCAGGCTGTAGCTGTTGTCGATCAGCCTGGAAATGTTGATACTCTATTCCTTTACGGTGTAGATAATAATAATAGTGTGCTCTCTGTATTGCAGTGCTGTTGTTCATCGATATTCAGATAATTCCCATGGGACCAAGCTACACTGCAATTGACTAGACACTCCTTGAATTTGATTTATTATTAATACTAAACAAGCTAACTACAACACTCGTTACTCGGACTAAAACCTATCCCAGATCTCTCTAGGTCGACTCTGCCTGCATGAACCACCCAAAAAGAGAGCACCCCCGGGCAATGCTTCCATAGCAAACCCATCGATCCGCGTCGATCTACCTAGTAGCCCTACTCCCTCTCCGGATCCACCGTGCAAGGTGTCCGTTTGACTTTGCAGTCCTGCTGATCTGCATCATATGGATGTAGATTGGTGCGAGCCTAGTCATGGGAGATGTCAGTTCAAAAGTTCGATACTGATAGACCATGAGTGATAGTGGAAAGCAAACAAGTTCCTGAATCAGACGAAAAGTACTGGCAAGTAGCAGACCAACCGGGAAGGGAAGGTCCGAATTATCTCTTCAAGGGCGACTCAGAGAGTAAAGAAGTAAAAAAGGTTTTGTCATCTTGTAGGAACTGGGAGGAAGAGGGAGGTAGAGGGAGAGAGTAGTACTGACCATGCAAGAAGTGCCTGAGAGAATTGTTTATCGTTAGTAGTAAGCCATTGTAGATCAACCTGTTCACTGGTGACGATAGTAGTCCAACCTCCTGCACATCTTACATCAAGGATGGCAGGATGCAGACTACCAGTTGAGAAGAAACAAGAGAAAATTGTCTTCGTGAAACAAAAAAAAAAAAAGACGAGGGAAAAAAAGCGAAGAAATACTCCGGCGGTGTCACGTGAGACTTACCCAACGTAGACTAGCGCCGGGACTCGCGATCTCTCACTCGCCGCAGAAGGAGAAACGATCGCGAGCAAAAGACGTTCTGCTTCCTCGCCATGCGTTGTCCCGGGCTTTGACCCTGAACCCTTTGCTTTGCTTTGCTTTCCTTTCCTTTCCTTTTCTTCGTCGTCGTCGTCTTCTCTCTCCTGGATTTTATATCTGCTGCTCTGGCTCGAAACTCTGGTCTTTTGCGCGTGGATCTCCCAGCGACCGGCGACAAAAGGTGCCGTTTCCCCTACTTGGCCCCCTTAGCCCCTCCACACCCGTCCTCACCAGCCATTGCACCTACTGCTGGCTGTTGATCGCCAGCCTCCTCCCCCCGGCCCCGTCAATAATAATCTGTCAACGCTGACTGTAGAGCCCTTCTGCCAGGCGTCGAACGGGCCTTCCGCCTCACGGGCACGCGGTCAACTGCCCTCGATCGATGCTTCACACCTCGCCGGCCCTGGACAACATTATTAAAAGACGACGCAGGCTCTCTCGCCCGCCTGTTGCGTCTTGGCCTCCCGCTCCGACGCTAAAAGCGGCCTACTGTCGCCCTCCACGTCGAGCGCGCATCTCCAGCTTCCACTTCCGCCCTTCCACGACCGCCCTTGGATCTCTCAGAAGTCCCGCGACCGGTGACTTCGTCGCTCAGCGATGATGATGGCGCAGCCGTTCCCTGCCCATCAAGGCATCCCTCCACATCCCGGGTTGCCCCCGGGTCACCCAATGGCCCAGGCCCAGCATCCCAACGCGACACATCTGGGCGGACAAGCGCCTGGCGCGGGCATGGTGCAGCAGATGCATCCTGGTGTCTCCGCTCCGGGAGGCCCTCAGGTCACTCAGGCCGGGCCCATGATGGGAGGCATGCCTCCGGGTGCCGGGGGTGCTGGGAGTGCAGGGCCTGGCGGTCCTGTCCCGAACGCGCATGCCCTCTCGCACCTGGGCCCCCAGGCGCATTTCCTCCAGCAGCAGCAGCAATTCGCGGCGCAGAATTGTACGTGATATCTTTCCATCTTTCTTTCTGGGTCGTTCTTTGGTCTGTGGATCCTGCGATATGACCGACTGGCCTACGAGCGTAGTGCGATCAGGACTGGATTTCGGATTTCAGATTGTGTCTCCTGGGACTGAGACTGCAATACGGTTTGGAGTCCAGGCCGATGGCCGTGCTGTCAGGTTTCTATTCGGGGTATCCTGGATCGCAGGGCCAGGCTCACTTTATTCGCTGCTCTCATTGATTCTCCCTCGTTGTCAATTATCCATGACACCTGATGGCCAATGCTAATGTGATATCACCTTGTCTAGTTGCCAATAACCCCCACCTACTACAACACCAGCAGCAGCAATTATTGAGACACCGTCAATTGATGATGCAACAACAACAGCAGCAGCAGCACCAACAACAACAGCAACATGGCGGCCTTCCCGTGTCATTACCGAACGGGACGCAACCTTTGAATGCCGCCCAAATTGCTGCGATGCAGGCAAACTCGAATATGCGACCCATGAACATGCAAATGCACTTACAGCAGCAAATGCCTCACGGTCAGCCCCAGAATCTCCAGCAACAGCAACAATTCATTGCCATGCAACAAGCCCAGCAACAAGCCCAGCAGCAGGCTCAACAACAGGCCCAACAGCAAGCCCAGCAGGCGCAACAGGCGCACCAGGCAAATGCTGCAGGGCATCCGGGACAACAGACACCGCAGCAAAGAGCCGCGGCGCAACCGCAGAACATGCACGATGCCCACAGTGTCACTCCACAGCCTCAGCCGGGTCCTCAGCCCCCCCAGGGCAGCAACACGCCTTCGCAACAGCACTCGAATCTGCAGCAGCCTCCAACATCGCAGCCACCACAGCAGCACCACACTCCGCAGCTCCAACCGCAGCCGACCCCGAATCCGCCGCATCAGCCAACCCCCCAGGTTCAACCAGCCCAGCCGCCGTCACAGCAGCTACAAGCGCAGCAACAGCAGGCGCAGAACCAACAGCAGCAGCAGCAGCAGCAGCAGCAGCAAAACCAGCAGCAAGCTCAGCAAAACCAGCAAAACCAACAACAGCCGCAGCAGCAACAGCCGATGACCGCCCAGGAGGCCCACCTGAAGGCGCAACAACAGAATCAAAATGTGATGATGATGCAGCCACGGATGAATTTCAAAGGAGCTACGGTACTCTATCTGAATGCTTACGCGGACCATTTGAGTAACTTTACGGTGAGTTAGCTATTTGCATTGTGCTATTGATTATATCCAGGCTGACGAGATTTTCAGAGTCGAGGTGAAGCGCACGATCTACACTACTGGCAGGCCTTTGTCGAGAGATTCTATTCACCAGGAGGAGTGCTCCGGCAAGGCGTTTACAATCCCCAGGCTGGCTCGAAACAGTTCGAGATCTCCACCCCGGCTCTAGCGCGGTACTATTGGACCCAGTTCAACAGTGGAATCAAACATATCCAGATGCTTGTGGAAGGCGCTCGAGAAAAAGACCTGCCCAACGGGGGTCATATGGTGGAAAGTCTCAAGACGTCATTCATCTACTGGTTCGCCAATGACTGCCAGGTTCGTGTGAATTGCTTGACATTCCTGTGATTCGACTAACGTTCTGGCAGCTTTTCACGCACGGCACTCTCCGGGCTCAGTTTGATGCGAACAATAAGATTGAGATGCTCGACCTTGTCATCAATAGTCACAATGAGTATATCCCTCGGAGCCAACTGCAGCCCGCAGAAGTCGACCAGAAGCAAAGTCCGAAGGTTTCGAAGAATATGAACAAGCGGGCTCAGCAGAAGCAACAGCCCGCTGTCGTTGTACCCGAATCTATGGTTACTAATAACGGCGTACCCACGGCCGTAATGAGCTTTTTGGAGGTGGCCGAAACCATGTCGCAGATGCAAGTTCTGTTCCAGTATTCGCAACAGAACCCGCATATGTCCCCCCCAGAGGCGCTGCGCAATCTGGTCAACAACTTTCAGAGCCAGAACGCGGGTCTTTCTTTCCCGCCTGGCATGAGTCCCGCGCTCCAACAAGCCCCAAACCCGAGACCCTCTACCATGAACGGTCCGTCCCAGTTTGCTTCTCCATCGATGGCTCATCTTGGCCTGCCCGGGGCAGCTGGGTCGCCTCACCTTGCTGGCTCTGCTCACGCTAGTCCAGCCCAAGCTCATCTGGCAGGACCCATGGGCCTGATGCAGCAGGGGCCCAATGGATCTGCGGGCACCAGCGCCACGACAAGTCCAAACATCAGCAATAAACGCCGTCGCCAAAGTACCGTCCAACTCAAACAGGAAGACGACAACAACGCTGAGGCTGGCGCTTCTGGGGCCGCCAAAGTCAAGCCCAGTCCCAGGATAGGCGGCAAGAGACAAAAGGGGACCGCGTGAGCCCATGACTGACTTTGTCTCTGATTGTTGTTATGCTTTGCGTTTTCTTTTTCGTCATCAAGAGGGGGATTCGGCGTATCATTGGACTTCATTCTGCGATTTTCTACTGAATTTCTTGGGCGTCCATCTTTTTCTGATTGGAACATACCGGAAGGCTTTCGCTTCTGTCGCAGGGGCGCCATTGTCGTTTATACTCCGCACCATCTATTTCGATGCACCTTTTGTGCTCTCTTGTGCTGCACGTCATCATGTGGAGGACGTGTGTTCCCGTGGAAATGGGAATCAGAACATGGATTATGCCATTTTTGGATTATGTTGTTCCCATCCGCGCCGCATCGAGGCTGGATATCCGCCATAACACCAGCGTCATCATCATATAATGTATTCTAAGCTCCTTTTCTCTTCTCTGTTTCCTTTTCTCTCTCTCTCAGCGTATGCTGGCTTGGGTCTTTTTTTTCCCGTGTTATTCCCCGTTTGTCGCATAGGTTGTGATTTGGCCTGTCTGTCTGATCATGGCAGACCTTGCCAATTTTGTCGTTTCTTCAACTCGCATCCGCTCTTCTGCTTTTCTGTTGTGCAGTTCTCTGTGCTTTCGCTGCGTCCTGTTAGCCAGTTACCCTAGTCTGGCTTGATCCCTGTCTTTCCGATGGCGATTGATTTGATTGGGCGCGGGCGTAACATTTTTTTGACGAGCGTTCTGTGTGGCCTTCTGCGCTTCTTGTTTCGATGCTTGGCCGTCGCGATGATGATTTCTGGACCCTGATAGTCTCCTCGTTGTTTCCGCGACCGATAAAAGGGATATCTTCTCTTCTTCAATTGTTCCGACTGTCTTGGACTGTCATCTCTCCAGCCCTCGCGTAGGATGTTTCCTTGGTTTCCCTGGTTCTCAGGATGCTGCTTGCACCAGCGAACGATATTGAAGTCGTGTCTAAACTTCCAAACAAGAAAATAATTACTACCCTCGAGCCTAGATCGGACTCCGGAGAACCTCGTCCTCTCTGAAGGCCCTAGCTGATCGCAAATCAAGGATGATCGACGCTTATGGGCTAGATCGCAGACGGCCATCCCCGCAGTAGCAGGAGCTTGCTCTCTTGGCTGTAGATTTGCTTTTCTTTTATTCGATTCTTTCACAAATACCTCTATCTCGCCATTATCACATCTGAGTCACGATAGAGAAGGTACTTATACTTCTGCATCATCCTCGATCTTAGTAGTACCTGCTCCCCGCCCAGATTTCCCTTGCAGCTTAATTCCCCGAACGGATACGATACCCCTCCTGCCCCGCGCTAATCAGATTCGACAACTTCGACTTTTCAGTGAGATGCCCAGCTATTAATCACCTACCTAATTGAACGATCGGAAACCTAGCCTCTATCAAACACTGGACACAATGGCGTCGCACTCGCACTCTCACGACGGCGGTCTCGAACACTCGCATTCCCACGATGCGCTGGGCGGACACGGCCACTCCCACGAGATCCTCGATGGACCGGGCTCCTATCTGCAGCGGGAGATGCCGCTGATCGAGGGCAGAGATTGGCAGGATCGTGCGTACACGATTGGAATTGGAGGGTGAGGGATTCCATTTTACATTTTCGAATACATTTGCCTATGTGCCTTGTTTCTTTTCTATGATTGTTTATCTGGATAATATTCCATGTACAATCAATTCCCTCTTCAGATGGAAGAGCAGTTCTTCATGGTGATATAACTTCGACTGACTTGAGACATAGACCCGTCGGATCAGGAAAGACAGCCCTAATGCTCGCCCTGTGCTTGGCTCTACGAGACGAGTATAACATTGCAGCTGTCACGAACGATATCTTCACGAGGTACGTCCCCCCACCCCCTCTCCCTTCCCCGCTATCCCCAGGACATGATTATTATTATTATATTCTACATGAGAACCCACCAACTCACTCCTCTTTCCCTACAACCAACAGAGAAGACGCCGAATTCCTCACCCGCAACAAAGCCCTCTCCCCATCTCGAATCCGCGCCATCGAAACCGGCGGCTGCCCCCACGCCGCCGTCCGCGAAGACATATCCGCGAACCTCCTCGCGCTCCAGACCCTCCAGCGACAATTCCAAACGGATCTCCTCCTCATCGAATCCGGCGGCGACAACCTCGCCGCGAACTACTCGCGCGAACTCGCCGATTTCATCATCTACGTAATCGACGTCGCGGGCGGGGATAAAGTGCCTCGAAAAGGCGGACCGGGTATCACGGGCAGTGATCTGTTAGTGGTGAATAAGATCGATCTCGCGACTGCGGTGGGGGCAGATTTGGGAGTAATGGAGCGTGATGCGGCGCGGATGAGGGAGGGTGGACCGACGGTTTTTGCGGAGGTGAAGAATGGAAAGGGGGTGAAGAATATTGTGGATTTGATTATTAGTGGGTGGAAGGCGAGTGGTGCGTATGAGGCCAGCTTGCAGAGGTGGAAGAATGGCGCTGTGAGAGGGTCGGGGAGTGTTGAGGAGTAGGTTGACATTGAAATAGTATATAGCTTATTTCGTGAGATGAAGGATGAGAGAGTCCCGCATGTAATATGCACACATTATGTGAGGATGGGTTCAGTGTGCTGGGAATTCTTTTATTTTTGCAATTGTATATAGAGGACCGTTCATTCGTACAGAATAGGGTTAGTTATTATCTGCTATGTTTTACTACTGTTGATATTCTCTCCAGAATGGAGATCGTGGACTATATGGCATGTCAACAGATGTATGTATAACTATATGTATTGATAAACTTTTTTATATTTTCAACACCCGACTCCCCCCTTCTTTATACAAGATCCCGACGCCTAGAAATGCAATACGATGATAAGCGTTAAACGTAACAACGCCCTCGAGCTATTGAATAAAACTGGGTATCTGAACAGCTGCGGCGTAAAAGCGAAAACCAGAGAGTTGCAAAAGAAGAGAGAGAAGAACAGCGGCGACTAGATCTCTTTCTTTGCAAATCTGGCCAGAGCAGGTCCCAATTCTTCCTTTTCGCGCTGCAGCTTCGCCTTGGCGCGGGCGGTTTGCTGTTCGCGAAGCGCTTCGGCCTTGAGTCGCTTCTCGTCGATGACGTTGGGCTGGCCTCTCTTGCGGAGATATCTGCGCAGAGCACTGTTGCGGCCACGGCCGCGGTTCTTGAGCTTTTCGATCGGGTCTTCTCTGGGGTTGTCTTCCTTGCGCTCCTCTTGGCGTTTCTTCTCGCTGATGGTGTCGAGGCGACCGACGAAGTTGGGGTCCAGAGAGATCATCTCCGGTTGCAGCTTGTTCAGCAGAGCGCGGACTTCGCCCTCCCGTCGCTGCTCAGTGGTTTCGTACGGGTTCACTTCCAGAGCGTCGAAGTTGGGCTCTCCAGCGCCAGGGACGATGAGGCTGGCGAAACCCTTGTCGTGAGTAGTTCCGAGGATATCCTCGAAAGGGCACCACCGGACAGTCTCAATGCGCTGTCCATCACCACCCCAGGCCATGTAGGGCGACTTGACTTTGCCTTGGTCTGCTGCCGCGGCGTCGAAGAGACCTCTCCAGACGCTGACCTGTGTACCCCATCCGACGGCGGTGAGACCGCGGTCGCTGATAGCAACGGACGAGCCGGGCTGGAAGGTAGAGTACGAATGAACTTCGCGGAACATGCGAATATCCCAAACGTTCATCTTCATGTCCTGGCCCGTGGAAACCATGTACCGGCCTAGTCTATCCACTGCCATCGAGCGCACAGGTCCCCTGTGGACGAGGGCTTTCACGAGGGCAGTCTGGGAGTTTGGCGACCAGAGGGTAACCGTTCCATTCTGGTGACCGACATGCAGGATGGCGTTCCACGGGTTCTGGCAGAGAGATGTAGGCGAGCCTAACCGAGTGGGCAGCTCCGCGACCAACTGGCCGGTCGAAGTGTCTGTATATTTGAGGAAACCGCTCGTAGCCTGTTGCAAATAGATGTTAGGAAAAAATATATCAGGGCCCTCATCGACAGCAGATCAGACTTACAGCACTCGCAAGAAGGAAGTGGTATGGCAGAAACTCCAGATGAGTGGCCTCGACATGCTTGTTCAGACAGTGCAACTCGACACCAGCATGATCGTAGATGTAGACGTATTTCTTCTGCGCGACGGCAAAGTACTGGTTGTTATGCAGCCATTTGGCATCGCGAACCGTCTCTCCCAGCTGCAGCTCACAACCCAGTTTGCCTGCTCTCCAGTCCATCGTCGCAACATGACCCTTTCGTCCTGCCAGCAGCAGGTTTCTGCCATTCCTCGTGTAGTCTGCACGATACGGTCCCATGTCCTCCAACTTCAGCTCGAAGCCCTTCTTGGCTGTCTCGATTCCGATATTCTCTTTGATCTCATCCTGACGGACCTTGTACGTCCGCTCCAGCTCCCCTTCCGGCTCGATGAATCCGGCCTCATTCTCGAGCAAGATCTCCGCATCCTTGGCCTTCAGCGCCGCATCTTTGTACTTGGACTCGACCGCCTTGAGACGGTGGCGCAGTTTCCTATCCCGAACGCTCTGCGTATGCACTCCTTTTCCTCTGCCATAAGTCTTCTGTGCTTCAGCCAGTCGTTGCTTTGCAGCGCGAGCAGCGGAGTTGTCCTGTTTTTGGGACGGGCCAGCGACGGCCGTGGGAGCTGCAGTCGTCGCCATCTGCGCGGTTTGATCGCCGGCAGAAAAGTGGTTTGGCCGTCAATCGCAGATGACCTACAGAGGGAAAAGAAAAAAGAAAAAAGAAAATACAGATATCAAAGAGTTATGACCGGAGAAAAGTTGCTGGATCGCAAAGTCGGCGGAGCTTTTTGCGGGTCTGGCTGGAAAATTCATGCCAAGATTTCGCGCTCGCTTGGAAACATTTTTCTGCCACAGTTTTTCGGTCTCCGATCTGCATCTCCGCACTCGACGGGGCCGATAATACTATAATATTTTTTTTTTATCGTGCGGCTCATCCAGATAAGTCGTGCCAGACTTACCAACAACGGTCTGGTCGTCCTAATTGATTTTATTTTCTTTTCTTTTCTTCTCTATCTCTCATCCACACTGTAGCCATCCGCAACACTGGACTCTCTTCCGTTCCGCTTCAAAGCGTCGGGTGCAGCCAACATGGCGCCCATCACCCAGTCGGGACACCATCACCGCAGCACCACCAAGGTCTCGCACAAGGCATTCAAGAGCAAGCATGCCACCAAAGGCGCTCTGAAGGAGCAGGCAAAGGGTGGGTGCTGAACCAGGCCTCCTGGCTAGGAATCATCTACGAAATCATTATACTGACAACTGCTACAGGAAAGGTCGAGAACCGTGAGCGGGGTAGTCGCAAGACCCCTCACCAGCAGCTCATGTCGAAACTCGATCGCAGAAACCAGGCTCGCCAGAAGCAACAGTTGAAGCACCAGGAGAAGGCCCAGGCAACCAGCATCTTTGCCGGATCCAACGGTGCGCCCAGACATGTCGCCGTTGTACCTCTATCGTCCGATATCGATATCCGTGCCGCCATCCGTCAGTTGAACGAAAGCGTCGATGTCCCCGACGACGTCTCCCAGGATGGTATCTCGCGTGTGCGCGTCGATCGGTTCAGACAGAGCGTCATGTACATTCCCGCCAAATACGACCTGATGCATGCGTTGGACGCCTCGCGGATGGCGGACTTTGTCCTTGTTGTGCTCTCTGCCGAGAAGGAGGTTGACGAGGAGGGAGAAGTGCTGTTGCGGTCCATTGAGGGACAGGGAATCTCGAACGTCTTCTCCGTGGTTCAGGGACTGGATAAAATCAATCCCCCGAAGAAGCGGACCCAGACCGTGTCTTCTCTCAAGTCATACATCACCCATTTCTTCCCCAATATCGAAAAGGTCCTTTCTCTCGACTCAAGACAGGAATGTTCCAACGTCGTGCGCAGTCTCTGCACCGCTACCCCCAAGGGAATCCGCTGGAGGGATGAACGCAGCTGGCTGCTCCTCGAGGATGTTAAGTGGCCCGAGTCCAACGCTGAAGTGGTGGACGATGTAGTCTTGACCGGTGTCGTGCGGGGAAAGGGTCTAAAGGCTGACCGCATCGTGCATGTGCCTGGCTGGGGTGACTTCCAGGTAGACTCCATCACAGCGGCACCTTTGCTAAGTACGAAGAACAAAAAGGGCGACGCGATGAACGTCGACGAGAACGAGTCGACGCAGGTCCTGGATGCCCCGACAGAGGACCGTGACGATATGGCTACTGTTGCACCGGAGGAGATCGAAATGGAGGACGATGACATGCTTTCAGTCGCTGACACTGAGCGGAAGGGTGTCCTACTGGATGACCACCATTACTTCTCAGACGATGAGACTCACATCCCGCCTCGTCCGAAGAGACTGCCGAAGGGAACATCGGATTACCAGGCGGCCTGGTATCTGGATGACGTCTCTGACTCCGGTTCCGACTTGGAGGATGAAGACGAAGAGATGGAGATGGACACCTCGGGCAACCCTGAAGACGGTGTGTTCCCCGAACGACAGGATGCTATGACGGAAGCTGGACCTTCCGAGTATCCCCAGTCGGAGATGTTCCTTGACCCATCTCCGGAGGATGAGGCAGACCAGCTAGAGGAGTACCGTGCTAGTCGCCGCAATGAAGCAAAGGAGGACCTGGAATTTCCTGACGAGATCGAACTTCACCCGAACGTGCTTGCCAGAGAGCGCCTGGCTCGGTACAGAGGTCTCAAGAGTCTCAAGACTAGTCACTGGGAGACCTCAGAGGACAAGCCTCACGAACCGGAGGATTGGCGCCGCCTCCTTCAGATTTCAGACTACAAGGGTTCGAGAAACAGGAGCATTCGCGAGGCTCTTGTTGGAGGAGTCAACCCTGGTACTCGAGTAGACGTGCACCTCCGAGCTGTGCCTTCATCTCTTCGAAACCGCCCACAGCCCATGGCCCTATTTTCGCTCCTGCGCCATGAGCACAAGCAGACCGTGGTCAACATCAACATGACCCTGAGCTCATCCGTCGAGGAGCCTCTGAAATCCAAGGAGGAGGTCATAATCCAGTGCGGACCCCGTCGTCTTCTTGTGAAGCCCGTCTACTCAGCTGCGGGCAACACCCCGAACAACGTGCACAAGTTCGACCGCTTCCTCCATCCCGGCCGCGCTGCCATCGCAACCTACATTGGCCCGCTGACCTGGGGTTCCGTGCCCGTCCTGATGTTCAAGAACCAGCAAGTCAAAGACCCTGAAGTCCTGGACTCCGATGATGCAAACGCCCCGACTATCAACCGTCTCGAGCTTATCGGCAACGGCACCGTCGTGGCCCCCGATCACTCCCGCGTCGTCGCCAAACGAGTCATTCTGACCGGCCACCCATTCAAGATCCACAAGAAGGTCGTCACGGTGCGCTACATGTTCTTCAACTCCGAGGACGTCAACTGGTTCAAGGCCCTCCAGCTGTGGACCAAGCGCGGCCGCACCGGCTACATCAAAGAGAGTCTCGGTACCCACGGCTACTTCAAAGCTACATTCGATGCGAAGATCAACCCACAAGACGCTATCGGAATCAGTCTCTACAAAAGAGTCTTCCCTCGCAAAGCTCTGCCGTTGGAGGAAGTGCAAGCGTAGAGGCTTACCTTTGGTTTGGTGTTTTTTTTTTATATATTTCTTTTTATTTCTCTTTGCCGGCATATATTCTTACCATTATTGTTATGAGATACCATCATCTTCCCCATCCGCAGCGGACGAAAAGAGAGAAGAAGAAAAGAAAAGCATTCATTATGTCAGTCTTCCGGGTTGGAATTTGTCCATCATGAAATATCAAATCTAGTCAGCTAAAGAGACAAGACACAGAACATATGGGACTATGAATATGAAGAAGAAGAATACAAACAGGGATTAGGCTCATAGATAGCATTGGCTCTTTGTCCTTTTTTGAAAAATCCTAACGAGTTACGAAGATGTTAAATCGTCTTAAGTTGCGCTCATTTCCCATTCCGTAGTTCGGTCTATACTTGTAAAGGGGCATAGGCCGCTGGTCTCTAGGCACTAAACCACTCCGCCAAAAAGGCTACACCGACAGGCACCCCTTATAAGCCTTTAACTAGAACCCCTAGAGATCTCTGCCTTGTTACAATACCCATGAGATAAGATAAATTAAGAAACTTGAGCATTGATCATCTAGTTTGATCAGGAGTCACTACGTGACATGAGATGGTAATTCAACGAGGGATGACAACATAAACAGACCAACAGACAGCATCCATCTAGAAACGACACTCGCGCTACGTACATACAATGACGGCAGGATGACCAAAAAAGGAGAAAAAAAACGGGAAAGTGGGTTCGCGCCATAGCAAAAACCATCATGAGATCAAACGTAAAAAAGTAACTCGAACCCGACAAAAGTGACCAACACACGATTAAGAAAAGTCCTCTCCGACTTCCTCGATGTTGTTCTTGATCCGCAGGAGAAGTGTTGTCTTCCACTTGTCGAGCTTGCTCAGCTGGTCGTATTGGAAGAGCTTGTCGGTAAAAGCTTCCTGGTCGCCTTGCTCGACGGCCTGGGTGAGATCGACAAGGAGCTGGTGCTCTCTTGTAGAAGCGAATGTGGGGTCGATATCGCGGTAGCTTTCGAGGGCTCTGTTGGTAGCGACGAGGTCCTGAGAAGGGAAATCAGCATAGATCATAAGGAGAGGGTCCAACACTCTACATACACCTGAGGCGAGATGGCAGATGCCGGCCTTGAGGAAATAGTCTTTGACAGACCACTTCATCAAGTTATTGTTGATGGACGACTTGCCGACACGCTCGTACTGCTCAATGGACTTGTAGTAGTCGCCTTCAATGGCGGCCAGATCGGCGACTTTGAGGAAGTGCTTGTTTGCGAGACTGCAGAGTAGATTGTTAGTCTCATCCAAAGTCCGTATCTCTTTTATAACAGGAGTTCTCTTACGCTTCCGCATTGTCACTGTCGAACCACTCCGCCGCCTTCTCATAAGCATCCAGAGCTTTTTTCATATCCCCAATCTCCGTCTCGTACACCTCTGCCAGGTACTGCTGCTGGGTTGCAGCTCGACGGAAATTGCCCCTCCCGACGTAATGTTGGATGGCGCTGGAGAGCACGCGAGCAGCGTCTTCGGGATCAGTCTTTCGGTAGACCTTGAACGCTTCCTGTAGGCTGTTGGCAGCATCATCCGGTTCATTCAAGTTCTGGGTCTGAATCGCAGCAGCCTTCTCGAATGCCAGACCGGCCTCCTTATCTGGGAGCAAAACACGTCAGTTAATGGGATCTCCGCATGTTTGCGGATGAGGGGAAATCCGCATACTTTGCTTCTGTGCTCTGAATGCATTTGCAGCTTGTGTATAGAGGTCAGCTGCATTCTCGTACTTCTCCGATCGTCCTCCAAAGAAGCTGAAGCCTCCCGAAGCGCTTTGGAGTGCCTTGTCTGCCTGATGATTTTCGGACAGTTAGTCGGAAGCTAGGAAGGCGGGGGAACTGAAGCACTCACTTTCTGCAGAAGCACGCGAGGATCTTGACCCATGGTCTCTGATTAAGCCTATCTTTATTCCGCAGATATCGCTTGAGTCCAGAAATCGGTTGATATAACCGGGATGGAGAGCAAGTATGCGAGGGAACGGTGTATCAAGCTGGCGGGGAGATGAGACGATGGGAGCCGCAGCCAGCTATGAGATGACCGTCACTCAGGTGGGTCTCGCCGCCTTCACCCGCAAATATTATTTCTATCTTTTGCGAAGACCGATCTGCCAACTCCAGCTCACCACGCTACATATATGAGCTCAATTCGTTTCATCCGATCTCAGATACCGATACGGCTACGCACTACAAATAGAACAGCGGACCTTAATTTTCTTCCAGAACCCTCAATGGCTTCATTACGCACTAGCTACCGGCTACTGCCATCAATACGCGTTCGACCGGCGCGCTTTCAGCTTCTATCGTCACGCTTTTACTCCTCAGGTCCCGATGAGAAGGTGACAGATATTGAATCTATTCTTTCGAGACCAAGCTGGTCCGTTCGATCGTTACTGCCAGACGATTCGAGTAAATCGCAGACCCCAGCGCTCACACCAAAAGAGCTGCGCCATCTTCTCCGTCTGTCTGCGCTTCCGCAGCCCAGCAGCGAGGCAGAAGAAAAGAAAATGCTAGAGACACTCGAGTCTCAAATACATTTCGTGAAGGAAATCCAGCGCGTTGATACGACTGGCGTCGAGCCTCTACGGAGCATTCGCGACGAGACGCCTGAGGCTACGAAGGAGAATACAATTGGCCTAGACGCTCTGAAGGATACCATGGCCAGAGAGAGAGTCGTAGGACGCAGCAGGAAGATCGAACGGGCACCTGCTGAGAAAAACACCAAGCCCGATGGCGATACGTGGGACAATAATGCGCTTGGATGTGCTTCGAAGACAATGGGCCGATACTTCGTGGTCGAGACGAGCCGCTGAAGGGAGCACGGACAGCTCCTCGGGCCACCGCAGAATTGCTGCTAGATAGACAAGAGCCTAGCTGGCCACACCACCAGCCAATGTTTCAGACCGTCTGTCTTTTCGCTGTCAGGTTGAATCAATGTTTCGCACATCTTCACGATGCTGAGTCATCCTATATGATGTCATGTGACAACCGCCTTCTGATATAAAATCCCCCAACAGCCCCAACGATCAGAGTCGCTCCACCTGCAAAGGATTTGAGCGTCTGATGTCCCAATGGCAGCTCGACTCCGCCAGTATGTTGGTGGCTCATTCTCTGCACAAGATAATGCTCCCGATGAGAGGAGCGGGGGCGAAGACCTGTCTACGATTCTAGATCGGCATCAGCGCGGGGAGCTGACTGTTCTGGTCGCTCAGATCATGCTGTCGATGCGTAAGGCTATTGTGGATAATTTTCATGCTGCAGCGCCGTTCAAACATGCATCAGAGAGCGAAAAGGTCTTGAAGGACCGAGCCAATAGCCAGGAGGAACCTGCTCCTGATCCAGAACAGCAGGCTTCTCCTGGCCCAAAACAATCCATCCGGAGGAAACCCGTCGCACAGTCCGCACAATCTGCGCCGTCTGCACCATCTGCGATCACTGCCGAAGACATCAAGGCCGAAGCAGAGACCCTTCGACACTTTGATGACTGGAGAGATTCCGTTCTCCTCCGAATCGGTGAGGTTGTCAATAAAGACAATGAGACCGACGGGCGGGAGCGGAAAGCCTCCGATGCCAGACCGGTGTCGCAGCAAAGCTCCATCAGTACAAAGGAAACCAGGTCTGCTAGATTGCGAGAGCTCTTCCCGCCCACGGAGACCGAACTTGCCGAACTTCCAGAACCAGCAAGATTGTTAATCCTCCATTCCCTTCTCCTGCTGTTGCTAAGTCTCAAACACTACAGCGCTTATTCACGCGTTCTTTTGTTAAATGTCGCTTCTAGCCTAGGTCTATCCCTGCAAGTTCTCAACGAGGACGAGATCAAAGTCTCCCGAGGGTTGCTCACCGCAGCCAAGGAAATGGAGGCGACTGAAGAAGCGAAGCAAAGAGCAGAGAAGAGCAGCAACGCCAGAAAGTGGAAGGTTGGGATTGCGTCAGTCGCGGGTGCGGCTCTTATCGGTCTCACTGGAGGTCTGGCTGCGCCGCTGGTTGCTGCAGGCATTGGTACAGTTATGGGTGGTTTGGGACTGGGCGCTACGGCAGCAGCGGGCTATTTGGGTGCCCTGGCTGGGAGCAGTGTCATTGTTGGCGGTCTTTTCGGTGCCTATGGTGGTCGGATGACTGGGAAGATGATGGATAATTATGCTCGCGAGGTTGAGGATTTTGCGTTCATCCCGACTCGGGGCACCCGGAAACGCTTCCTGCGAGAAAGTGAAGCTGCTAAAGAGGATCGTCGTCTCCGAGTCACCATTGGCGTCAGTGGCTGGGCCCATGAAGAAGATGACATTGTCATCCCGTGGCGGGTGATTGGCAAAGACTCGGAAACCTTTGCTCTCCGCTGGGAGCTTAAGAGCCTCCTGAAGCTTGGAAATGCGATCTCAGCCTTCGTGACCAGTGCGGCATGGTCGTTTGCAGGCAAAGAGATCCTATCTCGGACTGTATTCGCCGGCATTATGAGTGCCGTTATGCTACCTGTCGGTCTTCTGAAGATCGCCAGTGTGGTCGACAATCCTTTCAGCGTGGCCAAATCTCGGGCAGATAAAGCCGGAGAAGTCCTCGCTGACGCTCTGATTAACAAAGCTCAGGGTGAACGTCCCGTCACGCTTATCGGTTATTCGCTAGGCTCCAGAGTGATCTACAGCTGTCTCCAAAGTCTGGCCAAGAGACACGCCTACGGCTTAGTCGAGAGTGCTATCCTGATGGGCTCGCCCGTTCCATCTGATACACGACAATGGCGACGAATGCGAACCGCAGTTAGTGGGCGACTTGTAAACGTCTTTTCCGAAAAGGATGCCGTTCTAGGGTTCCTGTACCGCGGTGCCAGCATCCAACTTGGTGTCGCCGGTCTCCAGCGCGTCCAAGGCCTACCAGGAGTCGAGAATGTCAATGTCAGCGACATCGTCAGCGGCCATCTACGCTACCAATACCTCATCGGCAAGATTCTCTCAACGATCGGCTTCGACGAGATCGACGCAGCAGAAGTCGAGAAGGAAGAAATCGCCCTGAAGGCTCGTGACGCAGAAGAAGAGCGCGCACGCGCTCATAACGAACAGCGCGCTAAAGCCGAAGGAGATGAAAAGCAGACCGCTATCACTGCTGAAGAAACCGCCAGGCTGGAAAGTCAGGTCGAGGAACGCACAGAGCAGCATTATATGCATCACAAGATGCATCGGATAGAACTATATGATAACGAGGAAGGAGACGATGTAGGAAAGGGAGGGCATACAGCACTGCCATTTCCTCCCTCGGGTCATTAGTCTATCTCCTAGAAGTTTCTGTGATCGAGCCTGCTACCTTTAGCGCTTTTTGTATTAGAATGGGCATGGCATTAGATGGAATGAAGACAACCCCTTCTCTTGTACTTTTCATACGATTCCTAATGAACTGATACTGGATTAAACGTTCCATGGACAGCATATTGCTCAGATGACACCTGATATCTGAAGTCTTCACGAGACTATTCACATTGCAGAGAAGAAGATACATAAGCCATGAACTACCTAACGTAAACTAACATCACACATAGCTGATAAAAAAAACGTTCCATCATTCCATCATTTTTCTTTTTCATCGTCAAAAAGATCGTTGAAGATTCTCCAGACACTAGATCCCCCAAATCGTACAAACAAAGAGAGGAGAATAAAGCCAAGAGATCACCCTACAGACCAGCAAAACGCGCCCATCCAGCGGCGCGAACGCCGCCTGGAAGACCATTTGCGGGTTTTTCAGGAGTCTTTTCGAAGTCGCTGTGGCTAGCACCACCTCTGCCTTCCTCTGCGATCTTCCCGCTGACATCTCGTCTTCTGCCGACTCCGAGGCCGGCAATGTAGTTTCCATATGACGACGGAGAGCCAGACCCCAGTTGGAAGCCAGCACCAATGTCGATGCCAGAGTTACTGATAACACGGCCCTTGCGGTCAGACTCATCGTTCTTCGATCCGCGTTTGTTCATGGTCAACTTCTCGGGACCGTCGCTGTCATCCTCATCGGCCTTTACCGACTCATATGCAACTGACTTTCTGCTCTGGCGTCGAGAGAGCTTCTTGCTGCCGAACTTCTTCTTGCTCTGGCTGCGAGAGGCCTGGTCGATATCACTGACCTTGCGCTCCGTGGAGAAACCTGGTCCGAGATTTCCATAGAACCGGTTTTCACTGTCGGGGCTCTTGATCGGTGGTTCAGGATCTCCGTTGCGCACAGAAGGATTCGGAATGTCAGTGAGGACAATACGGCGTAAGCCATCTGCATGTGGCGGTGGTTGAGGAGTTGGCGGATTCATGCCCAGAGGGTTTAGTCGAGAAGCTGCGTCATCATCAAAGGTGCTGATACTGAGTTTACGTTCACCCAGATCTTGTTCGGCATCGTTATAGATCGTCACGCTTGGCAGGTCATATGCATCTTCATTGCCGTACTGTTCGTGGTTGTTCAGGGAAGTATATTCTCCGTGGGGATCTTCCGCGATTATATTGGAATACTCCTGACTGTACCTCTGTGCTGAAGAGAGCCAGTCTTTCATGCCGCTGTAGGCTGTTGTAGCAGTGCTAGGGGCTCGGCTATAGACAGACGAGGTCTCACGGCGTGCCATATTCTCGTTTTCTTGGTCTTCGGCAGGGGGCGGCGATGAAGATGGATAGACGAACCAGTTATCCTTGAGGAGAGATGACGAGGGGCTCCATTTCCTGGTATCCTCGTGGACTGCTGCTGAGGGTTCTATCACAGGCGCTTCATGCATTGATGACGATGTTGGTCGGGAAGGCGACTCGCGGGTCTTGCGCGCAACAGACCGGGCTAGGGATGTGCTTGATCTGTTCGCCTGCTTGTAGAGGCGCATCTGTTCACTGGGGAGGTCGGCGCGTGAGAGGCGCTGCGATTGATCTGAGGTGGTCACGGTTCTCTCTTCATTGAAGTCGGGTGCACAGTCTGAAATTCTGCTGGACGAGTCGCCCCGAGTGTGCATAAAGGGGACTTGACGTGGAGGGGCAATCAATGGGTCTTCTGCTGCAGACATTCGGTTTGTGCTCAAGTCGATGGTACTCTGGCTGAGGTGTTTTTCAGCAATCTCGGATTTATTGCGCTTATGAGAACGGGCTGTCAGATTATCTTCAAGTGGGTTCATATCCGGTGGTAGCTTCGTGATCTCTCGGAAGAGGACGGCTAGAAAGATGGACAGCGTAAAGCACACTGCGTGAATACCACTGTCCACGACTGTAACCAGGAAGGTGGCATTGGCGACTTGATACGTGGCTCCCGGGCTCTGGAATAAAGTGTCCCAATGGTAAAAATCCTCGGTGTACTGGCCGTGAGCAAGGAAGGCTGTAAATATGTAAAAGGGGATCAACCCTGCGTCAACAGACGAGGCAAAAAACATGTAACTCGCCGATGATGCAGGTGTCCGTCCAGTTGCAGCTCGACTCAGATGATATACTCCATATACGGAGTGGAGGATCGCTACAGCAGGCTATGGAAGCATCAGTATCCTCCGTCCTGCATTCCTCAAGAGATGCGCACTTACTGCCACTCTGGTAATCCATGCTGCCGAGATCTCCATGCCCTTGATGCATATCACGCAGACGAGCGCCCCCAGAGCACCGAGGAGGGCACATACTCGCAGAAACAGTAGAACGTACCGGCCATGGACAATTCGGTTCTTCGTCTTGGGGCTCATGGACTTCACATTGGTCTTGCCATATGGGAACTGGGCATACTGGTGCACATCATCTAATCAGGACTCCATTCCCACCAATCTACAATCGTTTGGATTACTCACGGAATCCGGATGTTTATAGAAATTCACCAGCGGCGCCTCCCTCTTCGGCGGCGATTGACGCGGAGTCCAGCTCGCTTGCGTCACTGCCTTGGGATTGAACACTTTACCGGTTGGCTCATCATAGGTATACCGCCAGGGAGGATCATAAAGAAACGGCGGCGACGATCCTCCCATGATGGCCGCGCCGCGAGAATGGACTGGACACTGTCGACCACGCGAGGATGTCTGGGGTAAAAGGAATGGAACACGGAACGACGTCGTGGACTGGAATGTGGCGGTGGAGATAGGAATGGAAGACAGAATGGAGGCAGACCAGGACACGGACGTCTACATAACAGAACTAAGAGCCTTAGTCCATGGAGGGCCCGTCAGTCAATACAGCCATGGCCATCATCGCCTGTAGGGCTGAAGAACCGTCAACATTGATAGTTGGCAGGGCAACTGGCGATAAGGTCACGTGGGATATACTGTCTCAAACAGGAAAACGTGAAGTCTTGGACACTGACTTGGAGAACTAGTATCCTTCCATTATTATTAGGAGAAGATTGTATTTGTTCTATTTTACTCTGTAAGAAATCTATATTAGTATATGTAGCGATATCTATCATTCTCTGTATATCGTTCGTTACTTACGCAGGGATAACTACATGCTGACTAAGCTATGTCCGAGGCCGAAATGACCGAACTAAAGATCCTCAGCTTCTCCGCGTCATGATTCATGCTTAACATTGCTTTGACCATTGCCAGTCATCCTCATCCTCATTGACATTTCATACACCATGAAAGCCCGTCGTGCACCCTATATCTGCGCACAGTGCACGGCGCATCTCCGTGGAGGGGTCAATGGGAGCCCTTTGCGTCACCGTTCGACTGCGCTCTTTGCTCAACGCCGGTACAACAGCAGTACAGTGCGTAGTGACCGTCCATTCCGTGTAGCGGTCATTGGGTCTGGTCCAGCAGGATTCTATGCAGCTTATAGGCTCTTGAACAAGGTAGAAGATGCGGTGGTGGACATGTATGAGAAGTATCCGGTGCCGTTTGGCCTGGTCAGATATGGAGTGGCCCCCGATCACCCTGAAGTGAAGGTATGCACTGACATGGGAGAGATATTTCATTAAGCTTTATTTTTCTTTTTTTTTTATTAGAGCATCGAAATGTCTAACTTTACTATTATAGAACTGCGAAGAAAAGTTTACTGAAGTCGCATCCTCGCCTCGTTTCAACTTCATCGGCAACGTCGAACTCGGCTCCGATCTACCTTTACAGTCTCTCAAGCCGCATTACGATGCAATGCTGTTCACGTACGGTGCCTCGGAAGATAAAGAGCTTGGGATTCCCGGAGAGAAGGCCTGTCGAAATGTATATTCAGCCCGCGCGTTCGTAGGATGGTATAACGGCCTACCGGAGTACCGCGATCTGGCGCCAGATCTCAGCATGGGTGAAAATGCGGTGATCGTTGGTCAAGGAAACGTTGCTCTGGACGTTGCTAGAATCCTGTTGACGGATGTCGATGTGCTCCGGAAGACGGATATCTCCGAGTATGCTCTGGAGGAACTGGCCAAAAGTAAAGTGAAGCGGGTGCGCGTCGTCGGTCGTCGCGGTCCATTGCAGGTGCGTTGAGTTGTTCAGATTGACTAGACATCCAAATAACTGAACATGCATAGGCTTCCTTCACCATCAAGGAACTGCGGGAGCTTTTCCAGCTTCCATCAGTCTCTTTCGATCCTGTCCCGAAGGACATCTTACCTCCAGAATCGGTTATCGCTTCGCTTCCTCGTGCTCAAAAGCGATTGATACAGCTACTTGCCAAAGGCTCCTCAACTAATGAGCAGGAAGCAAGCAAGTCATGGGCTCTTGATTTCCTTCTATCGCCGCACTCCCTACACTGGTCCCCCGTCCACCCTTACCGTCTCTCGCATGCCAAATTCACCCGCAACGAACTCGACCCGGCGGACCCATATAGCCCGACGTCAAAAGTAACGCGGAAGCTCCTATCCAGCGGCAAGCCCGCAGAAGTGAATATCCCTGCGAACATCTTCTTCCGCAGTGTCGGCTACAAGTCCCTGCCCCTACCCGGGTTCCAGGAGCTAGGCATCCAATTTGATGACCGCCGAGGAGTCATCCCCAACGACGGACTGGGAAGAGTCACCAGTCCAACTAAACAGTCAGAAGAGATAGAAACACGAGTTGGCGCCGTCATCCCTCACGTTCCAGGCCTCTACTGTGCCGGGTGGGTGAAGCGTGGCCCTAACGGCGTCATCGCTACGACCATGACCGACGCCTTCACGACAGCAGATACTATCGCTGCAGACTACGAGGCTCAAAAAACGAACACCGAAAGGAGTCTTTCTCTCCTCAACTCCGAATCGGGAGGCAGCACCGGTCTCGGCTGGGAGGGAGTCCGTCCTGAGGCCGAGAAGAAAGGTCTCCGTCCGACTAACTGGAAAGATTGGCAGCGGATCGATGCCGTGGAGAAAGAGCGCGGGAAGCAAAAGGGGAAACTCCGAGAGAAGTTTGGTCGTGTCGAAGAGATGTTGGAAGTCCTGAACTAAGCTGGACTGGACGAAAGAAATGATATAGAACTGTACTATATATGTCGTCATGTACATACAACACATTGTAACATCTCCCCTGAAAGAAATCAGATGACCAAGCTGGTTAAATTTACCGGAAAATCCCCTAAGGTTCCGATATCTAATAGATCGGTTCACTAGTCCTGAGGCATATACAGTCATGATTATAATCATTTATGTCGTCATATTCCAACATATGCATGCACGCATGCGCGGAAATAAAGAGAAAGTCAGCCTAAAACACCCCGCCCCACGTATACTCTATATACAGATCATATATATATGAAAATGGTATCATGCAATCCAACCCCATCCCATCCCATCCTATGCAAATGACCGATCAACCGCCCGGAACCAATCAGATAGCCCCATCCATTTTAAAAAAAATACATCTTTTTCTTTCTTCTTCTTTTTTTCCCTTACCTGTATGTATAGAAGATATGAGATCACGAGGGAACACCTTCGTATTCCCAACCCTCAATCACTCTCTTCTTTCTTCGCGAGTTCCTCCTGTTCGCATTACACTTGACGAATAAAGTCAATGCAGTAATGACCAGGACGACAACACCCGCGATAGTGGGAACGAGAACGGTGCGTCTTTCAAGCTCGTTTGAATTGACGGTATACGGACAGCTGACGTTCGGTCCGCCGGTTACCCAGCAGGAATTGACGTCCAGGGAGTTGAAGTTCAGCCATACTTCTCGTTTATCGGCATCATCTGATGAAGGGTTGATGGCGTCTTTGCGCTGAGTTATCAGGTAGTAATATAGGTATGTGTTCTCCAGGCCAGTTCGAGGAACGGAGAAACTGGCGTCTTGGTCAGAACAGGCGTCAGTAGCGCTGGTATATGGGACCTTGTTGTCCGTTAATGTCCAGTTGTAAGGGGCATTCCCAACACGACACGCAACATAGCGCTCGGCAGCGCAATCAGCGGCACGCCAATGGCCAGCAAGAGTGACGTCCATGATTGCACATCGATCGTAGGTGCCGCTGTTATCGTCGTCGTCGCCGCCAGAAGAGGAGGCATTGCGTGGTTCGCCAACGGCCCATGACCACGTGGTTGAGAGAGACACGTTTCTGTATGTATCAACTTGAGTATTGGCCGTTTTATCGAATAGAGTAGTGTTCAGTGTGGGGGATATTCCACAGGCGGTCAAGTTTTGCACGAGGAGGGTAAGATTTCCCAAAGAAAACTGCTCGTTTCCCAGACTGGGAACTGTAAGCTGGTTAGAGCCAGCCCAAGAAGAGTTAACCTGAGCCACACTGATCGTATTGGGGTTATAGAGACATCCCGACTGCAGCCTGTCTCCAGTAGAAGTGGTCTGGATGCCGGATGTGAGATAATTTTGAGGGAAAATACGGCTGGCATCGCCAGTGAAATTATACCCTTGCATCTGAGGATCAACCGATCCCCATCCAAGCAGCAGTCGTTTGGCCTTCACGCCCTGCAAGTAGTTCTCACAGGGCCAGCCATCCGGGCTGCTATAGAAACCACCCCGATTCTTTCTCAAAGTGAAATACTCTGTGATAGGCTGGTCGTCGATGACGACGGAAAACCAAGTGCGATTCAGATCGGCCCTGTCGTGGTACAGTTCGGGTGGGCTATACACATATGTCCCTAGAGTATCATCCATGATTGAACCGATCAGCTGCGAACTAGCGGGAAGTTTTGAACCCGATATCGAAGGCGCAGGACTCTCAGGCGCATCAGCAACGGAGGGAGCATGGATGTTGAATATGACATAAAGAGGATACGCGTCAAGCGTGTTCTCCGTATCCCGGAAGTACTCGTAAAATAGATCTACCATGGTCTGTAACCCCAGGGTCTGTGTACATGAATACGGTCCCAGTTTGTAAAGCCGTGACCCCGAGGAGTCAGTCGTACTCGAGACGGTGGTCTGCGCGGTGTAGGCATCTGTCGTGGACACACTTGGGTCGCGACGACGCTCCTGAGATGCGGATGTTTCGGAAACATCTTCAAGTATAGCTGCTGAGGTGGTAGATGCTGTCGATGAAGCGGTAGTCGTACTGCCATCCATATTACCCGACGTCAGAGTAGCTGCAGGCGCAGAAGCCATCGTTGATGCAGACACCATGGTAGCACCCGCGACGTTGAGCGGAATAGCAACCGGACAGAATGTCCATTGGCTGCGATCCGTGGACCAGTAGAGATCAACGATGAGGCGACGATATCCCACGGCTAAGAGATTGGAAATGCAGTCCTTGGCCGCCTGGTCCTCGTATACTCCATTTCCGAAGCACGCCGCCGCGAGGGATACGGTGGGGTGCGTGACGAAGTTGATCGGGATCTGTGCAGCTACATCTCGTTCGCTCTGCAGAAAAACGAGTCAGTTGTCTGGGTATCCTCAGAAGAAATAATGTGAAGTATAAATAAATCCTGACCAGTTGAACAATCCTCTCCGTCGAGCCCAGCAGCGGACTATCCGGGTCAAAATTATCGTCAGGCATGGCGGCTACACAAGACCAGCTCGACCACCACTTAAAGGCGATCGCATCCTTGCTCGAAACGGACGTGCAGCTCTCACAGAGAGCACATAGACGAATCGAGTCTATAGATATCACAAAGCACGATAAGGCGAGAGAGGGACGTTCCCTGCGTGATCAGCGCAGTTTAGCCGTTTAGCTCCAGTCGGCCGTTTCCACTTCCGTCCCCAAAGTTGATCCATCTGGCCACTTAAGCTGACTCCATCTCGCCAACGCCGACAACAAGACCCCCTTCGATCTCGTTACGCCTTTTTCTTCCTTTGGTCTTCGCCTTTGACCGTCGTTTTTCCTCCCTTCGAACGAGATGGCCACTCCAGGCCAACCCACCCCTCAGCAGATTGCTGCCATGAAGCAGCAACTCGCCGCGGAGGCCGCAAAACGAGGGATGACGCCCGAAGAGTTCGCCAAACAGCAGCGCGAGGCGCTGGCCGCAGAGGCAGCAAAGCTGGGTCTGACCCCGGAGCAGTATGTCAACCAGCTGAGGATGCAGGCCATCCAGCAGCACCAGCAGAGACAGGCGCAGGCCCAGCAACAGGCGCAAGCTCAGCAGCAGCAACAACAACAGCCACAACCACAGCAGCAGCAATATCAAGTGCCCGTGAATGCAGGCCAACCGCCAGACCCAAAAGCTATTGCCGTTGCTAATTTCTTGCGATCTTGCGATCTCAAGCCCAGGACCTGTATCCTGGATGGCCAGAGGAAGGATATGTTCAAAGGTACAGCTTCTAACATCTTTCTTTTGCGAACCATAACTCATAGATCCTATCTCTAGTGAAACGAGCTATCCGAGCAATCGAATCTCCTGCATACGCCAAAGCTGCTGCAAAGAAGGGTTCTCTACTCCCCCCAGTGACCGACCGGGCGTCGGCCGAAAACACATTCAAGCTTCTTCCGCTCTCCCTTCTCGCTCTACGCGTATCGAAGGTCGATCCCCACGCAGGCCACAACCACGGAAAGCAGAAGAGAGTCAAGGGCTTGTGGACGGTGAAGATTGAGCAACACCAGGAGACGGATCCGATGATGCATTATGTCTGGCTGTACGAAGGACCGCAGTGGAAGCAGAAGGCGATGGCCGCAGCAGTGGTGGTCGGTATTTTTGCCGTGGTCTTGTTCCCTCTCTGGCCGATAATGCTACGACAGGCCGTGTGGTATCTGAGTGTGGGAATGATGGGTCTGCTGGGACTGTTCTTTGCCATGTCGATTTTCCGTCTGATTCTGTTCTGCGTCACCGTGTTCGTCGTGCCGCCCGGTCTCTGGCTCTTCCCCAATCTGTTCGAGGATGTGGGCTTCATCGATAGTTTTAAGCCTCTCTGGGGCTGGCAAGAGGTACGTTATACTCTTTCCTTGGCGTCACTGTTTACTTCATCAACTAACCACTACATTTCTATGCAGAAGAAGAAAAAGAAGTCCAAGAAGTCCGCAGCCAAGAGCAACGAGAAAACTGCCTCCACCGAAAAAGGATCCCAACCCGCAGCAGCAGCTGAATCCCCAGCCCCAGCCCCCGCCGCCACTACCACAACGACAGACTCGAATCCCGAACCCGCTACAACGTCGGGAGCGGAATCCAAACGCAATCTTACTGCACGGGTGGAAGAAGCAGAAGAGGAGTGAGATGGGATATTACTTTTTTCCCTCTTCCTTTCTCCCACTGTCTCACTTGTTGGCTGTTGCCCCTTTCCTCTCATCACTAGACGCGTAAGAGGGGTTTTCCTATTGACGGCGTTTCATGCTTCGATCACCTCCTGTTATCATTCTTAGTTTTCGGACTTTCTTTCTTTGAGAAAAATGGATTTTTTTAACGATTCCTGTCACCATCAAATGTATCAAGCGATATCCAAATTGTATGAGTGTTTTGAGGAGCCTTTACATCAGTCTACGGGATATAATCTACGTGAAATGTCACTTTCAAGGGGCGAGATACTCTTTGAGGTATGTCCATCTATTTTGGAAATCTCCAATATCGACCAATAAGCTATCTAACCAGAAGGAGAGTGACCTATGCCTTGAAACACAGCAGGTGAGCCTGGATGTGGTGGGTGTATATATACAGATATAGAGAAGGGGGGAAGAAGAAGGGATATAGGAGATAGACTAAGGACAGTAGACGCCGTTGAGATGGCAGTAGATCAATGCGAGAAAGAAAAGAGAGACCAGAAAATCCGAGCGAAGGAGGCCGATGCTTTGCTTCGACTTCAAAATGCCCAAAATGCTCTTTTTTGTTTCCCCCGAGAGATATCAACAAATGAAAGGACGCAGATGTCACCGTTCGCGGAAGACGCTATAGTTCGAAAAGTAAATGACAAAAAAAGATACAAGACTCTGTTGTGTGTATAGTTGGACACAGTCATGAAAAATCATGAAGCAATAAAAGGCAAAGTGAGAAGTTCAGACAGCCACCCAATAGATTGCGACCATATCGGACTGTACATAATGGCAACTGAAGATGGATGATCTTCGACTGGAGTTGTAGGCAATGACAGGAGAACACGCTGATTCTTTTCCGAGAAATAGAAATAATGTAGTAGTGAATTGACGCGATGAAGAGGGTATAATACGAAGGAAAGCAAGTAATGACTGAGAGCAGACAATGCGATAGTTTGCTCCGAAAACGCTCAATAAGCATTGACCAAACTCGACTTTCTATGCTCTGGTTGTGTTCTTGCATGTGCACCGACGTGATCTGGCTGCACTTTAGATGTATCTGAGCGCAGGTTTGAACCAAAGTTCTTGCGTGATGAACCTGTAGAAGGCTTTCGCGAGAGCAGATCGCCTCGCCGTGCAGGCTGGAAATTGGAACCAGCAGTAGGAGGAACTGCTGGTAATGGACAGTTAGGAGGAGGAGCCGACGGAGGCCCGAGTGACAAATCAGGTAGGCTCTTCCTTGGAGTGAGACGTCCCACCGTCTGAGGACGAGCTGCAGCACCGATCATAGCCGAATTCGAGATTGGAACCTTATTTGGTTGATATTGCTGCTGGGCTCTTGTGCTCGATGAGCCTCGACGAGTTCTCCCGTTCACAGGCTGCGAGATGCCCTGCGGTAGCGATGTTGTACCATTTTGGACTTGTGTACCTATGCGGTAACCAACCTGAGGTTGTATAGCTGATGGAGATGGTCCAACTATAGTACGATCCGTCTGAAGTGTCGCTTGTTGCAGTTGAACCGTTCGTTTTGCACTGGCTCCGATATCTGTTCCCATAGGATTCGCTGGAGTACTTAAAGTACGTGAAGCCGGTACTTGGGGGTCAAAGGCAGCCGAGAGAATTGAGAGCTCTCTCACGCGTGAATTCTCCCGTCGCCTATTCGGAGCCGAGGACTTTGGCGAGACATGAGGAGTGGAGGAGACACTTCCAGGCGTATCGTGACCATAAGCCAATGGTTTCGGAGGCGTCATACTTCTAGCCTGAGAGTTCTTCCGCGTCAGGGGCGTAGATGGTTCAGGGGGACCACGAAAGGGAGTAACAGGGAATCCATCCCCAGAACCAGGCGAAAGAGGCTCTGGATAGATCTTATTTCTCGTGTCCAACGGAGGGAGGACAGTCGCTGATGCAACGGCTGCCCTAGCAGGCTTCCTAGAGAAGGGTATGCTGAAATTAGGGGCTGTAACGGAAGTGCTACTCCCGTTTAGCACTGGTGCAGCGGACCGGATAGATGACTTGGACGGCTCTCTGCTTATAGTCTCTAGCTGTGGAGAACAGGCATTCATAGACCGTCTCTTGTCTTTTGGAGTAACAGCTGCCGATGCCCGGGTCTGCTGTGCTGTGGTGGAATAGTTCACCTGAGAGAATATAGGAATCATAGTGTCCGGGTGCGTAGGGGACGCAGGAGGCGATGAACATGCAGAACTCGGATACGTTTGAACTCCGCCAGATACATAAGACAGTCGGGGATTCTCCCTAAGTTGATCCAGTTCCGTTACAGTATTCGCCGTCGAGAAAGATGGCGCATCCGTAGAAGGTCTCGGGGGCATTGATCGGCGGTTCATTGACTTGATCGACTTCGTATCTGTATGGGCAGTCATGTCTGGGCTCGAGTTCTTTTTGCGGATCGAATGATCAGGTGAGGGCGAGAGCTCTAAGAAAGGGCTTGGAAACCGGTATGGATCCCTCCTGATCGAGTATCGGAAACTCGGTTTGCTCTGTAGCTGGTGTGATGCCGGATCATCCACCGGGGATTCCGCAACGTATTTCCTTCCCCCAAGAGACTCGATCTCTTTTCTCAAGGTAACAATCCAAGAATTCATTTCCTCGGGAGAATTGTGAACCAGCAGAAAGCTCCGAGTTGATTTTCGTGCTTCGGTGCCATGCAGCCCAAATCGCGAGAGCAGAGTTCTCGGTCCATGGTCATCCAGGACAACAGTACCACTGTCGTCCGAGCTCTGCGAGATCTGCAAGACCCAGTGTCTGCCCGGTATGGCATCACTTGCAAAAGCGACTGACTTCGGGCCTAGCCGCATCATCTTTTCCGGCAGTCGGTCGAAGTTCCCTTCCCCAGAATACTGCAGGATATAACCCGATGTCACAAGAATATAAATCTTTTTTCTCCATTCTGTTTTACTAATAGATCCGGATACCTTCCTGGAGTGCTTCCTGTCCTTGTCTTCTTTCTTCCTTTGAGATGTGTCGCCATCTGCCAGTTGGTTGCTTTGGTGCAAAGTGCGATAGGTATCGTCCGTGGCACTGCTACTTCTCCTTGACGTACTGATGCGCAGAATCGAATCTGCGGAGAGACATGGCGTCATGAGAACAGCATGCTTGACTGCCTGTGGATATGCTTGAAACAGAGGTGGAGGGACCCAAGCAGTGGCAGACGACATTGCCTTTTCCAGCCTGGAAGGCGTTCTCGGTTCTTGAGGTGCAGGCGAACTAGAGGCGAGCTTGGGAGTAGAAGCACTCAGAGGGGATGGTGGCACAGGGCATTTATTCTGCGTTGCCGCTATTTGATTCTCATCTATCACGGCTAATGGGCCGTCGCCGTGTGTTTTGCGTAGTGACTTCCTCCGACTGAAGATATTGCGCAGACTGGTCATGGAAGACTGACGCTTGGCGGCTTTGGGTTGCAAGGGGACTTTTTCGCCAGGCTTTTGGTCGTAATCCTGGGGTCGTGGGCGATGGTTCCGCTGTTCCTGCGTGGCAGGCGAAGCATCCCGTCTGCTGAAGTTTGTCTGGATAGGTGCCAACCGACATCCTCGTCGTGCAGTCATCGAGTCAGAGGTAGGTGAGCCCATCTTGTTGAATTCCTAGAGATACGAGATGCTCTAGTACGGGGCGGGTACCCCAGTAAACATCGCAGCGATGACTCTGGCCTTACTATATAGACAATTCTTCTCTTATGTCTTGCGTAGAATTCAACAGCTGTTGGCCTTCCCAATCACAGTAACTGCTTCAATGTTGCAAGATTGAGCAACTCGTTTTCGATAGATACTAATGATGAAAGATTGTTTCGGAAGGAACGTGATGTCAGGCAACTGCAAAATGAACAAGCTGCGCAAACGCATTCAAGTGTAGATCAGTGTTGAGACAAGTGACTAAAGGAATGACACAGTTAAAGACAGTATCGGGAAACAAATTGATTCGAGAGATGGCCAATGACATGCATATTAGGGAAGCAAAAAGAAAGAGGTATGAAGGAATGAGAATCTAGGAACCAGCAACTGCGGCATACGAAATGTCTTTCTTTTAATCCAGACTCAGCTGGGCCCTGGAGACGGTAGCAGAACTCAAAAAGAGATTGGGGCCGCGCGAATACAAAGTTACCGTTAAGGGCAGCTGAGGAACGGAGTGGCGCTGGTGCTGCAGGTACCAAAACTGACGCACGGCCGGCATCGTGGATCAATCATTGCGCCGCAAAGCATCCAGGAGAACAGGGACCAGGCCAATATCGATGACATGGGCCAACTGTCTAATGCAACGCCTGTTGGGTCTTCACCTTGGGCCCCAGGAAAAGGCGATCGTAGCGGAGTTTCTTCTTCCAGCCCCGTATGACCGGATATGAAACCTTTCTTGAACAAGTCTCCTCCCGGACTCGTGGGGGAATAAGCAGATCCAGGAGTACGGCCGAGACCGCATACACCATGGGTGATGCTAGTACGGAGCACGTTAACCGTTGCCCGGAAAAATGGTCCTCTCTGCTCCAGAGTAGAGTTTGTTTCTTGCACAGCTTCGATGCAGATCGTTAGTGTAGTAGGTTAGCTCATGAGGTGATTGAGTTGAACTAGGGAGTTGACAGACAACCGTACCGAACCCATGGGGTGCCGTGCCGCAAACCACGCCTCATGGCTCAGGGGGCCAAGCTGAGCCAGATCGCTGGACTCCTGGAGGCAGTAGTAAATATTGGGCTGTGAAAAAGTGGATCGATTGATGGTGTTCGAGCCCAAAAACTGAGAGAGATGGAGACTGCACAGGCGCTATGAGACATGGCTGGTCTAGCATAGCCAGAGCCATGGGTAGCAGGCCGCTGCAAATAATGTCGCGTGCACTTCGACAAGCCTGCAAAACGGGATGCTTGACGGTGGCCGATTGAGAGGTACTGTATGGTGCGGACATTGATGTTTCTCACAAATAATAATAATAGCTTTGGGATGTTGTCACAGGTGGAGGAGGTTGTTGTTGTTCCCTACAAGGTCACGGGGTCCGTGTTGACGCTTTCTTCGCCCCAGTGGGAATCACTCCACCGAAGACATCGCGACAGTAATACTATCTACTGCATAGATAGATAGTGCTCAATAATAATGAAAATCTCTGTTGTTTCTTCTTCATGCAAGGGCTCGGCGCCAATCCCATGATGCGAAGTCACTATATCGACTATTCACAATGTTATAGTACCGACCCTGACACTATAACAATCGAGCCAGCGCTATCATCGCGAGATGCCTTGGTCCATGAGCGCCCCTTCCAGGGAACTCGTCGATGGTGACGGCCCTTGTGGGGTGAGGCCCCTGGCTAAAATTTCAGCGGCGACGATGGGGTATATCTGGTCTAGCGAATCCGCTTGTCGCGCTGATCGCGTGGACTGACCATTCCCTTAGCGTATACTCCGTAGTCATACTCGGTATGGTAAAGCCATAGGTTCCCCTTCCAAGCGCTCTTAGTGTCCCTATTCACGGATTTCTGTTGCTTATTTTATACCAGGCGCTCAGATACTCAGATAGCTCGCGTGCAGTTCGGATCAGGCTCGCAAATCCGCTCTGAGTTGGCTTGCCTTCCATTACACCGGAGAGGTTATCCGGAGGCGCTCTCAACCGCTTGCGGGACTTACCGCGGCGTGGTTGATCAAGATCTGCACCGATCCCCCATACTGGTACCATAGGCGTACGTATTAGGCGTTAGGGGCGGTAGAATGTAGATACACAGCTGTCGGCAATATATTCGGTACCGTCCCTGCTGAAGAAAGCCGCGTGCGGAGTAACTAAACAGCTGCGCAGCAGAGCTTCGAGTATACGATGCAAGAGCTTTCGAGTCCCAAACGCCCGAACAATCGCCTTGAAGTCCGTATTCGTAGATCATCCTTACCCATAATAATAATAATCCCCGAAAAAGGTTCGATCTCGACAACGGATCCCTGTCACGATTGGAGTTCGACGTGTGCCGTAAGAGATCCAAGCTCGGGGCGAACCGTTTCATATGGGAATACTCTGCGATAGCATCGCACGATATTAGATTTGACCATCATCTTTACGCCTTTAGAGCATCCCTACAGCAGCATAGGCCAATCTGCGGTATTTAGATGTGGATGTCGGAGAATTTGCTGCATGTCAACAACCGCCCTAAAACAGCGATAAGCTTGGGACACATTCTGGTCAGCTATAATAGCAATGATATATGCCGGATGCCGTCGTCTCAGACGCCATGGCGAAGATCCGCCTCTTCTCATGAGAGCTATCCAGGAGACTTTTGCAGTAAAGGAAGTTCAAGTAGACTAGTTGGAACAAACAAGGCTGTCATTGTCGCAGACGTTTCGACTTTTGATGCCTTTGCCCTGTGACATTCACATTGCCGGGCCCAGACGGGAGTCTCTCCTAGTGCGTCTATTCCCTTTGCACCTGGATCCATGACCACAGGGTGCCATAATATGACATTAATAATAGGCGAGGCGACGAGGGGAAAGGAGACGGTCCAGAACTGGCCATGTCGCCTGCAGAGTTTGGTTCCACTCTGTTTCTCGCTTAGAGTCGAGTCGAGTCGAGTCGAGTACGGAGTATAGAGTATAGAGTATCGTAGAGTATCATAGAGTATCATAGAGTATCTATGGTAGAGAGAATGACCACCGCGCGGAAGATCGACGAAGAGACAGGAAGGCATCCATGGTTCGCTTTCTCGTTTCTTCATCCGGGCGCCACACGTGATGTCACGGGACGTTTCCTGCCCGCTCCGATGACGCCAAGCTTCCCCCGCGGTGGAGAGCTTCGGTTGCGGCTTCATTGGAGACTTGGATAGCCATTCCAGCCATTGATCGAGCCTTGTCTTCTCTGTTTCGTGACTTCCAGGCTATCCAGACAACATTTACTGCGATCCTACGTCAAGTAATCGGCCCTAATTGAGACAACAGAGTACCCAGAGCACTGCGAATCTCCGTGGCGATTGTTGGTGTATGAGCTCACACCACTCCCCGCTATTTTGCCAATAGATCGCATCGGCAAACTCGTTGACGCCGCAGTTGAGATAGCAAAACAGCTAGGAGCTCCTCTTGAAACTCCTACAGCCTTCTCTCGACTGCAGCTCCGTCCGCAAGATGCCAGTCGCAGACGTTCCTGTCCAGTCGCCGTCGCCCAGGTCGTCTGCCACATCTCTGGCAGCGACTGCCAGCGCGAATGCGGCCAGTCTCTCTCGTCAACCCTCGCGCAGCTCTGCCCGGTCCTCGAGACCGTCGTTTTCCGAACGACGCCGTTCCGCAGTCCTCAATCTAGAAGACCCAAGTACGCCTGGTCCGGGGGAGCTACAGGGTGGTAGTCACCGCTCATCGATGGGATATGCATTCAGAACAGCAAGCCCGACGAGTCTAGGTGGCAGTTCCACCATTCCGACCGCAGATCCTCATCATCAGCGGACACCGTCATTGGGAGAGTTACATCAGGAATTGGAGCAGGAACAAGAGGCGCAGGTGGTACGTATTGACTTGGGTTCACCAAGGCTCATTCCTGCATTTCAATCACATTCAGGATGCTGATGCCTTGATGCGCGCATAGAACCGACTTCTGCAGATGATCCGTAGCCAGCAGTTGCAGTTGCAGCAATTACAACAGCAGCAGTCTTCCAACACGGGAACGGCGGTCATTGATGATTCAACACCCAATTCCGAACGCTCAGTGTCTCTTCCTACCGTTCCTCCGGTCCCTGCGTCTGGTGGGCGGACCTCGCTTGCCTCGTCGCTGTCAGTCCGTCGTGGGTCGCGATCTAGTCAAGGAGCTTCGCCGCGTCTCGGTCCAATTGCTTCCGCCTCACAAGGATCAGTTATCGAGCCTATACGCAGCCATGACGGTTCTGAACTGCCTGGTCTGGGAGAGACCCGAACTCGCAGTAGCAGCAGAGACGAAACCACATTCTATCAGGCCGAGGCAGCCAATTTAACGCGAGAGAACCAGCTTCTGCGCCAGCGGATCCGAGAATTAGGTGAGCATCCATCGTAGTGGTAGACTAAGGTCTTCAACTGACAGATTGTAGAACGACAAATCAGCGAATTGACAGCTAATTCGTCCCGTCCTCACCCACCTACATCTAATCTGGCGACTGCGACGTCGTCTTTTGAAGGCACGGACCAAGCTGCTTCGGCGGACGTTGCCAGCGATGAGAACAAGACCTGAGTGGCTATTGGGTTTTGAAGAATCTTGTGACAGAGAATAGAGGTCAATTGGGTATAGCCAGGACAACATCTACTCAGCTCAGGACGCCGTTTCTCCGCCTTCGGGCAATGTAGGTGGAAACAGCATCACTCCACTCCGGTCATCTCTGGGATAGTCATCTCTGAGGTACTAATCAGCCTGCCCTCCAGGCATAATATCCACATAACGCATTCTTACGTTGCGATTCGTTCTACCTGCGAATATTAGCAGGCCATGTCGATCTCTACTTCATGTATGATGTACTGGATATCAAATTATTAGAAGCATTGATAAGAACAATGAATTGTGATAAGAAGGTCTTTTGAAGATTCAAATACAGTCGCAGATTCGTCTATAGTAGAGAATAGTATATAGTAGTTGATTGGCCCTCGTTACAAGGAGTAGTTTGCACGTCCCCCCCCCCTCTACTATCTGATAACAACTCGAAAACCCTATTATTTTCAAGACTAAAAAATATCATAATCGGTATAAATATGCCCTCTAATTTGACGACAGACCTAGTTAGTCATCTAGTCACGACTGAGGAGAATCTTAAAAAAAGACCATCCAAGTTGAATTAAGAAACTAACTATATAGCGAATCTAAAATTGTGTAGTATATCCGTTGAATAATATAGTTGAAATATATATAAACCCACAAGATTCGAATCCTGAATATGTTTATATCCAAAAATCCTAGTCCGTAATTTCTAACTACAATAGAATGGAAAGCTTGTTCCGAGAAGAATTGGTATTATAATAATATATACCTAGGTAATTAAGAACTATTTTAACTACCTAAATTTATCATCATTATCTCCCTCCCCCTGGCCCCCCCTGAGGATTCGCATATACATCCAATGTATGTAGGTATGGTATGCATATCTCACCTATTCATTTCATCATCATCCAGAACAAATTTACCCACCTAAGTTAGGTACATAGGTAAATAATTAACATCCTACTTCCTCTTCGGCAAAATCCCCTCCTCCTCCAACTCATCCAACGCCTCACTCAACGCATCCCACGTATCCACCGACCCAACCCAACCCAACTTCCTCGCCTTATTCATACTAATCACCACATCATAATTCCTCCCTAGGACAAAATTCGTAAAGAACCAAGTGGCTTTCTCGAACGCGTCCTTCTGCAACTTATTCTTCTCAGCGAGCCTGTTCCACGCCTCTTTCACCTCTGGTTTCTGAGACCAGGAGAGGAGATCGATTCGCATGCGGAGCTCGCCGTTCGGGACGTGGCCCTGAATACCCATTTCAGGGGCCTGGATGTTCAATGGTGGGTTGGAGGAGAGGGGGACGGTTTTCTCTTCGTAGCCCTGTGGGAGGGGGTGGGAGAATTGGTCTGGGGGAATGGAGAGGCCGTAGCGATGGGCGAGACGCGGCCAGAGGGTTTGCCATGATTGGACGTCGCCGTTGACGACGTTGAAGTTCTGGTTGGAGGCGCGCGGTTCGAGAGCGGCCCAGAGGTTGAATTGGCCGTGGAGGCGGGAGTAGGTGAAGCAGTCGAAACGGGTGTAGAAGTCTGGGTTGCCGGGGAAGAGGAAGGGTTGGTTGAGTTCTTTGGTCACGGCGGCGTAGAGACCGATTGCGGTGGTGAGGTTCATGAAGTTTCCTGCATTCAAAACAATAATAACATATATTAGTGATTCTTCATCATAATAACCATATATGAAAGATTCCGGAGGGAAAGCAAGAAAGAAAAAGAAACTCACCCTTCGCAACCCCAATAACATCATTAGGATACGTAACCACCCAATCCCACCCCCTCCCCCCCGCAACATCCTTCAATATCTTCTGCTGTCTATAATAAAAATTCACCGGCCTCCCCTCCCCCTCTTCCACCCACGGATCCTCCTCTTCCATCGGCACTTTCACCGGTCCCAAATGCACCCCATAATGCTTCGCCCCCGTCGTCAACACCACTCTTTTCAACCTCTTCTCAGCGCCCGAAATCCTCAACGCTTCCAGGAAATTCTGCAACATGTCCCCGTTCACACGGTCCATTTCCTTCTCGTCGTCGCGTTGCAAGTAGGCTGTGAAGAAAAGGTATTCGCCTTCGACGCCGGCGCTGGAGAGCTGAGAGGCGATTTCGGAAGCGGGTGCTAGGAGGTCGATGGAGTTGTGCTTGATGGTGGATGGGTAGGATTCTTTTTGATTTCGGGATATGGCGTGGACGGTGGTCCATTGTGAGGGGTTGGATGCGAGGGCGCGGACGATTTCGCGGCCGTTTATTCCTGGAGAGGGGGTCAGTATGTAAATAAATAGTGTTTTTGAATGAAGTCTCAATTTTCAATATATGTATAGCAAGGAAAGGGAAAAAACGAACCAGTCGCGCCCGTTACGATTGCAGTAGGCATCTTGTCGGTGCAAATTATCTCTCGTATCTAGTGAGTAGTTCCTCGTAGATATATATCTCCTCTTTCTTTCCGTTCAAAAAATCGTCCAGAGAATCAAGAGTCCAGATGGTATCGTACACCAAAACGGAATATCAGTACTTTCCAACTCAAGGATTCAAAAACTCAGCTAGGAATTCCCACCGCTCAATATATACCTACCATACACCTCACCTCATATCCCCTACTTCCAGCCCTACAAGCATTTGCATCTGCCCGTATCGAGTAGAAACGATGAAATCATCATTCCCTGTGGCGAGCACAATGACGTAGTTATTACTATTCTGTGACTTGGATGTAATGTATCCTGTTCTCTTTTGTCTCGATTGATAATGTGGTAATTGACTATATGTTGATATAATATTTGTGTTTGATTTTGTCTTGCAGAGAATTTGAAAGTTCTTTTGCGATTTGTATATGAAGGAGCTGGTGTCATGTCGTTGGATATAGTTCGATGACGGTCACGTGATTAGCACGGAATGAAGTCAGATATGCTTTCTCTCTTACTACTATTCCCCCCTCTCTATAAAATCGATAAGACATGATAATAATCTATAATACTGGTAAATTGAATTCTTCATTCGCCTATCTTCTCCAGATGCAAAGAGGTATATCTCGCTAGATCTGTATCTGTACAGCAAGGTCCTTGCATCAAACAGCACACTCACAAAAGAAACCTAAGAACTTCAAAAACGGCTGAAACCTTCAATGGGGTGAAATAGCCCCCAATATATATTCCACATAACATTTGAACCCCCAAACTCGACTCTTGTCTCGTCCCGCTGGTCCCTATTTTATATCTTACAACTTCGCCTTCTCGGGCTGGGACACGAGGTCGGGCAGGAGCAGATCGCGCAGCTCGAGGCCTGCTTCGTTCAGGTAGAAGCTCATGCGCTCGGCGCCAAGGTGCTTGCAGACAATGTTGAATTGGAGACTGTGCGGAGTTAGTACGGGAGAACAATAGAATTAAGCCGATACTTCTCATGAGAATTCGAAACTGAAAGAAACTCACCTGTTCTCGTTGATCATGTATGCGATACCGAAACCATCGTCAATGACCTGACTCCATCCGTAGCCGTTAAAGTACTCCGAGCTCAGCTGACTGCTGGAAATAAACCACGAGGAGCTGTAGGAAAAGGCCGGGTCCTGGTAGAGCTCCGGCAGCTTTTCGCCCTCACGGAGCAGCTTCTTCAGACCAAACAGGTGTCGGTCCACACCACGGCCGTCGCTGGCGTCCAGCGTGTACTTGGTGTGCGCAGCGAGCGCGGCACGGAAGCGCTTGACGACCTCCTCCCGCGGCACCTCAGGGTCGGCGTGCGCCTTGCAGAAGGCGACGCTCTCGTCCGACACCGTGCGGGTGGTTTCCGTACGGCCCTGCTGGAACTTACGGGTCGAGGCCGACTCGTACGTGGGGCGGTTCTTGCCGTACATCTTGAAGTAGGCCAGCTGGATGAGCATCTGCACGTATGCATCCGGGCTGCACTTGAACTTCTTGATTAGGCCCTTGCCGTACGCCTGGAAGGCCTGCACGCGCAGCTCGTGGGCCGCGATCTGCTGGTGGTGCTCCTTGGCGGCGGTGTCAATGTCCGCGAGGGACTCCTTGGTGAGGTGGAAGCGGATGGGCTTGGGTTCGGGGAGGTTCGAGCGGATGGAGGGGTCGCTGAAGTCGAGGCGGTTGTTGAAGATGACATTGTTGATGTAGTCGTTGATGCGGTGGGTGGGCGTGCCGTCCATCATGCTGTGCTCACCCATGAAACCGGCGGTGCCGTTGTCGTTGACAATGAACTGCAGAGGCTTGTCGAACCAGCGGTTGCTGCCGTCACCGTGCCAGTACTGGTGAGCGCGCTCCTCCAGAGTGACGGGGGTGGCGTCATCCAGACAGACGACGAAGCCCGAGGACTCAATGTCCTGCAGGGCCTGCTCGTTGGCCGCGTTGGCCTCGATCAGCCTCTTGCGAGCAGCCGTCCAGAAATCGCGGTTGGCAGCTGTCAGCACGCCCACTCCGGGCGCGCGGTCGGCAATCTGGTAGATGCGTTCGAACTGCTGCTGCAGCTCCGAGGTGTTCAGCTGGCGGCCGTCGACCACGGTGGGCACCTTGAAGAACTGGTTCTTGCGGATCACAACGATGTGGTTGTGCTCCTTGTGCGAGTACTTCTTGGGGTAGTCGGCGGGCTCTGCGGGAATGCGGCTGCAGTTGAACATGTACTCGTACGAGCTCATGGCCATGGGCTGGCCGCGCATGTACTCGGGCTCGAGCGAGCCATCATCGACCTGGCGCTTGAAGTCCAGCGCCGCCGTGGTGATGGCCGCAGCCCGCTTGGCCGGGTTACGGCGCAACCGGTCATCGCGGTATGAGTAGAAGTAGGAGACGTAGGGGACCACGGGGTCGCGGTAGGCCAGGTAGGCGGCATCGTTCCACCACTCGTAAATCCAGTTCTTGTGCTTGGGGTCCGCGGCGCGCTCCAGCAGGCGCTTCTGCAGAGGCTCGCCCTCACCACCGGGACGAATGAAGGCTTCGACGGCCTTGGAGGTGCGCTCGAACTCGGCGGGCGAGACGAGCGGGTGGACCGACTTCAGGTATCGGCGACCGGTCTCTTCGAGCGAGGGCACGGGCAACCGGGGGAGAGAATCTTCGAACCGGAGCATCTTGCCCTTGGAGAGGTCTTCCTTGTATCCTGAGCAACTGTGATCAGCCTCTGTTCCATCGAATGGATCGGGTATTCCATGCGGAGAGTCTGTTGTCGCTGCTTCACTCACCCTCAGGGACGGAGGACGCCTTGCGTCGCGGAGCCATGGCGGAGAGGATCTGCTATAAAAAAGAGAATGAGTGGGATGAAACAACAAGAAATTGTCTCAATGCAACAATAACACATACTGGAGATCGAGCGGGTCGATAGAGCGATGCGGTGGCAGTAGGGGCACGTCCAAGGGTGGAGAGACGGCTGCGAGCAGACGCCGTGAACATCCCCTCGACGTGTGCAGATGGCCGTGGAAAGAAAGGAAAGGAAAGGAGATGAGGAGAGGGGCGGATGGAAAGGATCGTAGAGGACGAGAAGAGGAATTGACAATGGAACTCGACGTTAGAGAGACGTCAGAGCGAGGGAGGACGAAGAAGTAAGTAAAGTAGACTAAGTAATTAATTAAGTGATGCTCTAGCGAGAGACAACGGCCGAACAGCCTCGGCTTGAGGGAAGTGGGCGAGCAAGTTACTTCTTATGCTGCCGGAGACACGAGGAGGGCTCTTTATGTATATCTACAGATCGTCCGAATGATCTCCGGTGGTCATCAAGTTCTCTGTACGGAATACTTCTCATAACTACCATAAGAATTCAACTCGTTGTTGTAGATGCTGGTTGCACCTATGTAACTATTCTGCTTCTCTCATCGACCGTCCCGAGCCTCGGCTGGCTGCGGTCTCGTCGGTTCATCCCAGGACGCCAGCAGCAGCTAACTTAGTCTGTGTTCTCCTGACCGGTGCAGAGTCAGAATGATTATTATTATTACTCTAGTGAACGCTACCTTTACCTCGTGATGCTATCCCCCGGTTATCTATTCATTATTATTCTACATTGTTCTACTCCAACTCGCCTCTTCGTCTCTCCATGCGGGGTTTCTCCAGACTGGCTTCACCGCCCGCCCGATCCGGCCAGTCACCGTCCAACAGGAAATCTGAATGGAACAAACAATCCAGCATCTTCCCTTCATCCGTCCGTTGGCCCGCCAAGGCAATGGTGGTATGATGGCTGATGGCTGATGTCTGATTCAGATGATCCAGGTTAATTTAATTACACAGTGACAGCTGCAGGGAGGGGAGACAGTATTGGTCCTAGTCTGGTAGAGGATGGCAAGAGGATAGTATGGCATCGTATGGCAGAGTATGGCATAGTATAGACCAGTATAGACCAGTATAGATAGATAGATAGATAGATAGATAGTAAATCGTATGTAACTTAGGTGGTTGGCTGATGAATCGACAACTCGCATAGTCAGGTATCTCGGCAACACAAATCCCAGTAATAATCCAAAACAGAACGCAGATGCCAATGGCTCATCTCATCCATCACATATGCCGCCCGTCCGTTGCCTCGACGCCGTGCGACCCCAAGCCGTCCGAGGCGACCAAGGGGAAAAAAAAAGGAACTCCAAAACAAGTCAAGACAGATTCATAGATCACGACACCGTTTCCACCGGCGGCGCTGCACTCTCGCCCATCTTCCGCCGCGCCAACTCGGCGTCGCGCAGCTTCAGCAGGCCTGGCCCCGTGCAGATCCGCCCCGACCGCATCATGTTGCGCAGGCGTTTCCGCCGTGCTTCTCCGCTGCGCTCCTCTCCGCGCGCCACCCCTTCGTCCACCCACTCGATCCGGTCCACCTTGAAGCTCACCCCGTCGTGCTGGCCCTCCCAGCCCCGCGACTTGAGCCCGAACAGCACGCTGCCGTCGTACCGCTCCAGCCGCGGCAGGATCACCAGCGTGATGTGCAGGTCCTTGTCCGGCGGCGGCACCGGCGGGATGCGAGGCCCCTTGGATTCCGAACCAGCGTCCGCCGTCACCCGCGGCGCATGCTGGTAGGTATCCTTGATCTCCAGATCGAGCATCTCCACGTCCACGTCGTCCCCCCATTCTCCCCGGATGAAGCCCGAGTGGATCGCAGCCGCCACCGGGTCCGAGTCGTCCGTGTAGACCCCAGTGCCCCAGAGCGCCCGTCGCGCACAGATCTCCTCGCGGTGGCTGGCGTCGATGCGGAAGCGCGGCACCCGGACGGTAAACGTACAGTTCTCCTTGCCCTCGAATCGGGGGATCGGAACAGGCGTCGTCGTATAGCCAAACTTGGCGCTCTCCAGGCTGGCACTGGGTGAAGGAATCCCGATACGGGGTGAGTAGAGCGTAGAACCCAAGTGGTGCCGTGGCAGATGGGCTACGCTCTTCACGAGCGGCTCCACGTTGACAAAGATGTTGGGCTCTCGCATGGGCGGCGGCGGGCCAGTAGTGGTCACTGCTCGCGGGACATGATGATGGTGGTGATGGTGATGGTGGTGATGATGTGCTGGCACAGGCCCGGAGACTTCTGTGGGTGTCGACGTCTGATGGAAGAGACTCAACGAGGCTGCCGCACGATGGGTGCTGCCAGTCACACTCACCTCGTCCTCGGCTCGCTGTCGATGATGATGATGACTGCAGAATTGTGAGCAGATGCGCCAAGATTAATGATCATTTGAAATGAAGATTTCACTTACTGGTGATGGTGGTGGTGCGCGTGTCGGCCGCGTCTAGGACGGCCGGTTGGGGCCATCCGCTGCTCAGCGCCGCTGTCCGCGTCGAATCGACCCTCCTCGTCCTTGGACTTCCGGGATCGTCGTCCCGGCCCAGCAGCGCCGCGAGCACTCTTCGCATCATCAGTCACGTCGCCGTTGGCCGATCGAGCAGTGACGCTCTCTCGTTTGAACGGGCTGGCGGCCATGGGGGTGGAGGCTCCGCTGCTGAGCGGGGGAGCAGTAACACCACCAACGCCGCTCCCGATGCCAGAGAAGACTCGTCCAAGTTCGTTCTTGATGCCCGATTCACCGGCCGGTCCGATGATCTGGGCCTGGGCGCCCTGGACCGCCTGGGGAAGGGGGGAGGCTCGTCCGCCGCGTTTGCCATCATTACCCACGCCTAGAAGATTCCTATGTTGTAGTAGTTCATCGCTTCCTTTCCGCCGCTGGTCCTCTGCAAACGATGGCTGTCCAGCAGACGGAGCAGAAGCCGGGGGAAACAGCCGCGGCTGCGTTTGCAACTTGCTCAACTGGTTACCCGCAAAGACAGACTCGTTGGGAGACGGCTGTTCCTGGCGGGGCTGAAGAGAGACCCCGGGGGAAGGACGAGAACCCAGCTGGGATCCGAGAGATTTGGTGTAGCTCTGTATAGCGCCAAAGCCAAACGACGGAGGTTCCGGCGCCCGGAAACGTTTTGATTCAGGTGACAAAGTTTGGGAGCGGGCTTCCCAGGTCGAAGCAGAGTGTTGTCTTTCGGCTTCCCTCTCGGGGACCTGGCTTCCATATCGGGACTGGGGCTGCGGAGGATACTTGGATTCTGGTTCAGGGCCTCTCCCATCGCCGTTACGAGCCACCTGCTCCTCTGGCTGGCGATCCCGATACAGTCCACTATATCGATATTGTGTCTCAGTTCCCGGATAGGAACTCGTGCGTTGTGTAACCCCAGACGGCGCTTCTGGCATCCCTGGATTAGGCCGAACCAGAGGGCTGAAGGTAGGCGGTCGAGTCGATGGCTCGCCATGTTGAGGCTGGCTGCTAGGCCGCTGGATAGGACCATTCAGACTTAATCGTCTGGATTCCATGTATGGGGATTCTGCAGACGAAATCTGCGGCGACATCCGTGCAGGGACCGGCTTCTCGGGATACTGCGAAAAAGGCTGCGGTCGCGACAATCCACCAAATCGAGACGCATCGGGCATCTGTGGCTGCGACGATTCCCCCGAGTTTGATCGGTATGGTCGAGGAGGCGGTGGTTGGTTCTTCGCGGCCAGCCTGTCGGGAGTCTCCGATCGTCGAAACAGGGGGTGCTCCATCGACGCTTGCCGGCCTGGCGCTGTCGGCGGAGACATGATACCGGCAGTCTGGGGCGGCCCAGTGCTATAGGGAGCAGCAGAGACCGCTGGACGCGGAAACATTGAGCCAGGACCTGTCTCGCGCGGCGGTCGATCCGCATCCGAGCCCAACATCGACGAGATCGACATGCTGCTGCCAGGACGGTGGGTGGGATTTGCAGGAAGCTCGCGCGACGAGTACGAAGGAGGCGGGGGCTGGGTACCGGTAGCAGATGGTGCTCGTGGAGGATAAAGCTGCGGGGAGGAGGGAGGAGGCATCTGGCGGTTCCCGAACGAGGGCGCGGCTGGCGGATGCGAATCCGGGGGTCCTGTAACAACAGGGAACAGTCAGCATCAATCTTCTTCTGGCAGTGACAGAATCCAGTCAGACGGTAGACTTGGCGCAAGGGGAATATCAACACGGCCAGTGAACCACCAGAGAAGCACCCATGGCGGCGTGAAGGATGACGCGCGCCATGCGGCGACAAGCGTTTCGAGCTCCGCAGCAGCAGCACTCACCATTTGCAAAGACCGGACTACCACTGCTCCCCAGGGACGGCCGTCGGCCCTGGTCGTGCGAAGCAGGATGCATCTCGCGCGTGTGTGGAGGACCTGAAGTCGGACGAGAGGGCAAGTCAGCCATCATACGAGGAGGTGCAGGTGAAGCTTCAAAAGTCGGGGGAAAGATAGTTAATTCAAGGACAGGCACGGAACGGGCGCCGTGTCTGGGCCCCGTGACCTGATCCGGGATTGGCTGGCGGCTGGACGCGGACTAGGCCCGTTCGGGGAAAGCGGCGCGTGTCCCAAGCGGGTTAGCGCTCCCGAGACGGCCAGTCGATCGGCGCCACAGCAGAGACAGTGGCTGGTGCGCAGTGACGATGGCAGGGAATCAAGCCTGGGGTTCAAGGCAGAGCAAGGGGAATGTTTCCGATCCAAAAGCATCCAGCGGGCTCCCATCATTCTGTCGTCTGCACTCTGGCATGTTCTGCTGGCAGTACCACCACTGGAAGCTCCCGCGGTCGAGATTCTAGACAGCTGCACCCATCGTCTAGACTCCCGCAACTCTGCCATCCAGCCTCTCACAGAATGACGACTACACAGACAGAAAGAAGAAAGAAAAAAAGAGTATATCCCCTACCGTCTCGAAATCTAAGACCATTATGTTCCCTCATCGTCCCATCATGATGTTTTCCTATTGACGCATGACCGGATCCCGGACTGTGGAAGCCATTGGGGCCGTTGTTCCGCAGCGACGCGAATGGGACCGGCGACATTGGTTTCTCGTGAGCGTAGGTATGCGTAGGCGGGCCGTACGTCACGGCAGGTCTGACCAGCTCGTTTTCTCGTCGACCCAGAGGGTCATAGGCCGGTTGCGATCGACCGTTCGACACGGACGGCGGCGCGTATGGTCGTGGTGGCAGAGCACCAGCTCGGAGGTCTGGAGGTCCCGCGAAGAGGGACGGACGCGAGAATGGTTGATGTTGAGGCTGCCGTGGAGGATCCATTGTCGAGATTCCACGACGGAGGCCACCACTTTGACGGGATCAGGATCAAGATCAAGATCAAGATCGAGACCGAGACCTAGACCTAGACCCTACCCACCTTTTCGCTCTACCCGAAGGTAGGAAACGGGTGGTGGGAACAGAGATTTCAACGGTTGATGGTGGACGCGTCGAGTAGCTAGCTGGATAAGTATACAAGTCGAGGAACTATGAGCGTGGTGCGCGCGGGCGACGAGGACAGGAGAAGAGAGAGAGAGAATAATATGCAGCTTTCCGCGGGAGAAACGACACGATGGAAAAAAGACCATGAGCTCGACAACGGGCGAGCGCATGCGACATGGGCTTTTTCGGGGCTCAGTGGGCCTGGGCGCTCATCCCTGTTGGGGTGTTTTTTGGGGGAGCCCGGCTTTTGCTTTTCTAGCACTTTACTAGTGGTATGGGTTCTATGGTAGTTCAAGCGGTGGCATGAGAAGGGAAAAAAAAGAAAAGAAGAAGAAGAAAGAAAGCAAAGAAAAAGAGAAAAAACAGTTCCTAATCAGAAGCAGAGGAATAGCATATAAGAGCAGAGTGAGTATCACCAACAGTAAAGTGTCAAATTACCATAATAATTAATTAATAAATTAAATAAATAAATTAATGATTATTGTTTGGGATTTGTGGTGGACCGTGGGACGTGGATGTGGATGTGGACCGGGGATGCAGCCGGTGGGGAAAAAACGACCCGGTGGATCTCCCAGGTCATTCTTCTTCTGAGAGTATACCATACATAAATAATAACTATAATTAATTAATTAATTAATTATTATTATTAGTTAACTAACATGTTCTGTTTCGCTTATTTCTGATCTATCTATCCGGCACTTCACCTCGCCCTGATCCTCCTTTCCCCTTTCGACCTCTTGCCGCTCAGGCACTTCTTGCGCCGCAATAACAGTCAACAGAAGAACCCGCCAAGGAACAAAGACGTCCCCCTCCCTCCCCCCCCCCTCCTCCCTGGCAAGTAAACACGTAGAAGTACTCCGTAGGCAGAAAACAGAAGCAGAAAAGGAATCAAGCCACGGGAGAGAGCCTTGCGGGGTGCGCATGAGACCTGGGCCTTAGCTGTCGGGCGAAGACACCACCCATCCTTGCCAACAGATCAGGACGATAACTACGGTCTACCATACCATAAGCGGGGGACGTGTTAGGCAGGACATCGTGCGTTTAGCGTTGCAGTAGTCGTCAACACAATCGCCCTGCAACGTCTACCGCATCGCCCAGACTCGAGCAATGGCAGGTGCCGCTGCTGATCGATACCGCGATCAACGTGACAGGGGCCAGGTCGATCCCCGTCGGGCAGTCAAGGGCTCTTTGATCAGATAGATCGATTCTAACTACTATCTAACTATGGTTGGCGCTGTACTCCGTAGTCAGTTACTTAGATTAGAGTAATACATACATACATAACTTAGTCATGCGCGAATAACTCAAGGAAAAGGCTGACTCGATTACGATCGCAGATGCTGGCCCAGCCCGTGAGATCGAATCCTGCCATCCCGACCGACAGAGAGAGTTATTCAGAGCAAAAGACGGTGAGGGGGATCGCATGCGCTCTCTGGCGGTCATGGCGGTCACTAGGAAAATCCCTGCAAGGTGAATCAGATCGCAGACGTCAATCCTGCAGGTGCACGGCTAACTTGCCCGCATCGATACCTCTTTTGTAGGGCTGTGCCCAGCCAGAATGGGAGACACATCCCAACTATCCGCCTCATGTCGAGTACGCTACTGTGTCTCCAGAAGAAACAGTCTCATGTGAGTGCTGCAGCTGTTTCCATCTGCATAGGGACAGCATCGTCAGAAACTGCTGGTGTTGATGTATACCGACTTGACGAATCCGGCACCTCCTACATGCGTGACTTAGGTCGTACAGACATCTAGGGGCATAGACCCCTTTACAGGTACAGTACTTAAGCCTACCTCAATATCTTCAAGTATTATATCGACTTTCACTACCGTCTGTGATTTCGGATATTGCACAGGAGAGCTCCTCGCTTCTCCACTTCGACACCACCACAACATGGTGACGCTACAAAATCAAACGAACAATATTAATACTAATTAGCTTCTCACTAACTCTACCGGCCAATCACAACAGATGAAGCTAAAGCAGGTGTGACATGTGCCCTATCGCAATTTTTATCTCACTAGTCTTACCTAGTGCCTCAGACATCAAATCTACAATTTAGATTGCAAAAACAATAGCATGAGCAAGAGACTTGTGGTTAAGGAAGGCGCTTGGGATGGTTGATCGCGCCAGCTTCGTCAACAGTATATTGCGTTTCAGATTGATAACATATAATATTAAGGAGGCCCCCATTATATTCATGTTTGAAGATTCCATGACATCAAAGACAAGGTCGCTACATTTCCGGTATATGGTTTGCTCGTGAATGATGCAAGTATGGCTTTCAGTTGAGATCTGAGAACCAGAAAGAAAACGGTGAGTTCCGTTTCGAATGGAGGCTTACCTCGACAGCTGCCTCTTTAAACACGAGAGGTGCGCTCCGCTTCTGCTCAGGAATCAGATATCTCGAGTAGACTATTCGAAATGCCTTCTGACTTCAAATCGAGGGTCTCTAGTCCGTGGGTCTAAAAAAATCGTCGACGATGATCAGCTGATAATACTTACAAGGAAAAAGAAAACATGAACCGGGAAAGCAAATATGACTGCTCGACATAACTAGAAATTTAGGGTGTAAATCCTCCCCGGGGTCTCAGCTGAGTTGGTGATCAACAGCTAACATGATCGCAGAGCAGGTGAGCTGGCTGTATCTCTTCTTTTTTTTTTTTTGGTGGTATGAGAAATTGATTGGATTTCCACATCGACAGACTGACGGGGGGGACCATAGGTTTGAGCTTCTACCTGGCCCTCGGAAGCTCAAGATCGATTAACCATGGCGCGTGCATCTGATAATCTTCAGTTCCTTCTATTGAAGCATTCACAAAAATCGTTTGTTCGCCGTATTTCAGAGGCTCCGCATCCCCGGTGCAATGACTGGTCGAGCGACATCCCTCACGGTGCAGCGAGTCCCTTCTCTTCGACTTCTCCGCTATGGTCTCGGGTGTGTCGAATCGAGAAGCCTTTAAGTTGGCCAGAGAATCGATCACAACCGACTTCGAATTATCGATGTCGGTAAAATGGGATGGTATTTCACTAGGTTGACCGCGCCAGGTGACAAGTTTTGCCCCCCACCCTTCATGAATATGCCCGAAGCAGTGCAACCGTGGGCGAGCTCTAGCGATAGCGCCAAATAGGTGTGGGCAGCCTGCTCGTTTTCGAGAATCAGTATAGTCCATGATACCATTTGGTGGCCCATGAGTTATGACCACGTCGACTCCCTTCTCGATGCAGAATTCGTGGCCTTGATCCGGGTGATATTGGAATCCCCAGTCACCACCTAATGACATCGTGTAAGGACTGGCATACACCGTTAGCGAAGCACCGTTCTCGAGTTCAAATTTGCAGGTTCCTTCACCCAGAAAGTGTATACCCGCAGCTTCTGCTTCGTTGAAAAATTGTTTCATCTCTTCAAAATCACCGTACTCTCGTTTAACGAGAACTGGATCGAGTGCTGGTGTTGCTTCAGCAACTTTCTTCTTGAATACAGGTGTGTCCATTGTAAAGTCATGATTCCCAGCAATGACAAGCTTCAGGCGTGCATTTAGGTTCTTGAGGAGTCTCATGGAAGTTTGATACTCCTCTACTTTAGATTCCTCAGTAAGGTCACCGCAGTGGATAGCGACATCGGCTTCGAGGGAGTTCACTTCCGGACCGAATTCTTCACCGTGAGTGTCAGAGACGATGAGGAACCGCGTTTTGATATGATTCTCTGAGCTTGTAGCTTGAGTAGTATTCATGGTGTAGTCACAAATAAAGGTTAAGCAAAAGCTTGAATTGATAAAATTGATGGAAGGAATAACTGTCGAGCGACTGTTTGTTGCAGAAAGAGTCGTAGAATGTCACAGCCGGTGATTCTTAGTATTGTCCGATGGTCCCATAGAAATATAACTAGGCAGCAGGTCGATCTACTTAGGTAGCAGGAATTGTTAGGGCAAGATGATGTACTCGGAAAGTTTGAACCTGGAACCACGTGCACAGACATTTTATGGCCACTACTCTGGTTTTCGATACTACATCTCTCACCTCATCGGTAAGGGACGCGCGGTTTTACGTGTCTATTAGTGTTATATTTTTGAGAGTACATCACTGGTTACATGGACTCCAGGAAACAGACATTGAGAAGCATGGTTCTCTTTAGCTACTTGGAAACAGCATTCCTTGATTATATGGGTTATATCCATACTGCTACATGGGGTATCGGACCATCTAAAGGCTAGACATAAAAAGCGGGACACATAAGGAAATGCAACGGGCTTCACACAGTGGAGGCCCTAAAGCGTTGTGTTTCATGCTCATCCTCCTGTGCTAGTGCAGGAGTTCGCCGTGATTGGTGTGGACGGCGATGTTCTCCCGATGCGTCGATCTCAATGATATCGACACCTTCGTTCACTAATGTGTACAAGACAAGATGGCGAAGTTTGCCGGGCCAGTCAGGAATACCGGTGTATCGAACTTTCAGGCCGCGTTTCCGCGCTGCATGGATGTGAGCTCGGATCATTTCTAGCTGCCGACGAGAGAATCTACCACGGTGTGGCATTCCTATCGAGGTGCGGAAGTTGGCGGAGGCAGTGTAGGTGTTTTCTACGTTATAGGTGTAGACTGCGTTCTGCAAAGGCTCGTTTGGCTTGGCCTCATGAGGGTCTTTCACATCGCGCTCGGTAGTCGTAGTTTGCTCGTCTGCAGCAGAGACGGTTTCCTCGACATCTCTCTTAATGGAAGCAAGCGGCGCTGTGAACTTTGAAATATCCCCACTGTCATTCAATGCTAGTTCCTCCAAGGATGCGTCGAAGAAGATATCGCGAACAGCACGGTCACCACGGATTAAGTGGAACGGCGCTCTCCCCGTGAGCACAACGGTGACAGGCCGTTTAACAAGTTCTGAGCCGTCGTGGTAGGTCAGGTAACCCTTTTCCCTAAGAATGGAAAGCTGAGAGATGAGACGCGGCCACAGCCAGTTTGGAGTGGTCTTGAAGTTGAGAAGCAGGATGAACGATTTCGACGGATCCTCTGCAAAGATTCCTCGAGGCGCGCTCATCTCTCCGTTTTCGTTTGCTGTACGACCGGCATTTTGATCCTCGATAGCCGTCATAAGGGGTTCGAGGTAGACATGTGCGAGTGTATTGGCGGCGTCTAGTCCAGTCACCGAGTTTCCCACCAAGATCTCATTCCCATGCAGCCAGATATCGGCTTCCACTCCACTGCAGCCTGAGACCATGGCGAAATGAAAGGGGTCAGCGTGTAAGCGCGTATGTCGAGAGATGCACTCGACTGATTTCCCATCACTTTTGAACTCCAGTGGCAACCGAGTCAGCTCTGGAGACCACTCCTCGGAATCCTCCCATCCCACCGTCTTCCAGTCATGGTCGCCTGGAAGAAGAAACATGGCACCCTTGGCGACAATTGTGATGCATTGGATCAGGCCGCTAAAATGGATATCAGTATCTCTGTAGTCGAGCGCATCAACGGAAATCCGAAATTGACATACAGTATCACCAGAAAAACACAAGAATAGCGGAAGACGCGTTCAGTTGCATTCTTCTTGGCCGCCGTATACCATTCTCCCATGTATATGGACAGCCCTGGAATGCACTCCGTGGGGTAAGAGCGGAGAGGATGGTCGTCCATCAGCATCACATTGTAGTCGCCTGTCTCGAGATCTCCCTGCCGTACCTGATACGGCATTGGATTTCTGGACGGGAGAGATTCAGTCGGGACACCCATCTTGACGCAGTCGCTGGTTTACCTATTACTTCTCTAGGCAAGCATGCCCTAAGAGTATATAAGCGGGCCCCAAATGGTCGACACCAACGAGCGACAGGTCTGGTGCAATGCAATGTAATCGAAACCGACGACACGAGACACCCTCTAAGCTCAGGAGCAAAAGGAAGAAAAGGTGCACGAGCGAGCGACCATATAATATCCCATCGGCCCCCAAAACACAGCCATTACTCGAGTAGAGCATCCGCTCGAAAACCGGGCCTAGTATGGCGCGATGGTGATCTGCGCTCATCCTTTTGAGTTTAGTGAGATGTCGCTGACGACCAGCGGGCGCACGCAATACCGCCACTAAATCACGGCTGGTGGTGCCTCTCCGGGCTCTCCCCTAATGACAAGCCCCCAAACGGCCCTGGGTGCTTGCGTGCTGTCTGCTTCATATCCCTTGGTCTGCTTGCCAAGAGAATAAAAGCATCGCCAAGAAGATAAAGCATGAGACATTAGAGTCTTAGACCCGCATTCGGTCAGAGCTCCTTTCGATCTTCAGCACATTGTCCGAGGCCGTATTTACTTAACTCTCCACCAGTCTAGGTGTGCTTGTTCTGCAGCCTTGATTACCAGGACTGCCCAGTACCGAATGGTCTTTTTTCCATTCATGCTTTGGCTCGTTAGTGTTTACGCTCTCCGTCTTAGCTCCTGGAACATGAATTCAATGCTGTTCTTGGCGGGTTCAACTGTGTCTCGCACGTCATTGATGCATAACAATTGAACCAAAGACAATGTCAAGCCTCCAAAATGGATGAATCCGAATTCCTTATCATATCAAAGGAGGGTTCCTATACATTTAATAGGGAGTGCATATCTAGAAACCAGTATTTCTTTCGGTAGTATAAAATATGTAGCAGTAACTTTGTACGGCGCACACTATATCGCGCTGTACGGAGAGAGATATCGCACCTCCCGTCATGGCAGTCCCGAGGTCATGCCGTATCAACTACATACTAGGCTTAGCGCCAGGGGTGCGGCAAGGGATCATGTGATATCTCACGTGACCAACTGCTATGGATACTGCACACCTTTACTCTGTAGAACTCCAGCAATTATTGTTGTTATCAATTATATCTATGGCACTGGTGCATCTTAGGATCCTATCAAGATTGAGGACCGAGGTACAAGGTGTAGACGAGCCTGACGAGGTGATATGGCGGGGTATACTGCATCAATGGTACCTGCGATGCGCCGTATATCAGTGCATATCAGCTGCGGAGTTAATCCCCCACTTAACTACTCTCTTCCACCTCCAATACCTTGATCTTGTGATGTCCAACCTCATCGAAACGATAGCCTTCTATTGTTTATTTAAGCCTCCGTTCACAACATCAGGCGTTTATACGTCGTCACCTTCTTCCCTGCTCGTGTTTCACCGTATCGTGGGGCTTCCACGTTGGTGTCGAGACTAGCTGCCCGCCATCCAGAACCAGACTCATTTCATCCTGCTCCGTATTTCATCATAAACCCGTCTTTACCCTTCATCCCCATCTAACATTGGCTGCACTATGGTTCGTTCCATCTTTGTCGTCTTATATTGGTGCTATTGGTGCTCGCCAGAACCTAGTCGCGAGCATCATAACTACTTCTGATGATATATTGGTGATAATCTATGTCCAGCTTGCTTGCATCTGCCTGTGAATGATGATGGCCTATTCACCTATATCTAGAGTACGTTAGTAGTTAATGCTCTACTTATATATTATTCTGACTATCCAGCCGCCTAGTCGTATATCCTAGACATTCCATCTCTTATTCTTTCTTTTTCCCGAGAAACCAACTTCCGCAGAAGTTCGCGAGGCTTTTTATATCACAAAATAAGTCCAAGGATGAGAGGCGAAAGAGACTGCTCAGTTCTCTTGGACAATATACTGGCTTAACGATACCGCCAACCACCTGGGCTTATCTATGGCTATCTTGTACTGAGCAATTAGAAATTTTCGGACATTTATAAATATATCTTTATTCCTATTGATTTTAATAAAATTTTCTTTTGAAATTATAGAATACATCCAAGACAAACTGCACCAGCGCCTTCCAGGGGACCTTTTGATCCGTTGCGCAGCCTCTATATAACTGATATCCGCGGCTCTACCAGAAGCTCATCACTTTTGACAATGCATGGAAATTCATGGCGAAATGTATATCCTCAGATCTATTACTGTCTATCCCTATAAAAATACCTACTGATGATATACAGGGTTGCAAAAAGATCGCAGCCAGTCTATACCGACGACTCGGGTTTGACCCAGATTATCTAAAGCAAAGTGCATTCGATCACATTCTACTTCATATAATTGGTTGCGACACTACTGCACAAAATCTGCAACAACAACTCATTAAAGATAGATTTATCGATGTCTTTACCTTCGCCTGCAACAGAGGCTAGAGAATCCATCTGGATCTCCGCAATCTTCGCAGAAATCTGCTTCTAGCGGAGGCCCTACAAAGAGAAAGTTGGATGAATTACAACAGAGTAGCCCTAAGTACCGTTCCGGCAAAGTTCAAGATATGGTAAGTCCTTTCATAAACCTTGGTGGTAGAATAGTTCAGCACCTCATATTCAGTTACAGTGTGAGGAAAGAGACAAGAGCCGGTGTGTCTTGACAGGAGAATATACACACGATATCGGCCATATTTATCCTTGGTCCTTACGCCATCATTCCATAACTGAACTTGCAGAGTTTTAAATCGCCAATCCCTATGGTTTCACCACATCTTCCTTGACCTTTTACCACTACTTAACACAGTGCCCTTACTTCGCAAAGGTTCGCAAAAACGTCTTCTGTTCGCTTTTGCTCTCTGTTCAGGAAAAAGACAGCCATGGCCCAAACGGAAACCGTCCTTGTAGGATTTAACGGTCGAATCAATTTAAGAAGAGCATGCGAGTATTCCGCTGAAGAGGTATGGAAATTAGCCATGGCCTTTATAATATATCTAGGGCTTTCTAATTTAAAAATAGATCCTTACAGTTTTAGCTGCCATGCCTGCCGGCCCTGTAAGATACGGGGCCGCAGCTCAAGACGTACATCTTGCAGAGTTTTTGGTCAAGAAGTCTGTCGATACATAGCATTCAGCGGGATCTCCCGAAGGGTTATCTGATATCGAGGCGATTCTGTTACCTCATTCGCTCGATCAAAATTGATACACCTGATCGAAGCGAGATTGAAGGCAGTCACTCCGTGTCATCTCAGTAAATCGTTTCTGAGGGCATGCCTATTTCAACGGGTCTTCTGGTATATAGATATCTGTTATAACCTCTTATGCTAATCCCCTAGTGCACATTGGTGCCATAATTATAGGTATTTTGCTCTGAAACCTATGGCAATATCGGAAGATCAGAAGTGTCTTATAGTCAGATTTTTCTAACTTCTCTACAAACAAAGAAGAATCAGACGAGTGGACCTGGATCAGTGGGCAGTCGATGACGGAAAGAGATGTGGAGGAAGTGCTACACTGGTTGAAGCCAAGGAAGCTCCGTGAGATCTGTGAGCCCCATGTGCGCCTTTTGGCTGGAATCATAGGGGTAAGGGAAGATGTGCAAGTCGGAGACGCCAGAGAGGTCTTAAAGGCGGCGAATAAGACAATGCTGGCTGTAGTGAAACAGCAGATGAAGACCTTCTTTAGAGTCGCGGAACGCCCGTCGTTCACATTGTTGGAAGAGCAGCCTCATCACCTCGTTGCGACCCGCCCTTATTAAAGGGCCAGGACCAAGGGCCAGGGTATGCCCAGTCGTGGAACCATGAGACTACTAAGCTTCTCAAATCAGGAGATGAGATCTTGATAACAACGGAAGACCCAGAGACCTGCTCCCTTCCCAGTTGGGATCTCTTAGATATGCAATGGCTTCTCAATAGGTTGCAGCAATCTGTGGAGCCGCAGATGTTAAATATGACTATAAGAGCAGTGAAGACAATGATTGCGGTGGTAACGACCAGTTTTCAGCGAAGGGGGGAGGATTTGATATTGTTTCTTCAGCAGAGCGATCGCCGGAGCAATCGTCGCACCTGTCTCCATCCCGTCCCTTCCTCTTTGTGTCCATCTCCCCATGGCCACCAGAAGACCGTACTTACGAGCCTCGATGCTGCTGATCAAGGCACCGGATCTGATATATATGCCTCTCAATTGTCCAAGATTGAGTTCATAGAGCACCCTTTGTGCCCATCTTGTCAGGTAGAACCTGCTGTGCGCCAGGGACGACCACCTTTGAGAGACTGGCTTTGGGTTGATTTATTCTTAGATACGAGAGCGGTATACTATATCTTAGTCAACATCAGCTAGTTGATCCCTCACACTTGATTTACACTCGGTTAAGGATTAGTTAGATCGACACACGTTTGGCCAGGAGCACCATGAGAGAAGCTGGACGTAACCCGCCATGTGGGACCTGCACTCAAGCAGGGAAAGGCAAAGGCAAGTTAAACCCCGTTTTTAGTAATCACCATTGGTTTTTGAGTGGTTATTATTAACTGGTTCTGAATCGATCAGATTGCTGTTCCAGCAGGGCCAAGAATTGTGAATTTTGGGAGCTCTACTTCACAAGCGATGAAGAAGGGGCTCCAGAGATGGTCCTTCTCGACTATCAATTCCAAAATGGTTTTTCGAGTCGTGTTGCTGAACCGACCGATAGATATCTTATTCGACGAGTGGTTAATCAAGACATCACCTCAATTCGCCCTCTTAGATATACCATCATTCATCTTACCCCCACCAGGTCTGTCCTCGACTAGAGAAGACCTCGACAGTTCTGAGGAAATTCCACAAGTTCGGTTTCGAGGAACGCTGCAGAGTTTCGCAGGGCTGAGTCTGATTGATGCTCTTGTGGTTAGATCTTGGTTTCCAAATGATCTCTATCTGGTTTTGTGGTTCCTATGGTTTTTATCTGGTTTTTAAGTGGTTTCTAGTGCTTGCCATATAGTTTTATGTGGTTCCTGAATGGTTTTCATGTGATTCTTAAATGGTTCCTCTGTCCTTTGGGCTTTCCTGGGGATCTTTTTTATTTATTAGCTGGTTCGGAATCAATTAGATTGTTGTTCGGACAGTGCCACCAATTGCGAATTTTTAACTCTCTATTTTGCCAGTGATGAGGACAATGATGAGAACTGATTCCCAACTGGTTATTATGTGCTTTATGGCTTTGTCGGGGAGATACCCCTTGGGATCTTTATTAACTAGATAGCATTCAATTCGATCAGTCTCAAATCAATAGAGGATTTTAGCAAAGCCCCACGGGGGACTACAACATAAGGGATTTTCCTCATTGAGACACCCTTAGCAATTATAAAAGGTAGGCGGTCTGATTAGCGTATTTTTTAGTCTTGTATTACGATCCAGGTGGCTCGTAGTACGAGCCACCTGGCTCAAGTCCAACTCGCCCTAATTAGGTAAAGCGCGGCACATCCCGACATCACACAAATAACACTTGTTTGAAATTGTTGCTTATTAATATTTATACTGTATTTAGGTTACTGTATTTAAAATCATGTGACATCCCAATTAAGACTTTCTGCCCGCAGAATTCTTATGTTGTAGTCCCCTGTGGGGCGACTGCTAAAATCCTCTAATCTCGATGCAGTTTACAACAAACAAATCATATAACCTTCAATTTACCGTAGCTTAGTACCTTCTTCCACTTGCTATACCATAGACTTGTCCTATGTTGTCAGTCTTACTCTCCAAAAATTTACTGAATATTCAACTATAATAGATCAATGATTTTTCTCGTTTTCTCTTTCAATCTTCAAAAGGAAAAAAAGCATCAAATGATTTCAGAATTGGAAATGTCAAAGACTTTGCCGATTATTACTGTATTAGGTTAGTAATCCCGTTTAGGACATCCGTTAGAGTCTCAATACTACAACTACTACTAGAGTCGCAGACCGCCGACCATAGTCCGATATCTTAGCCGCTACACTTCTCTGTCCGCGATCGCTTCCCGCTAGGTTATGCCTTCATCCCAGACCGATAGCATATCGGTGCTATCCTCATCCCAGACCGATAGCACATCGATGCTATCCTTGCCTGGGACGCCGGGCTCTTCCTGGGCCAGATATCGCGAGAGATTCAAGCTGCTATTCCACGGTGCAGACCCCAGGGTGTGCATTGCATTCTGGTTGTTTGGTGAGTCCGACTCCCTGGTCGCGTGTGCTTCGTCACCGATTGCTGCATCAGATCAGCACAAGTAGACAGATGCTAATTGTTGAATCGTGGATGAACAATAGGCCTGATAAATAATGTTCTCTACGTGATTATCCTTTCTGCGGCGTTGGACCTTGTCGGTCCCAACGTCCCCAAGGGCGTAGTGCTTCTCGCAGATGTCATTCCGTCGTTTGGGACGAAGCTGATAGCGCCGTATTTCATACATGTCGTCCCATACCCGGTGCGGATCGTGATCTTCGTCGGGCTCTCTGCCGTGGGTATGCTCCTGATCGCGTTGACCCCTGCCTACACGGACGGAGGGACGATCACGACCAAACTGGCGGGCGTCATCTTGGCCAGCTTATCGAGCGGTGGTGGAGAGCTGAGCTTTCTCGGATTGACACATTTCTATGGTCCATTCAGTCTTGCGGCATGGGGAAGTGGTACGGGTGCAGCAGGCCTGGTCGGTGCTGGGGCATATGCGCTTGCGACGACATCGCTAGGTTTCAGCGTCAAGGCTACTATCTTGGCCTCGGCATGTCTCCCTGCGGTTATGGTGATGAGTTTCTTTGCAATATTGCCTCGAGACCCTCTGCGTTACGCACCCAAAGCTGGTCATGACTACCAGGCCGTATCGGTGAGAGATAACGAAGCTGAGGAGAGGGATATAGGCGAAGAGGATGCGCCTGCCAGTTACCAGGAACATGACGGACTTCTGGGATCGCCTGGTGGACATCCAAAGCCGGTTGTGGTGACGGGCGGTGCATCGTCTGGATGGATCCGCTTCCAGGCCAATCTCAAACGAGTCAAGAGTCTGTTCTTTCCATTGTGAGTATATACACTGTCCTTGTGTGGTTGGTGTATTCTGCTAACATGTTTACAGTATGCTTCCATTGCTACTTGTTTATATTGCCGAATATACTATCAACCAGGGAGTCTCTCCCACACTTCTCTTTCCTCTAGACAAGTCCCCGTTCAAGCACTACCGCGCCTTTTACCCTGCGTACAATGCCATCTACCAGGTTGGTGTCTTCATCTCTCGATCGTCGACACCCTTCCTCCGGGTCCACAATCTATACCTTCCATCGCTTTTGCAAGTTGCTAACCTGACGCTGCTCACGCTGCACTCCCTGTTCAACTTTATCCCCAGCGTGTACCTCATCTTCGTGATCATCTTCTGGGAAGGACTACTGGGAGGACTGGTGTATGTCAATACGTTCGCGGAAATCAGCGACCGCGTACCTAAGGAAGACCGTGAATTCTCTCTTGGGGCGACCACGGTGAGTGACTCGGGTGGTATCTGCATCGCAGGTTTCCTGGGCATGATCTTCGAGGTCTGGCTGTGCGACTGGCAGGTGCAACATGGCAGGAACTACTGCAAGAAGATATAGGATTCCATTCCATAGATCAATTGGGTCCGACCATAACGTACATGCTAGTTAGATTCGATTCGCCGACCGTATTTACCCAAACCTTTCCGCCTCCACCTGCCTTTCTCTCTTCTCCCTCCATTTCCTCTCATGACACGCGTGTGGAGACAGTGGAGATATTGCCCACGAGATCCTAATGAGCTGATGATTTATGATGATGGACATGGAGACACCTGCCTGGCCATTCTGATACTATTCAAGTTGCCCGGATGAACTCCGGATCAAATATATTTTTGGCGCTTCCCCGGAAGATGCCTGTTTGGGGTTAGCCGGTCAGCCCTAAGTATGGTATGGTACGCTCTCCACGTGATGATTCACATGCTTGGGCTTTCACATGCAATTTCCTGGTTGCTTTCGGTTAGACAAGGAGCGACAAGTAATTATGCCATCTCACGTTCATTATGTTCACCTTCACCTTCACTTGCTATCTGTTATTATTCCCTCTGGTTGACAGTTGCTGCTGTCCACGTGTACGCTTTTCATTCAGGTTACAACAGGAAGTGCAATTTGTTTCAGTTTAGCATCTTCTTTACCACTGTTATACTTCCAACCTCTGTTTCCCGACTGTTCTGTCAGCTCATATAGCATGGCGTTGTCTGCAGTCCTCAATAACTCTCTAGACTTATGATTATCAGGCCTGGGACCTGTTTACGACGAACATATTATTGACAATCTCATTTCAGCTTTCCACTCTTACTTCATTTACATGGTAGAGAAGTGTATACATTGTTCTTTCACTTCCCTACTTTTGTTGACCAAGACTTTGGTGGAGTGTGGTGAAGATGATCGGTACGTGCCACTCTGTCTTGTCAGTAAATATGGATATCTGGTTGATTCTGACACTCCTCTAGACCACGTGTTGGGTAGACCGTCTACTCAGTTTCGAAAAATCCAGGTCTTGGCGGTTGTTTCGTTTTGGTCATTCTATCTTTATAAGTATGGGCCTCATGTTCATTTCTCCGAGAATAATCGACTAACACGCCGCCAATTTAGGGGTAATAAACATGGGCCCCCTGGTCTTCGATCGATTTCCGCCAGGCTAGGATCCTTGACACCCTGGCGGACGATGGTCCTCACACTCCTTTATCTCTACGTCTCGAGGAACTTCGCCAAGCTTGTTGGCCTGGAATGCCCCGAACCTTTGGCCAACCTGTATTCTCGTTCGTACTTCCGCGCAACATGGATCACGACGGGACTGGACGCTGGGTTCTGGACTGCCATGAAGATCAAGCCAAAGTGGCTTCGGGATATTGCATCACTGGTGTTTACGGTATACTACCTAATTGCCGCGGAGCAGGCGGATGAGAAAGTTCGAAGGGTGAGGGCGACTCTGACAGTAGATCATATGCGCGTAGCCTGGAACAAGGCCACCACGCCGTGTCTGTCTGTTCTGTCGAACTTGATGCGTCCTCGTTTTACGAAATACCCTCCTCGCGCAATACGCATTCCTCGTCCTAGGGACTCATCCTACAAGGAACCAGTCAATGCATGGCTTTACTTTGATGGACCGCTAAGTGCTTTGCGGAGCCAGAAACAGATTGTTCTGGATATACCTGGAGGTGGATTTGTTGCAATGAACCCCCGGACAGCTGATGATAAGCTTTTGGCCTGGGCGGGGAGGCTGGGGTTACCGATCCTCAGCCTTGATTATAAGAAAGCACCCGAGTACCCGTACCCATATGCATTGAATGAGTGCTATGATGTTTACCACATGATTGTGATGACCCGCGGACGCTGTTTAGGGCTCAGCGGTGCTACGCGGCCCCGTATTGTTGTCACTGGGGATAGTGCAGGCGGCAATCTGGCGACAGGCTTAACCTTGATGATACTGCAGTCCGGCAGCACGGACACTCGCAGATGGCAAGGAGAAGAAGTCCTTCAGCCTCCAGATGGTCTGGTGCTGATATACCCTGCGCTCGATATGAATGCAGGGACCTGGATGAGCGAAGAACAAATGGCATTGATACGGGACAGGAGCACTCAAAAACGGAATGAGAATATCCTTCGGAGGAAGACCGAAGACTACGAACGGCTCACCCCAGCAACCACACCTCATCAGTCAGATGAGGAAATACGCGAAATCCCTCCCATCCGCGATTACTTCGAACACAAGGCCTCCGGCCATGCAGATGGTCCATCCAAGATATTGTCTGATGAGTCAAGACCAAAAGACATCGAATCGCAAGCTTTGGCTGCAGCCGACAACCAGCCTACCCAAATCAGAACCCGTCTGGCTGTCTCGTCAATGATATCCTACTTTAACGACCGAATCCTCACGCCAGAGATGATGCGAGCAATGATCATCCTGTATATCGGCCCCTATAATCGTCCTGACTTCAGCACGGACTTCCTACTTTCTCCCGTCCTCGCATCGGAGACTCTGCTCGCTCGATTCCCAAAGACATATTTCCTGACAGGCGAGCGTGATCCTTTGGTAGACGACACAGTCATATTCGCCGGCCGACTCAGACAAGCCAAACTGCACCGATTCAGGGAACGACAGGAATTGGGCCTGGAAAAATCCCACGCAGAATTCAACGAAAAGGACCACGTCGAAGTGAGCCTTATTCCCGGTATCTCCCACGGATTCCTTCAATTCGCCCTCTTCTTCCCTGATGGCTGGAAGCACATCAACCGATGCGCGAAATGGATACAGGACATCTTCGACATGGCAGAAGAGAAAGAACAGAAACAATCCGCCATCAGCCTGCGTTCTCTCTGTTCGAGGTCCGGTAGTCTTCGTGGAAACTCTTCATCAAAGTTTGAGCCAGGCCCAACTTCAGAGGACAGCACACCTCGTCACCACCGACGAACCCTAACCGGTGATTCTTCCGCTGACGAGGATCGACCTCTCGAGATCAAAGTCGGCAAATTCACTCCCATCACCCAATCAGACGGCTCCGCTAGCGGAAGCAAATCTTCTCTATCCAACTTCACATCGGATGTCAAAGAGAATTCGCGCACACCAAGCACAAGCACAAGCACCAACGGCGTGAAACGCAATAGCATCTCTCTCGAGAAAAATAACAACAAAAACACCACCAACAACAATAGAAGCAAGACACCCCAAGTCGGAGCAGGAGCAGGAGCAGATCAGCCTCGTGACAGACCGACCATGACAGCCCGTGATAAAGCACGCTCGTTCTCACTATCCCTGGCTCTGTCCTCGAAAGGTGAGTCGGATCGTATAGATAGCCTACAGACCTCGATCAAGAGGGACAAGAGCCTGGTCAGTCTGCCTAGCGAAGAGGATCTTCTGGGTCGGCGAATGAGTGGATTGGCAGGGGGTTTGTCTGGTGTCGGAGAAGAGGCTAGGACGCCTTAAGTAATCCGGATCTTGGAAGGGTGGTCGATTAGAGGTTGTGTTTTCCTTCTGCTAGCCAGTTGGATACCATCTGATTTGTTCCATGGATTCTGTTCTAGATATGTATCGTCTTCATGATAGGCCATACTCTCTAGGTACCTGGTAGATAGATATGCATATAAACTGCTAGCTATTGAATCCAATTACTAGACTCACCCAGAATGTTTATTGAACATTTACAAAAGTCCCAAATACGAAATATTGTCGACATTCATCCGAAAAAAAGGGGATGAGAAGAGTAATACGACTCGCTTTCTCTCCATATCCAGATTCTTTGATCATATTGTCTATGATAATCCAAGATTGTAGAAAAGTCGCGAGTGAATACAAGCTCGACATAACATAACATCGTTATTGCAACGCCACGCATCGTATCACATCACATGATGATCCAACTCAAATGAGAAAAAGGAAAAAAGGTATAATTCTACTCTTTTTTTTGTCCCACTCAGACACCAAAAAAATGAATAAAAAATAAAACAGGATAGTATGATATGGATGGACGATATAAATTCTAAATTCGAGACATTTTTTGTTTATTTCTTGGCAATAATTTCGATCGACTGCTCCAGGATGTTGAGAGCGGTCTTGATCTGTTCTTCCGTAATGGTCAAGGCGGGGACGAAGCGAAGACAACCATTTCCAGCCGTGATGATGAGCATGCCTCTCTCGCGCGCAGCGGTGATCAGGTCAGAAGCCTTGGGGATATAGGCTTCGGAGAGCTGGACACCGAGGATGAGACCGCGGCCGCGGACGTCGGAGATGATCTCGGGGTATTTCTCCTGAAGGGACTTGAAGCCGGATGTGAAGAGGGCGGATTTGGCTTCGACGGATTTTTGGAGGTCAGGGGATGCGAGGCGCTCGACGATGTGGTGGGCGACGCGGCTGGCGAGAGGGTTGCCGCCGAAGGTGGTGCCATGGTCGCCGGTCTTGATGTACTGGCCGACAGCCTTCTCGGAGACGATGGTAGCGCCGATGGGGAAGCCGTTGCCCAGGGCCTTTGCGGTGGTGAGGATGTCAGGGTGAGCGGCCTTGCCGGTGGAGGGGGCGAGGGAAGGGTGGCCGTGAGCCCAGAAGCTGCCTGTGCGAGAGAGACCACACTGGATCTCGTCGAAGATCAGAACCGCGCCGACGGCATCGCAGCGTTCGCGGAGAGCAACGAGGAACTCTGGAGTAGCGCTGTGAACACCGCCCTCTCCCTGGATGGGCTCGACAATAACACCGCATGTCTTGTCCGTGATAAGGGTCTGGAGCTGTTCGACGTCGTTGAAGTTGCCGTACTTGAATCCGGGAACCATTGGTGAAAAGGGAGCCTGGTACTTGGGGTTCGGGGTGGCAGAGAGCGCGCCCATCGTACGTCCATGGAAGGAGTTATGGAAAGAAACGAATTCATGCTTCGCGCCTGAAGGGTCCAGGGTATGTCCGACCTTGCGTGCGAACTTGATGGCAGCTTCGTTGGCCTCTGTACCGGAGTTGCAGACGAAGACCTGGGAGGCATCCCGCATGGCACCGGACTCGATGGTCTTCTCAATAAGCAGCTTGCTGAGGGCTCCGGTCCACGGGTTGTGATATAGGTTGGAGGCATGGATGAGGGTTTCGGCCTAAAATAAGGGCATTGTAAATATCACTATTCTCATGTATTGATAAGGAGCATCATATATTGCATACCTGCTCCGCAATGATCTTTGCAATCTCCTGGTCACAATGACCCAGGGAGTTGACAGCAATTCCCGAGGTCAGGTCCAGATATCGCCGGTTTTCCATATCCCACAGATACGAACCCTGTCCCTTGACCATCACAGGGTGTGGACGGACGTAAGTCGTCACCATAAAAGGCGCCTTTTCATTGATGAAAGCCACGGTTGGCGAATCGGCCGTAGGGTCTGGGTTCTTGGGTCCCTGCGCAGTGTTAGCAGCTGACCAACAGCAACGAAGACGTAGTCAACAGATCCATACAGACTGAGCAGCCTTCGAGGCCGTCGAAGCAAAAGAACGGCGCAGCGGTGCCACAAGACCAGGAGCTCTCTTCGCGGACAGTGCCGCAGCGGCGAACCGCATGGATGACACACGCGAGGCCATTGTAAAAATCCAGGGAGGAATTTGGAAAAGAGACACTCCAGCAATTGGCCTGTCAGAGAACCCTGGATCAACAAAATAGCAGAAGTCTGCTATCTCAGTGGGATAAGAATTGTCCGCCGAGAGAAAAAGAAAAGAATGACTGAATGGATGAATGACTCGCCGCGCAGAAAAGCCCGGAGAAGCGCCGCGATATCGGGCCGCTTATCGACGCCGGCGAGCTACTAAGTAAGTTAACTCCTACAACGCCCGGCTCTGAATCATCCATCAACAACTCCCCTGCCCACTCATACTTCTTTCTCGAGTGCTACCCTCCAGACTCAACAAGATGGCATCTTTCCTATCACTACCTCGAGCCATGGCTCCTTTCCGACAGATCCCCCGTGCATCATCTCAGCCTCTGCGCGCTCTCTCAACATCCTCTCCCCTCCGCGCAGATGGCAAACTGAACCCCTTCGCGCGACCTGCTGCACCGCCCAGACTCCCGAAGGAGGAACAAGAGATCTTCGAAGAGCTCCAAAGACAATCAACCGGCGCATTCAGCACGCCTCGAACGCCACCAAAGGTCAACCAGTCTCCCAACTCTGCCGCAGCATCCGACGCTGCACCCGCAGCACGGATCGACGCATCTGGAGATGGCGAAGAGCTACATCCGAACTTGCGGATGGGTGCCCAACCCGAATTCGAGGGAGAGAAGAACCCCAAGACAGGAGAGATTGGCGGGCCTAAGACTGAGCCGTTGCGGTGGGGTGGCGATGGCGACTGGAGTTATAACGGACGGGTTACGGATTTCTAGAGATCGCGCTATCCCAGACGGACTATAGATAATGTGATATGATAGGGGGTCATCTGACTGATTCGTGGTGGAATATTATATTGCGTGTGAAGGTGGTCTCCGTGTCTGCGACTCTCTCTACGCAGCGGAAATGGCTCCTATAACCACCGACCATTGCTGCAGTGATATGGAACGAACTTCAAGATGGAGAGGGACGATCTTCTACACAAGGTGATAATGGACAATGGCCGTACATATTCACCACTCAACGGTTCGGAACAGAAGGGGCCCATCTCGAACCTATAGAATGTACACTATTCAATCAACGTTTATAATTGCAACGTCGTATTGCTTGTTTCTTAAGAATATGCCATTTTTCATAATGCGTAGACGAGGGCTATATACATAAACAAAATAAGTATACAGGCAGACAGGAACAGTGAACGCCCGAAATGCGTGCTCCAAGAGCAAGAGGCCAAACAAGCCTTTCCCTTCAATTCTGACTAGGGCTCTGAGCAACTAGGCCTGGGCCTCTTGCTCCTGCAGCCGTGACAGAATCGCCTTGCCCGCTCGGCTACCATTAGCTCGACCCAGTTCCTTGGAGATCCAGTCGCCAATTCTACACATTTCTTCCAGGTTGATGCCTGTATGCATGCCTAGACTGCCGAGAGTATAGACAAGATCCTCCGTCGCCACGTTTCCAGTGGCACCCTTAGAGTAAGGGCACCCGCCAAGTCCTCCAACACTGCTGTCAAAGGTCCTGATACCATGCTCGAGCGCAATCATTGTGTTCACGAGCGCCTGGCCATAGGTGTCGTGGAAGTGAAGCGCGAGGTCACTATTCGCGATGCCAGCCGCACTGAGCGTTCGCAGGAGTTCAAGGGTCCGTGGTGCGGTGCCCATGCCCGTGGTGTCAGCAACAGAAACCTCATCTGCTCCCATCTCGAGCAGCGTCGCTGTGATCTCCGCTACTTTGGAAGGTGGCACATCTGGGCCTTCGTATGGACAGCCCAGGGCAACCGAGACGTATCCACGCACCCGGATATTCTTCGTCTTTGCTAGCGCAACGATCGGACGAACTCGCTCCAGGGACTCTGCAATGGAGCAATTCGTGTTTGCCTTGGAGAAAGCCTCTGTAGCTGCCGCGAACAGAGAAATCTCTGTCGTAATAGGCGGCTTTTCAGCAGTCCCAGGAATCTGGGCCGACGCGCCTTCAGCCTCCATAACTTTGACCAGGTTCTCCAGTCCCTTGATATTGGGAACAAGGTAGTTGTACGCGATCTCGTTCTTAGCTTGCGGTGGAGACTTGATGATATGTTGCAATATCTCTGAAGTGCTTGCCATCTGCACACGAGGTTAACTGTGTTAGGTGTTTGCTACATCATGGAAATGGATAGAACATCTGGAGTCAATATGCTGGAGCGAGGCATCGGAAGCACCGCACCTGTGGCACCCATTTCGCCGGCACGAAAGAGCCAGCCTCTATTGTAGTGACTCCAGTCTTGGCTAGCTTCTCAATCAGCTGGATCTTCGTCTCCAGAGGAATCGATGTCTTTTCGTTCTGTAGCCCGTCGCGCGCTCCGACTTCGACGATGCGAACATGGTTCGACGTCAGCCGTGGCTCTGTCGAATAACAACGGATGGGAGCTGCCTTCCGAAGGACAGAAGAAAGACGTAGTCTAGGCCTCAGAGAAAGCATCCTGGCAGATCAGTGTACAAGTGAGCAAGTAAAGGTCGTGCAATGCATCAAATACATAATCCGGGGTCTCGAGAGCAAGAGGGGAAGCTGTCCCTGGGAGGGGAGCTCCGGATCGGTCTAATTATAATGATACAGTACTTAGTTTAGTTCCAGATGATGCCGAGAGATGCGGAGAGGAACGAAACCAAGAGAGACCCCGAGGTCCCCCACTTTCTACTTAGTTTATCTAACCGCCACTTCGCCTTAGTCAGATTGCATATTTCCCAATTTTAATTTATTCTTCTTATTGTTCGATGTCTGCCAAACGATGACTGGAGAAAACCACACAGATATCGCACCGGAAAAAATGGAAGACAACACTCCTGCCGTGCAGCCTGTCAGTCAGACTCGTCAGCCAAAAAAGAGATTCGTTGGGCGACGGACAGCAGATGCTCAGGCCCAGAAAGATGGCTCGGCGGTGCAGGAGGGGGGATCAACGGCTGTCGAGAAAGGTCAGTATAACCCCTCATGAGCAATATTGGACTTTTTTTTTTATGCTGACATCTATACAGCCGCTCCTCGAAGGATTCCTCGAACTCTGAACCAAGTCCCTCCCGAAATTCTGGAAGATCCTGATATTCAAGCCGCCATTGCGCTGCTTCCGAAAAACTACTCCTTCGAGATCCCGAAGACGATTCACCGGATACGCACATTGGGAGCGAAGCGAGTGGCACTACAATTCCCAGAGGGACTTCTTCTCTTCGCGACAACCATCTCGGATATCTTGACGCAATTTTGTCCGGGCACGGAAACGCTCATCATGGGAGATGTCACCTACGGCGCCTGCTGCATTGACGACTACACTGCTCGCGCTCTGGGATGTGACTTGCTGGTCCACTACGCTCATAGCTGCCTGATTCCCGTGGATGTCACAACGATTAAGACCCTCTATATCTTCGTCGACATCAGCATTGACACCTCGCATCTGATCGCGACCCTCGAACGAAACTTCCAGCCGGGCAAGACGATCGCTACCGTCGGTACCATCCAATTCAATGCTACGCTGCATGGTCTCAAACCCGTCCTCGAACGAGCTGGATTCAAAGTCCTCATCCCTCAGATCACGCCTCTCTCCAAGGGTGAGATTCTCGGCTGTACTTCTCCCCAGCTGTCGGAAAACGAGGTCGACATCCTTCTCTACCTAGGTGACGGTCGCTTCCACCTCGAGTCAGCCATGATTCACAACCCCTCCATCCCCGCATATCGGTACGACCCTTACTCCCGGACCCTGTCCCGTGAGACCTACGAGCACGAGGAGATGCAAACCCTGCGCCGTGACGCGATCAACACCGCGAAATCCGCCAAGAAGTGGGGAATCATCCTGGGCTCCCTGGGACGTCAAGGAAACCCAAACACCATGGCTATGATTGAGAACCATCTCAATGAACGCGGAATCCCCTTTGTGAACTTGCTGCTCAGTGAGATCTTCCCGGGCAAACTCGCCTCCATGTCCGATGTCGAGTGCTGGGTGCAGATCGCCTGTCCCAGACTGAGTATCGATTGGGGTTATGCGTTCTCACGACCGTTGCTGACTCCCTATGAAGCGCTGGTTGCGCTGGGCGGAAGAGAGCATTGGGATAATACCGGGAAGGGCGTGTATCCTATGGACTTTTACGCCAAGGAGGGACTCGGTAGGACGAGACTCCAGCAGACGATACGTGGCTCTGCATGAGGGACTGGGCGGACATGTCATGTTGCTTTTGACCGACTTTGCTACTCGACAACCGACATTTTTGAAAATGTCTCTTTGCATGTGAATGAGGCTTACAGTCCTGGATACAACCCTAAGAATGTTACACGAGATCGTACCCATCTACCCGGGTGTCATACGGACGGTGAACATAAGGAGTCAAGCTAGTGCTCCTTCTTCTGATCTCCAGCAAAAGCGAAAAAGAAAGGAAAGGCGATGTTGCCAAAAAAAATATTGTGGAGGGCGTGCACGCCGAGGACCCCTTTTTTGTCTTCATTTCATAAAAGGCCCCAAGGATCTGCTACTCTATCAAAAATACAAGACGCCCACAATTACGAGGGCAGAAGAAAGTCATCAACCCTTGGTCTCGTCACTACTATCCATGTTAACATCACTCCCCCGTCTTAGTGTGAGGATGCTTTTGTTTGCCACCTCCTCTGCTGTCCTTTCAGCGGCACGCCATCCCGTTACCGCCTTTTCCACCTCGTCGCACATCTCACGGGTATCATGAATGATGCCGCCCTCCTCTGCTTCTGAGAACTGGGTGCTCTCTCTCGAATTGCTATCCGTGATCATGGGGAAGGCTGGTCCAAAGCTGCGCTCAGGCGTCGGGTTGAACATGATAGCGTTGGCGAACATCCGGATCAGCTCCTTCTCCAACTGGGCCGAGTTCACAATACCCCTGGGTGGAATTAGATCTGCTGTCTTTTGCAGCATCAGCACCGTGTTCTTGGACGGAGTCGTGACGCCCGGCGCTGGGGATTCTCCATCTCCAGCAGGCGTGCTGGCAGCTTCTGTGGCTGCGGCTACAGCTTTGCTTCCTTGGTGGATAGCTGATTTGATCGACTTCAGATCTTGCGGACGATAGATGAGATCCTTGTACCCCGGAGCGTCTCGCTCAGTCAGTGGCTTGGCGAAGATGGAGGCATGCTTGTGAGCTGTGACATCGTTCATGATGGGAGCACCAGTCCTAGGGAAATTACGCGTACACAACACGTACTGCGTGGTGTCCATGCGAATAGGCTCTGGAGGGATGGTATCTGCTTCTATGGATTCACTCGCTCCACGCTTCCGCTTGGCTCTTCCCTTGGCCAGTCCTTCCTCAAGCTGCGCTGCAGTGCCTTTACGCCGGGCGGATGCTTTATTCTCAGTCTCGGTGTCCTCCGAAATGCCTGCAGGAGTGCTTGGCATTTCCTGCTTGATTTTGCGGGTTACGGAGCCCGAGTCGGTCATGGAATCATCATCCCGTGAAGTCACTGATCGTCCACGGCTTCTGGTGGAAGCAGTGCTTTGATCTCGTCTTGCACGTCCTTTCTGCTCTGCCTTGGAACGTGCTCCCCGACCCTCGGCCTCAGGTGGTGGCAGACTGCCCTTTCTACGTCGCTTCTGCGTTTCCTCTTGAGCACCTCTACTCGCTGGTTCAGGACTCCCGAAGGGAGATGGGGCCTTCTCGCTGATTGGGCTCACGTCCTCGGGTCGTGGTCGTACCGGAGAACCTGGTGATCTGGATATGCTCAGACGCGGAGATCTCTTCCAAGGCGTAAGTGAACCTGATGTGTCAATTGACGGGCGTGGTGGCCGCTTGCCAAGTGCAGTGGAGTAAGAGGGAGTCCGGCCCAGCTTGCCAGGTGTTTCATGACCTCCAAGACCGGGGTGAGGAGACTGGCTGACCGGAAGCACAGCTCCTGGTGTCATTGGTCCAGACGGAGGGTATGGACTTTGATGACCTCGTCCCGCAACGGCTGGTGCAATCTGAGGGCCATTCGTTGGCGAAGGCATAGGTGCTCCAGGTACAGGCTGGTTCGGATACGGGTAGTAGACATAGGGAGAGACCTGAGGGTGCTGCGTCTGGAAACCCCGCTGCGGGGTCCATTGCTGGAATTGCTGCTGTGCAACGAGGTGTTGAGGAGCGGAGGAAGGCCCAGGTGCAGCAAGCGTCCTTCGAGCAGCAGCATTTCCAGGTTGGATACCAGGCTGCGTAGGAGTCACTGCGGGACCAGTTCCCTTCGGTGTCGGAATGACAACTTCGGGCCGTGGGTGTGCCTTTGCAGCATCAGCCGCTGGAGTGGCTGGAGGCCGTGGTATCTGGTACGGTTGCAATGGTACTTCGACATTCGCAGCTCGTCTATCCGGAGAAGGCGCTCGATAGCCAAGGTTTGGTGGCTGTGTTGCAGGTACAGAGGGAGCTTTCCCATTGATCGGGTTTGCCTGGGGTGGAAGAGCAGTTGTCATGGGCAGGGCATTTTGACGCGGAGGTTGAGGATGCGCAGGTTTCCCTTGCTGTGGCCCAACAGGCTGTGTAGGGAGTTGTTGTGGCATAGGTAATTTAGCTTGCTCTACCGCTGTCGTCTGGTTTCCCACCGACGGTGTCATAACTCCTTCCGCTGGTCTGTTGGCATTCATCGTAGCAGGCTGCACCGGTTTGGCTTCCTGCTTAATATCTATATCCATAGGCTCTGGCTGTGTTGGTCCAGCTTTGGTTTGTACAGCGGTTGCGGGCGCCTGCACCGGACCCGAGGGAGCCGCCACGGCGGCCGCATCAACCTCTTGGGACTCCTCCTTCTGTAACCGTTCGATTTCATCTCTGATCTCTTTGTATCTCTTCTCTTCACTTCTGATCTCTTTCGTAACGCGTTCCTTGTATCTGGCGTAGAGATGAGAGACCAAATTTGGGATGACTGTAGTATGCGATGTTCCCTCCGTTGGGTTGGTGAGCTTGCGCTTCTTGGGATTAGAGCTTATACTGCCGTCAGGACGGTGGCCGTTCTGATCGGGGAGCGGTGCATCCCCAAGTCCCTCGTGGATCAAGGTGTTGTAGAGCTCTTCCAACGCCTCGGGCGTGAGTCTGGCCGCGTCAAAGGCACCATTCTGGCGGATGAAAGTGTTGTTGCGCAGGACATCCGAAATGGCAGCGAAATTGGAGGGTCGCGTGTCGAGGGCGGCGAGCGACTGGAAGAAGAGGAGCGATTCAAACGGAGTGTAGGCCGACAGCGGAGGCATCCCCCATTGCCCATGCGACCGGCCACCCAGAGTGGGATTCTTGGTGATGGGAGCCACGATGCTGGTGGTGGCCCGAGAAGGGTGTGCAGACGGGCAACGCGACTTCACTGTAAAGCGAGGTGCGCATAGCCTGTCACCATCGCCAAGGGTGAAAGACAAGTCCGACTGCACAGACCAGGTCGAAACGAGTCGAGCTGACTTTTGAGAAGGGTTGGATATTAGTTAACTAGGGGGACTTAGAGTACCGTTGCTGTGCGGGGAGGGCCCAACAGGACGTTTTGGGGGGGGTTCAGCGGTAGTCTATCGATGCCTAGGAAGGCAACGCTGGAGAAATTCACGATCCCCGCTGGCAGGGTGATGGACGAGCGTTGTCGAGACGAGTCGAGTCGAGATGGGCTGCTTTTTCGACATGAATCTCGTTGAGCTCGATCTGGCATCATCGCGAGGGGAAAAATTGCACGGCGAATGGCATCTGGAGTCACGTGCGCTCCCGGTCCACCGATCGACAAGTCTCTAAGGAGTCTAAAGACAGTCTAGGAGTCTAGGGACGCTCTAGAGACCGTCTAGGGAACTCTAGGGAGCTCTTGACTCTCGTCGTGCCCGCCCAGATGTTGCCCAGTCACCAGTGGCCCCCGTTGCCTAGACGCTCCCTTGTTGCGACCGTCATGGCATGGCATCGAGGTAAGTTATGTGCTAGTGATTATTATTCTTATGATTATTTACATGAAACAACATCTTGCTCACCAGGTAAACAGCAACTGCATCGCTGCGTCCACGAAAAGCGGGCATGTCTCCCCCATTCCGTATCTACGACCAGGTAGACTACTACCTAGATACTGGTCTAGATATCTACTCTAACTAATAATAATAATACTAATTAATTAACTCCCCTTTGATCGATGGAGCAGCCTCTCCTCTAGCTCCTCGACGCTGACCCCGTTCTTCGTTGCCATCCTCCCCGCCCTTGCCCATTACCCGCCCGTGCTCGCATCTCAGGGGGCGCCGCACGAGGCTCCTTGACCAGCCCCTTTTATTATTTATCCTCCTCTCCTGATGTTTGATGCGATAGCGCATTGTTTGGCCTGACCCTCCCCAGCTCCAGCAATCTTCCGACGAAGAGGATCCCTTGCAGTGTGGACTGTGGAACAACCGCGCGCCGGCCTCGTTGGTGGAAACCCGATCGTTCGTTGCTGTTGTCGGTCTTTTGGCCCTCCTGCAGCTTCGATCGCTCCCTAATTTCGCTTTGGGCTCCATCCACGGTCCCTGACGGATTCTGAACCTTTCCATCTCCCTGACCGTGCTCTTATCACCGATCTATATAGGCGCTTTTCCCGGCTGTAGGGCGACGGCGAACCCCTCTGCATCTCAACCTCTCTCTTCGTGCATCTGCAGCTTGCTCTCTTTCTCTCTCAGACTTTTGTCACTCCCTCACCATTGGACCCTTTTCGTCCTATAGATTCTCAGCTGGTCCTGGTTTCGACAGGAAATCTATTGCAACCCGTTTGGGGGGGATTGCACGCCAAGATCAGCCCCCGTCTCATCTAGGAGCTTGGCCTCTCTCGACTTTTCGAAACACTGTTTTCCCTTCTCCAAATCAGGTCGCAACTCCCCATTGTGACTGCATAGCAGCTGTTGCTATTGAGAGTTACCTGGGTCTCGTGGGAGACGAGTGACTTATCATACAAGATGTCGGACACGGAGCAGGAATGGAAGCCTAAGGCCCGACCGCAGTCGTTCGTCCAACCCTCCCTCCTTCCTCCAAGTCCCCAATGCAGGTGTTGGGGTATCACAACAGCAGCCTTGTATTGACCCTTCGACAGGACGATGGCACAGGCATTTTCACTGGCACTGGACAGTGCCTTCTCGTTGGACACCGACGTTGATCAACTCGAGATATCAGTGGACCAGAAGTACGTATCCAGCAATGCATTCTGTTGAGAGCATCTATCTCCGATACAACACCCAGCTAGCCATTGTTGGAGAGCAGCACCAGCCCCCCGCACAGGAACCTACCTAGGTCCCCAGAGGAGCTGACCAAAGCCGTCGCAGAAAGCAAATGGTGATGATCCAGAATCGAGAACTGGAGGCTCTCCAGGCTCGCATCCGCGAGGCGGAACAGCGTCTAAAGGCGCGACAGTCCCGCGTTCTGACCCAATCCGATATCAACAAGGCTACGGGCCATTCGCAGAGGGTTGAAGGTGAGGAAAAGACGCACACGTCTCAGTCCCCCCTGTCCTCTCCCATATCGGGCCCCTCGGATGAAGGATCGACGGGCTCAGCGACCTCTGCGGCAACATCCCACGACATGGACGACCCGGGTGATGCTGACTTTGCCATTGATGAAGATCACAAGCAGAAGAACAAGGCAGACGCATCATGATTATCTTCCATACGACCGGGTCTGATTTGAAATGGGATATATAGGGGAAAGGGGGGCGGGATCCTGGGCTTCTTTTTTACGGTACTGTACGCTCTGCAGGACTATCATGGATGGAGTGGGCGGAAGCAAGCCCCTTTGGACCCATCAGGCTACGCCATGTGGGTTGTCCCGGGCAGCTTCACGTCGCTGGCGGCTTTTATGTTATTATCTTGGATGGTGCCGTGACAGTTTGGCTCGTCTCTCATCTGCGTCCCTTGGTGTGTTTACATATACTCGGCACCCTTCTTACATGCTGCATCTTCTCTTAAAAAGCAAGTAAGGAGAGCTAGTTCTGAGGGGACTTTTTCTCTATAGTCCAGCGGCCTGTATGAATGGCCGCCATTCGTTCGCTTTCGTGCGTTCCCGATATACCTAGAAATAATGCTATTTACTATTTACTATTATTACTTATTATTATATGATGGCTGGTTATAGCATGTAGTTAGTTACATGTCAACATTTCTTCCGTCAGCGGGCCTAGATCCCCAGCATTGCTCATTGCTCCCAGGTCTACTGTCGTTGGTGGCGGACGGACCGCGCGCTCCACCCAGCGAGCCTGACGTGGAAGCAAAACAGGACCTGGACAGGCGGACGCTTGGGCACACGAAGGCAAAAAGCGGGCAGAGCAAGAGCCAAAAACCCTGCTTAGGGCGTTCTGATATAGAGCAGGAATCGCCCCAAGCGGGTCTTATCGATAAGCCGGGAACGGTTGGGGTTCCCGCCTCCCCCGCGGCCAGCAAGCCTGGAATCTCCTGGGACAGAGTTGCTGCTGCTGTTTCTTTTCTCTTCCTGATCTTTTTCTGATCTTTTCTCGCGGGGCTCTCACCTTCAGCTTCAGGGAGATCTGTCTCAGATTCTTCTCATTGTCCGGGTTTGCTTGTCTTACGGTTAGTTCTCAGCCCTATCTTCTTAGCGTCACATACTTGCTCAAGCCGTAATGGTCGTCCACGACCGGCACGAGTACCTGACCGCGGAGGAGAAGCGTCTCAAGGAGGATCGGGAGCGGACCAGGTACTGGAAAAAATGGGGTCCCTATGTGGCAGAGAGGCAATGGGCTACAGGTTCGTTTATCTGCCTTTGCTTGACTGATTGCTCTTCTTCGAGAGAGCATCAGTTGGGAGGAGCAAGCTCTTTGGGGGCATCGTTATGCTGATGACCTCATTTTCCGCATTGGAACAGTCCGCGAGGATTATTCGTAAGTCTTTACTACTTTCCTTTGTTTTCTTATCCACCATTGTCATGCCCAAACATGATTGTCAGCGTCCACTAACCCTTGGTAGGGAGGATGGTGATGCATGGAGTCGTAAGTTTCTCGTCTACTGCTAGTCCATCGTCGAGGTTTCTTGGGCTGATCGCTTTTCTCCAGACTTCTCACACGAACATGCCCGGTCGAGAACCTACCGCTGGGGTGAGGATGGCATTGCAGGCGTATCAGATACGCATGGACTGCAGAATATTGCCTTTTCCTTCTGGAACGAGAAAGAGCAAGTTTGCCAATTGACTCCTCATAGCAGTGTGCTGCTAACAATTGTTTCCCAGTGACTTTCTCAAGGAACGACTGTTCGGTCTCTCTAACCCTCAGGGAAACCATGGTGAGAGTATCAAGGAGGCTCACTTTCATCTGGACAATACTCCTTCGGTAGGTCTAGCCCAATGCTGTTGGAATGCAGTCAGTGTCTAACGGTCGATCTGCGTGCAGCATTCCTACATGAAATACCTCTACAAGTACCCTCAGAGGAAATTTCCCTACCAGGATCTCATCGATGAGAATGCTCGACGTGGCAGGCAGGATCGTGAGTACCAGATCCTGGATACAGGTGCATTTGATGACAACAGATACTGGGATATCTTCATCGAGACTGCCAAGGAGGGCGATGATGAGGAGGAACTCATGTTTCGCGTCATCGCCTACAACCGCGGTCCTGAGCCAGCGCCACTTCACATCATCCCACAGGTCTGGTTCCGGAACACCTGGGGATGGGGTTATGAGAAAGGACTCGAGAAACCGTCCATCAAGCAGGCTGGCCCCTTGACTGCGGAGTCCAACCATCACAAGCTGGGCACTCGATATGTGCAGTTCTCGCCCTCTCCCGCTGTTGGAGGCGGCGAACAGGATGTGCAGCCTCGGTTCCTGTTCACTGAGAACGAGACCAACAATGAGGTTCTCTGGGGAACAAAGAACGCCCAACCCTATGTCAAGGATGCCTTCCATCGACACATCGTCGATGAAGAGAAGAGGGCGGTCAACCCAGAACAACAAGGAACCAAGTTTGCTGCCTGGTACGCGTTCGACGAGGGCGATGGTGTTCCTCCCGGAGAATGCGCTGTCGTCCGATTCCGTTTCTCGAGAAAGAAGCAAGAGTTTATCAACGAAGAAGTTCTTGACGAAGTATTTGAGCAGCGTATCTCTGAGGCGGACGAATTCTTCTACCGTATCAACCCTCTCCCAGTCTCGGAGGACCTGAGGAACATTCAGAGACAGGCTCTTTCTGGCATGCTCTGGACCAAGCAGTACTACCAATTCATTTGGGACCAGTGGGCTAATGGAGACCCTGGCACAATTCCCCCGCCGCCGGGAAGGAAGAATGTGCGAAACCAGAACTGGAGACATCTATATATCGATGATGTCCTGTCTATGCCTGACTCCTGGGAATATCCGTTCTTTGCCGCATGGGATACTGCCTTCCATTGTATCCCTCTGGCTATGATCGACCCTGAGTTTGCAAAGAAGCAGCTGGACATTCTTACTCGAGAATGGTACATGCACCCGAACGGACAGCTTCCTGCGTACGAATGGAACTTTGGTGATGTTAACCCACCGGTCCATGCGTGGGCTACTTTCAGAGTGTTCAAAATTGAGCGGAAGATGTATGGTCGACAGGACCTTGACTTCCTGGAACGTGTTTTCCAGAAGCTACTCTTGAACTTCACCTGGTGGGTGAACCGAAAGGACTCTGAAGGCAAGAATGTCTTCGAGGGTGGTTTCTTGGGTCTGGACAATATCGGTTTGTTCAACCGGTCCGAGCCCTTGCCTACTGGAGGAGTTCTCGAGCAGGCGGACAGCACCGGTTGGATGGCGTTTTATTGTCTATCCATGCTCAATATTGCTCTAGAACTGGCTAAGCATCGCCGCACCTATGAAGATAGTGAGTGAAATTGCACGCTGTCTGATCGTCGATATGCTGACAGCTCTCTAGTTGCGTCGAAGTTCTTCGAGCACTTCATTCTGATCAGTGATGCAATGACCTTCCGCGCTGGGGAGAAGGAATCCTCCCTCTGGAACGAGGAAGACAAGTGCGTTATCTGATATTCATTTCCGTGGGCGTCACACTAACCAGATATCTAGCTTCTACTATGATGCAATCTCCTATGGTGGTCCCTGGACCCAGCAGTTGCCAATTAGGTCGTTGGTCGGCTTGATCCCACTCTATGCTGTTTCCACCTTGGAGCCGGAGCTGATCAACAAGTTCCCGTCCTTCAAGAGGAGAGTCGAGTGGTTCGTCGAGAACAAGCATGACGTCGCAGAGCGCAACATTGCCAGCATGCAGCGGCGTGGAAAGGATGACAGATTGCTCCTGGCTCTGGTGAGCAAAGACAGACTGGTGAAGATCCTTAAGCGCATGCTCGACGAGACGGAATTCCTGGCGGACCATGGTATCCGTTCCATGTCCAAGTACCACGAGGAACACCCTTATTCGATGGAAGTCAACGGACAGACGTTCAAAGTTGGCTACGTTCCCGGTGACTCGGACAGCGGCCTCTTTGGCGGCAACAGCAACTGGCGTGGTCCAATTTGGTTGTGTGTCAACTTCCTACTTATCGAGTCTCTACTGCGCTTCTACATGTTCTACGGTAACACCCTTCAGATCGAGTGTCCCACCGGCTCTGGAGAGTATATGCATCTAGGCAATGTGGCTGAAGAGATCCAGCATCGTCTTCAGCACTTGTTTGTCAGGAACGACGAGGGCCGCCGAGCCATGAATGGAGGCAGTGACCTCCTGGATTTCGATGAGCACTGGAAGGACTACCTGTGGTTCTTCGAGTTCTTTGACGCGGATACAGGCCGAGGTCTAGGAGCGTCGCACCAATGTGGTTGGACTGGACTGATTGCGAAGATTATCCATGACACTGGGTATGTTTATATTTGATTTTCTGTGTGGCTGTAGGTCAAGCAGTTACTAACCCGTCCCAGAATCAACTGTCGTCTCCCACAGACACCTCGAACTCCATCCACTGCTGCAGCTCACTACTTTGACGATATATTCTCCCGTTCAGCGAAGCCCAATGGTTCCCGTACTCCACGCATCCGTCGGTCTTCCACTAGCCGCTCTATTGGAAATCGGAGCGACTTTGCTACGACCATCAATGGCGATGCACTTAGCACTAACGGCGATGATATTGATGAGGGTGGTCTTGCTGATCAGGCCGCTCGTCAGGAGGCGGAGCAGCATCTCAACAACTACGTCGCGAACCAGTTGGAAAGAGTACGCCGTCGGGAATCCGTGGCCGACTACGAGGACGAGTTCGAGGCGCAGCTAGATGGATCTCCTAACGGACGCTGAACCAACCTACATTGAAGCCCGGAGCAGATGCGTCTCCCACTTCTCAAAATCAGATCCCCGGCCATCAACTAATTGAATCCACCCGCCATAATAACCGCCAGCATAGCTCTTAGCATTCCGTATCCGGTCCTATGATTCACGCTCAAGCCATACACGCGCGCCAAAAGTCAAGCCTTTTAGCACGACTTAATCCGAGTTAATCGAAGCAAGTTACGAGCATAAACAGTCGTCATTATTCTGCTTATCAACATCATGCTTGCCCTTTATTATTCAACCATGGATAGCAAAAAAGGGGATTACAATATTGAAGACTCATAAGGAAAGAAGGCATTGAAATTTAGTTTATCCATCCCATCTGTGTCTCCATTTGTTTATTTCATATTTTATAGCTTATGACATTTTCTTTGCGTTATGGTTTATATGCAACATTCCCTTTCTTTTCCATTTATCCGTTCATTGGGTCTCCCAATCAACTGGCAGGCTTGTTTTTCATCCATGCGTGTATGATACGCTCTCTGAACTCTCCTAACGTAGCGGTGCCGAGATAGCTGATACGATCAATATTCGTGTCAGGCCTTTTCATAACTCAAGTACCTATACAGATATAAATCATAGGCATTTAACAAGAATAGCACCCATTAATTAATAATAATTCCGGCTTCTAACTACAATTCCCTTATATGACTTTGTTTGATATGGTCTTATGAAAGGGGAGTGCCTCCCAAGTTGTTTTGATATACAGTAGCTTTTTCTTTCCTACTGTAGTTTTCTACCGCCTACTGGCTATTCCCATCTTATGTCGAACGCGTAAGTTATTTGAAACTTGTCACTCTCGAAACGTTAGCAGCTTTCTATCTTGATCCTTCTAGCCAACTAACTACACTGTTCCCTCTACGTATTCTATAAATTCCTGGAACCTTATATATACCCCCTCTCTTCTCTCCTAGAGGGAGACAGAATAGTTTTGTCGAGCTGATCGGCCTCGTATTGGAAGTATCTAATTTGAACCAGCTAACGTGCGCAGCTTCTCTACATGACTACAAAAGAAACGGAAAACCGATGGAGTAAACAAAAGGGCTATGTTCTTTTTCTAATTTGACAAAGGGATTCGACAATAGGTAAGATAGTAGAACAGGCACTATATACCTATATCATATGGTACGGAAGTAGGTTCGACTGGCTCAAGTTGGGTTGATCTAAGTAAGGCCAAAGTTTTTCCACGTGATTGAAGGCTTTCATTTCCATGAAACTTGCTGAAGTAGAGAGGGAAAGAAAGGGGAATAGAAAAATGGATTCATTTCTTCCTATACTCCGACAGGTCTCATGGCTGTGGGGGTGTTAAAAAGGGGATCGCGAGGATTGAGTTAATTTACACGGCGTCGGTGAGGGCCTTGTTGAGCTTGGCAATGCGGGAGGAGACGCTGAGGTCGATGGTACGGTCACCAATCTCAACAATGAGGCCTCCGATGACATCGGGGTTGACCTGATGGTGGAAGATGTTAGCTATTTATCAAGTTTTTATATGACGGTTGTGGGCGTAGACGAAGTGGTGCCGCGGAAAAGCTAAGAGGCTACTGACCTTGGTGACAACCTTGAGCTTCTTGCCCTGGCTGAACTCGGACTTGGAAACGGCCTTCTCAATGCGCTGGATGGTCTTGTTGTCGAGCTCCTATAGACATCAATATGATCAGCAAAACAATTCCCCCAAAACAATCAAAACAACATGGATCTCTATTCCCGGACACCAGCAACAAACAAAAAGGGAGTAGTATATGGACACGTACCTGAGCACTGGTGATGCTGAGCTCCATCTCGCCGCGGTGAGCGCTCATGAGGGTCGCGAACTTGTCGCAGACACCCTCAAGGGCACCCAGACGGTTGTTCTCGGCGAGAGTGTTGAGGAAGTTCTTGAAGATGCCATCCTTGTCAGCACCGGCAATCTTCTGGAGCTCTTCAATGATCTGCTGCTTGTCGGCCTTGGTGAGGGTCGGGGCGTCCAAGATGGTGGTGAGCTTGGGGTCCTTCTTGAAAGTCTCGTGGAGGTTGGCAAGAGCCTTGGCGGCCGAGTCGAGAGTGGAAGTCTTAACGGCAGCAGTGTACTATAAGAAATTGATGAAGAGCGTCAGCCAGAGTTTCTTTCTATCCTTTCAATTGCGGTTTCGCTCGTTTCAGTGGGCTTGAGGTCCTTTTTCATGCTGTACGCTCGGACCATCGGAAGGAAAAGGGTTCAATGGCTTCGAGGAGAGAGGAGTCGCATACCAGAGAGCTGGCATAGGTGCCATCGATACCGAACAGAGCCACAGGGGGCCTCACGTCCTGGGCGGGCGTGGCGTAGGTCCTGATGCCATTGAGGGCGGCAGTGCGAGGAACGGAGAACTGCTGGACGGAGGCGCGCAGACCAGCGCGGGCGACTCGAGCGGAGAGCATTCTGACGGAGGCGATCACGGCCGCGAATGGAGGAGAGATTGGGTATCGAAAAGAGGCGGAGGGGATGGTGTATGGGGGGCAATTGCCGCTGCTGTTCCGGAGAGCCTGAGATGGACGAAGTCGACGTCCGAAGTTCTACAGAACCCGGCTGTTTGGTCACGTGGCCGCACCATCCGACACGCCGACTTCCGCACGTCCTCCCGACGGCCGGCGCCCCTCGCGCATAATATTATTGATGATACTACGCATGATAATAATGAATGATGGCATGAGTAACTACTATAGATCCTTCCTAGATCTTGCTCATTGCCGACTACCTCTAAATTATTTTCTAAGAAACAGCTAGATTTCAGGAGATTTCCTGGACCTCAATACATCATACCCAACTCGAATTTTTAGACCACTAGTCCGTTATTTTGTCCGCCTTCTATATCAAATCAGAGGATACTCGACGTTATTTGACCTCTGTAGATAATCGTTCAACATACCGCCCAAGTACATATCGAAATGATAGCATTTTTGAAACATAGAAGGGCAGATTGACATGCAAATGTGGTCTTTTCTTATGTCATCTAGCTTAGTCATTCTCTACTATATAGCCTTAGGCACAGATATCTCTTAGTAATCAACTTTCTTCTTCTGAACGACACAAAACTACCTATCATATCACGTGATAGCACACGTGACCGAATTGTGCACAGGAGAGAGTGGCTCCCTTCAAAAGTTCAGATATTTCTCTCGTCACTGAGACTAGATCCGATCACTAAAGGCTCTCACTCTATGTCACTGACATTAACAGAATAAGACTTATAGAGGGCAGTAAGAGTCGGTATTTAGCCATTTCGCGAGCCATACACTGAAACAAATTTTGAAATGAATGAATAGAAATTGCTTATTCGCTATCGTAACTACCTACTAATAATACATGTGAATAGAATCAAGTGTACATTGACACAAACTTTGATGACCTCTACAGTCAGTCGTGCCAGTTTCCCTCGGTCATTATCGTACAAAGATCCCATCCGAGACAACGGTTGAATCAAGAGAGACATTCCTCGCAGTATTGATCGATGATCAATTTTGAAGAGGCACGGATGATCGATCGCGGGGGCGTCAATCACGAAATGAAGGACCATTTCGCGGAAGAGACGGTGCTCACGGACACATTGTTCTCTTTACTGAGGATAGCCTCGATCTCACGCTTGATCTGGCTATCAGTTCGGCCTAGCAAGATGATATCTCCGGTAGTAGTGAACTTAGCCAAGTCTCCAGTGAGATAAATTTTGCCCAGATGATCATGGGTTATGAATGCTGATTTCCCACTTTGTGGGCGCAGATAACCATGAGCGACTTGCACGCCTCCAATGGCCAGTTGACCCACTCGGCCTGGGGGAAGGCGACGATGTTGATCATCAAGAATGTAGACAAGGACGTTGGGTAAGGGTCTACCAACGTCGGAAACAGGAGTGGTACGGAACATCTCCCGGCTCACGACATTGACGGTAGTTTCTGTCGGTCCATAGACATTCAGAAGATGCACGTGTTCCGCCCAGGCGTCTCGGACTGCCTCTGACATAGTCTCACCACCAAGAGCCAGGACCTGGAGCGATGGAGACAGAGCGGGAGCTAGCAATGTGGCTACCGTTGGGGTAGTGGCGATGTGAGTGATCTCCCAGTCTCTGACGACTTGTTGTAAGTTGGATAGTAGGAATTCATGGCGGCCAATGACAAGAGTTGCGCCTGCAGATAGTGTGGAAAAGATGTCCACGACAGAGACATCGAAAGTGTAAGGCGCCAGTTGTAACAGTCGACTTCTGGGTTGCAAACGGTAGATGGATCGATGTTGCGTTATTGAGTTGCGGAGAGCTTGGTGGTCAATAGCCACACCCTTTGTGAGACTGGTCGGTCCGCTCGTGTACAGAACACAAGCTATATTAGAGGGATGCTGATGGACATGAGGCGACATCGGAACAGCATCGGTGATCTGAGGAATGTTCTCAGGGATGATGAAACAGGGCACAGTCTCCAACACATGAATCTGAAGTTCTCTCTGGAGATCCTGAACCTTCGACCAGTGAGCAAAAGTGCCTGTACTTGGCACCAGAATAGCCTGGGGTTTGCAGTCCTGGATGATGGCCATGGTCCGATGGATAGGGTCCTGGACGCTCAATGGGACGTATGCAAGACCAAGTTGCATGATGGCTAGAATACAGATGATCCGATCGACGCAGGCGTCACTGAATATGCATATCGTAGCTTCTCCTTCGATATGCACGTCTTGTTGCTGTATCCATGAGACGAGAGAGGCAACTCTGACTTGAAGTTGCTCGTATGTGCAGGACTCTTCTCCATCAAACGAAACAGCGGTGCGGTGTGGGAATTCCGAAGCCATATTCATTATCTGGTCGTGCACAAGAGGCTCCCTGTCCACCTCCGGTTGCTTGGGACCATGGAAGCTTTCGAGTAGTCTAGTCTCGACGTCGCTCAAGAAGCCTAGACTGTTGGTTGTAGTGAATGCAGGATCATGTGTACCATGTAGAGAGAGCAGAACCTGGTGGAAAGACTCCGCTAAATTTTCGGCTTCGTACTCCACAAGCACCCTGGGGTCATACTCGATCTTCACATCCAAGGTAGTGCTGGACTCATGACGAACCAGGGACACCGAAAAAGTCAGGGGAAACTTAGGGCTGACGGACCTGCCCTGAGATTCTAGCACATGAGCAGCTGGTCTGAAAACGCCAATGTTGCGCGAACCTTCATGGTACACAAACATTGCCTCGAAATCGTTGCGGCTGACACCAGCATACTCAAGGACCTTCTCGAATGGCGTCTGAGAATAGACCAGTGCCTCATTAACGGCGCGCACAACTCGCTTGGTATTATCCAGAACAGGGAGGTGAGCATCTAGTGCGACCCGAATGGGGAGGATGTTCGTGAAACATCCGTATATTGTCTTCTCTGTCTCGACAGGGCGATTGGAAACGGGAATCAAAACAGTTGGGGATTTGCAGTCGTATCGGAGAAGCATGGTGAGCATGAACACAGACAAGAATTTACTGAACGACGTGGCACCTATTTCGTGCGCCCAAGGAATCGTGGCTGTCGTGATATCGAATGTCGAGTGAACTATTCCGAGCGACGATACATTATTGGTGTTACCGAGAGGGAGCATACCCTTGATAGCAGGACCTTGAGCGAGAGCGGATTGCCAATGGTGTCGCGATGCTGAGACATAGCTTTGGTCGGAAAGAATTTTCCGTTCAGAGGCGGAAATGTCGTGATAATCGAAAACAATGCCTGTTCGAGGGAAATGATGTTCGCCCTCAAGCTCTTTGAGCAAGAGGCAGAGAGAACTCTCGTCGCAGAGCGCGTGGTGTATGTTGAGATACAGATACTGTTTCTCACCTGGCAGCTGGAAACCATGACAGCGTATCAAAGGAGGATTACCAAGATCAAACGGCTTATTAGCATCATCCTGGCACAGCTGGACCATACGGTTCCATGCGTTATGATAAGACCGGTCTCTCAAGTCGTGAATTGAGAAAGCGAATTCGGTTTTGTCTGAAGTGACTTGCCATAAGTCCTGGTCAAAGATGAAGTAAGTTCGAAAGATTGATTCTCTCTCCACAATGATCTTTAACTTTTGCATGATAAGATCAATCGGGAGCCCGCCAACTTCATGAACGGATGGTAGGCTGTACGAGGCATCCCCGAAGACTTGTTGCAGAAGATAGAATCGCTGTTGAGTGTAACTCGCCAAGGCCTTTCTTGTCTGTGGCCCAAAAGCAGGTGACACAGATAACGTAGAGACTGAGCTTGGAGGTGTAAACTCAGATGCACAGATTGACTTCCTATTCGAAGACGAGGAACTGAGGTCGACGAATTCGCTCAAGTCTAACGATGACCGTTGCTGAACGGATGCGAGAAGGTCTGCATAGGTATCGACGACGTCTTGAACGAGCTGGCTCCCGAAGATGAGCGGGTTATAGTCAACGAGGATATCAAATCCTGTTTCCGACAGGAATAGGTGAAACTCGAAGTTGAAGGCAGGCTGTTTTGGCGGGATCATGTCGAATGTACGGTCCTGCAGCAGGGAAGATCGGCCTTGTGGATTGGTCTGGTGCAACACGAAGTGCACTGGGAAATCAGACAACTCAATCTTGAGCCATGAGCAGATCCAGTTGACCGGTACACCATTCTGACTGGCGAACTCAAGATTCTCGAATGTCCTGCTTATGAAATTAGACCAAGAATCGTTGTACTTCAGCTGGGATCGGATGAAAGCAGGATTAGTTAGATTGCCCAAAGTCGAGCAATTCTCCTTGCCAGTAATACGTAAACTGACGGGGATAGACAGGACGACTTCATCGGTCATAAAAGTCCGGTGTAGCGTGGCCTGGAAAAGTGCGAGCAAGGTAGAACTGTCACGCAAAGCGTGCGAATTCAGATAGGTCTGATCCTGCTGCACAAGTGGTATGTTAATTTCCTTGCGGAGACGGCTTTTGTTCTGTGATTGTGCATCCACCAGAACAGAATGATCCCGACGAAGTGTGGATATTCCATTCAGCCTCTGTGTCCATAATTCTCGTAAGACCTTCGCATGGCCTGGAGTGATTCCATGGAAATCCACAGTGCTACGATAGTCGTCGATATTGACTGGGGCACCCCTCAGTACAGCTTCCAACGCATTGTAAAAGACAATACTTGTGAATTCATCAAAGAGGATATGGTGAACAGCCGCATGTAAGTATATTTGCCCATCGGGACTCTCGTGGACTTGGAACGAAGATAGAGGTCCGGTCTTGAGATGCAGGTTCGGTGTCTCAAATACAGGTCCCAAGTCAGACGGAAAGAATTGGACCCCAATCTTGGTCTGCGGATAAGGATGAACAATCTGATAGATCTGTTCGTTCTCAGTGTCAAGGTCGAACGTAAGATGAAAGATATCGAATCTCCGGACCAGGTCATTGAGGGTTTCAACCAGTTTCGGGACAGACACATCATGGACTTTGAAAACGCGTTCTACGGCGTATGTGGTGTTGGACAATTTCGTTTGTGACATCCAGATATTTTCTTGGATTGGAGTCGCAGGATACCTGCCGGGGTAGGTAACAGACGAAGCCACAACTTGCCCTGCCTTTTTCTGCAGTAGTAATTCCGGTGCAGCTTCAAACAACCACCGGCAAATTCCATCGATAGACCTGGCATCTCGTAGCTTGCTGTATGGGACGAGTACACCCAGCTCCATGTGTATCATTTGGTGAAGTTGAACAAAACCAAGAGAATTGAGGCCAAGATGATCTAGAGGTTTATGAATGTCCTCAACAGGAAGCGCGAGAATACGGGACACAATTGAGGTGACTGTCGTGATTGCATTGGGAGAAGCCTCAATGTAGATAGGCGAGCATATAGAGGCATTGCCCATCGACGCTGGTAGACGTGGAGCTCTTTGAATCATAAAAGAAATCTCTTTCGAAACTGTTCTTCGAGCCACTTTGTTGCTCGGAAGCAATGGAATGGCTGAAATCTCCCATAGATCTGGGACTAGCCTCTCAGGCAGCCTAGCTTTGGCGTAGGCTCGCACTGAGTCCAGATCGAGAGCAACCGCACACCTCTTTCTCTGAAGAGCTGCATGTAAACCACCGGAGACAACGACCACAGCCGACAGAGCGACCCCGGGAGCATCATTAAGGACAGTTTCAATCTCAGCAGGTTCGACCCGTTGTCCCATGAACTTCATCTGGTCATCCAGGCGACCTAGGATCTCGATACCCATGTTTTTCATGTACCGGCCACGATCTCCTGAACGGTAAAAGAGGAAATCTCCCAAGGATGGGATCTTAAGCAGAGAACCTCTCGTCGAAATAGCATCCTTCAGGTATCCGTCGAACAATTGCTGGCCGCCAATGTAGATTTCACCCTGTTCACCCTCTCTCGCAACTTTGCCTTGCTCATTGATGATGGCTATAACGTTTCCAGGCAGTGCCTTGTAGAATGTTCCGTCGAGAGAGGGACGCTCAAAGACGCTCACGGCAACCTGAACGGCGGTTTCGGTTGGGCCATAGTTCCCAATGAATCGTACTCTGCCTGCAAGATGATTTCTCAGGCCCTGTGGCACTGTCTCCCCACCAGCGACGACGGTTCGGAGTGTCGGGCATTTACCAACATCCAGGAGCTGGGCAGTTGTGGGTGTGAGATGAACAAACGTAACACGAAGGTCATTGATGGTCTTGCATAGATCCACCTTCACGTCATCGTCTGGGACAATAATTAGAGCGGCACCTTTGGACAAGGTTCCATATATATCGATGACAGACGCATCGAAGATGTAGTTAGCAAAGAGCAAAACACGGTCCGTGGCATCCAACTGGAAGGCAGGCAGCGCTGCCTTGATAGAGCTGGCTACAGCTCCATGGCTGAGTATGCATCCTTTTGGTTCTCCGGTTGATCCAGATGTGAACAGCACGTAACAGGGAGTGGTGGGCGAAACTTCTGGGAGTACTGCTTCATCATTGTCATAGAAAGTCCACCGCAACGAGTCCAAGTTGACGATCTGGAGACCAAGGTTTAACTCAGCGGACATGACTGAGAAACCTGCATCATCAGTGAGAATCACGGAGGCGTTCACTTCACGAATTATATAATCCAAGCGAGAGGGCGGGGAGCTCATATCCAACGGACAATACGCTGCTCCAGCCTTCAGGACAGCCAGCATAGCAATGATCATATCCGGCTTCCGAGGAAACAGTATTGGCACAATCATCCGCCGACCCTGGGTGAACCGAAGGAGGTGTCTCGCTAGACGAGATGAAAGTTCATCAAGCTGCTGGTATGTCAGAGATAATCCCCTAGTGTACAAAGCCGACGCTCTTGGATTTGCTTTCATCGATCTCTGGAAAAGTGAAACGAGAGTGTCATTCGATGACTGAGATAGCTTGGAATTCTCGGCGTTGACAGATCGGATTTGCTGAAGGACATAATCTTTTTCAAAGTATTGTTCGTCAGAAACAATGTCCCCCACCATCACTTCCGTAACATCATAGGAAGAAATGCCCTCGGTAATCTCAACGAATGTATCGAGTAAGCGTGTAGCGACGCCCTTGGGTATTTGAGAGATGTCATATTCCACTGCAACGGAAATTCCACTGTCTCTTGGACGTACAATGACTGTAAAAGGGACATGAGTGAACTCCCGCCTTTCGATAGATTCCACGCGAAGGCCCTCTTCAAACGTCACGCGGGGAATTTCGTGATTGTCGATCGCCAGTAATGTTTTAACGCCTGTCTGGTTGCGCAGGAAGGGCAGTATCGACGACGTCGGGAGCCATGAGTGAGGGAAAGCCTCGTCCGAAGCTGCATGGAGATGGTGGAGCAAGTGTCGGATACGATATTCAGCTCCGACGGGGACAACACAAGGGACAACGTTGAGGAAGTTTGCAACAGCTGACAAGGAGCAAGAAACATCGAGCTCGCGACCACTAGTGACCGTCCAGAACAACGGTTTGGTTGCCCCTGTAACACGTGCTAGCGATATTCCCAATGCAGCCTGGAAGAGAGTAGGTAGAGTAACACGGTAGTCTATTGCACGACTTTGCACTCGCTGGCTGGTTAATTTGTCCAGCCGACGGCTCTCAATGCGGGTTTGACGAGAAGCCACAGCTTCGGCTTGGTGCAAAGAGACCGGCTCGCCGTTAGTGACATACTCGCGCCAGAACGCCTCTGCCTTGCTTCTGTCCCGAGACAAATGGGAGGCGGATACGGCGGAGAACGATATATCAGGCTGAAGGTGCTGGCCCTGATAGGCAGCTGCGAAATCAGACAAAATTCGACTCATTGACTCGCGATCAGCTACTGCGTCATGGTAGGTAAGCACAATGAGGTGCTCCTCCCTCGTCCAAGAGAAAACGGTAAGCGTACTCGTCGTCTTAGAGATCGTAAGTGCAGACTTCCTGATTTCGGACAGCGATTTCTCGAGCTCGTCCGGACCGAGTGGAATATGATCTGCAACAGAGAATCCTGTGACCGACTGAGCAGTTTCCTTCTCAATCGCAAAGAACTCATTGATCCCACCATCAAGATGGATATAGCATGTTCTAAGAGAAGGATGTGCTTGACAGACACGCATCCATGCTTCCTGGAGACAGAAGGCATCCATCGACCCAATGAATTTCAACAGGAGCTGGCTGGCGTATAGCTCTGAGTCAATCAGCGACTGGGCAAGCATAGTCTTCTGCATCGCACTCGGTAAGTATATTCTCTCGACAGCGAGATCTGAACCACATGACTGAGAGTGAAGAACGTCCAGGATGCGTTGTCTTAGGCCTTCATTATAGTCACTGTAGTGCTCACGGAGCCAGCTCATCAGGTCCCTTTTCACATTACTGTGATCAATTTCACATTTTACCTCCTGCTTGATAACAGGGGGATGCATGAGAGATGCATATTTCTCAGAAAATCCACTCTCGTGTAATATCAGGAACCATTCCTTCAGGAGCTGCCGATTGATCTTTCCTGTGGGCCCTTGAGGGATATCTGAAAGGGGAACCCAGTACCGAGGAACCATGGCAGAGGGAAGGGCATCCGAAACTTTGCTGCGAAGAGTTATCAATTCGTCAACTGTGCGGTGATCATCCAACGAAAGGACCGAGGCCAATCTGACGCTTTCTCTCTTGGAGAAATGATTTTGACAGATAAATGCGACCATGTCGAGGCTCCCGTCCTCATTGTGTCTGGCTATCAGCACTGCAGCCTGGATTTGGCTAGGTAGGAGGCATCTATCGACAGTCGATTCAACCTCGCTGAGATTAAACCAGAAACCATTCGACTTGACCTGGTCATCAGCTCGACCTCTCAAGTAAAAGTATCCCTTGCGATCGAAGTAGCAGAGATCGCCGGTGTCAAAGGTCCTTCCGAGGATTTTATGCTCTATGAACCGGCCATTATCATGACCTTCATTCAGGTATCCTGCACTCAGCTGGTCAAGTTTGTGTGGTATCCTAGCAGCGATAGCTAGTCTTCCCACCCAACCCGCTGGCAGAATATGACCGTACTCATCAAGGATTGCGGCCTTGACTGATGACACCGGTTTCCCTATGCAGGAACCCCTTTGATCGGAGTGCGACGGTTCCCACATAGTAAACCCATGTGTAGCAATTGTGGTTTCGGCAGAACCATAAGACCCCAGAATTGTCACTCTTCCTGTCCACCGGTGGAATATATTTTTCGGAGTTGGCTCGCCACCAAGTATGATACATCTGATGGATGGGACTTGGGATGGCCCATCTAGACAGGCGATCGTTGTCGGCGTGGCGAAGACGTGCGAGACGTTAAACTCGTTCAGTGTGCCGGCGAGATCAGATATGAATCGATCATGCGGTGCTGCAACGAGAGTCGCTCCGGCGGATAACGTGGCGAGAACTTCTAAAAGTGACGCATCAAAAGTAACATTAGTGAGCATGGGAATTCTATCATTCACCTTAAACCCGCATGCGTCGATTTGGTTCAGGATTGATACCGCAGCAGCCGCGTGATTAACTTGAAAGCATTTGGGCGCTGCAGTAGATCCTGATGTAAACCCGATATATGCTGGGGCATCTCGGGGACTGGCCGTCGTTGGCGAGTCAATGAGTGAATGCGAACGTGAATGTAAACGTGAATGCATTGTTGTATCATGGAGATTCAGGTCAAATATCGAAGAGGTCGGTGGCAAGAGGAGTTGCTTTGCTAACTGACCAGATCCTCGGTTCGTGATGATGAATTGAGGAGAAACTGTCTCAATTTTGGATTGGTTCACTGAAGGCTTATCGTGGATGTCCAGGATAGTAAATGTAGACCCTGCAGAAAGCACTGCTAGCATGGCAATCACATAATCCGTCGACTTCTCCAGAAACAATGCGACTCTCATTCTAGGGCGTAAACCTGTCTTCTTCAACTCCCCAGCGAGGCCAAGTACACGGGAACCCAAGGCTGCGTACGTGAGCGGGCCTTCAGGAGCTTCAATGGCTAGAGAGTCAGGGCTCCTGTCCACTGAATCAAATACAAGGTCCTGAATGTAGGCTGCCCGACCATTCAGAAATCTTGAGCTCAGATGGGAAGGAATGGCAGTCACGGACTGTGCAAAGGCCTTTTCTTCCATCTCCTTACCGCAGAAGGGGATATCCGCGACGGTTATGTTAGAACCATGAGCAGCTATCCAATGTATCATGCTATGGAAGCTGTCACATATGCTGGCGATGAACTCTGGTCTGAACTTCACTGGGTCGTACTCCAAGATAAGTCGAGGCTCGCTACCCGACTCATCGACGTGTATCACCAGAGGATGATGACCGCTTCCAGTCGCAATATCGACTTTGTCCACGATATCTGCCGCCGTTCCTTCTTTCAGTAAATGACGGGCCCCATTTCTATCGTGGTATACATAAAGCACCTCGACCTCTGCATTACCGGCTCCAGGAACTGACAGCCACTGCAAAACATCCTCGGTAGGTTGCGTATGGTGAACACATTGCCAGTAAAACTCATGGATTTTGTCAAGAACAGCTCGAAAGCTCTCGCTGGTATCAACAACAACAGGAAGTATAGCGGTTGCTACACAGCATCCCATGACATTCAGGAAGCAAGGATCCTCAAACCGCATGGAAGTCGGAACGCCTAAGAGAAATCGGGACTGACTAGCTAGACGAGCAAGGAATATCTGAACGAAAGATAACCAGAAGTCGAAGCGAGTCGAAGCGCGGTGACGGTGCGAGATGCATGCTTCAACATCTGGCATTGACAATGGGTGATAGTAGATGCTGCTCCTGTTTTGGCTGGGGTTGCGAATGGCCAGCCTGGGTGTCTCGCCCTGTCGGCTAAGCAGTGCTTCAGACAACGATTCGGACCAAGAGACATTAGCCCAATTTGACCACCATGATCGGTCTTGCTCCTGCCGGTGTATCATGGACCGGTTCTGTCGGATTACATATTCGGGGTAGGAAAGCAGTTTGGTGGTGTCTATGCACGTGGAACCAGAACGGTATACATCGAAGACATGATGGATAAGGCGTTCGAATGACAGTTCATCGATTGACAGGTTATGAACACGAAAGTGAATGATCATTTCTTGACCCATAGGAGCAATTTCATATACTGTGACCCGAAGCGGAGAGGCGCTGGAAACATCAACATATTCTTCTCCGACTTCATTGATAAGCTGCCGGGCACGGTGCTTCGCGGTGGAGAGCTCGTGGGTTCCAGACAGCTCACAGAGCTCCGTAAATTGCGTAAACGAGAGGACTGGGGGCATATCCTGCGGAGGATGAATAACCCCGACAACTTGCGAGTCGTCGTTGAGCTCATATGTAGACCGCAAAGATTCATGCTCACTACAGACCAGACGCACTGCATCAAAGAACCGCAGAACATCTAGTTGCGGCGACTTGAGGTGGTAAGCGAAGTTGAGGTTATATGCACCGTTTCGCAAAGTCTTGTGTGCACCAAAGATGCTCCTCTGACTCGGAGAAGCAATGAATCGTGTGCAGGCGGCATGTTCATTACTGCAGAAGCTTGGAGTCTCCTCAGCACCCTCCGTCAGTCGGACCAAATGCTCCACTGTCGGATTGTGGAGCACGTCTCTCAGGAAAATACGCTTTCCCGTGATCTCAAATATGGCCCAGATGATGTACATTGCATCCACATAAGATAGGCCCCAATTGCGTAGGTCTTCGTCTACAGGAACAGTCCGTTGCAGGCGGTGGTTCACAATGGAAGTGATCCGTGATAAAAGATCGGGAGCATGAACAGGGGTCAACAGGTCCTTTTCCCGTGCAAAATAAGAATCCAGAATATCACAGAGACGCTGACGATCAATCTTATAGCTTCGGTTCTGCGGGATGGCGTTCACCACGAGGATCTCTGGTACCATGTATCCGGGCAAAAACTCTCGACATTTCGTCAATAGGTAGCTTCGGAGCTCTGTTGCTGAGAGACACTCGTCGATTTCGACAGATTCATCAGGTGTAACTAGGGCCTGCTGCGTTGCAACAAAGGCAAAGAATCTGAAATGGCCTATGTCATCCGTGCGAGCCAGTACAACAGCTCGAGCAACGTGCCTACGCAGAATGTGCTCGATTGCCACGACTTCCAGCGGTAGGCCATTCACTTTGAACTGATTATCCGTTCTCGCGAGCAGATGCAGATCTCCGCTCTCTGAGACATAACCCAAATCCCCCGTGGCATACCATACCGGCTCAAGGGATGATGGCTGAGAAGTTGCAGTTAGTGAAAAGTTGTTGCTGTCTTGGTCCTGGAGAAAAAAGCTCTTTGCAGTCCTCTTGGAATCACGCCAGTATCCCTCTGCCACACTGGTTCCTGCAGCGAAGATCTCTCCCAGCTTACCAGCCGGGACCTGGTTGTGAGACAGGGGATCCAAAATTTTAATGTGAGCATGCGGCGAGACCTGGCCCACATCTGTCAAAGATATCCCGGGAGACAAAACCCGGGAGGCAATGGAGGAAGCCTCGCAAGAACCTACAGCATGTTAGTTGCGACTTGTGTTAACTGTGGGTGCAAAAATGTAATGACACATACCGTAGAGGTTGCGCAGAATGACTTTCGTCGACCATGTAGACACAACCGCAGCGGAAACAGGCTCACTACAGGTAACTACATAGCGCACAGAAGGCACATCATCTGGCTCCATGGTTTCCAGCACACTAGGAGTCAGATGGATGGTATCTGCTTGCATGGTTCGAACCCAATGCGCCAATCGGTCGAGCATCTTTTCCTGCGAAACCTGACAGAGGCAGGCGCCATGTAGCAGGGCACTGAGAATATCGATCATGTGAACGTTGGAGGTAAACGAGGCGAATTGAAAGACGCGCGAACCAAGCCCAATTGATTCAAACCGACTCAGGGTTTTCGCGGGATCAATGAGGTTTCGATGTGTCAGTACAACACCTTTGGGCTTTCCAGTACTCCCCGAGGTAAATAAGATCGCGGCAACGCTGTCTGGACGCACGTTACGAGACAGAACACGCTGTACCTCACTTCCCCCAATAGTCGGTAGAATATTTGAGAGGTCGAGAACAGTGTGGTCTTCGAGCTCATGGCACCAGGTAGGGATAGACCAAGAGGGAAGAGAATTCGTGATGATAACCGGGGAATCGACGCGATCCAAGAGATCGTGAAGAAGATTCGGAGGTAATTCAGGGTCCAGTGGGACATAGATGGCTCCGAGATGACTGAGTGCCAAGATGACAGCGACCTGGAGAGGCGAGCGTGGTAGAAGGACCGGCACAGGCTGGCCATGACAGATTCGCGGTGCAAGAGCCGCGGATACTTGGAGCATCTGGTTGTGCAGCTCTCTGTAAGTCAGACTGACAGAAGATTCAAACTGCACAGCAATCGCATCTGGATGCTGCAATGCGACAGTCGTGAAGAGACTGTCAATCGTGCCGTGGGCATAATGGGCAGTGGACAGAGGCGACTGCATCGTAAGGTATTAGTTAGAAAGTGATCGTATGTACAAGATATTGTTGATACAGGATGGTGTTGGTACAGCACAAACCACAACCAGAAAAGATTATAATAAAGAAAAGGAAAAGGAACATCTACGGCGAGGCCAGAGGAGCCCTATATTATTGCTCCAGCGTCCTCTAAAACTTCCTAGGATTCACGTCTTCCCCGAGACAGCTTCATTTTGCGCTAGATACGATTGAATAGTGGAGACCTACCTGGTGATAATTACATACCACTGTGAGCTGAAATTTACGCAAACACAAAGCGGTGGGTAATTAATCCTAACTACAACATACCATGGTATTCGCGGTCAATCCACCCACCACTGGTAACGTAAAATAACTACCTAGTAAAGGCTCGAGTCAATGGTATGAATTCGTTGAAATGCATTGGACGCATGCGGGGTCGACGTTCTGGAAAATTTATTGTCGCTACTAGGTACGTATCTCTCTATTGGTAATTTGGTAGCGAACATTGCTGAAAGTTAAGGTTCGGACCGAACACCGCAGAAGGAGAAATACTTTTTTTGTATCGGTAATACACAGCGTTAGTCCGGCGAAACCTGGCCGAGTAACTACCACTGTATCAGGCTTGTCCACCGCTGCTTCTGATCTAATAATGTTCAGCTACGCCACTGTCTCGAACTGATACTCTAGTTTCTCGTACATCGAAAACCGTGTTATCGATTCTTCGAGTCCGATACCGGGTCTCAGCTACATCTTTTTTTGAATCCAATTTAACAATAAGTCGATGCACAGTACGATGGCCTGTAGGCAACGGACGTGGTTACACGTGGGAACATATGCATCTCCAAGGTGAGCGACTCCAGTTACCATCCTAGTGAAAATCGATGTCAAGATTTGGTAACTACTACGGAGTACATAGGGTAGGAAGGGCACCAGGCCATACTCATAGACAGACACACCACGACTCCTTTCCGCTATGGTCCGTTCAAGAAAATTACAAGAAGATCTGGGGTCTCCGATCTTTTGCAGGGATAGTCCTCGCATGACAATGTATCACAGTAACCTCAAGACAGAGACAGGGCTATAGTTACTGCGCTTGCGAACATGATGAGGAAAAATGTGCTCCCCTGCTTTAGGTATATTTATTTGCACATTGTCTCTTTGCAATAGTACATGTAAACAAGAACCATTCTTCAACTTTGGTTTTGTTAGACAACACCAACTCGTATCTTAACAGCTCTCTCACGGATTGAACAGATCTATGCGGGTTGTCCAGACGAGGACTAGTCTAGTCACTTCGAGCTCTGTACCGTATCCGGACAAGAGCTATACAAAGCAAACGGTAATCTAATTGCATGCAGTCAGTATACGAAGTAGCAAACTCATGCGTAACGGCCTAAGTGAATGATATTCTAATTTCTTAGCTGACCCGTATTAAGCAGCTCATTTTAACATACAATTGAACTCCACTCTCCCCATCGGTTTCATCTGCTGAAGGTTGAGACATCTAGCGTGTATTCCTAAGATCCCTAGACAACGCCTAGTCTACACAGACCAATTATTGCGTGGCCCCGACACCACGATTCTGAAGATCCTGCGCATAGCTAAGCTGAAATGGCGCGTGCACACTCGAACCTTCAGCTATGGTGGATATGTCGATGATCTGAGATACCTAAAGTACGGAGTATCTATGGAGTACGGAGTAAAGGATGTGAAAATAATGGGTGTGTAAAATTACATGCTGTCATTTCTAGCCCTCGCGCGCAACAACACTCATGCGGACCGACAGGAAAACCCCCACCGCTTCAGCCCATGAGAAGGGAAAATAGATGAGATTCCAGAGTGAATAGTATACGTGGATAACTTATTTATATGTGTCTACGACAATAGACTATCTCCACTGAGTCAATCCTTCCCTGCGATATATCGTCGATGATGAAGCTTCTCGCAGTCATCCAATTCAAATCCCAAGCTCAACAGGCTGAGAGCTTCGAGAATCGAGTAAAAGACCGTACGTGTGCATGCATATGCTACTAGTACCGCTTTGACGTCTGCAGCTCGTGGCCCGTCCTTTTTGTATAGGCGTTAGACTAAAAGCGTTAACTAAAGAGCTATGGCCATCATCCACTCTTCACCGCTCAGACAATCCACAACTGACTAGGACAAAAAGAAGAAAAAAGAGACACAGATGAAGACTGCTACATCGAACGATCCACTATTAAAGCGTTCCTAAGTCGAAAATTTGCCACCAAAGCAGGCGATGGGGACAGAGTCCCGTACACATCGCTTCCCTCGTGCTAGAATGGGGCATCATCCGTGCCACTATACCTACGCCCTAAGTAAGTAAGTACACGGCCGAGAAAGATGTAGAGTATTTCTCCGAGCTACCGCCTTTACCTTATTACTTAACAAGTCCACCACCAGGGATTCTACGGCGGCGCAGCCAAAGCCGTAAGAAAGGCGCTCAGCGTCGATGACGAAGAAAATAGTAGGAATAATCAAGAACTATAACGTGGAGTATGAAAATAAAAAAGAAGTGCAACCTAGCCGATGACAATAAATAACACTATAAGGTCTAGATGAAAACATAGTTAGACATAACTAAAAGAGCCTGGCCAAGGTGATTATGTTATGAATGGCTAGTTCTAAGATGCAACCTACCAAAGAAAATCTAACCTGCCTACATGCTGCGAAGATAAACCTGTCTAGGCCTGGCTATTGGCTATTAGGGCTGACTAGATCAAGATATTGGCCATTAGGCCTATCTGCATGCGACCAGGATACTATAACCTACTACAATCTACTATAACCGAATCTCTATGGAGATCAATTATAAATAGAAGAGAGAGATCTAGCATATGGCAGCTCTACAGTCTACACAGATACGCACATAAGCAAATCAATCCAAACAGTGCAATACTTCCTTACCGCGCCAGGAGAATAAGCTTACAGTAGGAGATATGGCGCGACGATGTAACCAGCGGCGAAGAGTGTGGGAAATAGCATTACAGTAGTAACTACTGCGTGTGCATGTATACAGACAGACAGCAGAGATAGAGACAATTAGAGGGCGTTGACCTATTTCTGTACTATTCTATCTATCCATAAATCAATCACGTATAACTATACGTGCCTCGTATTATGGTCTAAAGTGCCGCATGTTGAGCCGTCCAGCCAGCTCGGCTGTGCAGCCGGGGAGAACTCTCTCGAGTAAGCTCATGCTATTTGAAACTGTAAGCAAATCGAGCTATGACTACATTCAACGAACATCCCGCTTGGCAAATATATATTAACAGAAGTGCAGTATAGCCGAACCTGATAAAATCTGTTGAAGCTTATGTGGTTATCGCTAAAGCTAAAAATAAGGTATATAATAGCAATTATTACCATAGGAACTTTCTATCTAACACTAGATTCTAGAATTTAGCGCTCTGCTTATATAGAATTAGTATATATAATTATTTATCGCTCTTTATTTTCCCTTCCATATCCTCCCACTCAAATTTAATTTATTAGCTAAAACTGCCCATACTTTAAACTGCCCTATTCTACCTTCGTCCACATATCGCTAGAGGTACCTGCTCATAAGCATCATCATGACATTTTGTTCACGACCGACTGACTTCGATGCCTTGTTACTCGGTGGGGGGGGGGGGGGGGGGGGGGGTGATTACATTGAGGCTGCTCACATATACCCCTTCTTTGTCCTCTCCTCAGTCTTTGAGCCTTGTGAGAGCGCATATATAGTGCTTGATACTAAATGGTCAATAGCGAACCCTCTGGAACGACTTCTGGCCCTTAAGCTAGATATTATAATTAGTGCTTCTATATGGGAAACAGCCTACTTTTAATATAGCTTATTTATTAAAGACAGTTCTCTGCTCTGTTATTTATTTCCCAAAACTTATAGCACCTATATTTATAATAAAGGCAAAATACTTTTAATATCCCGACTACACAGAGAGACAGAATAGGCTCAACAGAGCTACAATACTCCATATCATCCAGGATATTCATCGGAGAGCTGGGAACGTGCATATTGGGAGCATACAAGTCTTTACAGGCACAATCACGGACAAAAAAAGCCACACTAAGTGTTCATACCTGCGATATGGGACCCGGGAGGGCCTTATTATTCCTTCCTCCTAAAAAAATGCAGATTCAGTCTGGGGTCGTACAAACCCCATATGTGACCACGCCAAGTAGTGGACATGCACTTCTTTCGAGGTGAAAGAGGACTTCCTTATTCGAGCCGTAAACTGGAAATCTTTCATTGCGCCATCTGCTCAAGACGTCGAATTTTCTTATATCTCGCAAAGCGAACACCGTCTTCTTCATTTCTTCCAGATTCTTGCCGCATTCAAGGTATAAGCTGTGCGTGGTATCATCAACTACCCAGTCAGGAAGATTACGAAGGGCATCGGACACAACAGGGAGAATATACCCAAGAGCTGCTTGTACATCAGGAACATGAAAGCGATAGTAAGCGAGTTCACTTTCGGTGTATGAGAAGCCGTCTCCATAATTGACAATGGAGAGATTCGAGGCCGTAGCCATCCTCGGCTTTGTAGCAAATGAAAAAGAGCAACAGCCACATACTTAAGTGTGTTGCTACGAGAGAGAGCGTTGCATAGATGTCAGTATATCTATAGCACATAATTTCTTTCAGAGACATATCAATCACATACGACCATAGGGTGTGGAAAACAGGGCTTCCCGTCCGCTCAGCCGTACTTAAGCCACACGCCGGCAGGTTAGTAGTTGGGTGGGTGACCACCAGCGAATCCCTGCTGTTGTATGTTTGTCTTTTTTTTTCACCTTTTGATATTTGTCATAGTTATCCTTAGTTACTTGATTATATAACTCTCAGAGATTAAGTGATACGAAAAGGGATCGTAATCGTGGAAGTGGGAGATGAAGTTGATGCTAGATTCCTCTCTACTATCTAGGGAGGGGAATGGCTAATATGCTAGATACACGTGACGTACGTACGCCGTGCCTGCCTACTAATTCCGTAACATTATTAAGGAATTGATATACACAACACACAATAAAAAAGAGGTGTGGAAAAATGATAATAGAATTCTAATTATATTATATTGCAAAGATATTGCAGTATTTAGGACTACTTATGGCATATCTCATAGCCTACTTTCAATACGGCAACTAGCTAAACCATTATTAGTTAGGTCAAATAACCCCGCCATAGAAGATACACTTCCAAAACGTCTTAAAGACGGACTCTCTTCACATTCCTCATTTACATCGCCATGCTTAGTATAGAGGTTAACTAGTGCTTATTCTAACTATTTGAAAGATCCAGCGATTATTACATCGTGGTAAGACAAGTCTTAATGCAATATTTCTGACGCAACGCTTCTAACTTATCTACCGTGGTTAGCTGGTGGCGAAGATGGCGGGGCTAACCCATGATAATTACACCGTTGGGTGGATTTGCGCCTTGCCAGTAGAGATGGCCGCTGCTAAACTCATGTTTGACAAGAGTCATCCTGGACTTCCACGATGTCAACAGAGCGACCGGAATAGTTATGTATTTGGAGAGATTGCCGGTCATAATGTGGTGGTTGCATGTCTTCCTGAGGGAGTCTATGGGACCACCTCAGCGGCTGTCGTTGCTCAACAGATGTTGATTAGCTTTCCAAATGTTCAGTTTGGCCTGTTAGTGGGTGTCGGTGGCGGTGTCCCAAGTGCATCCAATGACATTCATCTGGGTGATATTGTTGTCAGCAAACCAAATGATCAACATGGAGGTGTTATTCAGTATGACTATGGGAAAGCTTTGGCAGATGGAAAACTCCGCCGTACTGGGTCATTGAATAAACCACCACAGGTTCTCCTGACGGCAATTGCGAATGTACAGTCGGATCACCAGATTGGGAAAACCTCGATTCCCAAGATCATTCTCAATGCAACTCAAACCAGCCATGATATCCGATCTAGGTTCAGTTCCCCTGGTCCCACAAAAGACCAATTATTTGATATATTGTACCATCACCAGGCCGAATCTTTCGATTGTGTTAACTGTGACAATAATCGAATCATCGTACGAACTCCGCGGGATCCCAACAGGCCAGAAGTTCACTACGGTCTCATTGCTTCCGGTAACCAAGTGGTGAAAGATAGCAGAGTGCGAGAACATCTGCAACAAGAGATAGATGTGTTATGCTTTGAGATGGAAGCAGCCGGATTGATGGACCATTTTCCTTGTCTTACCATACGAGGTATTTGTGACTATGCAGATTCTCATAAGAACAAGCAGTGGCAAGGGTACGCAGCTCTGACAGCCGCCGCGTATGCCAAAGAGTTACTCTCTGTAATAGCAGCTACAGAGGTTAATAAACCTTCTATGGATAAAGAATCGATGACTAAAGGTAAATACATGAGCATGCTATATATATACCTGGACTAATAATATGGTATTAGACAAGTTTCAGGTTCCATTCGAGTTGACAAACATGCCTGCCGTGAATCATTTTATCGGTCGTGGAGCTGATCTCGGTCATTTGTGGAAAGCTTTGCAACCAAATGCATCTAATCGGCAAAAGGTCGCAATTCTTCATGGTACGGGCGGTATGGGCAAGACGCAGTTAGCTATCCAGTTTGCGCGGGTATACAAAGATGCATTCACTGCTATTTTCTGGATTAATGGCCAGGATGAATATACCCTGATTCAGTGTCTAGCTAGAATCACTAGCCGACTTCAAGAGGGGCCAGCTAATCTAGGTCCCATTGATGGAACAAAAAACGAAAACGAACTGAAAAAAGATGCGCAGAAGGCCCTAAGATGGCTCTCACAGGATAATAACACTCACTGGCTGTTGATCTACGATAATATCGATCAGTACTCGCCTTACGAAAGTGCTCATGGCAATGATATAAAGCAGGGAACGTATGATATTCACAAATACCTTCCCTCTGCAGACCATGGCTCGATCATCATTACCACACGATTACAACAACTCGCAGAACTTGGTACAATATCATATCCGGTGAGCAAATTGTCTTTTAGCGAGGGGGTAGAGCTCCTGAAAAGATGTTCGGGCTATACTCAGACTTGTTCCAGTCCGCCAATTGATTTAAGCGTGAACGAATTGGCGTATCGCTTAGACGGATTACCACTCGCAATAGTACTCGCTGGCTCATTTATTCGTCGTACGGGAATGAGCTTGACGAAGTATTTGGATCATTACGATAGAGCGTGGCGTGATCTACAAGCAGCAGCAGAACCTCATCGACAATATTCTAATGGAAATATTCTGACTGCGTGGGCAATATCCTATCACGAAATCAACAAAAGGTCTCCATACGCAACACAACTTCTCTACCTGCTTTCATTTTTCTCCAATAACGATATCTGGTATGAGCTACTCCAAAATGGCTTAAATATTCAAGATCCACCACAATGGTTCTCTGATGTAATCTCAAACGAGATTACATTTTCCATGACAGTCAAAGTGCTTTTGGATTTTTCACTCGTACAGCAACATTTTAACACAGGCGGCTACTCTCTTCACCCTGTGGTTCAGGACTGGTGCGAGCACGAGCTGCCCAGAATCGATATTGATTTAGAAAAATCAAAAGCGACCAATTGGGCTTTATCTACAGTTGCTGTAGGTTATGGAGTGCCAAGGCCACTAGAAAAGAATCGCTGGATTCTGCAACATCGTCTCCTTCCTCATGCAAACCGCATCTATCAGTTGATCAAATACGAGCCGGAAGCACACTCGAATAATGAAGTGTTTTCTGCGTTTCACAATATTGGACGCCTCTTTTGGGATCATGGAAAGTTAAAGGAAGCTGGGGAAATGTACCAGCGAGCACTTATTGGACGTCAGGATACTCTTAGTTGCAATCATATCTCTACTCTTGACACTATCCATAACATCGGAGTGCTCTATCATGATCGAGGAGATCTTAAAGATGCTGAAAATACGTTTCAAAAAGCACTCCTCGGTTATCAAAAGACCGTTGGCTCCGATCATGCCTACACTCTTGGTACTATGCAAAATCTTGGGAATATCTATATGGATGCAAAAGAAATGGACAAAGCCGAAGACATATACCGGAAAATCCTCCATATTTCTGAGACTGTTTTGCATCTGGATCGCACCTTTATACTTGATATTATTCATAACCTTGGAAATCTCTACTGGAATCAGTCCAAACCAAAAGAGGCAGAGATCATGTACCAGAAAGCTCTATCTGGTAAAGAAGACGCTCTTGGCCTAGACCATCCCTCTACCCTCGACACTATTCACAATCTTGGAGTTGCTTACTATGATCAAGGTAAGATTCAGGATGCAGAAGCAATGTATCACCAAGCATTAGCTGGTAAGAAGAAGGCACTTGGTCCAGAACATACTTCTATACTTGACACTCTCTACAATCTTGGTAGGCTATATCACAACCAGCGAAAGCTGAAGGAGGCCGAAGAGATATACCAGCAAGTGCTGAATGGTAAAGAAAAAGCTCTCAGTCAAGATGACTTCTCCATTGCTGGTACTGCTCACAAACTTGGAATACTCTATTCGCAACAGAGTATGTTCCATAAAGCTGAGGAGATGTACCAGCGAGCGCTTCTTACTTGTGAACGCAGTCTTGGTCCAGATCATATATCTACTCTTGACTCAGTTCATAGTCTTGGGATCTTCTACTACCAGCAGGGTAATTTAGAAAAGGCCGAATATATGTACCAGAAGGCATTCAATGGTTTGAAAATGAAATTCGGGCTAAACCATACCTCTACCCTTGGTGTTATTAATAACCTTGGAGTTCTTTATCAGGAGCAGGGAAAAGTAAAGGAGGCCAAAGAATTATATCAACAAGCAATCAGTGGCTGGGAGAAGATATTTGGTTTTTATCATGTGTCTACTCTTGGTGCCGTTCATAACCTTGGCGATCTTTGTTATAGTCAGGGAGAGGCGAAGCTGGCGACAGAGATATACCATCGAGTACTGCTCGGCTATGAGAAGTTACTGGGATCGAATCACGAAAAGACCAAGGAAGTACTAGAGAGGTTACACTCATTGAGTGGATATATTTCAAACTCATAGAAAGCTTCATTAGTGGTATTCTGGACTGAGTTCTTCTCATTTTTCGGTCCAGATTTCTTCCGTGGGCTCTTATTGACCTGTTTAATATCCTGTTGAAGTTGTATAACTAGCTGCTTGTTTTGCTACTCAATCGCTTTTTTATTTCTTGTTCTCGTAGTTGAGCTAGCTAATCGGTATTCCTCCCGAATATTGACTTTCCCTGTGTAAGATGTTGTTTTTCTTTCCGCTACCGACGACGAAGCCATTTTCTTGTTTTTGCCGTTGTATCTGTTTTTTTGATCTCGTCACGTTTTCCTTGAACAAGCCAAGCTTGCTTGACTTTAGTCGGGCTGAAAAGGATGCCGTTACCATCCTCTAGATGACGAAGAGGATGCTGTAAAGCCCTCTTGAGTTGTTGATTAGCCTCAGCATTACAACACTGTTTAAGGAGTACATTATCGCTTGATAGATCTAGCATGGTGTTCGTAAATTTCGTGTCCTTGCTCTCGTATAGAATTTCTACAACGTCTTGTACAAGCTTACTGCTCTCTCTTCATTTGTGTGCCGATAAAATAGTCTCCGGTCTCTCTTCGATGGTTTTCTGAAATCGGTTAAGAACGATGTCTGGGTTGAGAGGATGAAGACCTGTCGTTGCCCATCCACTATTGATATTCGATGTTGTAAAAGCAGCATTCCAGCTAAGCAGGAAGTGACTAAGGAAGTCACGCTTTTTTAGATCGGGGGATTTCAAGGCAATCATTCATCCACGCATTTAATTTGGTGCTCTAAGTACAGATCCACTCGAATAACTATACGTTGGCAGGTGGAGAAGGTTCAGTATCAGGTGATCAAACTCACTACTTAAGTGGCATGTGCATAACTATCGTAGTTCACTTAGTTTTGCAAGATCGGACTTGTCTGTATCATAACCACCGAGTACTTCGTTGCTGGTTTCCCCGCTGGGCCTCCTAAGAAAACAGGGGCTTATGATACTTCATCCTCCAACAATGGATCTTCCTTCAGATTCGGAAGACTATATCCCAGATTATACAAGCCAGTCTCACTATGTAAGTATTGAGTTCCAGCAACATAACAATAGATCTACAATTACTGATGCTTAACAGAGCTGCTATTGCGTATGTTACTCCTTTATTCCTCAAAAAGGAGACAGGATGGAAAGATAAATAAATGTGTTTAAGTTAAAATTCTAATCGTCAATAGGACCCGCACAGCTGCTTCTTATACAGTAGGAAGAGTCCTCAATGCCACACGCCTAGGTACAGAGAGATAATACAGACATGGGTTCCATACTTATATACCTGTGTAAGTTCTCACAGGCTTTTCCATAAATCAAGCCAGGAAAAATTGAACTAAACACATACTTACACTCTCACTAGTGTCAGTGCGAAGATGGACCAAAGGCATATGATTCTCAACCCCGGTGCATAGTCTGCAATCATTCTGTTTGTTCACAATGTACCCATGTAAGGTAACATGGTATTATCAAGTGGTTTATTTTGACACCAGAAATCCATCTTGATAATTTCTAGATTGTCGGAAAAAAGTTGCTATTTGTGAAAATCTATCGGCACAGTGGAGTGCTCTTGTATCTTAGGTAACTAATAACAATGGATCACTTCTCTCAGCAAGACGAAATTCATATAACTCTTCCTTCCATTCTATAGGTCCAACCTTTTCTAGGTCTTCAATGAATCTCTCCGTTGGAGACCCCCAGTAGCTGCCTGTCCCACTAAATCTCCACTTAGCCTTCTCAGCATCCCGCCAGAAATGCGGCCACAGCATCAACTGGGCTTCTTGTCCATGCAAATGTTCAGTCTGGGTGGCCCATAACTGAACAGGAAGGTGTCTTTGGCGCAACTGACTCTGTGGGATACTGAATCCCATAACGGGCGGGCGAATCCCTCTCAAGCTGGAAATCTCGGCTTGTTGGGCTTGTGTCATAGGTGCTGGAAAATAGACCCAAAATAATTGGGTGAATGATCGAGATAATGGGCCAAACCATGACCCGTATCCATGAATAGTCTCCCAAGAAATAAGAGGTACTATTGATGCATTGGCAAGGCTCTCTCTATAAAGCTGGGCTGAAGGGGACGCCATAAAATCCCTTAATTCTGAAGTAGTGTACCATACTATAAGTGCAAATTAGTATATATACGAGTAATTTGACCTTTGGAGGATCACGTACACGTCGCTAGCATCACTATATCTGGATTTCCCTGCTCTCTGGCCCACACTGTGCTTTCGTGGCCTACTGCATGAAGCAACGGCTGGCAATAGGAATCCAGCTCCTCCCCCGGAGGCACCTGGAGCTTAGTCCAGACAACGATTTTGGGGTCGTTTGGGTCATTAGTCAACGATTTTGTCCGGCCGCAAACGGACCCGCGAGGATTCATATCTCGAGAAACTCGGAGATGATTGATTGGGAGCAAAACTAAATTTGCTTTCAACCTCGAATATATAGATGCTGGGCACATGTGTCACGTGCTGATAGGGAACAAGGCTACGTCTGTACTACTGAACTTTATATGTGGAAAATGTTGAATTATTCCAGAGTCCCCTTTAGTTTATGGAGGCATTGGTCTCGCAATGATTCGACCATATGTTTGTTTATTAATGATTAGCGCATTAGAGGATTGGAAAGACAGGAGATTATGTGTCTCCGTTTGATCCTCCTAGGATGAGACTTCGATAGGCGGTTGAGATGTCACTTCAGGTTGCACTGCAGCCTTTTCTCCGGCTGAGGTCTTTGAAGAGACGTTCTGATTCTCGGTTGGCGTTGGTGCTGCAACAGAGTGAGGCTCTGTTGGCGGTACAGCTTCTAGCTCGTATGGTTGGGTGTCCGCAGACAATTCTGATATTTGCCTGTCGAAGGTAGGCAATTGTGGCATGAGCGCATGCGATTGCAATTCCGGTACTGGCTCCTGATTCCCAGCCAAATCCGGCGTATGCGTGCTCTTAGATATTTCTCTCGTTCCAGTCACTGCTGACACCGGTTCTGATCGAGGAGAAAACGCCTCCGAGGATAAGACACGCATGAGCGACTCTGCCTCGGGTGGCGCAGGGATCTCCCCACTGAGCAATTGCCGCGCCGTCACTTTTCTCTTGTAGAGTCTCTTATTAGTCGGCGTGAGTTGGATGTAAAAGCTCCCCTCGGCAGCGAGCCCAGCATACAGCCCCTTGGTCTTGGAATACGCAAACATAGGCGAAACGCCCTTGTGACTCGCGACTGCGGTGATCTCAGCGCTTCTTCCAACTGGACCCAAGGCGACTGATAAGTGAGTGCTCAAAGCGAAGTTCGCTACTTGTGCGAAATCTCGCACGGCGCCGCTGGTGGTGAGGATGAAGACGAAATCTGTCAGTTCGAACCCGATTTGGCCCCCAAATCCGCCCCCAAACATTGTCACGGCAGATGGAGCCGACCAGGTGCCATCGTCTAGACGAGAGATTACGAGTCCCGAACCGACTCGAAGAGAACCTAGCATTGAGGCTCTGAAGCCAGTTAGGATCACGAAGCCCTGTGTGAGAAACGTTAGTGAAAATGCAAGACTCGAGCACTCTGTTCAGGGGAATACAGATTTCCTCGTACCTTGGCATTCGCGAGTTGGCGAGGAAGTGCCGCGCCCGGATTGCCTGTGATAGATGGAGTGATGAATGATTCAAGAATCATGCTGGCTTTTTCGCATTCGCCTGTTGAACAAGCTGTCAGTATGAAGATGCGCTGGTATTAACTATAGACGCGGAACGGGGTACGTAAATACGCACTTCGCAAAGATGCGGGCAGCGGTGAGTGCAGGCCCTTCGGCATGATGAGTTCTGAGATATCCTTGTAATCCAATAACCTTTTTAAGTCCAAACTTCACTTCGTGGATCCTGCGAATTCGAGATGATCCACTGTTTTATTAATGTCTCCACAAAACGGTTGTGAGTTTAAGTAAACGTTCTTGGGGCCGCATCATGATATACGACGGATTTCAGGGGTTAAATAGTTAATTTGGAGTAAAGTATTCGGAGGACTAGCGTCAAAGCATAGCCTCGCATAGCCTCAGCAAATCATCACTTTTACCCCTGTACGGAGTAGAGCATGCGCTAATGATATAGATCTCGTATTGTGCGGCGCTTTGGGGTCTATAAATATCATGACAAGGTTGTTTCGAAGCGCCAATTCCTGATCAGCAACTTACTTCACCCAAAACTTTTATTGCTAAATAGAATAGGATTGCTTATACGAGTGTTATTGGAAATCTAGTTTTGGATATGATCTTGTTGATAAGGGAAAGAAGGGAATGTAGATGGATATTCTGACGCCTTACCTTCAGATGGAGCACTTACTACTTGATATCCGTGGAAGGCAAATCCATACTTTTACGAAACACTCCATACCCTCAGTATCCTATCTGCCAGGGACAGAGCTAAGCAAAACTCCCTAATGGCAGATATTACCATGAATGTACCAGGTGAAACGTTACCACGGCCTCCATTGGGCTGTCCAAGACCTCTTTTTTTTCCGTGTCCGGAAAAAGAAAGCAGGTCGTGAACAAGGAGCGCGGTCAGAGAGCCTGTGATTGCTCTTGGAACTCCTTTCGCGATCGATTCAATGGGGTTGTATCGATCATGTCTCTTCTTGCTAGAGCCAAGGCTGGGACGGTGCCCATGCCGAGGCGGAGCAAAAAAGAGGAGTTCCTTTTTTGTGATCCGTACGGATCTGTGTTTTCTGGATCTAGTTGGAATATCATGAATGCTTATCTGGGGAAGGGAGGGGATCTCGAAGAAAGGGCGCGTAACCATTAGATTCGTTAAGACAACGTTCACTTCTATTTTATCATAGGGACTGCCCGCCAGATGAAGCATCACTTCATTCTAGCAGCCATGAACCGACTGACCTTCTTGGTCGGTTGTTCCGGGGCATCATCGAGCGGAACAATTTCCGGCTCATCATCGTCCAGGAAGCCACCGTTTTGGTGGATCACCCGGTTGCTCATCTTGTAGAACTCCGTCGCAATTTCCTTCATATGCAACTGCTCGTCCAGCTCGTCTGGTTCAGGAGGAACTGCGTTAGTTTTAGAAGTATCACGCTCAACAAGGGTATCGGCTAGGGTTTTGCCTTCAGGTGGACGGGGCTCGCTTCTTGGGGTATCATCAGAGATAATATCAGACATGATGGGTTTTGAGAACGGTTTCTCTTGAGCCTTTGCGGGGAACAAGGGCAATGTGGGAGCTGGGTTTGAGACTGGCCGTTCGCGGACTGGCGCAGAGGCCATGTTGGTACCAAGCATAGTGGATGGCACAACAGCTGGAGGCGGCACAGCTTCAGAAGACCGAGCACTCTTAAAGCGGGAAGTCTTCTTAGGTGCTTTTGTCTCTGGCTGAGTTTCAGTGACGGCTGATTTGCGTTCCACGATAGAGTCCGCCATCGGATTAACCTCTGGTGCCCTCGGCGCGGTCTTTTTCTTTTCCTCGACCTTGGCTGCAGGCTCCGGCTCTGGCGCGATGTCTAATTTGTCCGCAAACATGACCTTCTTCTTCGGTTTCTTCGTCTTCTCTTCAGGTTCCTGTTCCTTCTGGACCTTGACGACCATCGGCTCCTCGAGGTCCCGTCTCAATTCCTCCGGTAGGGAGCTGGTATCACGACCAATATTCTGCATGCCGCGTGCATTCAGCTTCCTCTCGAGCTCCCGCATCTGCTGGTGGTACTCTTCAGTGAGAACTTTAGAGGTAGTTCGGCCATATTCATCCTCTTCCTCTTCAGAGTCATAGTAGTATGAATCATAGTCGTCGTCAATTGAGATCTCACTGCCGTCTTCGTCAAGCTCTAGCTCTGCAACGACAGCCCCGACTTCGTTGAGCCCGTACGCGAGCATCTCCCGGCGCAGCTTGGCATCTTCTGGAGGCTCATCAACATCTGTGACAGGAATCAGGCGCTCCTCTCGTTCCTTCACGCTCTCGGCAATAGTAGACGTAGATTTGCTATCAGCCCCCGCATGTACCCCATTTGTTTGCGACGGGGCTGGTTTCGGTTGATCCACAGTACTCTCTTTCTCTTCAACCTTTTCAGGACTTGACTTCCTCGCTTCATCCTCTGCTTGACTCTTACTCTTATGGTCAAGAGTCCCCTGTTTCTCCTTCTCCTTGTCCGTAGATTTCTTTCCCTCCCCAGATACTTCCGTAGCTGCCCCGGGCTTAGCCGGTATATCCTTAATACCCGCCTTCTTCAACATTTCCAAAAGCTCAGGAGCCTCCTTTCCAGGCGTGGAAGTAGAACTAGCAATAACCCTACCCTCCTCATCCAGCTCCTCCACGATCTCCGTCATGGCATATTCTTCCCCCTCCTTAGCCATCATATCAGGCTGTTCTCCAGAAAGTAACGCATCGCGCTTATCCTCCGCTGCGCGTAGTCTCTTCTCCACAGTCGAGACGTTCTGCTTCACGTAATCGATCCGTCGTGAGATCAACTGCACGATTTGCTCTTTTGTTCGCGACACGCCCTGTCTCTCCCCGAGGAGAACTTTGATTTCATCTTCTGTGACGAGGGAGGCGTCAAATTCGCGACTGATTTTGAGAAGATCAGCCTTGGTGCTGTCGTCGCTGAGTGAGCTGATTTCTTCCTTGAGCGCGTCGTACTCGGCTTCCCAGAGGCGCCAGTGATAGAGCGATTGCTCGAGCTGGCGGACGTTCTTCTCGAGCTCGAGGCGTTGATGCTCGAGATCAGCGAGAGTATCGTCGGGAGCGGGCATCTTGACCACGCGGGCGCAAGGCGGTTGAATGCTCTATTTGAGACAGGTGGTAGGAAAATCGGAGATTAAGGAATTTTTTGAAGAGGAAAAAGGATTAGTTATCTAAGTTAGAATTTTGTTTCTTCGTCTTTCTAAGCCGCGGGGAGATCTTTCGGTTCCGGAGGCAAAACTCCGCTCCGCCCCATCTGAGTAAGTAAAGTGCCTGTCTAAGACTAGGTACCTAGGTATGGTACTACTTAGTTAAAACAATCAGTCGATCGACCTTCCAAGCTCTCCTCCGCCGTCGAACAGCTCCCTGCGTTCCTCGCCTGCACCATGTCTCATCTGCGCAATGGAGCTGTTCGCCATGGGGACGAAGATGGTGAGTCTCTTATATTCAACCTATAGCTATTGCTTTACACCACGAACTAGAACTAATCACGATCATCATAGAGGTCTGCCCCGTCTGCAAATCGTCCCGATATCTAAACCCGGACATGCGTTTTCTCATCAATCCAGAATGCTACCACAAGATGTGCGAGTCTTGCGTCGATCGGATCTTCTCGTCCGGTCCGGCTCCCTGTCCGGTGGCGGGCTGTCATAAGACGTTGCGAAAGAATCGGTTCCGGAAACAGACCTTCGAGGATATCGGCGTGGAGAGAGAGGTTGATATTCGGAAGAGGGTTATGCAGATGTAGGTTACATCCCTATCCCATCTTCTACACCTGGTGCTATTTCTGTGGCAATGTGTTGTGAAATGCGCCAAATAAATCAAACCATAAATAAGCTAACACCCATGTGTCTATCTACAGCCTCAATCGTCGCGAAGAGGAGTTCGCAACCAAGCGGGCTTGGGATGACTTCCTCGAACAACGCGAAGAGATCATCGCAAACCTCGTGACCGGCATCGACGTTGCAAAGACCGAAGCCGACCTCCAGAAATACGCCGCGGAGAACGCGCACTCCATCAAGGCAAACAGAGCCCTAGAGTCGCAGGAGAGCACCTCTTTCATGGAACAGCAGTCCTTCGATCAGGAACAGGCACGTCTGCGCCGCCAGGCCGCGATACAGGAATACCAGAACGAGCGGCGTGAGATGCTCGCGGGTCGGGAGGATATGCTGGCTCGTCTGGCATCAGGCACCGCTGCAGACGCGGCAGCTATTGCACGAGAGGGACAGAAGGTCTTGCTCAAGAAGTCGTCTGCGCGACGGAGTGAGGAAGACAGGATCCGCGCGAAGCAGGCAGCTCTGCGCGGCTTGGAGGCCAAGAAGGGCGCTGCTGCAGGCCAAATCACTACTGCAGATACAGCCGGTGCCGACTCTGGCTTGATCAAGGGCCTGAAGAAAATCACGGTCCCAGAGCCAGAGAAGCCTTACGACCCGTTTGGCGGATTGCTCCCCGGAAAGCGGGATTACTACCAACTACAAGACCACTACCCATCGAGTTATCTGGAACCCATACGGAAAGACGTCAGGATGCAAGCTGGTGGCTACGACCTCAAAGAATACTACTCCAGGACATTACTGGAGGCTTTTGCTGGCTTGGGCTGTTTCATCGATGAGGAGGTCGCAAAGAGAGACGCAGACTCCCTAGCTGCCTCGAAACCTATCGCCACGGAGGGAGCTGCTGCTGCTGCTGTCTCGACCGGTGGTGTAGAGGTGGAGTGAGCTTGGGCCGTCGGGTGTAATCGGTCTTTACGCACCAGCTCGTTCTTTCGGGTGGGATTCTAAATGTTATTTCTTCATTACCGGAGGGACGTTTCTAGCATAGCGAGGAGTTTCGGCGCATCACTCATGGGAATAAAAAAGGAACATTCTTTTTGACGATCTACTGCGGGTCGGTTACCTATAGGGACACTGGATCTAATATTCTAACTAGGTTTAGCCCACTCTTCTTATATAGAAAACAAAGGCGATGACTTCATGAGCTACGGTTGCGATCTCTACTAGGATACCTCTACTGTTATAGGAGCTGGACCACATACCAACTTTTACTCTCTCCATTGGAGTATGAGCTGATTATTCAAATTTCTCGGCCGCGGATAGTAAAAATACAACCACTGAATCTCTAACCAAGAGCCACACAGGTACAAAGTTCAACCAGATACAACAGTACAACATCTTCCTGCAGTGCAGAAACGGATCCAATGGCTCCCAAACACCCAGAGTGCAGTGCGCGATGAACAGAAACACAACAAGGACCTTCAGCATATACTTCGAACTCGAAGCTCATAGTAGGCGGACATACACCCAAAGGGTCAGTCAACGCCCAGTAGAACCAAGCTCAAGAAGTACACGAAGGTCATATCCATACGCGGACAGACTTTCCCCGCGACGTTGTCAAAAGGCCAAGAACGCAAGCAGAAACACGACAGGAACTGCACTGATGCACTTCGAGCTCAAAGCCCATAGTAGGCGGACATACACCAAAAGGTCAGTCGACGCCCGATAGAACCAAGCTCTAGAAGCACAAGTACATAGGAATGGTTCCCGTCAATGTCACACAGGTATAGTTTCAGCGGCGAATGAAGAAAGCACAGAAGGATTTTTCCACGGCCCAGAGAGACAGGTCTGAAGTTATGGTGGCCTCGCACTGTCAGACCCATTGTGTCGTGAATGTAACAAAAACGGCAAGCAAGAAAATCCAACACCTTCGGACGAAAACCAAGAAGTCCTAGAAGAGAAGAGCACGCTGAAGAAGATAATAATGTGCCCATCCAGAACAAAAACCGGGCCATGCAATCAGCCCAATGCAATCGAAAAATCAGATTAAATGTCACGTCGGCCGCCAAAGCTGCGACCCGTCACCTCTCCTGTACTCTCAATGCCCTCCCAAGGAAGTTCATCGTCTTCGTCCGGATCATAGTCATCATCGTTTTCCACACCAACGTTCCTCTTAGATGATCCATTGCTGAGACCCGTATTATCTGCCCCAGGCGCTGGTTGATCGACGTTAATTCCGATAGACTGGAGCGTAACCTCCAGTTCCTGCTCCGTCATGAGCTGGCCGTTCTGCTTCTGGCCTTCGAGAACATCATAGAGAGCATAGATTTGATCCGACTTCGAATCTATATCTTTCAATGTATTCTCAATCCTCTCATACAATTTCTTCCTTTGCCGCTTGCTGAGAGACGCGTCCATTCTGTTGTATGCAGCTTGGTATCTGGCAAGAAGCATCTTAAGGTGCGAGAGTTCGTCCTCAAGAGTCTTCAAAACAGTGGCTAGGGCAATGGCTGGCGGCTGTGACGGTCGTAACGTGTGCTCTTCGTTGTAGGAATTGGACATCGGAATACGGTCGCTGACAGGCACAGGCCTGGGTATGGTGACGCTTTCTCGACGATACGAATCACCGTGAGAATGCTCGACACCGCTAGGGATAAATCGTTTGCAGATAGTGCAGTTCGTCCCGTCGTGCTTCGCAACTGTATCCAGCACACGCTTTGCCGATTCGGACAGTTTCTCAGTCCTCGCGAGTTCTGGGTCTGAATGATGCAGAGTGATATCAGGGATAATGAAGGCGGAAGTCATTTCCCCATTGTTGGTGGGACGCCGCCGTCGCACAGTCGACACGGAGTTATCAGAATGGCGGCGGTGACGTTCAGAGACAGTCGGTACGCGCAGCTCCTTATTGCCGTCATCGATCGTCTTCCCCGTCGCGTCACCAGTAGAGGCACGTCTGGTAAAAGATGGCTTCGTCTCCTTCAGCGACGACTTACGTGGCCGCGAGGGAATAGCTGCCGGACGAGTAGCGTTACGACTCTCATCCGCCGTGTGATCTCTCACGGCAGCAGATAGTCGCTGCTTGCGCGCCGCTCTCTCTTCTTCAAGTGTCTTGCGCAACTGGGCTATTTCATTGCCATCAATGAAGCTCAACAATGTCAGGTCTTCATCAGCGCCAGTCTGGTCCCGAGTATCTTCCGTGTTAACCGAGGTTGGCTCGTCAATGTCCACGTCTTCAACCACGACCCTCTTGACTCTTTGCTTGCTCGTATTCGGCTTCTTTGTCTGGGAGGCCTCCCGTGAGCGGCTAGCTGCCTTCGAGGGCTTGGACGTGGATGCCGCATGGCTTGATCTAGGGGCATCAAGAGAGAAAAGAGCATCATCTTGTTGCTCCTTCTCCAGTCTGGAAATTTCCTCGTCAATCTGCTTCGACACCTTTGCCTGAGAGCCCTGTCGGTTTGCGGAGCTCGATCTACGAGCTACAGGCTTCGTCGGCTCTTCCAAAGATTGTCTAGTCGTGTCAGCGCTTTGCTGAGTATACATCCCCTCGTCGTCGGCAGCTTCTTCGTCGTCCATTCCACGCTCCGAGCGGGTAGTACCCTCATCACGGGCCTTGCCCTTTCGCGTGAGAGCAAGCAATTTCGTCACCTGAGCCTTGAGTTCCGCGTTTTCCTGTCTCAAGGACTCATTCTCTGCCTTCAAATCCTGTGAGTTAAGATACGCAACTCCCAGCTGGGAGACTGCCATGTCGTGTTCACGCTTGAGAGTCTTAAGAGCGCTTTCATGTACATCGACTTTTCTGTTGGCAATCTCGAGGCTATTCTGCAATGCGTAGTTGGCAGATTCGAGTCCTGAGTCTAGTCAGTAAAATGGATTCAAAACAGAGACAAATCACACATACGATTCTTTTCGGTGCTGAGTTTTCGGTTGGCGTGCCCGTATTCGTCTTCGTCGCTGCCATAATATCTTAGGCGGTTGTACTGGTCTTTTTGGCGTCGGGCCTTGTCTGCTTTCAATATCGCGTTTTCTTCGCGCATGTCTTCGAGTCTCTTCTCTGTCTCTGACCTGGAAAGCTCCAGCTCCGCCACCTTATCCTGCAGCAGCCTCAATGAGACAAATAATGCTTTTTCGTCCTCTGGAATAGGAACAGCGTCCACTGGTCTGTGGTTGTGAACGTACGATGGCTCACCACCGTCGTGTGGTGGGGAGACAAAACGCGTTGTTCGCGATTTATTCTTTCCCGGGAACACCGGTGTCCCATTATCATACACACCCGACACGAGCTCTGAGAGATTTGGAAGGTCAGGAAGGAGGAAAGATTGGTGAGTGCCAGTGTCTGCAAAGGTGTTGGATGTCTGCGTGAAATTCGCGGAGTTTCTCGTGTTGGAGTCCATCCTGGCACCGCGGCTGTCCCTTCCATAGACGTCGTAGGATGCTTTGTCAACGGCTTCGGCAACTCTTGCCTGAATATCATTGACCCGTGCACTTCCGAATCTCGTCGTCCGCTTGTTCACAGGGACATTCGAAGGCCGTTCGTCGGCGATAAATGAGCCATCATATGTGTCACGAACCTTGGCGTGAATGTCTGACAAGGTCCGGCGCTGGTCGTTACCCTGAGCAGTAGCGGGTGTAGGATTCCTGGGTCTGGGGACAACCTGAGGCTCAACATTTTCTTTCTGCGCTTGGCTTGCCCGTCTGAGCTGAGCATCCTTGCGGAGGTTGTCAGCACCGCTAGTGACGCGTCTGCTGGTAGTGCGCGTTCTCAGCTTTGATTGCGCCTGTGGAGAGGGATAGTCCAGCTTCACCGCTGGGGAGGAAGAGCGGACACTGTTCTCGAAGCTCATGACTGACGTCCTCGAGTCGTCCAGCTGTCGAGCCGTCGTCTTTGCTCCTCGTCCGACTTCAATGGACATGTCGTCGTCCTCTTCGGAAGAGTGAACCTGGGAAAAGTCGGGAAAAGCCCGGTGCAATGCAGACGTGTCGATCGCGAAATCAGCGTCGTCCTGCGCGTCGCTGTCGCGGTTTTTCCTTGCGCTTCCTCTTATCTCTGGAAGCTCGTGGCTGCTATCGATCTGTCTAGTTGACGCGAGAGCTTCGTGCTCTGGATCAAAGTCCGAAATTGTAGAATCGCCAAAGGAATCTCGACTCGCCGTCGTGGCATCCGAATGTCTTGTATAATAATCAGCAGGCATGTTGCGCTGGAACTTCCAAGCAGCAAGCCGCGGTAGAATTTGAGATCGTCTTCGCAAGATAATGCTCCTTTCTGTCGTCTATTTTGGCGTCTAGATATCACCAGGTCAAAGCACGGATGCGAAAGCGTTGTCCGTGGTAACAGAGACGATCCTGGTCGTACGACGCGACAGATCGCGTCTGATGAGACAGGGAGAAGTATGCCAGCTGTAATAGAATACACGAGACAGCCTGATAAGTCAAGATGTTTGTGCTGTCACGTATCACGCTGGCGATGCCATGGATTTCAGTGTTCCAGGTGGAGAGGCATCAAGGATGTGTTGGAGTATTATGGAGCATCGAGCATTGAGCATCGACGATGGGCGCCGAGAAAGACGGTTTGTTTACTGCGGTGGCCGGGGCACTAGTTTCTCAAAACGGGCAAGCGCGAGCTGAGCTGGCCGCGAGGGAAACCACGGGTCACGGGACGGCCACTGCCTCGTGGACAACGCTGCACCGTAGGATTGTATTGATACATTAATTATTTATTAACCAGGCTAGCAAGAGTGATCCGGATCATCCATCAAGAAAGCTTTTATGGCGTAGGCCATGAATACCACATAGGTAAATGAGTTCTGGCTGCGGACAATACAGTGCGCAATCTCCAGGCTTGCCCTGTAATAAAATAGCAATCAATATATTTTACCAAGGCATGTCCAGTACACAGACAATCCCACCCTTAGAGACTTAAACATCAAAAATCTCGCCAAAATATACAATGTTTACTCGATCCTGATCTTAGTTTGATTTCAATTGTCCAAAATACGGAAATAGCGACAGCCAGTTCCACCCCAATGACCCGGCCTCTGTACAATTCGCATATGCCCGTACTCCCGACACAAAAGAATACATGAAAGGAAATGTACCGAAGCCAATTTGTATGTAGAGACTTTCAGCGGAAATATCGATTCGGGGAGGGGTTACATGTCTGCCCTTGAACTGTACGGGTATAGATAAGAAGCTAGGTCAGAACATCCTCCCCCCAATAACCCAATAACGCCATGCTAGATATCGAGATGAAGATGATAAGAGACAGACAGGTGAGAGGGGAAAGAGCGTGCTGTAGATAAAAGACAGTCATTATGTCGTGTTCATGTCACGTAAATCCCTTCGCTGGGGATCCCGCGTTGTATGGGAGAAAAGACACATATGTTCCATCGCGGTTAGAAACTGGGGTCAAAATGATAGGCAGGCTATTGATGATCATGGATACTCTCATGATCTGACTGCGTCGAGTCTTCCGATTCTCCCACGGGAGGAAAGCGAGGGGTGTTCGGTGTAGCAGTCAACGGCGTCGCAACGTCGATATGGATGGCCGGGATATTTGCGATCCCAGCAAGCTGCGGTATTTCTGGTCGTCTTTCGCTCGTCGGGCTCTCATACGGTGGCGCATCACCCAATCCCACCTCTTCATAATCAGGAGGTGGCGGGATCTCAGACTCGCCGACGTCGACTTCGTCCTGTTCGGATGCGCCAGGGCCAGCCGAAATCCGAGAAACCACGGGGTTGAGGGTATCGGAATCAGATCCACCAGTCGATCCGGACATCATGGAAGATCCCGAGTCGCCTCTAAAGTGAGAATTGGTTCGACTGGACGAGAGAGAAGGTCTGGCTTCGGTACCCATGGCGCCGGCAGAATCCAGCAACGGAGCCTGATCGGAATCTGCCGAGTTCGCGCGCAGTCGCGATCCATCATGTCGAACCTGTCCAAGAGCCGCATAACTGACGCTCGATATCCGCCTCTGTCGACTACGAGATCGTTGTTCTGCTAGCATGGCCGCCGCGCTGGGTGTCGGACTGCTGGCATCTTCGGAACGTCTGCGGATGCTCTCGCGGCGCAACTCCTCTAGACGAGCCAAATCACCACGGCTTCGCGCCTCCCGGCGTTCTCGTCTGCGTTCCTCACGGGCCTCAAGCTCGCGTCGTCGACGAAGGCGGATCTGATACAGTGCCTCCATCTGACTCTCTCTGCGTGATTCCTCCTCCTCGGCTGTCTCCGGGAATTCGACCACAACATCCATTCCAGCTCTCTCTCCCTCTCTAGCAATGACCTGCTCCGTGGGCTTCGGGGTTACCGAATAAGCGGGTAAAGTGATTACGGAGCGGATGGAAGAATCACGGCGTGGAGCATTCGTCGAGCGCATCTCCGAACTGACTGTAGTGACGGGATTATAAGAAGTATCCTGATTGCGATCTGGGGTCGAGCCGCCCGATACTTGACCGTAGGTTTTTCCAGGGTTCCAATTCTTCCATTTTTGCTTCAAGTATTTTCCCGGTAATAGTTTTGGCTCATAGTCTCTCTTGCGAAGGGCGCGGAGGACAGTATATGTTACGACACAACTTGAGATAACAAAGACTATCACTGTAACACCCTATGATCATCATGAACGTCAGATCCAAAGCAATCCAGAGCAAGCAAGAGGAAACAATGATAATAATCGGATCCAATGCGAAGACTTACGACAATCAAGGATGTGTTCTTATCACTGTTTTGGCTCTGACGGGGTTGCAGATGTTGATAATCTAAGTGGGGGATCCACATCTTCACAACGTCGTGCAGAGTGCAGACGAGATACCTGCTTAGCGCATGCGATTTGTTTTTTTTCTTTTTTTTCTTTTTTCTGTTTTTCCTTTCCCCTGGAGAAATGCCCTCGAGATTTGAAATCGTGAGGGTCAGTTGAAATTCGCGTGGATGAGGCGACTGTGGCGCAGTTTCGAGAAGTTCAATCCGCGCAGATCCGTCAGGCGGAACACGGAGAAGAGCTGTTCGAGGGCCTCGTCGGAAGCTTTGTCAGAAGCGCGACCACCGAGACTGATTGATTAATCAATTCTTGCTGGTTAACGGGAGTCCCTAAGCAACTAGGTAACGAAGCAACGACATTGTCGCAGGCCCAAGAAGATGACGCAGGACAGTGGATTGGCTCAGAGATGGAGCCTGTCGCAAACGACAATAGGAGAGCCAGGGGCGGTTGAGGTTGGAAGAGGTAATGATGGAACAGATCGCGAGTATTAATTAACAAGAACGTCGTACTTTTTTTTTTTTTTCAGGGAACCCATCGGCTGGCATGGCTGGTTATCTGCGCGACCAGTCGAAACAAGCCCAGTCGATCGCAGTCTGACTTGTTCTACTCTAAGTACGCTCCAGCCCGCGTTCCCTGCCACCACAACCACCACAACTCTCGCCTTCGGGTATTACGACCTCTCTGCGAGGAAACGTGCCAGAAACTCTACCCAGCGCCATATGAATAACGAGGGCCAGATTCTGTGAGATGCCATCAGGCCGCCCAGATGCTCTGCAATACTCGACAGGTCTATGAATCGACGTGTGCCTGGATGGATATCGAACTATCCCTCGATAGGGCTGATCCTACACGCGGGACAATGTCAGCGCTGAACCAGGGTACTCCAGCACTGGGTCTCGTTATTATTATTCTGTATGGATGCTGCCCGGCGTTACCACACGATAAACTTCAAGCCTGGCTTTCTTACGTACCCCGTACCACAAATGCAGCCACGGCGGTTCAGTTACATATTTTTAGATCATTGCCACGCTAAGTAACACCGGCGGGTAGAATATGATCTTGCCTTTCATTGATGATTGCAGACAGCTTTCAACTAAGATGATTATCGCTAACTACTTACTAGCAACATTGCAAGATAACTTGCGTCTGTGATAGGTCTTGTCTATCGAATGCCTTTTCATTGTTCTCTTCTGTACTTTTGTGGGGTCATGGGCAATTGTGTCAGTGCCATTCTCTAGGGCGTAACTATCTCCTTCCAACTCTTTGTGCTGTCAACACTTCCTTTATTCTTCTAACCAGGGGCCCAGTATCTCCATATGGTATGGGGCAGCTGTTCCATGAGACAGGTGCTGAATGGACATGACGAGACTCGTTGTATTTAGACCATACTATGCGCAAAGTCCTGTAATGGCTTTGTATCTTGTACAGTTCGAGGTAGGAGAAACGCAATGTGTTAGTCCTACATACGATCGTCAATTGCCCACTCCCCCAATTTTAATTGCCCCTGGCATCGGCATCATCTATCAACCTTCTCAATTTCCCTTTCTCGCGTTGCATAAGCGCATGATATGGGCCTTCCTCCACGATAGTTCCCTGCTCCATGACCACAACATTGTCAGCAATGTCCATCATCTCCCTTGAGTGAGAGACGATGATAACCGTCAACCCTCTTCTCTGCGCAACCAGTTTGCGAACGGTTCGCCTGACGACTCCTGCGCTTGCGGCATCGAGACTGGCAGTAACTTCGTCAAGGACCAAAACACGCGGTTGCCGCACTAGTGCTCGAGCAATGGTCAGCAGTTGAGTTTGCCCGCCAGAGAAGCTCAGACCCCCATCACCAACGACGGTCGAGTATCCTTCAGGGAGGGATAAGATGAAGTCGTCAATTCCGACAGCCTTCGCAGCAGATCGGATATTCTCTTCCGTGTGGAAGGGTGACAGTGAGTCCAACCCATAAGCGATATTGGCAGCGATTGTGTCGGGGAACAATGCAGGCTGTTGAGGAACAACAGCAATGAGGGATCGAAGCCTTTTAATGTCTAGTTGGCCAATGTCGACCCCTCTCATTGAGATCCATGGGATTGAATCGTTTAACTGTGGTAGTGCATACAAGCGCATTAGCAAGGAAACCAATGTGGACTTCCCTGACCCTGAATGTCCCACAATCGTAGTGCAGCTGTTGGCAGGGATGCTTAGATTCAGGTCACGCACGGCAAGTATACCAGGCCGGGACGGATAGCCGAAATTAATATTCGCTAACGAGATCGGACTGGGGTTAGATATGTATAATATGCCACTATGCTCGTGAGAGTCCTTCTCTCCCAGACTCGCCATACGCAAGAGTCGGTTCGCAGAGAGCTGACTCGAATTCAACTGGGGGACTACTCTGGAGTCAGCGGTCAAGTCACAAAGACAACCAATGTGCGGAAAGAAACATACTCCACGATAGAACCATAGTAACATATCCAGTGCTGAATAGAAGTACGGAGAATACTGTCAAGATATCATGAGTTGTGTATTTTTGTGATGACGCTAGGACTGCTCCATAGTAGAAGATGAGCGCTAGCAATTGAGGTCAGTGATATCTGGTTCTTTCATCAGGAGTATTACGACATACCACTGATCAAAAGGACCATGGAATCAACAAGGCCAAAAAGTAGTCCCGAGTATCCAGCTCTCTTAAATCCTGCCTTGACCGCTTTAGTCGACGCTTTCATGTGCTTGACTCGAAAATATGATTCCAAGGTCAAGGCTTTCACAGTTTGGATACGAGAGAACGTGTCCGCGAATATCAACGACGAACTGTCTCTGATCACATCACATCGCGTCTCCCATTCTTTGCTTATTTTCTCGAACCCATCTGTGACTGCGTATATGAAGGGAGCACATGCGAAAATAACCACTGACAGCTCCCAGCAAGTGAAGACACTCCAGACACCTGCTATCGATATGATGGCAATAGTCAACAAGATAAACCCCAGAACCTTGCTAATTAGATTTCTCATATCCTCTGCATCTTGAGTGAGATGTGTCACGAGAGTAGATGGCTCATTCTCAGTTTGTTCGAACCATGATAGTGGTTGATCCAGAATTCGACTCATAGCCACTTTCCGGATAGAATCGATCCACACTTGTCCACAATATTCTAGCATATAATGCATTAGATACGATGCAGCTGTGTCAAGTATACCGACAGCGAGTATTGCAAGCGACCACTTCATTGTGCTCTCTGAGCGGCGGCCGTTAGCGTAGAATGTCTGAAGTAGACGAGAGAGCAGGTATGAGAAAACAGGAGTGGCAACGGCATGAATGACAGTACTGAATAGAGCCAGGACAAAGATTAGGCGCTGACGAGCGTTTAGATGGGTAGGTATCCTGATCATCACTTCTGCTATCGATAACAAATGATGTTCCTTTTCCTGACACGGGATTTCGGCTGGGTTATGTCTACGTTGGCATGTTGAACGCGGCAATCTCCTTTTGCATTTAGGGACTTTGTCTTCTGGGGGAAACTTTCTGTCCTTCTCAGGAATATCGTAGTCTTTATTGAGCGTGTCTAACGTGTCTGTCGCTTTTTCCTCCTGGGATTCAGCCGGAGTAATCATACCAAGCTCATGCTTATAGCCGGAACATACAACACGACCCTGCTTCAGTACGTAAATCAAATCTGAAGGCCGAATTTGTGATAAGTCGTGTGTGATGACGATAGTTGTCTTCCCTTCTCGCCATTGACGGATCGAGTCCATAACATGTCTCCTAGTTGTATAATCAAGGGCGCCGGTGCACTCGTCGAGAATCAAAATCGGGGTATCTCTCAGCCTTGCCCGAGCAATAGCAATCCGCTGTTTTTGGCCACCGCTCAACGTATTTCCCTGGGATGTGACAAAAGTGTCCAATTTCTCTGGGAAATTCCCAATTGTTCTTCGCAGCATAGCAACATCGATACTTTCTTGAATGTCCCCTTCTGTGATCCTTTTGTGTTCCGGGCAACCAAATACGATATTCGTCAATATGGTCTCGTCGAAAAGCGTGTTCTGCTGGTGGAAAATTGTGATGTTATCTCGAATCCAATCAGAATCAAGTGCTTCCATAGGATATCCGTCTATCGTGATTTTTCCGGACATTGGAGCATAGATTCTTGCAAGCAGAGAAGCGAGCGTAGATTTTCCGGATCCAATAGGCCCAATAATGAATGTCATTTCTCCAGCGGGGAAGAGGAAACTTGAGGATTGAAGCGCTAGCCTTTCTAGATGCGACGGATAGGCGAAAGATATCTTTTCTTGTTAGATTCCAAAAGAAGCTTGAGATGCCTGTATTGTACTTACATTCTTGATCTCGATGCTGCCTTTGCAGCGGCGAGGATAATGCCTCTCCACTAGCTGCTTACTACAGGACGATTGATCCATAATCGCTCTAAGTGAGCTACCGGCTGCTTTCCCTTTTTCGATGATGACAGTCTGAGGAAGTATTTGCTCAATCGACTGCACAAGGACCAGACAGGCCCAAAAGGTCCTTAAAACCTGACCAGATGATAGAGATCCAGAGGCAACTAGCGAGCTACCATACCAGAAGCCCTGCACAAACATCCCAAAGCTCATAAATCGAACACAGGAGATTTGAGAAGCGCTCAGATGTGCTTGCCATAGATAATATTGTGCGGCACGATTGATACTGGCGACATATTTGTCATATTCGAATCCTTGTCCGTTAAAACACTTCACAACGCGGATCAATGAAAAGGCGTTGTACGATATCCTCGACGATGTGGCCAGCTCGTGCTTCTGCATATCAATTCCTTGCTGTATCCTAGACGAGAGCCAGGAGACTAGGGCTGCGCAGGGAGGTACCGCAGCGAGCGTTACCAGTGTTAGTCTCCATGACGTGAAGGATGCTACACCAAGCGCTACCAATGCCCGGATAGAGAATTGCATTGCAAAGCCCAAAGGCTCAGATGTAGCTCTCTGTAGATCACGTATTTTTCTAAAGTCCAGATTAGAACATGCTATAACAATGTCCGCAAGAGACTCACCCTTGAATATGGACTAAGAGGGCCCCAACACCATCCGTTTGACCTTCAAACCACGCCATATCTTTCTTCAACAACTCTAGAAAGAGAGCATCATGACCGCTCTTGGCTTGCAGTTCCCCAAATGTTAACCAAAACATCAAGCAAAGGCCACTCAGTATCCAGTTTGCGACGCCAAGGCTCAGCAATATGCCACAACTTTCAGAAGTTCTGCTAAGCAGTTCTTCGCCGGAAAAATGTCCAGCCCCAAATTTCGTGAGTGTGTCGAATATGTTACCAAGGAATATCGCGGATAAAGGCTGTATCATCGCAGCAGCTATCGTTGTAAGCACCGCTACTATAAGAGTAGGGATATGCTTGCGTGTTGTGAATCCGAATAGTGACAGAGTGTTTACTCGGCCACGTCTGGTGTTCTCATGACATGACATAGTTGCGTTTCCTCCTTCCATTCTGTACTGGCCGGCAGAGTCAAGAAAGTATTTCTTCGCCCTGTTGCATATAGAGAAAAAATGTCTCGACAACTTAGCGGAGTGGCCCATCTTCGAGATCAACAAAGCAGTTCGCGAGTCGGTTCAAAACAAAAATAGGAGGGAATGAACACCCATATCGAATCTAGACGATGCAGACACGAGTCAGGGGCATCTTTGAGAAGGGCTTGGAAGTTGACCACTAGATCATAGAAGTTTGTCAAATAAACCAGATTTACAAAGCGCGTAGAGTAAAAGTGTTGAAATTATGAATGAACTCTTTTAGTATTATTGTCTTCAAGAAAATAACTTGATTATGTCACGTGGGAGGCACTGTCCCTTGTTCTCCAATACCAGGGCGTCTCTCAAAATCTATGTAACTGCAAAATAAAGCCAGAGTTGCCTATCCGTTCATGACAGTCCCATCCAGATGACGAGACAGTCGACTAATCACTTCCATAACTGTAACCGCAACAAAGACCTAACGCCACCATTATGCCATATGTCGTGAGCCTCCTCTGGATAGGATCGGTCGAATATTGGTATTCAATCAGAATCTTATTGACACGAGTCTAAACTTCGTCCACGACCTTTCGAGCAGATGCCTGGCATTGTCTTCATCACCCAGGCATGAACAGGAATCTGGGTCTGGGGCTATCGTATACTGTCGAAGCTGGTATCTCGGGCGAAGAGCACTCCCTGGGCTACTTCGCGTCTGCTAAGAGTATGCTCTCATCCACCGCTGACATCTTAGGTGAGTCACATTCACGATGACTTTTCTTCAGGGTGTGCTCTCTCGTATATCCAGTCGTTCAGTCCCGCGCGGTTTCTGTCTCGAGTCAGATACGCTTCATAATTTTCCTCTTCCGTGGCTCTACTTACCGTGCGATCTCGACAGCATAGAATTGCATGCGGGGTACTATGTCGGAAATGTTAGCCAATCCAGGCCCAAGCTATGCCACGATGTGGCGCCATCTATCAAAGGCGCCCTACCGAAGATTGTCGTATCTTGCTCATATTCAAACTTGGGGTTCGCTCTCAAGATTGTACCGAAGTTGAAGTCGGCAACTTTCTTCTCGTACTGGTTCATGAAGTTGCGCCACTTCTCCTTTCCTTCTTTGCTCTTCATATCATCCTCATTAATGGTGGCCGCGGGATCGAAATCAGGGAATTCTTTCTTCAGGTGTTCATAGATCTCATCGTCCATTTTCGTCAGTCGCAACTGAGAGCCCCGCACCTTCTCGAGGATTGACCAGTAGGTCATCAAATGTTCGACGGCTATTTCGAATGAATTTCAGTTTTTGATAGACGCGTAGGTTCGCGAGCCAGGTACTGACCTTTCACTGCAAATTGCTTCTCGATCTAAATCAGATAGACTGTCAGTATGCCTGGTATTTCAGATTGTGCAGCGGGGAAACGAGTAATTTGAGCATTTACATCGTCAAGGTTCTCCGCCTTCTCGGGGTCAAATGGCTGAGACATGGTGGGCAGATGTGTCGGAGAAATGTGTTGTTTCTGGAGTGTTGATATGATACAGTTTCAAAAGGATAAAGCGTGCGACGATGTTGAGCGGAAGTTCTCACTCGAATGTACAGTATATATGTGGCTCACTATAATTTCTTTTCGCAGCGGAACAATTTTTGGTGAACCCCGCCGAAGGTTCGAGCCGCGGGGAGCCCATTACATCATCTACTAGCCTGAACGGGAAACTTCCATAGAGCAGGTGTCCGGACAATGTATATTATTGTTCATTCGAGATTATTATTGAGGAGGCAATTTCTACATGGATTTGTAGGTCTGAGTCAGAATTAAAGATTGCAAACAGCGTGTTTACTTCTAGATCAATAATCTGTACATCGGAATACATCGCGATTTGGCGGCTACAATTTTACGCTGGCGAAATTTCTTCCACCGTCGTGCAGATACGAAATGGACCTAGGACATGAGGGAATCATAATCATGAAACACAATGTTGGAGTATATCATAGGAGATATTCAATCACTGTCAGCATCATCAGGCAGCTCTTCCAGCCTGCCTTCCCGAGCCGCCTGCACCACAGGATTCTCGACGTTGATAAGGCCATTTGCTTTCGCCCTATAATCTAACATGAGCAGAACTGTAATGCATCTGAATCAACAGGGCATACGTACCTCTCAAAGAGAACAAATAGTCTTTCTGCCTCTCTCTCCTTTTCCTCCTGTGTCATAGGTGGTCCCGTATCCACTGGTTCTGCATCCCACCTCTGACCGGTTATTGGGTTGATTTCGGAATCAAGCCCACTTTCCTCTGTATTCTGAGGCACTCCTAATTCGCGAGATGAGAGGAAGCCTGCAGCGAACCCGTATCCGATGTTCTTTGTGAGTGTCTCTGCATCCTTCCCGGAGAGAACGAACATCAGCTCGGAGATGGCAGTCTTTAAGTTGAGTGAAGGCGTAGTTGACAGCTTCAACAATTTTGACGACAGAGTATCAGTTTGTCCAATCGGTACACTGCGGTCTGACTTCTCGGGAAGAATCAAAGCTCGCATATGTTCTCTCGGGCCCTCGGGGGCAACTTCATAAATGATAATAAGCAGATGCAGAAGTGTTATTGCCTGTGAGTCGAGGTCATCCGTCTTGTACGTAGCGACGGCCTTTTTCAGAATGTTGATCAGGCTGTCTACGTTGCGGTTCTGGTTAGAAGCCGGGAAGAGTTGACTGCTCTCATAGTCTTTGCTCTTGTTCCCGTCAAGATCCAGAACTGACAGACAATTGATCGAGTAGCCGACCACGCCATCGAGAGGCCGTTTCGGTATCTCTATGCGACTTAAGATTTCTAGGATGTGCGGGATTGAAGGGCTGAAGGCGGGCATCAAATCCGGATGAAGTTTTGCAATGTTGAATATTAGTTTGAGGGTGTCTGTCAATGCCATCTCATCCATCTGTGAAAGAGGGTCTTTTCCTCCTTTCACAAATTGCTCTGCGTGACGCGAAATTTGCTGCAATTGTTAGGAAACGATGGGCCCATGCACTGATACCAACATCAACTCACATAGTTAATATTGTCACCCAGACCATGGGCGTTGATGAGTTTCTCGAAATCCATAGTTGTGTCATATGTAGAAAGGAAGAGGATCCGACTGATGATCATCTCATCATCCGAAGAATCGGTCTACATGCGAGCTCGTTAACTCCTGCAAAACGTCTCGAGACTTCAGTCGACGCCCACCTTAAGCATTTCGGCTAGTTTCCCGCCATAACCCGTATCCACAAATATTTGGCGCATCTTCGGATCCAGAAGAAGAGAGTTTGCGACGCATCGCAACGCTGCGCGGCGTTCATCCGTAGTCTCCCCGTCGACGCCATATCTCATCAAGGTCTCAATCCCCTGCCTGAGTTGTCAGAAAGGACTACTTATTTCAGTTCGAAGAGTACGTGCGCTTTTCGAGTATATGGGATCCGCATTCACGGGATTTGTGCCATGTTGCCGTAGTTTCAGGAGTAATTGCGTGCGCTCTATACAGGGTCGTATGTAAGTTAGGTGCGGAACATAGAAGATGTATCTAGCATTCAGTGAGACTTACCAGTTGAAGAGAGACTTTTTGCTGTCAAATCCTGTCTCAAGCCGTCCAAAATTTGAGTGACATCTTTCAGCTTCTCTGGGGAAATTTCAAGTTATGAGCGAGCTCTTCAATGGGCAAGTGTAGCTGCACCTACCGGGGCCTTGCAGCCCTAGGAAGTTCATATTGCCTTAGAACAGACTCCCTTAGGCGTTCTGCACAGCTGTAGTAGTAGCTGACCTGTAATAAACTGCAATACGAATTAGCATCCGCTAGAGACTGACCGCAGTTAGGTTGCATCACGATGCTTGCATACCTGCCACACACGCGAGTATTCGTTGACAAGTAACCATGCAAAAAATGAGCTACTAGGAGAATATTAGGATTGCCATAACCAAGGACCTTCGAAATTGGTCTCCGAACTGTAGGTTGGTCCGTAAACGACAGTACGGAGCAATAGCTGTACGTACGGGGAAACCCCACCTAGTCTGGAAGAGCTACTACTTAGGTAGCTAGTACGGAGTTGGCACAGTTGACTTCAACGACAGCCGAAACAACAATTGGTTACACATAGGGTGGTGCCTTGCTACGTATACTACTAGATATAGAATGCATGGGAATTATGATCTATAGGACACTGCCCATGTATCTTAGCAGAAGCATCATCGTAACGCAAAGGAAAGAATCGATACTCCATTGATGCCTGTGCCTGTGTCTGCTTTGTCAGCTTACTGCCTGAGGCCAAAATCGCGCCACTGCCACTTAACGCGTCCGCCAGCCACTGTCGCGATCTGGACTCGCTGCGCGTCAGAGTTGTTGGCGTGCCTTCGGAGAAAGTATCTCACGGGCCCCAAGGGGATCCAATCGCCCTGGATGTTCTCCGCGAAAAATGGTTATGGGCACCTCGTTGTGAACTCACGCCAATTTCTGCACAGAGATGCCCTATGATTCTCTGTTTCCTTTTATCGACACCTGTTACTTCACCCTCTTTCTCTTGAAACATGGTGGAGGTCCTCGGCACACTCCATGCTCGTCCGCCAACTCCACCGAGGACAGTATCTCATGTCTTGACTCCTCACAGTGAGAGAGATCGGGTGCAAGGACAGCAGGCTCTCCTTGAAACCCCCGGTGATTCCCCCGCTTCAGCAAATGGATCAACATTGCGTTCCTCGAGTAGACACTCCAAAAGAGTGAATTTCTCTCCGTGGACGAACTACATCAAACCTCCGAGCTTCGACTCTTCAACCTCGAAATCTGCGGCGGAACTCAAGGCCTTACGACCTTCAAATGAACTCAAGCCATCGAAATCGATCCTCAAGATGACCAATGCCAATGTTCCCGTTGACCCCTCAAATACCACACCTCAGACGGCGGAATCTCTCGCGATGTTGGTGGAATCTGTTACCCAGCAGCTAGCTGGCGAGTCTCTTAGTTCAAGGTTAGATGCATACACGCATCTTTTGGGAGCGTTAAAGGCATATGAAGGGGTTCCAGGAGAACAAGAATTGGCCGGCAAGCTGGGTCTCATTACGCAGTTTATACAGCGGGATATTTGCAGAGACCTTGGGGAGGCTGGACCGTTGGACATCAATCTCACCATTCATGCTCTCAAGCTGTGCATCACTCTCATATGGAACCCAAGCCTAATGGCCCAGCTATCGGACGACTTTAAAACTTTTATTGTCGACCATTCAGTCACCTGTCTACAAGAGGCCAAGCTGCCGAAATCGGTCTTGACTCATTATATGCTTGTGCTTTCAACGCAACATTTCCATCCGAAGGTGATGACCAATGCTAGGTTAAACCGAATTCTCCTCGTTCTCCAGGATGTCACAGAGCGTGTCAAGGGAAATGCGGTCGTCTCTCAGAGATTGAGTATTTATCAACGCCTGCTCAACCAATCAAAGTCAGCTATGGCATCTCACTCAGCATTGTGGGTTGAACATCTGGTCTCAGGGTTGCTTCATCATATCAAAGATACCAGGTCAAAGGCCATTTCGTTAGGGTTGCAGACATCTGTTTCATTAGGGCCCAACTCTACTATATCAAACACTCTTAGCGACATTTTCGATCGACCGCTCGAGAAAGGCGGAAGACTAGTATCAGAAATATGTGAACGAATGTCACGAATGATGTCTACGCTCGATAGTGGTGTACATGTACCACAAGTCTGGAGCATTATCATCCTGCTTTTGCGAAGCAAGAGATTCAGTGTTGATCAATGGGAGCACTTCAAGGAGTGGGTACTAGTCCTGCAGAAGTGCTTTAACTGCAGTGAGCCGGCCATAAAAGCACAGGCCATTCTGGCATGGAATAGATTCGTCTATGTGATCAATCCGGACGAGTCCACGAGTTTGTCCCTTATAAGAATGCTCAGCAAACCCATCTTATCTCAATTCGAGCGACGGAAACACGATAAACTGGGATCCCAGGCCGGTCAACTAGCGTTGTCAAGTTACTACAACCTGCTTTATTATGCTTTTAGACCCTCAGTGTCCTTCCGCCATCTGGACGTTGTCTGGGAGGAATACATTGTGCAGCCTCTGAATAACATCTTCTCCACGAATCCGCGTCTGTCTGACAGACTATGCCAGGTTTTATCCTCCTTACTGTGGAGCCCGCAGGCAAAAGTCTGGTCTGAAGACAAGGTGAACCAAGTCGCAAAGCTTGATCCAGAAGAGCTGCCTTCATTAGATTCCAAGTGGGTTCGATCTCGAGTCTCTTCGGTTCTGAAGGTATTCGAAATACTTTTCAGAGTGGCTATCTGGAAAGATGGTAGTCTTTCTAATATCGGAGCTGCTTGGATGAATCTATCCAAGGCCTTGTCTAACGCTTCAAGCAAGGAGGTGAAGACTTCTGCGGAGACAATGCAAGCTGTTGCGAATATTCTCAGCCTATTCCAACTTGTCTGGCAAGCTGGCCCTCGTTCTCTCAATGCCAACGACAGTCGCAACGCAGACGCCTTTTTCGGTCGATTCCGGTCCCTGTCTACCACGATCATATTGTCCATCGGCACCATCCCATTTACCGAGAAACTACTGCTGAAGACTCCGCAGGAAACTTACCAGACTGCTAGTACGCCTATGCACCGTCGGCCACGCAATGACACCAGCATTGACACGCCTATCCTACACTTCCTCCGACTGATCGGCTCTCCCGCTCCTGGTTTAGAACCCAGTGCCTCGTACCTTCGTCTGATCGAGAGCACCCTTGAGGCATCCTTGGATGGAAGAATTTCAAGGGCATCTCGTCTGGATCTCCTTCGACAATGTACAGCTCTGTACCCTTCTGCGTCGGATTCTCAACCCACCATCCCCCATACTGCACGGTTCATCTGGGAGACTATTGCCAAACTTACTGAAACTTCCCTTACCGCTTTTCCAGATGGATCCGCTAGAGACAGGGATGGTTCTGTATCTCACGATCGTGATAATGTAATTGAGATACTCATCTCTGGGCTGCAATTCCCCGACAGTATTTCAGCCTGGGGTCAACTCCTCGATGCCTTTGTTCGTGTCCTAGGAACAGAATTGGGAGATCGTGCCATTCCCCCCATTATTATTGATCCACTGGCGGAAAAGATGCAGCATCTGCAGGCTAGCCAGGTTTATTCCGCATCTGGCAGACTTCTGGATCATACATTGTCGTTATATTGTCAGTCCCCCGATGCGTTTCCTGCAGTGCCAACTGAGATTGGGAACAGTCCGGCCTTGCAGAACTCTACGAGTCGAGCTATCGCCCCTGATAAGCTTGTTCAACTAGTTGACAAGCTTGTCCGGGCATCTTACATAACAACTGAGCAGGAAGAGATTGCGCATATCGCACGGTTCATGGAGTCGTTAATTACGTTCCTCGAAAGCGGCATCCTGACTTGCCGCTCCGCTGCTTTGGAGGCTCTCCAGGAACCATTGGCATTGTGGATAAAGGATGAACAGGAGCGATTCAGTAGTGACCGCTTCCTGGCCAGCAGCCTCGCAGCAGCTGTACGTACACTTAATAACTATATCTCGCGCCTTGTACATGCTAACCTTAGACAGTACCGTACACTCTCTTCCACCGTTCCAAACATTCTGCGAACATGTGTGACCCACGACACATATGCCTTGCGCAAATTCAGTACCATCATCTCTTCTGGGCTTGATTCATCGCATAAGTCCACAAAGAACAGGTTTATACAATTATGGAACGCTACTTTCGGCCTACAAGAGTCCCTGGAATATCCAGATTCCGTGCTAAGTGCGTTGAGAAAATTAGAGTCTCAGATCGACTTGCATCTTCCCTGCCTACCCACATCTGTCGACCACGAGGTATGTGCCAACGATATGATCTGTGTGCGTGGCTCTCCGGCTAATATAGGACAGATCGCTCCACACCCGGTTGTGTCAAAAGATGATGCTGCCACCACAGATCCCCTTCCGAAGATGGACGGGATGGATGGAAGCAAGTCATTAGAGAATTCGTTGAAGAACAACGACCGAAGAACCTGTTTTAGTTCTTCTCCGATTGTCATCATAGACGGTCCTCCTGAGTTACCGAACGATGCTGACAACCTTACCCCGAAGAAAGGGACAGAAGACGATGACTCTCGAGCGCAGTTCATTCCTGTCGATTCATCGCCTGCTCAGCCAACAGAACCCCAATCACAATCTCTTACTGATGACCAGCGAGAGCTCGCCCAAAACAATTTGCATGACCCTGACTTACCGGAAGGTTTCAGATACGCTCGTATCAATGAAGTCAGCAAATTTGGTCTTGATACTCCTACACATCTTCGGCACTTAAGTGATGCAGAACTGGTGGCCAGAATACAATTAACCCCGCCACTTCCAGCTGTTGCTGAAAGTGATGATGTTTTCCCAGGGTCATCTCCTACACCCGGGTCCAAGAGTCAATCGCAGTTCGATAGGGTTAATAACCGTTCTGCAGCATTCCAAAATCTTGATGCCTACTCGGATCCCCCATCTTCTCCTCCGGAAATGGACTCCTCAAGGGAGAGCCCAAAGGGGCTGGGCCTTTCAACAGAAATTTGCCCTCATGATATTACCACCGATACGCCCGGGGAGCTGATCGAGGACGTAAATCAAGCTGTTGCGGTGCCAGAGAATGCAGATAATGCTGCTGGAGCCTCAGAACAGCAACCATTGAGTGTTCCTAATGCCGCCCAAGCCAATATGCAAGGCACTGAATTATCGGACGAGAAGACGGTGTCTCATGAACAAACTTCGTCTTTCACCCCCACTCGTCCTAGCAAGAGAAAGTCCCGATCAAAACGGAACAGATCCAAGTCAGGGACACCGAAGGACCGTTCGCTAGAACGTCAGAAGCTGACACAGAGAAACGACTCAGTTACGGGCACACCTACAGAATTCATTCCAGACTCTTTCAGTGATGATTTGGAATTTCAGGTTGCCTCCCAGCTTGAACAAGACCTAGAACTTGCTGTGGATCTAGACGACGTGGGCAAGGAACAACAAGCCGAGGGTATCTCCGAGAGCTTTCCAGTCACGAGGAAGAGGAAGAGAGAAATGGCTGAGTCCGTCACCCCGTCTGACAGATCGAAGCGTCGATCTTCCATCAGTTCCTCCATGGTCACAAGAGCGGCTGCACAAGTCGAATCTCTGACGCCGCAAACTTCCAAAAAGCGAAAATCTACGTCTCACAGCCAAACGCAAGAGACACCCAGCAAAGAAAAACGCCCATCCTCATCCAAGAAACGTAAGGGCGAGTCGAGGGATACTAAAGCCGCGACCACCTCCGACGAGGCTGGGGAAGTCAGACCCGACGCACCGGTCCAGTCCTCGCCCATTTGCCCGAGTTCTTCCAATAAATCACCCAAAAAGAAGAGAAAATCGAGGCGTCTCAGTGGAATTGCAGCATCACCTCTTCTGGCTGGCGGGGAGACACCGAAGAAGAAATCCTCTAAACATTCACGTGCTCATGCGACAGAAGTTTCAGATCACCAGACATCGTCAGGCGCGGCCGAACGGTCGCAGCTTGAGAGCGTGCCTGAAATAACGCATGTCCCTCAAGAAAAGGGTGCTAAGGCGATTCGAAATTCTTTAGAACAGGAAGTGCTGGTGGAAGATGAGGAGCCTGAGGATTCTCGAACGGATGACCTTGACAGAACTGGGGAAGCCAAGGTGCATAATGAAGAGAACAGTGATGTTCAACCATGCGGGCAGGTAGAAGAGGTGGAAGCCGACACAGCGCAGCCGGGGTTGCCCATGGCGGTAGATGCGCAGTATGTCTGTGGTGAAGCCCAGACCGACACCCCAGCCTACCAAGACGAGACGAGTGCGGATGGTATTCTGAACTCCCTTCGGCGCATCTTGGGAAATATCAAATCAACCACATTCAGCCGAGAGGCTCTTAGAGAGATGGATGATGTCATGTTTGATATCCGGGTGGAAACGCACGAGGCAGCAAGGAGGCACGTTGGATAAGGAACAAGGTTATTTTCTGCATAGCGATGGCGCAATGGGAAAAGGGCATGTATTATGTGACTGGTAGCGCATATCAAATGCGTCAGCGAGCATAGCCGTATCCTTTATGTAGTTTTTTTTGGTTGTGGATCTGATTCCCTGCATGTTTTATGTGGATAATAGCGCACTATTTGACCAGGATAGAAACGACCATTATTGTTCGTTATACGGCAGTAGTGGGTAGAATATCAGCCGGTTCCGCTACTGAGCATGGGCGTGTATATCAGACAAAGATACCATTGTATAAAGACTAGTAATTACAAGGAATGTCATTGATCTAGTTGCATAGTTAAAATCCTCTCTGTCGTATAGACATGGTGTAACAAATATCCGTGGGGATACCACACGAGGGCCCAGCTCGATGGAACTATGCCAAACGACTCTTTTCTGTTAATAGTCTCTTACTCAGTGGTGAACAGGAAATTTCGCCTGTCTCCCAAGTCAACCGAGCAACGGATTGTTCTCCAAAACGATATTATCAAAATGCCGTGGCCAAACGGCAACAGCAAGTCGGAATCCGTTCCCGTAACCTTCTAGTACCCCCGGTATTTGCCCCAGATTATTACTTCAGAGTACAGCCAACTTTTGAATCTTCACCCGAGGGAAAGGTCGGAGTCACATTTCATGTTAGTACATGTATTTCAATATATATACCTCTGTGGCGCTATCTCGCATTCTCTCCCGCTGGCTCAATCAGATCCGTTGTCAGAAGGGGGGTATGGCATGGTCTAAGTACTAGTCCAGATTGCCTCCAGGAATGATGTATTATGACTACATATTTTCCTGAATAGTGAAAACGTCGCCTCCATGAGCCACTCGATGTTCATAAGGTATTAGGGGGACCCTTCCTAACCCCCTTTTACAACCTTCCGCTACGAGTTTTTGTTGTATGGTCTTCCCATCGATAGAATACGGGTACGCGGACGTTGATTTTTTAATCTGAGCGATATCATCAGATCCATGGCAGAAGGAGTCTTACAATGTGGCCTTACCATTGGCATGTCCGCCACAGAGGGTATACATCACCCGCATCCGAAACCGGTTGACGCAATACGCAGCGAAGATGCATACGTCTTATCAGAGGACATCATACCCGATGCGCACAGCAAGTTGAGATTGAGAGGATCATCTGAAGATATCCTCGTTCCGTATATGTGTGTAGGAGCATGGGCATGGGGTGATAAAGCTACTTGGCATTATACTCCGGATGAGTTGCCTCGTATCAAGGATGCTTGGGAGATGTTGCGGAATGAGGGGCTCAATTGGATTGATACCGCGCAGGCGTATGGGAGTGGTGAGAGTGAGAAGATCTGTGGGGATCTGTTTGAGGGACTTAACAGATCGGAGTTCATTGTTCAGACAAAGTGGTTTCCTATTCCGGATATGACTAATGTGATTTTGCGATGGCATGCTATTGTCAAGAAGCTTCGAGGGTCTTTGGAGCGTTTACGGTTGAAGTATGTTGATGTCTATCTTGTGCATGGGCCTATACATTCGAGTTCGATATCGACTGTCGCAAAAGGTCTTGCTGAGTGTGTTCGATCTGGACTGGCTCGAACGGTTGGTGTGTCGAATTATGATGCGCATGAGATGATCAAAATGGCGGATGCTCTGGCGAAACATGGTATTCCACTTGCGGTGAACCAGTGCGAGTACTCGATCCTACGAAGACATCCAGAGTCACACGGACTGATACGAACCTGTCGCGAGAGAGGGATTGTTTTCCAGAGTTATGCACCGCTCGCAGAGGGTCGTCTAACGGGTAAATACTCTCAAGGGAATGAACCACCACGGACGTACCGCTTCAGCAGCTACCCTATACATGAACTTGAGCCCGTTGTTGCGGTCCTCAGACGAATCGCAGAGGCAAGACGAGTTACTATTCCTGCGGTGGCGCTGAATTATAATATCAATAAGGGCGCGATTCCTATTGTTGGGATCCGGAATTCCGAGCAAGTACAACAGAATATACAAGCTCTGGGTTGGAGACTGTCACAGGAAGAGATTCGACGTATTGAAGGTGTCAGTTTCGAAGGTGGGACGAGTTTTCTCTGGCAGCATGGGTGAATACTGGGCATTATGTATAGCGCATGCATGCATTGATTCCTGTGAGTATTCTCCGTGCACTTCACTGTCTCGATGACTAACATTTTATGAGGCAGGAGTATGTATATCCAAATGTCATAAATCCGTCAGTGGATCTATATGTACAGTAGTTCCGCTTGAGAACGGAACTAAATCGCCAATAATACCCGCATGAGTATGAACTGTTGGTCTCTGTCATGGATACTTACTCTCAAAGCGCTACTTGCGGGATTGAAGAGACAAGTTGCGAGTTCCCTCAAGATGACAAAAATAGGTACAGGCCTCTAAACATGCACTTTGTGGATCTCGAAGTGTACCTGACCGAGCCGGATACGTGATGGCGGGGCCGGAAGCTCGAGGAAGATGATCGAGTGATTATCAATGAGTAGACAAGCGGGACAGCTGCGCAGAAACCGGCCTATATTACTGATTCAGGGAATATGATCTGAAAGAAAGAGAAACTAGTATTCTGATATCTAGATCGCATAATAGGGATCGTTTTGCTGCCTCGCGTCTTGCGTGCCTGGAACGGAACTATGATGTCGAGCCCCGCAGCCAAACTCTCTGACACCGCTGGCGTTTCAGCAACAGCAACCCCGCCGTCAATCGTCTCTCTGTTCTGCTACCTTATAAAATCACTGATCTGTCCAGATAAACAGTGGGCAATAAAGCTTCATACAGGCAATCTAGCTAATCCCGTCAGTTTCTTGGTCAATCCAAGCCTCCCTCTCCCCCACTTACCAGGCAAGAGGTACCATTGTCGACTTGAGGTATCAGAGTGATATCCAGGCAACGCCAGCACAGACATACATAATAATGGACCGCTCCAAGAAGCCCTCCGCGATTGGCGTCGGCGCTAATATTCCTCAGCCGACTGTCAATATTGAGCAAGGCAGGATCGAAGCTTCACTGCCCAGTGGACAGTCCGTCACTGTGCTTTTGTATGGAGCAACGGTGACGTCGTGGAAGCTGGCCAACGGCGAGGAACAGTTGTTCCTAAGTGAGAAGGCCCATCTTGATGGCTCCAAGCCCGTCCGCGGTGGTATTCCAGTTGTTTTCCCGGTAAGGATGCCCTGGTCTGGAAACGCCCAGATATCGCATTAAGGATCCATTGCGCTGGCCTTGGCTAGAGTAGCTAAGCTGACGAGCTTCTTCGTGTATAGGTTTTCGGTCCTCCACCAAAGGACCACGCAACTTCTGCACTTCCCCAGCATGGCTTCGCGCGGAACTCGACTTGGGAGTTTCTAGGCAAATCATCGTCTGAGTCTCTTGGCAAGGACAAGGAGAAGGCTGATGATGCAGTCAAGCTCGACTTCGGTCTATCCCACACCATGTTGAGTGAGGAGTTTAAGAAGGCGTGGCCATATGAGTTCGGGCTCGTGTACAGTGTCACATTGGCCAAGGATAGCCTCACGACGACCTTGCAGGTGCAGAATAAGGGTTCCAAGGCTTTCGAGTTCCAGGTGTTGTTGCACTCCTACCTGAACATCAAGGTACCTTAGAGCACATGTTCCCCAATCCCATTATATTAAATTCGCGTTCTCTAACCAGGTCGACACTTATAGGATATCTCCGCGATCCGCATCAAGAACTTGAAGTCAAAAGCCTACATTGACAAGACTCAGAACGCCAGCGAGCACGTTGAGTCGTCTTCCGCTGTCGAGATCACGGGGGAGACTGATCGCGTGTATAAGGGACTCGACCCCAAGGTTCCCATCGAGGTCGTTACCACTCAGGGTGACAAGACGCTCTTCTCTATCACTCGCGAGGGGTTGAATGACGTAGTCGTATGGAACCCTTGGATCGAGAAGGCCAAGGGAATGAGTGACTTTGGTCCTGATGATGGTTATAAGAACATGATCTGCGTGGAAGCTGGCTCCGTGGCCGCATTCCAGACGCTAGACGCTGGAGACACGTGGGAAGGTGGCCAGACCATTCGCTCCCAGTGACTAGTTGATATCTCCGGCGCAATGGGCCCAGGGACGGGTTTCCATAAACTGTGAGCTCCTCTTTATGGAGACATAACTCACTTAGAGCATCTCAAGCAGCCTGGCTAGCTATAAAAGCAGTCTCTTTATCTTTATAATTAATGTCAACGGATAATAATTTATGTGGTCAGCTGTAAGAGAACTATGGTCTACCAAATACCTCATAGAGTCAAGATGATCTTGTAATATTTCTCCTTAGAGTAGAGGCGTTGAAGATTATCATGAAAAGCCCAGATCTCTTGTATGCAAATGAAATTATCCAGAATCAAGTGGGGTTCCTCCATCCACGGTTCAAAGATTATTGAACACACAGTTTCTCAAGTGGATCATACCTAGCTAAAAGAAAATTTTCGCCACTGCTACGAAGGAAGAAAAAAAAGTACTTTGATGGAAAAGTATTTAATGTGGGCTCTTACCCGGACTCCGATGTGGGACAGGACTTCTCCCTTTGAATTCGGCCTTTTCTCTTGCCGTCCTCAAATGGAGAGGAATGATAAGGATTGTGAATTGGAATAAAAGAAATAATGGAACAAAATAGCGCCGATGGTCAAGGGGTTACGATGCAGTCCTCCCATTGTCTTCTAGCTGGACTAGACTGCGGCCCGGGTTCGAATCCCGGTCGGCGCAATTGAAAGTAGAAATTACTTTTTTTTTTCATCGTGTTTGATGATGGAGTTGTTTTTTTGGAGGGGGCTGTGTGGAATTATATTGCGTTGAAAAAGAGGAATGTCTCCACTTGGGGGACCTTGTTTTTGTTTAGAAGAGTATACTACTAGCTATAGAAAGCGATAAAGGGGTCTCCATGGCCCAAAAGAATCTATAGACTATCAAATAGTCCAGTATAGCTCTAGTTCCTCTTGGAAAGGTTCAAACACGCGGCAATATTGTCAGTTGTGTGAGTGTACGGATTGCAAATTGTCATTAGAATGATGATATTGAGACTAGGTTCCGATCTTAATGGATGGTAAGATACTGAATGGCAATAAACACAGATGCTTCCCAACAGGTCCTGAAAACAGACTCGAGCTCTGTTTGGGGTATTGAAAGCCTTTCAGTCCCAGTAAACTATGTCCATCCCCTTGACCCTTATTACCCGCATGGTTTTCCAATCTCGTCAGACGGCTCCCGTCTATCAAGTATATTCGCAATGTACCGCCAATAACTGATATCGTAGGCTATTGTGAAATAAGCAGATGAACGGTTAGACTTCCAATGGAATGATTCGAGATCTCACCTCAATGCCTTGTATTACACGAAGCACAACGGATAATGCCATCTAGACACTCCCCTTTTTCTATCCTCACATTCATAGCCCCACCGCAATGTCTGCAGGAGCGACGGCCGTTCAACTTTTGCGCAAATTTGTCGAGCACAGCGTGTTTTTCTGTTTCTGTAGCCATGACTCTATCACTTTGCACTAGTTTCGCGATAACCGCGGATCCAAGGCTGCCGTGAGTATCCATAAGTTGGAAAATACTCCCCTTTTTTACAAGGGAAATAATGTTCTTTGATATGGTTTCGATAACGACGTCCCGAAGATGTAAATCATGTGGAGGTACGTAGGTCATCACTTCTTGCACTATATCGTCGAAAGCTTCGGAGTTCCAATTGGAACTTGTCCAGCTTGCGAACTGCTTACCGGCAAGAGACTTTAAAGGAGCAATGCCATACTTGTCAGCGGCTATGTAGACTCGTATGTTGTTGTATGCGATAGCCCTTTTGTCTTCAACGTCTGCCGAGCAGCCTGCATAGTCCTCGGAAACTGAGTTTTCGATGTCGGATTCACTGAGCTCAGTTTCAGGCTTCTTCGGTTCTGCATCATCGTCCATTGGAACGATGTGTCCATTTTGATTGTACTTCTGCAGGTACAGGAACGAAAGCACACGTTCAATCGTCCCAGGGTCATCATCAGGCAGGTTGACAATACGCGTCATTGATTCCTTGAACAGGTAAGTCGTGAAAGTTGGAAGAAATGCCAGTTTTGTTAACTTACTTCAAAACCAGCGTTCAGGGCACTTGCAAAGAAATGTGACTGGCTGCAGACGATGGCACGATGGACATTGAAAGTGAACCCCTGGCAAGTCACTTTCATGTCTGAGTAGTCCCCATGTAAGAGGAGCTTTTTCATTGATTCCTCGAAAGCCATTTCTGATGACATGGTGAGGATGCTTTCAGCTAAGAAAGCTCGATATCCGTCACCTTTGAAACAGGATGAAGAGATGGATGGTTGAAGACAAAGGAAGGACGCTTTGCCCTCCTTCACCTGAAGTGTTGTCTTGGAAGTGAATAATGTCGGAGCCTGCCTACAGACAGGCCTCCTGTCGGGAATCTCCCACGCCTTCTGGCTCCACACACAGAGATAAATAGGCTGAGCTAGTTGCTATAGAATTCATGCTCAGCGAGCTTCGCTCCAAGAAATAACATCGTGTGATATCTCATCGTGTTGACCATAATCATTTATCTTCTTCCCCTTAATCTACATGAGCTGGGCTCTATCTAGCAGAGTGGCTGATATAGTATGTAAGACCTGCATTGACTTCGATTCTATAGTGAGTATCATAGAAAGGGGACCACCGATACAGCGTAAACAGCAGCTGGACAGAGCTCTTTTTTCTGCCAGTTTTAGAGAACAGAACGAGTCTATCCATGAGTAGAGAAGCAGTTGATATACTCCCATCGTTGTGATAACCTGGACTAGAACCCAATTACAGAGATTTTCTCCAAGTTATTGATAATCGATTATCACAGAGATTGCTACAAGTGCCTTACGATGTTCCTCGCGATGATTATATTGCGTAGAAGCTGGTTGCTGAATGAGATCACCTCTGCGTGTTTAAGAGGATTGAATCAAAAGCGGAATGGAGGAAGCAAATAGATCCGTGAAAGCGGTTCTCCACTGCTTTAGCGAGTTCCTCTTTGCTTTCGGTTTCCACGATAGCTAACCAAATACTTAGTTTGAACTAGATCCTGCTTCGGGTTTAGTCGGTAATAGCCTTTGGACCCCTCTCGCAACATCTTGACGCCCAAAGGCGCCATTTCTATTCGTTTGTCCTGGATTTTTCCTGCGTACTGAAAAATTATATCATGTGACGAATGTGCATTTAGCCTACCTATCTATACCCGAGTCGATTTTGATAAAGAATTATTATCCGTTTACCAACGTGTATTGAACTTGCCCAAGAGCACACCCCACCCACTCATTGCTATCTACCCGGTCGGATCTGGCGGTGGACGGCGTCGAATCCAATTCTATGAGCATGACCAGGAATACCTCAGTCCTCAAAAATACAGATGATCGCGAGAATGAACCTCATACTGTAATACCGCAGGACTCCGATACCGACTCCCAAGGATTTGACCTTTCAGATCACGGAAATAGCTATGACAGTGATGACTCCTTCACACTCAATGCTGCGGAGTCGTCTCCGCGACGAAGGCTGCTCCGTCTCTCTCCAGCAATCGACCCGAACAGCCCGCGCCGTTCTTCTTTTACAGAACAAGATGAGGCACAGACAGCGGCAGCAGCAACAGATCGATCGCAGACGGAGAAGCCGGTAACATGGTCATCACTCCCGAAGAAGGGCCAGCTTGCCATCCTCACATTTGCGCGTCTGTCGGAGCCATTGACTCAAACGTCCCTGCAGGCGTATATGTTCTACCAGCTGCGGTCCTTTGATCCATCTCTGCCGGATTCGACTATTTCCTCTCAAGCTGGTATTCTGCAGGGATGCTTCACAGCTGCGCAATTCTTGACAGCGGTCTTCTGGGGACGTCTAGCGGATTCGGACTGGATGGGGAGAAAGAGAGTTCTCATGATAGGCCTATTTGGGACGTGTGTTTCGTGTCTGGGATTTGGCTTCTCGAGGTCGTTCATTGCAGCAGCTGTCTTCCGTACGATCGGTGGCGCCCTCAACAGTAATGTTGGAGTGATGAGGACAATGATAGCGGAAATCATTCAAGAAAAAAAGTACGTCTTGCCGTCTGTGACAAGAGGAAATGCTCTCGACTCTTACAGACAAGCCATTTCATTCCAAATACGCAAGAAGCTAATTGAGGACAGGTACCAGTCACGAGCATTCTTGATCTTGCCCATGTGCTTTAATGTCGGCGTAATCATTGGGCCCATCCTCGGTGGTATCCTGGCAGATCCAGTGAAAAGATATGGTTCACTACTCGGCCCCGGATCGCTGCTTGGGGGGAAGGATGGTGTCTGGTGGATGCAGCATTGGCCGTATGCTCTGCCAAATGTCGTCAGCGCGATATTCATATTCGCATCGTTCCTAGCCATTCTGCTTGGGCTCGACGAGGTAGGTTATGCACCAGCTTTCAATCTCAGTCTGCAAACCCCTAACCAGCATTAGACACATGAAGTTGCAAGGTATAAGACCGACCCCGGACGTAAATTGGGTAAAATCATAGCGAGACGTGTCTTTCGCAGGCATCCTCGCCACTACGAACCTCTTGCAACTGAAGCTGATGCTACGACGTCCATCGACTTGGAAGGTAGTACGGGCTATAGATCTGTGCCACCCAGTCCTGCCCAACCAAGGCACACTCAACCTAAGAAACGCAATTTACGTGAGCTACGGAGGAAGAACGTCCTTCTAACCCTCCTAACGCATTTCCTGCTGGCGTTTCACACCAGTGCATTCAATAATATGATTTTCGTCTTCTTACCGATGCCACGCATGCCCCCAAGCAGCAGACATGGCTTGCACTTCAGCGGCGGTCTTGGACTGTCTAGTGAGCGTGTTGGTCTTGCCACCGCTGTTATTGGGCTCATCGGTCTGCCTTTGCAGATATTCGTGTATCCCAGAGTGCAGTCATACCTTGGAACGTTGAAGTCGTACCGCACGTTTCTCCCCTTTTCGCCTGTTGCGTACATGCTCATGCCATTCCTCGTGCTCATACCGACCAAGCCATGGCTAGTCTGGCCAGCCTTTACAATCGTTGTCGGCTTGCAGGTGATCTCGAGAACATTTGCTCTCCCTGCTAACATCATCCTTGTCAATAACTCTGTCTCGGAACGTGCGGTCCTCGGGACACTGCACGGCATTGCGCAAAGTATCTCGAGTGCTGCACGCACTATGGGCCCGGTCATTGGAGGTTGGGGACTGGGAATGGGATTGAAGCACAATATTATCGGCGCTATTTGGTGGGCGCTGGCAGCAGAAGCACTGCTGGGTTGGGTATTCACATGGACTATCGAAGAAGGGAAAGGGATTGAGAGAAAGCCAACAACTGAGGAGCAGAGGTAATAGAGAATTCACTTCTGTGCCGTTTATGCCTTTTTGCCCTGGACATATATGTACATATGTATATAAATGGGTCACCTACCTTGGTATTAGCGATCGAAACGAATAGATGATGAGTTACGTTTTCACATTGTTGAATCGCTTGGCCGTAAATCAATTAATCTTTTTGGTAGCTATACTATAACCAATAAACGCCAACAATCTTGATAAACCAAGTTGGTAAAGAGTCGCTTGCTAATTTAATGACATCCTGTACGCTCATTTCATCCTCATTGTATCTGCGAACATTTTATAAAACATTCGCTGTCCCTGTCCACCTGGTCGCTCGATATCCCTTTCGTGTAGGCGTCTATTTGTATGGGACATTGTATATGGAAATCAGTTTGCCGTGACGGAAGGAGAGACGAAAGCCTTGATAGCCTTGATGACATCGGCATCGTGGGCCTGGAGAAGCTCCGTAGCCTTGTTCTTCTTGAGGTCCAGTTCTGCGACCTGATAATAAAAAGCTCCAGTCAGTAACAGTATGATCAACAAGCTCAATGGACAGATAAAACAGGCACTATGCAATCGACCTCCACCTTTCACACGATTGAGAGGAACTCGGAATATAACACTCACCAAGAAATTCACATCCTCCGCCGCAACCTTGACTGTTTTCTTCTTTTGAGCCTCCGCCTCTTTCTTCTGCGCGTCTGCCTTCTTCGCAGTATCCGTGCTCTTCGCAGCTGTTCCTCCTCCTGCAACGATCTCTAGCCGACTCATCGCCTTACCAAGGGCCTCCTGGTCCGCGGAAGAAGGAAGCTTGGAGCCCGCATCGGTGTCTGCTTGGGAGATCTCATTGTCGTTTAGGGAAGAGAGCGCGGCGGCGGCTTTGCGGTCTTCCGCGTTGCTGGGGACCTCCGCAGCTTCGGGGTCGGGTCTAGCGGCAGAGGGGATTGGTTCAGCCATATTGGATGTAGTATGAGAGATTAATATGCTTCTTGTATCTTATGCAGAGATGTGGGAGGTGGAAATGAGTCAATGGGCATACAAGATAGTAAGTAAGTAAAGTAATAGTAGTTGCTAAGAAGCTCCTTCGATGAGCGCAGCGGGCGGGGAGAAGCTCGAAATTACCATATCGGGTTAGCTCCTCCGATAAGTGGTGCTCTCCAAATCGCCGTCATTAATTAATTAATTCTCTAGTTAAGTTACACATTCTTTGCGCGCATTGCATCTCTCCAGATCTCAGGAGGTCTTTGCACTTGGACGGTCGAATATTCCGAGTCGCATTCGTGGCTTCATTATTGCGAGACGAAAGCCCCGTTGCCAACTCCTTGCTACACCTTCATAGTATCTTGTGTCGTACTTTTTGGTCGCGGAAAAAATTCCAGGGTTTAGTTAACCCTGGTGACCGTTTGCAGAACTCAGGTTCTGAAGAATTGGGCCTTACCTGCTGAGATCTGTCATTTTGCGCATTATAACTGTTGCTTGAGAGAGGACCATCAACTTTCGAATTGGTTTCATTGCAGCAGAAGGAAACGAGTGCCCCTCATCGGCCGATTTGAGTCATGGCGGACTGGAACCCAACTTGTACGTCGCTTTTCTCAGCAATCACACCCATTGCCCTCTCATACTAATGTATCGCTTCTGCAGCGTGGACTACGAAGCCAATCAAGCAAGATGTCACATACGAAGACGCCGAAGGCGTGCAGACTGCGCTCACGAAGCTGCAGCAACTACCGCCGCTGGTAACCCCGCAGGAGGTGCGCTATTGTCCTCAAAAAAGCAGCAGATGTGGATTGTAAAGGCTTACAGTGTGGTGGAACAGATCGTCAATCTTAAGAAGAGTTTAAGGAATGTCGCTTTGGGAAAAGCCTTCGTTCTTCAGGGAGGTTCGTCTAGTCGTCGTCTTCTTGTGACTCCATTGTCGCCCTACAAATCCCCGTCCGGATACTTACGGCTATGTGCGGATATACAGGAGACTGCGCTGAACTATTCGACTACTGCAACCAGGAGATGATCGAGGCCAAGGTCAAACTCCTGTTACAGATGAGTCTGATTTTGATTTGGGGTAATTCAATTCAAGCCCTGAAAATAATGACTATTCGGTCTGGAGCTAAGCTAATAATATCTCCTTAGGAGCCAACAAACCTGTGGTCCGTATAGCTCGAATTGCAGGCCAGTTTGCCAAGTGAGTAGCCAAACCAGCCCTGATATCACACACGGTTAATTAAATACATTCAAAGACCTCGTTCGAGCCCCATGGAAACCATCAATGGTGTCACGATGCCTTCTTTCCGAGGAGACAATATCAACGGCTATCCCGCAGACGCCATTTCTCGAAGACCAGACCCATCCCGACTGGTCTCTGCATACTTCCACTCCGCCGCAACACTCAACTACCTCCGCGCGTCCCTGACATCCGGTCTTGCGGACCTGCACTCTCCCCTAGACTGGGGCCTTGGCCATGTGGCCAGCCCATCAATCAAAGAGAAGTACGAACGGATAGTCAACCGCGTCACGGACTCATTACGGTTCATGCGCACAGTCGGCCTCGACACAGCCAGAGGCATCGAAACCGTCGACATCTACACAAGTCACGAAGGTCTCCTTCTCGAATACGAACAGAGCCTAACCCGTCTCCTCCGCCACCCACCCAACGCTCTGCCTGAATCCGATCTCACATCCCCATCCACTCGCAAGGCCTCTATCGCCTCAACATCCGGAACCCCTCCACCAAGAGGCTACTACGCCACCTCCGCTCACTTCCTCTGGATCGGCGACCGCACTCGCCAGCTCACAGGCGCCCACGTCGAGTTCTTCCGCGGTCTATGTAACCCAATCGGCATCAAGATCGGACCCAGCATGGCTCCCGACGAACTCGTCGCTCTCCTCGACGTCGTCAATCCAACAAAGGAAATCGGAAAAGTCACCCTCATCTCGCGCTACGGCGCAAAGAAAATCGCCGACCACCTCCCCGCTCATATCGCCGCCGTTCAGAAATCAGGCCACATACCCGTCTGGCAATGCGATCCCATGCACGGAAACACCCAGACGACCCCGTCGGGTGTGAAGACGCGCCACTTTAGCGATATCCTCTCTGAATTGAAGCAGGCGCTCGCTATCCATCGTGAAGCGGGCTCTTTCCTCGGCGGTATGCATCTCGAATTGACCGGTGAGGCCGTCACGGAGTGTGTGGGTGGTGCGGGTGGTTTGACTGAGGAGGGTCTGAGTGAGAGGTACACGACATTCTGTGATCCGCGCTTGAATGAGAAGCAGGCTTTGGAGCTGGCGTTCCTTGTTGCTGGGTTCTATCGCGAGGAGATGGAAGAGAGTAATCCTATTTAAGAGAGAATATTGTCATCTATCTCTTGGATCTGTTTGTATACGTTCTATTAAAAAAGAAAAGAGGAAGGCGAGTGGGAAAAGTTATGAAAAATGAAGATATGATAGAGACATAAAACAGCTGTTTGTCTAAATTGATTACCAAAACTAGTGAAAAACCAAGCCCTGCCCCGTAATCCAACCCCTAGGTCCTAACCAATCTAATCTAATCCAATGCACATCTTGCTGTTTCCTGAAACGCCAAATCCTTTGCACTGTGGAGGGACAAGTACTCGAAACAACCCATGTCTCAACACAAAACATGATATAGACACCTTAGAGCACGCGCCAGAGCGGGTATCAACGGAAGATCTGAACAAAAGAAGTAATGTAGTACACACACAGGGAGAGAAAGAAGACTCTTATTTCTTGAGAGGACTTTCGCGTCTCGGTTTGAAGGCTAGACTCTTCCGCCTAGCAGCTTCCAGTTTGGCTCTCAGTTTCGAGCTAGATTCGTCTTCAATTCGTCCACTGATCGGGAATAGACCCTCTCGCGTCTGCTTGGGTGGGCAGGTCTGCTGGACCAGCTTTGCTCCCTTGGAGAGGTAATACGGAGTGGTTGGGGAGAAGCTGCTCGGATCAAAGTCGAAGTTGAAATCGAACCCGCTTTGCCCCGGAGTGCTAGGTTGCTGCGATAGTCTCCGGCTGGATCCTGAGAAGGTATCTTTGGCTGGTGTCGAGAAAGTGTCTTGGTAGTTAGGAGACTGCTTGGCTGGTGAAGGGGGAGTGAGCCTGATGAACTCCCGCACTGACTCCCGGTCTACACCGGAAACTCGACCAGCGCGAGGGTAGGTAGGTCCATCCGCTTTCACCAAGGTTCCATTGACGTTGCTCAAGCTTCGAGGCTGCATGCTCTTTCTCCGTTTGGCACCACCACGGGGAATGATGGAACTATCAACAAGGTAGTGGGCCTCGTCCAGCCATCGATTCTCTCTCTCGCAGCTAAAGAATAGTTAGCATTTTGCTTTCGATTACCCCAGATTTCCTTCTTGCGGCTAGAAGGAACCGATAAGGGAGACTTACTCAAGGACCCAGGATACGCCAACACACTTCACAAGGCCGCCTGCTTGTCGCACCTTCTCGAGAGTCCGCACACCGCCGTCCTTGTAGATGACATGCGTGATGCCGACCCTGTTTTCCTTTGGTTCAGCTCCGTCGACCGGGGACAAGCTAGCTCTGGGATTCCAAGACCAAGATTTGACACATCTAGCACCCATCTGGGTGAGGAGTTCAATGAATATACCACTCGCGTCTTCTCCTTCAGTCGTATGGACATCCACGAACGCCGTGACGCCCTTGAGGACTTGTGGTACGTCTGCAGCATCCTGGAAAGGGTCGACCGGAGAGCTGACTCTTCTTGACTTTGCACTGGTTGGTGGGTCGTCGGCACGGGCCGGCTCGTCGGTTTGATCACAGTACTCCGGTTGAGATGGTCTCAAAGCAAGGCTGTGCTTACGAGGCGACACAGCCGGAGAAGTCTGGCTTTTGGTCATTGCAGCCCGAATTCTCGGGGACGCTCGAGTGGCCGGTCCAGAGGAAAGTGACCTCGCTCTTTTCCTGGATACCTTCAGCGGCGACACCACGCCTTCTGGTCTCAAAGGAACCTTGGACACAGTGTGCACTGTGCGCAAATGACCAGGAGTAGCTCTCTTTGGAGTACTGGGAAGCGATAACGCAGCCATTTCATCATTTTCCTTGTCTTCCTCAGCAGACGGGAGAGGCTCTGCCGGTTCATCTTCTTGTTCAGAAGCTGTATCTTTGTCCCAAGCTTCCACGTTCTCCTCGGACTGTAGAAGTATGTCCTGGTTTAATGACTCCTGGATAGAGTGCACTAGCTCATCAGTGATATGTTCCTCAGGTTCTTGGAGAAGGTCCTCATTCTCTAGTTCTGGTGCCTCATCTGCATCTGAGTAAACGTGTGCATCGCTGGGTGCGTTATCGGCCTCAGCCTTGTCTAGAGACTCCGTATTGTCGAGCTCACGGACCGGAGAAGGGGCGTCTGGGATTTCGGCCACAGAAGGCGCGCTCGTAGCCTCTTGCTCAACTTCCAACGACTCCAAGTTAAACATAGAAAGCCCGAGCGAAGATCTCCTGAAAGTTGACGAGCTCTTCCTCAGTCGGTATCGATGATCGTGTGTCGACTTCCGAGTAGATGCTAAAGAACTTCTTGAGTTTCCAGCAAGAGAGAAAACTCCTCGGCGCCGAGGACGTCTGGGCTGGGACTCCACTGGGGTGCTGGCTTTCCACTCGCTGAGCTGCGCGGCCAACGGAGTAAATCCTAAATCTGCGCCGTCTTCGTCTCCTTGGATGATGGTGTCTTCATTATATCTCTGGCGAACAGAACCAGGCGTTGCCGGTTGCACAAAGACTTGGCTTCGGCGAGCCCGTTTGGCATCAAACAGCAAGGTATCCACAACAGGGTCGGTGTCAGACTCTGCATCATCTTCCTCACGAGGCTCATATGTAACTTCCTTAGCAGGAGACATGGTCGGTGAGGGCTGAATATGTTGAGGCTCATGTTGTACCTCCTCCATGTTTTCCTCTGTTTCGTAGGAATGGTGCACAGATGAGGCAGGGGAGCTGAGGTGAATCATTCTGGCCTCAGAGAATGGCGAGGGAAAACCTGTCTGTTCAACGGCCGGGCTCATGTTTTCCTGATTCTCTAGGTGTTTTTCTAGGATTAGGGACGGCTCTTCGCCTTCTTCCTCGGCCTGTATCACTTCCTGTTCTTCGGAGCCTTCGTTGTCGTCGACGCCTTCTTCGATTTCAAATGTCGTGGGTTCACGATATGGTGAAGGGATACCGGAGTCACTCATGACAGCATCATCCCCTGCGTCTTCGACATCCATGGACTCTTCCGTAATTTGCTCAGGTTGTTCAACAGCTTCTTCATCTTCGTGCTGTTCCTCCTGAAGCATCTCTTCCTTTGTGAGGCTCTGACGCTCCGGTACATCTTCTTGCATTTCCATCTCAGGCTCAGGCGATGACCTAGCATGTTGCTCAACGGGACGGTCGACTGCATCATCAAGGCATGGTTCTTCAGCTGCTAGCTCATGCAATTCCTCGGGTCCATTTGTTTCTTCATTTTCTTCCTCCCGCTCCTCTTCTTGCCCTTCTTCGCCATCCTTTTGGGCGGGTCCTCCTCTTGCAGGGCTATTGCGGTCTATGAGATGCTCCTGTCCCTCGAACACCTCAAGATTGAGGGACGGCGATGAGAGATGTAGTTCTTCAATGACGACATTTTCATTTTCGCCGTTGGTCTCAAGCGGCACTTCTATTATTTGGTATGGTTCTTCGGTGTCTTGTTCGTCCTGCGCTTCCTCGACTTCAAAGTGATGGTGGCGGAGTTCATTTTGTTGCATTTCCACCTCAGCGGGCTCGACTGGCTCTTCCAAATCCTCTTCTTCTGCTTCAGTAGTGACATGCTGCTGTTGTGGCATTTCTTCATCTTCCATATTGAGTGCCTCCTCTTCAGTCTCCACAGGGGCATCCACAAATGGGTCATCGAGCCAGACTTCACCATCAGAAGTCTTCGCTTGAACCGATTCACTTCTTCGATAACCGATTGGACGAGGGGATCCATCGTCGCGATGGCCAGAAATCATATCAGTTTCCGCAGCGTCCTCGTTGTCTCCCATCTTGTGGAAACGGTCCTTTTCAGGTGACAGGGCCAGTTTAAATGGAGAGCATACACGCTTAGCCGGGCTCTTCAAGAGAGACAGCTTGAATGGCGAAGAGCTAGGAGAGTTGCCGGCGGGCTGTTTGAAGAGGGGACCTTTCTTCGGGGAGGCCTTCAGGGGCGAAGCCCGTAAAGCAGCGGGCTCCGGATGAGCGCTAGGGTCAGCCTGATCTTTGTTCAAAATCATAGCTCGGCGAGGGGTCTCCTTCATCGTGAAGTGGAAGGGTGAAGATGGAAGCCTCCTAGCAGGACTGGCCATGAAGCGCGCATCGCCAAATTCGACAGGGCGGTTCGATCTCAGGGTGGCATTTTCATTGTTTTCAATGTCTTCAGAAGCCCTGGGCCTTGGCGAAAAGGCAGGAGCGGCAAAGTTGATTCTTTTAATGGGAGAAGCAAGCACTGTGTTTTCAGAGTGCCTAATAGGAGATTTGACAAGCGCTTTCTCCTCGACCTTTGCACTGCTCAACTCGTCATCGTCCGGGTTATCAGAGCCAGCATGAGAGCTTGACTTGGCAACCTGCGTAGCCTTCTTTGGTGACAGAGGCTGGACAGTGTCCTTGGCAGCTGCAGGCTTGCGTCCCCGGCCAGAACCAGCTGCCTTGCGGACAGGCTTTGCTTTCAACCCTGACTGCATAGTTGAAGCCGCAGTTGATTTCTTTGCCGGGACAGATTCAGCCACCACAGGGATGTCATCATCGGAATCGATAAGGTCCTGGAAAGTAACCTTCTTTTTCTTTGCTGGCTCCTTCAGAAAACTCGACTTCACACTGGACAAAGAGCTCAGCGTAGTCCCACGGCCTGTTTGCCTTGCTTCAGTATTTGCAGTCGCTGCAGTCCGCGTCGTCGTAACCTTTCGCTGCGTGCCCGCGCCAGCACCGGCCGCAGGAGCCTTCGGTGCATTCAACCTCGGGCGACCTCTCGGTCTAGGGGCAGCCACTTCTGGTGGTGTACTGCTCTCTTTCTCAACAGGCTTCGTTTTCGGTGGTCGACCAACTTTCCTCTTCGGAATTTCCGGTTGTGCCAATTCGTCATCATCATCGCTGTCAATCTGCGCATTGCTCTTCGCAGTCTTCGTAACCCGACTAGTCGCCTTCGTAGTCGTAGCAGCTGCCCTTCCCACGGTAGAAGAAGCAGGCTTCGTCTTCTGCTTCGCGACAATCGACCCAATCTCATCATCCGTCATATCATCATCGTCATTGTCATTATTAACCACCACATTGTTCCTCTTCGCAACGCTAGACGCCGTCGGTTTCAGCACCGTACTCTTCTTCGGTTCCGCAGTAGTGCGTGCCTTGGGTGGTCTCCCTCTCCGTGGTTTCGAAAGCGCAGCAGCTTTCGCATCTGCTGCTGCTGCCGTTGTTGCAGTTTCCGTAGCGCGCGGTCTACCACGACCTGCCCGCGGGGGCGACGAGGACGCGGGTATATTCGCTGCGCGCGCCATTTTGGTCCGTTATATTCTGATTTCAATATCGCTGGGGAATGTCGGTTAGTATACAATCGCCGACTCGGTTTCGTCGGGCATCGGGCGTTGTTGAAAATCGTCGAAGCGTCAGAAATCAGGAGGTCGTTGTTATTCGATTCATTCCTTTCTTCTGGATAGATAGAAAGTATCAGACGAAATGGCGTAGTTGGTTGTCGATTTCAGCTCTCGCAGCCGTAGTGATCAGCTGCATTGGCGTGATATGATAGCTGAAAGTACAAAGGATGCAGCTAAAACTGAAATCGTGGAGCTGGTGATAACAAACGTCAAGCGGGCACGAGGATTGGCGTTTGTTTGTCTTTCCGTTTTGGGACGGCGATCACGGGTCGTTGCCCCGACAACATTTAGCCGAGGCGAAATGTCACGTGCGGGGTCTTGTCTGCAGGAATGCAAGAGAAATAATATAACAATTATCATCATTATTACATGTATAGAAGTATGTACCTTTATCATTATGACTCCAGTACTATCAGTTAGCCTTCAGGCAGTAACTAGTTACTACTTATTTACTGTATAGTGAAGATAATTGCACTGGATAGCCTTCTAAAATTCAAATTATGTACGGAAACCATACCATTTTACACATAACGGGCCCGACCTAAGCAAAAAAACCGCGGGCAGAAAGGAAATAAAAAAGTAAGTGGAAAAGATGACTGAGCTAATACGGCCGGCCCACTATAAGCTGAAGAAGGAGAAATTGGCCTGTAGGCTTGTTCAGACCAGTTACACTGCCAGGAAGACAGCACCGACTGCAAAGGCTGCCATCAACATGAGACTAGGACGAACGTTGCCAACGGCTGCATCGCTCAAGCTCTGAACGGTCAAATCAGGGGTCGGGTCAAAGTTAGATGGGGTCGTGCTGTTGACGGTTCCGTTCCAGCAGTACCTCGAGAAGCACTGGTTGCAGGTATCTGGCACGGCAGTGTTGGTGCGTTCCAACGATCGGCTCAGGATGGCGCACGCGACACAGGAAGGCCAGTCCGAATCCCGAGTAGCATTACCCATGGTTGCAACATTGTAGCCGTTCAGGATGATCGCATCTCGCTGCGTGTTGTTGTAGCTCGGGTCGAAAGTGGAAACGTTCGAGAAGGCCATGTAAGGATAGTTGGGGATATAGACGATCAGCGGCGCAGTGCCAGTAATGTTCGAGCTGTTACAACCGAAGAAAGTGGGCCGTGTATTCAACCCCAGATTCACAAAAGTGTTCTGGTCCGGGATGGCCGGGAAAGCAGTACCGTTCGCGATACCGGTGCGATTCAGGCTTCGCTCGTAGGTAGCCACCAGAGAGGTTCCATTGGGCCAGGAATAGTCCGTATCGGCGGAGGAATCGACGGCAAAGATGACATCGACATGTCGCTCCGGCTGGATCAAGGGGTGGAGTGGGATGTTCTGCAGATCTTCACCACCGTCGACCATGTTCAAAGACTGCTGGGTGGCAAAGGGGGACGTGCGGTTTCCTAATCCGTAGAAAGGGTTGGGCTCGTACTCGGCGATATCTTCGTTGTCTTGGCCAATATCCTCCAGTATCTTCGTGAAGATATCCTTCAGAAAGCTGGGAAGACCGGTGGAGTTGATCTGCAGAAGAAATTGGTTGAAAAGGGTAGACGAGGTGCCCATGACATAGCCAGCATTGTCAAAGCCTCGCACGCAGCTCTCGTTGCTCGGCACTTCTCCGTCCACGAACTTCGTCCCCAGGTACTCGAGCGGCGCAAAGCCATAGAGCGTTGGGTCAAATGATCCAAACTCCCATGGGTTAAATTCGAAAACGGTGGAGTTACTTCCAACCAGCAGCTCACCTGGGTTTCTGCCATCCGACACGACGAGTGGCATTGGCATGTTGCCCTGCTGGAAATCCTGGGTCAACGCGATGGACGACCAGGTGTAGTTCGGGCCTCCATCGGTAGCGTTGATCAACTGATAGGACAAAGCACGTCCCCTGAACACATGTCAATGGCGATCGTATACAACTCGCAACAACGCGAAACTTACCAGTAATCCGTTATGGACGTCGGGAAACCAGCGTCAGCCTTACCGGCAACCATATCGCGAATTTGTTTGAAATAATCGGCCGTATCCAGAATCTGGAGGCCTCCATCATCCGGGCCCTCGAAGATCGAGTTGCCAAACTCCCAAACTGATGAACCCTTTACTGTCGTCTGCAGCGCTGAGATGGTCGTGAAATTGTTGACATAGATCGAACCTACCAGCCAGCTGCCTCCACTGAGACCAGCCACGTAGGTTGCCGACTGCAATAGTCCTCCCAAATGACCAGACGCCGTTGCATTCTCCGTCCGACTATCAAAGGCCTTGATTGCACCGGCGCCGTTCATCAGCGCGCGGTAGCCACCGCCGGACACCGCAACGGCAATATTGGGCAGTGCTGACACATTGTTCGCGACTTTGTCGATGTAAGCAGCGGCGTCAAAGTTCGCAACGGTGACATGACCGAAGAAATCCTTCATCGGCTGGACGGTGTTGTTCCTTCGCTTCTCCAGCCATGAAGTCTCATTCGGGGACAAGGTCGCTGCGCTGCGCACCGTCGGGCGGTTCGCTGGACACGAGACATTGGTAGGAGTATACCCATTAGGCGCATTGGGGAGCGCGCGACGAGCTACCTCAACAGCAGCATTCAAGGCCAGAGAGTCCAGTGGCGTTGCGATGGCATCTATGCTCAAGTGAGTTAGCAGCGGCTTGGGGGAAGAACGATACGGAGGCGATGATCCGGCCACTCGCGGGGAAAACACTTTCAGCCTTACCAGGAAACAGTCCCGCCAGAGCGACAGAGCCAAGAATAGCGTCGAGGAAGCGCATCTTGGAGAACTTTTGAAGGCGCTGCTCAGAGCGCCAGCACGAGAAGACGAGAAAACAGCAGCACGGTGGACAACAAGGGAACAGAAAGAAGAACCATCTCTCGAATTTTAAGACCTTGAGATAGACTCGCTGCGGTGGAACAAGGGATTGGAACTAGCAGCTTATTGACTTGCCCTTGAATTCCCGGTAGCGGAAGCGACGGACGGCCAAGCCACGCTATCAATCCGTGGAATGCAGCAGTTCTCACGGTGGATGATGTCAAACTCCCACTCGTTGCACTCTTTGCGAATCTGATGGGTTCGGTACAGCCGGCTCACTTCAGCTAGAGATATGTGTGATGCTGTCAGCTTTATCCTCAGGGCCAATGGTCACTGTGCGCGTTGTCACTGCCTCTCGATATCCACGGATCTTGGTACTACTAGTGGTTTGATTAAATCACGCCCTTCTGCTGGTGAAGGTGAATCGGATGCAGCTCTGTCTGTCTCAGCTGTTGTTTGGGGGTCTGGCTCGACTTCTCACGTAAGCGTCAGGCCTCTCTAACTTACCATAATTTTGAGTTCTCCTGGTGGGGAGGACGGATCTCACGGAGTAAATAGTAGTAGTGTAGTTAGAGTACTAGTTCTGATCTGAAAAGATTGCTGCGTCTGCAAACGGATATTTATAGCGGCTCGTTGAACGTTCTGGAGCACACTCCCCATAGATATACTTACTGTACTGTCTCGCTCGCAATATGCTGTCTAGCAAACATTCTCAGATCCATCACAAGGCATCTATCCCCATACTGATCAATAATCAATACTCTTACATTGCTAAGACAGGGCCTGCGAACACGCAGATTGCCTCATGCATCGCTAAGAATCGTCAGGCTGGGGGGGCCTAATCATGCCCAAAACTAGCGTTGCGTTACTTAACTATTAGATACCTAGGTACTCCGTACTTGCATTCAGATACGAATACGACATGCCTCTTCAAGTATCGTACTCCACCAAGTAACTCATCAGAACCCATTATTCATTATTGAAAAAAAAAGAAAAAAAGACTATTATTACTCTACCAGCAACTTAACGGATCTTCTATTCTATCTAATTAAAATATCGAGAAATGCCCCCTTGCGTTCTCGTATTAAACGCGGACCGACGAATTACCGACTCGGAAAAAAGAAAGGGGTCCCGGAGTTAAGGCACGTGATCGTCTAGCAGTGACATTAAGTCTACATAATTTTATGCACTGGTCCTCCTCATGAAGTAATTGAATACTGCGCTAGTTCTGTCGCAGAAACACATAACAATACATGATGATATCATGTACAGATTCCATGAGGCCTTGACAGCTTATGATGTCGCTATTATACATACATAAAAGATGGACGTGCAGAAAGAACTGTTTGCATCTACTAAGTACCTATTATGTCTATATTACTCCGTCTATCTATAACCCAATTCTTGCTCGATGCTCCGTTCATCTGGAATGGGAAACCCAGCGGCTGATATACACGACAAATGTCATAGCTCAAAGGAAACGCACCGTAAATTATCCCCCAAAACCAGATCTTTTCATGTGTCGTTCGTTTCGTCATTTTCATGCGACGGTCGGCTAGGCGCCTCGGGGCTGACTTCCCGTTGTCTGGGTTCATCGGATACCTCGTTAGCCGCGCCAATACTATCTCTATGCGACCGTTGACGAGGCGTCTCGGGACCGTCTTCTGACCGTCTAGATTCTCCACGGAGATCCCCAACTGCTTCATTGTTGTTTTCACGCAGCAGTTGGCTAGATGCATCATGGTGGTCTTCCGACTCTCTAGATCCTTTGGGTAGCTCCTTAACTGCTTCGATGTTGAACTTCCCAGGATTCAGAAATGAGATTGTAGCATCCGAAACATATTCCGGAAGTGGATCCTTGCCACTGCAATCAGCTAGGCGGATCTCCGAGGAAAGAGTGGCATTTCGAGTTGTTCTCATAATCGTAGAGAACGTCGAACTGTAAGATCCATGATTTGCTCGATTTGCAAGCATGCCAAGCAAGACGCTGAGTAGAGTTAAAAAGATCGCAATGCCATAAGTTATCCACAGAATAGCCCGGGAGTAGGCATAGGTATTGCGATTTTCGATGATCGTCACATTGGTATCTGAAGGAGCATAGGGAGATGAATAGTCTGGTCTGTCATATTATGTTATTAGCAACCTGGGCAGTGTATATGGAATGATAGACTCGAGGGCGCATTTACTGTAGTTGTGATAAACTCATCAGAGAGACTGTGATATTTTGGAACATATGCTCAATCGCATCTGACAATGATTGAGTATTTGGGACAGATGTTGATCCGTTGCCATTCAAGAACGAAAGTTCTGGTGTTTCCGATAAAGCTGTCGACAACACACTCGTGTTAGGGGCGGTCTGATACACGCCACTAAGAGAATCCGCAGTGCCGAGGAAGGAGTAGCTGATACTTCCAACAAGCAGCCTGTTAAAAGATTCCATCACAGACTGATATGCAAACGTTTCCAGAGACGAGAACATGTTGGGTGAGGTAGCTATGGTAGGGCCAGTCCAGCTGTAGAGAAGTCCCCCTAAGTAGGGAATACTATTCAAAACTCCACCAAGCGAAATGTTCACAGTTTGCTCCCCATTGACGTAGGTGAAATTGGTGTTATAAGACGTATTGTATAAAGAACATTGTAGGATTGTCGACTTCTCAAGTAAACATGTTGTGCTATTGCATGGTGCCGGGCTGCATTCATTCCCCGGGAGGACATAACTGCAGACTGGATGTTGAGTGGCTATTGTCGGAAATGCACCCACAAATAGTGACAATGGAGCAGTCCGAACTTCGCTAAATGAACCACCTGGATTAGCTTTCAGAACATAGCTATCACTGCCGTTCTGGTAAAATGGCACAGAGCTATTGCTGGTTGGTGTCCAAGCTATATACGCGTAACCAATACCCATCTGCCCTTTGCTGGTCTGAAGAATATTCTGCGCGATATCACTTCGGAGGGAGTCGTTGACAGCATTACAGCTCAAAGCAGGCCCGTGAAAGTTCACCTGCCATGATGAATTGGCATTGGGAGCGGGAATAGAAAGGAGTTCACCCTCTGCAGCTGCGACTTCGGCTACTCTTCGTATAGAATCCTGTGGGCCGAGATATTCTATGTCTTGACTTCCCCACATGATATGCGAGAAATCGAGGTTTGTAAAGTTGACTCGGGGTACCCGCATCAAGCTGGAAGTAGACGATAGTGTTGGCTCAACCGATAAAGTTGCTAACGTAATAACAGATGCAACTGGGAGAAGCCTAAAGGAGATCATCGTAAGAAAAGTCTCTAGCATCAACTTTGCAACCAGTATGCAACACTTACCAGCCGATCAGGCCTAGAAGCATTATCAGCGGGTAGTTTCTCCATAGTGACCATATGAGCAGAGAAAAGACATTCTCCGCGACGGAGAATATATCGTCAATTACGGCAACCTTAGTGGTACGAGATTTAATGGCCTTCCAAAACAATTGCTCGTAGGCAGTCGTCGCAGCGAGTCCGAGAAGGACTTTTACCAAATATGCCCACACCGTCCCGGCCGATATGTTGATTTGCTGATCAGAAATCGTATATGGAACATTCAAGACCTGATAATCGACATCTGGGACACGTTTGCCGTTTAGACGTTGGTAAAAGAAGTGGTGGACAAGCGTCATAATTACCCCGGCGATCAATGCCAGTAGCATCGATGCCGGGGCAGGCAAATAGATATGAAACGAAGGTTTCTTCATTGTCATGCAATGAGGAGATGCAAGGAAGTAACATGAAGGACATTATCCCCTCGATCGAAGAACTGAGGTGTTAGGGGGTCAACGAGCGATCAGGCTGTAAAAACCCCTCCTCGAGTACGATCTACTCCGTAAATACGCCCCCAAAAAAAAGCGGTTGCTGTATGTCTCTAAATGGAAATGATGCGTCGCAAGGCTGAGAGCACATTGTTGTTGAAGTGCGCACAGCACAGCCTCGTCCATGAAGCCTCGCCATTTTGTTGCAGGAAAGATATTCTGACCCCGCAAATCAACTCCAATGGCTAAAGTGATTTTGGAGGCGCAGGTTACTGTTGAGGCATTGTGCGATGGAATCATATGGTCGAGTTCCCCAAGTTGATGTTCCTGCCGCGCCGAGACTCTAGTTTCACCTCCGCTTTCTTCACCGACATCGACTGCTCTCTGTTCCATCAATGCGCTGCCAAATTGCAATCTCGTCGCGTCGAACGGCTTTGCGAGAATTATGGATGCCTTGCGTTAGATAAAACTCGTCTTAGCCTTCGCCGGTACGGCTACTAGACTCCAGCACCACGGTGAGGTGCGAGATTGCTGGAGGTGGGAACTTCTTCAGTGCCCGGCTCATTAGCCTCTTTCTTACTGTAGTCTTACTTATTATCCGCTTCTTCGGCGGCTGGGTTAGTCTGTTGCCCCTGTTGCTCTTGCAGCAACTGCTCGCGCTGCTGTCTCCATTCCCGACGGCGATCTTGCGCGCGCGTATTAAGCATCTAGACGGAATCTACTCTGTAGCAGAACACGTGAGGTTTATCATAGCACAGGACGAGTTCTGATAATTATTGTTTACCAGAGCCTCCAGCTCAAGGCGACGCCTGCAGTTCTCAGTCATGATCTAGCAGTGGCATAATGAGCATCACAAATGCTACAGTCAAGTCATTCTTTATACTATAATAGAGATATCCAAGTTTTTAACTATATCTATCTTATTTCAAGTTTCTGATCCCAAGGCTAACGGTATTGGGATTTGACTTCACTTACTCCATACTAGAAGAAGGATTGGTTCATCATGTCCTTCCCACTTTGAAGCCTCCTGGAACCTGATACTGAAAGACGTGTTCGGGATCATACTTCTCGGCAACGCGTCGGATTTCCGCAAGATTCTCCTCACCGTAGCTGCGGAGAGGGTTCTGAGATACGTCGGCATAATTGAGGTAAATCCATTCGTTATCAGCACCTAGTTCTTTAGCGTACGCGTCCAGTTGCTCGATTGTGGCCTTCCCGAGAGAGTCGAACAGTGAATCATCAACGGTATCCTTCCATCCGATAGCAACAAGGAATACTGGAATTTCGTAATGATATCGTTAGTAGGTGGTAAGCTGAGCAGTAGCGAATAGAATCAGACGTACACAAAAGATTCTCATCGAAGCGATCAAGACCGATAACGTTGCCCCCTTTGGCGACGCTGTGTTGTGAGAAGAGTTTTGGTAAGGGTTGGAAAAAGGCAGTGAAAAGCCACTCGCTGCTCCGGGCTTTTGCCTTTGCTATCTTGATCGAACTGTCACGCAGGTCAAGTGCCTTTTGTATGAGACGTGGATCGTTCTTGAAAGTCAGTGTGAGGAACCGACCCCTGGCGATGAGTTAATAATTTCGATGAAAAGAGACCTGAAGTGGTAGTTGAACTCACCGCATCTCAGGCGGCAGGTGTAGCTCTTCAGTTAAGTCATGCATATTTGTGAGACGCATCGTACTACTGAGGCTCGGGATGGCTAGGACTTCATCAAAGCTTGATGCGCGTTCTATAGGCTTCGTGTGCACGAGTATATTGGAAATCACACTTTTTCCCCGAGTAGAGGAGTAATCCCAGGAGGTTATCAATGACGCATAAGGGTCATCTACCACATGATCGGTGAAGTTGACAAATGCTGGGATCTGCTGGGAGGTAGTCGAAATGTCGTGAAGTATGACTCCGCCCCAGACTCCAGTGTGTTCAAAGGCGGCAAAGTCGATTTTGGTCACGATGCCGAAATTATTAGAGCCGCCTTTGAGAGCTTTGAACAAATCGGCATTTGTCTCATTGTTTGCATTGACGATTTCACCATTGGCCAGGACGACCTATAAAGTATTAGCGTAGATACCAAGTGCAGTTAAGGGATCTCTTGCCTCAAAGTTGACCACACTATCACAGACAAGGCCATATCGCGAAGCGAAGAAAGAATTTCCACCTTGAGCAGGTCAGCAGTGTCGATAATAGAGAGAAGATAACATACCTCCCAGAGTGATGCCTCCTGCGCCGACCGGACTGGCTCGGCCTCCTGTTACCATCACACCTAGCGGATGAAGTGTCTTATAAACGGACCCCCATCTAGCTCCTGGAAGAATAGACACTGTATAATTCTCCGGGTGGAATGTAGTTGAATTCAAATGGGATAGATCGATAGTCACACCCTGTTCGATATTTGCTGCTCCTGCCCAGCTGGTATGGCCACCGCTGCGGATAGCGAACTGGCATTTCTGTATCCGATTTGGTGCTGTGAGAGTTGAAACCGCAAGAGCTACATCGTCTGCTGTCTCTGGCTGTACGATACAAGTAGGTGTTAATCTCGCGTTGACAGCAAAGTATGACTCAACCGAGCTGTAGTAGGCTGCTGTAGCTGGATACAAGACCTTTTCCCGAAGGGTCGTTGACTCCAATGCTGTGCACTACCCTTACGATTAGCCTTGACCATATAATTGACCAAAGGGACATACACAGTGCTCCAGGTCCACGGGACGGCAACTCTGGGAGAATATATTGAACAACCCTGCCAAATTCAAACATATCTGCATTTTGGTTGATATCGGAGTATACTGGCGTCACAATGCTGAAGATGAGCTAAAGATCCAAGCCCGAGGGACCCGACACAATAAGAGTTCTTTTATCCCCAGTCCCTCATCCCGGTTCGATCTTGACCCTCCCTGCTGGAAATATAAGGCTCCCCCCTCGTTCGGACTAATACATCAATATCCCTGACAGCCAGCGTTGTCAATTGGGGAGTTGATCCCCTAACCACAAATATCGGGGGACAGTATGCATTTATGGTTAGCTGTTGAATGGTTCTCTCGGAAAAAGACACCAATCTGGGATGACTTGCTTGTCCTGGTGTGCGCAAACCACTTGATAGCGGGGTATACATCTGCAAGAAAAGAAGAACCATCACTACGAGTAACTAATAAAATAATTCATATAAGCATACATTATGCAGAGGCCTGTCAGTAGTCACGCTGCAGGCTTCCTATGTTAGTGCCCTGCTGTTTGGTTGCACAACCCGCTTAACATCCCTGTCTCTACCATACATATCTCTCCGTTCTCCCTCCAATGCATATCTGATTTTTGAACACTCATACCCCACTCAATGCTATATGAGTTGGCCAAGCGGAGAATCCTAGAGTGTTAAGTTGGTTTCTGTTATTCGTTGAGATATTTAAATTTCTAAAATGGCCTATTTTGTATGGAATAATTACCGCGCTGGCCGAGTCACCCATGGGCTACATTAGTAGGTAGTTTTGTATAGTATCGAATTACACTTGATAGTGTTAGATAGTTAGTTAGTTAGTTAGCAGTTTGTCTGACTAATTAACTACTATTGTAACTAACTTATGTCATAATCACTTGGGGATGCCTACTTGACACAAGTCTAATCGAGACACAATCTTACCGATGCGTTGGCGCACAAAGGCTATTTCATCATCCATTTTCATCAAATTATAATTATAGGATATAATCTGCTAAATCTTTCGGATCTAGATTCTTTATATAATAGAGAGATAAGTATAGCATCAACCTCCCCTTAATCTCGGGTCAAACAAGCAACCTAGCTATAGCCAGAAGGTTTAAATCGTATTGTCACTTCCGCGCCACTAGGATTCGACAAGATCTCTATTGGATATGGTATTTAACTATTCCATTAGCTATTACTTATCATCATTATCATATATGTGATAGACCTTTACCTTTCGAGATTTAAAGATAAATTGAGCTCATCTTAGCTTTGCCGATATGGCTACTAGACTCCAGCACCGCGTTGAGGTGCGAGATTATCGCAGCAGACCCAACGCATCGGCTAAATAGACTGCTTCTTCAACGGTAAATGTGGTCCACTTATACAAAGGGGAATGTAGGCTGATCCAAGAACTGAGACAAAAGATCATTAACCATGCCGGGACTATTCTTACCATGAGACATACCATCTATAGCAGCTTCTCTAGAATATCAAACTCTGATTTGACTACTTGTCCGCCCTAATGCCGGCACAAGGCCCTCCTTTCTGATTGCAGCATCCGCCGAACGTCAAAAGGAGTCCATACTCCATGGGCAAGGGTCAAGGGGATTCCTGCCCACAGGCACCGCACCTCCCACATAGAAATCTCCCCTGTAAAATGTGAGGGTTTGTGGCGGTGTTCCTGGCGCAGGAGCTGGGAAGATTTCCTATAATTATACCAGGTGAGTGAGTTTATAGGCAGGCAAGGGAAGTATAAGTTCCTAGAGCAAGTAATACTTACAATAGTCTCAGGGCTTGGGACACCTCTGCGTCAAAGTTCGACAAAGCCTTTAACACTATCGTTAGATATTTTGGACCACTTCACCAGAACGACAGCGTTGACCATGGTGGTCCCATTGAACCACAGGTCTTTGTCGGCAAGAAGTTGCGGATACAATTTCCAGTACCCAGCTTCGAAGACAATCGTCGGGAACGCAGCTCCTCTTGGCGTAATATAGCAATCTGGTTCCTTGCAGATGTTCTGCCAGGGAAATGGGAAACTATGAAAACCTATCGACTTTGATTAACATGTTGCGTATATGGAATCCTACTTAAAGAGACTTACCAGAATTTGAGCCAAACTCTAGCTGTATGAACTCGTTCCATGCAAAGAAGCCATGCAGGTGCAATGATGCAGACATCTCCAGGTGAGCCCAATTCAAATGACAGTTGTGGAATCGAGTGGGCATGGTCACGGAAAGAATGCGAGTGCTTGGATTGTATGATATTCTAGGGGACTCTCGTTCAACGTCACCGTCAAGGGCGAGCATCCTTGCGACTTCGTAACCGGTATCAGGAAGAATAGACTCGTATTCGAGATAACCGGGGCCGCCGGTGCTAAGGATCGCTTGTTTAATGCGATAGAATAACTGCTGAGCGGTGAGGGGACTCTGGACAAGCTGGCACCGGTTCTGATGAACACGTCCGGATGATCCTTGGGGATTGACAGCGCGTTCAGAGTCCATATGAAATTCCGAAGTCGCAGCAGGTTGGCCCTGACCGCGAAGACCACCGGGGTAGTCACGAGTCATGGTGGTTATTTGATGTTGGAGCCTGCCTATGGTACAAGCAGGCCTCCTCCCTCTTGTCGGATTTCTCCCACGCCTTTCTAGCTCACCCACAGAGATAAATAGGCTGAGCTAGTTGCTAGAGAATTCAAGCCCAGCGAACTTCGCTCCAGATTTGATGAACAAAAAGCAAAAAAGAAAAGCGCAGCGGTTCAAAGAGAACAATGAGAGAAAGAAGGAGCGGGCAGATAATTCAAGGGAAATGGAAATAGCAGAGGCTACTGTGATAGATAGCGAATTCAAGATTCTTTAAGGTTATACTTGTGGTCTTAAGCCACAGAGTGACAGTCTTTTTACACCTTATACTAGGTAGTTGTCTTTGCTATCTTGTAGAACCTAGAGAGTCATAAGGTGGAGTGACAGTTGTGATATACTCTAGCTAAGGGTGATATAAGATGAGTGAAAGTAAAAGGTGTACTGTCAGCCTGTTGGCCGAGTGGCGGCAATTCACAGTTAGGCAGCGACCCAACCCTACCTTGGGAGAGCTCCTCATTAGCAGATACTGTTATCTTCTATTAACAGATACATACCAGGAAATAAATTTTGGTTAGCGAGGGAGCTCTGTTATATTATCCACCTGCGTCAGATTCCTTTGCATAAGATAAACTATGTCAGATCCCCGAATCTAGATCCTTTGTGTAATCCGGAGATAAATATGAGGCTCTCCCCCATAGATCTAAATTTAAGCAAGCAACTAGCGATCTGCTAGACAGTTTGATATAACCTTATTCTTCCGTGCTATTTGAGGTTCGATATAATCCCTAATGAGCCAGCACGGTTATTTAAAAACTATGAGTGCTCATAAGCCACGGATTAAATGACTACATAGGTGGTATACAACAACGTTTTGCCTGTGGGCTCGAGTCTAGAGTGGAGTTTAGTTTAAAAATTCAGACTAGTCTAATGCAGTCGGAAATGTATTTCTAAACCGACTAGTTGCTGCAGCGGCATTGTGTTCCGTATCTGTTGTTCTGTCTGACAGTTTAACTACATACAAAAGTACCTCTTTCTCTCTTCGCCTTCCCGAGCACATGTGTTAGAAAACCAGTCCGATATTTTGGTTAGTCAGTGGGGAACAAAAAGATAGTTGTGTATTCTGTATTCCGTATGTTGTGCTTAGGTAGCGTTCTCTTCTGAACCATTGTCTTTCTTCTTTAGCATATGCCAAGCTCAAGGTAAATAATACATTGTGCCTGTGCCTATGACTAGTTACTCTGTTCTTAGTGGGGGTTGAGGAAGAAAAATAAAAAGACGGCTTCTTTTGCTTCTGTTCTCCTCCTTCGGCTTATCTACTTTGGTATCCTGGTGGAGTAATAGGAGTAGATAGAGCCTTCCAAAGCCGTTGGTAAATCCATCGATTATTGCTCAAACGCGGCACGGGTACCTTACCTACGGTATGGGGCAAACTCTTAGTTATTCGGAATCACTGAAAGAAGTTCCGTGAGACCGTGGGACAAAGAGTAGATCAATCAGATAGTCAGACCGGGTAGGGTAAATACCTGTCAAGTTAGTATATTTTGTCGGAAACGTGTCTTGCATAAGAAAATAAAAACGGGGCAAATGAGCCGAAGAAGAAAGAGAGAAAAAAGAAAAAAATCTGTCGCGTCAAATAATGATGAGTTGATGAGCAGCATCTTAAGTTGCTTGACTGACTCCGATACATAGATAAACTGGGTCTCCGGCGCCGAGACTAGTTTGAACCCGGAAATCCCGAGTGAAGCGCCCACCTAGTTTAATTCCAAACGGATTGTTCTCCATCTTATTGAGAGACGAGGAATCGAAAAGTCTCTCCAGGACCAAGATTCGCAGCCTGTGCGAGATAACGCCCGCTACGATGTGTAACGGTCGGTCGCCTACAAAACAGTAACACAGAATCGTCCTGGAGGTCACACGGATTGCTTGCTCAGCAAACAGCACTTCCGCTGCAGATCGGTTTTCCAGTTTCGGGGGTGAGAAGAGAACTGAAAGTAGATTGGTCTTTGTTGCGATTGGGATGAACGACTGAGTCTTGCACGACCGTCGCCGACATGACCACCGAATCTTGCCGGTGGCCTCGCTTTTCGAGAGTACGGAGTAGTACACTGTAACGTGGCAGTGATCTCCTCAGGGTTGTCGTTGTGATCCTTGCACAAGAACCGTGTTCTACAGACGTGGGGTGCGAACCCCAATGAAGCACACGGGCCAGATAGAGATCCTTTCCCCGAGAAAGTGGCAGGAATGGAAGATGTCAAGACGAGAACCCTCGGGAGGAAGCCTTACATCATGTTTAAGCTTCGATCCATGCCGCAGATACGTCCAGAATGCTGCTTCGTCGTGAGTTTGTTCTAAATAATGCAAATATACTATAATGTGCGTCCAATGATCGATGCGGAGACCGGGGAGTAATTGAGGAACTGGAACTGGCAACGAGCTGGAATCTTCGATTTCCTCCCCAGACGTAACTCTAGACCGGGCTGTTTGGATTCTACTCCAGATCTTCCATGAAATAGAAGCTCTCTCCAGTAGAGACGCATACATCGGCTAGCGAGTAGCCCCCTTGAGCAGCTTCCCCAGAATTTCTCCGGGCTTCTGGATCTGAATCTGAACAGTACTGAAACCATTCCCTATCCCCAGTTGGTATCATATCTCATGGCGGAGTTGCGCTCGACTGACCCGGAGGCGTCGTGGCATGTCGGGATTCCCAAAAGAGAAAACCGGGCATTTCCTCCAAACCGTCTCTCTCCCGGAATTCCAGACTCCATCAGATGTCCACTGTCACCCCATTGTTTCTGCTCGCCCACTAAAAAGAGAAAAGAGAGAGTCCTGTCGCACGTTGGGCAGTCTAGCATTGGTGGCAGTCAATCGGCCCGCTGTTCTCTCAGGGTTTTTTCTCTCTTGTGATGATACAGCCGATGCGAGCGCTGTTACAACCGCCACGGCAGTGTCATGCTGACGATCTCAACTCTGCGTGATGTGTCCATGGCGGCCGATCAGAGTCTTTCGAATCTTCCTTTTTTTACCCTGTGGGAAGTATACGGAACGCTCTATTTGGGTAAATTTGCCAGCATCGTGGGGGTTGTTGCTGTCCCTCAGTGGACCGACGCAAGCAAGTCCTCTCGTAACAAGCCCGCCGCGCTCTCCAACCCCGGGTCTGGTCTGGACCCCTTCGTCTAAGGGCCGACTATCGTGAAGTGTACACTTAGAGTATGTCGTCCTGGATTTTACCCGTTCGGGATTACAGTAGATTTCTTTCTGGCCACATGAGCTGTCCCCTAATCTCGAGCCAGCCCCACTGAAGCTGGATATATAAAGTCTTTCAGGACGTCCAGGTCGGGGGAGAATCATCTCTCCAGAAGCAGGACTCTCGCACATCCAGAACCCATTGGTGTTTCTGCCTCCCATTGAAAAAGTCACTCCATTCTTGAGTATATATACCTGCCAAGGCGAAGCAACCACAATAATGTCTGTCGCCATTGAGACCACCACCGTCCCTGTTCCCAACCCTCCCGCCGAGGAGAAGGCCGGCGACGCTCTCTTCCTGGGCACCAAGAACCGCCTTCCTGAGTTCTTGCTTACGGGCAAGGTCATCATTGTGACAGGTGCTGGTCGTGGTCTTGGCCTCGTGCAGGCCGAGGGTCTCCTGGAGGGTGGTGCCATTGTATATGCCCTTGACCGTCTGGAAGAGCCGGTATATTTCCCATTCGCTCCTTGAGATTACGCAAGAATCATTGGCTAACTGGCCTGTCCAGTCTCCGGATTTTGCCCGGATTCAGAAGCGTGCCATCGAGGAATTGGGCACTCAATTGCACTACCGTCGCATCGATGTACGAGACGTCGAGCTTCTGAACAACATTGTCGAGGAGATCGCCAACACCCATGGCCGCCTGGACGGCCTGCTTGCCGCCGCGGGCATCCAACAGGAAACTCCAGCTCTCGAGTACAGCGCCAAGGACGCCAACACGATGTTCGAAGTCAACGTGACGGGTGTGCTCATGACCGCTCAGGCGGTTGCGCGCCAGATGATCCGGCTGGGGACCGGAGGCAGCATGGCTTTCATCGCTAGTATGAGCGGCACTGTCGCCAACAGGGTATGTTCTATTGTGTTGTATTGAATAATCTTCCGTTCCGACATCTTGGATCTTCTCTCCAGCATCCCCGGACTTCTGGGGATGCCGCTCCCCCGCTAGCTTCAAGTATTTCCCCACCATGACAGCTCGCGCTAACTAACCCGACTCGTCCCAGGGTCTCATCTGCTCCGCGTACAACGCCTCCAAGGCTGCTGTTCTCCAGCTCGCCCGTAACCTCGCTGCTGAGTGGGGTCAGTATGGCATTCGAGTCAACACCATCTCCCCTGGCTACATTGTCACCGCCATGGTTGAGCAGCTGTTCATCAAGTATCCCGAGCGCCGCACCGAGTGGCCCAAGCAGAACATGCTTGGTCGTCTGTCCAAGCCTGAGGACTACCGCGGAGTCGCGGTCTACCTCCTCAGCGATGCCAGCAGCTTCATGACTGGCAGTGATATCCGTATCGACGGTGGTCACTCCGCCTGGTAGATTTTGTTTTTCTTTTCTACCTGATTCAAATTTTTCTTTTTCGCCGCGAGGCTGGCTCGCTGGCTCCCCAACAATAACGGATGATGAGATCTTTTCCCCTGCATATTCTATTTTCCCTTTTCTTTTCCCCCCGTGTTTTTTGCACCAGCAGGGTGTGGCGTTTCTCGGATTGTCGAAGCAGGCGTGTCATGCTGTCCGCGTGATCGGACGCTGTTTTCATTCATCCTTTCTCAAAACAAGGGTTCTGGATCCAGGTCCGAATGTTGCACATGATATCTTTTCTTTTCGTTTCGGTTCTGTTCAGGAAGGGTTTAACCCAGCGACTATTTGGTTGCTTTTTTTAAAGCTCGTGTGCGCCTGCAAAGCAAAGCAAAGCAAATCATGACATTAGATCCTGGTTGGTTGGTTGGGTTAATGGAAAGACCATACGATAATAATCATGAGCCTTTGACTCTTCTGACCTTTGTCCATAGACTACAGTAGTTAGAGTTTATAGAGTTTCTCCGAGTTCCCAATTTTCTTTTGCATTGTGTTACAGTAATGCCCCTTTCTCGGCTGCCAATGGACCAAGCGCCGATGTAGAATACGCAACCATTGCGCTTAGACCGTCACGCGCTCTGGATGGCCTTTCCGTTGTCTTTTGGTTCGTTCAGTGCCTATCGAATCGAATCGTAGTTAACCAGTGAGAAATGAACGGGTGACAGTGATGATTGTCCAATAAGCAATAGGGTTGTACGGGATGATGTATTGTAACTATTTTGTTGTACTTGAGAGAAGAGCGAAGAGCCGTATGTAAGCGCTTGCCATTGCACGTGCTCTTGGTTCTTGATGCGTGGTTTAAACCCACAAGACTTGAGGCTGAAGATCAGCGCGTAGTGAAATGGCTGGTATTCCTTAACAGCCAGATTCAAGTTCAACTAGGCTTGCGATGAAAGTCTTGGTAGATCTCCAATACTAGCATGATCAATGAAGATACGCAGGCAAGGTAAGAACTGGACTGGTGTCTATCTGCAGCAACAAGTCAAGGGATCAATCATGTCTTCCCGTACTCGCTCAGCATTGTACTGGTGGGATAATCATATTGGAGACATTAGAAGTGTCGATTAACTCTAGGCGCTTGATTCCATCGTGGTATTCTTCACTCTCTTCCTAAAAAGGCCATCTGCAGCCTTTTACCAGTAACACACAACTTCTATAGCTCACCGAAATAAGTCGCAATCACAAGGAGGCGAACCGCTCTCCTCAAGCTCATGAGATGCTTTGGAGCGTGGTCCGATTCCTGCAGTGACATGTTCGGCGAGCATTCCGAAACCAGGTCACAGCAGCAGCTGGCCACTCAGATGTAGGGCCGGCATATTCGATTATGTGGCCCTGTACTCAAGTGACCGGGTGAGAGCGAGAGTTGGGCTCATGTCACTCGTAAGATCGACAAGCAACGGATAGTGACTAGGAAGCCAAAGACACGTAGACCTCGTTAATTTAGCTCACTTGTGTAGCATCCATGCCATGAACGCCGGAAAATATGGATATATCATGAGTCATCTCTCTGATGCGTCCCCAAGTCTCTTGCCACTGCCCCATGATAATAGCCCTCTAGCATTGACACTTGTCAGAGACGTGGTAGTCATCATCTGATAACTAACGCACGTCTCAGACCATCATACTCCCACGTTTACCTAGCCTCACTGACAATACTCTGCCTGCCTAGCCTTTCCATTACACCGGGTTTTAACCTCAGAGCATTCTCAATCTCCGCTGCGGACTTTCCTTGTCGATCTCGCATAGTCAATGCCTGACGGATAGTCAAGGCGTCGAGGAATTCTCGTCCAACATGGCTCTCACGTCCAAAAGCCTCAGCTTCTTGCTCAGCCGCCTTTGTAATGCGCTGGCGTGCGGTCACCACGAGAAGCGCCGGGTTGTTGGCTGTCGGAAACACCGATGGTGTTTGGCCAGGACGGTTGAAGGCACTGGAGTTAGAGAAGGTCGGCTGAGGAGTCACAGGACCGATGGAACGGAGGGAAGCAGCAAAGTGCGGATCGCGAGCATCAAGATCAATGGCTGTTCCATGAGAGTAGTTAGCATAAGATGACTTTCTCGATGAGGTCAACCCTGGGCAATTCGTTGAGCAAAGACGCGCGCCCCACGGTCAGTGTGACCATGTTAGAGTCGCTCATCACGCCTGAAGTGTACGTACCTTCAGACCTTGTAGTTGAAGCCTTTCCCACGGTCTGCTTCGACGGTCTTTCCCTGATGGCTCCGGCTGCTCGTTGCGGGATCTGTGTTGAACTGGGGCCGGTTGGCGGAGGAGACGCCTTCTTAGGATACTTGCGTTGAGAAACCGCACTGACGGTTGATCTCACGGGTTTTGAAGATGACGACCCCATAATGGTGGCTATGGATCTGGGATTGAATATGCGTGCAGGTGTACCAGTATTATTTTTCTCTTCCTGTTCGCAAACTGCGGACTTGCCGCGGACACTAGTTAGCTCAAGCTAAACTTGCATCGTGACGTCAGGTAATTGGATAGTTAACTATCTTCTGTAAACATTTGATGATTCTACACCTACAACAGACACGTTACAGCGAAGATATGAAACAATAGACTAGGGATTTTCTCCTAAATACAGATCTTGGTATATTTGAAGGTTGGATCATGAAGCTGGCTGCACCAGGCAATCCACCATGCGCTTACGAAACAGTAGACCTCGAGCAGCGGGAGACAACCCGACCGAGCAACAACACCAAAACATTACCGTGAATTCATCTTAAGCCCTTCAGACGTCTCTCATAAACCTCACTCAGAGCACGACTGCCACTGAGGAAGGTAACAAGGCCCACTGCAACAGCAGCCGGGAGCATCTGGAACAGATTCCAGGAGACATAGTATAAGAAAAAGATGCCTTCCAATCCCACGATGGACCCAACGAAAAGGGCGTGAGGAACCGGCGCCGATTTCACTGCTGCAGGGAGATGGTTGAGATTCGCACCGAGATAGATCCACTACAAATAAAGGTTAGTTGGCTTCGGTGGGGGAATTCAGTATGCGATGGACATACAATAGCAGCTAGCACTGGAAGAGTGGCCAGAACCGCTCCGACAAAGACTAGTGTCATAATAACTGGAGGGTTCTTCGGGTCCGGCTTGAAGATATGGTGGATTTCTGCAAGCTTGCCGTATTTGGGGGCCCCCGTCGCCGGTAGTGGCACATTGACATCGCGATCAATCGCCAATTTGAAAGCTTCCCCACGATATCCCTTGCTGCTTCCGAATGATCCGATCACTATGCTAGCATCAATCGGCTGCGTGCTCTTCAGCAGTTGGTACGGGACGTCTTTTTGAGTCTGAAGAGATAGAACGTCAGCGAACATCAGATATGACAAGCGCTGACCGGTGAATTACCAATTCCAGCTTGGATTTGCCAGTCTCCTTCACATTGAATGGATAAGAAATATCGAGACCAGTATTGGGATCGGTCAAGAGAAGGAAAGCTTGATGCGGTCGTTTCGCCGAACCTCCTTCTTGGACGGTCAGCGCGACCTTCAGAGTATCGGAACCGCCGAGCGAGACGGGCTTGGACAATGGCTTGTTCTCAGAAATCCTGCATAATGCACTTTTGTTTAGTGGAAATGGCCTAGATAAGCTGCATACAGCTTGGGTAGAACGTACTTCTCCTTGAATTCATTTCCAATTCCAGCACCCTTCGCCTGAACTGCCACGGTGGCATCTGTGAAGCCCCAAGTAGTAGCGGCGTACGCAGGCAGAAAAGTAGACGCCAGCAGTAACAGGCGCATTGAATCCCACGAAGGCCGCATCTTGCTGAATCGAATGAGCAAGTGTATGCGATGGAGAGATGTTTCGATGTACAGTAGATTGCTCGAGATGTAAGGAAGGTCCCGGGGCACGCGGCGGTCCGATAACCTTCCGTCCTGCCAGAGAAGCCCTAATTCCCCGATCTGCTGCCGTCCCCAAAATCAGTTTGCTGCACCGGTTTAACAGCTTTTGGCGCTCTGTTTTTTGACCTTCGACGCCTGCAGACTGGAAGACCATATTATTTATTTCTCTACATTCTCCATACATCCCTTTGTGAGCGCAGCCAGTGCGGCGCTCGCCGTTCAAATACCCTTGTAGATTGTCCCCGCTGCTTTGCTTCATCGTCCGACATAAAGACGTTTTTATTCGACCTTCCATCCCTCATTATCTGATCTGCGGAGCACCTTTCTGACGCTGGTGTACGCAAGTACGATATCATACCGAGTGAGAATAGCTGGCATTTGCCGCCTTACCTTGTTCTTTCGGTCAATATAACTAACGTTGGTCGTTCTACAAAGCTAGTTTTGCGTCCGCTCTTCAACCCGTCCTGATCCGACCGTACTTTATCATTTGGAGAGTTTTCCGGTTTTCAAACATGCCAGCACGTTCATAATTCGATTGGAATACATTATATCGGGTCTCTGATACTCCAGTATCGCATGGAATTATATGGGAGTTGAAGGCTGCTTTCGTACGAAAGGACTCGTCCTCAAGACAGCCACTGAGTACATATATCTCTTTTGCAGATATAATAACAAGGCTGCGCATAAAGAGTAAGAAATATATCCTTTTCTGTTTGCCCCGCACCCTGCTCTGTCATGTTGCGTGTTGTTTCGTTAATCCTCCCAGCCTCCCACAATATCATTCACTTCTAGCATACTCAGTTACTGACTGCAATATAATAGTGGTTGCTAGACGCTCAAGTCAGAGAAGCAGCCTTCCGGCAAATCTCCGTCGTCAGCCAGAGGTAAGGAAAATAAAGCATGTTTGTGTTCTACAGCGTTTTCGATTGATATTGATAACCTGTCCTAGACCAAAGATCCACGTCATTCCTCCCGAAAGATCTTGAACTTGTCAGCGGGCGAGGATGGTGAATGGACTTTGAGTTGTGTTACAAAGCCATATCCCGTGTCATCTCCTGCGGAGACAGGCACACCACTGGGCTCATCATTTCGAGCAAAACGCAGACGAGTACAGAAGACTCCTAATGCGCCAGGCGAGACTGCAGATTTCAACTCAGACATAAGCAGAAATTCAAGCTCGGATATCAGTCGGAGAGAAGCTTTTGCTATGGAGAAAAAGCGTGGAAATCGCAAATCTTCACAAAACCAGAGGAAGGAGCTCGCTAAAAACGAGCCCGTACCTCCGGACAATACCAGCTCCAATTCTCATTCGAAGTCCGGCAAGGATGTTTCCAACGTACGAAGTGATGATGAGGCCGCTTCAGAGCCAAATGCTGGTAATCCGTCTCAGAAAAAGAGTCTTCGCTTGATCTTCTCACGGAACCCTGTCGATGGGAAAACAACACTGAGAGCCGAGAAAGACATGCCCGTTGCTGTCGGTTTGGGAGATAGCTCAGCACTCAACACGCCTACTCCAGCAACCAGAATTGGTCGTGAGAAGCGCAATGCTTCAAGTATGAGACAGACGACTGTAGATGACACCTCGGTCACGGTTGACACTCCTAGTTCTCGCAATGGAGATAGGCAGAATGCTGCCAGAGCGGGCAGGTTTTCTCAACGCGAGGCAAGCAGGAGAAAGACGTTGGAATCATACTTTCCTTCAGAAACTCGCATCCAAAACACGACACCTAAGAGCAATGATGACATGAAGCCTTCGGAGGTCAAGTCAAACAAGGGAAATACAGATTCCAAGCTGCGCTTGAAACTGCGACAACCAGCCCCACCCGTCTCAGATACAATTGGTCGTATCGACACTCTCGAATCACCAGGCGCTGGCCGCCAAAGTCGTCGTCGTGCCGCAAGGAAAGGCGACGAAAGAAGCAATGAGACTTCCGATAAAAATATGAGCAAAGCTAGCGGTGGATCTTCAGAAAGTCCAATCGTAACTCGAACTTCAAGCCGTGTCAGAAAGCCAACTGCTAAAGCTATCGAGGCTCTCGAGCAGAAGCCAAAATTGAGAAAGACGGCTGGCGGCTATGATAGGCCTCCCTCTTCTGCAGGAAAAGAAGAAGCTCAGAATTCACCAGAACATGACCATACTGAGTCCGTCAAGCCAAACACGCTGCAGTCGTCTGCTGCAGAAGAAGATTTTGTGGCTAGACAAATGTACGAGCTGGCCGCCGCTGCTCTTGCACCCGACTTTGAGCTGTCCCCCGATCAAAATGCACACATTAAGCGGCTTCGTGAAGAGTATGAATCCAACGAACAAATGCAGAATAGCAGTTCTTCTGGAAAGGGATCGAGCAGCGGTGATAGAACTTCTGCTATGGCTCAACCAGAGCCTGTCCTACAGACTGAAAGTGTGGCGCCCCGGCTCGATCATGCGGGTGTCTCTCGACCTTGGACTGATGAGGATGGGTGGGTACACACAGGTCAGCTGAATGAATATGGCGAGGAGATTGCCCTCGTGCCTGAGACGTATACATGGATTGAAACGATCAATACGCATGGAGATAAAGAGCTGCCAAAACCCCCGCCTCAGATTAAATCTTTGGAGCAGATTGAAAAGGACAAGGTTTTTGGCTTTCCGCCACCAATGGGTCAGCGCAATCTTCCCCAAGGCGGAGACCATCCGTTTACCACAGAGAACGTGGATTTCGAAACCGCGAAGATCAGAGCTCGGGAGACTGCGAAGAGCATGGGCCTCACGGTTGATCGATCAATGTCTTTAGCTGAGCTCGAGGCGATCATTCATAGCCACGATGCTTCTAGCCAGGCAAAGAAGAGGAAACGCGGTGCCGTGGTGGAGTCTAAAACTACTCAGCTAACTCCCCAGCGCAGCACGGGAGCCACACGCAAAAGGCGTCGCACAGAGGGGCCGATTGTGGTAGAAAAGCCAGCAGAGACTCTGAAGAGGAAGTCAACTGGCACGAATGCAACAGACAAGACAGTCACAAAGAAGAGACGTGTCTCTGCCCCGGCACAGGCAGAAAGAGTCGAGTATCCTCATAGCATCGACAAGGGAGAGAATAAAGTCACAACAGCTCCATCAGACGATCTAAGCTCTCCTAGCCAAAACGGAACTGGGGCAAACAAGGATACCGGCGCCGGTGGACGGCCCAGGAGACGGGCTGCAGCTGCGATGTTAGCTCAGATCCAGAGTAATGCGGAGGCCAGATCTCGTAGGGCGAGAGTCCGCAGGAAGGGATCTGAGGCCCGGTCTGATATTCAGGAAGACAGCGGGCTCGGTATTGGGGTCGAAGCGAAAGAAGATGAAGCCAACTGACATCCTGTGCTGGACACATGAATCTCAGGCGGTCCTTAACAGACTCGTATTGCTATCTTGTCTGATGCTACTTGGACCAATGCGGAACTGTTTACTTCGACGTTTCTTTTGGTATTGGGGAAGCATAACTGTTCGATACCCACGTCAGGACGACGACGTTTATTATTCTCACAGGCGATACACGTTCCATCTTGTACGGCAACAAGCAGAGTATCTGTCATATTTATCTTAATCAATTTCGGGGAATGGAAATAGCTTTGCTATGCTTAGATTTGCTATGCGTGCAAAAATGTGTGATTCCTGCAAATTTATTTAGGAGAGTCTTCGTAGGAAACATGCCCATCTCGCAACGAGAAAGCACGTAAAACTCCATTTTGATCGTTAAAATCACTCAAGAGAACAGCACATGGAGAAATTCAGAGCCCTCAAATCCGAACTGAAGAAAAGTCGCACTTTTCATCTACTCCGACATCTCCAGTTGGAGTGGCCGGGAACGACTCGCGTGCCGGCGGAATGCCTAAAAGAAAAGGCGGCAGCGGGAAAAAAGTTGGAAATCCAGATTCCTTCCGATCGTATCCAACCCGACCACGCGAATACGAATCGCCTATTATATGATCAGTTTCCCTCAAGAAGAAAACCCAGTCGCAATCGAATCCTTGACCAAGAATCCCACACTCGATATCCAGTTCGAACCTCGAACAACCAATTGGTTCGGTTCGCATCCGGAAGAAAGGGTGCCTTTTTTTACTGTACATAATAACAGCTTTACAAAGGGCTCGTTCTTCAAGCAATCAAAACCAAAAATCATCATGGCCAACACCCCCGAACCAACCAAAGCATCATCATCATCATCATCAAAGCAGAACTCAACTTCAACTCCAACTCCGACCCGAAGACCGCAGGTTCTCGATGCGCGCGCTCTTCGGGATTTGAATCAGCAGCGGAGAACAGCGCCGCGACTACCGACTTCGCCAGAGGATATTCGAAAGACGCCGCAGTATAAAGCGGCTGCGAGGAGGTTTGTTATTCTTTTCTCATTCTTTGTTTTAAATCAATGTTATTTGATTTTTTTAATGTTTTTTATATATTGCCGGGTCGATTCATTACCCATAGTTGAATTAATCTAACGGGCAAACCTAGATGGACATCCACGATCGTAGCCCTCCCGATTTTAATTTATTCGAGTTATATCCTTTATGAGAGATGTGAGTTTTACAATCAAATAGAGCTCCCATACTTTCTTTTTTCCAACATCTTACCCACCATCGGGCTATGGCTATGGCTATGTCTACGGCTATGATATAGAAAAGACAGAGAAAGTAACTAATTAATTATTTTTTTTATAGCGACCGGGAAACAACAGCAAAAACATCTCTCCAAGGAGACTCCTTCTTCGTCTACTACTGCCCCTGCTGGTGCTGAATCAACCTAGGGGGTGAGGTGGATAGGAATGAATTGGACCGCTTTATTTAAGACCTTGAGTTGAGTTCAGCTTTGTAACTGTAATATAGTCAAGTTTGCTTCCTTAGCGCTGTACTTTTATTTTTAATTCTGTGCGAGCATCTCTTGACGTCTCTGGTGAGGGGATTGCGGATCATCTTTTCCCTGAGGGATGTTGGAATAGTCTAGTCTATAGTGCATGCATGGGTATGAACCTATCAGTTTATTCCATATGTATTTTAGGACAAGATACGGTATGCGTGTAGTTTCTGGGCTATATCAAAATGAGTAGTGTGAAGTTCTTAGTTTGCCCTGGAAATCCTACATAGGTCCGCGTGGTAGCATTTTGACTAGAACCATGAGAATGAACGGGTTCTCAGTTTTTCTAGAAGTCCACTTCCTATATTGCCTATCTGCATAATGGCACATTAGATGCGTCAGACATATGATAGATACTCTGCATGACTTCCTCAAGCCGCCAAGTAACAGCTTTCCCAATTACCTCCCGTTCTAGCAAACCTCAGTCCCTCGATAAAATCTCCTCGCGAGCACCGCCCCAGTTCATCTACCTGGCAGCCATGAAGTGGCACAACGCGGTCATTAACCAGAATCCGAACGAGGGGTTCATCTCCGGACGGACATTGCATCATCTCGACATATGCCCGCGCCCCAAATGGCACCGTCCAGGCTGCAGAATAGCCGTCTGTTTCGTTCGTCGATTGGATCCTGGATAGTGATAGTTGCTTTGTGCCGTTATACAAACCGAGGGCTGCGTATATTGATGTCATGCTGTTGTCGTGGCTAAAGTCGACGTACAGCGTAGCATCCAGAGGGAACGATTCTGGGTCTGAATCAAGCGTATGGTTCACGTTAGTGTGGTCATTGACCGGAGTATTGGACATTCGGGCAATCAATTCGTTGACGAAACCGATGCCTTGCGCCGGTCCAAGGGAGTTTCCCGCTCCGTATCCATAATATTTCCCCAGGGACTGATAATAGTCGTAGTGCCGCCACTCTTCCTGCGTAAACAAGGAGCAAAACGGCGATAGCTTGGACGCATCTATGGTCTTGGCCACCGTCTCAAAAGGGCAGAGATCCATGAGATAGAGAGCATCCTTAATCGACAAGTTCACACCAGGGAGATTGTGCTCAATACGATCGAGAATGGCTGGTGCGAATCCTCCCAAAAAGCCCATTTTAGCTGAATCAGAGAGATCATTGTCTTCCAAAGCAGGACAATTGTTGTGGCTCAGTGTATTGTTGAATGATCCCTCCTCAGGTAGTATGGCCTTGATTGTTGGCACGGTGTCGTTCTTCTTTGACTGAGGATCCGCGGCCTTCGCGTTTTGAAAACCACTAAGAAACAGCTCGCCTGAACGGACGACCCTGTCAGATCCGGAAGACCGAGCAAAAGGGGCGATACTCCTTGTCAAGGACTTGTATCGATTATAAAACGTAACCCCGGACAAAGCCATCTCGTTCTCACCAAAAGCCGTCAAGTTATCAGCGCCTAGCGTGTACCTGTAGTCCTCCAGGAACGCAAAGTCGCCACGAAAAGCAGTTGCATGCTGTTGGATACGGTCTATAAGATCCGAATAACTCGTCGATTTGTGAAGTGTCGGGTATCTGGCGCCATGACGTGAAAGCACTTGAACGAAAGTAACGTTGCAGCCGGCTGGGATATCCGCTGATATCTCCGAGATTGCATCAAGAGAGAAAAAGGGGGCGTACGGTCCCCAATAGTGACTTATCTCGGGATAGCCTTGATATCCTCTCTCGGTATTCTCGCAACGGTTCAGGGGACGGTTCTCGGTGCTGCTGGCAACAAGATTCAGCAATGTTTTTCACTACAGATCGCTCATTTCACTGAAGCTACATCGAAAGACATCTCATCAGTTTACAAAGAGCACTCACTTCTTCGAAGATGATAGCAACAGCAGTATAACTGATAGAAGCATGCAAACTGCCACTACCATAGCACGTGCCCGGCTGCTGGACGAAGAGCCCTCCTCCGGTTGATGCTCGAGTTGCTTTTCCATCAAGGTCGAATTCTCGTCTGCATGAATCGGAAAAGAAAGACCACGGTCACGAACTGAACCTTCAAGTCTGGTATAGTTCCATCTTGTCCAACAGTCAAGGACCGGAGCAGATCGTCTTGCGTCCATCCCGTCATCACTCTCTCACCCGCACGCAAGAGACGAGGCCAGACCGGAGTTGGGGACCAGCGTGCGGCACAGAACAGAGAGAGTCTTCTGGGCTGTGCAAGCCATTTAAAGGAATATCTGACCACGGTATGAGATAGACAACCTAGGGATACTCGATGTTCTGAAACTGTCCAGCAGTGCGCGACAATGATGAGACTGGAATGCTTCCTTCTGATTGGCTGGCAGCGGGTGTGTCTGTGCTCGATTGGCACCTGTCATCCAGGCACGTGAAGCACAGTGGGGCCCTACTGCAGCTGGAAGGAGCGAGGAAGGAACGAGGGATCGCTCCTTCCCCAGACGAGCCAACTGCGCCAGGGTCCCTCCTGATTGGCCGGAACACGCGGGCGGAACTCGGACGGCGAACCGCGGCGGGGCTGATCGGTAGACCGCCGTTACAAACCGCAGGAGGATTGTTAGGACCACGACAAACGAGATGGATTGATGTATTTACCAAGTACAGAGAATTGTGTATCAAGATGATCGGCCCCCGTGAGACGAGGGATACTCCATTCTATTAACTGCTATCCTGCCACTATTAAGCTGTGATCGCATATTCATGCTTCCGTTCACGTTTAATACACGCTTTTCTGCAACAAAAAACCCGAGAAATGCAAGGAGAAGACCACCCAGCGCCATTATAAAAAGAAGAAAGTCTAGTAAAAGCAAGAAGAAGAAGGAAGAAAGGCGACGCGAACCCCCCCGGCTCTCAGTCACTCCCTCGAGATATGTTGGACTGACGTCCCCAAACAAGGCATCAGCAAGGCAAAGGGAAGCTCGAGGTGACCACCATAGGCAGAATATCCACGCTTTGCTCCAGGCTGGATAGTGAAAGAGAAACCGGAAAGAGACACGATAAAGATAAACAGCAAGACCACCCGCAAAGGCCGTTATCCGCAATGATCCTCGTAGACATAATTACGAGTACTGTCCAGGGTATGGCGAACAAGACTGGAACATGAATCGCTAGAGAACTTATGGAGCAGTAGAAGGAAAAAGAGCAACGGTTGTTCACTCCTAATTCCGTGCATGTCCGTTCCGCTGTAAAAGAGCGGAACAGACAACAGTAACACTCGACTTTTTCTAGATATCGACGCCTGAGGCGGGCACCCTCTTTCCGAACCAGTCGCGCCAAGGGAGATGAGAAAGACGATGAAATCAATTCAGAACACACATGGATGAAGAGAAATTGAACAGCCAAGGCGCTATATGGAAAAGATAAAGGGATTGGATCGGGAAAGAGAGCAATGTTACACCCAGGAGCTCATTGGCGCGTATTCCAGTTCCCATCAAAAGTACCCCGTCTGCCGTGAGGATCCTGGTACGAACGTCCTGTCATGTGCTCTGATGGCGGATGTTGTCTGCCTGCCAGATTTGCGCTTGGAGAACCCATCCTCCACCCGCTAGCATATGGCTGCGGCGCTTGTCCTTGTCGATCATCCAGCCCTTCACCTTGCCTGGTCTCCGCGCTTGGTGCAGGATAGGGTAGCCGGTCGCCAGACCAGCCAGCCTGAGAAACCGGAGGTAGAGGCGCCAAGTGAGGAGGGTTGGGATATCCTGCCGTGATCGGTTGTCCGGTCCTTCCCGGCGGGTCAACCGTACTCCCTGGCGAGCTTTCCGAACCACGCCATACTGACTCGCTGCTATGGACGCCGGGTTGATTCAAGGATGCTCGAAAGTGACGGGGCGACGGGGGCCGAGGTGGCAGCTGTCCTAGCCCTATCGTCTGACTGAGTGTTTCCCGGTAGAAATCTCGCTCTGCCCGGTAGTAATCTCTCTCCTCTGTCAACATCCGCATCTGTTCGGCCTGGGAACTGATCCTCTGCTCCAGCGCAAGCTCGTTCTTTTTTCGGTTCCTAAATCTCCTGGATGCGTCACTATTTGCCTTCCGCTTCTCAGCTTGGCTCCTCGAACCAGATTTGTAATCGACAATAACCGGTATCATGCCAGGTATCGCAGAATATCCCTCATGAGGTGTACCCGGAACCGAAGCCTCTTCGCCATATCTTGAACCACTAGGCACGCTGGGTGCGCGACCTAAGGAATCCATAGCCACAAAGGGAGGAGCCTTAAAAGAAGGCACGGTTGGAGGCTGCAGGATCCCAGTAGTGGCCATTGGAGGCGACTGGCCAAATTGACTGTACGTCGAGTGTGGCGTGCTGGGACTTGTATCCTGAGAGCTGGGGTTCGTAGCAGGGCCACCACTGGGCCGCCTGCCGTGGAAAACTGGCGTTGAATGCATAGACGCCGGACCTTGTACATGTCGCCCCTGTAGCGCTGCATTTGGATGATTGCTAGTTTCGACAGACAGTGGACCGCCAGTAGCGATGCCATAAAGCCCGGTTGATGGCTCTTGGACAAAGGGGGACTCCGAAACACTGATCTTTCCAGTCAGAAGATGAGATCTCCCAGATAGACTCGATGAGCGCGCTGCAGGCGAAACCGGTGTAATAATCCGTCGCGGAATGACACCAGGTGAGAGCGATGGACGGTCAGTTTGAAGAAACCGACTACTTGGACGAGCAGGCCGGGGTGCTGGTGACGAAGATCCTCTCAGACGAGGCGATGTCGATGCCGGTACATCGAGAGGATCCCGACTATCTCGTTGAGCAGGTGCGCTCAAGCCTGTGCTTTCTGGAGGGTTGAGGATCGCATGTACTCCAATGGAACGTGGCTGGGTCGGCACTGGGCTCTGTTCGATTGGAGACAATCGATTCCATGCAACCGCCTGTGTAGGGACTGTCTCCTGGGTATCCTGGCCGTGATGCTCGCGAAGCGATGACTCTGGCCCATCATCTACAGTGCGATTCTGTTCCAGGGTAGGATCGCCGGACACATGGCTTGACGCAGAGTGCTGCGACATAAGCTCCGAATCTCCTTCTTTTGCTTGCCGTCGCGAACCGGGACATGGCCGGCCCCTCCCTCTCTCAAGATGGCTATGGCCCTCTTTTTGTCGGTGATGAGAGAGGGAGGTTATATGTTGGTTCGATAGACAGCCAGCGAGCGAACGGTACTGATAGGACAAGTTCAGAGATTCGCTATGAGGGACAGGAAGGACACTGATTCCCAGAGCAGCCACGGTGCGAAGGAGATCAATATACTGTGATTTTTTGAGCGTCCAACCGGATCAACGGTTTTCACTCAATGCGACTCAAAGCTTCTGATCTTTCCAAGCTGCAAAACAATGACTGCTTGTCTGTTGATAATGCGACTAAAGATCCCAGAGGGACTGGAAGGGCTCTTTGGATAATTGAAAGGTGTAGAGAAAAGACTCGCTAGTTGCTTCGATGTTTGGCCTGTAAGAAGATATGCAGCAGTTTGGAAGACTTCCAGCGGTGAGAGCCCAAGGGCCAGTCAAAGATCACCACAGACAGTAGCGACCAGAGCTAGCCGCGCTGCATCTATGAGCTAACAGTGTACAGACTGGGGACGGGAATAGAACCGGGGGATTCGGAAGGCAGCTTGGTTCGGGGCATGAGTTGGAGACTAGTGGCCACATAACGACCAGGCAGGACAAAAGCTTCGACTTCGACAACGTTTTATGGCTTAACGCATGTGCGAAGTGCGCCGTCACCATGGTAAGGGACAAGGCGGCGGTGGATCTAAGGCTGCGCTAGCTGACAGGTTGGTGCTAACTAACAGGCCTCAGGAGAGGGCCGGGGGTGAGGGTCGAGCCCACGCCTGAAAAATAGTATCGTCACTGCCATCTTCGCCCCCGGAGCCCAAAGCGAGAGAGAGAGAGAGAGAGAGGGCTTTTCATCATTCATCATCGTGGCCGAGCAGAACAGCTCAGTTCTCTACTCTTGCGGGTCTCCATATGTCTCTTTCTTGCCCTCCAGTTTTGTGAAACTTGCTTGACAGGGAGCTGGTCCCTGATGAGGCATTTCACTATAAACTGCCCACTGCATGCAAAGAGAAATATGACCAGATTCTCAAGATTCTGACCAGGAACGTGCTGTTATTCGCTCCAGAGAAGCCATGATGTTTTGCATGTAAACCGTCATGGTTCGCCGATGAAGACCGTTATGAGCTCCGCCCCCATCAGAAGCGCCCCTAATGAATTAACTCATATTCGGGACTGAGACGCAAAAACTAGGCTCTCTGTCCTTCGCACTAAGAATATCTTGTTCCTGGGCGCTACTTAGCGGAGATCTCTTGGATAGAAAGACGCAGATGATCTTGAACAATGTCTCAGAGCCAATGTGTTCTTGCGGGGTCCAGGGCAGTTGCCAGTTTTCGTCGGCAACAAGTCATTGATGAGTGGATCATTGGGATCTGCTCTGGAACTGTTTCTAACACAAGAAGTCCACTGAGGTTATTGCGTGGTTGGGCACCAACGCAAGCTTTAAGAGGATTCTCCTGACACAGCATGCGAGTCAATGGGCATCCAGACACGGATGTGCTTGGTCGAAGAACCCCAGGAACCTCAGCTCCACAGCGACCGGTTCCCAACCCTAAGTTAGGGCGAAAATCATTCTGATACGTGAGAGAGAGGCCACGAGCTCATGAACCTTTGATTGCCCATGTCTCAGCTTTCTTATTTTGTCCTAGACGGATCGAACAGTTCGCTGTGGCGGAAGACCTGATACTGTAGCAACAATACGGATCCGGATGCCATCAGCATGGCCTTGCTGGCAGCGATCTTCTGGGGACACGCTGTACGGAGTACAGAGAGAGCACTGAGGCGTAACCGCCGTAGTCTATGCCAGTAAGCCGCTCGAAAGGCGGGGGTGTCAGCTTGACTTGAAGCGCAACCTTTAGCCAGCTCGTGGGTAAGTTTAGACCTCGGGGCGACTCGCCGAACTCCTCTAGCGCACGGGAAGTGGAAGGGTCAAGAAACGTCGGCCATCTGTGGAGATTATATCATAGTGAGTCCGTGTGGTCCTTAGCATGTGTTGTATGGTGACGATACTCTCAGTACGCGATATCCGCGCATGCAAAATATCCTTGTCTCCAAGGAGCACAGGGGACACTATTGGGAGATGATTCGACCAGGGTTGATCCGGATTGGCAATCTCCAGCGGCCCGTTAATAACTGCTTGTCTATAAGGGGGGGCGTCACGCCGTTCTGTTCCGGGAGAAAGAGGCTAAAACGAAGCAATGTTAACAAGCCTTCCATGACCATGTCAAAGAATAGTAGGAAAGACAAGGAAGGAAATCCTGTCGCGTGTGAGGATCTAGTAGTGCTATAGTAGGGGTCTTACACTGTCCGCCGCCCACATCGCAACAACAAGTACACTACAGACCGGGCCATGCACATTCTATTCGGTACGCGGCTCTCATTCCACGTAGATAGTGGGATACCGTATCCCGACCCACGCTGGACCAGTTAGCTTCATCGTCGATAGTCACTATTAGGATGCGCTGCGCTGCAGATCGCCTTGGCCTTATTCGATTTATTTGTCCGCAATTGAGATAGCGGCGCTCCCACTTGCCAAGCGGCGATTACACACCGCTTCGCGATGCTTCTGGCGGACTTGTTCCAGTCTGGAACAGACAGATTCGATGTTTGTAGCGTCTCTGTTGGGGAAGCACGATGGACAGGATGATAAGCATTCTGGAAAGGGTCTTGGAGATGAGTTAGTTGACTTTGACAGTGACTTGACTTGACTGGACCTGACTGGATCGTGGCAGAGACGGCGGTGACACCTCGTGATTGGGTTCCAGGTGACCATCCCTGCCTCATGCATCCTCGATCATGTGTTATGGCGCTGGCGCTACGATGCGCCTTCGTTTCCGCTGCTGGCCGGTGATTTGATCTGTTCACCACTGCTTGTCACGACTCGTTGTTGTCCCTGACTCTGCCATCGACACTAAAGCGTCCGTACCCTGCAACTCTCTCCAGGGGCGGAAATGCGACAAGGAGCTCTGGATGGGCTGAGAGAAACTCGGAGAGAGAGAGACGAGGTGGCAGGTACCTACTACCTAGTCTACCGCCGCCACCATGAGAAACAGTGGGAGAACTCTCTACTACTAGTAGTAATTACTCCGTACTGTATGGTATATCTAGTGTGATGACTCCGTATACTGACTTCTTCCAAGTTCCAAGCCCGATCTGCCTGCCTGATCCAGCTATCTACCACGAGCGGTTCCGAGCAGATCGCTCCGTGAGTCCGTGAGCGTTCGACAAGGCGGACTATGGCCTGCCCCGTGCGAAAGGGGTGGAGCTACCAAGAACAATACCATAATAATTCAATAATGATACTGATAAGAGCTAAGTGTTCCCACGTTTTGCACGATCTGGTAGCTTTTGGCCCAGATACGGAAGTATATACATACCATACATCTGAATGGAATCATGAGTCCTGATTCTCAGACACAAACAACTGCAGAGATACTTAGCGTTTGCGGGAACGGAGATTGGAAGATCAGCTCCGGGGGCCCCTAGCTACCTGTCCTCTTCCCTGCCTCCATCAGAGAAAAAAGGAATCAGGCTAATCGAATCACTAAGCCATACTAGCTATAGCCGGGTCGGCTCGCGGAGGTGCGTCGACTTCCCGGAGCGCCTTTAGTGTCGCATAGCGTCTGCTTCGGTGTTCCCGGGTACCCGGTACCTGTCCTTCCCGCCATGGATGCCCCTGTCGAAAACACTTGGACCGCGCGACAGTATAAAAAATTAGAGTATAGTTCGTTAACTATCATCCGTTCCCGGAGCACGTACAGAGTACGCGGCTTTCACAAGGCTAACATCACTTTGAAATTCTCGAAAGTGCCACTTGGATCTCAGTGTGAGCCCTACTGGATCACCTTGAGTCTTGAGATGATCCCCGGGGACCGTTTGGGGCTAGTCTAGCTCTCTGATCGGGCTCTGTCTCACCGATGACGGGCATCCATCGTTCCTCCAAGAAGCACGCCGGTCGAAATACGGAGATGTCACCGACTCTCAGTCCAAGTCATGAGGATGCTCGTGAGGAAAAAGCCCACTGCAGATTTTATTGCCAAAAGCGCTCAGGCATGCTTCAGCCCGTGGCAAGGGACAGCAGTCTACTCCGTAGTCACACTCCCTCAATTCGCCCAACTGGTTGCTAGAAAGAAATCCTTTGAATTAAACTGCAAAGAGTCCTACTTATATTAGACCTCTTATGCCAAGACAATTCTCCGTACCAGCCGCTATAGATCCCTACCTCAAGGTGAGACCTCATAGCTCTTTCTCACTAGCCAGAATCCAGATATACTAAACTAAGTGGACTCCCCTACTTTTTCCCCTGGGTCTAATTAAGATTGCATCCTACCCGCATCTCTTGCATGTGTATCCGTCCTCCGTGTTCAACTACCGACCTGGTCATTCCCCAGAGAGGAAAGGCCGAGAGAATATGTCTATATGAAGCATAGCTTCAAAGTCCATTAAAAAGATCGCCCCGCCCTTCTGTATCAGAGTAGATCACTGCAGCTGTTCGTGCAGAATATGCTATATTACCCTTGTACCCTTGTTCTAGGTTCTGCTGTGACCGCTACCTAGTAGAATGTATGTGGGGGTCCTCTCAACAAGGTCTACCGCTCTAAGTGTCTCTGCTAGCATTATTAGTTGTCTCTAGAGAGCCAGTGGTCCAGTGCGGAACAATGATGTGAACTTCATATTCACGCAAAGTTACAAACGCTGCAGTTACACATATGGCTTGCTTTTAGGCTGGGAAATACAATATTAAATATTCATATGGGATTATGCATGATTGATAGAGTTGGTTACTGCTGTTTGGATTACTAAACTCTAGAACTGGGAGCATAACTATAATAAGGGCCAAGGTCCAGTCTTATGTAGACGGAAAGTACCTCAAGCGGGAGGTCTCAAAGTATATCTCCGCCTAGTTTATGTAAAAAAAGCTAGGTATTATAGGATTCAGTTGAAAAGGTGTAGTCCCAGACCTTTCACAATTTCAGGTACATATACATCAGGTGATGAGCTGGAGGGATGAGGAAATCCAATTCAGATATCATAGTTAATTCAACTCTAACTATTCGACAAGTCTTGCTCTTGTATCTTTCGGGCTCGACTAATGTTATTATATCCTAGGATTTTATTGAGCAGCTTCTCTGATATCGTGGGGAGTAACCTGACTCTCAAATAAACAAGCGATACTTATCATCCACATGACTAGAAGTCTGAGCGATAGAAACAAATCCTATGTAGCAAGCATAGCACGGTAATTTTCACCGGGTTTGATTCTCCCAATATTTTTGTGACTATTCAGTGGTTGATGTGTTAGCAAAATCAATATACTAGCCACAGGTCCCGATGCATGACCACATCCCCTCCTAGCTGGCGCTCCTCTTCGTGACTCCATTTCTTGTCATAAACTTCTTGTCTCCGACTGTAGCTGTTGTGGTATCCTGCCTGGTGTATTCTGCTGATTTATCTCAGGATCTCCTCCAGAAGCGTCCTGTAAAACAGCATTAACTTGTAGGGGTGAGAAAGGCAGCAAACGAAGCAGTAGGGTAACTTATCACCACAGATATAATCACAATAACACATTCAGCACAACAAAGAAATATCCCACAGAGAAAAGTCAAGCCCATAGTAATAGTCATCTCTGTTTCTCTTATCCTCTTAATATTATTCACTAAACCAACAGCACCTTGCGCGTCTATCCTATCCTTAAAGGTAGACATATCATTACTATCTGAAGTGAGACTTCTATCCTCCATCCTTAAAACGACAGGAACTGATATCATACGACAGCAGCACCAGCAGCCCCAAACATGGGACCCTTCCCCATTCGAGCCGTGATCGCATTCCACCAAATGAACCCTGATCTTCCCCTACACCAACACGGACTCGTATTCTGGTTAATCCATCACCTCTACCGTGACTTCGATCTCGAGAAGGGATTCTGGAACCTTGATTTATACCCACGCTCGCGAGACAAGGCGTTATCAACCATGAAGGAAAAGATCCTTAAGAAGCTATTTCAAGCCTGTGAGCATTTCTATGCGCCTTTTCCGAATGGACCGTCTAGAGAGAGTGGTACAGAGCTCATTGAAGCTGTCTTGGTTTGGTTCCTCGAGTTTGAGAGATCGGCTCCGGTTATTCTTGTTAAGGATAGACAGCGGAAGGTTCTCTGGTGGCGGATGCGTCATGTTTTTGGTGTTGATATTGGTCTCGGCAAAGATGTGGGTTTGGAGGGAAATGAGGCTGTGCTTGAGTTCGATTGGCCGTTGAGTAACAGCACTACAGGGAGAGAGGAGAAGTCTTGAGGGTGATACTGGAAGAGACGGTGGATCGATCCCAAGATAGATATCGAAATAACAGAAGGAAACGGTGGCTCAGGACCAAGTAGTAAGTCCCACTTGCTCGAACCATGCAGGGAAGTTATGTATACTAATTCCCTTTATCCTTAGCATCCGACACAAACGGCGTACTACATATTTGCTGTCGAGTATCAGCTTTCAGCTTGTTGTTTGATCCTATACCGTCTGCTAGTCTCGACGATCTGTATGCTCTGGACGTTACGTTAAACTTAAGGATCTACGAGCTCCTGACCCTCGAGGAAGAGAACAAGAAAGTATGCAGAAAACCGCGTCCCAATATAATATTATTCTGCCCAATTACTCCCGTACCGGACTTAGACACTTCTTTCTTATGTTCAAAAGCTGCACCTACATAATACAAGCCTTCAGTATATTGAGCCGCATCCAGATACATAGAACATAGTCCCCAGAGATACATTACACTGGTGATCCCGAGAACAATAACTATGAACGTTTCAAAAAGCGTCTTTCTCAGTTGGAAATGCGAAGTTCAGCGTTGGAGGTAACATTTATCTTTGGTCAATAGGGCTTTCCTTCTTAATCGAGCCAATCCTTTGATTTATTATTCTATACTGGAACTGAACTGAACTGAACTCATTGAATAGAATTGCCCGTCCTCCTAAAGCGAATGTCCTTCGTCTTCCTTTAAATACAGCCTCGTCCCTTGCTCCTCACGTGGCCCCCTAGCAAACCAACGCTCGCCCCAGTACACTAGATAAGTTAAGTAGTACAAAGGGTAAGGAATAGTAATTAAATAAGTTTTTAGTTCTCTACCTAACCACAGATTTTAACTCTACTCCGTACTCTATGTAGGCTCAATGTAATTCCGATTCTTTGGCGTCCGTTAACAAGTATGTATCAATAAGTATCACGATATCGCCATTCCAAAAATAGAAACTGGCCGGGTGGCGCAATGGTAGCGCGTTGGTTTTCGGTTCCTTTCGACAGGTAAAGCCTACCAAAGGTTTGCGGGTTCGAGTCCCGTCTCGGTCGAGGATTATTTTTTTTTTTGCTTTTGTTTTTCCCGGGCGATGATGATATTCTTCCCCTTATTATTATTGTTGTTTAGAATATTGTGATTTTCCCGAATCAAGGATATGATACGGTGCTAGATATAACTACGCCAGGCGTGGTTACTGTGGTCTTCATTGCCGAGTGGTTAATTATTAGATCGAACTCACGCGAGCCGGTGCCAGATATAGTTACAGAAGGCTAAACCTTCGTCTGTCTGGTATCTAACTACAGATGCAGCTTACGCTAGCAATGCCGCACCGCAGGCAGAGCTTGAGGATAAGCTCTAGTTAGGTACCTTGGGCTCCGGATTCGAACGTTACCCTCCTATTCCTCGACATCCTCGAGCTTATCGGATCTACACTGAGCCTCACGATGCTATCCCACAACAACAACAACAACAACAACACTATGTAGGTTTCTAAACACTCCAGGGATAAAAAAAAAGGTAAGGGAAAAAAAAGAGATAATTCTCGACCGAGACGGGACTCGAACCCGCAAACCTTTGGTAGGCTTTACCTAGCTAAGGAACCGAAAACCAACGCGCTACCATTGCGCCACCCGGCCAACATCTTATTATTAGTTTTCCCGAGATCATCATAACAGCCAGTAACAAATTGGGTCTACATTCGCGAGGCTATCGTTCAGTGTCCATCATGGAAGATGACCTTAGATCCTATTGTAACGAGAATAATTATGCAGTATATAATCCAAGGAAATATGCTATTCGGTCATACATATTTGGTTGATAAATCGCCCTCAGTATATTAAAAGTCGCAATCTAGCTGCGGCCAATGTCCACAGGATTGCGGTTCGTGCTGATATATAGTATCATGAGTTTTCAGTACATCGTTACATGCAAGATATCCAAAACATCACCACTTTTACAGCTTCGTTCCCATGTTGACGTGAATGGCCTTGACCTGTGTGTATGCCTCCAGGCCAGCCTCTCCGAGCTCACGTCCAATACCGCTCTGCTTAACGCCACCAAAGGGAACTCGGAAGTCACTGTCGTTGCTGCTGTTGATCCAAACCATGCCAGATTCAATCTCTGCAGCCACTCTGTGAGCACGCTCGATGTCCCTCGTGAACAGGGCCGCTCCAAGACCGTAGGTGCTGTCGTTGGCCTTGGCCACTGCTTCTTCCTCGCTTCCAAAGCTGGCAATGACGACGAATGGGCCAAAGATCTCCTCGCGGTAGATGCGCATGTTATCCTTGACGTTGCTAAACACGGTAGGGGCAATGAAGAAACCCTTGCCGTCTCCGACATTCTTGTATGGCTCGCCGCCGGTGACGAGCGTAGCACCCTCAGACTTTCCGCTCTCGATGTATGAGAGCACACGCTCATACTGTGCTTTTGTAACCTGGGGGCCCTGGAAAGTCTCGTCCGAGAAGGGATCGCCGACCTTGCTAGTCGTCAGAACGACCTCCTTGAACAGAGCCACGAACTTATCGTAAATCGAATCATGAACCAGGATACGAGAGGTTGCAGTGCAGATCTGACCCTGGTTAGACATAATTCCGATGTGTGCCCACTTTGCGGCCTGCTCGAGGTCTGCGTCCTCGAAGACAAGCAGAGGAGATTTGCCACCGGTCTCAAGGGTAACGTTCTTGAGGGTTCCAGCGGCCATCTTCATGATCTCACGTCCAGTGGCAGTGGAACCGGTGAAAGCGACCTTGTCAACACTGGGGTGTTGCACAAGGGCGGAACCGGCCTCTCTTCCATGGCCGTTGATGATGTTGACAACACCAGCAGGGAAGCCAGCTTCCTTAATCAGAGTGGCCAGGTAGAGGATGCTCAGGGGAGTCTGCTCGGCCGCCTTCATCACGATTGTATTTCCGCACGAGAGGGCAGGACCCAGTTTCCAAGCAGCCATTCCAAGCGGGTAGTTCCAGGGAATAATCTGGCCGACAACGCCAATGGGCTGGCGAAGGGTGTATGCGAACTTTGCGGGAGTTGTGCTGATGGTCTGGCCATAGATCTTGTCTGTCCAACCGGCATAATACCGCAGGGTGCTAATGACTTCGGGGAGATCCTCGCCCAGAGCGACGGTATATGGCTTTCCTGAACAACAGCGTAAGTAACTATGTCATGGCAGTACCAATACTCAGGAGGGCATCATACCGTTGTCCCAGGTTTCAATGGTGGCCAGCGTCTCCTGGTGCTTCTCAACCAGATCGGCCAGCTTGTTCATCAGATAGCCACGGTCCGTCGGCGACAAGTCTTTCCAGGACGGATCCTTGAGTGCCTTGCGAGCAGCCTGGACGGCAAGGTCGACATCCTCCGCACCAGCAGCATAGACGGACGTGATCTCAGATTCGTCCCTGTCCGTTTATCGTTAGAGCAGATCCCGACTATACTATGAGGTCACACACGGATTACTAACGTAGGATTGATTGACGTGATCTTTGCTCCGGACTTGGACGCCACGAACTCGTTGTTGATGAAGAGACCAATGGGCTGGGTGTACTCGCGCCCATTGGGGGCCTTCAGCTGGACAGACAGACCGGCCATTTCGTGGAATTTACGACGTGGAATCGAAGCTGTAGCTCTGAAGGTAGGGAATGTCTTCAGTGCGGATACTCCAACAGGGCAGACCTGGAGCCGCCAGAACGAGCGCGAGACGGGCATTAAATACTAATGAATTAACTCTGAATCTTGATAAGCAAAATCCCAGATAACTAGTTAGTTAGTTAGTCCGGTTCGGATTACCCAAGTGATGCAAGCAGCAGTTCGGATCTGATCAGTTCCTTTTGGCTCCCCTTCGCGTTTCCCCCACCAGCCAAACTCTCGATTCGAACCCCACTAAGAGAGAGATTCTCCTCCCGCGGTCGGATACACTTACTCTTCCCAGGCAATAGAAAGGACCATTTCATTTCATTTCCTCATCCCCCCCAGCCCTCCAGACGCTCCTCGTTTTCCCACTGGCGCCCATATCTTCCCCAAGGTCCAAGGTCCAAGGTCCCGGAAAGACACCATGGCCGATAACGCAGCTACTACCGCCCCCGATGCCCAAATCGACCACGCCTCGTCCATCCGCTACTGGAGCTCAGTCTCCCCCAATGTCAACGGTATGCTGGGTGGCTTCCCGCAGATCTCCCGCATCGATTTACGCGGATCTGCCAATTTTCTCGCAAAGCTTCGCCGTGTATTACCATCCATCAAACCCGGAAAACTGCCCCTTGGCGTGGACTGCGGTGCGGGCATCGGGCGTGTGACCGACGGGTTTCTAAGCAATGCCTGTGAGGTGGTAGACATCGTCGAACCAGTCGACAGCTTCGCTCGTGTTATACGAGATGGGCAGCTCAAACAGCAGGGCAGGGTGGGCGACATCTACGTTACAGGACTCGAGCAGTGGACGCCGACCAAGACTTACGATCTGATATGGAACCAGTGGTGCGTGGGGCATCTGACGGACGCACAGCTAGTAGCATATCTCTTGAGATGTAAAGACGCCCTGTCCGAATCAGGTCTGATAGTGATCAAGGAGAACGTGTCTACCGACGCAGATGGTGAGGATATCTACGACGAGGTGGACAGTAGCGTGACGCGAACAGATGACAAATTCAAACATCTGTTCAAGGAAGCTGGACTCTTCTTGATAAAGACAGAAGAGCAGTTGGGCTTTCCGAAAAGCCTCGGTCTCTTCCCCGTCATGTTCTATGCTCTGCGTCCGGAGTAAGACAGGGATGGTTGCACGAGTTCCTTCCTATATATTGGACGCCCACTAGAAATGCAGGTTACGGACGAGTATGATGGAAAAGATGGCTTCCAACCACCAACGATTTCGAGTATGGATCGGAGAGATATCCGCATCTGCTCGACCCAGCCTGGATTATTCCCTTTGCCCTATATGCTGGCTCGGATAGGACGACGACTACTTCCTGTCTTCAGCTAGTAGCCTCCTCTTTCTCGACAAGGTCCATGATAAACCTCCACTCCTCAGCAGTTACTGCAGAGACACTGAGGCGCGACTGCTTCAACATCTGAAGATTCTCCAGCGGCCCTCCAGGTTTGCCATGGTCTTTCAGCTCATTGAGACTGACCATTCGGCTGAACTTCCGTCTGAACTCAACATGGACCACATCCCACTTCGGTTTCTCGCGGCTCGACTTCGGATCAAAGTAAGGATGGGCTGGGTCAAACGCCGATTCTATATCGTCCGATTAGCGCTTTCCTCAAGCAGTGCCAACTCGACTTATGCGCACCGTCGACAGAATGCTCCTCGACAATCTCCATCATCCCAACTATACCAGGAGTCTTGCAATTGGAATGGTAAAAGAATGCATAGTCTCCCTTCTTCATATTTCGCATGTTGTTCCGTGCTGTTTCCCTGTAAGCCACAGTCGTGGTAACCTACACGCATAACATACCGACAAAGTTGCGCACCCCTAGCAGCTTAACGTTAGCAGGGAGTCGGCCGTAATATGGTTCCGCTTTAACCTACCATCCCAGGCTTCTGGCTCTTCAGCAGCCTGCAGGTCGTCAATGGAGAATTTCACATCTATTCCTTTCACCAAGCGTGACTCGGGTTCGGCCTTCATAAGCCAATAGGAGCGATTATTATCGCCCTCGTCATCTCGGTCGATATTAGCTTTCTGTTCCGTCTTTTTACCACCCTTTGGCTTCGTCGATGACTGGAACTTATCGTCAGATGCTATACTCTGCTGAAGGGAACAGGTCTAACTGTACCTCAGACTTCTCCCCAGAAAGATCTTTTCCACTTTTAGCGGCAGTAGCTTTCGTTTCTAATTCGACATTACAATCAGCATTGGGGACGAACCTCGCAAAATATACCCGGAATAAACCAAATCTTGCCGTCCCGGAGGAAATCTCAAACCTTTCTCAACTGAACTGACCCCTTTCGGCGACTCTGCTCTCGCAGCACCTCGAAGAGATCTCCGTGTCCTTTTGGGAATCTCATCTACAACCGCCGCCGTAGCTTCAGACTTGCGCTTCCTGGGAGGCATTTGAGCCACCGTATGTAAACAACCGCGACTCTCCAGATGCCAGGGTAAAATGACCGATTACTGGGCCCTGCCGATACAAGAACTTATCTTAAAAAGGGCAAGATGGATCGTAATACGTGATTCGCTAGGTTAAGTTCCTGGTGGTTCCTGAAGTTGATCGCGCCCTCGATTCCGTTATGCAGGCAAGTACTTGCATGGCGCGTCCAAGTTGAACCGGTCCGTGTGATCACGTGCTCGTGATTGTCTGGACTGTGTTCGCCAAAGGAGCGATAGTGGTGACCGCTCTAGGTCTCTTTCTAGATAGAGAGTATTTAGTTGAAGTGGGAGCGGCAGAAGCAGTAGTAGGAATATTGTTATTGACTTGGCGTGACTATTGTGGCGCCTTCTGTACAGGGTGTTATCTGAAACGTCTTTAGATAGATGTATATATATAGAGCCAGTTTGTCCCAACGAAGGTTTTCGTATCAATTATCCAATAGACCAAACTTCCAATTGAGGAGAGAGATGTTGCGATAACTAGTCTGGATGTTCAGAGATGTTGTACCGAAGTAGGTAGTACGAGGCTTTCAACATGCTAGATCCTGTGGGTGTCAAATGCCGTCGCCTTTGGCGATTTATCATGTCTCTTCAAGACATCCTCCCAGATTACGTGATGACTTCCTTTTCCCCATGTACCATGATGGCGCCACTGTCACGGAGAAGCTGAACAAGTCCCTCGCTCTGAGGAGCATGAGTCGCAGCTTTAAGAGCACATCCGTGTCTGCCACCCTGGGCATTGACATCAGCGCCATGCTCAATCAACATTCGAGCAATGGCATCAGTGCGTCCTCGAGTGCAGGCGGCGATAAGAGCGGTGCCGTAAACACTGTCGGGTGCATTGACATCAGCTCCATTGGAAATCAAGATCTGTGTTATCTCTTGGAAGCCTTTGATGCAGGCTATACTGAGAGGCCTTCCTTGCCTGCCACCCTGGATGGTTACATCGGCACCGCGGCTGATGAGGAGTTCGACGAGGTTTCTGTTTCCCTTACTGCAGGCGACCTGGAGTGCAGTCTCATGTCGATGATTATGGGCATCGACGTCGATTCCATGGTCAATAAGAATATGGGCTATGTCTCCATGGCCACCCGATGTTGCCTTATGAAGAGCATTATGGATGATATAGTAGGGGCTTGTGCCTTCGGGGTCGAGATCATTCTCGGCTTTGACATTTGCTCCACTGTTAATTAACAACCGAACTATATCCGTATGTCCGTTGGAACTTGCTGACTGGAGCGCAGTGCCACTGTCAGAATTTCTTGCATTGGGGTCGGCGCCGTGGGACAGTAGCATTCGGACAACTTCTTGCTGGCCTCCTGCAGAAGCGGATCGGAGTGCGCTGCTGCCATGCACTCCATCTACTCTAGCGCCATGATCAATCAAAAGATGGATAATTCCAATGTGTCCGCTCCCAGCAGCAGCCTGAATGGGTGTACCGGTAATAATATCCCCTCCAACGCTGACGCGGGCTCCATGAAGAAGCAACGTCCGTACAATCTTCTCATGTCCGCCTGAAGCAGCCGCTGTGAGCGCAGTTTCACCGTGATGACTTATGTTCACATCGGCTCCATGTTCGAGTAACAACTGCACGAGTTCTTCATGTCCTGCTTCAGAGGCATGTAAAAGAGCGGTCCGCCCGGAGTCGTCTGGGATATTGACATTAGCACCGTGGCGGAGCAATACTCGAACAATATCTTCATGCCCACCCATTGCAGCCGCCGAAATTGCAGTGCCAATGCTTCCAGGTACATTTATATCAGCTCCGTTCTGCAGCAACTGATGTACAACGCTCTTATGGCCATTCAGAGAAGCAGCAGCGATTGCAGTACCATAGGGACCGGGGAGATTCACATCAGCGCCGTGGTCAATCAGAATCTGGACCATCTGTTGGTGGCCATTTTCTGAGGCATTGACCAGACCAGCGCCTGAATTCCCATCATATCCGTTCACGCCAGCTCCAAGACGAAGCAATGTGCGGACTACTTCTTGGTGATCGTCTTGCGCAGGAGCCTCAATTGCACTGTTCCTGAGTTCATTGTGCAGCTTGATATCTGCTCCACAATCAACTAAAAGTTGAACAATCTTGGCATGACCTTGTTCCGCTGCAAGCTCTAGCGGATATGAACGGTAGCCATATGATTTTCGATTAGGGTCAGCTCCGTGCTTAAGCAGGATTCTCACAATGCTCTCGTAACCCCGATAACAAGCAGCACCGAGTGGGGTAGAAAATCCTGTTTCAGTGCTGTTTCCATCGACATTAGCTCCTTTTCGTAACAGTGCTTGTACAGTCCGGATGAGCCCAGCGTTCGACGCACAGTACAATGGGCCTGGATTGTGGAAATAGTGTATATGCTCATCTTCTATATAGAAAAGGCACCATTTGTTGAAGGCCTCTGTATCCTCGCAGAAAAATTGCAAAATCCGGTCCAGCAAAAGATCTTCTACAGATCTTGCATAAGACAGCCAATTTGATGCAGCGTATGTTGCGAGAGGAAATGAGAAGTCAAGTTCATGAAATAATGGACCAGGTATATGTGGCCGGGCGCCTAAGTATGAGCGAGTAAAACATGTTATATCCTTCTTCGGGACATCACGGCCAATGTGTACCGTGTATGTCAATAGAACCTGCGCGATCGCCATTCTCGCCTCGACACTTCGTAGACCTGGCAGACACGTCTCCTCGACACGATTCGATAACAGATACTCTTTGACTGAGAAATGGGCAAGATGAACCTCCATTCGTGTGAGCCTTTGGGGGCCGCCCGTAACAATTCTCATCTCACGTTTCGGCACTACTTGCAATAGACTCGAACAAATTGTCAAGATTTCTTCGGGAACCGGTAGCCGCATGTCAGGATCAAAATGGCCATCACCAGAGAGGTCGACAACCATGGCGTCGACTAATTGCTCCACTGTCAAGGGCTCGTCTGCATAAACCAGGAACTGTAGAATCCGTATAGCATCTGCACGATGTATTTTTTTGATTCCTCGGAGAATCCGAGCATATGTCTCGTCCAGTGTCTCGGGCATGGATGCGAGAGAGTCCTTCAGATCTCTAGGACTGATACAGTCTTTCAGAACGTCAAGTTGACACGCTGCCCATCGAAACCTGGAGCAAAGGATGTATTAGAAACAATCTGAACACAGATAATATGCTGGAGGCCGTCCATACATTCCATTGGCCTTTTTCATAATCTCGACTTCAATACTTTCTAGCATCGACGGCCTCGATCGCCACCGGCGGAACTCGTTATCTCCATAGATGATTCCGCGAGTGTAGGAGCGGATGTCCTCGTCGACCGGGCCCTGCTGTATGCATATCCAGTCATCCTCTGAGATGCAGCTCTTGAGACCTGACGTGATGTCTTCTTCCTGGCGGCTGGTGAAGATGAAACTAGTTGTTGTATTTGAAAGAGCAATGAGTCTTCGCGTCCACTCAATAAGTTCGCCTCTTTCATTGCATTCATCCAGAGCATCGATTACAACTTTTATTTTGGTGCCGCATTTCAGCATGTTTACCAGGGTGTCGAATAGAGCCTTTTTGGGGGGCTGGAGGTAGCCATCGTTGCACTTGGAAAACAATCCTTCGAGCTCTGCGCGAGAGGTATCAGATGCGGTATATAATTGCATGATCAGAGAGCGAGTCATTTTATCAACGGTCTGCTTGTTAATGTCTCGGAAGTCGAAAAAGAATTCAAGAACGACCTCTGAAGATCGATCTGCCTCCGCGTGGAGGTGTTCGATAACTGTTGAACTGAGGATGGTTTTGCCACAACCTGGTTTTCCAAAGATACAAAGGGCCCTCTTACTGCCAAATTTCCACTCCTGGAAAGATTTGCAGTTGAGAAGCCACGATCCAGTTCCTTGGAATCGCTTACTGATGGCATTGTTCAGGTTGGTCGAGACATCTGGAGCTGACATCCATCTGTTGATATCCTCCCATAAACGTCCTTCTTCTAAACGTTCAACGGATGTATTCACTTTGGATATGCTATCGTTTACTATGAAGCTGGGTTAGCGTGATTCATGAATGAACTTTGTGATGTGGAAGGAATAGACGCGGTGCATAGCATTTCCTCGAGGAAAGAAGGAACGACGTACCTTGTTCCGGAGCCTCAGTCCATGAAGGCAAAACATGAATTTTCCTTGGTTTTAAAACCAAGAGCAGCTCCCTCGCATAAGCCGACGCCGCTAAAGCAGCATAATTGTGCCACTCGTCGTTTTTATGCGAGTCGCAATAGTTGCTGATACCACGGATCACAAGGCACGGGAAGTTATTCATCACCCCGGCTGCTTCCATCTCAAAACAGAGTATGTTTAGATCGGGATCTTTTGCATATTTATCCCTTATCCTGGGATCCTTTACTACTGAGTTTCCGGAAGCAATGATCCCATAGTGGATGGACACTTCTCGGCTATTTGATGAACGGTCAACGCGCTGTACGAGTTGATCGTCTGCACAGCACTCGCACGTCTTTCCACCTTGGTGCAGGTAATCAGAATTATAGAGCATGTCATGTTGCGGTCGTCGATATTTTGGCATATCATCCATGCGTCTGATATGTTGGGCGATTTGATCCGTTCTGCGAGGATCATTGTGGCGTCTGCGAATCTCAGGTATTGCGCCCAGGAGCACAGCTGGAGGGGAATTAAGAACTCCAGTCCTCTGGAATAAGTTGTTTGGTAACTGTTTTCCCAGATCATACTGTACAACTCCATTCAGCGTTCCTTGCGGTTGGCTCACCACTACATCGCCCAGGCGGATGTCTCTTTCAGGCGTGGGTGCACCACCGCCGACTCCAACCATCAAGACAAACTGCAGATTGGGGAATGAGCGAGCCATGTCTTTCGCGACAGCGGCTGCCGAACTGGTACCGTATATACCAGCTGGCAAACAAGCTATGGTCACATAATGGCCAGCGATGCGACCGAATACATACGTGTTGTTGTCGTTGGCCTCGTTGATGCTGGGGCCATCAAGTTTCTCGTCTAACATCCGACAGGCACATTCATAACCTGCTTGCAGGGCACATATCCACCCAACTGTATACCGCGCCGCGGAGAGGCTCGTATCCTGGTCATGACTATGCATCGTGATTTAGAAGTTGACAATGTCAACAAAGTTCTGCACGTAGTGGGAGTGAGCATGGTTAAAAACTCCATCAACAGGGCTGTGCATTGCAGAGCCTCTCTCAGCCTCGTAGGCACGCAGCCAACTAGTAATAGCTGAGAGCATTTCATGGTGGCTGAATCTGCGAACAGGCGGGGTTCCAATGTATACAGCGTAACCGTGTATAGTTAAGATCTCTCGATCGTGCGGGTCAGATATTAGAACCGGGGTATGATAGTTATCGAAGCGTCATTGGATGGCTCTTTGTTTATTTATAAACCCAGGACTGTACGAAGACCGAGCGTTCATGTCAAGCATGAGATAATGGCCTATCTCTGAGCTGGTTAATGCGATATTCAGTGTGATACCTCTGGAGTACATTGGTTATCTTACTGAGTCGCAGGGGTTAACAAACTCCCCTGTTAAATCATCCACGACTCTGTCCCCAGCGTTCAATAACTGATTTATCATCTGAGCACCTGACGGGTCGTAGGCAGCGTCTTTCTTGATGACTGAACGAAAGTTTGGGGGCCAGAATGAGGGGAGCCGATGCTAAGGCAGGAACGAAGCCGGCGGGAGGCGATGGAGCAGCTGGAAGATACACTTTTGTCCGCTCAAAAGTGGGGAGTCACCTAAGTTCAGTGTTATTAGCCAGTCACCGATAACTAACTATGTAGTCAGTTATCTGGATTTATTACGGAACAAGCGCTCTTTTGTTGTAGATTATATTACTACTGTACATCTGATAGCTAGTGAAAGCCTTGCCATTTGAGCTCTTCCAGAGAGCAGCATGCGCCGAAAGAGAAACTGTATGCTAAGAAATGCTCAAACGATCGCGCCTTAACCGATGCTTCTCATGAAGATCCCAGTCCACGATGCTATGTACCCATCCCAACGCCCTGCTGTAGAAGCTTCAAAATAAGGAGAAAAAAATTAGAAAGTCACCAGACATTATGTAGGATATCATGACCCCCTGTTCGACCAAAATCATCTCATTCATAGACACCCACGGAGACGCCGATCCATCGTTGCGGGACGACATTCTCACCCGTTCCGTAGAGATTAGGCGAGAGCTGGCTCGTACTCACTTTCCGCGGAGGAAGCCAAATACGCGCTCTGGTTGGAATGTCGTCACGGAGCTTGCCGCTGCGTCGCATGTTCATCTCCAGCACGACGATGCGCAGGAAGTCGCTGTTTTCGCGAGGCTCGCGCTGCCGCGCCATTGGAGGGATCTCCGGGTCGAAAGGTGCATCGCCATCATCAGCAGTAACCACGCTAAATCCACCTTCCCCTTTACCACCAGAACGCTGGTAAGTCTGCATCTGGATCGAAACAGGACACTTGTGGGACGCGCCGGGGAGGTCGTGGGGTTCATGATATACATGCATTTCCGCCGGAGAACCATTGATAGGATTCAGATAGCGCCTCAATTCTGCAGAAGGTGGCTCATCCATGAGACGTGGACGCCGATCGTCCGTTAGCTCTGGAGCGATCGTGAATAATGACCGCGTGAGGAAGTCCTCTGATTGAACTGACGGAGTAGCAAAGTTGGACACCGTCTGAGCTGCAGACTTGATGGCCCGAAGTGATGCGGTCAGATTGGACTTGAAGGTCGAGCTCAGTCGTGGGAACGTCCGTTTAGGCACGGCAGGACTGGGAGATGTAGGAGTAAGCACGTCAGCCTCCACCAGCACCTGATCCAGAGGATCGATGGTTTCAACGTCCAGAAGAGGATGATCGGACGCACATTCCTCCACGGGAGAAAGCTGCTTGAGTCGCTTTTCCAGCGGATTCTTCTGGCTGATCGCAGGTGGCGTCACGGGAAGCACTGAGGGACTGTAGGAATCGAGATCATGGTCTAGTGAAGGCGTCGAGTCAGAAGACAACGAGCGGGCCGATAATGGCGTCCCAGGCTCATAGTCATTGCCAAACATAAACTTCTCGTTATCCGAATCTGGAGGACTGAGCAAGACATCCAACGTAGTGGACGCAGAACCATCAATGATAGTCTTGCCCTCATCTCGAGGCTCAAGACCTTCCATTAGCAGTCTGCTAAAGTCCTCCACATGGTTTCCTGGCGGTAGCTTCCGAGAACTGCGGAGGGACCAGCTCCTCCGCGGGAGAGGAATCGCAGTGACTTCTAAGAGCGTGGCAACCGATGCCGGAACCTTCGCGTCACTGTTCGTAGACGGTGACCGAACACGAGTACCGTAGCCATTCCGGGTGTTTCGAGATCTATTGTTGGGCGTAACTGGCGTTCTCCTCGGAGCTCGCTTTGGTGGGATCACCACCGGGCTCGTATGTGTGACGGACGGGAGATCGGGACTGATCGCAGTAGGAAATTGGAGACGAGGGTCATTTTCACGCAACTGGGAGCTGCTCCTTCGAGGTGTTGAGGGAGCGGGACTGTACTCCTTTGCATCTTGTTTCGCGCTCTTCTGGGACGAGGCAGAGCTGAAGAGGAAAGACCGTGGGACCATCATGGTTTCGAGATGGAATATAGAAAGCGGCGTTTCTCGCCTGGCAAGGCACCCCGATTGACAGTCTGAGTTAAAAGCATGGAGGAATGGACTGCTATGAAGGTGAAGGGGCCCGAGGTGAGAGCCAGATGAAGAGGTATGTGTCACCGCTGCTGCGTTGGCAGGCGGTCGGTGTCGTCTCTCAGAGCGGACGTATCACGTAGGGCACACGACCTGAGTAAGGCACTCCGGATGTCCGTTGTTCGATTATGCGAGTGGTTGGGGGATTCGCCAGTGACGAGGGAACAGCAGATGATGCTTAGCAATAAGTGGAAGCAGACAGCGTAACTAAGAGGGGGACAGCGTGTCATGGGATGGGGGAGGGAGGGAATGGAGACCGATTTGAAGGCCGAGATAAGGCTGGCTGCATCAGTGACAACGGGGGATGTACAGTATGATCTCTGCCTTGGGCAGTGTGTCACGCATGTACTGTACCTTACGAGTACGAGACTGCACTGTTATTTGTACCGACTCTGTAGGAAACGTATTCCACGCTTCCCACCCATGGCTAGGGATGGGGGTCACGGGCAATAGCGGGCCGGCTATTGGCCTATCTTTGCTTACATGATGAGTAGAGTACTGTACTGGGATGGTACGGCAAAACCGGCGCGGTATCAAAACAGCGGCGATACCGATTTCCGGGTCATGACGCGGGTGGCCTGTCGGAGGCGTCCGGGCAGAGTTTCCCGTGGCGTCGGGAGATGGTCAATCATGGGGATTTTTCTCTATCTTGGGGAAACCAATAGTACTGGTAGATACAGCAGAGCTAAACTAAACTAACTACGGCGTAGTTATCTTCTCTCCCACGCCTTCTTCTATCGGTGGAGCATCAAATCACTTAGGACTACTTCGCCCGGACATACCCAACCTGGCGATTTCTCTTACCAATCCGTCTCCATCTCGGTTCCTTCAACGCCGGAGCACGGGACAAAGATTTTCACGATCTCACCGTTTAGTCCCCGAGATCTGGGCCGTTGATGGACCCCTGTTTCGTTTCTTTTCATAGCTGTGCTAAAATTATTTTATTACTGTATTGACGTTCAATTTTCTTTGTGCGGGCACACGACCCTTGCCCTGCATAGTCAACTATGTATTCTGGAAGATCATGGGTGCAATCAATAGAGTAGAGTAACGTAATACACCTTACAACGCAGGGTTTATCTTTCAGACAGTCGATACTCATAGTAATCCATACTAAAACACGTCGATCCAATGCTACGTAAGATAGCCTGAGTCTGGTGCCTGAACGGGCGACTGAAAGGCCGACAACAATGAGGGCCCTGCAGGTACCAACCCGCATTGCAGGTGCCGTGAGCGGTCAGTTTGATGATTTGATCATCCAAGACTGGCCGATTTCGATGCCCGAAAAAAAAAAGGGAACTCGGTTAATTATAACGGAGTAGTAGACCCAGCCTCGATTATTGCACTTTGTCTCACCGTAGAAGAAGAGAAGATTTTTTGACCAATCCATCTGAAACGGGAACCCGCCCAACACTGAAGATAGTTGGGGTATTATTCACAGGTCTCGAATTTTGATATGATCTACTACTTTACAGGGCCAATTTTCTCTTCTTCTTCTTCTTCTTTCTTTCTTTCTTTTTTTTTGGAGAGGGGGAGGTGATTAAAAGCGGTCTACATTATCTGATTCTTACGATAAGACAACACACGTGTCTATTCCACAATTATGGACCCAATGAGCCGCGCTTAATTCGGAATTGAGAAATCAGCCATAATAAAATACATACACAAAAAGAATCACGTGGAACTTTTCTAGCGCGTTGATCTAGACGGAGATCGCCCGCCATGCCCCTCCGGGTGTAACCGACGTTCCGCGCTTAGGAGAAAGACTCAAAGAAGTTGAAAGAGCAAATATTTTACAATTATGATTTACCAGGGCCACTTTCTGCACTGTGCGCCCTCCGTGCTAGAAGAGTAGCTTACCACTCGACGCGGAAGCGATTGGTTGCAGAATCGAATCCAGTATTATTGAATAAAACCGTTGAGGATCTGTGCCGGTTTTTTATGCTGTGAAATCTCACTGGTAAAACACACGATCCTTCCGGCGCTCGTGTCTAGTGCCTGGTAAACAAACGCGGAGTCGACGCCATCGGTGATGTTACGGATGTACGCTGCGAGCTTAGACAGCAGTGCGTCTTCAACAACTTCCTTCACGGTCAGTCTCTCAGCTCGGGATTCGGGAGCCGGCAAGCAATAGTTACGGCTTTTGCCTATGTAGCGCTCGGGAAGCTGTGAGATTCCTCGATTCCGTATGTTGATGGCCTCAAAGAACACATCAGGGCTCTGTACATCAACTTGCATTCAGTGTTTGCTCAGGAGACGCTACAAAAGCGGGATAAACGCGTCATATGTCGAGAATGGAGACTCTGCCTTAGATGTATCGAGACCAAAGTGTAGAAATATGGGCATCGCAGCGCAGTCATTAGTAGATGGACAGACCCGTTCTCGGGAAGGTTGTTACGGTTGCATGGACTTGGTTGATACACCTTCTTGCAACCCACTCTGGCAAGAATGAAATGACTTCTCTGTGCCATAGTAAAACCCAAACATGATTCAACTTGAGAGTTTTCAAATTATCAGAGGTCTTGTTATATCGCTGCCCAGACTTTGCCATGGAATTATCAAATTGACGTTGATATCGCATTTCTTGGCATGTCCAATGAGTCTCTGCAGAAGCTGCAGGGGTATGGCGATAGATAAGAGAATTCCTGCATACTCGTTCGTCAGTGCGTCTTCTGTAAAAGCAAGGATATAGTTAGTCTCTCGTCCAACTTCAACACCGGCCTGATAAGAGAATATTACAAACTAGTAACTATACTTCGTGTGATTATTGAGAAATGGGTGACTGGGAAATACTACGACAACGGAGAATCGATGTCAAATGTTAGCTATATAAAAATATCAAATAACCACTAGAAACATCCACCAGCTCTCAAATCGCCATCGGCGTGAACCTTAAAAAAGTTCGCAAGATGAAGAGCCAGTCCGAGATCGCGGCAATGACCTTAGTCAGCACATAACTACAGCAAGACTCATTAACTAACCATCGCGGGCACTCGACGATGGCTCAGCGAGAGATATCAAAATTGGCCGTCGTGGGTGCCTCAGCATCACTGTCAGCCAATTATTGATCCCTCATCCTTTCTGTCTACTGGGAAATCGTCCGTTCCCGGGGTAGATACTTAGCGGCACATCTAATATCGCTCCCTTCAGGCTCCACCTCCGCCATCGGTCTCCCGTACCGCGGGGTTGTTGCATGCACTGATTTTGATATCTATCAAAGCCTCAAAAGTCGCACGGTCCAGACGATTCTATTTCTATCTTGACAGGAGAGACCCCGGAAGTCTACTTCCTTCCGCACAGACGCTCGATTCTTATCACTTTGCGCCGCAGCTCGTTATCGCCGAACTTTTTTGCGCTTATTATTCCAGTCGGACGTCCGCGATCGTGTAGCTCCAGAATATTTATGGTTGTTGATGGAGAAGCCGATTGAGAATGCCACATATCGTCGATAGTCAGCTGTCAACGTCTTTGTCTTCTGAGGTTGCTATACTGTGCCTTTGAGAATGCCGGGGGACGGAGCTCGTGCGGGCAGCGGCGATGAGAGTTCAGCACCGACGTCCAGAACTCGCGCGGGATCTCGAGGTGAAAATACACAAGGGAAGAGCAAGGGGAAAGGCTCTGGAGCAAGCTCAGTCGCCAAGAGACGCTGCGTGAGCACCGCATGCATTGCATGCCGCAGGAGAAAATCCAAAGTCAGTCCGCGCTTTCCGATCTGTCCGGTTTATGGAGCTCTTTCATTATACTGACAGTACCAGTGCGACGGAAATCTGCCTAGCTGCGCGGCTTGTTCTTCAGTCTACCATACTCCATGTATGTATCTGTTGTTGCGTATGTCTAGCTAATCAGATCGGTGGAGCTAACTTGTCGCAGGCATTTACGACCCCAATTCCGATCATCGCCGCAAAGGCGTCTACAAAAAAGACATCGATAATCTGAGGACTCGAAACACAACATTGCAGACACTCGTTCAGGCCATACTCAACTACGACGAGGAGGAGGCGTTCGATCTCGTTCGGCAGATACGGTCATGCGACAACCTGGAAGATGTGGCAGAGTCAATAGTTGCGCGGGAGCAGGGCCTTCCGCTAGGGAATGATGATGCGGATTCTGCTGTAGAGGAGGATGAGATACAGACAGATCAATTCGAAGCTGAACTAGCAGGCAAAATGAGCGAGCTCATGCTCGACGGCTCGGTGAAGTTTATCGGAGGAACTTCGAATCTCATATTTCTCCCTCCGGGATCTGAGCCAGAGGAGGAATTCGACTCTGCCTTGATTGGCACTGGCCTCCAGAGTGATTTCTCTGTTACTCAATGGACGAGAGTCACCAATGACGAACAATTGATTGGCCATCTCATGACGATGTACTTCACATGGCACTACGCTTACTTTACCACGCTGTCGAAGGAGCTCTTCTATCGAGATTATGTTCGAGGCAGGCCAAGTCAATATTGCTCATCTCTACTCGTTAATGCCATATTGGCTCTCGGTTGCCATTTTAGTTCTTGGGAGGGAGCACGTGAAGATCCGAAAGATTCGGCGACAGCGGGTGACCATTTCTTTAAGGAGGCTAAGAGACTAATCTTGGAACATGATGAGCACGAGAAAGCCAAGTTATGCACAGTACAGGCTCTCGCGTTAATGTCCGTTAGAGAGGCAGGCTGTGGTCGAGAAGGCAAAGGATGGGTCTACAGTGGGATGAGCTTTCGCATGGCTTATGATCTCGGTCTGAACGTGGATCCTACCAGTCTAGGTGCCAACACTCTGAGTGAAGAGGAGATAGATGCACGACGAATAACCTTCTGGGGGTGTTTCTTATTTGATAAGTCAGTGTTCCCAAATACCTATTCAACTTGAAAACTAACTTGAAACTAGGTGCTGGTCCAATTACCTTGGTCGACAACCGCAGCTATCTCCATCGAATATCACTGTCCAAAAATTCGATGTCTTCCCGTCAGAGGATGCGGAAACTTGGTCGCCGTATACTGATGATGGTCCCATCCAAGACCATACACAAGCTGCAAGGACACGAGCTGTAGCCTTGCAGATTTCTAAACTCTGTGAAATCAGCAGCGATCTCCTAACGTTCTTTTATCATCCTCAACCCTTGGAGAGACCACCCTCCAAACAAGCGGAGTTGAAGAAACTCAGTGAAGTGCACACACGCCTCGAGGCGTGGAGAAAGAATGTCCCAAAGGAAATGGACCCTAAAGAGGGGCAACTTCCGCAGGTGCTGCTTATGCAGTAGGTGTACTTCATGTTTCTAACGGAATGTTTACTGACATCTCGTCTTGCAGCATGTTCTACCAACTCCTTTTCATTCACCTATACCGCCCTTTCCTGAAATATACCAAATCAACCTCGCCTCTTCCCCAACACGTCTCTCCGCGGAAACTATGCACTCAGGCGGCGGCCACCATTTCCAAGCTACTTCGCGTATATAAACGCAGCTACGGATTTCGTCAGATCTGTAATATCGCGGTCTATATTGCTCACTCTGCTTGTACCATACACCTTTTGAATCTACCAGAGAAGAACGCCAGGAGAGATATCATTCACGGTCTCCGGAACTTGGAGGAAATTGCAGAGAGCTGGCTCTGCGCTCGACGTACACTACGGATTCTCGACATATCTGCTACCAAGTGGCGCATCGATTTGCCTCCTGAAGCCGTCACAGTATTCGAACGAACACGTAGTAAATGGAGGTCATGGGGATCATGGGATCATGGCTCTTCTCCCGCTTCTTCAGGGGAGTCTCCAGCGATAAATACTTCTAGCCTTTCGTCGACTATGCCGAGCAGTGTTTCAACGCCCGGGAGACTACCTCAGCCTGTCCGCCATGAATTGCAAACACAACCGACTGCCTCCGCCAACTTTAGTGTACCTCAGTCCCAGCCTAATTTCTTCTCCAATACGGCCCGGCTTTGCACTGCTCGCCAGAATCATGATTCCTTCAGTGGCCGGATACAGCAGCCTCAATCCATCGCGCCTGAGCCCACTTATCTAGGACCGACGTCCCAGAGTGCTTACCCCGCCCAGACCGCCTCTCAGTCTCCGCAGGACATGTGGAATGCTACTCAGGATGTCTGCAATGTGTCCAACAGTAGCAACAGCCCAGCTCCTATCGTGAATACACCTCCAATGCCCATCTTCAACGGGGTCGATAGCCTAGTGGAAGAGAGCCAAGACTGGTGGCTCCGAGATCAGAGTGCGCTGGCACTGGGGTTGGAAAACTGGGGAGAAGGATGGGAGACCGCTGATCAGGCAACGGCGTTCAGCATGGGCTATAATCCGAATACAACAGGCCCCGCGCAGACAGCCAGGCAGGAGAACATCTCGAATGCGCCTCAGCAGATGGCAAATAACCCTGGACTTTCCATGCCAACGGTGCCTGTTGCCAATCAAAATCCTTACCGGTATATGAATAGGCCGGTTTCCCGTCATGGGTAACTCTACGAGATTCGGATTTTGTACTGTTGATTTAAAGAGAAGGATGTATTATTACTATGAAGATTTCGGGTACGGATGAGCGACTGCTTTCTGGGTATGACTTCATCGGCCTGGCTTTGATGATTATGACTTTTGGGGTGTATACAATTTATTTTCATGTCTATAGGCATTAGTCCATGTCACGAAGTCTCTCTTTGGATATCGGAACAGCATTTTATTCCCTAACCGACATACTCTCAACGGAAAGAGGTTCCAGGCGACCCGGCTTCGTTTTCCCCAGGGAAACACAAGAACCCAGAACGCTCCATTATGCCAGCCTATAATCGCTTTACATCATTTATGCACTCTCCAGAATAACATGCATGGAATCAAGCGGGAAAAGGTCGTTTCTTTTTGTCTCATTTGACTCCACTGCTGTGCTCAATCCTTTCCACTCCGTAGAAACTCTCATCAAAAGGGCGGGGTTCCTTGAAGCCTGCTTTGGGGTACTCCGCCAGTGGGATAACTTCTCTGGGCGAGAAGCTGGATATGATATCAAAAAACTAAATGCAAACAGAGAGAAAAGAATCAACGAGGTCGTTATGTGGTATCACTGTATCACTGGTGAGGTGGATAGTTAGCGGGTTGGTCGTTAAATGTAAAATGTTGTACAGGCAGCAAGGGAGAGCGTGCGTGAGAGATGAAAAATGAAGGCCAGTGAACTTACCAAGAAATAATCGGCGACGGGCTTCTTCGCGGGCATGCCTCTGGTGTCTTGAGCGGCTGCTTCGAAGACCCTGTATCTCCTCCCGGGACCGACTATTCGTTTATCCATGCCTTCCGGTCTCAATATGCCTGTACTGCGGCCGTAATCTCCGTTACTCCTCGCGATTGTACCGCCGTTGCTTGCATCTTCGCCCAGTTCTAAGATGGCGGCCACGTTTCCGCACCGATAGCAGTAATTGGGCGCTGACCAGACGGTCACGATTCCGCCGTCGAACATTTCCTTGTATCCTTCCATCACGAGCTGGTGGGCTCGAGCTATGAGCGAGAGGTCGTTCTTGTAGTTGAAATGCTTGACAATGTCACCGCCAAATAAGAATCCAGCACCGCGGGGGCTCAGGCCCCAGCCTTCGATCTCGTCCGGATCAGACCATAAGAGATCACACATAGCGCCTTCGTGAGGAACTTCTTGCTTTCTATCGATGAGGCGGATCTTGTCGACGCTGTCGACAAGAGGAGAGAGGCCTCCGTGGACGCAGAGAACGGCTCCGGTGCTGCTAGAGAAACTGCCCAGACTGCTTCCTGTCGCTCCTGTGCCCGGAGCACCAGTTCGTGCGGGCGTATCTCCAGGAGCTGCTGATATGTCTCTCGGGGGCGAGATATTTCGCGAATCATTGGATGCATCGGATGATGCTCTCTGCCGTCTTCGATAGGTTGCCATTGTGACTTCCCCTTTCGAATTCAGCACCTCGGTCTCCAGTTCTCCGTCGTCGATGGGCATGGTCGATTGTGTCGCCTCGTTTATGTTGGTTCCAGTGGGCTCCAGCTCCGAGCTGGCTCCGAGCACCAACGCTCCCAACGCTAGGTAGTCAAAGACCTCGCAACAGTATCGCCATACATTGGCGCTTCCGTACTTGCGAATACACTCATCGTAAAAGCCGTACACGGTCGTGATCTGACGCGATTCATGATTCCCACGAATAAGGGTTATACGGTCGGGATAGCGCACTTTCAGACAAAGGAGGAGGAGAAAGGATTCGAGAGAGTAAAACCCACGGTCGACGAAGTCGCCCATGAAGAGATAATTCGTGTCAGGAACGTCTCCACCGACCCTAAAGAGCTCCATCAAATCATGAAATTGGCCGTGGATGTCACCGCATATCGTAACTGGTGCATCCACTGAAACCACATTCCCTTCTTCAATTAGAAGTTCTCGCGCCTTATAGCAAAGTTCCCTCACTTGCGCCTCGGGAATTGGTCGGCAAGCGCGTAGCTGCGCGATCGCCCTTGAAGGATAATAGTCAGCTCAGGCGCGCTATCATAGACACATAGAGAGTAACTACCTGTCAAGATCGCTCATTATGTGTGTTGCAACCGGGCGCGCTGTTCAAGATGATAATATGGGGTTGGATTTGAGCAGGCGGACGTACGACCGACGCGGCAGATCCTTGTGACGCTGTCGCCTATGCAGCCCAACTGAGGATGAGAGGTGGAGGAATCCTATCTTTGTAAAAGAATCATCTTCAGTTTTCAGATCTGATACCAAGGTTGCAGGAGTTCTGATGGAACATTGCAGCCGTGACAACTGTCTGAGGTGGCGCGGTCGCGCTCGCAGCTCCGCAGGACAAGACAGCATGCGAGGGGCCCACCAATAGCGCATCAGATAGATAAGATTAGATCTCCCAGGCTTCCCAAATCCCGTGACGGGCTCTTTCCACTGCGCCGGACAAGGACCGCGCGGGCTCAAGAACATCAGACGATCGTCGGTGCCATCCATTCTCGACCAGGCCAATTGAGCACTATGTCTGCGGTTTAATTGTCGTTGGACGCCTTTCATTCGATCACGTATGCTTCCTACGCCTGAATGCCCCGTGGGAAGCCGCAATTTCTGACAGAAAATCATCAGGCCTTGCTGCGCGCTCTTTTTTCCATGATTATCCGGAACGACGCCATCTGAAGGCATTGCCTCGCTGCCACCGCAGAAATGACTCCTCACCTGCATCCGCGATCGCGGACAACATCCTCCCTCTTCGCCGCGACGCTTCTCGCTTCATTCTTCGTCGTTGGCTTGCCTCACCTCTTTCCGTGCCCGGCACCCCACCGGACACTCGCGGATTCCGAAATGATGGTCACAGCGGATGGACAACAGATTCAGAGAGTTCGGAGGAGGAGACGAAGAGAATTGGAAACTTCTCAGCTAGGCAGCACCGTCTCCAGTCAACAGTTGCCGGCCACAGACGATGAAGTCTCGACCTTCCTGCAGATGGAAGAGGAAGCAGCCAGGCTAGAGAAAGTTGGACGAGAATGCCCAGTCCCAAAGCCCGGTGGAATAGTGGGAGAGATACTCGGCTTTACATCTCGAGGAAAGGAATAACGGGGCGGTATATGTGAGGTTCTACGATTTGAGCTGGCTTCGGCTGGTGGCTGCCAACTAGAGCGGCGTTACGCCCTCATACCCATGGCGAAACGCAAAATACTCTCGTCTCTTTATACGCATATCTAACTTTCACGGTGACTGTTTTTCAATATTCACATATTTCTTTTTTCTCGAAAAATCGGCTGCTGGATAAGAGTCTACGCATTAGAGGAAGGCTAAGCGGATGGGCCTGTGTTTATATAAACGATGCACAATGTACGATTATTAGAATGGACCACGTCGCTGATAGGCATCATATCACCCGGAGTTGAGAATTCTTAATGCCACAACATCGTTCCAGTCTACTCGGCAGTACACGGGGGCACCAACCTAATACTGTTCGACAAAGACGATTGCTCAGATCAAGAAAAAGGAGAACGGAGGCAGATTGTCCAGTTTAGCAACAGCTACATCCTGGAGGTTAGCGGCTTATATATACCTAGGTAGTGACTTTGAGGGGCGAAGCAGAGTTCTGTTCGGAATATAGACAATCTGATTCTCTCTCTGATTGTATACAGTACAATGCCATTGGCGAATTCAGGTACGCTTTGGTGTATATAATACAGGCTGTTTTTGTATAGATGTGATACGCAATGATTTCCCTCCTGGCAGGGATACAATATCTAGTAACTAATTGATAGTTATCTTACATACATCTCGACAAGATCGCTTCGTCTGGAATGTTCGCGTATCCTAGCGTAGTTCCGCCCTCACACGTTCCTGAGAGCGGATCTTAAAACGCCCTTACTTTCAAGGCTTTCTCTACGGTGGGACTCTGGCTCGATCTGAGGACTATGTATTGTATTGGAGATTCTTCGGCGTGGTGATCCCCAACGCTAAACCGGAAATAAGAGAGCCACGCTAAGTAGATACGCGGAGAGCGAGTTCCGGGTGTTCCTCCGGGCTCTCGGGCCGCAGTCCGGGGACAACAAGCTTCTTGAGGCTGGAACGCCAGAGCTCCATGGACACTCGCAGCCATGGACCTCTATCGATGCGCCTGCGACATTGCCAGGAACCCGAAGCATACAAGATGGGTCGCCCCTCTGCTGCTGGTCGCGGATGCATTCCTATGCGCTCTCATCATCTGGAAAATCCCATGTGAGTACTAAGACATACCTGTCCTCTACGGTAATACAGTCGCGGCGCAATTGACTTACTGACTTCGCTTCGATACAGACACAGAAATTGACTGGACGACGTATATGCAACAAGTTTCTTTGTTCCTCTCTGGCGAACGCGACTATGCTCTGATCAAAGGCTCTACCGGACCGCTGGTGTATCCTGCTGCCCATGTCTACATATACAGCTTGCTTTACCATGTGACGGATGAAGGTCGCGACATCTTCTTTGGCCAGATCTTGTTCGCCGTGCTCTACCTGGTAACTCTAGCGATTGTCATGGCTTGCTACAGGCGCTCAGGCGCTCCGCCCTATCTTTTCCCGCTTCTAGTGCTTTCCAAAAGATTGCACAGCGTCTTCGTGTTGCGACTATTCAACGACTGTTTTGCAGCACTGGCGATGTGGAGCACAATTCTCCTCTTCCAGAAGCGGAAATGGTTGGCAGGGGTAATTGTGTGGACAAGTGGAGTGGCTGTCAAGATGACATTGTTGTTGCTTGCTCCGGCGGTTGCCGTGATTATAGCCCTTAGTGGAGGCATGGGCCGGGGCATTCGTCTGGCAATAGTTTCTATCTTGGTCCAGGTAAGGCAGCCATAGTCCAGAAACTGGCTGGTATGTTCTCTAAGGCCCTCGTACTAACAGAGAAATAGGTTCTTCTGGCAGTGCCATTCCTTCATGTGAACACTGTTTCATACTTGTCACGCGCTTTCGAACTGACTCGCCAGTTTCTTTTCCGATGGACGGTGAATTGGAGGTTCGTCGGTGAGGATATGTTCCTCTCGAAGCAATTCTCACTGGCTCTACTCATTGTACACGCCTTATTACTGGCTATCTTTGTGGCCGTACGATGGGTAAAACCATCTGGTTCAAATTTACCGGGATTTAGTCGGAATCTGCTCAACGGCACGCAGCGGACCATCATACTCACGGATTCGTTCATAGGCACGACAATGTTGGCATCTATGGTAATCGGTTTGCTTTGCGCGAGATCTCTTCATTACCAGTTCTTTGCCTATCTTTCCTGGGCGACTCCCTTCCTTCTCTGGAAATCGAGGTTCCATCCCGTCCTTATATATGGGCTATGGTTCCTACAAGAATGGGCGTGGAACGTCTACCCCAGCACAACCGCAAGCTCACTTATCGTTGTTTTATCCTTGGGCATCCAAGTATTCGGTGTCTTGGTGAACGCTAGGGATATTCTGGGTGAAAGACGCTTAGAGAACAACCAGAGCGTAAAGCAGCATCCGCAATAATAGCAATTGGCATATTATTATGCATGCTTTTAATGGTTTCAAAGATGCCGATGAACATCATTTCATGCTTGCTCATTTGAATAAGAATTCCAGAAAAGGGTACTCATAAAAGAGGAACCGCACGTCATGTACTCGCACAGTCCTCTGAACGCCATACTAAAAAGACCGTGCAGAGACATCAGGCATCCGACTCGTCTGAAGGTGGCAACTTTCCCACCGTCGATTCCTCCTCATCATCGTCTTCGGTTGGCAACAGAGATTGCTTGACAAATTCTTTTGGCCTGAAGAGAAATTAGTAACAATGGCCCCGGACTTCAGCTTATGTAGGTGTATGGGTGAATCCCACAACGCACCAGTAAGGCGCTTTCCGCCAGGCTTTTTCGTCCCCCACGACGTTGATGATTTCACCAGCGAGTTTGTTGTCTCGATCCTCGAGAGCCCTGGTGTCGACGAGGACATATGATCCACGCTTCATCCAGATGGTGGATCGGAACCGAGCCGGCAGTTCTACCAAAATAGTGGTTTTAGAGGGCAGCTCTACCAAGTAGATATTATTGCCGGTGGCCTTAATGACCCGAGCAATCGCCTGTCCTTCGGCCAAATTGTCGGGAGGAGTCAAGGTCTCCTCGGCCGTGGCGAGCACTCTCCGTTTTGGCGGTCCCATTGCGCACGATGCTGCACAGGCTGATCTCTATCAGAAATTCGGAATTCGAGTCGCAGACTGCTGCACACTTCGGAATTTATTTCTATGATTTGCTGGCAGGCGAGACAGGAACATAGTCTCTGGAGCTAGCGAATTTTTAGTTTTGTTCTGGCCGTGGCGCTTGTGTCAATCATTGTGGCGCTCAACGTCCCGCCGTCTCTTCACGTGCACCACGAACACCTTGGATGAAGAAATCGAATTTCCACGCTCTCTGCAAATCTCTTAGATGCAGCTCGTCAGAACTTCTTTCTAGACTAGAGAGCCCTAGTGGGGGAGCTTAAGTCGTCTGACCAAGCCGATAACACACCGTAAGATGCTGATTTCCAGTGACAACTCTTTCTTGGTCTCCACCGACGTTCTGGGCCATTTCTTCCATCGGAAATGCAAGTGTCCCTGGCCAGCTTTGCTTGGGATGTCGGAATCCATTTTCCAACCCTAATTTTATATGGACGAGATGTCCTGTCGCCGTGTCTTTTTGGACATTCATGGTTCATCTGTCCTTTCTCGAACCCGATAGCTCCTATGGCCTAGGGATGTCCTGTCGTTAACGACCGTTACTATTCATTAGTGTTTAATGATTTCTATTTTATCAGTTACCACCGCCAAAAAATGTCATCATACACTGGCCTAGGTGCCTTAATCGAGCTGGAGAAAACTCCCAGCATCACGAATCCAGCAGCTGTTGTCCGCAAAGACAAGCAGGGTATTGCCAGTACACCTTCCGACCATGAACTGGATCAAATGCAATGGGGAAAGCCTATGAAGGGGCCCACTGTCACTGTTCAAGGTGCTCACACGCCTCTGACTCCTAGTGAGTTGGAATCGAGTAACCCGTCTACTCCAACAGGGAAGGGAGCCGTGGACTTGGTCCAGAGCATATTTAATCCACCAAGAAACAAATGGAGGCTGTTGAGCGTATGCTTCATCAACTTCGCCAACGGGCTGAACGACAGTGCTCCTGGTGCGCTTATTCCCTATATTGAAAAAGATTACAACATCGGATATGCTATCGTGTCCCTGATTTTTGTCACCAATGCAATCGGCTTCATTATCGCGGCGCCTTTCACCCATGCGCTTGAGTCTAAGTTGGGCCGCTCGAGATGTTTCATTCTATCGCTCTCACTGCTTGCAACTGCATATGTGATCATTATATGCAAGCCGCCTTTCCCGGCGATCGTGGCAAGCTTCTTTCTCCTAGGTTTCGGGATGGCTATCAACCTTGCCCTGGGCAATGTCTTCTGCGCCAACCTTTCCAACAGCACCGCTGCGCTTGGTGGCATGCATGGAAGTTATGGTATTGGAGGTGTGATAGGACCCCTGGTCGCAACTGCCATTGCTTCACATGGTGTCCGATGGTCCTTTTACTATGTTCTCAACTTGGCGACCGCACTGTTTAATCTTGTTTTCTCGGCCTGGGCCTTTAAAGGCTATGAGAAGGAATCATCCGTGCGGCTCATAACAGCGCTTCAGAAAACGGCATCCCGCCAAGAGACGACAGAAGAAGAAGAAGGTACCAGCAAGAAGGGCCTGCTGAAGCAGGCTGTGAAAAGCAAGGTGACCCTCCTGGGCGCCTTGTTCATCTTCGCTTACCAGGGCGCCGAAGTTTCGACGTCCGGCTGGGTCGTGTCTTTTCTTATCAGCTATCGCAAGGGGGATCCCTCCAAGGTCGGATATGTCAGTGCTGGTTTTTGGGCGGGTATCACCCTTGGCCGTTTTCTGCTGTCGCACCCGGCGCAACGCATCGGAAGGAAACTTGCCGTCGTGGTGCTCGTTGCTGGCTCAGTTGCGTTTCAGTTGATGACATGGCTGATCCCCAACGTCATTGGCGAGGCCGTAACCGTTGCTATCCTGGGGTTGCTTTTGGGTCCCATCTATCCCTGTGCGACTGCTGTCTTCAGCAGTCTCCTTCCTCGCAATATCCAGATGTCCAGTTTGAGTTTCATCAGTGCGATGGGGAGCAGTGGTGGAGCAGTGGCACCTTTCTTGACCGGTCTGCTCGCTCAGCGCGCTGGGACTTTTGTCTTGCACCCCATCTGCATCGGCTTGTATGGTGTTATGGTGGTCGGTTGGGTGTGCTTGCCTCGGCTTCCCAAGAGGTCCGAGTAATGCACTTCGACTTCAGAAGCGTTGCAGTTATGCTTCTTACCAAGCAATTCTACTATGAGGAGAAAATTTATGGGAGTTGTGGCTTTGGCTCTTATAGAAGTTTCTCATTTACAAGGATGATATCAGCTGAGCTGGCCTTGTGATTCCCAGTATAGATGGGTTTATGACGGCGTTAACAGAGGTATTGAGTCTATGCGGAATGGAAAAAGAAGGACTTTATTCCTAGATTAGAAGCTTGCGACTATAGATACCATTTAGAATTTAGATAGACTTGGGAGTTTCCCTAATGATGAGTGTTTTTTTTATTTTATTTTTATTTTTCTCTCTCTTCGCAATTACACATGGTTATCACGTAGATTCCAACTAGCTCTGATAGTTTCTATATTCCATGTTCCATTTCGGGAGTACTCCTGTCACCACGACCATAATGTAGAACCAGATAATATGTGAGCACAAACTGCGGTCATTCACTTGAGGCGACGAACTTGGATTTATTTTCCCATGTTTCTGCACATGCTTCGATCAACAACTCCGTACTCACCGACCTATCGAGGACCAGGCTCGAAACTTACAACATTACACGAAATTACCTCACAAACCTCGCCTCAAATTCTATTTTCTTTTACTAGAATGACAAAAGTATTTGACAGAGAACGGTGGGTAGGACCGAATATCTTTACCGCATATCACATTCCATCTTGAAGTTCCTGCAGTTGACAATGGCTAAACGTGACCTAAATTTAGAGTAGGCGTTCTAAGTACATACATCTTCTTTGATATGCATTTTATCGGTGCATAAAGGGGTTTGCGCCATCTTCTGATGAAACGCTACCATTCTCAAATTACATTCGTGTTTGATTAAGAAAAAGGTGTCTGTCCTTGAATCATTAAAGCTGCAAAAGGAGATAACTGCCACTGTGTCACGCGAGCTTTGATCTCAAGCCACTGAGGACTATAATAATGTAAAAAAGGTACTTTCTCTTCGAAATAAAAAAAATGAGAGAAGAACGAATGTCATGTGATGTCTTACCATAGTTCAACCACGTCCCGTTTCCCTTTTTGGATCTTCTCCGAGACAATGACGCTTCGAAAAATCAACAAAAAAGACTTGCTCTTTCGCTTGTCCGATATTTCAAGCCAGGGAAATTACGTCACTTTGGACAATGGATCAGTGGTGATGTTTACATTTGACAAAGTTCACTGTCTGTTTCAGTTGGCGTAGGATTGTAAAATGTTGAGAAGGGAGGAGTCGACTCTCCCAATGTAAGTAGAGAGACGACAGTGTTGCTAGTTATAGTCATGATTTGACTATCGAGGGGTTTTCTGCGTTCATAGAAGAATTGTACATACTATATCTACTGGTAGAGTGAGAAATGAAGTTACGCCATCAAGATGAATAATAATAATTGAAGAGAATATTCTCAGTCCATTGACCCTCTTTTTTTCTTTGCCTTACTCGCGGCTGATATGTGGGATAGACTGGGTTACATCGTCAACCGCACCCTCTCGACTCCACTTTCGGTGCTAGACTAAAGAACATGATCTGAATCTAGTAGTAACCGTGTGTGGCTCTTCGCGCTCTACACACGAGGAGATTTTGAGGATGTAGACGCCATAGCTGAAGATCGTGGCGGTGCGGGCTTTTAGAGGCCGTCTTGCAATGTCCTTTTGAGGGTTTAGGGACTCCAACCTTTCCACGGTTTCTGTACTGTAGTATGCGGGTCTGAGGATCGGACTCCGGAATGTCCCGTGCGGTAGGGATAAGGCAAGCCTGCGAGTCTTTCCTCGAGTCGATGTATCTCTCTTGTTGTCCCGTAGCTAGAAAGCACCAAATGTTAGCTACTGTCCGGTATAAACAGTAGATCGGTCAGTTATAATATTCCGCTAGGCTATTAATGCAGAATCGAAGTGTCCAGAATGCGAGATTTTATGCTTTCGAAGGAGCGTAGCCCGGAAGAATGAACTAGCTGGGTAGAGGGAACGTTGCAACTCGAGGGGATTCTGTGATTCTCCAGAGACAGTGTCAAATACTTAGCTTCAATAATCAACGAGTTTTTGCTGTGCTGGGTGAACAATAATAATTGACCGTTCTGCTCGGGCTGTTGTGCAAATCCGTGCCCACTTGTCGCCACAGCGATACATATCCCCACCATCCACTTGCGGCTCTCATTCCCCTCTTTATCGCAAAACAAGAACTAGGCACAAACAGCCATCGCGAGAAGTCAACCCCTCCACCTGTCTTCTCCCCGCGTTTTCTATCAGATCGAACGCGAGATTCTCTCCCCGATCCATGAGCTAACCGCACGCTCCTTCGACCTCCGTTCCCTCCGGTACTGCCTGCCTGACGACGGACCTGCGGGCGGTAAGCAATCCAGAACTCCGGAACGTGGTCATCTGGGATGAGATCGTCGTCTTCCCAGTGACTTTGCAGTGTCTACAGTATATCGCAGGTCGGGTAGGCTATCATCTCAAGAAGCTCATCACCACAACGGACTTTGGAAGCCATCCCCCGTTCACGGCCAACTCCCACGGCCATATCGTTTCATCACTCGTGGCCGTCTTACGACCCTGCATCGAAAGAGGGGAGGCGCTTCCTTAATCGTCTTTGCCCCAGCCTCGATCCTGTCGGAACTCGAGGGGTTTCTTTCTTCTAAAACCTACACACCCTGTTTGTTTCTATCACCGTCGGCTGTTTTTCATTTGACAGTTCGCCAACATGGACGGCGACGACCTCATTGCCACGGTCTACCGCAAGATCGAGCGGGAAAAGGCCCTCATCAATGCCGCCACGAACATGCGCCAATCCACTGACAACCCCATGGTGCACCAGAGAGTGGACGCGAATATTCGCGATGGCAGGAAAAATATTGCATACCTCGAGGAGAAGATGAGGGAGCTACAGCTGCGTCGACTCGGACAGGACGGTGGGGGTTCCCCCACAGCAGAACGCCATCCTGACGGCACACCGATGCCTCCCCCGAAGGATTCGCCAACGTACCCGGGTAATGATCAAGGTGACTACGGAGATGTTGGACCAGGAGGATATAGTCAAGGCGGAACGGGCACGATGCCCTCACGAGCCCCCTTTGCCGACCCCCGCCCTTTTGCACCTATCCCGAAAGCGAGACCGAACTACAGCAAGCTTGGTATGTGTCTCTATCTTGCTTTCCTCCCTTCGATCGAGAGAGTCTGATGTACTGACAACTCTTGGTGATCCTTTAGATTTAATTAAATATGACACTCCTTATCTGGGCCCGAAGATTCAGCTTATGCTGTCACAACTTGAGTTCAAACTGAGCGTTGAGAAACAATATAAGGCCGGTATTGAGAAGATGGTCCGCTTATATCAAGATGAGGGTGACAGAAAAAGTCGTGCGGATGCCGAGGGTCGACGGATCGAGAGTAACCAAAAGATCCAACTGTTAAAGCAAGCTTTGAAGAGATACGAGGATCTTCACGTCAACATCGAGAGCGCCCCGGATGCTCCCGACGGTATGCTAATACATCCCATCTTCCTCATAGCCCCGGACACTTGCTAACTTCAGGTGCGTAGATGAGAGTTTAAATGCACCCAATATGCGCAAGCCCCTCACCGGTCACTTGTTCATGCGCATCCACGCCGTCAAGGACGTCGATCATGCAGCTAGTTCGAGATTTTCCCGTGGCCCTGAGACCTTTGTGGTTCTCAAAGTGGAAGATGCGGTTAAAGCGCGTACACGAGCCACTAGATCGGACCGGTGGTCAGAAGAGGCGTTCAATATCGATATCGACAAGGCAAATGAAATCGAATTGACCGTTTACGACAAGGCTGGAGACCGCCCAACGCCTATAGGCATGCTCTGGATTCGCATATCCGACATAGCGGAGGAGATGCGTCGTAAGAAGATAGAGACTGAACTGAACGCCTCGGGCTGGGTCTCCGCGGACAAGATGCAGCATGGAGGTGGCTCTGGACGACACGATTCCCAGCACTCACTGAATTCTCCCTCGGCTCAAATGACCGGCGCGCCGAATCCCCCTGCCCAGGGACAAGGTGCTGGAGGTGCTCCTCCCGGTGCTTCAGCACCTCCAGTAATGATCGACTCGTGGTTTGCACTGGAACCAGTTGGCAGGATCCATTTGACAATGAGTTTCGGTAAGATCTCTTTGTGTACTATTTTTATCGATCGTACTGACTCCTTTATCCAGCCAAGCAACTTAAAGACAGGCGTCCGTTTGACATTGGTCTCAACCGACAGGGTGCCGTCCGTCAGAAAAAGGAAGAGGTCCACGAAAAGCAAGGCCACAAGTTCGTCACGCAACAGTTCTACAATATCATGCGCTGCGCTCTGTGCGGAGACTTCCTCAAGTACGCTGCCGGTATGCAGTGTGCCGACTGCAAGTACACCTGTCACCGGAAATGTTACCCCAAGGTCGTCACCAAGTGTATTAGCAAGGCCAACTATGAAACCGACCCGGACGAGGAGAAGATCAATCATCGTATCCCGCATCGTTTCGAGACGTTCGCCAACATTTCTGCCAACTGGTGTTGCCATTGCGGTTATCTTCTCCCCTTCGGTCGTAAAAACGCAAAGAAATGTTCAGGTACGGAGATCAATATCTCGAAAGGATCACTCAGAGACTGACAATATAATAGAATGTGGGCTTACCTGCCACGCTCATTGCGCCCACCTGGTTCCCGATTTCTGTGGAATGTCTATGGAGGCGGCGAACCAGATTCTAGAGACACTAATCAGAACTAAGAACCATAATAAGACGGCCTCCATAAGTTCTGGATTAAGTGGCCGTACCCTACGTCCTGGTGGCCCGCCACAGGCACCCCAGGACCTCCCACCTGTGCCTCAGAAGCAAGTTGAGCCCTATGGAGCACCGCCGAGACAGGCTTCTGCTGAGGCTCTCAGCGCAGCAAGCAACTCCTACATGACGCCGCAGTCGCCCCCTGGTGCTCAACGACAACAGATGCCGCCGAGAACAACGTCCTCAAATGCTGCTGCTGCCGCAGCGGCTGTTGCAACTGGCATGCGTCCACCGTCGCAGCAAGGTGCAGGCCCTGCACAGCAGCCGGCCCATGCTCCCTATGATCCTGCGGCATATGCATTCGCTTCACAACAAGGGCCTCCACAGCAAGTTGTCCAGAAGGCACAACCGCCTTATATGATGCCGCAGCAGCAGCAGCAGCAGCAAATGGTACCCCAGTCCCCCACCAAGGACGTACAGCAGCAACCCAAAGTCAGAATTGGTCTCGATCATTTCAATTTCCTTGCTGTTCTTGGAAAGGGTAACTTTGGAAAGGTCATGCTAGCGGAGACCAAGTCCACCAGGAAGCTCTATGCTATTAAGGTCCTGAAGAAGGAGTTTATCATCGAAAATGACGAGGTTGAGAGCACAAAGTCTGAGAAGCGTGTCTTCTTGATCGCCAACAAGGAGCGGCATCCCTTCCTTCTCAATCTGCATGCTTGTTTCCAGACCGAGACCCGTATATATTTCGTCATGGAGTATATCAGCGGTGGTGACTTGATGCTTCATATCCAGCGTGGCCAATTTGGCTTGAAACGGGCACAGTAAGTACTCCCATAGTTGCTTGAAGTAATTTGACTAACTAGGAATGTCCAGGTTCTATGCTGCGGAGGTTTGCTTGGCGCTGAAGTACTTCCACGAGAATGGCGTCATCTATCGTGATTTGAAATTGGACAACATTCTTCTTACACTAGATGGTCATATCAAGATTGCAGACTACGGTCTCTGCAAGGAGGAGATGTGGTATGGTTGCACTACCAGCACTTTTTGCGGTACTCCCGAGTTCATGGCCCCTGAGGTGAGTTCCCGACCTGTCAACGAAATCAATGTCAAGCATTCGTTATTAACTGACCATAACAGATTCTCCTCGACAAGAAGTATGGCCGCGCAGTTGACTGGTGGGCATTCGGTGTTTTGATCTACCAGATGCTCCTTCAACAGTCTCCGTTCCGTGGCGAGGATGAAGATGAAATTTATGATGCTATCCTTGCTGATGAGCCGCTTTATCCCATCCACATGCCTCGCGATTCTGTCTCAATCCTCCAGAAGCTTTTGACCCGTGAGCCGGAGTTGAGACTGGGCTCCGGACCGACGGATGCCCAGGAAATCATGTCGCATGCTTTCTTCAGAAATATTAACTGGGAGGATGTCTATCACAAGCGCGTCCCTCCCCCATTCATGCCGACAATTAGCAACCCAACAGATACAAGCAACTTCGATCAGGAGTTCACCAGTGTTACCCCGGTCCTGACTCCTGTCCAATCTGGTAAGTCCTGCGTTGTCCGAATCCACTGGCTCATTGCTAACGTTGATTCCTATAGTTCTCTCTCAAGCCATGCAGGAGGAATTCCGAGGCTTCTCTTATACCGCGGACTTTGTTTGATCGATTGCAATCTAGTCGATATTTGATCGGTGTCAGTTTGTGTCTGGGTCGAACCTGAATCTGCTCCGTTCCAACAATACTGTCGTGTGTTGATCGTGTTGCCCAGTTGCAGCTTTTTTTTGCCTATGCAATGTTCTTAAACATACCCATGAAAGTTTTGCAAACCGGTGTCGGCCCGACTAATAGCGGATGTTTTTCTCGCGAGGGTCTTTGAGCAGGTAGAATGTGCAAGTTGGATACCTTCTCTTTCTGCTATGTTCTTCATATTTGATATTCTACCTTCGATGTGAGGCGTTATAATAATGCTTCTATACTTGATTTTCACTCGCCCAGTAATGCTCACTTGTGGATCTCTGTTCTTGGTGTGATAAGCAATGAAATAGGGATACGTATGGTTGAATGATGGAATGCGATGATAGCAGGTGCTGTTATATTGACCTGGTGGGACGAGGTCTCGGGACTACTGTCTCATTTTCGGGTACCGTGCTAAGTACAGTGTCACAAAGCCGTCCGAGTCCTCTATGTCCCCGTCAAGGCTCACTGCTGATCTTGTTTTCGGTGCGACACGCGCAACTCGGTTGAATCTGAACGTGATGCTTTATATGTTCTGCTGGTGTCTTTCAAATGTTGCTTTTCCAAAAAAAATTCTGTTCCATTTTCACGAAAGAAATCTAATCTCTTATCACTTCACAGCTACTCGTTTAAGAGCTTTTGTAGCTTATGTCACAATACTCTGAGCCGGTAGTTTTCTTCTTTGAAATTTGCGCTTGGATCAATTTCTAGCTACACTCAGCCATTTTGAACTTCGAAGTGTCAGATATCGTCTCAGGTACTGACGAAACATGGATTGGGATAGGAGACCTCAAGGAGACACCAGCGGAAACGAAGTCCTCTTTAAATATGTGCAATAGATGTATCGTAATTCGCATATTTCTTCTGCAATCGTCTCTCTATCTTGAGAGGAGCATATCGGGCTGCGGCGCCCGCCCGTCAGATTTGGAAATGAGCTCCAGTGAGCGCTGAGCAGCCACTTTATCAACAACAATGAACTTGGGTATCAGAGCTAGTTTGTCCATCGTCGCTTTGTTTTGATTCAAGCCCAAGTCTCTCTTTGCCCGCCCCCTGTTAAGTCAGTTCATTGCCCCTCCCACCCGGAACTCCCTAAGCTCTTCATTCTACAATTTCGCCTCTTCCTCGCATTCATTGTTGCTGGCAAAGTCGCGACTCAGCCGGAATCACGCATTTCTTGCATCATCCCAGTGACAATATTTTGACTGACTGACCAAATGTTTCGCTTTCCCAAACTTAATCGTGTTATCTCAGCTTTGTGGTCACCTCGGGGGCGGCACATTGGGGAACGCAGCTCAGCATCCAAAGAGACCCAACAGCACTCTGTGGAGTCAGAAGATCATCTACTACTAGATACGTCTGGAGCTTCAGAGCGGTTATATGTCAAGAAAGAAGACGAAGAAGAAGAGCTAGAAGGAAAATATCACGGTCTCATCACAGCTACTTCAGAAACGGCTGATCCCGAGTCCAAAGCGACAAATGATGGCGCAGCATCACAGCTGTTTACACCTGCGACATCTAGCCAGAAAGGGGACGGAAACATCCAGTATATCGCCCCAGTACACGAACGCTCTGTGGCTGCAGATAATGGCAACTTATCTGTTTCTCGAAAGTCTAGCCCAGACAACGGCAGCTACAGCCTACTTACTCCTACTATCAAGGATAAAAAAGGGGAGACGGAAAGCAGAGGATATATTCCAGTAAAGACTGAAAGCATATGTGAAGATGGACACACAGCTCTGGGAGGCCATCATGAACGATCTTTGCCAGATGATGAATCTTCCAGTTCGCCAACGACAAGGAGGAAGCGAAAACGTGATACTGGATCTGATCACACCTTTTCAAAACGTCATACGCTGAGATTTGATAATAGCAATGGGGATAACAGTTCATTGCAGGATGCAGGAATGAAGTCTTACGGAGACTATCGTTATGAGACCCCTCGTAATAGACTCACTGGTCGTCAGCCAGGTTTAGTGCCTGGTACATGGCTAGAGACAGCTGATGACTGGTCCGAAGGAGAGCTCACAGAAGGGAATATGCGTCATAATACGCCTGTATCTATATCTGACGACGAAAAAAGCATAGTCTCCTCCAGGACATCCAGGCGCCCAAAGAAGACCAGGTCTAACTCGAACGATGAAGCATATCGACCATCCCCTGCAGTCTCAAATAGGGGCCTTAGGAAATCCATAGTCAAGCTCGAAGTTGAAGACTCGGATGATCCCAGTGAGGAAGGTGTATGGAGCGAGAAGGATGCGGTATGGAAGAATGAGAAGAGCGAGGTCTCGTTTGACTTTTCTATCGAGAAGGCCAAACGATGGGCTGATGCTGTGAAACTACCTCCAGGGCCGTGGGCTGAAGCAGAGGAGGACCTCTTCTTCCGGCTTTCTATGCGTGGCTTTGAGCCTATTATTCCTGGCAACTGGCACCTTGACTTCCCGACACTGCCCGGGTCTCTCTTTGCCGTTGACGATGGTCCGGAGCCTCTTATCCAAGCTCTCAACGGTTCCGAATTCCATGGTAAGCCCTGCCGTTCCCACAATGCCTATTGTAGAGAATGTGAAGCTCACAAAAATAACTACCAGCTATCAAATATCTTGGTGACTTGCTCTCGCTTGGATGTCGAGTGAGAGACCGCATGTCGATGAACCTCCGACCTGAGCCCGCTATCAAGCGCACCATCAAGAAATACATCGATTGGGCTGCGCGTGACGCAAACTTGCACCATTGTTATTCTGCAATCCCAATCTATAATATCTATTGCATGAAGAAGGGCGAAACCACTCGTGCCGCGATACAAAATCTCGAAAAAAGATTAATCTCGACAGGGGAAGAATACCAAGAGATACTGCAAACAGAATCATTCGCCTATTCAGATAGTATCAGCTACCCGGTTATGACTGGGTTTCTGGTATGCGGGCCTATCGTTGCCGTAATCACGCTTAATTCCGCCTCTGAGGCCTTTTCTGACTCTTCGTCAGATACTCTCTGCAAGCTCATTTCCCAGTTTGATTTTGGTGACGATGGGCAGGATGTCTGGAATGCCCTGGCGATTGCGCTCACCGTTATACGTATACGCAAGACAATGCTCGAACTGGCAGAAAAGGGCAGAGGAGGATGGCTAGTTTCCTCGGTTAATTGTGTCCCGAGCATTGAAGATGAGGATCTCTAGGCGGAATTTGGAGAGCGCGGCAATTGTGTCAGGAGTATATTTGTGATGTATGAGTTGTAACAGTGTATCATGATGGTTTTGAGTCTTTGTTCTTGTTAAGTCCCAGAACCGAGTCTATCAATCTGATTTCTGCTTCATTTATGATTTGGCCCATTTATATAGTATATGTATGGACTGCGCATTGGAGGTTCACTCCGGTTCTTGAATTATCGTGCAGCAGTAGCAGATAATGGCAGCGCTCTGATGGTTCGCAGTAACAAATGTGCGTGTTTCCTCGTAAGCACATGTGGAAGTATATATTGACTCGCATGCGTTAGTTGCTATCAGTAGTCAACGTGCGCAAAAGTTTCATAAGAAAAAGGACCTAAATGCACTCGCAGAATTGGATACTTAAATCTTTTCACATATAAGTCAATCATGGTTTGTAGCTGCTAGTTCGTTTTGATGTCGATAGCAGTGTAAAGTGTACACAAAGTGGGCTGTCACATGATTTGATTGGTGTTGACAACATCTTCCGCGATTTCAAATCCGAACCACAGATTTATTGCAAATAAGACATGGATGCCCCGGACGACAGAGACATCAAGCTCCAGCGGGCCTCTGGAGATCTTCTAAAGGAGTTTGAGGCGAAGCTTCCATCTCTGCTTTGGAAATCGCGGACGCAGAATGGACAACTTAGCAGAGTTCCGCACCGGTGGGCCCAGGCCACCAAGACCGAGAGACTCATAAGCCTTGTAAGATATTCCCGCTTTGTTTCTATCTATATAGACTCAATTTACTGATCTAAGTCCGTAATTATGGTCAATGTGTATAGCTGGAACATTTCCAAGAATGGCCTCAGCTTCTGGATCCGCATTTACAGAGGTTCTTGCCTCCTTTAATCGACGCCTTCTTGGCGTATCTGGTCAGGCATCGTGGGCAGTACGCTGAAAGGCCAGCTCATTCGCCGCAGCAAGTTGGTACGTTGTATCCATTGCCTAGGGCTATTTGTAAGATCCTATACGTCTTTTGCAAAGTTCGTGGTGTCAAAGTTATCAGTCGATTCTTGAACAATGAGCCGAAATATCTCGAAGTTATGCTGCGGGCGTTCATCGAATGGGATGCGGTTGTAGGAGATGACCCCATGGAGACTTCCACCAAGGGCGGTATTCAGCCTCTCATTTGGGAGGAGAGATATGTCATGTTGACATGGCTATCACATCTTCTGCTTTGCCCTTTCGACTTGGCATCCGTGTCGTCTGATGACATTCCCATTCCGCATGACAATCTGGCTGTACTAGGACAGTTGTCTCCAGATATTCCCAGAATATCTGCATCTGTGCTATCTGTCTCTCTGAAATATGTTGTTGCTTCATCGAAAGAGAGAGAAGCGGCGACAGCAGTCATGGCCAGATTAGCCTTGCGTCCCGATATGCAGCGCTTGCAGCTACTGCGACAACTTACAGATTGGGCATTTTCTCTTGTTGTACCAAAGCCAGGCAACGAGGCTCCTGCTATATATACATGCATAGGGGCGTTGTCATTCCTTGCACGACTTGTCGCATCGGGGCAAGTTGAAGATCTCGCTCCTCTGGTGATTCCTATTTTTGACCAAACGCTTCGTATCGCGCAAGAGGAGTCGGACGTTTTCGAATCGATCAGATCCTCTGCTTTGGCAAGGAAAATGATAATCAAGATCCTTCGCACTGTGACGGTATTGGTTTTATCATTGGATGAAAGGGCTCAATGGCAGTTTCCGGAAGATAAAGTCTCCTCCATCCTGGAAGATGCTATCGACTACTTCCTTAGGGCTCTCGCAGATAAGGATACTCCGATACGCTTTGCAGCAAGCAAAGCTCTCAGTGTTGTCACTCTGAAATTGGAGCCAGATATGGCTGCTGAGATTATCGAGGCTGTTATTGGCTCATTAGAGGAGGATATTCTCTACGAGAAAGAGGACGGTACCCTTATTGCACCGTTCGAAGCGCATGGACTTGACAGCAAGAAATTAAAACGAAACTTGAGCGCAGTTGATGCTCAGAGATGGCAGGGTTTGGTGTTGACACTCGCTCATCTTCTTTTCCGCAGGGCGCCCCCGACTCGTCAGCTTCCTGAAGTTCTCCAATCTCTTATGTCCGGACTGGGCTTCGAGCAGAGATCCTCCACAGGAAGCTCTGTGGGTACCGGAGTACGAGATGCCTCATGTTTTGGTATCTGGGCTTTGTCTCGCAAATACAGCACCGCGGAGCTGTTGGCTTTGGATACAAGTTCGATCAAGGCACCGACGGACCAAGAAGAGTCTAGCGTGATACAAATGCTTGCTGTGGAACTCATATGCGCTGCCTGCATTGATCCTTCCGGTAATATCAGACGAGGGGCTTCTGCTGCTCTACAAGAACTGGTAGGCCGTCATCCTAATACCATTCATGAGGGAATTCCACTTGTACAGGTGGTAGACTACCATGCAGTTGCACGACGTTCAAGAGCAATGATCGACGTTTCCAAAGGAGCAGCATCTCTAGACAAGCTCTACTGGAGTCCTCTCGTGTACTCACTGATGCATTGGCGAGGAATTGGGTCGCCCGATGTGGAATCTCGCAGACTGGCGGCGACGGCTATAGGAGAGTTGAGCCTCCAAGGCTCCTACGAAACTATACAAGCTGTTCTCCGCCGCCTGCATAAAACGTTATCCACTCTTCCACGGCGAGACATTGAAACGAGACACGGGTGTCTCCTGTCGATTGCTGCCACGATCGACGCTTTTATCGGCTACAGGGGAGGTGAGGATGCTGTAGATGGAAAAGTGCAAGCATCTGATGTAGCCAGTGAGATCTCGGGCCTGTGGCGGATATTCGATTCTCCATATGGGCCAAGCAAGGAAGATCTAACACTCCAAGCGTCACGGCCAGAACTCAGCGCTGAGGCGTCTTCACGCTTGATCTCTGCTCTTTCCCGGTCCACATTCTCTGATAAAGGCACCCCTGGTTGTCCTCGGCCATCAGATGCACTTCTTGAAAAGGCTCTCGACGTGCTTTTGCTATGCATCTTCAGAGGAGAAGACGTCGCTATTGAAGCCTCATCTGAAGCAGCTTCAGCCTTGTTCGCTCTGTTGCCATTAGAAAGGCAAGAAGAAACGGTACAGGGCTGGTTCGCCAATATTCACGCATGCTGGAAGTCCGCCACTGGTCGAGGTCAGATTGCAGCTCTTGGAGCAGTATTCCAGCGGCTTCCAGTGGACAGCAATGGAAGAAAGATAATCGTTGAAGAGCTACTACGTTGCACGAGCGAGGAAGAGCTTATCGAGAAACGAGTCTCCGCTGTAAAGTGTCTGTCCGTCGGTGTCTTGCCGGAAATAGGTATGTCAATGGAGTACTATCATAGGTACATATATAAATCAGACTAATACGACTCAGATGTCACGGATCAAATTGTGGATCATATTGTCCGTTTCTTGACCGACTATACGACTGACCGACGTGGAGACGTCGGTTCTTTCGTCCGAATAGAGGCTATACAAGCTGCAGACATTATCTTCGAGAGATTACCTGCCCAGGAGACAAGACCAGCATACGTTGAACGCCTAGTTGGTTGCCTTTGTCGTCTCTCGGCAGAAAAGTTAGATAAAGTGCGCCTACAAGCATGGCTGAGTTTACAAAAGTTCTGGAAATCACAGAAAGACTTCCCACCCTTGGAGAGGTAGGCCACCTATTCACAATCGTCAACTAGCACATAGACTAATCTTCCCTTTTAAAACAGAGAATACGAGCATTTCAGCTTAGTATCATCGCCTGACTATTTCCGCCAACTTCTAGAATTGCTGAAAGTCGATTGGCTCCGTTTACCACTTATCCAAGGCCTTGTTACCTCCGCAAGTGCCGGAACAGAAAACCTGATTCGATCTTCGCGATCCGCGCTAATTGAGTATATCAATGACCAAGATAAGCAACGACGAGAAGCCGTCGTTGCACAGTTGATCAGAGAGTCTCAGCTCGTCCTTGAGAGCAATCTTGAAGATGACCGCTACGCGATTCCAGCCATGGACATGCTGAGCTTCTTGCTAGATACCAGTGTCACCTCCACTTCGACCGATTCAGAACCCATGTAAGTCCTCCCCTCGAGAGACTAGCCTTCATTATTCTTGGTAGACTTCTAACGAGTTATTTTTATTTTTTACAGTTTCCGCAAGGTGTTCTTCTTCGTCCAAAAAGCACACTACAAATCCTCAAACATGGCAAGACTAGAAGCAGCCATCAAGGTGTACGCGTCATTGTCGAGAATGGAGCATCTTAAGACCGATGTCATGAAGAAGTTAACAAGCATGCTACTTCATCCATACCCTAAGGTACGCAGCGTATACGTCTACCCGGCACACCAAGCAAGTCCCTGTAGCTAACGGATGTATTGTAGATCCGTGCCTCCGTTGCAGATTACTTGTTTATGGAAACAGGTTCTTCACTTATCAAGACGGAAGACTGGACGATGCAGCCGAAACAGTTGAAGAGTAACGTTGAGAAGTTGAGAACGAGCTTGGTTAAATAGGCTGATCTAGAGTTATTGTGGGTCTCGCATGTTGATATGCACTCCCTGTGACTTGAAAACATAACTGGAGCAGCATTTAACCAACATTTAAATCACTTGACGAAATACAACTATTTAATAGCTATCTAGCTATATCATGGGGACCTCCAATTGAATTGCTTTACAGTCTAGGGCAAACAGAAGAAACTAAGGAACGTAATGAAACGGCTTCAAGAACGGCAATATAGCGTTCATGGTATATTGCAGCGATACATATCCACAACGGGACCGAATGGGGTTATTGAGTACATCAGAGCAACTGAGTGGGAGTTAGGATCAATCTGATCGGAGAGATTTCCAGTCGAAAAAAACAAAAGATGAGAGTCCACAAAGGAGATGAAAACGCCATGTGTATGTTCAGTAATGTATCTGATTGAGGAAATGAAGGGATACGTGAGTAGATGAGATGTCTTGCGTGACGTATAGCTGGCTATATGAGTGATGTACTATGTAGTAGTAGTACGCAGAGATGGATGCGTTGGTGGTCATAAAGAAGAGGACGATATTGTCTGAAATCGCCCCCTTAGTCTTCGGCATCCATGTCTTCATCCAGATTGATGGCATCTGGATTGACAGGAGCAGCAGGCTGGGGCTCTTGTCCAGCGGGCGGGGGTCGATTTCCGCCTTCCGGGCCGGTGCTTGCAGCCACAAAGCCGATAGGAGCGCGAGCTTGCCGCTCCAAGGCAGCCATGGCATCAGCACGTTCCTTCTCTTCTTCTGTCTCCGGAATACCTTCTTCTGTTCGCTGCTGACTGCGGGCAATTGCTTGAGAGGCGATGAAGTTGACATCGGTGCTAGAAAACGGCTGTTAGACACAATCCATAGAACAATGGTTCCAGGGTAAACATACTTGTACTGGGCTTGCACACTTCGCTTGATACGAAGCATCTCCTTGAAAGTATCTTCGTTTCCGTGCTGCACTTCGAAAGCCTCCCATTTCTGCCAGAAACCTGCGTTTGTTCGAGGGTCGCAGAATTGGGAAGCGTGGCCATAGATAGCACGAGCACGGTCGACCTCTCCCAATCTTCTCTCCATCTCTGCAAACTTGAGACACATGTCCTTTGCCTCCTTGTCTGGCAGGGCTGCGATAGCCCGCTCATAGATCGGTCTCGTAGACGTCAACCCGAAGTTCGACGCAGATTTCGTGATATAGAAATCGAACATCTCGAACCTGTCTTCGTCGGAAACCGCGCGGGTAGCCCTCTCATATATTCTCATAGCGTGTCTTGCGAGACCACGCTCTTCTTCAAGGTTGCCATACATCAAATACAGCACCTTTGCAAATTTCGGAGGGCATCCATCCAGAGCCTGTTCGAAGAGATCTCGTAGACGTTCGATCGAAATCTTCCTATCCACGGCTTTCGTCAAGTACAAATTCCAGAGTTCAAAGGCCACAGGATAGCTGAAAAGATCGAGACCGCGTTCGTAGACCTTGAAAGATTCTTCAAAATACTTGTTTTCCTCCAAGAGGTTGGCATAGTTGACCACAGTCTGGGGAGTAGCGATTCGCAACTCGAAGATACGCTCGTATATCTTCCTCGTCTCTTCTAGTGTACCGACGCTCTCAACAAGATCAACATAGAAACTCCACAATTTCCAGCTCTTGTGGACTCGTTGCTGTGGTGAGAGAGTCTCGTCGAAGTAATCCACGGTAGACTTCTTCGGCGCCTGGGTAGCTTTGGCCATGATCTCGACTGCTTTGTCGAAGTTTTCATTTCGTAGCTCCATTTCAGCCCACTCGCACCAGGTTTCTGCCAGCTCGTTCACCGTCTTGAAAGGTACTTTGACAGACTTGTCCATGATAATCCTGGCAGTATCGAGGTCTCCGCCTTTCTCGTAGAACTTGGCATAATTCACCCAGAGTTCGTGGAACTTTCCGTGCGCCTTCTTCGGGTTGATCGCAGCAATGGCATTCGTGTACGTTTGAACGACCTCTGCTTTATTGTCACCCCATAAGGCAACTCGCTTCTCCCATTCGATGACATTGTTCGGATTTTGTCTCAAGAGGACGTCGTTAACCAAGAAAGGTCTTCGGTCCATGAGCTGTTCAAACCGCAGCATACGAAGATCCAGGTCGAGATCTGCATCTTCATCGACCTTGCCCTTACTAGCACGAACCGATGCCTCTTCCATGAGATTCCCAATGACCGATTCCTCAAACTCCACATACGAGTCGAAGATCATAGTGAAGTCGCGAACGGTCATGACGGTAGTGATACCCTCTTCGAAGATATCTCGCGCTTTTTCGAAGTTTCCCCTGGTAATCCAGTAGGTAGCCAGGCCAGCCCAGAGTCTTCCTCGCTGATCAGCAAATCGTTCAATACCACTCCGGATGATGCCATCAACATCGATTCCAACGTGGGCACCGGTTTCGATCTCCTTGGCCTTGTTGACAAGCAATTCGACCATTTCACTCCACAGCTGAAAGTGGCTTTTACCTTGCTTTGACTGAAAGCGGGGGTTGTCGAGAATCTCAATATATCTCTTCACAGCTTCGGTGTAGTGGCCCATTTCGATGAGGAGATCGATATATTCCTCCGCGTTCTCTGGGTGAATCTGCATATATCGACTGTAGATCTTCACAGCAGTCTCGCCCGAGGCAGAACGCGCGAACGGTTTATACAGCCTCCAGATTCGATTGTGTTGAGTGACTGGTAGAGCACGAAGCGCTCGGTCGAATGTGCGGCGTGTCTGCGTTACAATTGGCTGCTGTAGGAGAAAGGAGAGATACATCTCCCATATCCGGGGCATCTTGTTCAACAGAACAAGAGCCCTTTCGAATAGTGCATTGACCTTCTGATACTCCGAGCGATGTATAGCAGCATTTCTTCCTCGAAGATGATTCACTCTGAATTCCAAGTACTGTGAAAAGTCAGTATGATCTGTCTGCGAAAAGAAAATCGATTGCCAAAGAAATTACCATCTTCCACAGCTTGTATGACCTAGGCAGCTGTTTGCAAGCGCGTTCCATGACCTGGTATTGATTGTCAGTCGAAAGCTTCAGCCAGCGCGGGGATCTCCTACTTACGAACGCCTGCTCGTAAAGCGTCCCATGCTGCTGTTTGAACTCGATATAAGCCAGCCATGGTGTGACGCTGCCGGGATCTCGGAGCAGATCCTGCTCATACACGATATCCTGATCCGACTATGACAAAGAGAAGTCAGTATCATGGTCTTAATGTCAAGGTCCGCGGGACTCACGATCAAGTAAAGATCCGGCTGGGAAGCTGATGTTCGCTCCATTTGTGCGTGGTGCCGCTGCGATCTCGGGGGCAACAGGGTCCCTGGCATTGCGCCACTCGAGTGAGCGAAGACCTCCAGACGGTCAGCACCCGGAGCAAAGCTGTGTATATCGTGGAGGCGGGGGATCTTTCTCGATAGGCTGCAGTGCTGCTGACGGGCAGACGAAGTCGCGCATCCCATCACGTGAGTTATCGCATCCCAGGACGGCCCGCCGAGCTGGTCCAAGCTCCGTATCGCCTATCGTCATGCGCCGCTGATACAGCCAGTTGTTTATTCCAAACTCCTTTTACGCTGCGCTGTTCCCATTGACACATCAGCCATGTCTGGCGCTGTGGTGAGTCTTTAATTGATTTGGCAGTACTTGAATGAATGGCATTCCACTGACGCCAAGTAATCAAGGGCCGCGAGGCAGTCTTCCCGACTCGCCAGTCGTTGGGGTTGATGAAGAGCAAGCTCAAGGGTGCAGAAGTTGGCCACAGCTTACTCAAAAGGAAGAGTGAAGCTTTGACAAAGTACGAATTTCTCCTGCGGTTTACCAATATATATTGCTGACTTGTTCACTTCATAGGCGTTTCCGCGGTAAGCTACGATCAGCGCAACGTTTCCCCGCATTGTGACCACTAATGACCGCTGCTAGATATCACCAGACGCATCGATGAAGCCAAGCGGAAGATGGGACGTGTTATGCAGATAGCTGCATTCTCGCTAGCAGAAGTTTCGTACGCTGTCGGTGGAGACATCGGATATCAGGTGCAGGAGTCGGCCAAACAAGCCCGCTTCCGTGTACGGACGAAACAGGAGAACGTCTCGGGTGTCTTCCTGCCTCAGTTCGAAAGCTACATCGAGGAGGGCGTAAACGACTTCGGATTGACCGGTCTTGGAAAGGGTGGTCAGCAAGTTCAGCGGTCTCGAGAGACCTACGCCAGAGCCGTGGAGACCTTGGTTGAGCTTGCAAGTCTGCAGGTATGTGGTCCTCTGAGGTCCCCGGTTGACAAGGATAGATCTAATACTTTGTCCTTCAGACTGCTTTCATCATCCTCGACGAAGTCATCAAGGTCGTGAACCGAAGAGGTATGTACTCCGTTCAATCCTTTATAATGCCAACGATATACTAACTTGGAATTATAGTAAATGCTATGTATGAACTTCCATGGCCGTTCTATTGATTGTGTATTTGGGTGTGGTACTGACAGCTGCAGTGAACATGTTATTATTCCTAGGACAGAGAATACGATCAAATGTCAGTCTATTCGGCCCTTAACCTATATAGGCTGTCACTGACTGGTTCTAGACATTAACTCCGAACTCGATGAACTCGACAGAGAAGAGTTCTACCGTCTAAAGAAGGTGTCGAATAAGAAACAGCGAGACACTGCTGCCGCAGATGCTGAGATGCTTGCTAAGCGACACCAGGCTGACGCCACAGAAATGGGCACGGTCGAGGCAGCTGTTCAAGCGCAAGGGGAGCTGGGACCAACCCCAGATGTCTTGGGAGAGCAGCAAGACGCGGACGTCATTTTCTGAGCATTTCCTTTGCCGCCATGTCTTTATGCTTGTCTTTCCAAATACTGTACATTTGCTAGGATGTATCTGTTGCAACGACCATAGCCACACTCTGCTTGCTTTATCATCGAATTGGCCATACTTTTGCAAAAAGGAAAAAAGCGTGCCTTATTTTCTAACGAACTAAACCCCACATCCTTAGATCCAGTTATAAAAGTCTCAAGAAAGATGAGAAAACCCTGCCAAACGCCGTAACAAGCCCAAGCCGGGAAACAGATCTTGCCCGACCATAGCATGGTAGTAGGAAGCTCATTGTCTCTGGTACGTAACGCGGATAGGCTTGCCATTGTCTCCCATGGGCATCCCAGAGGTAGCTTCCTTCGCACTGATCGCACCGGTCTCGTTCTCGTACTCGACGAATGCGATCCCTTTCCGTCCTGGCACCAACCGAACCTCCTGGAAACCCTCGAACCGGCCGAAGATCGCGGTGAGGCTCTCCTGGTCCGCGTTGTCTGGCAGATCCCGGAGGAACAGAATCTTATTCGGGGGAAGGTATTCGTCTGGAATAACGGCACCAGCAGCGGCATTGGAAGGCTTGAGACCCGCGCCTCTCGCAGCCTTGGCTGGACGCCCGGGTTCGGCTCCGGCAGGACCAGCAGGACGCTTGAGTTTCTTCTGTGCTTCGAGGGCTTCCTGGGCTTGTTTGCGCTCTGATTGAAAGAAGAGATAAGACGTTAGCAACGCGTAGACCTTCAGAAAAGTAAAAGCTATAACCCAGCCAGAGACGTCAAGAATCATGTAATCTCAACATCAAGAAACACATGAAACCAATATGCGAAACCACCAGAAAGGAAAGAAAGAAAGAGACACACCTTTCTCAGCCAATCTCCTCCTCTTGTGAGCATCAAGTTCCTCAGGACCGCCCTCTCTCAAGACCGTCGCATCGCTCCTCGACTTCGCATAATCCAACACCATCGGCTTCTCGAACAGTTCGAAGCCATTCACCTCCTCGATGGCGCGAGTTGCCGAATCGACAGAGTCAAAGACAATGAACGCCTGGCCTTTGGCCTTCAGGTTTTTCTTGGCGATTATCTCGATGATGGTGCCATATTCCTCGAAGATCTCTTGCAGAGCTTCTTTCAGTTGGTCGATCTTGACGCGTTCTTCAAGATTGCGGACCTAGAGGAGTAAAATTAGAAAACATCTCTATTTTATTTCCAATGCGATGAAAGTCATATAAAGTCCAAATGCGACGACTACAATAACAACGAGGTTTTGTGCAAGGTCCGAGGAAGGGTAGGTGATTCACGAACATAGACACTGGAAAATGGAAACTTGGAGTTAGCGATCTGGTCTGTATGGACGTAAAGAAGCAGAGCCATAAACTTACGTTGGATTCGGGGGGTTCCCGGAAGGCACTGCTAATGCAGGCATGGTTGCGACGGCGGACAGCTCTGTTTGCGCAGCCTTTTGTCGTTCGATTAGAGCTTCGTGACATTCCGTATATTAGCTCAACTGAGGACATGCAGGTGTGGAGGTACCTTCTCCATGACGCTTTTATGAGGATACAGGATTATAGTTCATGAAAAATAGGACTTATCACAACAAGCATCATTGGTCTAGTGGTAGAATTCGTCGTTGCCATCGACGAGGCCCGTGTTCGATTCACGGATGATGCAAAGCAACATTAAATTCTTTTTTTTTTTTTCAGAAATTAATTCTACGCCTGTTGTCGGCATGTTCTAATTATTTTTGCTTCACATAAATTATTATTCAAGCATATATAATCGAGAGTTGCCACTTGCAGCTAATTATATTGAGCCGTTTTATCACATAGTTCTATACTGTATAAACAGTCTAAAATCCATGCGAAATGAAAAGGTTGTATGTGCCTGCATCAAACCAAATGGCCTCTGAATATAATATTATGGCGTTAATTCTCAACAGAATTCGCCCTGAGCCAGACATTGCATGTAGACGGCACAGCATACGCACAGCAAATAATTTACAGAGACCGGCTATGCTGAAAGTAATCCCATCAAGGATAAAGAAAGAATGAAGAGAAAAAAAGGTCATCCCAAGAAATGCTAATGCGTTTAGTCCACCTCGCTTTCGACCGCCATTGGTTGGGTATCTGCAGGAACTGGAGCGGTAGGTGAGTCAGTTTGTTCGTGGCCTCTATCGTCGCTGGTCTTGTCTGGGACTGGGAGAGGTGAGCCCAGAGCTGACCCCGGCGCCGACCTCTCTCTGGACTCCGGAAATATTTCCGTAAAGAGATGAGGAAGGAACCGATCCAATCGCTTTCGCGTCTCGGTCCAGATCTTCTCTTTGGTGGGATCCTGGTATGGTGGAGCAAGATATCCTCCATCGGCCATGACGAGGAGTATATTCTTGAGGCTTTCGGGAATCGCTTCCTCCTTTCAAGAGTCAGTTTGGAATCGTAACATAGAAAATCATCAGAGAATCCGGTGACATACAAGACTATCTCCTTGTCCGCTGTTCATCATCCTATCCAGAATATCCAAAATCTTCACCCACATGTCTAGCAGCCCGTCCCGTTCGGGCAGCTGATCAAGATAGCGGAGATAGATCTTGCACACAAGCGTCGCTGCTTGCACACGAGTTTCACTCATTCCGATGGGATCTGAGTGGTACACCTCTGGTTTGAGGAGTCGCAGGATAAGTGGGAAAAGCACTTCATCGAACACAGCGGTCCATTCCTTGTGATCGGTTGAAGCAAGGTCGAGGGACAGCAGACACCGTTGCAGAGCTGACACCGCATGATGTCTGACATCACGACAGGGATTGATACACTGTGTTGTCAGAGAGTGGAAAATAGGGGACCAGTATGCCGCCCAAGCTGCAGAGAATATTAGCATCGATGCTTCGATACTGCCCGATATATGACTATTTTTACTGACCTTCGCTCTTTTCGAGATGGGATTGTTGGATGAGCGAGGGCACCCGACTTGTCATCTGATAGATGAGGCCTATCGCTTTTACACCTCGCGTTACTGTTTTATTTTCACTGTTTTCATGAGTATTAAACTTATAGAAGATGAATGATGCTTACGTACCTGGCTTTGACCTGTTTGACTTTGGAACGTCGTGCTAGAGCGTCCCTCTGGCGCTCCTCAATAGCACCTACGCTGCCTGCACTCGCGAAATCATTGGCAAGTGCAACAGCAGATTCAAAATTATCAGCAGTTATTGTTGGTGGGGTCGAGTCGACAATGGTCTGGAGCAGTTCGAAGACCAGGCCCGCAGACTCATCATGCTGATGCAGCCTCTGTAGGATAGACCAGAAATCCGGGGATATTGTGAGCACGTTCCTCAGAGCAGTAGAACTTCCAATGCACCGCGAAAGGCCCTTGACAATAGGTACCGCACAACGCTCCAACATATCCTGGTCGAAACTTGACATGCAGTGAAGAACAACAGGCACACGCATGAAGGGTTGTTCCTATAGCTCGTTAGTCAAGGACACGAAGTGTACAGATGGAAATACTCACATAGCCCACACGTAAAAGGCTCAAGAGATAACTCACAACCCGCGAAATCACCAGGGGGTGGAAGTTCTGGCTATCTCGTACGATGTCTCGTAGTGAGCCCGCCACGTTTTCACCTATGGCTTGCATTGTTTCATCATCACGCAAAGACAGGAGCGTTGCCAATTCCAGAATGTAAACCATGTTAGGATTGTAGATAGGACCGTCAGTATTGGGTTTGCCCGTAGAGAAACGGGATGCACTAGAGGTTGGGCGCTCTGGTTTCACAACAATAACAGCTGGGGACTCGTCAGGCAACTCCGATAATAAAGCATCGGTCAGTGCAGTCAACGAAGACAATGGAAGCGTCCTGTATCGTAATGTAAGCAACACTCGCGTCAATGAAATAGAGCGAACTTACTTCATATTGGCCAATATATTCCCTATGGAACACGCGCTGACACAGTCAACTGTACACAAAGTGTTGTCCAGTTCCTCATCAGAGGGCTCAGGGGGATCATCAGCCGCATAGCTCGACAGGTATGACGTGAATGCAGACAAAAGTCCCGCTTCGCTCGAACGATTATCTCGTTCAACTACTTGAGAGGGCGGTTGCAGAGGGATTGGGGGAACATCCAGCATGGCATTGACGCTATCGTCGAGCGGCGGTATGAGGGAGTTGATGAATAAGTTCGTAAGGATTCGGATGACATATTTCCAGCTTTGTCGAACAATGGGCTCGTTTCCAGCAAGCACACGAAACAGAACGACAGTGGCTAACTGTGCTCTGAAGTCCCGACCAAACTTGACCGCAAGCTCGCTCACCATGACGCTCTTCTTTCCTGCCTGGACTTCTGTATTCAAAGATGTATTAGACGGCGTATCAGTCGCAAGCGTGCTGATAGAGCTGAGACAGTAGATTATGCGATCAAACGCCTCAGTCAAGCCGTACTTAGCAGCTATTTGGGCGCATTGGTCAAAGCCCATAACTACCCTCGAGAAAACTGCATCATCAGACGCTGACATGAAAACATAAGAGAGGGTGGCTACGACAGGTTTCCAAGTCGCCTCGAACATCTCAGCATCATAGATGTTGGTGTTGCAGACTATCAATTCTCCCGCCGACTCTGTTTTTAGCAAAAGTTCCTTCCAAGCATATTCGAACGCATCTTTGCTCTCATGCTCGTCAGGCAAGATGATCTCGTTCTGCTTGATGGAGTCGTAAATTTCTTGGAGGAATTCCGGCGCGAAATCCCCGCCGCCGTTAACACCCCGCAGGTTCTTCGAGAAGTCAATATATGTCATGCGGTTTTGAGACTTCACGTTTGGATTGTATAGGTCTGTGTTTAGCATGATAATGGCGTACGTCAGAACAAAGAGTGCATCCTTATCAGCCACGCCTTCGGGGTTGGCTTTTGCCATGTATTTCTCGGAAAATGTAGTTACGATCCGAGAGATCAAAGGAGCTTCACCTGGCAAGCGGAAAGATCCAAGTAGCTCTCTGAGAGCATCGACGACAGTCTTGCCGGAGAAATCAAATAACTCAACGAACGCATCCAATAACTCTTCGTTGTTCCTCTTGGAGATGAATTCTCCTAGAATCTTTTTCGATATGCGGGCCGTCCCTTTCAGGAACCCTGCGACCAAAGTTGGGTCGTCGGGGTTTTCTATTATCCCTTGCGATGCTAAATAGGCGATTCCTGCCTTGGGGTCCTCGTTGAACTTCGTTGCACCCTTGATGATAATCTTTTTCTTTTCCCGTTGACGTCTCAGACGTTCCGGATCAGGATAGCCTTCGAATTTCGGTTCATCCTCGAGTCTGTCCGAGATGAATTGGATATAACCCAAAAGAGAATCCAGGCAAAGAGGAGGCACATTCGTCGTGCTCCATGTGGCGGAATCGGGGAAGGCGTTTCGAGACAGAAGCCCAACCATATCCTCACACAGATCTGCTCTGTCCACCTGACAGTCATAATTGACAAAGAGCTCAACCATGAAGGTTGGGATCCGAGCTAAGACCCCAATGCTCTCAACCATAGCTTCTCTGGCTTCAGGCCTCCTAGAACCACCTTCGAGTCCGAGCTTCTGTCGATCCTTCACGGGAATCGGCGTGGATCTGCCACTACTGGTCTGTGATGGGGACGGCTTCACCAATTTAGGCGCCTGCGGGACTCCATCGTAGAGTGACGGGTCGATCCCGGGCTCCCTCGGAATATCAACTCGAGGATGGAGACATGCGACGAGATATGACAGATAGACCTCTTGCTGAAGCTTCAGGACTGGGCGGCAAGTCGACAGCAGCGTTCCCGCTACTCGTAGTGAGCCTGTCAGGATAGCTATACTCTCAGACCTCACCAGCTGGAAGAGATGACGGCAGAGATCATCTTGAGCCAAGACCGCAAGACTCGGGTTTCTAGCAATTGAGGGGCCTGCCACCTCAAGAGCCACATCGATTATCCTCAGGGCCATGACTCGCATGGCATCTGTATGTTGGCGGTTATGAGGGTCCAACAAGTCTACCAAGACACGAAAGAGTTCCCGAATTGACGGCAAGGAATACGGTTTCACCTCAACCTGTGAGTCTTCCTGCGGATCAGGTGGTGCCGCTACCGCATTCCCATTTGTCGTAGGTTCAGGTGTCGCTTCTCCGCTCACACGCTCCTTCTCCTCTTTCTCCGGAGGAGACGTATCTGAACCCATAGCGGACAGATGCTGAGATGTCACAGTGTTCCCGTCCACTGACGGGTCCATCTTGACCGCAGCCGCCTCCTCGTCTGTCTTCTGTCCTTCTTGGTCCGGACTCAGCTCCTCCCGGTCGTCCAGATGGGCAAGCCTCATGAAGATGACTTGGCACATATTCACCATGGCCATCTCCGCCGATCTGCGAAGGACTTCTGACAGGCGGACCTGGCAGCACATACTGAGACCGGTCTCCATCATTTCACAGACACTTTCATCGCCCAGGAGCTCGCCCTCGGGCCGCGATATCATTCCTTCCATCAGTTTCAAGATCCGTAGGAGAACAATCTCATCCGCTGCAGAGTCACTGGCTTCAAAGCGGCAGTGTGTAATCGCAGCTGATAGAAGTTGCATCGCCATTGAAAGCCTGGGAGAGTTGCGGTTGATGATGTTGTAGGCGAAGAACTTCGTGATGGCAATCAGGGCCAACGACGTAATTGGGGCCGACGTGGAAGAAGAGCGAATAACCTGGAGAAATGGATGCAATAATGCCGGTGTATCGAACGTGCGAATGTCCTTGCAACCCTTAAGATCGCTCCGCAAACGCGTGAAAGCAGCCATCAAGGGATTGTCTTGCATGCTCTTGCCTTTCTTTCCCCGCAAACCCCATCGACTGGCAAATGCACTGTCTCCTTCGACTGTCGTTGGGCCCAATTCTGACGGCATAATCCTCGGATTCGACTTCCCTGTTGCATTGCCGTTCTGGGCCCTGGAGGCGGCGGATGTATCACGCTCGTAGACTCTCGAAGCTCCGCTTCCACCTAGGATGGCGGCGACGGAGGAGTGCGCCCATCGCGCATGTTTGCGCATAGCAGAGGTGACTGTGATGCATTCTGTAGTCACAAGAGCCACGGGGTCGATGGCTATCGATATGGAGGAACCAGACATGGTGGGCGATTGCGCGGTGCCCAAAGGTGCATCTCGGGGATATCGCAAGCTGTCCTGGTCTCTTTGGGTCTACTTTGGCTGGAGCTCTCCTCCGCGCCGGTACGGCACTCCATTGGGCCCAGTCCGCAAAACAGCATCTGCCGGCAGATCATCGACACGGGGCATGAGTGCATTTCTGGTGGTTCTTGTTTGGATGGTGTCGATTGAGTAGTAACATGTTAGCTTTATGTTCTAATATCCTGGAGCAAGTACACTTTTACCAGTCTACCTTCTCTCCTTGCTGCACAATCGTACCTCATGTTGTACTTTGGAGGTTTGTAGCGACGTAGGCGGTCTACAAGGCGGTGAGCTTTCAACACAGGAAGATAAAAAAGAGACCGTAACTGAATTAACTATGAGTTAACTATATCTATTGTGCTGCACCTTAAAAGGAGCAGATATAGCAATAATTTTCCAGCGCACAATTACTACTAAACTTTACAGGCAACTATGTGCCTTTTCTGGCCCCCTCAGAATAGCCATATAGATTGTATTCAGATATACTCCGGTATCCTTTGCCTTGCTGATTCCCGTAATAATTTCCCATCCTTCCCACAACCGGGTCCATATAGTTTAGCTATTTGCTCCTTCGCATTGATATAGATGCAGATGATGCGCATGCAATGATCAGCAAAGGGTTTGGAATCATTGTGTTTAGTGCATGAAGATATCCGTATTGCCTCAGAGACCAACCTACACCGGTAGCCCTTGCTGCAATATGTGCAAGCCATAATGCACCTCACTATTGAATCCAGAGGCATTCGACTAGGTACTGAGGCCATCGCATCACATGTCACATTTTGAAGCTGGACCCTATCCACAGGGCAGATCGAGGACAGGCAATTATACCGACATGGGATGCGTGCCTTCAAAGTTCAGCATAGCAACGGGGTCGTACAGGATGATATCGGGTAAATACTCTGCAATAATATAGCTTAAACTGATGACCTCCCTTCTGGAGAATGGTCAAACTAGCCGGAACAGGCGCGAGCGACGGTGGCTGGCTTAGGATTCTTTCTCCATCTTTGCACGATCTTCCAGTTCCCTGGTCACAAAGTCGACTATCGCCCGCCGGTTCCGCGGCTCCACCAGCGCCAAACCAAAAGGGCGACTGTGTAGCCAGAGAGAGCAGAGAAGAGGTCTATCTAGTCTAGAGTAGATACTCTAGACCTTCGTAAGGACAACGATCTCGTCCCTTGCTTCGGGGAACCCCAGGATGGGCGTCTCGCTGGCGGGCGGTTGTTTACGCCGGCGACACGTGGTGCAGCCAACCAGACGCTCGGGATGTCGACGCCGTTCGATCTCGAGTGTTTCAAGTTGATCCACGACAGATAGTCGAACTGAGATCCCCCTCAGCAGTTCAGATCCAGATATCCACCCGTCCGATTTCCCCTTCTGTGCCGAGATCGAGCGCCAAATCAGACTGGATGACCTCCAGAAGCTCTCCCGGGGAGAGGTAAACAACGGCACAGCTAAGTATCTCGACATCGAACCCCTCCTCCTGCTCTTCCTTTCCTCTGCCTTCAAGCTTCAGCTTCAGCTTCTCATGGAGGTCACCACGCGCGTTCCTGACCGTCTGCGCTCCATCGTCCCGGTGTGAGGAAGCCGTCGCCCGCGATCGTGTGTGATTTCCATCTCTATCTATCTCTGTCATTTCAAGTCAATGCGTCCGCCCGCCGTCCCCGCCTGATCTGTGTCGAAACGCGATCCCAGAAGGTGCGCTGCTCCGATCAGCCATGGCCGCAGCGTCCAACTCGCTGTCGACCCTGCCGTTGGAGCAGTTGTCGCTCTACCACGCTGTTGATCCATTCCTGTCTTCTATCCTTATCTTTCATGGCCCCGTTGCGACTGCCCATGCGACCGTCAGCAGCTCCCGCATCCAGGCGCACATCTTCACGCCTGCCGGCTTCCAAAGCTACCCCCGCATCGCCATTTCCCCAGCGGCTCCCTTGTACGCTGCAGTCAACCACCTCCCCCGTGAGAAGCAGGGCGATGAGGTATGTCGCGGTCTGGCAGTCTGTATACTCAAGTACTTTGCGGAGCTGTCCAGTCCCGTCAAAGAGTGTCTCGTGGAGACGGCCAAAGCTGGAAAGCCTGCGGGCAAGGTACCCAAACTGTTCGATGAGATGCACGCTGCAGAGCTGGCGAATCGCATGACAAGGGTCGAGAACCCGTCAGAGATCATTCGCAATTTGCGTGAAGCTTATCGGGAGCGCAAGGTACCATGGATCGACATCGACGTGGTTCTGCCTGTTGGGACTATACGGTCTACAGAGCGGCAGGACAGTCCAGAGGACGATCTTGATGATGCCCCGGACGATCAATATGGTAAATACAGTCCACTCATCCAGTCTTTGGGAGAGCCCATATTCCTCCCGACGTCGCGCCTGCGACGAGCTCCATCTCAACCCACAAACCTCAGCAAGTCGAAGCTCTTCTCCAAAAGCCAGAAGGAAGCACTCCGGTTGGCTATGTGTGAGGTGGTCGACACCGAAGAGAGATATGTCGCGAAGCTGTATGACTTAGTCCATAACGTCGTGGAGGAATTCCGGGCGAAGGCTCGCGCGAGATCAGCCTCCAGTACGAGCCCTGATGAAACTGCCCTGGAGAAGCTATTCCCTCCATGCCTGAACGAGATCTTGGAGGTCAACATGGGTTTTCTACATGTGATCCGCCAGATCCTAGAGGACACGGAGAAAGACGCCATTGCTGATCTGGCGGGCGACACGGAGCTGCAAGCGTCGGTCTCGAGTCGAGCTTCAACAAGAGATGTAAATGATCCGGTCGGTGCTGCCGCATTCGCAAATGCACTCCTGGAATGGTTTCCGTTATTCTCGCGGCCGTATGCGGACTATATGCGGGCCCATACTGGATTTACCCGAACATTGAACGCGTTCCTAAGAGACAACAACTCCAGCTTCTCAAGAAGAGTGCATGAGACAGGGGAACAGCGATTGCGCTCGCTTTTGATGGAGCCAGTGCAGCGGTTGCCTCGATACAGTCTTTTGATAGATACAATGACCAGCAGCTTGCCCTTGGTTCACCCGGCCGTGAAACCGTTTCTCAAGGCGCGAGACGTCATCAAGGATATATGTTCGTTAGACAGCTCTTCCTCGACCGACAACTCCAAAGCCCTGGAACTGCTCAGAGCCCTAGTCGATGACTGGCCCCTGTCCGTTTCTCCAGCCGGACGCTTGATCACTGCTGTTGATTTCAGTGAGATTCCGCCACCTTATCGAATTGACAGCCCGGCTGCAAAACCAAGTTCGGGCCTCATGCTACTGTACAAAGATTGCCTCATATTTTTGTCCAAGGCTCAAGGGACTAAAGCCAGTGCCCGTGGCCTCTTGGCAGAGCTCGATCAACCTTCACCAACATGGTCTCCTGGAGAATTGAGATTCGCAAGGGTCTTGGATCTCCAGGGCACGCGCTGGATGCAGTCTACCTGTGGACGGATCCTGTACCTCATTCCCTCAATGACTATCCCTGAAGGGGAAGAACCCGACAGGGCTCTGCATGTACTGGAGCTGTCAGGCATGTACGAAGGTAGAGCTAATCGTCTTGTCGAGGAGATGGTCAAGGCGAAGATAGAGGGCAGATTCTCCGAGCAGGAACGGGAGGACGGAAAATGGACCCTGAGAAGTCCGTCAGGGACATTTAGCAATATCGGCATTTTGGCGTCCGTTTTCGAGGAAGACAATGCTGGCACTATGAAGAGGACCGGGTCTTCGAACATCAGAATCGTCTTTGATATCCCCAAGGTGATTCGACAGAAGACTTTGAGTAGCAGTTCTGACCTCGACGTGATAATCTCCATATCATCTCTCGATGAAGATCAGTACAGGCTGGATATCGATTCTGTCGTTGGTACATCTACCACAGACATTGTGTCAGTGGATATCTTCATACCAGTTTTATCGAAGAGACGTGAGTACCGTTTTCCTGTTACATTTCGCCCTTTTTCTTTGGCTGACTATGAAATTATAGTATCGAATCTCGTCTCACATTTATATCATCCCCAACACACGGTAATGACCGAGCCAGTTGTCTACTCAAACTTCGAGATCCTCCGATACATAGCCGGTCATCTCCTATCACAAGCAAAGGTCCCCCGCGGCCTGCGCCCACCTTCACCTTCCAAAATGCTCTCATCTCTCTGGGGTGGAGGCCAGTCCAAAGAGACCGTCACGCCCTTGAAATCCCCGGTTCCTCTACTGGGCGATGTCCCAAAGATATCTCCCACAAAGTCTACCTTTAATAGACCCGATACACCTTCATCTCTTACTAGCGCTCAGGAGAAACAGACCCACAGGATCTCTGTGGTAGAAAGCGATGCGGACCGCCATGTAAAATCGTTGGAGCAAACATTCTCCGCGTATATTCTCTCTCTGCGTTCCAGAAGCGGAAATATTGTGGGCCGCATACTTCGTGCACGCGACAACGTCGACAGAACTGCGGTCAATGAGCTCTACAATATTTTGCTTGAAGATCCCGGGAAACTACAGGCAGCTGCTGAGGTCTCTGTAGATGTTCTCTTTGTTTCATTTGAGACCTTCATTTCCAATGCATGGAGAGACCACATGGGCCCTGTCATTCCCAATTCAACGCTGGAGCTCATCCAGAGCAAGTTCGATGCCATGTTCTCAGCAGACTTTAATGAATTCTTCCGGCAAATGATGGGCGACATGAGTCCACAAAACCGACGCGCTCTCTCCGCGATGGTGCGGCTTCTTGCTGAGCTTCTGGATGCTTCCGGCAATGATGGTGATCGAGGCGCTCTGACAGCCGCTTTTGCTGAAGTTCTCACTGAGAGCGGTGATCCAATGCGGTATATCTCTCTCTTGGATCGCCTTGTCGATGACTACGAGAATTTGTTCGAAGATTCCGCTCCTCCCAGTGCTTCCCTCGACGGTGCTTTCCCGAATGATTCGAGCAGTGCGCTGAATAAGAGCCAGTCTCTTAGTGTCAGTTCCGTGAACTCAAATACCTCATCATTTAGGAGACGCTTTGGCTTCGGACTACATCGTGAGAATTCAAAGCATGAGGGAGAAAGTAAAGTCTCTTCGATCCTTCGGACATTGAGCAAGACCAAAGGCTCTGGTGAATCCTCCGAGCCAAGTACACCTAAAGGGACATTATTGCGCTCTAAATCAACCGACACAGACACAAGGTTGGGCAACTATCTACGTCCAACATCTCGAGACCGTCCCGCGGTATACGGCATATTTTCTGATGAACAAGAGCGGCCAGGAAGTGGGCACAGCAACACTTTGCTGGCATCCATTGGAGAAGTCCCATCGCACCAGGAAAATCCAAAGCCTAGGAGAAAGCGCAGAAGCTCCCTTTCCGACCTAAGACCAATGACAGCCTCAAGTGATGACCCTATTCCTGTTCACACGCCTAGGCCTGTAACTCCGGTAACTCCTCCGCCACAATGGCCTCGGTCGGAAGTGGCAGCCACGCCAAAAGAGACAAGGCCACGAAGCAGCCATGCCAGCAAGTCACCTTCAAGGGTCTCCTCACCGACGAGGACGGGCTCGCCAACGAGAGCGGCTGGGACCCCAAGGAGAGAGTCCCCAACCCGCTCCAACTTGTCAAGCCGGAAAGAGAATGCCTACAGCAGACCTACGTTGATGGAACGAGCTGTTAATAAGAGATCCGACGAGCCGCCGGCACCAAATGAGAGTCCGAAAAGAAAGACGGATATGCCTGGCACTCCTCAACGGAAGAGTGCTGGGCTCAGGGAACGCCCGACGCTGGCGAATGGGTTCGAATCACCAAAACGGCCCCATTCGATGTCCTCACCACCGAAGGTCCAGAAGCTTCGGATGCAGAGTCCCCAGAAGGTACGTCTTGCCCAGTTCGAACGCCACCTGCCATGACTAACTTGCACACAAACAGCTTCGAGAGCGTCTCGCGAATGAGAAGAAAGTACAGGCAGCAGCTGAAGCGGGCTTCAAAACTGAATTGATGCTCATCGGAGATGAGCTATCTGCTCTGAAGCTCTCACCTACATCTGACGCAGATGTGAAAAGTCCCAATGGTCGCGCCCAAGATGCTAATGCATATCTCTCCGGCCGCTTCCGAGATCTGGAGTCGAGATTCTCTTCCATGTCTGCCGATCTTAGTGGTCGAACAACTGCCATTGAGAAAGACCTAGAGACGTCTCTGATTGTCAGCGAGAGAAGGGCGAAAAAGCTAGATGAGCTCTATCGCGAGGCCAGCGCTGAGAATGAAGCACTATATGAACGTTTCAACACAGAGCTCTCTCGGGTGGTGAAAGACGTTCGTCTGGGTAATGGCGAAAGTGCCTTAAAAGACCAGCTGAGGGAAGCTTTGGAGGAGCTAGGCAGGGTCAAGAAAGAGAATCTGCGCCTGAAGAGAGAAGTTGGGGGACTGCGAGCTCAGCAGATGGGCATTCCCGCAAAACACGAATAATAATCGAGGGGTGGCTGCCTAACCACCTTATGATCCTCTCGAACTTACGGGGAAATACTTCACCTTCTCCATTATCACAACTTTACTTTTTCTTTTTCTTTTCTTGCAACATGATGTTGGACGGAACTTCCGACTGACTTTGCTCCAGTGCGTGCGTTTCTGCGATGCACTCTGTCACACTGCGCCTTCGCGTTTTCTTTTTCCTTTGGTCACAGCGATAATTGGTCATTGGTCTGCAATACCTGCTGTACAACTACGGGTACAACTTCCCGCATTTTCCTTATTCGAGATACCAGAGCGTTCTCTTCCTGTGCGCTTTCCTTACTTGATTTTCTTCTTGTCTTTTATTATTCACCAAAGCGTCCAATGGCCTGCGTCATGTAATTACGAGTCTTAACACATATGATAGACCCTTGTCGGGAAATAATTAATTAAATTACAAGCGTACATTATCTATTGAAAACTGAAAATCATCAATCGTTAATTATACAGTATGTTGACCTCTTTCAGCCAGCCCATCAACTCCAGGGGCTCCGGATTGATCATTTTGTACGTCCATTCGCATTCGACTCTCCACGATTCATCCCGGCCAAGGTTCATCGTCCCTCCGGGAGAGCTCCTGCCTGGTAATGTCAAAAGTGCTAGCGGCCACTCATCTGGTTTCGTGGGTTCCCTGGCTGTCAACAGAGGCACGGTGAACCGAATCGGACCCGGTGCCTCCCACGACAGCATATCCAAAAACTCCTGGGATGACGGCAGCCGTCCTTCGGCCTCTTCCCTGCCTTCAGATTCATCAAGCGTGCGGCAGATTTCCTTCAGATCAGACGATTGGAGAGGACGAACAGTAAGCTGGAGTGGGCCCGATGGGTCCTTATTCCCATCTTGCAATGTGTGCACTCTATGTGTGAGTTTCAAACGGATCCAATAACGATCATCCCAGAGATACCATGGTGTACATGTTGAATTTGACCCCTTGGCCATGTCTTTCAGATCGGCTGTCGTTGGGGATGGAAATTCAAAGTTCAGTGTAGGCAGCCGATGCCGCATGTACGGTTGTCTGGAGAGAAGGTATGTATTTCGTTGTGATTGTTTCTGATCAGTAGTCTTGTCGTTCTCAATCTCTTCTCTCACAGGACGAAAGATCACACCGCCAACTGTGAAGGGCTGACGATTCTCTTCTTTCGAAGGAGTGAAAAGCCGTCCTGCGAATTTTTCGTAGCTACGAAGCGAGAAATAATTCTCCGGGAACGGGGACAGTAGCTCTGTGATGCGGCGGAGGGTAAGGGCTTGAATTTGGAGATTGTGTCTCCGTTGTCTTTCGTCTTTGTTCTTATCGTTGTTATCGCTGGACGGAGAAGGGAAACGGACAACCATCCATCCAGCGCGGGTGTTGAATTTGTGGATCCTGCATGTTTTTAATAGTTCGTTTGAAAGCTCGCCGGATTGGTCTACGAGCTCTTTGCTTCTTTCGATCAAGGAGAGGATCGAGGGTGGTCTCAGGGCCTTCGGAAGCTTCTCCGTCGAGAGTAAATGCCTGATGGCGTTCCGTGGGGTGAGGGTTGGATCGAAATTAGTGGGATCGTTGACGAAGGGGATATTATTTTCATTACAAGTGGTGACGAGGTTCGATTTAGGAAATGATAAAAGCGGACGGCAGATCAGTATTCCGCCTGTGGAAATGGTGGTGTCTTCATCGTGTTGAGGCGTTTCTGTCGACGATACCTTCTTTCCCCGGGAAGAGCTAGTCATCCGCGCCTCGTTTTTCTGATCGATCCGTATTTTGAGATCGGGTTCTAGGTTGTTCGATCTGAGGACTGTCTGCAGGCCACTTTCAGAGACACCATACAGGCCATGACACTCTGGGATACGAGCAACGGACGGAATGCCTGTCAGTCCGGCTCCTCTGGCACCGGAACAGAGTCTCCAGATCGTGGTCTCGACATTATCATCCTGATGATGACCCATGAGGAGAGTTTCGATGCCTGCATCACGACAAGCGCTTCCCAGGGCCTGGAAACGGAGTCTTCGCGCATGTGTCTCGAATGCAGAGACTTTGGACGGTGAGTCCAGTCCGGTCCATTCGAGCTCCAGGACCCTGGCGTTGAGGCCTGTTTCGACATGTTAGAAGAAAAAATTTCTTTCATAGGATTAAATACAGAAAGGAATGGCTAGGTAGTACTCACCCATATCGCGCAACCATCCGATAACCATTCTCGCCTCGCGACTACTCTCCTGGCGAGCCTTGTGGTCAACCACAAAGGCCGTAACGCTCAGGTCGTCAATGAGATTTTCAATTTGCATTCGTCTGCATAGATAAGCGAGGGCCATGGAATCTGCGCCTCCGCTGATTGCCAGTCCTGATATCGAGAGTTAGATTGGCTCATGTGTATTGAACCCAGACCAAGCAAGAGCAGTGAAACGGATGAGAAAACATAATATTCAATTCAGACGACGAAAGTTCAAACAAATAAAACCTACCCAACCGTCTCGGAACCCGCCTGGACCAGGACCATGTCTGCGTTAATCGCGACTCCGTCCATGATGTCTGGAATTGCTCTAGGAACTGCGCGGCGGAAATGGCGCCGGACTTTGTCGTTGAGCGCAGCACCCCGGCCATCTGGACCCAACACAACCCAGCCTAACGATTTTCCTCCACGTTATGGGATTGGGAGGTGCGATTCATTGCATTTTATTCGTTCGGTTTATATATGCAGTCGATTTAGGAGAGGAACGATGTTGGTTGTCGGCGAAGAGAGATTTGGCTGCTTGTTTTTTTCTCTTGGCGCGCTGGATAAGGCGGAGTTTGGATTGGTTGATCAGCAGAGAGTCGATGCTCTAGATGACGATTATTATTCTTGCTCGTCTGACTACATAATAATTATAAGGAATAAATGGATTTAGTTACTGTCTTGAACCGTCTATTCCATTCTGTGCAACTATCCTTATAATATTGTTCTATATTGAAAAAATCTCGCAGCTTTTCCTCTAACTATCCATGACATCTATGTAGTTAGGTATTGGCACATAGTACGTAAGTATTCCGACTAGAAGCTCACCTCACCTCACTGTAATATGCAGTGAACACGTACAGTTAGCCCAATGAATGCAATAGATGACATATTCTTTTATAAGTAATGAAACTTTTTTAAAGATAAAACCTTCCCTTCGGAATTTTTATGATTCACATCTCGAAAACATTCTCTTCATTGTCGAGCACGATCTTGATCCGCGGAGTAGTATTATTCAAAGTCGCATCAAAACATCCAGGCCTCAACAGTGGTCGCCAAGATTCTCTTGGGACAGTAGTGGCAGGGAATCGATCTGAGCGTAGGAAACCATCGCGGTTATACCTGTGCAGGAATGAAATGTTAGCTTTGTCCCAACCAATTTGCTATTAAAAAACAAAAAAAAAAAAAAAAAAAAAAGTAAGATCCTACCAATTTCGTGAATTTCTATCGAGAAATTTCTTGAACATATAGCCTGTCTTTTTAGGCAGAAACGGACCCATCGGTTTATAATCAGCAAGGAAGGAAACCATATCCAGTCCATTACGGTCCACGAAATCCATATATTCCGTCCAGACGCGCCGTCCGAGATCCATAAGCCCATCGACTTCCTCTGATACGATCGACTTTTCTCGACTCGCATAGTCGCTTCTATTGAGCCGACGAAGCTGCGCAATGACTTCCTGCGAGAGTTCCCATATTGTACTTTGGACCCAATGCCGCGCGAACAGGATCGGTTGCGCCTGCATAAGTTGCGCCAGCCAGACGGGGTCCTTGGGATCTTCCAGCTTGCCCACGTTACGCTTCACGATGAAGCTGTAGTACCAGATATTGTCGTCTTGGAGCGGCACAGTGTGCGGTGGGTAGCAGAAGAAGAAGGTCGTGCGGCAGTATTTGCAATGTCCGCCGCCGTTGCGGCAGTTCGAGCAGTTGCGTTTACATCTGGTGTCGGCCCGATTGTATTGGTATATGCATGAGTCGCTGTATATGTCTGTGACTTCGGGGTCGCTGGTACGTAGGTGAGGACAGATCGGCAAGTCATAGCCGCGCAGACGCTTTTTGGCTGCTCGTTTCGAAACGCTGCCGTTCTGCCAGTCAGTCACGGAGAAATAGTAGTCTTTGAGTAGAGCCCAGGTGCCGTCTTGTTCCTTGATGACGAAGTTGTAAGGCCCGTGGCAGGCTGAATGGCCGCAGCAGAGAGGAATCTCATGCTGTTTGCGTGCTGCGAGTTCGGAAAAACTCAGTGGTGCATAGGGACATAGCCAGAGGAGCTTCTTGGTAGCTATACATCGACGAGTTCTTGGGTCTTTTTCCAGTTCTGATGGTGGGAAGTCGGTTCGATGATGCGTTCTTTGGCATCCACCGCACAAGAAACGATCTTGAGAGCTATCGTCCCTTTCCATACACCGAAGAAGTTCGAACCGATCTCCATGGCTTAGGAGCCTTGCGCAAAGCGTACGCTGCAGATCTCGACAGGTATTTCTCAGGGCGTTATGACTGCTTGCCGGCAGCTCGTCCGTGATTTGGAAGAGAAGTTCTAGCGGGAATCTGTGCAGGATGGAATTCTGCTTCGCCTGCCCCGTCTCAGGAAGGCTCGAATTTGACCTTGCAGAGAACAATCGAGATGCTCGTCTGGCCCAGACTGAGACGGTATTGTTATTATTACCATGGTACGCGGCAGTGACATCAGATCTCGAGATGACCGACATGGTGTAGAGGATCCATTGGCGACAAAGTATATCAACAACAAGCCTTTGTACAGATGAACTAAAATGAGTTAGATAGCGGTAAATTTCAGGAGCAGAAGTAGGATGGGGGTGAACAGGATGACAACATGTTGATGGACGTCACCTTTTTAATATTATTCTAACTTAGTTGAGCTATCCACGGATCCAGATGGTGCATTTATGCCTTATGGATCAAATTGAGCCAGCTGTATGGTCGGGTCTTGGGAAGATGCTGTCGACACCATGGTTCAAATTCCAATGGGTTGCGACGCGCCAGTTACGACACAGGCTCTACCAAGGTCTAAGCTTATGAGGGGATTCAGAGGATTCCTCCACAATCTCCATGTTCAATAATGATGATGATGCGTTGATTGATTTGCTTTCCAGCGCTGGCATCATCAGAAATAGAGTTATACATGGCCTCTGGTGGGAGGGATATTCCAAGGAACAGAAAATGGACAGATGCACATGAAGATAAATGGTATATCTCCAGACAGACTCTGCAAAACGGATAATAACTGACGCCAAGGGCCTCGCTCCAGGTATATAACTATTGATACACTTGCAACGCAATGTAACACGTGCTTTGCAAGAAACGAGATATGAAGTAATCCAGATGTCAATTGCCTGGGATAGACGGCGTTGCAGAGGCCGACGTATATCCCGATGCAGCAATCGAAGAGAAGCTTCCCGACAGCGCACTCTCCCCATTGGGTAAGCGCCCAAGGTCAGGCGAATGTTTACCAGGAACATGGTCGGTGTCGTGTTCATTCACGCTGCTCCGCGCAGACCTATTCATCGGTATGTGTTTCTTTCCGTTGGCTTTATAAACTAAGACTATGTCTCCGGAGGATCGCCAGATCTGAGTTCGAATAGTGGCCAGTGTCATGTTAGGGGGTATCAACTGAAAAGAGTTTCTGTCAGCCCGAAGTTCAAAAAGGCCGTATAGTTGCATGATAATGCAGTCACTTACAGTATTCTGACAGTAGAGCTCCAGGTATTCCTCGGGCTTCATTGCATCCTCCTCTTGTCCTTCGGGACCTGGCGACTCTATTCGTTCCGCGATATACGCGAGAATCTTTTTGGCTCGAAGCATGCGGTTGGCGTTGAGGCGAGAAGTATTAGTGTTTGTCCTTGTGGGTGCCACATTAGCTAACTGCATCTTACACGAAAAGTAGACTATCCGAGTCCTCTTGATGATGGGTATACATACGGGTCTGGTTTGACAACGGGGGGTAAAAGATCCTCGTAAGGTTTCAAAGTGAATGCGATCTTGACGATATCCTTCGCGGGGATGAGATTCTATGTCGTTGTCAGTGACACCGGACAAAGGATGTTGCTGATAGAAACTCTGAGCAAGATGCTTACCTTGAGAAGGAGTTCGCCAAGCCACAGTGGTACGGACTTTTCCAGTCTATCCACCTCCTTGCCAACTGTGGCAACCGACCCTCGATAGAGATCTGCTGCCACAGCCGAGTCTCCAGATTCTTCCTGAATAAGGATTGCGGTAGTGGAAGGTATATCTAATACGGGGGTTTCGCTCTCCAGACTTGGTGCAATGGATGTATTCAGTGTCTGTCCAGGATTGGCTGCCAGAAATGTATCGTATTCATGCCGTATCCTCTCTACAACACCACCAAGGTTGTTCTCGAACACCTTTTCCTCCTTCACAGATGACTTGTCTGACTCCTCGTTCTTCTCTTCTTGAACGGGAGGTCTCACATCAGTCGAAGTCCGCGTGAGCTTTCGGGGGAAGTCCATCCGGAACTTCTTGCCAAACAAAGAACCGCTTTTCTTTCTCTCGTCCTTTTCTGCGTCTACCGGTGATTGAGGCAATGCTGTCAAGTTCGGGTCTTCAGGGGACCCAGCCGCCCTATCTGTGTCTGCCCCAGGAGAGAGTGGATTGGCTGAGAAATAGTCAGTGGACCTTTCCGATAAGGAACGCCTCGTGGCATCCGAATCCGGCTGCGCAGCCCCTTCATCTGTGGGAGGGAGAGCCGAGCTATACGCATTCGAGGAGCTCTGACAAGCTGAGCCGACTCTCGGAGTTGCTAGTCCTATCGCAAGGCCTGGGGTACCAGGTGGTCTCTGTAACCCGTTCGAACCAGACATCGAAGACTCAGACATATATGAACTGGCTGCCTGGGTATCAATGAAGGGAAGTCCTATGGCTTTAGGGGGCGTTGTACGCCCCGGAGTTCTCAGCTCTTCGGACTTGGCCACAGCAGACTCGCGATAAGCGCCATCGCGCTTGATTTCTTCCTCAACCAGGGGAGCAAATAGCCAACGCAGGACCCATTTACCCAAGTTTACTGTTCAGTTGGTCAGCCTCTGATGACACGAAAGTTATCAAGCCCAAGGAACTCATACTTCTTTGATCTTCTTTAAAATCCTGTCTGTCGGCAATGTCTGTCTCGTCTGCATATACTTCCGCATCGAAACACCGGTTCAGCTCCAAGATCACTGAGAGCCTCCCCGTCCGTATATCAAGCGTGCACCAATGCGCGACGCTTTCAACGGTGTTCACTTCATCGGCCACGTCATCGATGTGGCGCTTGCCGAATGATTTTATAGGGATACACTGTTAGTTGTTAGCCATGGTATCAAACAAACTGAAGATTGGAGCTTTACCCTCAGGAGATCCCATAGGACCACTTCTCCTGCTGTATCCTGAGTAAGGGTGCGCTTTCGATCGTTGAGCATAAGGTATTTGATCAGACCATGCTGACCTTCAATGGTCTCCTCAGGTAAAGTCTGGATAGGAAGGACAAGGTCGAGATCATCGTCCAGTGACTCGGCAGGCTTTTTGATGCTTGTAGCGGAGTAGATTGTCACCCCATCCGGATCGCGCGCTCTCGCATACGTCGAAGTGTTAGATAGTCGCAGCACAGCAGTGTGTGGGATCTTCGGTTTTGCATGACCATTGGTCGTGGAAGATGGCACGTCTACAAGTGATTCTGGGGGCGAGTCGACCTGCACAGAGGCCATACTCAAACTCTGGCGGAACCCCGCTGGTGGAGGAGATTCGATGTCAAGAGTCGTGTCGATATCGTACCAGCGATTTATGCTCGACTTTGGTGTTGCTGTCCAGATGTAACCTTCCGAGGCCACTACCTTGCCCACTCCATCATTCTCCTGCAGGACGGCGATGCATGTTCCTTGGTCTATGTCTGGTGCATCTCTCGTGTCGGTCTTTGCGACAAGGCCAGAACGATCGCTGGAGTAGAACACCGACAGCTGCGGATGATCCGAATAGAGTGACCAGACGCTATCATTGTGCATGGTCAACGTGTGCATGCATCTTCCTGCCGTCAACGACCAGACCTTGATGGTCTGGTCTGAGGAGGCGGTGATGATGGTGTCCCCTTGCTGGTTGATCAGTGTATCCCTGACGTTATCTGTATGCCCAACGAACTTGGTGATGAGCTTGCCCGACTTGGGATCCCACAACCGGACTACACAATCTGGGCCTCCGCTGGCCAGTAGAGAGCCGACCGCGCCCAAGGCGTACACTGAGCCCTTTGCTGTGCGATCATCCCCATAGGCATCGATTTTCAATTTCTCTCCAGCGCCATTGAGGTCCCAGAGATAGATTTTATGGTCGAGTCCGCCAGATGCAACCCAGTCGTAATTGTTCCCGGGGGATGCCAGACACTTTACATAATCCCCGTGCTTGCCGATAGACGCGGGCAGCTCTGCGATGTCCGCGTGAGGGCGCCACAGTCTCACCGTCGTATCTGATGAAGCCGAAACGAGGGCCGAGTTATTATGCGTGAGAACGATATCGTTTATCCAGTGGCTGTGCGCCTGCACCTGGCGCTCGAATGTAGTCTGTCCAAGCGTCCTGGCGTTCAAGCCATACGGCAAGGGCGCGGATTGTTGCGGATTCAGGTTCCAGGAACAAAGTACGCCATCGCGACCTGCGGAGTATCTGATGACCGTCAGCTATAGAATCCGTGGTGTTATGTAGCGTAGAGACTCGATGCGAAACGGATCTCAGCGGCATCGCCGTCGCAAGTATGGGTAGAATCGAGAGGCGCGTGTCAATCTTACAGGATGGAATTCTGGGAGTCTACCGCAAGTCCATTGACGCCCAGACGGTGGCCACCAGGGCCATCTGGCAGAGGCAGCACTGATAAGTCGACAAGTCAGCATCATCGTCCACGTACTGCCCGCCGCATTCCCCAGAGAGAGAGACATCGACGGGTACCCGGAGAACGGCAGGACTCACCATAGCTGACCCTCTGACGGCTAGGTTTGCGTGCCATCCAGCTCGAATGGCAGTATCACGATGGGAATCGGCAGGCGATTAGGGACGCGCAGACGGCAGCGGAACCCGTCCGCGGGAGTCGGGAAGGCGACGGGCCCTCACACGATGGGTACAATGCGAGCGATCGATAGATGGGAAGGGGCCATGAGAGCGGACTCGAATAGCAGGGAGGATGGCAGCAGAGCGTCGTGTCTTCGGACTCTCATGCTCTTGCGACGGAATGGGGGAGTGGTTCGCCTTGTCGTCCGTCATCCGGAGCAGTTGGATAGATCGATCGGATGGACAGTGGGATGGAAGCGCCGTTTAGCCTGCGGTCCGACCAAACGACTTGGCCGTGCGCCACGCCAGGGAGGGCTCGGGCCCGACTCGAGGGGGCTCGTCTGGGAGATTGTTCAGCGGGTTCTGTGGGTGAGACGGTGATCTGAAAGAAGAGTCGGGGTATAGAGTATAGAGTATGTCGCTCATCCAGGCTTTCCTGTTAGATACCCTTTCTAGAACGACCACTGCCGTACATAACCGTGAGATCAGCGCGGTGCCTTGCCTGCCACGAGGCTCCATGTGCTGCTGTCGCCCATCACGCCGTCTAGCGCGGAGTCTCCGGCTAAGATTAGCGGGCGGGGTTGCTTTCTGGGGCTTAGATAGAACTTAATAATAGACGATACGATGGGGAGATTTGAGAACCAGAAATAGCTGTGGGAGGAGCAGTCATGTTCGAACATTATTGTACAGTACTGTAATTGTCTCCAACCCAAAGCTTGAGAAAACCCGGAAGTTGTGACAATACATTAATCTCTCGGAAACAAGCATAAAATAAACAGGAAGCAAAAAATAGAAAAAATCGTGACAAAAGAGAAAAAAAAACAAAAGAATCAAAAAAGAAGGTCCTGGTGGGAATCGAACCCACGATCTACGGAAATTCGTGTCTATCCCAGTAGTTTTTGAGCTGCTGGGGTCTTCAAAATCCGACGTCATAACCCCTAGACCACAGGACCACGCGGATGCTGAAGCTGCCCGTTTAGTGATTTAGGAGCCTATTTATTTCTTGGTGGGCTTTTCAAGTTAATTGCCCCTCCTGGCAAAAGGTGGGGGGTTGCTTACAACTGACCTTTTATCATTTCATTCATTCGACATATCAAGCACAAACCACCAACTTCACTTGTTCCAGTGCCATGTCTAATACTGAAAACATGGCTGAGTCACAAGCAGTATCTGCTAAGAAGGAGGAACCAATGGTCTCTTTAGCTTTTCATCCGCTTGCAGTTGGAAATCCTGGGGATAAGGAACCGACTCTTGAAGAAACCTTAGCTGTATTATCCATCTTGAAAAATGCTGGCATATGTTGCTTCTTTGTCGACGAATTTGCTCTGATCTATTATGGAGCTGGGAGAGTACTTAATGTTCGTGCTCACATACCTTTGCATTTAATCTAAAAACGCGGCAACCAATTTCTAACCTGCCATACTTACTTCTAGGAAAATATATTATGCGTTCCCGATGAACGGCATCAAGAAGCCGTTCAGCTCTTCATGTCTAGCAGTGATCTTCTAGAACCATGCGGACCACAACCACTCAAACGTCCTGACTCCCTCAACCATAAATACCCTCGATTCAAGGCAATTGGCAGGACCGATTTCTGGTTACTAGTCCCGGCAAGTTACTACAACATTGACTGTAGACCAGAAAATGTGGAATGGAGCAAAGGTAAGATTTGACCGATATATATACATATATATATATATATAATAATGTCTCTCTAACTTCGGGGAAAATGTTCAATAACAAACCTTCAAAGGTGGACTCCCATTTCCAAAACTGGAAGTCTACGCACAAAGCCTTATCGATATTAAAAACGGGGTAGATTTACAGGACCTCATTGATGCCCAGGACCTGTCAGTGGAATGGGGAGAAGAGAACCTTAACCTGGAGGGCAGTACTTGTGTTGAATGGGCCAAGCGACGTATTGATGCCCTTAAAGAAGATGGTGTTCCGGCACATTTCATCTTCATTGACCCCACGCCTGTTTCTCGACGAAAGATATGGCAGGAATATGTTGAGAATAAACAGAAGCGAATGGGGTGGAAGTATCCACCGGAGATCTATGCGACAAGGTGGCGACGTCACGGTTCTAAGGACCCTCGGACAAAAGACAGGCCAGGATTTTAAGAAAGGGGGGTCAGACAAGCATTTCAATTTGTAATGACTGTATAGTATCTACATGTCAAGAAGAGCAACTGAATTTCTCAATCTGGTAATAAAAAGGAAAGACAGAAACGAAGGGGACTTTGGCGTGAGGCCAATATCCAAGCAGTGGCCGAGGTAAAAGATCGAATGCCTTCATCTCTCCGGAATCTCAATGGCCGAAGAATCGAGTCCAGTATCCTCTGTTCTCAGCAGAGACACTTTCCAGGAAGCAGTCGACAGCAATTGGGTCGAGTTTATCCTTGATCCCCTGGATCGCTTCCGGGTAGGCTCGCAGAAGATATGTTATGTCATCTCGGTCATTGTCGCTGCGCCGGCTCATGAAAGCTGCCATCTTTCCACGCATCAAATAGAGAATATCGATGACATAGATCGATCTGGGCTCTGAATCAACCGTGAGTTGAAGCTCTGTGCGATGGTTTCCGAGGTCTCGGGGACTGTTTTGGTATCCTGATATTGTTAGATGTATCCAAGATGTAGGAGAACTAATCGACCAAAATGCAGGATCACATACCACACTCAATAAGGTCTACTTCCACGGGTATACCGCGTGGACAGTTGTCATAGCCAGGCCCTGTTCTCACAAAGATTCTCATGATGTTGCTGATGAGCCTCTCTTTAGGAATGATCAAACTGTAGACATGACGTCAGTAGCCGATCAGTAAAGCTTCTTACAGTGTGATATATACCGCGGCTGCACCTCCAATACACGCCACAAGTCCCGCATCTTTCCTGGGGCGTTAAAGGCAATGTCAACATCACGGGTATCACGCATTCCTCCCATCAACTTGACAGCCATGCCCCCCATGACGCCATATTGGATCCCTGCTTGGTCCAAGATTCCAGCAACGAAGAATCCAGCTGATGTCAAATTGGAAATAGGGATTCTTGGGTATTTTTGGGCTTCTTCGTCGGAATCATAATCCACAAGACTGTAGCGAGAAGCCATAGTGAATTTCTTGCGCAAACAGTAGGTATAGTAAAAGATATATGTTTGAGATCCAGGTAGACCAACTAGGAGTTCTCCTTTTTGGTCGACTGGCAGAAAGCCATCAATATATAGCGAAGATAGGAATAATCTGAATCGTACTCCAAGGTTGATGATTTGTGATTAAGGCAAGAAGATGGTTACTCGGGCAGACCCTATGTCAATATACTCGAAGAAGAGTTGCCTTGTTGGCCCTGTCTCTCCCTGTCTCTAGGGAGATCGCAGATGGTCCTGCTTGAAAGAAGGTGAAATTTCTCAAAAGGAGGCTGTGATGGAAGGCATTGCCGGCGCGTAGGGGAGTGAATGAAAGCCCAGAATGACGAGGCTAGCACCACTATAGAAAGCATTATATGAAACTGCAGCTCTCCAATTTTGCGAACAATAAAAAGAAATCAGGGTATGTAAAAGACCTAAAAAAGGCGAAGCGGCTAATCTTGTTTTAAATATATCTCGATTGAATCGAACTGAATGGTAGAGAACAGTTTTAACATGCAGGTCTAACAAGGCTAGTAGCGCTTTCTGGTGTCCATTTCCAACAATACCTGCCTACCTAGGTAAGTAGCATTTTGGGTTCTTACATGCAATAAGATAACTCACTGTTTATAGTGGATAATCTAAGCTTTTTAGGATTTTGAGGCGAAGACAATGATTTGTCGTGGGGGATTGATATCCTGAGGTTAAGCGCCTTGTATTTGTTATTAGCACCTCTTTGCGCCGCATGTGAAGCGGCTAACAATAGTTTAGGTACTCTTGCATAAGGCATTTTCCCGAATGAATATCACCCATGAGGCATCTTCTTACGAAACCTGGCTTTCAAGTAATACTGGGACTGGATGGTGATACATTAGGTAGCCTTCGCGGTCGAACTGAAAAGGGACTGCAAGTTTCCAGGCAGGAAATGGTACTGGCCAAATTAATTCGAATACTCTACAATGGAGTGAGTGCAGAATATTGAAGAGGTCGAAGAGGAACACGCGGGCGGAAGTCTATATCCTGGTTTAGTGCTTATATGATCATCTGATATCTGATACCTGTGCTGATGTTCAGCTCGTGACATATAATATTAGAGTGGATCGCCGAAGACGCGGTTCTTAATAGCCCCGACTTCGATGAATAGATGAATAGAAAGAGCACAACATATGGCTCTGATTAATGCCCGTAGGTATTCTTTCTGTTGTTCTCTCCTTTTTTTTTTTTTTATTTGCTTATTTTTCCATTCAGCCTTCGAACTTGAGCGGTGTTTTCATCTCACCTCATCTGGATGTTGTGCAGATGCGCTAAGATAGCGCCATCATATCGGCATAATCTCACCGTTAACTTAGTTCAGAGATATATAGTTTATAACCACTTTCTCATTTACAAAAGAAAAAAAGTGTTAACACCTCTTCCAACCTCACATCCAACCAAATCCTCTTTTCCCCAGAACAAACCAAAAAAAGGAGCATTATCATAAGACCTCACCATGTCCTCCTCTTCCACCCCCCTCTCAACCCTCAAACCCATCTACCCCCCACCATCCAGCACACCCATCGATCCCACCACCCAACCCGAACAACAACCCTCCATCCTCTCAACCATCACCACACTCAACCTCACCCCTCACATCGAAGGCGGCTACTTCACCGAAACTGACCGCTCACCACTCAACATCCCGAACCCATTCCTATCCGATCCCAACCTCTCCTACGCCGCCCCTTCAAACGCGACAACCCGTCTCGCCCCAGGTCAAGATAACACAACTCGCTCCGCGAGCACGACGATTTATTACTACTTGACGCCCGGGACGCCTCTGGGTGCGTTTCATCGGAATCGGGGCCGGACGGTGCATACTCTTCACTGGGGAAGGGGAAGGTATGTGTTGATTCACGCGGATGAGGTGATGAGTCCAGAGGGGAAGGTGGTGGAGGGGAAGAAAGCGAGGATCGAGACGTTTGTTGTCGGGAAGGATATTCAGAAGGGGGAGAAAGTGCAGTGGATCGTGGAAGGGGGGAAGTATAAAGCGAGTTATCTTCTGCCGGATCAGGAGGGGGATGGGGAGAAGAGGACGGAGGGGTTGTTGATTAGTGAGGTACGTATATTTATTGATATTTGTAAATTTTTGACGCAAGAAAGTAGAGCCATGATGATGATGATTGTTCTGATCTTTGGTTTCTAGACTGTCGTTCCGGGGTTCGAGTTCGCTGATCATGATTTTATGCTTCCGGAGACGATGGAGGAGCTATTGACTCCTGAGCAGGTTGAGGAGCTGAAATGGATGCTGAGAAAGGGTGTTTAGGAGAATGGTTGAATCTAGATAGATGGTTCAACAAATCAGCACACAGCAAGCCCATACTTCTAAAACCAGGCTCTATTTCATTCATACGCAATGTACATGGCTTAATATACAATCCCACAACTCCCCCGCCTATTTCTCCTCCCTAGCCAACCGCTCCCTGTCTTTCCCCTCCAGAGTATTCCATGCCCACTGGTAACTGCCTAGAAACACCGCACCACCAATTCCAATCCAAGTGACACGAGGTCCGATACCTCGCCAGAAAGCACCGAAGCCCTCACTGGCGATGCCGCGCACCACATCCTTAATCCGCACACGGCCCGACTCCCCACCATCTCCGCGTCGGGCCAGCATGACTCGCGTCTTGATAACATCCAGCGGCGTCGTCAGACCAGCCGCAACAGCACCAGCAAAACTGCCAAATAGCGCACTCGTCGATGCGGGAATCTGCTCTGCTGCAACGCCAATGGCGCCGTCTGCCCCCTGAGCTTTGTTGAGTGTCCGCTTCGCATACGCACCCTTCATGCTCTCCCACATGGTAAACTGAAGGACCGTAAACGGGATCTCTCGTGCGATTGTGATGCCCGTGCCGCGGTACAGCTCACGAATGACCTGGCCATATCCCCTCTTCGCTCCCGAAGTCGGATCGGCATGGCGCAGGGATAGAATATCTTTCAGGGCCAGCAGCGTCGAGCCGCCGAAAAGTCCAGCCTGGGCGCGCTGCTTGATCACTTCGGTGGGGACGCGGACCGCGCAGGCGGAAATCTCACCCATCGAGGATGCCAGCGAGTGTGTGAAGAACGTATGCCATTTTGACGCTGGCTCGGACGTAGAGGAGGGAAGGAGGGCGCGCTTCACGCCATCGTAGACGATAAAGAAGGAGGCCGCCGAAGGTGCGGAGCCGAGGAGGACGGAGGGAAGACCGGCGTAGATGCCGCGGATGGTCTGTCGGAGAGGAGGTGGCGCAGATTTCGTCGTAGGGCCGTTAGTGCTGTGTCTGGCCTTCTGTAGACGAGTCTTGATAGTATCGAGAGGATACAGGGAGAGGTCAACGGTGAGACCGGCAACCGCACCGGACTGTGAAATTGCGAGTCAGTGATCGTGACTCTGCAGCTCATCAAGGAGGAATTCGCCAAAAGAAAAGACCGAATACAAAGGCTCATGAGCATACAAGAAGAGACCTCGTCCACAGGGAGGAAGCCAATGGCTCCGGCTCCGTCTGGTCGACCATCGTTAGGTCTGTATTCGGCGTTGAGGGAAATTTTGGGAGCCTATCAACACAGCATATCCAGCCAAGCTTCGGGCTCACTTGGACATGGACTGAGTGTATGAGATAGGACCAGTGTGCACAATGAGCCGCCGGAACAGATATAAGTCGAGAGGACTACTGTGCAGCAGCCTCCGTTGTCGTGAAGATCGCTGTTGCCAACCCTCCGGTGAACGGCCCTTGAGCTCCGATCTGATTATCGCTAAGTTTCCCAGCGTATGTAAACTCCGCAATCTCCGATTTAGTTACTTGCTCCCTCTGTTCCACGATCTAAATGTAGTCAAAATAATAAGATAAATCCCCAAGGTTATAGTTATATTCCTATGGGCTCTATACAATGGTTTATACTATCTGTTCAATCCACCTCGTATCCGGCGTGCTCAGCCCAGCTTCGCAGTGTCAAATTAAGCCGGCGCGGTATAATACTCGAACAAGGAATGCTGCGAATGGATAACATCCAAGACACTGCAAGCAAAGATGCGCACAATAACAAAGGCCTTTAAATCGCAGATATGTCAGCTTGTCATGGTGGGGTTGCATGCGCTAGAGGGTTCGGCTATAGAAGAAGCCTCGTGCAGTGCACAGGGTTACCGAAGGAGAAAGAACGAACGAATCTACAGACTCGATTCATCCGGCTCGCGTATCTCCTCCCACCCCTTCCATGATCTTCTAGGCATCGCCTTCGAGGCACATTTCGCTTCACTGCGGTGATGAATGGACATGTCAAGGAAGCGCGTAAAAGAAACATGCAGACCTGTAGGCATCCACTCTCCTCTCAATTCCGTATAACATTTCCGACGAACGCAAATAACGTCTACTAAAGCAACTTCTATGATGGAACCCGGCACGTCACACCGTATCCCCGGCGCGACTGTATCAAATCAAAATAATCGCCTTTTGGAATCGCTCAATTCAACCAAGACGCCCCAAAAAGCAGACCAGCCCCTGTAATAAGGATGCAAGAACGGATAATCGATTAAATGGTGCATCATCAACGTCCTCATAAACGCATGAAAGACACAATTGGAACCATGAGGGAATCAAGGAGTAAGGTCAAAAAGGTATGTATGCCGTACTTGAATAGTTGTTCCGGAACAGGTGACGGTTATTCTGGCCTTCTTATTTGGCCTTACTCTGCACCGGCACACTGGGTGAAGGAGGTTCGAGGACGTGATCATGACCGGGCGCTTTTATGATCGTGCCGGAATCTTCCTGTCGACACACCTTGATATGGAGAATCCAGTCATCAGCGATAACCTCCTCCAGTGTTGCACGCTCCTTGGGATTAGGTTTGAGCATGCGTCCGATAATCCACCTGCTCTCGCGCGGTAGAATGCGCAGTAGCCGCCAGGGACCTCTGATCACCTCCTGTGGCTTGTGGACAGTCGAGCCAGGCGGCAGTGGGGGAGCTTCTTTGCTGGTCGTTTCTCCAGACTTGGGCTTTGAGGGCTCGGATTTCGGTCCGTCGTCCGTGCGGGTTGGGGGATCAGATTTCGGTTGCGGTCTGTTAGCACCGGAAGTTGAAGACGTTCCATTCGGCTGCCTTGTGACCACTGGCGTTGCCATGGGCGTCGCCATGCGGTTGTGGACCTCACTTGCCATCGAGGGAAGATCGGCCGTGGACTTGGGACGGTGCCTGGGTTGCGAATCTGGCACCGGTGTACCGGGTGTTGGAGGCGACACAAACAGTTTGTACGAGTTGTCCGTCAACCTGGGCTGCTTCCATGGGAATCGTCGCAGTGTCATGCAGCAGAATATGATGGCCAAGGACCAAATATCAGTCGGGCGGGGATCGTATCTCTTCTCATCGTACACCTCCGGAGCCAAATAGGGATCGGAACCGACAATGCCAGAAGCGGGAACAATGTCGTTCTCGAAGGGGTACCGGAAAACCACCGCACTACCGAAATCGATCAACTTCATGATCCCGTGTTCATTGACCACGACGTTATCCAGTTTCAAATCCCGGTGAGCTAAGCCCATCCCATGGAGATACGCCACTCCATTGAGAATCTGTCGAAACGAACATGCAATTTCCTCCTTGGACATCTTTCCTGTCATGACGATGGCGAACAGATCGTAAGGCGCATACTCCATAACCTCGTACCAGTGGCCTCCCTCGTGGATGATGTCCAGTGTCTCAATGATGTTGCCATGGTGTAACGTCGATCCGATACAAAATTCGGCGGTGACCTTCTTCGCATACTCTCTTTCCGACTCCCACGAGTGACGATCCCGGAATTGCTTGACGGCAAAGGTGACACCGTCACTGCTGCGCTTCAGCAGTCGTACCGACCCGCCCGCACCGGACCCAAGAACTTTACCCAATTTCCCATACTTCGAATTCAGACCATGATCATCCGCGAACGGCACGTTCGATGGCGCCATCTGATAAGGCGGGCTCTTCGATGACTTGCTCGATTTCTTCAAGCTCGGCGAGCCTCCGTGCTTATGCTTGTGGCCCAACTTGAAAAACCGCTTGAGCTCCGCCATTGAGCCGTGGTGTTCATGATGGTGGTTGTTGTGATGCCCCTTGCTATCAGATTTGCCGAAGATAGACGAACCCCGTTTCTCCTGCGATTTCAAGTCGCTCGTACTAGATGAGCGCGGGGTGCGCAGACCGGCTAGAGATGCAGAGGAATTTTGACCCCGACGCTTCGAGTCGATTCCCCCGAAGATGAACCTCTGGTCTAGCTGGGCAAGGTTTCGAGGCTGAGGTGGTCGTTTGCTTCGTGCGTACGGATCATCTTGCTCCCCCATGGGAGTCATGGTCCCAGAGGGACCGTATGGGGTCAACCATCCGGTCTCATTCTTTGGCGTCGGCGGCGGGCTCCCCTCCACCGAACTCGTATCCGTACTGGGGCCGACGAAGAAGTGTGGCTTGTGCCTCTGTGCGTGAACGGCAGCCGCTGATGAAGCCTCTGAGTGGCCGCTGCGTTTGGTCGCTAATTGCTCTCCCGATGAGGGTCTGGAGGAGATAGCACTTGAGGAAGCCGTCTGCTTTCCTGGAGTGGACACCGGGGGTGAGGTCTGAGGAGTCATCGCAGCCTGGTCTCCCTGGTCTCGGTTGACGGGAGCCAGCGTTGCGGTGCTCTCACCAGCCTTGCCATCCCGGGAGTGGGTGGCCGCAGGGGTCAGCGGGGGTGACTGCATCGCGGACACGGGGGGCGAGCCGTGAGGTGACTGTCCATCCGACCTTGAGCTTTCTCGAAGACTAGATTCCCTAGAGTTATTCCTCGAGGGATACTGTGTATCTGAATGTTAGCCGGAGACTGCGCCAGGCGAAAGGGCCACAAGAGGGTAGGCTTAATACGTACCCTCGAGGGAGGCAGGGAGACGGCTTCAAAGGCAAAATTGCGCATTCGAGACTCTTGTAGGTTGGACTTCTGCAGGCTCATCGCCAGCGACCGGAGTTCGTCCTTCGCGTCCGGGCTCAGGTCGTCTGGCCGCTGCGGCTGGTCGTCGGAAGCAGGCGACGAGGCGTCCTGTGCGGACTGGGAGGGCTCGATCTCCTCGTTGACAGATGCAAAGCGGACGGCGTGGTCCCGGTGAGGCTTCGATTGGGCATTCGCCGCGTCTTCTTCGGGGGGTTGAGAGGCCGGGAGCTCGATCTGCGGGGTCTGCATATCTGTAGCGGCGGAAAGAGTCAACGTTAGCAATGCACGGTGTCTGCCATGGGAAAGGTGTTGCGTGGGAGGTGCATACCAGCAGCCATGTCTTCCTTCTGGGTTCCCGAATCGGGAGCCTTAGACGTCATATTCGTCACAGGTGGGACAGAATAATCTTGCAGGAGCGGCCGACAGACAACCAGGACACATGCCTCTTTTCACCGCCTCTGGGACTGTGTCTGGAGTGTATTCACAGGGATCGAGTCGAAATTGGAGATGGTGATGGGAGGTTTGTTGGAGGGCAAATCCAGCGGGTACCGTCGGATGGGGGGTCGAGCGCGGCAACAGGGTTCGTATAATAAAGACTGTGCGGAGGCGATTTCTCTTTCTTCTGCAAGGCCAGAGAGGAATTCACGCGCAGCACCGGCTCAGAAAGCCAGACAGCCTCACTACCATCCAGAGAGAAGTGGAATCCGTCCAGATGGGAATGATATTTGGAAGGAAGGGAGGACAGGAAGGGTTGTAGTTGGGTAGTTGGTTAGTTAGTTAGTTTAAATTAGTGAGTAAATTAATGCGGGCAGGCGTTCGCGGTGAAAGAGAGAGAGAGAGAGGGAGAGCGAGAGAGAGAAAGGCGACCAAGAGCAAAGCCGGGTTGGTGGGGGGAAGCACGGATAAGGCCTGGGCAATAACAATAATGGTCTGCTACAGCGCTAGAGTCATCGTCAACTTGACTGTGCCGGAATCCCGCGGAGCAACTGGGGGAGTTTAGCACTTTATGAGTTTTTATTCGAGATCCGAGTAATCTTCGCCAGAATGCCAATCCGGATGCATCCAGCACTCTTGTCTGTCTTGTCTGCTGACTTGCGACGTGCGACAGCATCCCGCACTGGTTCGCTGCTCTGCTCCAGCTTCTCTGCCATTTCTGCCATCTCTAACTAACTAATCAATTATTATCTAGAGCAATTAACTAGTTAATACTTCCCGTTCCTCATCCCCCTCGCCCCCAAACCCATCCCATCGTCCATGGCACATGAACAGTCCCTCCAAGACGGTCAAAATAGCGCGATCCCCCGAGCTTCCAAGCCTGGGCTGCCCCACTGAAAGTCATCTCTACCATATCGCAGTAATACTCTTACTGCTTACGTCTTGGGACCCAAGTGGGATGTTCGCGCGCCCAGCAAAGAGTTGCCCTGCTTTGCAACGCCCTCCCTCTGCGTGGCGCTTCTCGTCCGTGTCGGACCCCGGTGGCGGATCGCCGCGCAACAGATATCTATTATTACGATTCTACAGCTGCTCCCGAGATCGACCTCTCTAAAACCATTGGCATCTGCCAGGGGAAATGTTAATACAGAGGATGCGTTGGCGTGCTTCTACCGCGGCGGCTAGTCTCTGGGAGTCTGAGATGGGCCAGAATCGCCGTGCAAGCTAATATTAAACTGATCATGGCCGACTGGCCAAGCAAATTGTGAGTGCATTGGCACATACTCTAGAGTAGATAGTCGTAATCTTTACTACTATGTCAGGTCGCCCCCTGCCAAGTTGACTCTGATTCGAGACTGTTTGACTCTTAGATTCCTGTCAGTGCTCAACGGGCCAATCCACAGGGTGGGATCGTAGGGAATCTGAATGCGGAAATCAAAAAAAGGGTCTTTCCCCAGATAAAAGATTCCCCCAGATGTTTCCCCAGTTACTCCTTTTTTTCCCCTGGTATTCTCGATACTACTTCACCTTCGTATTCTCTTTTTGTCGCGAACCACCTAGCCTCAAAAACCAGAGTGCCAAGTGGATCAGATTCTCATCACCCTGTCTTGGCCTGCTCAACACCGCCCAATTCTGGGCCAGATAATCCCCCAAGCTCAAGACAGAATGACGACGCGGCAGATCTCGAGGCTGTCTAGCGCACGAACATGACGGGCGACAATGGCTGGGCGGTAGATCGAGGTATTTTATGGGTAGGAGATTTAGGTCTTATAGGGCGAGGAGACGACATAACAGCAAGACAACACGGTATCTCGCCAGTGCACACAATCATATATAGTACATGTACCATCGGAAATTCCGTACATATTTCAGATTTCCCCCTTCCCAAGAAACGCCAATGCAATGAGGATGACACGGTAGATAGCTGGGACAAAACAAGAGACACGTTGATCCTCTCTCTTCACGGCACCACCTCGATGCCAATCGACCGTGCCTGCGCGATAACACTCTTACACAACCCCTGCAGGCTCAACCCGGAGAGCCGGAGCTCAGAATGCTTGATCTTGGCGATCTCGTAGACGTGTTTCAAGGATACCTGGCCGATGACATCCTTCCCCGGGTTCTCCGCTCCGCGCAGCCGGTTCTTCCGGTGCTCAACGCCTGCCGCCTGCAGGAGCAGCCACGATGTATTGGGAGTGCGTAGGTCGAAGATGAAGGACCGGTCCGGACGGACAGTGACTCGTGCGGGAATCGGCACTCCGGTGTTGATGTGTGCGGTGCGGGCGTTGAACTCCTGCCGTGGACGGTAGCTAGTCAGCAAAACACATCTTCAACGATCGTAGGAAAGCCAATCCAGATGGATGCGAACGAGGGAAAAAACGCACCTTGCAAAAGTCCATACTCTTCACACCTTTACTACCCAGTGCAGGACCGACTGGAGGACTGGGGCTGGCCTGGCCAGCGCCCACGATTAGCTTGACGATCTGGTCCTTCTGGATTGCCTTGCGAGCCATGGCTGGTTGAACGGAGCAGCGACTCTGCTAGATGGTCTGTCGTCGTTGCAGAAGCTCCGCCACCTGAGAAGAGTCGAGGAGAGAAACGGGGGCAGCTCGTGTCGCGCAAAGAGGTGACAAGAGACTCGCTGATATCGCCGGGTCTCGAAGATTTTCTTCCCGCGCGGTAGATATTACTTAGTTGGAGGACGGACAACGGGCGAAGCCGCCACTACCAACGCGCAAGCGAAAAAGAGCCCCAACAGTGAGCTCAGTATATTATATGATGCAATACTCTTTCCCAAATCGATTGTTGGCGACAACGATAGAAAGCTGAGAAAGTAGTCGAAATATAACTTATTTTAGCTAATTGTTTTTTAGTTTTCTCGTCGGAAGATAAATAGTTACCACCTCCAGCGTCTTCCTGCGCTGCCTCAGGAAACTAAACCGTCTCGTCACCGCAAGCAGCACAACTTGAAGCAGCCAAGCGTCATTCCCCCCCGGATCAAACTCGGTCCCGCCGTTCTCCTTCCCACTGCTTGTTCACCATCCTCGATCTCCCCTCTTAGACCTTAACAAACTCCATAACAGCATACATACATAACCCATCATGAACTGGTTGAAGCAGACGTATGTTCTTCCGCCCAGTCCGCATCCCCCCCTCTGTGCATCGCTGACGTCTGCGAGATTAGCGTTGCCAACGTCGCAGGCACCCGGGAGCCCATCTATGGCCCCAGTGCCATCCAGTCGGTCACGCAGCAGGCGCAGGAGGTCCCTTTTAGGGAACTGATCAAGGACGACCTCAAATGGCGAGCCTACCAGCACACCAATGTCGAGACGCAGACTTTCTACATCATGGCCGACAACGGCGTATTGGCCATGGTCCAAGTCATCTATAGCAACGTTGCGTAAGGCACATCTACTTATCAGCGCGTACGACGCTGGTCAACGGAAGTACAAGAGTCAGACTGGCTGATCTTTTTTTTTCTTTTCGTATCGACTGCAGAGGCATCCACACCACGTGCCAGTTCAATTCCAAGATCTTTGCGACCAACGGCGATGCCCCCCACATCTGGCATTCCGATGGCCTGCACAACCATCTCTTCGATGAGAGCATGCTCTCCTTCGGGGCCGACAACCTGGCTCTCACCTTGAACGAGGCTGGGGATTCCTACACCATCAAGTCTGCTGTCAACGAGGACAGCTTGGTCAACATCACCTTTACCCGGACTGCTCCCGGCTTCCTGGTTGGAAAGGATGGAACTTCGTACTTCGGCACAGACCACAAGCACCCATGGGGATCCATGCATCATTCCTTCTGGCCCCGCTGCAAGGTGGAAGGAACCATCACCACCAAGGAGAAGACCTACGACGTGACCGGCCGCGGTCTCTTCATCCACGCTTTGCAGGGAATGAAGCCTCACCATGCTGGTAAGTCTCCGTTCCTGTTGACGTTGTGGAGTGGGGAATTGACGTCGATAATCAAGCTGCGAAATGGAACTTTGTCAACTTCCAGACCCCAACGTACTCCGCTGTCATGATGGAGTTCACCACCCCGCGTTCGTATGGCTCCACTGTCGTCAACGTTGGAGGCGTAGTGAAGGATGGCGAGATCATCTGCGCGGGCGCCACCAATACTGCGAAGCACATCGAGGTCAGCCAAGACACGGAAAATGACTGGCCCGAGCCGAAGACGGCCAGGTTCGTCTGGGATGGCAAGACCAAGGACGACAAGCCTTTCCATGCGGAGGTTGAAGGCTCCTTGGGCACCAGACTGGATCGTGTCGATGTCATGGCTGAGGTGCCGGGTTTCATCAAGGCCATTGCAGGCAGTGTTGCTGGAACCAAGCCATACATCTACCAAGTAAGTTGATGCATTATCAACAGCCTTCTTTCTCATTTTTACTAACCTTGTATTAGTATGCCTCTCGGGATGAGCTTTCCCTGAAGGTCAAAGCTGGTGACGAGGAGATCACCGAGCCCGGTACTCTGTTCATGGAGGCCACCTTCATTTCGTGAAAGATATAATAGATGACCGTGGATTATCCCTCGTTTCAGGGATCCACAATGACACTTGATGGCGTTCTGAGTGCGTCCTTTCTGATGAGCCGACGAGCCACTATACTCGCTCTTTTTTTTTTCTGGTTGGGGAAACCGAATCATCTCTCTTTGGGAAAGAGGGGCTGCTAGAGATCATTAAGAATGTTTAATATTCGCCTTCTTTTTCCCTTTTTACTTATTTATCTGTTTATCCGTTTGATGGAAATATTTTACGCATGGCTATAAACTGGTTGCAGGTTGGACTATCGTACCAAGCCAAATATGCAGTTGACGTTCGCTGGGGATATACGAGAGTACCTTGCATGGGGTCCTCGCTAATAGAATATACGATTAGCTATTCAATGGCACATGGCAAGTTTGAGAATATCTGGATCATGGACGTTCGATAAGCAGCAGTAGGATGCAGACGGCTTTCCATTATCTGTACAGGGCCGTCGATGGCCATCTCATCTCCCGTAGTGATCAATGGGGCATGATTTCTGTTATAAGTATTCTCTCTCTGCTCATAAACCAATCACCACAGAACCGCCTCGAAGCACCATACCTACAAAGAAGCTCGCAGGGGAAAAAAAATTGAAAGAGAAATGGGGGGATACGAAATGTTATCACAACCCCCCGAGGAGAAAAAACAAAAAAAAGGGCAACTCGAAAAAAAAAAGAACAAAAAGTTATGACAAGAGTGGGATTCGAACCCACGCCAGCTTACGCTGATCAGGAACTTAACTGAGAAGTTATTATTAAGGTGAACCTTAACCTGACGCCTTGGACCAACTCGGCCATCTTGCCTGTTTGTTGATGTAAGCAGGTGAAGTTGTGTTTTATCAATGCCATCAAGTATCCTGTAGGTAGGTAGGTGGGGTTTAGTAGAAGAGCAATTTATAAACTAGTGATAAAGTATTGAGATCTGTCGACTTCGGACTTGGTTGCATAATTGCTATTAATGTCATTCTCGCTTTTTTCTCCCGACTTACTGTCGCTTATTCTCTCTCTCTTTTCTTACCCGGAGAGATAATCGATTGATTGGCAATGGCATATAGATACTACTACTGAAAAGGCCCTATTCTGAAGATGGTCGTACATAATTCAGAGGTGACATATAACCTGACAACCTGTATTTTTATCTATTGATAACCGCTAATAAGTAGTAGCGTGGGATCCAAAAGTAACGACTTGCTCGACTCTATGTGCTTATCTTCCCTGTCTATTACCTACCCCTCGAGCTCCCTTCGAAGCATATATCTTAACTAAAAATCCCTAAACAGACAAGTTTCTTCTCGTGAAACTTGCATGCTAACACGGAAACCTTCCAGGGCGGATTCAAACAGGAGATATATCGGTTCGAGTTTCGACTCGCCATGTACTTACCCTGAGCCATGCTCCGCCCGGTGTCCTGCTGGTGAAAAGTCCCATTATCCATCAACCACCATCAGCAAGGCTCATCATGAGCGATTTTCTTCCAGTTCCGACAGTGAGACGAGCAGGCGCTGATACCATCTGTATTAGGCTGCACTTCGCCTTGTCTTAAAGGATACCCATCCAAACCCTTACTTTGGAATCGATCCCGTCAACATAACAGTAGGACATGGGAGCACTAGAGTCCTGTATCACATGTCTACAAGCATGTAATAGGAACATTATCTCTCCAGACATCCATTTTCCAATTCTCCCTGTCTCTACCGCTGAGCTAGAGTGAGTATGTATGGTGGCGATAAGTTAACTACAGAACTCGTATCTAATGCTATTAACTGAGGACTCACATAACATCGCATGGTGTTTTCAAAAGCTGTTGCGACACGATAATTATCCCTATTCGCGTACATTATATCTATTACCTTGACTTCCAGTCCGCCCGGCAATATACAGACACATATGTAGTTAATTGCTCTCTCTTGGTTATTTAGCGACTAACTAAACCCCACGTCCGAACTTCTAAGTATCTACCCCACACATAGGAAAAAAATTACGTGAACGGAACCACTGGACCCAAAAAATAATTCAGTCTTGACAAGAGTGGGATTCGAACCCACGCCTGCATACACAGATCAGGAACTTATTGAAAGTTGTTATTAAGGTAGACCTTAACCTGACGCCTTGGACCAACTCGGCCATCTTGCCATTTGGATGTCACTCAATTCGGGCGAGTGATTTAACAACAGCAGCAAGTAGTGGAAGTAGGAGAGTAGGAACGAACTTGGGTCTAACTTGCTTACGAGCTCTATTTTTCGGAGTAATGGTTATAGTCAAGGAGGGACTATTTGCTGTGCAAGATTAGGAGAGTATATATTTTATTATCCTCAAGTGGTAAGTAAATGGTTAATAGCTGCCCATACTTAGAGATATATATCTTGCGAGCGATGGATGGGAACTAAATATATAAATAACTGTTTCGTGTCTTGAAATAATCACCGAACTCCTCTACTTCGCCCCTGATCAACCCTACATCTCTAGGCAGGTTGTCATATCCTACCTAACGAGTGGAATCGTACAGGAAGAGAGATCTTTCGTGACACCCAATAACGGACCCCGGATCAAAATTAAAAATTCTAGTAGATCGGTCGTGAGATATCCTCAGCACTCCTCTTCAATTACATCCGTCAACAGGTCTCTCGCTCTCGTGTCTCTCCTTTCAAATGCTCTACCGAACATTCGCGGCAACACTCTCACCGAGTACGCATGATCGTCCGCAAACACCGGCCCATCGAGCCGTCTCCGCCTGCACATCTCGACTGCCTGACGCAGGAGATCCGTCCCGATGCCTCTGTGGCGGTAGCTGGTCTTCACAGTCCATGCACGGATGACACCCGTCAGGCGTGCCGAGCTGCTGTGACTGGAACGACGGCGATGGCCGCGTGTAAACCCAGTGGCGGAGGGAGTACCGGTCATGAAGGCACGGGTGCGAGCAATGCGGAATACGAGAGCGCCCACAACTCTGGAATCATACTTTGCGACAAGAATGTCGTCCTCGGGAAGGGATTTACTACTGCTGTTGTTGGAACTTGGAGGATGGCGTGCTCGGTGGGGTTGTATGAGCCATGCTCGTGTTTCAGACTGCGTTGCAAGATACGCGTATTCGCGACTCACGTATGTCAGGGCAAAGACAGCAGATAGGATGCACACCGTATAACCGAAGGCTCCTAAGACAGTATTGTACGGTTTTCGGAAGAGCAATCGGGCAGCGATCGCATGGGCGAGGAGGGCCAGGCAGAGAACGACCGGGTGCAGAAAGAGAGATCGGATAGCGATGAAGCGTTGCTCCAGAACGCTGGCCGCAATGAGACGGAGTGCATCTGTCTTTTCGTCTTCGGTCCCGGCAGTCTGAATCGAGTAACGAGAAGAAGAGAAACGTCGAGCGCCTGGCTCTATTGATGGAATGTCGGGGGTATCTCTTGAAATGAAGAACGGCGAGGGAGACGGCAGAGATTGGCTGGGAATCGACACGACCGGGCAGAGTGCGTCGGGAGTATTGGCGAGGGAGGGAGGAGTAGATGAGTGGTAGAGATCCTCGCGGGAAGAGATCTGGAGATTTGCACGGAGGGATGAGAGGAAGGCTATAATTCCCAGAAATCAGTTTGGTGTTCAGTATCTGCTGCTTCAGTTGGTGATCCGATCTATAGTTTGGATAGATGGATCTATGTCAACAAAAAGAAAAGTGACCCATGTCGTGCCATGTGATTGGATATGGAACTGTTACTTCTACATACTCCCCAAACACCCCGAGAACAGAAAGGAACCTAGGAGATACCTAAGGGAATATGGAACGCGGGGATACGGTCTCCCAAGTTGGTCTCTCTCAGAAGCTTGCTGGAGGTCTGATATAACGAAGCTGCGGGGGACGGAGAAGAGGCGGAGAGAGCACCGGGACGCCCGTCATGGAGCCGCGGGCGGTCCATGGACTAGCAATTCGTGCCAAGGCGAACAATGAGCCTCGGCGAGAAGGTTGTTGTTGTTGTTATTGTTGTTGTTGTTCAAGGGGGAATCCAGGAAGAAAGATAGCATCAGGCATAATCCAGACACATCGGATGGGAAAAGGGAAAAGGGAAAAGGAATACGGGAAGCAACGGGGGAGATATAGGAGCAGAAGGCACAGAAGAGGATGCCTGCGAAAAGACCCTCCGGGGGATTGATCGATATTACGGGCGCAAAAAAAGCATACACAATCAGTTCCGCAGGCCATGATGAAAGATCGTCGTGTGCGGATTGGTTCGTGCAGCGCCAAGGCCGCCCTTATCGCGGACGAGGACAAGTGAGACGACCAGATGACGCGCCGGCCAGTGTCAGGATAGCTGATGCCGGGTTGAAGATCAGTGGAATGGAATCAGTTTGCATTCAGTTGACCCGGGACGCCCACGGGGAATTCGAAAACGCTAGCTTATAACACATCTACCTAGACTAGAACAAACAATATTTAGAACAGAAAGAAACTATAACCGAACCTATCAGAAAACGGCAGTCACAGCAGTAGTACAAGGGAATCATAACAATATAAAGGACAGGAAACAGCCACCGGGGACCTGCATCCAAGCGACTTGGGGTATATCCTTAAGTTAACATGTCGGAGGGTTCCGGCCGTCCAACTGTCTGATTCCGATGGGAATCTATTGAAGCAACCGACACCAACCGCCAGGACGCCGCGGAAAACAAAATAAAAACAATAATGGCTGGCCGTAGCCGTACAAACGAAACCAGTCTTCAACCAATCATGCGTCTACCATCAGCTGTTCTCCCTCATCCAACAGTTTCGTCACCTTGGCCAGATTCGACACCATCTTCTTGCCATGGCTGACCAGAAGCAGCTTCTCCGCGTTGGCTGGCAGCCCCAGGTACGTAGGCGGCTCACGCTCAGGCAGTCGGTTGACCCATTCCGTGAATTCACGGATGCTAGTACCTCCCGGGAGCGTTAGGCTCTCATCATTCTCAACACCCGATACGAGCTTGTAGTCGTCCTCGAAGGCGGCCGCAGTGAGGAAATTGTTAACCAGGGACTCCAACTGGCTGAAGTCGCCGGCATCATCGATCTTACCGCCGTAAGTCTCGGTCACAAGGGTGCGAATAAGATCCCAGGGAAGCTTCTGAGGCGCAACATTGGAACGTCCTTGAGCGACGGAATCAACCCAGGCATCGATAATGAATGCAGAGCATTCATACTGTAACAAAAGAGTTAGCTAAAACCTCTGACAGTCCCTTTGGAAAATACTTACATCACTGTCATTGAACTCCCAGAGGCCCTTCCATCCCAGACTCGGTGCGTAGCGTAGCCGCTCCTGGACCACAGCGTGCAAGAAACAAAGCAGGAGATACACACGTGCCTTTTCCACCGGAGGCTTGCTGGCCCGCAGCGACAGGGACGAAAGCGAATCTCTCATGTTGGCTCGGATACCGGCAGGCTGCTCGTACATCAGCACGCGCGAGGCCCGGATCAGGTTGACCGGAATCTTCGGGCTGGACTCCATAGAAAGGAAGAGTCGGAAGTCCTTATGAGGCTTGAGCGAGTCCAAACGCTTCTCAAGGCTTTGAAGCCATGACGGTGCGAGGTGGACGTTCTTGACAAGTACCCATGTACCGGCTGCTGCTGCGTTGCTGATGGCTTTGTCGGCGCTCTCAAGACCCTCGTTCGAACCCATGGCAATGTTTGCGCAGGTGGCTTGCACACGTTCAACAAGACCCTCAACCTTGTAACTGGCATCAAAGCCAGGGCTCGAACTGAGAGCAATAGGTGCCGTGGCGGTGACTTGCTCGACCACCTCCTTGAGGTCACTGTTCCCTTCAAAGAATTCGCGACCAAAGACGGCGGCTATGAAACGTTCCGCTGTTGGGACGAAACGGTCCAGTCGACAGAGTTTCACAAGCAGAAGCGAGAGAAGCTCTTTGTTGAGCTCGTCGGTGTTCTCTGCCCACACGGGCGGGACAAAGTTCTCCGCAAGTTCCTCAGTGAAGAATTTATCCCACTGTTCCGGAGTGATATTCTCAACGTGTGCTTTAAATAGAGACATGTTTGAAACTTTGTTCAGAACTTGGTCTCGAAGATCACTGTCTGTGGACAAGTCGACACCTTCCACGCTTTCGTCTAGGATCCGATCGATGATACTCTTGTCCATGGGATAAGGAGCAGCCTGGGAAAGGAGCATGGCCAGACTAATGCGGTCTTTCTGTAGAAGCCCAAGAGAGGTACGCTGGTAGGCAGTGATGAACAGATCACGTAGAATAATCTGGACACGAGCGGTATGATCTTTCTCTTGAGCAAGGCGTGTGTTGCCGTGAAGGACGGAGTTGAAGATGTCCACGAAATACTGAAGAGAGAATTGATAGAAATAGTTGATGTGGTGGAGCTGCTCCAGTACGGCGAATACTGCACTGCAGGACTTTGCGATGATCTGGTACTGCTGTGTAATATTCTCAACCTCTGTCATCACGCCTTCCGTTTCGACCATCTTCTTGGAGATCTCTGCAGCTTCTTTCTTCAGAGTCTCCAGAGTTTCAATGACATTATCGTCATCAAGGATATTGCCGCGGGATTCATTCAGCGCCTGCAGCAAGCGCTTCTCAAGCTGGCGAAGATGGATCTTGAATTCGCCCTGCATCTTGATAAGGTTGGTTCGCCGCTCATCGACATCGGGACGCTCGACCTTCAAGACCTCATTCAGAGACTGTGTCTGCAAACTGCTCTGGGTAACGGTAAAGTTGACAAAGGTAGTCCTGCTGCACACGTCAGGAGGGAAAGAAGCAGACGGGTCCCTTGTAGACAAGAACAGCCTGAACGATGGGGAAAAGTCAATCTCCTGCTTTCCAAGCTGGATGAGGACACGGCCTCCGGTCTTCTGGTACTCCTTGTTCAAGACATGGTTGAGAATTGGATCGAGGTGCTCAGCGTCTTGGATAAGGATCGGATTTCCAAACCGGAGCGCACTCTCAAGCTGCTTAACGAAGGAATCATCCAAGAAGCTTGTGACTGTGAGCTTCCTCTCTTTGCTTTCCTTTTGCAGGAACTCCGTGATACGACCAGAAGGATCAATGATGAGAGGATAGCGGTTGAAACGCTTGAGTATAATGGCATTTTCGGTACAGAGATCATCGACCGGCAGAGAGTGATCTTGCCAGGTCAAGCGTTCATCGGCATTCGAAAGATACTCGGTGATCGGGTTATGAGGCTTGAAACTGATGCCAGACTGCGCCAGCTGGTGAACCCAGTCATCGATCATTGCCTTTCGGAACTGCTGATCGTAGAGACCACCATACGCGAGGAAAGCTGCTGCGATAAGAACGTCTCCAACCAGAGTGTTGATTTGAGTCTCGAAAGATCTACTTCCCTCTTCCCAACGAGTTCTCTCAGACGACAGGCTGTCAAGCAAGCGTACACTCCTGTCGACCTTAAATTGGACCCGAGACATCTCCGCCTTGATGGCTTGAGTCTCGCTGATAAGCGCCGCATATTCAGTCTTGTAAGTTGCGATGCTGTTCTCAAGGTCCTGGATAGTGTTCTCGATGGCCTGAGCTTCCGCCTTGGTCTGGAGAGCCTGCTCCTCAAGCTGGTTGACTTCCTCACGAAGAGGTCCGACGCGGTCAAGAATATCAGAGTAGTTGACCTGAGCTTCCACCCACTGCACGAGAGGACCGCAAGCCTTACTGGCACGGTTCACCCGCTCATAAGTGAACTCCTCCTTCGAGAGGTACTCATTCTGCATCTTGATTCTGTGGCTGCGAGTCATCTGTCGCTCATTGTCGTAATTCACAATGCTAGCGATGAAATCGTCCTTGCGAACAATTCCTTGAATAGTTTTCCAGCTATCCACCTTATGACCAAGCAGAGTGCAGACAGCCTCCAATGCCAGTCTGACACCGGCAGGAGGGTTACCCATGGAACGGACTTCAGTGAGATGCTGTCGTTTGATGTTGCTAACGCTCTTCTGGGCTTCGAGCACCGCAGGCTCTGCTCTGGCCAGGTCGTTCAATACGACCTCTTTCCGGAGCGCGACCTCCTGCTCCTGCTTCTCAAGTGCCGCTTGAATCTCAAGAGAGGCTGATTTACGTTGTTCGGCCTCTCGTTGATCCGCAACCATGCGTTGCAATTTCTCATTTGCTTCGGCATCCTTCTTCTCCAGCTGCTCCTTCTTTTGAGCCAGACTAGCACGCAGGTCTCGTACTTTGTCGACAGTGTCTCTTAACTTCTCCAGACCGACGTTCAAATGCCTCTGCTGCTCTTCCAGATCCTCGCGCTTTTCATTGAACAGCTTGACATATTGAGCAACGAAATCCAGGTAGTGGCGTGGAGTAAGGAAGGTAACCCTGCCCTGTTGTTTCTGCAGACGCTTGTTGAATCTCTGCAGAGAGTAGTGGATGTAAACCATGGAGTTGACAACAGTCTCTCTGTGAGATGCAGGCAGGTTGAGATCTCGGTAAGCAACCGGTATGCTGTCAGGTGCAGTGAAATTAGGCTTGTCCAGGTCAACAGACTGTGTAAGCTCTGTGCCCACTTGGTAGAGCGCTTGATCGGACCAGTCGCCAAACCAGTTGAGGACGCATCTGTTGAACAGCGCAGGACTGGTTGCAGCCTTGGAGCCCAGGCCATCCTCTGGAGGATTCATCGTGAAGACAACGTGCAGGTTTTTAACGATCTGCTGAGTGAACCATTTGTACAGCTCTTCCTGTGAGTCAAGCAACAGACCTTGCTTCTGGGCACCTTCCTTGCAAGCCGTCATGAGCGAAGCAAACTCATCACCTTCGAAAAGACCAGGGACTTCGGCATTGGCAAGCAGCGTGTTCATCCTCTCCAGGAAACCCGAATCAAGAACATTGGATTCGTCCATGATGAAGCAAATCTTTTCGCCCTTACATCCTGCACGACGAAGGACGCTTCTCAAGTCTTCATCGAAGTCCTCTGCAGAATATTTGCCATGGACCTTGATTTGGAACACTTTCAAGCCATTCATCCAGGCGACAAATCGGGACAAGGTTGTCTTTCCACTTCCACTCACTCCAATAAGGATAAGGTGACCCTGAGGTTGCCTGAACACACGATCGATACGTAGCGCGTGCTCCAGCACGTCATTGAAGAGGACCAAAGGAACATCGACTTCTTCTTCACAGAAGGTCTTCAAACGGGCCTTGACAAAGTCACGGAGTTGCTCCTGCTCTACTGGAACGTAGTTCTTGGACAACCAGTTCGAGAATAGGATTGGTCCCTTCAAAGCTTGCTCCTCATCTATGGTTGGGAAGTTGTCGAGTGCGATACGTCTCACGGCATCTTCAGTCCACTTGCGTTCGTCCTCAGCGACAAGACGATCTTGGAAAAGGCGTAGAGCTTCGTGGGCCCAGATCCTGACCAGCCCTTCGACAGAGAGATTTTCCAGTGGCTTGATCGCTTCGTACACACCCCTGACCCATCTTGTAAGCTCACGGGGAGAGTACACGTAGTGAGGTTGGATCTTCGGAGTGAATCGAGATTGGGACTCCAGATAGAATTGCACCATAGCTTTGGTGAGAGAGTCTGAATAGCCACGCAGCATAGGAATGATTTTAAGAATCGCCGAGTTGAAGGTACCATAGATCTGCGTAAGAGAGATTTCTCCGGGGTAATCGACCATGATCAGGGGCGCATGGCGCAGGAATCTTTCACCCAGCGGCGTACGTCCAGCATCAGTTGGTGGGTTACAGGCTCCAACGAACTGGATACGGTCTAAGGTGACCCAGGTCTTGTCCGACGTTCTCCAGAAGCCATTGTGCTCGACCAGTTGTCTCAGGAAGGAGATCGCACGTTGGGTACCATAGCGATCGGGTGCGGGCAAGTTGATTTCATCGCAGAATATCACCAACCAGCGTCCTATCTGATTAGGTGACATGACAACGCCATTCAGTGTCTTCCTGTATTCACAGTATTGCTCGAAAGTCTTGATAAGAAGGTCTGGTGTAGTAGCACTTGAGAAGTTGAGACCGACAACTTCCATATTTGGCAGCTTTCGGAGCGCGGCGAAGAGAGTCATGGTCTTACCCGAACCAGGAGGACCGCAGAGCAACAATGGCTTGTGTTCAGCAAGCCACGAGTAGAGAACGTCCTCATGGCGGACTGTGTCCAGAGTTGGGATGATAACATCCGTTTGAGTGATAGAGTGCGTGTTAATCTCGACGGAGGGAACCTGGGATTGCCAGGTAGTCCACTCAGCCTTTGGCAGCGTGACATCGTAGTCGATGAGGGAAGAGACTTCTCCAAGCGGCGGCGGATCGATAGTTGAGAAGGCCGTCACGTATTCCCCAAAAGCTTTCCGGTCACCCAAAGGACAGTCACCAGTCAAAGACCACACAAGCGCAAGGAGAAGCTTCTTGGAAACGTAAGACTCGATCTGTTCAGGGTCAAGCGGGAAGTCCACGTGCTGAATGTTATACTCGAGTATATTCCGACAGGCCTTGTTCAGCAAGCTGAACAAGGTATTAAGAGCCCTGATGTCGGTAAATGTCATGATATGATTATACTTCTTCGCCTCCTCCAGGACTTTCAGAATAAGATCATCGCTCTGGAGGAGTTGTTTGAGGAAGTTGGAGAGCATCTCCTGCGCATCTTGGGTCTTAACGGACGCCTGTCCGGAAGGAACGCTATCATCATCCAAGTCCTCAAACGTCTTGGTCTTGAGGGACTCGATGTAGTTCGTGACCATCATCGACGGGGTAACGGTATCATCGTTGAACCAAACCATACCGCAACGACTGACAGTTGCCAAAGTAGCATATTTCAAAGTCTCGACCTCAAACATGACCCGGACGTTGGGAGGCAAGTTCAGACGCTCACCGTTAGGCAGTGTCAATAATTTATTGTCATCGAGCACACTGTTCAGATTTTCAACCCATTCCGGGTCGACGTCTCCGTCGAAGACGATCCAGTGTCGCTTAGAGTCTTCACCTCGCAAATTATCAACGATCTTTCTCAGTATTCCCGTGAATAGACCATCCGTCCATTCTCTGGTCGTGCTATCCAGGTTACCGTAAAGTGCTTCTTTAGACATCACTTTAGAGTCGATAACATGGCACACACCTTCAACGCTTTCCACGCGCTGGAGTGCCTGAAGGAGGACTTTCCAGGCAGCAGATTTGCCTGTTCCAGACCCGCCGACCATCATGACACCGTGGTGGATACTCTGAATTTGGTAGAGCTGAAGCACCTTAGTAATCCACGTGTCGCTGTCGACATAGTGATGCTCTCGAGCGATATCTCGGATAGCCTGCTTGAGCTTCTCGTAGTTGGCCGGCACATACTCCACACCGGGAAAGTCTTCCATCTGGATGTTCAACATCGTATCCACGTCCTCGCGAATCAATTTTGGTGCGATTGTCTCCCGTATACTTTGGACAATGATCTGTGGTTCGATCACCTCATCGGGCCCAAGTTCGCCATTAGAATTAGCGAGACGAGCACGTTTCAGGCCACCGGAACTGACGAGGACACTCTTTAGCGCTCGCAGACCGAAGTCATAATGGGCTTGTTTCGTCAACTGTAAAGAACAATGATCGAAGAAAGGAACGGTCTGCTTGGACAACGGCTTTGCTTGCTTGAAACCTTGAGAAAAGAGCATGACCTCAGCAATAAGCTCTTTGTCAGGCTTGGACATGGCCACACTTCGGAAGAGCTTCTTGAGGTTATCAGGCAGATTGGATCGTCCCGCGTATCCGGGATTCATCGTAATGAAAATACCGGTGTTTGGGTTGACTCGCAGGCGTCGACCGACTAATTCAATTTGGGCTTTCTCGTCATCGCTTCCCTTCTTCAGTCCAATCTGGATATTCTGGATTTGCTGTGAGACAGCCGACAAAATTCTCTCTTCCAGACGGTTGAACTCATCGAAACAGCCCCAGGCTCCGACCTGGCAAATACCAAGGAAGATACGACCCATGGCCTGGAAGTCGAAAGTGTCATCACAGCAGAAGACAAGGGTGAAACGACCAAGTTGTAGACCCAAAGCTTTGACGGATTCTGTCTTTCCAGTACCTGCTGGGCCGTAAGGAGAACCACCCAGTCTCTGGCAGAGAGCTTGAGTAAGAGTAAGGAAACAGCGGTCAGTCAGAGGAGTCCGGACAAGGCGTTCAGGGACACCTAGATACTCGAATCCGTAGTCCAGCTTGGCGTTTGCCATATGTACATGCAACCGTTGCAAGAAGTCACCCTCATTCTTGTACACATAGCGCATCTGAAGCAACCACAAGTAGTGAGTAGGGCTAGTAGCGTTGAACTTTATCAGCTTCGAGATGGCATCTCGTTGGTGAACGAACTCCGTTATCATGTGTTCGCACTTCTTCCTGGTGATCTGATCGAGCTCTCCAAGAACGATGGCCGCAAGTAATTCTAGAACCCTGACCTCTGCGTCATACAATGCCTGAAGACCGGTGCCTTCGTTCTCCAAGGCCTTTTGTACCGAGTCTGTCCAGACGGCTTGACTAGCAAGAACCACGATCTGCGCAGGATAGTTCGCAAGGTAGTCACTGAACGCAGTTCGATCGATCTCCGCCGCATTGTAAATCGACTCGAATTGTTCAACTGCTTCTGAAAGCAGCTCGGCCAAGGTCAACTTCATATTGTTGTCAAGAGCAGTAAGCCAATCGTTGATCCTAGGCGTCTTGACAAGGTTGACTTCCTTCTTCAGTCTAACTTCTTCGCCTTCCTTCGAGGTGAAGCCAACGATGTTGTTATCATCGTCCATCAGGAGACCTGACAACCCAGCAAACATCTTCTTGAAATGCTTGGCCACGCGAAGTGTATCATTGCTATTACCAATAATCTCAAGCAGGTCCTCGTCTCCGACGAAATAGAAGCGAGGGAAAGAGACACGTTCTCGCTCTAGATATTCACCAAGAGCCTTTTGAATCTTGTTCAGCAGCTCTGCCAGTCTCTCCAAAGACTTCTGAACACCATTGATAGCGAGGACATCTAAGACGAATGGAGACTTGTAGACCTTCTTCATGACAGCAAAGAATTCAGAGTTAATGTTCTGGAAACGACCGGATTCCAGAGGAAGGAGATGCTTGATATCAGCGTTACCCGTGAAGACACCTTCGAGATACACCCATTGTCGCTGGACGTCGATCCAGACATCGAAGAGAACGTGAACTCTGTTCAACTTGTCTTCCCAAGCAGTAGCCTCTTCCTCGAACTCTTTGTAGTAAGGCGAGTGTCTCATTGCCTGAAGAGAGTTCAGGTTTTCACTGCACTTCGCGAATAGATCATCGAAGCCGCGGATAAGACGGCACTTATTCTGGTAGTTGACAAGGTCCAGGGAATAGTTCTGCCAGGTTTCACGAACTTGCTTCAAGAACTCTTCCAGGGCCATCTCACCCTGAGCCTGGGCGATGATATCACGGATGACTGTCTCACTCGACACAAGCTGCAGATCCCAGACATCTCCAAGCGTCAGCGACACCGGAGAGAATCTCTTACCTGGTCTCAGAGCTTTGAAGATCTTCTGCCAGTGTCTCTCTTTTACCGCTTCCGATTTCATGTCAGAGAGCAAGGGGTTGACCTTTAAGAGTTGTCGCAAAACGTTTTGGATATGCTCGAACGCGGCATACTGACGCATCCTGCTGGGCATTTCTTTCGTCATCTTGATCAAGCCATCGAGGGATTGACGAAGTTTCCTTGGCTGGACACTGGTCCAGAGCATGTCTCGAAGTTCGTTCAGACTCTTCCATATCGTTGATAGGGCTGCCCAGACAGACATGAAATCCTGGACTTCTTCCAATATAGCCGGCAGTGCGGATTCTGCACTAGCCGGAATATCAAGGGCCTCCTTGGCCTTCGACACCATCTCGAATTCAGACTGAAGCCCCTCCAAGCGTGATTGGAACGAGCTAAGGGTCCGAGACGCTTCCTCGGGAGGTATTGTTCCTGAGACTGGTTTCTCATCGTTCCACTGCGCGATAGCTTCGGTGATCTTATCGCCAATCACCTTGTCTTCGGCGATGATCTTGGCGCGCAGACCCTCTGTTTGATCCTGGACAATCTTACTCTTGCGTGCAAGAAGCTCATTCAGAGCCGCCCACTCGCCATCGACATTCTCAACGTGAAGCCAGTCGCTTGGGAATTGATAACGTTGGCGGGCAAGAGTGGTCTGACCTTGCTTGAAAAGATCAACCTCAGGTTCCCAGACCTTCGCCTTACGTCTACATTGCTGGACAATGGTGATGAAGGAAACCGCATGCGCGGTGGAGGATGCCTCGAGAGTCTGGCCCTCCAGATCTCTTCGTGCAGCAGCAATTTCGGAATGGACTTCCCTCATCCGACCACCAAGCTTGGAACCGAACTTGAGGAGGATTTCATGCTGCCACTGATCGTACTTCGCGTTGACGCGGGTCTGGACTTGCTCATAATCGATCTTGATGTTTCCAAAAGATCGAGCAACTTCGGAGGTATCGAAAGTCGCACGGCTCTTTCGGATTTCCTGAAGGAGCTGCAGCCACTGAGAGAGATCATCTCCCAGAATATCATATACCTGCGCAGATTGGAGATCCCAAAGGGACTGGAATTGCAGCCATTTATCCACGTACTCAGATATTTCTTGTAGCCTAGACTCCACGGCATTGTAAACTTCCGTCAATTCATCAGTGCAGTATTGTGGGAGTTCCACGAAGTGAGTTTCTGAAGGTTGAGGCTTCTCCACGTCAATTGAGATCTGGTAACGGGAGGACTTGATCTTCTCGAGGTTGCAAATGACGCCTAGCCACTGATGGAAGTGCGCAAACCAGCTTGCCCTTGCAAATTGCAAAGGAGGGTCGAGGTGGAGCACTTGGTTGCGCATTGATATCTCATGGATCAAATTGGGGAATGCAATGTTATAAACCTCTGCCTCGGGTTCATCAGGAGAAGGTTGAACCTGGAACGAGATCTTCTTGCTAGGCCGCTCTTCTTTCGCTTCCTGGAAGGACGAGATCCACTCACGGATGGCTCGACGAAGCCGCTCGCGAAGGATCGACTGAATCTTGTTATTTAAATCCGTAACCCAGTACCCCAGATTTACGTAGTTTTCCAGGTTGAGCTTGTCAACAGCCACCTGGATAACATCCAGACGCTGCTTGAAAGCTGTGGCATCATAGGGACACGTCTTGATCTCAAGAATGGCCTTCTGGATGTTTTCATTGATGGAGGTTAATGTCGCGGTCTTCGACTGCAGCACGGAGGCAGAAACGGCAAATTCTCGGACGAACTGGACATGCTTGCTCTCGCCGCGCGCTGGCACAGAGGGATCAATAGCGCCATTGGCCAAGGTTGACTGCTTGACATGTAACTCATATGAGTGAACGAAGGACTCCCATCTGAGTGGTATACCTTTGGTGATCATGGCTTGTGCATCGTTCTGGTATCCGCTGAGCAAAATAGCCACTTCAGTCATCGAGGAGATGGCACGATACGTCTGCAATAGAGTCCGCACGCTCTCCATCAAGCTGATGGCGTAAGGGTACACGCGTTTGGCCTCTTTGGATATGTTGCTGACTGCATGCGGGACCTGGAAATTCAGCCAGATCAGGTTCCTTACTTCCTTGAATAGAGCAATTATCTGGGCGTCGAAATTGACATTCAGCTCCAAAGAGTTTCCGGCGGCACGGTTGCGATTAATGTTGAAAAGCCGACCTGATATCGTAATGTGTCGCCTTTGTACGTCGTGCAACCATGACTCGAACACGGGTCTCGTGTCAAGCTTCTTCCGAAACATATTACTCTCAGCTTGGAGTTTCTGGCCTTCAGAATGCAGATGCCAGTCTTCTCCGAGAACGTCTTCCACTTTCCGCATGTAGCCGTTGAGCTGCCTCTCGATTTGACGCGCCCAGACAATTGCTCCCGACACGGGGGGCAGATCGCGCAACTGGGCCATCGCATGGGCTTCCGAATGGCCATACTGCTGTTTGAACCGTTCGTGCAGCATCAATATGTCATGCTTGACATTGTCGATGAGCTGGGTCTGGTATTCACCAATGGCACCGCGGATCTTCGGCCGGACTAGGAGGGCGTTGAACTTCGAGAAAACGCGGAACATCTCATTAGCGTTCTTAGCTGTGGCAAGACGGTCTCTGAGTCGAGCAATGATGGAGTTCTCCACACGGGAGGTACGCTCATTGTAAGAAATCTCGGCTTGAATCCAGATCTGAGTGCCCAGGTCGGACACATCAAGTACGTCAACATCCTTCAATGCAGCATAGGCTTGAGACACTTCTTCAACAGCGTCGACATCTCCAATTTCTTCAACAATCACAGCACCGTCCGAGCCGGGGCCACTAGCGACCCCATCTGATGATGATTTGGGCCCGAGGACGTTCACGATCGTTCGCTGCAACTGTTCATGGTTGACCCTGAAGGTGTTTATATACTTCAATCGCTCCTGGGTTTTGAGGTGCCTTGGGGTGATCTTGATAGGGATAAACTTCTCATTCCTACGCCTGGTCGCATCACGGGCGACGTTGGTAAATTCCTTCGAGTTCTCATCCCAAGTACGCCAGATAGCACCGGCAGTCTTCATCAACGAACGGAATTCACGATAGTCCAGATGCATTATCGTCCGGCCATGAAGTAACTGATGAATCTGGGAGTCCAGGTCGCCAGAGATAGCCTCGACGAGAGCAAGAGCTCGTTTGATGGGGTACGGGCATATCTTCAGCTTTTTGTTCAGGTGATTGAAGATCAAGCCCAAAGACTCTTGTACCTTCTGCAAAGAGGTCGCAGACAGAAGCTCATCGAGCGGGAAGTCTCGCATGAGCTGGTTGTACTTCTGAACCATGTCAGTAGCCTCCCGGAGTCCGGTATCCGCAACGAAACTAAGTGTCGCTTGATATCGCTTCGCGTGTCGCAGAATATCCATAGTCAACTGGACGCCATCTCCGCGCAACTGGTTCTCGATACCCTCCAGAGCAGTTTCCATAGATAGCCAGAAGTTGATCTCCTGTGCTGCTGAGCCACTGTCAGCGTCGCGGGACATCTTCGTGATCGCCTGAATAGACTTGATCCACCCATTCACGGTGTTTTGGATGCTGTTTAGAACCGTGCTGCTCTCCAGCGCAGCTGGTGGGACCAGGTCGACCGAAGGCTTTACACCCCGTGCTTCCGCTTCGTCCAGAGCAGCCTGGACGATCTCGTGCAGTGGAAGATTGAGAGTCGGAATCTCCACATTCTGTTGCAGGTGCAGGAGACTGAGCTCCAGCTCTGCGAACCGCTTCTTTGTTCCTGGAACACCGGTTTTCGCCTCTGTATCCGTCCTCGTTTTGGCGCCGTTTGCCAGGTCGTGATTCCGAGTATACGCCTCAAAGTATGGACCGAGGGCATTGTGGAGAAGAGAGTGCAAAACCTCATACGGGGAGATAGTCGCGCTTTGTTGCGACTCTGCATTGCTGAGAGAGGCGATACCGGGAAGATTAAGGACTTGGATCTGAGAAGGTATGGGGACGTTGGGGTCGATCGCAACAGGGCGCTTGATAAAGGCCACAGATGCGACGGTGGTAGATGAAAACGAGAGTTCGGATGACAGACTATACACGTATTGTGCTGGCGCCGCTATGACATCCTATTAGCTGTAACGAACAGATATATTCCAGAGCTTTGCCAGACACTTACGTGATCCCTCATCCGTGCCGTTCGTCTCCTCCGCTGCTACAAGATCCTTCTGCACATAGAGAGCCACCTGCGACTCGGACGCGAAACGCGTACATCTCTGCACGGTCTCCGAGTATTTGGCTTTGCACAGCAAGCTCCCAGCGCTTTCTAGATCCGTTCTCGAAGCCCCCAGAGTTACCTGAAGAACATCCGTCAAGTATCGTACAATGATCGCAGGATCCGCCAAAGCCACCTGGTTTGGCGCGGCGAGCCCGTTCGTCACCCCCGCGGAGGCAACCTCCATGACTAGGAATTTATGGACGAGTATACGCCGAAATCATGGAGAATCCACGCGGATCACTTTTCTGGAAGGCGTGGTGTTTATCGACCGGGAGCGCGGCGGTCGTAGATGCGTATTCCGCTATTTCTAGGGGACAGAAGAGGTAAATGGAAGGAGCGGGAGTGGTGATGGTGGTAAATTAATGAATCGGAGGCGACGATGGACTGGAGAAAGACAGGCCAGATCATGAACAATAATGCCTGTTGTCCGTTGATCTCTCGCCCGTCAATGCTGCGGGACGCGGCAGGCGTGTCAACCACAATCACGGGACTGGAAGGCGGTGGGACTCAGGGGGCCGCGCTAGTCTAGATGTGGGTGAACTATCACGTGATCTCGGGACTCACCGCGAAATGCTGAGGCTCACGTGATGCTCAACCATGGCTCCGCGCGGGTTCCTGAACCGTTCCAGCCAAAAGGCGTCTTTTAGCCCGTACTTAGATACTTAGGTGGGACAGACGATCCTCCATCTCCATATTAACGATGACCACCGGAGAAAACGATGTAATAACTAGGTGGGAGGATGAAATCTGCTTGTATTTTCTCTGAACTACCTGATAACCGTAAATAACGGCAATATCAACGAATCATCTAGGTTTATTGATTGATTGATTGATTGATTGATTGATTGATTGATTGATTGATTTTTTTTTTTGGAAATTTGGAAAGGGCCAGGTCCTGTTCCTGCGCCTTCGTGCCTAGCTACTGCAAGCCTGCAGATGTCCGTTGTCATACGGCCGTCCCCACTTCTGTATGGTCAATTGCGACGTCTCCTTTTCTCACTGTTTGGCAGTCACACAGATAGAGCTCACGGAATCTGAATGGCGGAAGACCTTCGAGACTAGCCAATGCTGCCTCGCTTGCCTTGATCTTCGCATAGCGACTGGAAGAAGCCGTTCCCTGAGCGACAACCGAATCATGCACAATCACCGCTGCCAGCACTGTCACAGGCGATGAGTCGGCTGCAGGGACCTCTCCTGCCTTGAGGCAGTAGTTCATGCACCCGAAGTCGTTCGTCAACCGGTTGTGCAGGTGCGTCTGATGACAAGAATTAGCTGGGCTCGACTGAAAATAACCGGGGAATTGATCATACAGTTGGATGCTTGTTAGCAAAAGTGTCATAAATAGACATGTCTTCAAAATAGGGCTTGATATGCTGCCGGTAGAATGCCTCGACGACCTCGAAATTGAAATCGGAATCAACGAACACAGCCCCCAGGTACGCTTCCACCATATCCGGTAGACACTAAAGGAACCATACATTCAGTGTATGTAACACAGCTGGAGGGAAACTAATACTATACCTTGGGCGGATCCTTGGTGGCGGTCCAAAAATCTTTTGCCCCATCACTTTCCTGCTGTGCTGTCTGGATCTCTTCAGCGTACTCAGTTATCTGACTCTGCAGGGGACCGCCGAAATACTTCAGGTGCTTATGCAGCCCGACACTAACGGCGAAAGCCCCAAGGAATTTATTCGACACAATTGCCATCTGAGATTCGTCAGCAAAATTAGTAGAATCATGCAAGGCCTCTAGATAGCAACATACTTTATGTTCGGTAAGCCATTGCGGGTCACGATCTGGAAACCGAGCAAACAGATCTTCCACGCAGGTCATATCAAGAAGCGAATCTCCAAGAAATTCGAGGCGCTGGTAACAGGGAACGTTGGACCATGCGGAAGGCATAGAAGGATGAGTAAAAGCAGACCGAAGTAACCTGGGGTACTTGAAATGGTAACCTAGCTTTGCTTCAACCTGCTGAGCTAGATCTATCTCAAATCCGTCTGCCTCTTGGACGAGATACGAAGGTCGAGAATATAGACGCATGTATTCCTTCCAGCTAGAAACGTTATGGCTGGCACTACCAACGAAAGCAGTCACTGCTTTGACTGCCATATCGAACCGGTGCTCGGGACCTCCGGAAAGAAGCGAAGCTCCTATCAGTGCTTCGCAGACATCCGCGATAGTCTTCTCTCCAAGTGCGTGTTTAGACTCAGAAGATCCTGACTTGTCATGACCTTTGCCTTGAAGCAACTTCAATCCGTCAGGATACCAGGCTCGTCTGGCTGCCGTTAGCTGTTCATCCGTAATAGTGGCAGACAGGGACATACCTGGAAAAGCCCTTGCTTCTTATGTACTTGTAAAGAGCTCGCTCCTTGGCCGTATTGAATAGGTTCTGGTTGCATATCAATACCATTCTGTTCACATGGTAGTCGAACTCATTATCGTCCGGATTCTGTGCGAATAAGGAGATAGATGTCCCCATCTTGAGGAAACAATCACCGAGAAACTCAAGACGCTCGTAATTCTTTCCCATTCCTCTTTGGAAATGGATCTGTTCACTACGGTGTTCTTCGGTGTTGTCAGAGTCTTTCGTCAACGCTTCTAGAGCGTATTCTGTCTTGACAACAAGGCCCAGGTCTTCACAGCACTCCAGCGAAATGAGATAGGACTCCAATCTGCTAATGATTGCTGGGAATGATAAACAGGAAATAGCAACAGAGGCAGGTATCTAGTAAATATTAGAGATCAAGTCTGATGGAATATGGTTGCCTGACTTACCGCAGAGATATTAAGAGCCTCCAGGCAAATAACACACCTCGTTTCAATATTTCGCTCCTGCTCCGTCATCTTCTCCAGAAGGTTCCTGCGTAAACGGACTAGTTCTGCTCTAACGACTGGCTGGTCCCAGTTGCATCTCTCAAGAAATTTTGCGCGGGCATTCTTGTACATGCTCAAAGAATAATCCATAATGCTGCCCATGTGTCTACGACGAGGCATGAAAGATGGCGGCGGGTCGGAAGGGCGAAGTCCGCTTTCGATTGCCATGGTGAAGTATCGGTATCTCCCATCCCACTTGTCGAAAACGAAGCGATCAAGAACGTACGCTGCTGGCGTTTCCACAGACCAGGGTAAGTCCTCATTATCCTGTACTTCCTTCAATACGCCCCAATCAATCACACATCTCGAGTCCAGTGACGCAGAGATATCCTCATAGCAAACAGTAGCCGGAGCAAGCCAATAAGGCATTGCTGCCGTTTCGCGTTCGTAAGTCTTATGGAATATGTCACGGAAAACGCGGAGTGTGAACGTAGTGAAGAGCTCCAGGTCTGCATCTCCAATCCTAAGGACATCCTTCATCGGTAAGGTTATGATATCCGTCTCAACATCATCTTCCAGAAACAATGGGAACTTCGGGAATGCGGGGAGCTTATCTCGGGTCAGGATAGCTATGCTTTGGTACTCTCTGCTGAGCTGTTTTGAGGGAAGCATCACGATCACAGTAATATAAAGGACTTCGGGAATTGTCCCTGATGCTTTTCTCCAGAACGAAGGCTTCGTCAGCATGTCATACTGGTTGGTCTTCTTTGAAGTGATAGCCAGCTTCGCATTTCGCATAGCAGGTAACCTTCTATGGTAAATGGAGTTGAATCGATCATCCAATAGGCCGTTCTTTCGGAGCAAGCAACATGTGTCAAATGCGGCAGATTGCTTCGCAAGGGACTTTCTGGCAGCAGGTTTACCAATCAGTCCTCTCACGGGTGATTTCTCTGGTAAGATCACCTCACATACGTAGGCGTCTTTGCTTGGTAGCACTACGTAAGTAACATGCGCCGATGTCTCTTTTTCATATTGCTGCTTAACTTAGCTTTTATCACACCAGGGGAGTATGGGGCATAGTCCTCACCAAAGAGCTAGCGTACCGCGCTAGGATAGCCAGGGACGAGTGGTAAGTCAACGTAGCACCAGTACTTTCAATCCTGTACGTCCGTTTCCCAATCTCCTTTTCAAGAATGGAATCCATATCGGTGCCATTTCCATGAAGAATGCGATCTTCGGGTAACGTCTCGCAGAAATTGCGCATAAGTCCCTTGGCAAATAAGTGAGTTGATGAGTTGATGATAACTGCGGAATATTGGGATATATCACCTCAGCATGTCTAACTTCCTCCAGGAGCGTTTCGTGCTCAAGGTTATTCTCCTCGACCATATGCACATACTGTATAGGGACATCGTCAGATGTAATAAATGACAAGGCGCGGTGAACGTACCGTTGAGTTTGTATGTCTAGCGCGGCCTCTGCTTTGCACATACTGTATGAGCGTACGATATAAATCGAACCTTGAACACTATCAGTACCGATACACTGAAGATTTACCCGTTTAGACATCACCTGACAACAAGGTTACAGTCCGGTATATCGAGACCCTCTTCTGCAACAGAGGTGGCCACCTAGGCGGTGTTAGCCGAGGAACTTATGCTCTCCTCACCCACATAGCATACTCACGAGACAGTTGAGTTCGCCTGTTCTGAACTTCGCTAAAGCCATAAACTGCTGGCGGAAGGTCGATTTCATTCCTGCGTCGTCGCCAGCCCTTACACCAATAAGAACTCCAGGACGTAAATGCGCAATTCCAATTGCCGTCAATAAGTCCCCGAGGACCCGAGCAGTATGGCGCTTTTCCACGAATATAATACATTTCGTGCCTGTCGGAAGCTCGAAATATTTTGAGATCTCGTTGCAGAGAAGCTGTACCTTCGGGCTTAGTTGATGTGAAAGACTTGGGCTGTTGAAGACGTAGTTCTTCACTAAGTCGCATGCTTCCTGGACGCACTTTGTTTCGTGTTCTAGCCTCGCACGCTTTTTATGACCGTAATTCTTCATGAAGCCTCTGCTGATCTTGCTTTCTAGGCGTGGGAGCACTTCCTCTGACAACGCATACTTCCAAACCTGGTCGGAACACCAGCTACCAAGTTCAGAACTGGCATCCAAAGAATATCGGAATGTCTTTTCGAGACAGCTGAGATTGCTAAAACGAGACTTCAGCATCCTGTGAAGCGTCGTTTCAAATGGTTGCTGTAGTCGACGGTATGTCCACACCTCCTCCGTCGGTCGGCTCACGGTTTGTCGTAAAAGTGTGAGATTTGATGTTGTTGCGATGCGACTGTCCAGGAGCGTCTCCAACATTCTATACATTGTCAGATACTCTAATATTCTGTATATAAAAGGACTTACGTGGCTGCTTTTGCAATATCGCCTTTGGCGTCAATAGGAGAGGCTGTCATTCCGAATATCCTCGGTCGATTCGATGGCTGCTCCCTGAGATAAGAGTCCTTGATTATTCTGAAGCGCCGTCAGATGAAGTCCACAGGGATCCTAGAGGCGGACAAACCTAGCGTAAGGATGGTCCTTTTTCGTGTGATGAGCTTCATCGAAGATCAATAAGTTGATTTGGTCCATCTTGATATGAGAATTGAGTAGACACTGATACACAATCTCCGCTGTGCAAACTATCACCATGTTATTAGAGAAGAGCTCTTCCCACGTCTCTCTGTTCCACATATCTGTTCCCATGGAGCCGTAGAGGTGTGCAACTTTCTGATCGATGTTGTTTCGTAGAACGGCGGCCTGTTGGAAGACTAAAGCCACACTGTCCACCTAATAATATTCAGTCATAGACTTATCATTGAAGATGCGGCGTGCATACCAGGAAAAAGGATATGCGGGGAGGATTTCCCATCCCTCGATCCACTAGCTCTTGCTGAATGATGTGTTTCAATAAAAGCACAGCAATCAGCGTCTTTCCAGAACCTAATGATGATGTTAGTCATCTGAGATATTTTATCATGAACATCCATCTTACCAGTATCTAACACTGCAATGGTGTTCTGAGCCTTTGCCCTCTCGAAGAGCTCGATTTGATACTCTCGCGGATCCGTGATGGTTGCAGCAAAATCTTGCTTTGCTATCAGGCTTGCCGTCGAGAGCTGGGCATCAGGAACACATTTGATGGCTGCTTTGACCTCTTCAGCAGTTACTGAAGTTACATGTTTCGCTAATCTGATACACAGGCAGGTCAGCGTTTTGAAATGCCCTGGTGGAGACTTTGATGAGCATACAAGTCCTCAAATTTGGCCTTCTGCGCTCGTCGTTGCTGCTTGATATCCTGCTGAGCGGATGCTGGATCATGATCCTCAGATTCTGAATCTGATGAGGCATGATCTTCATCTTCAACAGGGCCAACAGCAGGTGGAACTGTAGTAATCGAAGCCTCTGAGCTATTAACTGCTTCGCCAGGGATGGCGTCCTTTATTGTCAGGTGCTCCATCATCCCATATTAATTCTCAGCATGGACGTAACAAAAGAGCTGAGATAGTAAAGAATGAGAGTTAGATGGAGGTAGAGCAGGATCTCAGTGGTGTAAGATACCAAGTCAGACACTTATGTCGGATGAGGGTCACGGTTCGATGGGTGGGACGACTACAAGAAGAAGTAAGGTTGAGAACTTATGGACGTCGATCTTGAGCAGTTGAATGAAGGGCCAGGTGAGAGACCAGCAGGCATTCATTGACACGTCTCAAGCGTTTGTTTGCTTGAAAGCAGGTGCATTGTCCCCAGCAACCCCAAAGAGGGGAATTACCGCAAAACTGACCGCCTGCATACCGCCTACTCTACTTCTAATATACATACATCAAGGCTTGTGAATAATATACAGGTAGTGCCTCGAATTTCATATTTGAAGTTTCACTGATTTCCATAAATAGTCATTGGGGAAACGCCGAGAAGTACAGAGATTGCGGAGCCTAGCCCCGCGCACTAAATAAAGTATCTTAGTTAAGTTCTGTAAACCGGCATGCTGGTGTCATACCTGGAGCTGACGGTAGATCACTTCGCGAGATACAAACCCCTCTACGCAATGGCAGACCAACCTCAGAGTCTTCGGGCTTTTTTCGAGGATGCAAAGGCGACCAAACAGGCGCTAGAATCGGCAGCAGAGACAAACACCGACTCCTATCGCAGCGAGGTCAATGCGGCGATCGCGAAATTCGAAGAATGCCGGCAACTCGTCAGTCAGCTGTCGTTATTCAGTCGCAACGAGTCTTTGGACGACGTCGCTACAGGAGACCTACAGTAACTACCCCTTCCATGTAGACACCGACACAGAGAGCTAATTTGTTTCTTAGGTACCTGACCGTTGACTACCTTCTCGCGGAACTGCTCCAGCGATCCTATAGCTCTGACCGTGAGGCCCTTCTTCGTCGAGCACTGCAATACTACGAGTCATTTTTAGCGCGCTTGGAGGACTATGATTTGTTGTCACCCAGTGATAAGAAGCTCTACGAGCGATACGCGGAGGACCCGAAGTCTTTCACATTGGCGCCCATGAACGATGCGGCTGCCCGGAGAGAAGTGAAAGTCAACAGATTTAGGGAGGAAAAAGAGCTCAAACAAAAACTTGAGGTCAGTTATCCCGTATTTAATCTCTATAATAGTCCTGGCCATATACTGATACCAGCCGAAGTACCTATCGCAAAACCAGAGCCGACTGCAGAACGATGACGATATCCCACGACAGCTCTATTTAGCTGAAATCCAACTCTACGTTCACCACACATTCCAGTCATTGGATATGCTAGTGCAGGAGCTCTCAATGCTGTCGATGATGCGCAATGCGCCGAAACCAGCGGAAAGCCAGCACAGTGATGACCCCCGAAAAAGGAACGATGCGGACAAGACAGGTTATTCGGACCGGTTGGATCCTTCGCTGGCTCAGTTGTTACAGAACGGTAGAGCTGGGCCGTTATTGAGCAGAGACGGCAAACCACTACAACCATTCACGCTTACTGATCGCCGGACGCAACTTAGACAAGGTGTTTTCAAACCAAGCCACAATTTGCCTACTATGACAATTGAAGACTATCTTGAAGAGGAAAAGAGACGAGGCGGCATAATTGAAGGAGGGGAACAGTCAGGCGTTGCTCCAGAGCCTGATGAGGACAACCTGGAGAAAGCTGATGAAGAGACCATGAAAGCAAGGGCGTGGGATGAATTCAAGGAAGAGAATCCAAGGGGATCTGGAAACACGCTGAACCGGGGATGAAATCTGGTGTTTTCTGAGTGTCCCAATTCTCCCACCGAACACGATGCATTTCCGCATTTTCCTGCATAGACAAAGCTAAAGCAAAGAGTCACTGTTGGGTATGGGCCTACGCAATGGCTTATGCGGCTCTCTCCTCACGCCCCGAGAAATATGTGCCATATCTCCGCCTGGTATCTCTCCCATGAATGAGTGTAACTCCGGTGAAATCTCTGGTCAATTCACTCTTATGAGGTGGAGCAATTCAGAAACGAGGTGCCAGTTGGCCTTGTCCAATATTAGCATCCTAAAATGATTATGACATTACGAAACGCACCTTCTCCTTTGAAAATAGGTCATCCTAAAATGATTATAACAAGAGGAAACACCTTTCTCATGAAAACATGCCATCCTGAAGTATGTTCTGCCCTATCTTTAAATCACAACCTCTTTGCGAGCCAGCTTTTATCTTCTCTTGTCCGCGACTTCTTCAGAAAGGGTATTTTCTGTGGCACATCTGGAACCGTGGCCGCGTAGGTGCTTTTCCTCTCCTTCTATATTACGGATAAAACTTGAAGGCTAATCTCGGCCGATGTATACAGGGTCTCTGTCGGCGCACAAAGCGAACGCCAGGTGATCTGTCAACATCCGTTTGCGGCAGGTTCTTTTAATCCTGATTATAGGATAGAATCCACCAGATTACTTGATTACTAGATTCTTTGTATACCTATACAAGTAAGTACGGGCTCAAATCCCTAGAACTAGAAGCAAGCAAGCAACTCAAGGTGCTCAGGTCAGACTATGCTTCCGTGCTGCGATTCAATATTCAACAGTTTCACTTGGTCATTGGTCGTCTCGAGATGAGTGCTGCTATTTCTGTGGCTGTGGTAGCAATTGTACCCAAAGACTATGAGAATCGTCATCGATTACAATATAAGCCATAGATTTATCTATGTGAACACTGATGCGCACGATATTTGATGGAGCTTAGTGCATCTCTGTGGGCTGTCTTTAGCCAGCATATCATTGAAGTGGCTGGCTCCACCCTCTTTGCAACTATGGTATAAATCTGAACATGAGGGGTTCACCCATGATATAAATGTGGAAGTATCTATGTATCTATCCATGTCAGTATGTATTTCCCCACCTGGAAGCCGAGAGAGGACCCGCATCCCGCGAACATCCAGTCACAGTTGGGAATTTGGCTGGGCAAGATAAATGTCTTTCATCTGAAACATATGCGAAATAAATACTTCATGATGTCTGCTTGTTTTGTTGGATAACTTGAAGAATCAAGTCGGCTCCTTTGGCCACAAGCTCCTGAGCAACCTTGACACCAAAGGCCTCAGCCTCCTCAGGCGAGTTCACATCACCATCGATCTCCACACTGGAACTCTCCTTGCCGTCTACACTGACGACAATAGAGCGCATCCTGAGCTTCTGCGCTCCGTTAGACCCTTGCACCCATTCAGTCTCAACGCCTAATGGGGCGCTGCAACCGCCTTCCAAGGTCTTTAGCAGGCTCCTCTCAGCCAAGCAGGAAAGCGTGGTCTCCCTATGCCCGATTTTGTTCAACATTTCAATCACATCTTTGTCATCCTTGCGGATCTCAATGCCAATTGCACCTTGTCCAACGGCGTACAGCATTTCACCATTCTTGGAGTCCAGGTACTGCGTAATGCGGTCTCCCAGACCTAGACGCAAGAGACCTGCAGCGGCGAGAATAAGACAGGTAAACGGACTGTCTTCTGCGTCGAGTTTAGATAGTCGTGTGCCAATGTTTCCCCGAACATCGAGGACCTTCAGATGGGGGTATTTCCTAGCAAGCTGTGCGGTCCTTCGTATGGACGACGTTCCGACGACGGAGCCTGCAGGTAGTTCTGAAAGTGTCTTAGGGGGCAACCCCTGCTTCATAACTAGGACGTCTCTGGAGTCTTCCCGCTCCATAACGGCGCCAAGTCCGCATGTGGGAGGAAGAAGGGTAGGCACATCTAGATAATAAAAATAGTCAGATCAGAAAGGGAAATGGTAAACTCTGAGATCAGTAAGAGCGTCAGATACCTTTCAGGGAATGAACGATGAGGTCCAGATGCCCCGCAAGCATCAAATCCTCTAGTTCCTGCGTCCATAGGTTTTTGGTGGTGAACTCTCGAAGCGCAATCTTTGTGTTCTGGTCGCCCGCCGTCTCCTTGGAGTGGATTTCAAATTCGTACTCCGGCCAGGCCTTTTTTAATGCATCCAGGACAATGTCCGTCTGAAGTAGCGCCAATTTCGATTTGCGCGTGCCAATGTTGAACTTCTTCTTGAGCGATCCCCCCTGGGTGGGGGGCACAGAAGGCGGGGCAGATGCCATTGCGGTCAGAAGACCAAGCAAAGCAGAGACGGGATACTGCTTGTGAGTACGTGGACGCAGCGAAGACTGGATATAGAGTGACTTTCTTGAGAGCTTAACGGAAAAGATCCGTAAATGGCACAGATACCTGGGGGATACCTGGTGCTTATCCGCAAGATCCCATATGGCGGGCGGAAGATTCCTCGCAGCTCCGAAGATGGCGAGAGATCACGGGACCCTCATCAAGTAAGTACCATAGTAAGTATGTATGTAACATAAGTACCTGGCCACATCGCCACATGGAACCAGCAGAGCACCGTAGAAATACTCCCCAATGATACTCTCGCATACAAGCCCTAGTAAGGCGCAAGTGAGAATCATCCAGAAGATGGAGACTGATCTACATCCCTGAAGACTGCCATGTCAACCGTGCCAGGTCAGATCTCCAATTATCTATCTCCAACACTGACGTAGCCTAACCTCGGCATCGGAACCGGGGCGGATCACCGCTTGACACCCCAGCTTTCTGGCGCCGTTGGCCCTCGTGTCGGTTCTGGAACATCTCCCTAGTCAACCCCGATGCTAGTATATTAACCCTTTGGTTCCCCTCATTCGTGCTATATCTACTGTCACTATTCCATCAAATCCGGGGGCATCCTGAGCCCGATCCATCCCCGAGCTCTTTATCACAGACCACTTGAATACTTGTGACAACGCATCGTCATAGCTAACGATGGGTTCCAGCAACGGCAAGACAACGAAACTTCCCCTCATCCCCTTGCCCAAGGACTCTGTCCTGTTGCCAGGCGTCACACTGCGGATATCCCTGACAAACCGTCCGGACATCTCCAACCTGCTATCCTCTTATCTGAACCGGACAACTGCTGTGAAACGGGAGGGCAACTCGATCGCACTTGGCTGTGTTCCTCTGAGCTCGCCATACTTGAGCAAAGATGGAAGACATCTAATAGAGAACGGGGCTTCTGAAGACTCTCAGAAGCCTGAATATGAGGCTGTAGACCCTGGTCAGGCAAGAAAGGAGGATCTGTTCACCTATGGCACCATGGCCAAGGTTATCGGTGTGCAGCGCCGAGTTTACGCCGATCCATACCTCCTAGTCGAAGGTGTCCGAAGGTTTACGGTCGCAAGGGTTCTGAAAGAGAGACCTTTTATGGAAGGCGAAATTATTCTTCATGATGAGCCAGGTAGGGCTACATTTCTACGTATACCAACATTCATCAACCCACTGACAGCATCATCTTACAGTTCCGTCATCCAAAGACAACGAAGTGCCGGAATTATTTAAGCAGTTGAAACAGCTTTCACGAGAGTTGCTCACATTGTTGAGGCTTTCTTCTCTCTTGCCTTCTTCATCGACGAGTCTGTCCCCAATCATTGCACGGCGTTTCGAGGCCTTCATAGCGAAAAAGGATGTCACACAGGCAGGCAGCCTTGCCGATTTCATGGCAGACATGGTGGAGGCTAGCTTTGAAGAGAAACTACGTGTGCTTGCTGCCTTGGATCTCAAGTACAGACTGGAGAGAGTGTTGGAGCTGTTGAGCAGACAGGTCCAATCTATCAAAAACAGCGTCAAAATCACGTCCATCATGACCACCAGCTTTCCGCCAAATTCGGGTATAGATATCTCTCAGGACCCACGACAGCGCGAGTTACTGGCTAGACGTGCGTTAGCAGGGCTCAACGGACTGACTCCTCCCAGAATGGCTGGTAGGGGGGATGATTCGGACGATAAAGAGCCAAACGAGATTGACGAACTGCAGCAGAAGCTTGATGAGGCGCAACTAAGTCCGGAGGCCAGAAAGGTTGCGGATAGAGAGCTCAAGCGACTACGAAAGATGAATCCGGTCAACGCTGAATACGGAGTATGCCGGACTTATCTCGAGAACCTCGCAGAGATTCCATGGACCAAAGTAACTGAAGATCAGCTGGGTGCCGACACACTTCAGAGAGCCAGACAGCAACTGGATGACGACCACTATGGTCTCGAAGGGATCAAGAAGCGCCTTCTTGAATATCTTGCAGTGCTTAAGCTGAAGCAGTCCACGAACAAGGATGTGGAAAGCCAGATATCGAAGATCACGGCAGAGCTCAATAATTCGACTGAAGATGAAGCGAAGAATAAGGAGTCTGTCTCTGAGACTGATAATGATGCACTCGAGACTAAACTGCAGGTGCTGAAGTCGAAGCGCATGGTGGACAAATCTCCAATCCTTCTGCTAGTTGGGCCCCCTGGAACCGGCAAAACTAGCCTTGCCAGATCTGTCGCCGCATCTCTGGGTCGCAAATTCCACAGGATCTCTCTCGGAGGTGTCAGAGACGAGGCTGAGATCAGGGGCCATCGAAGAACGTATGTCGCAGCTATGCCTGGTTTGATTGTCAATGGTTTGAAGAAAGTTGGTGTTGCCAACCCGGTCTTCTTGCTTGACGAGATAGACAAAGTTGGCGGCTCGAACTTCCATGGCGACCCTTCGGCGGCCATGCTTGAAGTCCTTGACCCAGAGCAGAATCACAACTTTTCGGACCACTATATCAACATTCCTATCGACCTGAGCAAGGTCCTCTTTATCGCAACGGCTAATTCGCTGGACACTATTCCACCACCGTTGCTGGACCGGATGGAGACGATCGCCCTCTCTGGTTACACAACGGTTGAGAAGAGACATATTGCCAGAAGACATCTCATTCCGAAGCAGATTAGGACTAACGGACTTTCTGATGGTCTGGTTGAGATGTCTGACGAAGTTGTTGAAAAGATAATTACTTGCTACACACGGGAGTCTGGCGTGCGCAATTTGGAACGCGAGATCGGCTCAGTGTGTCGCTACAAGGCCGTGCAGTATGCGGATGCCAAGGATGCAGGCAAACCAGAAACATATAACCCAACCGTGACTGTGGATGATTTGGAAGAGATCCTCGGCATCGAACGGTATGACGAGGAGATAGCCGAGAAGGAGGCTCGACCTGGTATTGTTACTGGCCTCGTGGCATACTCCACTGGTGGTCAGGGCAGCATCTTGTTTATTGAGGTAGCAGACATGCCTGGAAATGGCCGCGTACAGCTGACCGGAAAGCTTGGTGATGTCCTGAAAGAGTCGGTCGAGGTTGCGCTGACATGGGTCAAAGCTCACTCCTGCGAGCTTGGCCTGACCCAGGACCCTAATGAGGACATTATGAAGAACCGCAGCCTGCACGTTCACTGTCCCTCCGGTGCTATTCCCAAAGATGGACCCTCTGCTGGTCTCGCCCACACAATTGCCTTGATTTCGCTGTTTACTGGCAAGGCTGTGCCTCCGCAGATTGCCATGACGGGTGAAGTATCCCTCAGAGGCAGAGTCATGCCCGTCGGAGGTATCAAGGAGAAGCTCATCGGTGCTCTGCGTGCTGGCGTCAAGACCGTCCTCCTGCCTCAGCACAACTACAAGGAAGTCAAGGAGGTTCCGCAGGAGGTCAAGGATGGCTTGGAAATCATCTACGTTAAGTAAGTCACCCTCGTATCTGCCCTTTCCCGCGATGAAATAGTTATACTAACATCCAAACAGGCATATCTGGGAAGCCATTAGACACATTTGGCCTGATGCCCACTGGCCAGGCCAGCACCACATGAACATGTTCGAGAGCAGACTATAAATACGAAAGAACATCATTGTGGTTCCCGTATACGATAACGCGCAGATTGTACATAACGGGAGCGTTGCTTTTGGAGTTGTTTTCTACCCTTAGTTCTTTTTTTTTGATCGTCACTTTTGTCTATTAGCTTTGGACATCCCCTGATGTTATATATTCTAGCATGCTTACTTATATTACGTGCAAAATGAGCATTTCCTATCAACACAGCAGACATTAATTTGCAAATATAATCTTTCTTTGCTTCTTCCAGCATAGCTACATGATAGAGATAATCCATTCATTGACCTGTTGAGTCTATGTCTTTGTAAAAAAACTAAGCTAAAAAGGAAAAATCGGCAAGATGATAATACCAGGTCCGTACATCGCCACGCCAGGCAATTTTATACTACAGCACAAACCATATGATACAATGACAGTAAAAAGGTCGCAGTTAGACCCTGGGAGACAAAAGAACAAAGCGCCGAAACGAAGTTGAGCCCCCTCATGACCGTGTCGAGGATCCCTTACCGGTCGGAATGGCCGGTCGGTCATAGTTCAGGCCCAGAGCCTGCCAGGTTGGTCTCCATGTCTGCTTGCCCTCCAGCAGTTCCTTGGCCTGTTTCTCGAATGCCTCTCGCTCGGGCTTGTTCGGTTCCATAGCGGACTGGGGGTCGTTCTTGGACTGCATGTCCTTCTGATATTGGGCGGCCTTGAAGAATTGATCCTTTTCCCATCTATAAAAAACCGAGGGGAAAAAAAAGCAAATTAGCTCTACGAACTTCTTTTCTTCATAGAGGGCAGATAAAAAATTGGGAAGGGAAAAAGGGTTCACATACGGTGCCATATCCTTCGGTGGCTCAGGCCACACGAACGGCTCCTTCATCTCAACAGTCATCTTCTTCTTCGCCTGGGGCCTCCTCAGACGGCCATATCCATGTTTGCCATCCTTTCGCATTCGCGTCACCTTCTGCTGCTCGACGAAACTGCGCACGCTGAGCACCTTGACTCCGTACAAGCGCTGCAGATAGTCGCGAATATCAAGCTTGTTGAAATGGAGCGGGACGTAGAAGGAGGCATATCGAGGCGGAAGGAAGGGAGTGCGGATAAGAGCGATGGTGAAATCGGGTCTGTAGAGAGAGAGAGAGAACGGTAGCGGATTAGCATCAATGCATATGTATGTGGAGCGGATGTATGAATATTTCTTCAGAAGTAGCACCCTTGATAACATTGCAGTCTTTCTGGAAAGATGTATTCGCTTTCGGCAGATCATCGTAGGGAAAAACGTACAGAAATACTTGCTTCCGCATATGCAGCGGTGCCGACGGAGGAAGCCAGCCAGCCGGCTTCTTGGGGAACTTGGAGAACTTGCGGACCATCTTGTCGCAATTCTCCCGGTGTCAATGAACAGAAGGAAGAAAATGGACACGTGGAGAGATGACAACGATGGAGTCGTCGGCGTTCGTCTTTCGGATGATCTGCTCCGCGGGACTTTTTGGTGTTGAATGGAGGAAATTGCGCGTTTGGCCGCTCCGCTTGCCGTAGCATGTTAAGTATGCCTCGCTCATACTCATACCATAACTAGTTATCATTCGCAAATTGAGATGAAGTAAACTATTGGAGCACTCTAAAGATGTACTGTTTATGTGGCACATAAACTGCACAAAATTGTTTTTGTATCTTGCATATCAGAAGAAATACAGACAAGACAGCATTCTGTCGCCTCGGTTATGGTAACTATCAAGTGCTTTATTTCTACACTGAGAATACTACCATATTTCATCTGAGTGCTCGAATTATGTGATTGTTTCAAATGCATCGAAAAAGGTTCATTCTAATTACAAAGGTCATAAATCTTTTATGCAAAGAGGAGTACCCTATGCTTGCTCCTCAGGAGGTTTTGACACGTGCAGGTCTTCTAGTTTGCTGGCGCTCTCATCGACCTCGTCTGCTTGACGTTCTGATTGCTCCTCCTCTTCATTCTCATCATCCGATCCCGATTCTTCTTCATCGTCTTCCTCGTCGTCATCGCGCTCTTCGTCTTCATCCTCTCGGGGGGCACCGGCGTCTCCATCGACTCCAACCTCCTTCATGTAGGCTTCTAGCTCCCGTGCCATCTTCCTCGAGAATCCTGATGCCTCAACCTCAACATCTAGTCTCTTCCCTGGGTTCTCAATAAGCTGCTTCCTCGCATCAGCGAAGAACGGTCCCGGTACGTCACTTGTGAAGTGGAATTTCCGCTGGAAGAAGCGCTTAATACAGTTCACGTCGCGATCAAAGTACATCTCCGCGTTCGGATGGTCAACGGAAATCATTTGTGGGAAGTCGATGATGATCGGGACCAGCCTGATGCTTTCATCAACCTCCTCGGATTCTCGCCCTTTGCCCTTTGCATTGGGATCTTCTTCCTCCTTGATCAGGATGTTGAACTCGTTAAAGTCACCATGAATCAAGCCGTAGCGTGCCAGCTGTAGGATCATATCCATGAGCTCTGAGTATAGCTCCGCCGGCCTCGGGACCTTCGAGATCTGTCGCAGAGGGAAGGCGTCAATAAGACTCATCACGATAGTATGTCTGTTCTGCGCAATCGGTTCGGGGACCGGGAAGCCGTTTTCTCTGAGAGCTTTCATGAAAGCGAACTCCTTCATTGCCGCCAGTCGCGACATGTACATCCATGAACCCGTACTCCGGTTTCGCAGGTAATCTCTGTTGGTCTTGACTGTTCGGAAAGATATCCGTCCCAAACGGTGGATTTTCAGGATTCTCTGCTCTCCAGACGAGTGTGCGACAACGATAATATCCGATTCCTTTCCGACACCGACGCGGTTGCCGACAGAGTAAACGCTCTTATTTTTCTGATGCGTGTTCAAGGCGAGGTAGTCGAGACCGCCGTACGTGAGTCTGTAACCATCATCTGAATCGCGAATGTAAATCAGCTACCGCCGACAACAATGATGAAAAAAACCACGAAATATCCCATCCACATACATTTGGCATTCTTGACCTTCGCGATCAAGTTGACCTTCGCCAACGTCGAAATGGACTTGTGAACTCCGCTACCACCACGCAGACCGGATAGTTGTACGATCAACGGCGTAGGAACGACCTCATGATTTCGGCTTCCGGCTTCAACCTACAAATTCCCTTGTTAGCTGTCAGACAACCAGATCGCGCAAGTAAATGACTGCGGGGTCTGGAGGGGCATACCCCAGCTAGCACCCGGAAGTCCTCCGAGCTGAGGTATCGCATCGCCTTCGGGTCGAGCTTCATGACTGCTTTCTGAGGCCTTTATCAACCAGAAAAAGGACTTAATTGAAGTATACACAACGTGTTGGCGGTAGGGTTGATGCTGTATTGACTTACTACCTTGCGGATGGGCGCAAGAAAAACTTATGGATACACCTAGCCCTAAGCCCTAGTTTCCGCATGTAGAAGTCCCCAGGGAACTTCAAGATAACGATAAGCAACAGGCCTCTACTCTAGATAATTATTGATCTGCATAGTATTATATATATTCTTTTTTCACTACATGCTTCCAGATTTAGTCTATTCACAGACATATAGAGTGCGTCTCTACCTAGGCTTTCGATGAGAGAAGTCCTGTCAGTCCTCCTCCCATCCGCAGTGTACAATCGATCAAATGCCGGGGCCTACGCTACTGAGAGCAGTAAGAGAATAAGGTGTATTCGAAATTCCGCGACTGTTCCTATTACATGAGACATGACCATACCCGAGAACCGTTTTGTTCCCTGATCCGCCGACCTCCCTCAAACATCGATCTAAGAAATTCTAGTGCCCGAGCACTTTATGCTGAGGCTTCCCAGTCCGGGTTCTGTACGGAGAATCAGCACACTGTTCAGACACTATAGAAGTTATACATCATACCTTGCGCAAGATTACCAATCCTTCCAAAGTGCTGCTGAGCGAGATATACTCCTCGTCTTCCAGCTCCGCTCTCTCACCGTATGCCAAGAGCACTGGCGTGCTCTGTGTCTGCCATCCGGTGATGGTCTTGGGTCGACCGGCTTGAGCGACCACATCGACGGCCTGTCCAACTCTGACGTTGACAGTCAAGGGCTGGAGGTTCTCATCAAGGGTAACCAGGAATCGTGGGTACATGGCAGTGATGAGGAAGTAAAGGAGGTAGTGGTGTTCGGCGAGGACAAACTGCTTGGCATCGATCATGGCAACCAAGACAGTGAGTAGTCCAGCGGCCGCTACTCGGGAAAGCACTTGACGGTCAGTGTGGAAAGGGTTAACCGTAAGAGTACCCTTGCCCATGTGCAGGAGACCCTGGGCAATGCGGACCATGAACAGCGAGTTCTGGTCGCGGTGGTAATAGCTCGCCAGCTGCCTCAGCAGTTGGGCCAAACGAGCATTGTTCGTTCCAGCACCAAGGAGACCCATGGCGAAGATAGCGTTGATGGCGACATCATTGTCAGTGTCGTGGCTGTATCGGGATAGAGTGTCGTAGACCTTCATCTGAGGGTTGCTGGGGCTGATAAGACCCATTGCAAGGGGCACTGCCTTTCGGATATTGCTGGCGCCGTAGTGCATCAGGTGGCCGAATTGGCGCAGGATCATGTCCTGACCGACTTCCTCCCCCATTGCAATGAGCGACAGACCTAGAACAGCGTACGACTGCACGAGCTCGTCACCCTTGCTCTCCTCCTTCTCCTCAATATACTCGTTGCAGATGTGGAGGAGTTCCTGCAGCTTCAGCACAGTACCTGTTCCAGCCCAAGCACAGACAGAAGCGAGCACGGATGTTGGCTTCGCCATAGGGTGATCGACTGCTTTGAGAATATCTAGGATGACATCCACCTCTTCCTGCTTACCAAAGTATAGAAGCGCCAGACCAAGGGCCATGAATCTGGTCCACTTGTCCTTAAGATGCTTCTGTCGTTCTTCATCCATCAACGTCGTAGCGATCGCTTCACTGACTTGGTGGTTAGAAGATCCAACGAAGATCAGACCTAACGAGACGGCAGCCATCGCTGACAGCTGCATATCGAGAGAGACATCTTCAACAATGGGCAGTAGAATATCGAGAAGCTCTTCCTTGTTGGACCCAGCATACGACAGACCCAGACCCATGATAGAGGCCACTCTCATCGGGACACTCTTGTTCTCAAGGTTGTCCGGATCACTCAGAAGGGCCAAAGCAGGATCCGAGTCTATCCTGACACCGGAGTTAAGAATACCAATGGCAAGGAGAGCTCCCGCTTTGATCTGGTCCTCTTGAGCATAAGTGAACTTGTCGATCTTCCCTAGGCCCTCTTCAACATCCCTGTGCAGGAGCATTCCCATAGATGCCGTCGTCGACATCATACCGTCGTCCTTGGTCTTCCAAACCCAGGGGCCCTTGTCACCTTCGACCAGCATCATGTTATCATTGCCGAAACCGGCGTTAGCGAAGGAGTTCACAAAAGCACTGGCAAGGTTGTGCCTTGCAGAGTCGACGTTCGTCAGACCGGCTCCCCTGCTGCTCTCTAGATGTGTCTTATAAATGTCTTCCGGCATCTTCGGGTCGAGAATGTTGAGCTCTTTCGCCAAGGCCTTGAAGTGATTCGGGATCTGGGTGTTGTTAAGACAGTCAAGCAGGTCCTGATCCTCTTCATCCTCAGGCAGATCAAGCCAGATTTGCTGCCGAGCAACGAGGAAAGCCAACTGCTTCTTTAGTGCCTTGTCCTCGGTAGCACTGAAATCCTTCTTAATGAGATCAATATCATTAAGGCGGATAGCGATGACCATGGCTTGAGCCAACTTGTTGTAGCGGACGTAGATGTCGTGAGCTGTTCGAAGGAATTGCTGGTCTTCGGGGTACGTCAACAAGTTGACCATGCTGACCATATACAAGCACACTCTGGAGTATGTGTTCTCGTCCAGGAACCGGGGGATTTCCTCGATCATTTCCAGCTCGCTTAGAAGATCAACAGCATCGGCCTCGGCGTTGTGACTCAGGAAGTAGGGGACGAGAGATAGAGTAAGATCTGTCAGGTCCTGGAAATCTTTCTCGTCCGTCAACCGATTCTGGTATTCTTGCCCGATCTCCAGCGCCAGATGTCGAATGTATTCATGACCCCAGGAGCCAAGGTCTTCCGATGTAGTAAGAAGGCGCCACTTCAGCGTCTCGAGCTTCTCCTCATCTCCGTACGTCATACCGAGCACCGACAACATATCGGCCAGCGAATCCTAGAGAAACTTTAGCTCAAATCCAGTATCTTGCGGACAGTTAACAAGCGCCCTACCTTATCAGGTCCTGCTTCCCATTTGTCGTACAGTGCCGTAAGATCTTCATAGTGCGGTCTGAGAAACTTAAGCGGCTTTGGCACGGCAGTCATGGAAGAAGTAGAAGTCTTGATGAACGTCTTGATGGCATCCAAAGCCGGTCGGTAGAGGGAGGTATCTGGTTCCTAGTATCGAGGGATTATTATTAATGACGTTCCTGCACATTCACGACGAGTCAACTCACCTTTAGTCTCTCGACGAGCATCTCCAGCTCGCCCTTAAGCTGCTGGTCTTCCTCGCTCAGTTCCTCTGTGAGAATTATCGAGTTAGCGCTGCAACCCACAGCATGGAACCGCGGAGGCAAACAAGCACCACTTTGCGTGCTTGCTTGCTACATGCTCCCTTACCTTCCTTGGGTCCCTCGTCCTTCTTCCCATTCGCCTTCGTCTTTTCATCCTTAACATTCTTTGCACCTCCGTTCAACTCTCGGGCATCTTCGACCTTGCCCTTTCCCTTGTTTGCGGCACCCTGCCGCTCGTCTTCCTTCGCCATTCCGAGAGACTCTGACGGGTATCTGGCCAGTAAGGCCGTGGGCGATCAACAGATGTGGCGGTAGATATGGAGGTGGGATGTCCTAGCAGATGCCAAGCTATAACCGGACGGACCTGGCACTGCGTGCAAAGAGAGGTATCGGGGAGTGTATGAGCTTGGGATGTGAGGCGTCTGGAGCTTTCGTTGCTGTCCAAGGCGATGCAGGCGCTCCGGTGGAGCTACGTCGGCTTATGTAAGGCGGTCTCCAGCTGCCAGCGCCAAGAACTTCCATCAGGCAGTCAACAGCCTCGTCATCGTCGGAAACTGAGCATCGACGAGACATATGGTATATCATTATCATTATTATTATTATTAACTACATGTTCTTGTTCGCTCCGCTAAATAATGGCTTCCCGTTTTATGAACAGCATCAATTCTTCTGTTGATAGGGCACTTCTCAGCAGTAGATAACAGATCCTGCATCTTTCTTAGCCGTTCAACCGCACAAAAGACAAGAAACCATCGTTGTCTACGTCAATAGTGCTATAAAAGCACCCAAGGGAAAAGATTAGCCCCATTAGGCCTTCTATATAGCAGCACAAACCCAGCTGCCAAGAAACCTGTCGAAAACGCCAACCCCCGTAGACCGATACATACCGGCAGGACAAGCTATACCGTACAAATGCAACCCAAGTTGAAAACCAAAAGACGCCACCAGCGATATCAGAGACAAAAGTAGTCACCTATTTTCCAAAAGCCGGCATCGTCAGGGGTATTTGACGCTTTGCAGCCTCCAACCTTGGTTCTGAACTCCCTTGCAAATTCACTCGTCCTCTGCTGGATATCCCGTGCTGAGAGCTTCTCGCTCTTGTAGGATAATAGAGGCAGAGCTTCGAGCTTCGGCAGATGATCTGGAAACCGTTGAAGAAGAATCTCCACGGTTGAACCATGAAAAAGCGGTCTTTCTACGGATCCCAGCTCCAAGTCAGAACTGGGAGATAGAACTTCCGGCAGGTCTTCAATGGTGTCTTTGTCAGCCTCTGCAAGCGCGCTTGACGAATCCGCGACAAACTCTTCTGGAGGGTGGTATAGCTCATTATGCACCGTTGCCAATGAGACGTGGTTCCTGCCCGAAAAAGACGGATACAGCATATAATAACCCCTAACGCGCATAAATTCAAGGAGGTATTCCATAAAGGCGGGGTATTTCTTGGATATAAGTTTTGGTGAAAGATCATGAGAATCACCTGGAGCACTGAGGCGGTGAGACAGGAAGGAGTGAAACTCGGCCCATTTATCGCCGAAATAGAGCGCAGCATTACTGTCCGGGACTTGCCAAAGGAAGAAAGGAGACTGCTCTCCATCGTGGCTTTGTGGCACGTCCATAGGTTCCGAAGGTGGAGCGAAGGGCTCGTTGTCAGTTGGCCTAGACGACGGAAGTTCAAGACTTATGCCAAGCAGCTCAGATGACACATTCATGGCGGAAACAGAGTGTTTATAGTTGAGAGCTGTATACTTCAAGAAGTGAAAGAATGAAGGCGACAGCTCGGTCTGTGGTGATAGAACGAGGACGTGGGTCACGTTTGGATCTCTTGGATAGAAGGCCTCGACGGTTCGAATAGAAGACATCTCGGATGTCATACGCTGAGATGGAATACGGCGACGAAGAGTTACCTTACTTGATGACTGAGGAGGCCAGTTCGTATTCTGTAGGAAACGTAGTAGTTCTGGGTCAACGCGCGGAGGCAACTCGATGGTTAGGCTAGGGACGGAGTCGAGATAGTCTGCTCCTTCGAGCGACTTCAGGAGTCTGATCAGGGAGCCCGACGATTCCGACGGCGCATGAACCAGCATCTCGATTTGCATTTTGTTCCAGACTTTAGCGCAACATGTCAGTAAACGACATCTACCCGAAGAAAAGATAGATTTGAACTTCCGTACCTTTCAAGGAGCCGCTGTCTAACTTCGATAGCCACATGAGGTCCACCGCAGGCCGTGAAAGAGGAATGTGTGCCAGCCCTAACTCGTCTGTCTTTTGTTTTATCGCTTTCCAGAAGAACGACTCCTCACGGAATTCACCATGCGTTATCACGACCTGCGGATTTATGTACTCTCGGATATAGCCCAATCCGGACCTAACTGCCCTTTCCATACGTGGTCCAGTTGACCAGGGAGCGTAGTCAGGGCGCGCGTCTGCATATCAAGAAAGTCAGTATACACAATGGCAGGACCCGTTGTCCAGAAACCCGAAATTATAGCATACCATGCCATTGTATCGGACAGTCCTCGTCACTGATGCCATTGACCTTCTGAATCCCCGGGATCGACACGTCATCCCTTCCCATGAGCGCAAAGTGTACTTCGTTTGTACCCTGACGGACCATCTCGCAGGCAAGTGGTAACAGGTCCGCAACGCTCTTCAGGTCTGCGCCAGCAAAAAGTACGGCGCGACTAACATGTTCCCGACGATGGCTTGATGGCGAGTTGGGACGTAGCGATTTTGCAAGATTATAGAATCTGACTTTCCCTTCATAGTAATATTTCGCATTGTCCTTTGCATCGTCGTTCTCTCTCGGCGGAGGTTGATGCGGGTTGACAGCTTGAGGTATGGCGCCCAGCGATGACTGAAGAGTCCGGCCCTTCTGCCGCAGCTGCGCCAATTCAGGATTATATCGTTCGACAGCAGGTGTCAAATCGGTGGGCATATTCTTGAAGAATATATAGAGCAGGTAAAAGCCCACGAAGGCTAGCACGATGCGCCGCCGACGGGGAGCTTTCCATGCGGGACGAAGGGATGGAGCTCTCGCAGCAGGTCGGTGGTCATCATCTTTCTTTCCCAGCTCCTCGTCGGCCGCGAAGGCTCTCCTGGAGATGCGCATGTCGGCTACATATGACGGACTCCTCCTAGGGAGCTCTAGAAACGCGCTGTCGCATCCGCGGTCTCGATGCTGTTCCGTGCGCTAAGTAAGGATTACCTGGAGCTTGACGGTTGCTTGCGGGGGAGCTTGTCAGCTCGTCGGGATCAGCAGCCGCAGTACTTCCTTTAGGCGATTCTGCGGCAGCCACCGTTCCTCTCCACCGCCCATACTAGTTTGACTCGTGCATCGTCCCCTTTGACAGCAGACTCCAGGGCAGTCTTATGGAACAACGCCAAGTGGCTCCCGGAAAATATAGTAAGGGAATTTAAGAACGGTCTAGAACCTGTTGTTTCTCATCCGGGCTGCGTTAGACGCAATACAGCGGCTGCATGATGACCTAAAAGTGCTTGAGTCTTGTACCAACATCAGAAACAACAGGATATCTCTTTTGAGATCATGGCTGATGAGATGGATATTGTCGAGGCTGAGCCTCGTGGAACCAAGAGGACCGCAAATGAAGCTGGTCTGCCAGAAGCACCAAGGAGGATCCGGGTTAGTAGTTACATCTTGTCTATCAGAGAAGGATTCACTCATGGCTGAATCTCCGAACAGGCACTGGATCCCGATGTGGTGAACAAGATCGCCGCAGGAGAGATCATCGTCGCTCCTATGCACGCTCTGAAGGAGCTGATAGAGAATGCTGTCGACGCTGGTTCCACCTCTATCGAGATCTTGGTGAAAGATGGCGGTCTCAAGCTTCTCCAGATCACTGACAACGGTCATGGCATAGATGTAAGTATCTCGCAAAGGCAGATATGCAAAAGAAACAAGTGAGCAAACCTCTGACTTCAGCCACAGCGGGATGATCTCCCCATACTTTGCGAAAGGTTCACGACCTCTAAATTAAAAGCGTTCGAGGATCTATCTTCCATAGGAACGTATGGATTTCGTGGCGAGGCATTGGCTAGTATCAGCCATATCGCTCACCTCACGGTTACCACCAAAACTGCTGGTTCTAGCTGTGCCTGGAGAGCACACTATAGTGACGGAAAGCTTGTTCCTGCAAAGCCAGGCCAGAGTGCCGAGCCAAAGGCAACTGCTGGAAGAGGTGGCACTCAAATCACGGTGTGTGCATATATCCAATACTAGCGCAGAAGGCAGTAATCTGACAATACAGACAGGTTGAAGACCTATTTTACAATGTCCCAACCCGCCGTCGAGCGTTTCGATCTGCTAGCGAAGAGTATGCTAAGATCCTCGACGTCGTGGGCCGGTACGCTGTCCATTGCACCGGCGTAGCCTTCTCATGCAAGAAACACGGAGATTCAGGAATGAGCATTTCAACTGCAGCGAATGCAACTACCATTGATCGCATACGTCAAATTCACGGCAGTGCCGTAGCTAACGAACTCGTTGAGTTTAGCATCGATGATAAGAAATGGGGTTTCCGGGCATCTGGTCTTGTCACAAACGCAAACTATCACGTCAAGCGAACAGTTATTCTACTCTTCATTAACCATCGCTCGGTTGAATCTTCTGCTGTGAAGAGAGCAGTGGAACAGACATATTCAACCTTCTTGCCAAAGGGTGGGCATCCGTTTGTCTACATCGATCTGGAAATCGAGCCGCAGCGTGTGGATGTCAATGTTCACCCGACGAAACGAGAGGTCAACTTCCTCAATGAAGATGAAATCATTGAGTGTATCTGCAGTCAAATTCGGACCAATTTGGCACAGGTGGACTCTAGCAGGACGTTCATGACTCAAACTCTTCTTCCTGGCATCAGACCGCCCGAACCAGCTGGTGATGAGTCGCTTTCGGGTACTGCGCTTGAAGGTCGTAAAGCACCGCCTCGGACACCATCAACAACGAAGAAGCCTTATGAGCATAACCTTGTCCGGACTGATTCCAAAGTCCGCAAGATCACGTCGATGCTCCCATCCGCAACGCCTCATCCGATGTCTAGCGCAGAAGCAGAGGGCGGGACCGCAGTTGTAGATGATGGCTTACACTACGAGAGAACGGATCGTGAACCGCTCCGTATCGGCCTCACCTCCATCAAGAACCTCCGCGCTGCTGTCCGCGCGTCGATGCATAACGAACTGACGGAGATGTTCGCCTCGCATACATATGTCGGACTGGTTGACGAACGACGACGCATCGCAGCCATCCAAGCAGGCGTGAAGCTCTACCTCGTCGATTACGGAATGACCTGTAACGAGTACTTCTACCAGCTTGGACTCACAGACTTTGGCAACTTTGGCACCATAAAGCTTGATCCTCCTCCAAAACTAGTCGACCTGCTTCGGATCGCAGCAGACGTCGAACGAGAGGAGCACGAAGCACGCAACAGCCAGAACGCGGATCCCAGCTCCAGCAGAAATGAGGAAGCCGAGAGAATCTTCGCTGAAGCGCCAGATACAGTCTCCAGAACCCTGATCGATCGACGAGATATGCTAAACGAATATTTCTCCCTTGAAATCTCCGAAGACGGACATCTGATCTCCATCCCACTTCTACTGAAAGGCTACGTTCCCTCACTCGCAAAACTCCCACGCTTCCTCCTCCGATTAGGCCCGTACGTAAACTGGACGGCCGAAGAGGCATGTTTCCGCACGTTCCTGAGAGAACTTGCTGCATTCTATACCCCGGAGCAATTACCCCCGCCTCCTCGTCCTAGTACGGAAGATGACTCTGGCAACGATGCCGGAAGTCAGCCAGGGCATCAGGAAGACGAATCCATCACCGCCCGACGGGCACAGCTGAGCCAGATGCTCGAACATGTTGTCTTTCCTTCCCTACGCGCGCGACTAGTCGCCACGACGAATCTTCTCCAGGGCGTCGTGGAAGTCGCGGACTTGAAGGGTCTATATCGTGTTTTTGAGCGATGCTGAAAGTTATATTGCCAGGGCAAAATAGAGATTTATCCCGCCTTGCCCACATAAACCAACTCACTTTCGCAGTCCTGAAGCATATCCAAAAGCTAAGGATATCCAACTTTTGACCAACCAAAAAAGAAAAAAGAAAAAAAGAAAAAAGGAAGCCGGTTAACATCCTATAGTCCTTACGAGGAGCTTCAAGACATCGAAGACCCATAGCGGGAATATATTCAAGAAAGAAAAGACCAAAAAGAAAGGATTGAAGATCAAACATATTTTTACGCCTATATATCATATATCAATGTCAATATAACTACGGCGCAGCAGGTTATTCTTCGATCCCTACACCGACACCGAAATATCAAGTACGTGTACTGTACTGCAAAAACAGAATCTTTCATCACAATGACACTTAAACATAGGCAGGAATCAAAGAGCATGAAATATAAGGCGCGTAAAATCCAGATATAGGACCATAGAATAGAACTCGTTTATTAGAGACCGCATGTAATAATAATAATAACGAAAGGGAAGAATAGAAAGGGTTGGGTTGACAATATTAAGGGAATATCACACTCGTTCGTCTCCAGGTATGAGAACAAGGCGCACATAGGATTTCACATCATACAGTACCATTGACCCAGAACGGAAAGAGTATCGCCGGAGAAGTAAAAGGCGAAAAGAAAAATAAAAAGATGAATAAAAAACAAAAAGAAAGGGAGGGTCCAGCCAATCCCAGGACCTAGACAAAGAGAGAGAAAAAAAGAAAAAAAAGACCTGAAAACTCCATGACGCCCAGAAAGAAAAAAAGGCCCATTCGTTATCGTCATTTCCTAACCGTATCGTAAATCCGTCTCTGTTGAATCTCAAGATCGAAGTCCCATCAGAGGTAAGCAAGGTAGCGTTATGATGACCAAACATGATGGTAGAAACGTCTGTGAGCGTGCGCAGCTCTGCTGTAGCCTGCTCATTGTCTCGAGTAGGGCTTGTTCATCAGCGCGATTTCTCGAGCAACGGAGGCCCATTCCAGTTCGCGTCTCAAAGGTCGGTTGCGTCTGATGCCTTGCAGCTCTTCCCATTTCAGGAGTTCGTACCTAGTCCCAGTCAGCTATGGCACCGGTCGAAAAGAGATACAATGGAGACTTACACAAAGCGCAGATGCGGCTGGATAATTACATTAAGCCGTCTCGCGCGGACAAAACAACTATTCGCAATTGTGTTAGTTTTATCGTTTATTAATGATGAGAGTGCTGGTACCCACTATGCTCGAGGAAATGTAAGATCCAAAGAGGCCATAACCTCTGCAATGCAGATCGTGGCCGATCTCGAAACACCCACACGGCAGTGGACGAGGGTTGCGCTCCTGTCTGATTTTCCTTTTCCTGATTGTTGATTCTCACTCAGCACCTGTTTTGCGACATTCTAGGAGAGGGTAGCACATACGAATAAATTCCAAGCATCGCTCGAACTCCTGTGTTAATGGGTCGATGCCGTTATCCTGGACCTGGTCGATGAACATCAAGTTGTTCTTGCCCCAACGTCTGAGCTCCGCGTCACTCCAAGCCACGGGTTCTCCAATGCTCAAAACACGCCTAATTCCAAGGGCCCAAAGCAGTTCAGGGTTGTTGGCGTGCGTTAGATTGCCCAAGTACATATAAGGCAGAATCCGACTAGGGAGAGAACCGTCCATCTTTCCAAGCCATGCAGGATCGGCTAAGCGAGACACGTTCAGCCCTTGAGCGACCGGGCTTGCCTGCAGCAAGCGGTGCTGTATTGTCGTGAGGAAAGCAACATCGGATGGGTAGGCAAAGAAGTTGCGCTTCTTGTCGCAATGGAGCCTTAGCCATGCTTCATGTGCCGGCACGCCTTCCGCAAACATGAAGTATGCCAAAGCAAGAAGAGAGCTTTCGGTATAGCCATCTCCACAGTGGATGAGAATCTTCCGTGGCTTGTGTGTCCAGGAGGCCATTTGTATATCGCCATCCGCATCGAGTCCTTCGTTCGGTTCCTCTGGTTCTTCCGGGTTCGCAAGGTAGTAGAGCCATCGTACGGTCGTGATCAGGTCATCAACCTCTCTATTCTCCGTTGTTGGCGGGGGCAAAATGCTTCCGGAAGCTGGGAACTCAATTTGCTGGGGACCATCCTTTAGTTGTCGATCTACTGTAGCCAAAAACCGCGGGCCTGGAATGCTAGCGAGTTCGCTAGCTTCAACGAACAGATCGTACTCTTCATGCACAGCCTGAAACTCTCCTAGTCCTGCTGCTAAGTCTGGCGTAGGGCCTTGGAAAACATTTTTGGAGATTTCTGAGGCTTTAGACATGGCGCACATTTCTAGGCGCTCCCACTGGACTAGAAGATTTATGTCAGTGCCTGGTATAATGTAGAGATGGATATTTACTCACAGAAATCCATGACACGCCCAGTCAGATGACCCTGACGATCCACACATATCAGATCAGGATGCCTTTCCTCGACCTCCCGAAAAGTACCTGCAAGGAGTCAGACGATACATGAACCAGAATAAAAAGGCTCTGAAGACCTACTCGAAAGGACAAATGTATTGAACAAGGGTATCTCCTGAGCGGGATCATTTCTCAACCGCCAATTCTGCTGCGCCAGCGACATCTGCTCCGCCAATGCAATAGTTTCTGTCTCCGGAACATTGTCGTCACCGTACACCACGATGTCTGACAAAGTCGCTATCTTGGCTGTTTGGATCTGGAAATTGCGGACTGAAAAGCCTTCTGCGGGGTCGGCTTCCAGGAAATCCGAGCTCATAACTGCGAGAACCTCCCCGGGAGACACGGCTCCCTTGAGTCTTGACCTCGAGAGATCACCACCGACTTTCACAATAGTCATTCCTCTCAGACATTTTGGTGGGCGACGTGCTGACTTCTTTCGATTGGCAAAGAACGCTAGTTGGATCTGGTTGTCGGGATGGAGGCCATGTAGCCAAGGGAAGACGTGCTTGGGCTCAGGCAGGGGTTGCGTGGATAGATGGTCCAATGCCTCAGCCAATGTGTCCACATCGATCGAATATATCGGGGGGGAATCAGATAGCTTATCGAAGCAGTCTGGCGGATAAAGAACCGACGTGACCTGCCCGGAAGCGCTGGTCTTGGATCGGTCGATATCCTTGACAAGCGGAGCCGGGCCAGTTGGACATAATGGCAGATGTTTATTGGGGACTGGAGTGGGAGTTCGAATGCCAGCGTTGAGGCTCAGCACCGGGGACAGAGGTGGAGGTGTGGAGGAATGTCGAATTGACTGCTGCTGGACCACAACTGTCGCCATTGCAGCGTCTCTTCACGGTTTCTGTTTCTTTTCGGTGGGATCAGCTGGACTTGCATGCGAGTCGGCGATCTGGGTTCGAAGTAATCCGTTGCTATGGCAGATGATAATCTGCAATTACATCCTTTGCGATGGCCGCATAAAGTGAGATATGCTTGCGCTCCGGATAGTCTGAATCACAGAACTTCCGCGTGGTGATTCACACGATGACCACAATTGGTTTCACAATTGCCCACCGTGACAATAACGACGTGATAATAATAAATTCGGGTATCTGCACTGTGTATTCCTGTCATCAGCAATTGCAGTAGGGACGAAGCAAGTAGGATCTGTGTTACACCAGTGCCAGATGAGGACAAAGAAAGGGAGAGGGGATGGGCGCTAAGAGATGAGATTGTATACCTTTGATAACGACACTGCAAACCGCAATCAATGCTGGCTGTGAGATGAGGGTCGAGGATGGTGCAGATTATCTGCCATGCGAACCGGATTCTCGAGATCAAGATATGACCCGGGTCGCAAGGCGGGCGGGGATGGGACTAACAGACGGCCTGTCCGGACGCGTCCAGAATCTACAGCGATAAGGAACGATAGTTAAGCGCCAGTGGGGAGTTCGCGGGGCAGAGAAGAGTAATAGTAGAGTCGAGGACACGGGCTAGTAGTTAACTAGCGGAAAGATAAGAGAGAACTTGGAATAAGATGGGATGCCCCTTGAACAAAGCGATTTGGGGGGGGGACAATGCCTATGGTAAGTAATACTAATACTCCCCAAGTACCTCATTAACCAACTCGTAGTTCTCGTTGTTCTTTTGCTGGTTCGGGGGATGGATGGCCGGAGAGGGGTTGGTGTTCTTCCTGGTCCTCTTTTTCCCTGCTGCTTGCATTTGGAGGGGGAGAGCACGGCTGCATCTCGAGCCCATGGGAGGTGCGCTGAGCTGCCGGGCCATGCGTCCGCACGCTGCTTGCGGCGATCCCAGCGCCGGCACTGGCTCGTCCCCCGCGCCCGGCCCCACTCACCCTCTGCTGCAAGCCGTGGCTCCCCGGTCGCGCTAGTGCGGCCCTGTGGCCAATAGCGGATCAGACAGCACCACACCCTTCCCCGTCGAGTGGCAAGTCCGTTTGCAGCTGGATCCACAATTCCACATCCATCCCCCCGTTTCGCTGACCCCTCCATGATCCAGGTCGGACGGTCATCTTTCTGCTCCCCCGCGAGATGGACTGCGGAAATTGGAGTTGGGGGCAAAACAACGTCGATTCCACCTGTCGCGGTATTGAGCCGTCACTAGATACTCCATTCTCGCGTGGCCCAAAACAAGCGCTGTGCTGTTCCCACTGGGATATCAGCAGCGCTACGGTTTGACATCAATTGACAGCTGATCGTACCAGAGCAGCGGGTCTCCGTCTCCGGCGACTCCCTGACCATTTCCCAGATTTGGAGACGACGAGCACTCTTCAGTTAACCCAGTTCCTTGTCATTATTATTGCCTATGATGTCTATTATCTTCCGCCAGAGGCTGCCACGCTGTAAGGCTCCAGGCCGTTCCATGGAATCCAGCCCTTCTCCTCAATGCATTGCCTGCCACGCGATCACTTCCGGCTCGCAGCTCAGCTGAAAAAGTGGCTGTTGCAAAAGAAAAGCAATCACAGAGCGCATTTCCCAGGTGGGAAACTTGCTGCCCGAACTCGTAATCTTTGCAGGATCTCCACGAAGTTCGACTGGACTCGTGGAGGACGGTACTCTAGGACGGACAATTGCCCTTCTCCAGTCATGGTCGTCTACGGGCGACGAGGCTGACCATCGTCTGTCGCTCGTTCTGTGCTTTCTCTCATTATTGTCCATGTTCTCTGCGAATCAGTAGATTTTTCGCATGAACTCGGCATTGGAACCTTAAAAAGTACAAGCTTTGGATGACGTCTTGCTCGTCGCGGGAAGAACTGCCCCTCCATCCCGTGGTGTCATCCTCCAACAATGGGAAATCCTCCTGGTGTCCATAACATAGGAATGCTCAGGATTAAATAAGCGCTGCAATGCTGTCGGGTTTAAAAAAGTGGCGATGGCATGTCTCTGGCGACTCGTATTATTTCCTGCCAGATAATAATAATCATACTCATAAGAGAAGATATACAGGAAAGTGGGTCTTCTTGCTATCGCACGCTCAGGCCAATTGCCCGATCGGGTGCGCCGCTGTGGTCCACCAATGGCAGGCTCCTGGGCATTCGGGAGACAAGCAATCGAATCTCCCTAAAGAGATGAGCCTGGCTGGGATACTCAACTGATCCTTGAGGGGACGGCTAATCCCTGGATTTTGTTCTTCAATCGCGCTCTGCCTTCTCTCGAAGCTCGTCGGCAAGCCTGAGAAGATAGAACTGGGCCATATCCGGAGGCAGTCCATCGAAAGCGCGAGCAATCTTGATCACATCATTTCGTCCTTTCTCATACGCCTGGAGATCGCGGTTCCCGTAAACATCTCGCCCCGGGGCATAGCCTTGGGTGAGATTCCGGAAGAAGACATTCACGGCGATGCTCACTTCACCCATGGGAGCGGCCGTGTGTAACCATAGCGGTGGGATGAAGAGGATGTCGCCGGGCTGCAGGAGTACTTCATGCGGCGACGTGTACGGGATAGACACAATCGGTCCGTCAGGGCCATTCTGGAAGATGTCGATGGTGGAGCTAGAAGCCCCAGGGGGGAGCTGGAGGTATTGGACTTCCGAAGGAGGATACAGCACCATTCGCTTCCGCCCGCGAACTTGGCAGTAGACATTGGCCATTACCTGAAGACGTTATAGGTCAGTACACTCTATTTTAGCTTGGAGAATATGCAATATCTGATATAGTTCGAAGGATCCTCACATCGTAGTGGAGCCACATCGTGACCGGTCCAGATATTCTCAACGGAGAACTGTGCATGTTCTCCGTCACAAAGGATAATTCAGCTGGAAGACGGAAGTCATCCTTCAATTGAGGAAAGTCAATTGCCAGGTTTGCTGGCATCTTCGTGGGCTTTTCAGAAGAAATGGAACGGAGATATTGACGCCCACCGGCATGCACTTCGTCCAGGAAACATCCAAATCCTTTGGTGACATACGAGAAATTCTTCGTTTGGAAGTTCATATTCTCAGTCTGAGCCTCATGTACTACGACCTGCAAAGGATTAGTCTAAACACATACGGAACGGGGCGGACGAGGGAGATACCTTGCGATCACTGCCGACAGTGTTCGTCAAATAGTCCTTCGTCCAGAGCTCCGTGCATGGGCCAACGTCGGTCCCTTGAATCACGACCGGTCTGGAAGCCTCCAGGATCCTTTCAAATTCAGAAGAAGTTTCCACAGATATCCTCGGGATCGACCGGTCACCATTCATAGCTTTTGCACGTCGAAGGCGCTTAGGAGTCTCTTGTGTCTCATCCGGTGATTTGTCCTCTGCCTCAGGCATGACGGACCATGTATTTTGGCTGTCAGAGTCAGCACTCTGGAGGAGCCACGTGCCCTCGTTCCAGCAAGTGCCGAAAGAAAAGCATACTGCTCCACCTCCTAGAATCAAGGTTTGACTCTCAGTAAGAGTGCAGGAGACATGACCAGCGAGCAATGGTCGTGGGCCATTGAATTCGACCCCCAGGCCAATGGAGGATAGTAGCTTGTTGTCCCACGATTTTTCGTAGTTGATGGCTCTGAAGATATCAGACACGTTGAGTAGCAGAATTTCGTACTGAGAAGGAATGATTTCTCTTGCGCAAATGCCACCGATGATGAGCAGTCCCCGTGGAATCACGTTCACCGTAGCGCCAAATCGTCCAATGAATTTGGATAGAGGCGATGCAGCCCGAAGATCTTCAGTGTGGTCGCTCAGTTCGACGAAAAAGGATCCATCGTCGCGCTGTGACACTTTCCATGTCCAGAAGTCGTCTAGAACTATACCATCTTGTGTGATGCCACCAAAGAGAACTCCAGAAGAAGAGTCCACGCATGCCATGCATGCTCCAAATCGAGGGGCAGGTCTGTGGCCTACTTGCTCAACTGTTTGCCATCCAATCTCAGAGTTCCACAAGGTCCATTCACCCAGAACGTCACTTTTGGCTGACTTGCCTCCGTAAACGAGAACACAGTCACCAAGAGCTTCAAGAGTCAATCTGGTTGAGCTGTGTCTGTACAGAGGAGTTGGAAGGTCATGGGTCTTCTTCCATGTGCCGTTCTTCCTTAGCCAACAGTCACCGAAAACTGTTGTTGGTGCCGCTCGCCCACCCACAAGCAGACAATCCTCCTCATTCAGACTCGTCACGCTATGGCATATTCTCGCGGGAATATCCTTCGGCGGCATTGATCTTCCAGACTCTTTGATGCCAGGAGAATGAGTGTAGATGTCCGAAGTCGAAAGCCGGGATTGGGCTCCCTGTCCACCATGATGACCCAGGCGACGATCATTGTCCGGGATGAGCGCACCATAGCGTCGTTGCCCTTTAAATCGAGGAGGGCAATACGGAATCAGCCGGAAAGCGCTTGAAAGCGCGAGTTCAGAGTCTTGGGGTCCAGCCTGCCTTTGTTCTCCGTTTCGAGGAGGTTCCTTGCCCGTCGAGGCAGTGAGGAGAAAATAATGGGACGCAAATAGTGCAAATTCCTCCCATTCGTCGAATACTTCGTACGTGTCGAGAGACATTCTGCGGAAACTACTGAGGAAGGAGTTATCACTCCACAGATCCCACAGGTTCCTTGCATGTGCGCGTCCCCAGCCAGCATCAAGGAATCGCCTTTCTTGGTCGTGGAGCGAGGGGTAGTGATGGATCGAATGAAGCGGTGCCCGCAACTTGTTGAAATGTTTCATCATAGTAGCAGCGAAGGGATGATCCGGGCCGTCTGGGAAGAATTGCTCCAGCAAAGCAAATCGAACATCTATTGAGGTGAGCATTGTGCTACGACAGTCTGCACACGATTATCTCGGGCTAACCTTGGCTGAGACTAGATGTCCACTTGATGACAGCGTCTGCTGACTCGACATCCATATATGTGAGTGAGACTTCTGCAGTGCAAAGAATCGAACACTGGCCCTCTCCAATAATCGTCTTCAGAGTTTCTCCCAGTTTCTTCAGGTTCTTGAGATCACAGCCGACGCCAACATAATGCTTGCTCCGGATCAGCACCGCATTTTCATCTGAAAGGAACTCTACATCCTTCAATAGACTCGAAATTTCTGTGGTTTTCTCGATGGCGTTTCTCTTATTGATCATAAGTTTTTCGTAATCAATGTCCACAAAGGTTGCATTTTTACACAGGGACTCTTCTGTGCTGAGCAATTGGAAGGGAAGAGGATCACTACGACACCCAGTCTTAGCCTACGCCCAGCACAACTTCAGTTACAAGATCCGGACTCACAATCCACAGCCAAGGTTGAGCACGGATTTTGGATTATCTGATGGTTCCTCCAGGAAACGGCGGACTGTCTCTGTCATAGCATACATGCGAAGCCAGTATCCTCGATTTATTAGTGGGGCACGCCGTTGCGGCTTCTTGACGAAGTATCGAAAGAAATGGGGTTGGGGGTAGTAGAGGAGTTCAACGCTGCGTTTGGATACGATACTACTATTGTTCGTCTGATCAAGACCAAAAAATTTCAATATGCGTCAGTATGCATTTCAGACCTCTATTGTAGCAGTAGCTTACCCCCATCACCAAGTCCGCCTCCTTCTCCGCTTTTGTACTTGCAGTGGCCATGGCCGGTATCTTGACTGGAGCCATGGCTGAAGAGCTTTGGCTGGAGGCTAAGCAAGAATGCTCTGGATTGTGTGAAATAATCTTCTTTCTTAAATTCCGACATGCTCAGCGGGAAGGCAATCAAGGTGTGGTCCAAGCGTCCGTCGCTTGGCGCGCGCTTCCCCGGGCAGCCAAGCGATAGAGACGCCTCCAAACATCTGTTCCCGTGAACACCCTGCGCGGCTTACTGATTCCTACGATGATGCCTGCGGTCTGATCAAGTATTTTCCTTCATTTCGAAACAAACAAGGATTTATTTGATCAGACACGTCTACATAACCGGAGTGGTACACGAGTTCCTGTTTTCTGGTGAACAGGCCTTGTTATGGCCAGTTCTTGCTCATCTACCTTTTGATTGGTGAAGCGGGGTACGTCTTGAAACGGCCGGGGTTTATCTGCCTTGAACACAGGGAATACTTTGTTCGTAAACATAAGCCGGGCTTGGTTGATCAAATCGCGCAAGATGGCGATGAATTTTGTGACCTTCAACCAAGACTACAGCTATCTAGCTGTTGGTATGAAATCCCAATATTGAGACACGTTCTAGACCACTGACACCTCCCAGGTACCTCCAAGGGTTTCCGTATATTCACGACGGACCCATTTTCCAAGAGCTATGAGACCAAGGAAGGAAACATTGCCATCCTGGAGATGCTATTTTCCACATCTCTCGTGGCCCTCATCCTATCTCCACGACGTCTCCAGATCATGAATACTAAGGTCCGTAGATGTCCTAGAAACCGTCAGGATGCCTGTATTACAGGCTTGTTATCTGCATTTCTCGCATGACTGAGCTTGCAATATATTGACACTGGACTCTGCATAGCGTCAATCCACAATATGTGAACTGACGTTTCCGACAACCGTGCTCGCGGTCAGACTGAACCGGAAACGATTAGTGATAGTACTGGAGGACCAAATCTATCTTTACGACATTCAGACCATGAAGCTTCTGCATACTATCGAGACGTCGCCAAACCCTAACGGTAAGCATGCGAGACATATATTATCACCCCCGTTCCAACCAGATGCGTTTCTAATATTTCACAGCTATCTGCGCATTGTCGCCTTCCTCTGACAGCTGCTATCTCGCATACCCTCTTCCTCAGAAGGCCCCCCCTTCTTCATTTGCGCCTCCATCTCATGCTCCTCCAGGAGCCACTCACATCTCCCCGACAAGCGGCGAGGTGTTGATATTCGATGCGCTGAAGTTGGAGACCATCAACGTTATTGAAGCGCATCGATCTCCCCTATCTTGCATTACCTTGAACAGTGAGGGTACCCTCCTGGCTACTGCATCTGACAAAGGAACGATCATCAGAGTCTTCTCAGTGCCTGATGGTCATAAATTATATCAGTTTCGCAGAGGTTCGATGCCCTCGAGGATATACAGCATGTCATTCAACACGACATCAACCCTTCTCTGTGTATCCTCGGCCACTGAAACAATCCACATATTCAAACTAAGCCATCAGGGCCAGCCCTCTGGAGCTGCATCCGCCTCCACATCATCTTCCCGTGATCGGTCAGCTAGTCAGAGTTCTTACGGGTTGCCATATGAATCCGAGGAACCAACCGGTGATGACGATCCAACCGATATATCGTCAAGAAAACACAACGGCACCTTCATGGGGATTATCAGACGGACATCGCAGAATGTTGGGAATACCTTTGCCGCTACTGTCGGCGGTTATCTCCCAAAGGGCGTGAGTGAAATGTGGGAGCCGGCACGGGACTTTGCCTGGATTAAACTACCTAAGTCGGGCCAAGGATCCGGCGGAGTTGGCGGTTCAGGGCCAGTAAGGAGTGTTGTTGCAATGAGTAATAATACTCCTCAGGTTATGGTGGTGACCAGTGAAGGCAACTTCTATGTTTTCAACATCGATCTCTCAAAGGGGGGTGAGGGTACTCTGACAAAACAATACTCGTAAGTTCTTCTTGCTTTCGCAGACGGAAATACATCACTAATCATCTGGTTACTCAGAGTTCTTGATTCGAACGACAAACTCGGCTCTTCTGTGATGGATTATTGAATTTCTAGCCATATCATTATACTCTCGTTTCTAGCGGATCTTACTCTGATTACTGATTCCCAGGCTAAGTGGTGTTGCATATTGTGACAGTGGCGAACATCTCTTTTTTGGGCGAAGCATCTTTGACACGAACTCTTATCTGCTTAAATATACTACCCTATCTGGCATTGATCGTTGTGCGTATTGCGAACATATATCCATAAATGCAATTGTATTCAACAATCGACGGAGAAGTACATGCTCAAAATATGTCTTACAGGTTGGATGAACAGCAGTGTGTCGGTGTACAAAGCGCACGTGCAGGTGATCTGTCAGTCATCCGTCTGCAGCAGGTTCTTTGGTATCCTAGACCATGTTTCCATGCCATTTAGGATTCGACACAGTGCAGTAGGACCGAGAACGTGCAGGTGCGGCGGTCTTTCAATAAATACAGCTCATAGAGCATCAGTTTTTCTCAATATGCTTGCTCCTAATCGCATTTTGCATAAAAGGCAAGGCATCCACGTCGTGGTTAACTCCAAGTTGCTTTCCAACACTAAATCGACTAACTAGAACTTTACCTGATAAGATATCACCTCAGTCGTTAGTTACGAACCCTTCCAGTTGCTCATAGAAACTAACCCTTTCCCCCGCTACAAATGTGATAAGGACATATCGAGGAATTTTGCGAATGGATCGTCGCCCGATAAGCTGATAAGGATATCGGCCGATCCGTCTATCAGCACCACAACTTAGCCTTGCTCAAGTATATATATCCGGTGGATCTCTGAAGTATAAACGGGGTATCGGATTAGGTCTCAGAAAACCCTCTATTTACGGTCCAGCAAGATGCCTCGAATCATACGCATCGCAGCGGCCCAGATGGGCTCTACCCATCTTACAGATCCCCGCGAGAAGACTCTATCTCGAATGCTCAAGCTTCTGGATGATGCTGCATCGCAGGGCGCACAGCTAGTTGTTTTCCCAGAGACGGCTTTCACAACATTCTTTCCGCGATACTTTTTCGCGGATGAAGAGGAACTGGAGTCGTGGTTTGAGCACGGAGATATTCGGACGGCTCCCAACACGAAAGCCTTGTTCGATAAAGCACAGCAGCTAGCAGTTGACATTTGCGTGGGATTCGCCGAAGCGACAGATGACAGCGAGCATTACAATACCTGCATCTACTACCATGCTAAGACGGGCTCTATCATCTCGAAGTATCGCAAGATCCATCTCCCAGGAGACTTTGAGCCTTGGCCGGATCCCAACGCCATAAATCAACTGGAGAAGAGATATTTCAAGCCAGGAAACCTAGGATGGCAAGCCTTCCGCGTACCTGACTTGACAACATCCCCTCCCGAACGTGGGGATCCTATCTTCGGAATGATGATCTGTAATGACCGCCGGTGGGCAGAGTCATGGCGTGTTCTGGGCCTTCAAGGCGTGGAAGTCGTCCTATGTGGTTACAATACCGCCGGATGGGCTCCTGAACTCTGGGGTTCTTCAGCAGACGAATCCCCCGAGGAGGCAGAACGTACGGCGATCTTCCAACATAAGCTTTCCATGCAGGCGCATTCGTACACCAATGCCACATTCTCAGTCAGTGCTGCGAGATGTGGCTTGGATGATGGGAAGTATGACTTGATAGCCGGATCTTGCATTACCGATCCCGAGGGCCGGATCATCGCAGAGAGCAAGACGAAGGATGATGAAGTGATCATTGCGGATTGTGATCTCGATCAGTGCAGGCCGGGGAAAACGAGAACATTCGACTTCGCAAGACATCGACGTATTGAGCATTATGGGAGGATAACTTCTCAGACTGGAGTCATTGAGCCTCCAAAGCTGAACGAAAGAGACGGATCCGCGAGTCCTAATACTGGAGAATATGTCATTGTTGGTTCTGGATCGCCGTCTACTAAGGAAAGCAAGAAGATCCGTATTCTTCTCTGTAACCCGAATGCGACGAAGTTCATGACAGATAATTGCGTTAAGATGCTTCAGCCAACCCTACCTCCAGACGTGGAAGTTCATGGCTTCACTGCACCTACTCCAGCGCCAACCGCCATTGAAGGCCATATGGACAGTGTCATGTCTACTGCGGCAGCTGTGCGGGCTATCATACCCATGGCTGACAAGTACGATGCTTTCCTCGTGGCCTGCTACAGCGACCATTCTCTGATCAGGCCTCTGAGAGAGGAGCTAGACAAGCCAGTGATCGGGATCATGGAAGCAAGTCTCTTCGCGGCGCGGACGCTGGGTAATCGCTTCGGAATGATTGCGACATCGAACAGATCAAAACCAATGGCGGAGGATGCGATCAGGCACTACGGCTTCGGTGACTTCTGTGTCGGTGTTGGAAGCTGTGGACTGGGGGTTCTGGAGCTTGAGAGCAAGCCTCAGAAAGAAGTTCTCGATATCATGTGCGGTGTTGCCAAAGACTTGGTAGCCAAAGGAGCGGATACATTGACACTGGGATGCGTTGGAATGACCATGCTGAAACCTGCCGTCGAGGAAGCTGTAGGTGAGGACGTCCAGGTAATCGATGGCGTTCTTGCAGGTGTTCATCATCTTGTCGGTCTGGTGAGGATGGGGAGCAAGACGGCCAAAGCAGGCATGTATGCTAGTTCGAAAAGTGATAGGCAGAGGAGAGGCCAACAATACTTTTAACGGGTGGACTAGTCATGCTGCTGATTTATACCATGAGGAATCAATTACCGCAGCTAGGAAGTCTGAAGATAGTTCGATGTTAAAAGCATAAAGAATTCAAATAACCTAGCGACTATCATTCTCATCGCGTATCCAATATATGAAGCTCGTAGCTGATACTAGTATCGTCCTCCTAGCCTCCACCCCTCCGATTATTAGTGACCAAAACATTACATCCAGGAGTAAAACGTAACTCCTTAGTAAGAAATTCCCTGGAATTGGCGGTTGAACCAGTCAATAGCCTGGTCTTCCGCTTCCTCCGCCTGTCGCTCCGCATCCTTCAAGATATGATCCGCACGAACGGCGAATCCATGACCTGCGCCATAGTAGGTCCTGACTTCTCCTTTCTCACCATCAGGCTTGGCCTCGACAATCTGTCGGATTTGCTCAATCTGTGGCACCTTGACCTGGATATCCTTGTCACCAATTGCAAAGCTGACGGGCTTCTTGATCTTCTCGATCTCAGCAGGGATCTCCAAGTTGCTTGGATGAGCCGTGAAACCGGCGTCAAGGAGAGGCTTCCCGTTGCTTTCGTAGCCCTGGGCCAAATTCACCGTGTGCTTGGCGCCCCAGCAGAAACCGGCAGCGCCGATGGGAAGGTGAGCGCCTTCATTCTCCCTCACAGCAGTGAAGAAATCCTTGACGATCGGCCAGGTCTTGGGGAAGCTATTGCGAATCACAAAGGGGACCATGCCATAAATAAGCCAGCCGACTTGGTATCTGACATAAATAGTCAGCATACATGGATTCTGAAGAGTCAGTGAGAGACGCTTACGGCTTAAGCAGCCACGACCACAGTGAACCGGTGTCGAAGAGACCGTACAGCATCCCTGGGATCCAGTGAGGTGCGGAATTTCCTATCGTAAGAAATTAGTATCCGTGATTACATGGGTCCAATGCGCAACCAGATATGCGCGGTTTACTACCGGGGTACATATATCACTGGGATCAGTAACGAAGCTTACCGTTCATGAATTCCGGCAGGTACACTTTATAGCTGCCCTTCTCCGCATAGTGGTCCGCTAGGATTCTGTTGTTTGGAAACTCCCATCCGAACGCATCGGGGATAATAATGATGATTCCCTTGACTGGCTTGCCTTCTTCAGGCTCGGAGACGTACGCATCCAGCCCATGAAGTTTGACAACCTTTCCCTTGGGAGTGCCGTCGTGCACTGAGCCACTGAAGCATTGAGGGCAAGACATATTTGTCTAGGGTTGCGAAACAGTGCTGATATTAATAGGTACTTAGTAGACTTGATGTCGAGTGCCACTTGATAAGAGCTCCCTCGCAAGCTCTTCCCTGTCGCTAATTGAATAGAGATCGATTCTCCAACACAATTGCCAAGAGCTGAAGATGATCTTGAGTGATTTCAGTCAGGTTGATACGCTGAGTTCGATGCGCAAACCAACTCTCGATGGAAATGAGGGGACGGGAGTCGGAGTTAAGCACGGAGATATCGCTGCAGTCTGCCTTGCTGCCTTGGCGTGTGCACACAAGCTTAGATCGCTGCAGAAATGATGCATGTTACTAGGCAGTTAGTCTATCTAGCAATAATACGCTTGCTTCTACCAGCGTTGCATAACAAAGCTGTCCAGGGGATAGTTAACCGCCCTACTTACTAAGTTGCCCAAAACACAGATGGTGATGATGATGGGGAGAAATCTAAATCGACCTACACGAGTGTCACAAAGTTCTCGATGAGACCGAGGGGTCTTCTCTATGATACCACCTTACCAAAAGTCAAAATACACAACATGAGTACTTATGATAGCCACAGAGGAGGATTGGAAGAAACCAGCAAAGAGCGTCGGGTTGAGAGACCCTCTAGCGCAAAGAACAAGCGTGATCGTCCAAAGCACATGAACCCACTTCAAGCCGGTATTCAGAACTTTGTGATAAACAATCTATCATCATCTGTGCTGTCAGCCAATGGGATTACAAGAGAGGCTCTATTTTCGTCTCTCCCAAAACGGTTCACTGTTTACCAGCCTCTTCTACTATTGCCAGCAAATGCCTTCAGCTCGCCTCCTGCATGGGGCACTATATGCAGAGACCTTGATAATGACCAACGAGTGACTCTTTATGCATCCATAGCTGCAGCTTTTAGCAGTATGGGAGTTACTCACGTTGCAATAAATGCTCCTATCGAAGCCAGAAACGACACTGGCAGGGAGAACAGGATGCGGAGTCCCACAGGCCTGGTACCACTGTATGGTGATTTTGGTCCCTTTCCACAATCGGGGGATAGAGAGGAGCAACAGCCTACATCTGCTGATTTTGCGTCCGCATTCTGGGTGCACACTTCCCAAAATGGTGGGATCTTTCAGACCTGGGCACCTCTCCATACTATGTTCTCCCGCGGTAACATTACGGAAAAGGCTCGGATATTAGGGCAAGGTATCAGATTCGATGGTCTTGATGAAGGGACCCTAAAAGGAGAGAAGGTCCAGGATATTAGTGTTGTCGACATGTACGCCGGAATCGGGTACTTTGTGTTTTCGTACCTCAAGAGAGGAGTGAAGAGAGTTTGGGGATTCGAGATTAACGGGTGGTCAGTGGAAGGACTGCGTAGGGGATGTATAAAGAATGGCTGGGGCTGTAAAGTTGTACAGATCCACGACGACGGCACACTAGAAGGGGGGTTACAAAAGCTTGTTGACGAGCTTAGTGACGCTCACAGGGTTGTCATCTTTCACGGAGACAACAAATTCGCGGCGGACATATTAGGACAGGTTAAGGACTTCATGGAACCTAGGGGATCATGGAACAGTGTACGGCATGTGAACCTCGGTCTGCTACCCACGTCAAAGCCGGCATATGAATGTGCCTACAGACTCCTCGATCGAAGATACGGCGGTTGGGCTCATGTGCATGAGAATGTCGACATTCGGGAAATTGACCAGAAGAAAAACAACATTCTTGGGGAATTTCAGTCGCTCTCAACTCTATTGGATAAGAAGTCCATCTCACCTGGATCACTGGCCAGCATGCAGTGCCAACATGTTGAGCAAGTGAAGACTTACGCACCAGGAGTGATGCATTGCGTTTTTGACATTGAGTTGATATTCGGGGATTCCTAATGGATACAAATACACATCATCCGTGGCACCATTAGATTGAACTGATATGTAATCGATAACGATCTTCCAAGTATTTCATGAGCTCCAAATCCGTGCGCAATGCCGTGTAACCAGTTGTCTACGGTCTTTTGATAAACACCATAAATCATCTTATATATACATATTAAAAAACCGCCGCGTGATCATGTCTGTCGGAGGAATTTCTGCGGAATGTTGGCTTCAACAATCTGCATCTTCTCTAGCTGATCCAGCCGTTCCTGGGCCAGCTCCTCCTCGTCATGCTTCCGGAAGTGCTCAATATCCTCAGGATGCGTAAGCTCCTCCTCCGTTGCATCGTCACCGTGGTACTTCTCGAAGTGATGGATCTCGTATTCATATTCCATGTCTCCATGGTGGCCTGGACCAAGGCCGAAATCTGGCAATTTCCTTCCAGCCTGGTTGAGACGCATCCAGTCGGAGAAAGAGATAACACCCGATTTTAGGGGGTCGAAGAGCGTGAATACTTCTCGGACGACTTCCTGCTTCTTGTCTTCACTGACGCCTGCAGTAGAAGCATCATCCAGACCGTAAGTTTTGCGAACTTCGTCTGGTGTCCATGCGCCAGAACCGTCGTAATCGTGCAGGGTAAAGAAGGAAGCAGCGTCGAAGTTGTCGATATGATGCTCCTCTATTGAATGTATTAGCAATGCGATCGAAGAATCAGTAATTTCGCCGATCAGAAATTGAATTACCTTGCATGTGCATCGTAGCCCAGTCGAGGTTGCCCTGCTGCGTGGCCGGTGGATGGTAACCGTGGCCGTTGGCAATGCTGGTCAGACCCAGCAGAGCCGTGACAAGACTGATGAACGCAGGCGTCATAGTAGAAGTCGACAGAGCCTGCTTAGTAGGATACTATGACAAGAGGAGCCTGATATCCAAGAGCTCCAAATCAACCCCTCTGGCAGCCTCTCGAGTATCTTCTCCTTATTGTCAATGTCCAGAACGAAGCTTGTTTGCAGCGTTTGCATTCCGCCGGCCCGGAGCCGGAAGTCCGCCGATGACCACGCAAAACGAAGCCGACTCGAACAACCGCGAGCTGCACACCACTGCACCGACTCCCTCGTTTCTCACGCCCTTCTATCGTGGCCATTGTGCCCTAGGGCGTTTCAATTAGATCGCCGGAGCGCCCTATATTATCCAATTCCGGACCCTTCCAGCAATGCCGACATAATGCAGGGTCTGTGGTCTCGAGCCGCTTCGTCGCAGTCGGCCTGTCGCTGCGTTTCCTGTCTAAGTACGGCTGCCAACGGCATCAGTTCACGAGCAGCAACTGCTGCGAGCCGTCGACGGCTCCGAATTGGAAATTCAGTGACAGCACTATACTCGAGTATCTTTGCGGCAGCTGCATTAGCCGATGCGCGGGTCAAGGACAAGCGTCGACATGAATGGGAAGAGAAAATAGCGGCAGTGAAAGAGGAGGTGAATGAACTGGTAGATGAGGAAAAACGGATATTGGAGGCCCTTTCTTCACGCAAGAGAAACGGACAGTTTTCTCGGCAAATGCAAGTACGACAATACAGCACTGCAGCTGGATTCCGAACAAACATTGAATCGCCGCGACCAGAGAAATACACGCTGGAGCGTCAATTCGACAAATTCGAAGAATCGCTTCCATCTCAGACTACGGAAGCGGCGGTTCCTCCCGAACCGGAGGCGGAGGAGACACTGTTTGACGAAGATGGGGAGGAAGAAAATGACATATTCACTTCTTTCGAGACGCCGTGGACAGCTGGCGATCCCCTTCGGACTAAAGCAATTCAAAAACTAGCATTGAGACAGTTAGCTATCCGGTTATTGCTGCGCCCTGTTGTTGCTCCCAACTATTCCGGCCTGCCTCTCGATTATCCGACAGATTCGGCTTTACCAAAATTAAACGTCACAGAGCTGATGGCTCAATTGCGGATGACGCAGAACAGAATCTATGCTCTTAGATACAGAGAGGATGAAGCTTTCGACGATCTCGCAAAAGATATGCATATCCGAGCATTTAACGAACTGCGGTCGGAGCGTTGCAAGCTCGATGAGATCCTTCGGGATGATATCAACCTTTACCTAAGCAATAGAATGCCTTTGCCGGAACTGCTTGTACGGATTTCGGATAATCTGATGGCAAGCAAGGAGCCGGATCGCCCTAGAGCCTTTCAGGTGATGATCATGGCTTTTACGAAAACGCGCAAAAATGACCTGGTTGATCTCGTTCTGCGGACAATGCTACCAAATCAATTCGAACTAAACCCCTCGGTGATCGTTTCGGTTCTGACATACTTTAGAAAATCGAAAGATCTCAAAAACTTCGACTTGTTTCTCGAAATGCTGATGGGACAAGGATACCCTGCCAATATCCCTCCTTCAGCTCGTTGGAAGTCGAAGGTGATTAATGGAATAGAGATTGTGGTCCCTCCCGTAGCCGCCTCCAATCCGGTTATGTATGGTACTCTTATTGCTGCAGCGCTCCGTTTTGACCAGCCTGACAGAGCAGAGGCTTGGATGCAGGCTTGGCGGGCGGCTGGTTTCACGGACGACTTCAGTACCCTATGTTCGTTCTTGAGATTCTACACTATCAGGAAAAATTGGGAGAAAGGTCGACATGTATTGAAGAGGGCCGTGGCCTTTATGCTGTCTTCGACCTCTCATCCACCCAGACGCATTGAGCGCTTAATTGTACACATGGTGCACTTTTGCGATTCTTGCGCGCAAGAAGATGTCTCTGCTACTCTTATTGCGGCAGCTGTAAGGAGCGGTTTCGACTGGAATGCAGCTCGCAGACAGCATGACATTTCTGCAGATTTCGACCCTGCCTTCCAGCGGTGGCGGAACGCTGATGCTGAAATTTCAAGGGAGCCGTTCCAGCACCGAAATATAGCAGAAAAATGCTCCTCGTTCGCGGCTTTGGTCGAGGATGAAATAAACGAGGCATGCCAATCTGGAGAGAAGAGGAACGCAGTCGACGGGAAGAGGGCACCGTCAGTCAATGTACCCAGCGCTGAAGTAATGGTTTCCAGTATTCCAACTACTTCCAGCGAAGAACTGCACGCACTGAGAGAGGAAATCACACGACTGAAGACGATGGTATCTCAGCTATATCAAAACGAACAGGCATCCCAAGCCCCTCACGAAACACCAGAGAAACTGGCTTTCTCCCCCACGCAGCCGGGTGCTCACCTCGCCGAGCAGGCCTCTATACCCCGCAGAACTGCCTACACGCCAGGTTCTGGTCACATCAAAGATGTTACACCACGACCACATGTACGGGAAGAAGGCCGAAAACGTATGGTCGTACGGACAATCTTGTCAGGTCCGGGTGCAAACTGAGAGGTCCACCACTTAGTAGAACGAGCGTTTCGAAGGCCTCATATCGGCTGCTTGAACCCACCATGTGTGAACATCATCCATAATGCGACGAAACAAGTATAGAGACGCTCTTCTTGTATGTGGAAAACGGGTCATTTACTCTATAGACGTTCAGTTATCATGCTCCGGAATAATAGTTTACCGGGCCTGTGACAATGGTACGGATAACTCCTGCATTTCTTTTCTCCCAGTCGCATCTCCCACTCTGTTCTTCCCTCATTTGGAGAGAATTTTTGTACATGTACATACTTTACGCCCATAGGATTTATCGCGTCGCGATGTACCAATAAATGACCTTTGAAATCCCAAAAGCTGGCTTTATAAAAGTCCCAAGCACTTGGAATACGTACCAAGGTATAATTGCCTACCGGGAGTGATTTGGTCATACAAGACATCAAATTATCAAGGCCCGTTATACCAGTCCTCCTAAATTTGATCATAATGCTTTTTCATTCTGAGACTTTTTGTCCACTCCAGTCATCGAGAGTGGCTGCACGAAGAATGATTATGTCGTTCGTAGACTGCAGGTGCTTGATTTCGGATTTCTGTCTTTCGAGTTCTGACTCGATGCGATCGAGTCGTTCTAAGAGACTCATACCGTCCTTGTTTCCGATGAATCTCTTCCTGGAGTTTATGTCGACGTCGTCTGGACTTAGGATTCTTTCTTTGGGAGGATATAACTGCCTCGTCTTGGGACGACCACATTCCACTTCTGTAGACGGAGTTAGTCTAGGCAGCAAAGGAAATCTAGACGAATTCGGTATGCTAGATTAAGAAAACGGTTACTTACCTCTCTGATGGCATCACATCTAAGGGCTTTCTCATTGCATTCTCGTTTCTTTTAATGCATGTTGATGATTTTTGTTACGGACAGAGATAGATCCAGTGATTGAGAAGGGAGAACACCAGCCCTCTGGGCCGAAAGTGATAGAGTATGAAATATTTCTCTCTATTCCGGAGACAGAGAAAGTCATTCAGACTATTCAAGAAGAGGCTATCTTTATGACAATGATAGTGGTCTGGTAGCAAGAAGATCTGAAAGTGAAGTGAAAAGGAGTGATTGTATGTGGGTAGAAGAGTGACGCATCGTTGGTATGTGAAGGAGCACCCCAGACTCTGGCAGACCTTTCCCCCCCTCCTTCGATTGCAGAGTACACGTGAAATCGTCTACAAGCCTAAACGTCCTCACGATCAAATCAATGTATTCTGTAACCGTCTTCTACTTGGCCTTGTCTACCTATCCTCGTCCTCGAGATTAGCTTTTAGAATGCGCCTTTGTCTCTTGGCTAATGTGTCTCGGTTTGTAAGAAGAATAGCTAATTAACTAATCCTATAGTATATACTCGCTATCTATTAACTTTGTTGTCAGAGATGGTCTAGTTATAGTTAGTAGCAATTTGCGGCCGTCGCTGACGTCGTGCCATCGCCGTGCTCGTCGGTCCTCTTCTCGTTGGCGACTCCCCCACCAACTGAGACATCTATTATCATGCTGTCTCTGTCCTCGTGAGGTGGCGTTTGAACCTCTTGCAGAGTTCGAGGGAGGGTTTTGCGAGGAATCCGGCTGCTGGAATCGACGATGTTGATAGTCCGGTGGTGGCTAGGTATTTATTATTCAACCGTGGCGACCCAGATACGGGCGAGAATTTAATGACTTCCGGTAGGGAATTGTATGTACGTGGTACATTCTGGAGCGAAATGAAATGATAAAATGCAAATAATGCAAATATTTGACATTTAAAGATGTCAAATCAATTCCTTTTTTCATTATATTTTCATCTCAGGATCTGAGAGACTGTACACTCTGGAAAGGCCTGTGTACAGAAAGACAAAAAGATGCCATAGGACAAATTTTAGATACATCGCGTCGGATTTTGACAGAGCTATGGAAAGCACGATCTATAAAGGCCAATCTGGGGCCTAGATGACGCCACTAAATAGGACTCACAAGTCCTAAATGCACGCAGAACTACCAGACTCCGGAACCGAAAAATGAGAAAAAACATAGTCGCATGGAAGACCAGAACCTTCGATACACCCTACATGTTGACGACCGCTGAGGGTTCAACCGCCGCAATGTGTCTCATGAGAGTATTCGCAACGGGAAACATAAAACCTTTTTAACGTCTCTTGCTGGGGTCGGCACGCATCTTCTCCTTGCGGGCCAGTCTTTCGGCTGCACGAAGAAGAGAAGAGCGAACGTCACCTTTCGGGAAAGAAGGGATGTCATAGTAGGTCGGGGCGATCTCCTGTAGTAGAGATATTAGCATCGTGCCAGAATTTAAGTTTGTGTATAGATATAGGACTTACCAATAGCCACTCTGGCTTGACAGCTGTGACAGTTCGGATGTAATTCTTGGTGGTTAGGACAAATTCGTTGTACAAAACCCACTCTGCTTCATGTCCCAAGACGGTGCTGGGATGAAGGAGCACGTTCTGGTTGTCCTTGACCGTGATATACATGTTCTTTCCCTGAGATTCCTTCTTTGCAACCTGCATGAAGAATCCGGCACACAAAGCCCGACGAATATTCTCGTAGTACTTCTTGTCCTCGAACGGAGTGGAAACGAGCTCAATCTCTTCACGTTCCATGATGCGCAGAAGTTGCAGACGGACATTGTCTGCTGACTGCAGAGATCTCAGCGAGAGGAAGTGGTCATGGCACCACTGCTTAGGGTTTGCTTGGGCTTCTGGTCCCTTAAAAGCGTGGTAGACATTTAGAAGAGTTAGATGATCACCATCCGGGTGGGCGAAGAGACTCTTCATCTCATCCGCCCGCTTCCTCTGGGAGTTTGGACGAACGAAGACCTGCGGAACGGAAAGCAAGGCAGTAATTGACAAGATTTCGTTCGAGCAGTAGAATTCAGGAGAACTGATCAACATCACCGCAAGGGCCGGATCCAGCGGGAAGTCGGAAGCAAGACGACCAAGTGCTGTCAAGTTACCGTCATCATCGAGACATGCGAGGTAATTCAGTTCCTCCAAAGCTCGCATCAGTGTCTCGGGGGCAGGCGGGTCCATCAGATCGAAGTGAACAAGATCGTCGATGCCGAGTTTCTTTAGTTCCAGCACTGTGGATGAAAGATTAGATCGGAGAATTTCCGGGTACGTCTGGTCGATAAGTTCCTTCTTGAAAGCTCCCTCGGTATAGAGACGGAAGCACTTTCCAGGGCGAGTACGACCGGCACGACCAGCTCTCTGCTGCGCAGAAGCCTTCGAAATCGGCGAGACCAGAAGCGACTCGACTCGAATACGAGGGTTGTACACCTTCTGCTTCGAGAAACCAGGGTCCACCACGTACACAATACCATCAATAGTCAGTGAAGTTTCCGCAATGTTCGTAGAAACAATGCACTTTCGTCCAGGTCGACCACCTGGTCTCCGTGGTGGCGGCGCTGGGTCGAAGATGCGCTGCTGCATGTGTGGAGGAAGACTTCCATAAAGCGGATAGACCTTCATCGGGCCAGCATCCGCCTCTCGAATCATCTCATCTGCTTCCAGTGAGATCTTGCGAGCGGCATCTTCGATCTCTTCTTCTCCAGTCAAGAACAACAGTATATCTCCTTCCGGCTCCGTGGCGTGAATCTGGAGAACGGTGCGAACTGCAGCCTCGACATAATCCTGTTCGGGCTCCGGGGTGTAGAAGATCTCAACAGGGTGGGTTCTTCCGGGAACCGCAAGAAGAGGAGCATCGTTAAAGTAACGCTGGAACTTTTGCGCATCCAGAGTAGCAGACATGATGATGATCTTCAGATCCGGACGGCGTAGGACGACCTCCTTGAGGAGACCCATCAAAACATCAGTCGCCATGGTTCTTTCGTGTGCCTCGTCAAGAATGATTGTGCTGTACCGCTTGAGATCGTGGTCATTCATAGCCTCTCGCAAAAGCATACCATCCGTCATATACTTGAGGATCGTCTTCTGGCTAGTCATGTCTTCAAAACGAATGCTATAACCGACCTCTTCGCCCAACTTGACGTCCATTTCCTCGGCCACACGCTGGGCGACGGACATGGCGGCAACACGACGAGGCTGAGTACAGGCGACTAGTTTCCGCTGACTCTGAGGGAGATCATCGAAGAGGACAAACTGAGGAATCTGAGTCGTCTTTCCGGAACCGGTCTCACCAACGAATACGAGAATCTGGGACTGCTGGTAGAGCTTTAGGAACTCATCCCTAGTCAATATATTAGCCTGTGATCCCCCCACGAATTCCCTGCTGTCAACTACTCACCTCTGCGCATGAACGGGAAGATCGCGGCGTGTCTTCAGGATGGAGAAGTATTTTTTGGAGAAAGGCTTGCCATTGAATGGGTTGATTTCTCCATCCTCGGCCTTTTGCGCCATTGCAGCCGTCGTCTGATGTCTCTTGAACTTCGCAAAGGGACCTTCGCTGCCATCGGTCCATGTTTGCGCTTTGCCGTTGGTCTCATCGGCGTACATGTGCGCCAGATAGGGATTGTTCCTGGGATCCATGTCTTCCTTCTCCGTCTTCTGTCGCTTCGCACGCGACCCTTCTCCGTCAGGACGCCTGTCAACCATGATTTAGAGAGTGCTGCGGGGTCCAACAGTCTCTTCGACAGGCTTGTTGTGGCTAAAGAAGATATCGCGGAAAAAAAGTACGATAGGCAATCTTGCCGAGCTATCGCCACGCTTGCCTATCCTGCCTCACCGCCTTTGATTCTGCCGGAACTTCACCCGCCCACACACGCATCCCGCGCTGAAATAATAGCAGTCGGACTCAAGGGAGAGCAGCTACAGCTGACGTGCCATTCAATCAAGGGTCTGCCCCTTTCCTCCCTTCAAGGATGATGTGCTCTGCATAATGGCTGTGATGCCTTTGTTTCTTAAACTCACCTCTGCCAGAACCAGCCTGAAGTGAAGTGAGACTTGAGCGGACCATGTGCCATACTTCCCCCACATTGTTTCTATACTATTTCGGACGAATGTTCATGAAATAAACAATATAAACAATACCATTTACAGCCAGCTTACCTTCGACAACTAATCAGTATCTTTGTCGCGATTGCTTCAGCAGGCCATATATCCTTCTCAACGGATATCGACGCGTCCAACTGCAACGAAAATGGCGTCGACAGCAGGAAGCGAAGATATGATCTTCTCATTTTGTGTGGGCCAGCATGAGAGTAAACGCTCTCTGCCTGTCACTGCGGAGCTAGTGCAAAGGGCCCATGAAAGTAATGTATGTACTTTCACTATACTCGACTCGTTACTTGTTGCTGACCACCTGCGCAGTATGACATGTTGACAACCCCGGTGACGACCCCTCACTTCCACTCTCGAGTGCTCACTCTGCTCTCTTCTCATCTATCGAATTCACAGCCGCCATCTTACGATGTTAGTGGCACATTTGAGACGTCCCAGAATACGCGACCTTTGACGGTTCCTCCTTTGTCAGCGGTCGATACACCATTGACCCCTAACGATTCCATAAGTCAGTTGATGGGTGTCACTAGCACATGGATAGATCTATGTTCTCCAGACCCTCTGATTGCGGATATTTCGAGGCAGATTCTGATGCTAGAGGTCGCCTATGCAGCTTTCTGCGGTATCGGTTACCTGGTCATTCCCGGACCTAAGCTTCATCATGGAACTCTCCACTCAGAAGGCCTAATATATTACGCAAGAGCCGTCCAGGAAGCTCTCAACCTCGCTCCGTACATTCAGTTCCACATCTGGATGAAGATGACCGATAACTCTGATCACGAAGTGGATGAGATAGGTGATCTAGCTCCGTTTGCGCGAGAAGAGTTCCTCCAAGATCTAGATGAAGGGCGCGTTCCCAAAGCGGATCCATTCGGGACTTGGGATGCATGGGAAGTCATCAGGAGAATATGTAAATACCACACGAGGCTTTTCGTAGGTAAGAATAGAAAGCGTTCTTCTTTTCTCGCTATCCCAGACCGGCAGTTTATATAGTGTACTGAATGCGGCTGCTAACCCTTGCTAGCCTTGTCCTTACCAAGGCATCTCCCGGCGCTGCACGTCCAGTCGAGGTGGCACTGTGAGCCTGTCCATTTGCTCACAATCAATGCCACTTCATTCATCAAAAACCAGAAAGGATACCCCGTCTTGTCGAAGGCTCACCAGGCTCTCATAGCCAAGTTCATGCGACTGCGCACACCACCGTGGATTCTTCTTTGCGATGTTGGACCTATCCCAGGGTCGGATGGAGTTGACGCGGAAGACTCTCAGACGGCCACCGAACCTTCCATATCAGCCAGTTCGAACTATCCAACTCTCGCCCAATCCGTAGCACAAAGCAAGAAGCACCATGATCCAACTCCTCATCTGTCGTATATCCGAAACCTTCAGCAAAGACAGCCGCCTCGCACTCCTATCGAGCGCTTTGGAATTGGGTACCAGGATTATCTGCAAGCACCCCTGCAGCCATTGACGGTCAATCTGGAGAGCATAACCTATGAGGTCTTCGAGAAGGACCCTATCAAGTACGAGTGGTATGAGCAAGCCATCGCAAAGGCACTCAGAGACTGGGTGGATCAGAAGAAGCCAACGTCGAGTCCCGACGGCCGCGTTGTTGTCGCCGTCGTTGGCGCAGGAAGAGGTCCCCTGGTTACTCGTGCTCTCCGAGCCAGTGCCGAAACTGGAGTCAGTGTCGAAGTATGGGCAGTAGAGAAGAATCAAAATGCCTTTGTCCTTCTCCAACGCCACAACGAGAATATCTGGGGCGGAGAAGTCAAGCTGGTCAAATCGGACATGCGCAGCTGGAAGGGCCCATGCAGAGAGCTGCCCCCGAAGAATCCGCGAGAGTCATACATTGGACAGGCCATCAGCCCTGACAGCTCGACGCTTCAAGTCTCAGAGACGAGCAACAAGGAACAGCAGCCAACGGCCCCCGCCAACCCTCCAGCTTCTGTGCTCACCCATACTCCCATCGATATACTCGTTTCGGAACTTCTGGGCTCATTTGGAGACAACGAATTATCTCCCGAATGCCTCGATGGCGTCACCCACCTCCTGAACCCTGTTCATGGTATTTCGATTCCGGCGTCTTACACCGCACACTTGACACCCATATCTGCTCCGAAACTTCACGCAGATATTACGGCTCAAACCGTCTCCAACCCTGCGGCCCCTGAAACGCCTTACGTGGTAATGCTGCATGCAATCGACTATCTCTCCACGACCCCACCGGCAGTCTCAGTCGTTAGCCCTCCTCCCACCTCAAGCGGCGGCGGCGCTGGTAATGGCCCCAAGGACAGCAGCGGAAGCCGATCTGCAACATCCACCCCTCCTCCAGTTATCGAAGGAACAACTCCAATCGTACAGACAGCATGGTCCTTCTCGCATCCAAACCACAACATTTCTCCTCCATCCCAAGGCAGTTCCATCCTTTCCAACGCACATAACGTGCGTCAGACACGATTGACATTCCCCTGCCAGAACCGCGGCGTCTGCCATGGTCTAGGTGGTTATTTCGAGACTGTTCTGTACCGTGACGTCGAACTGTCCACGAATCCAGTCACTATGGACGCCAAGAGCTCAGGAATGATCAGCTGGTTCCCTATATTCTTTCCCTTGAAGGTAAAACCCCAACACAACCCAACCGAATAAAAAAAAAAAAGAAAACTCTTCTATAACAGAACATTCTCCCAAGGCTAATACTATATATCTACACACACAGACCCCACTCTACGTCCCTGACAACGGCCAAATCGTCGTTACCATGTACCGCCAAACAGACGACCGCAAAGTATGGTACGAATGGATGGTTGAAGTCTTCGCCCTGGAGCGCATCGCGGCACCCGCTTCTCCTACAGGCTACACGAGTCCCGTCATGACTGGGGCACGAATGGCATCCCCAGGTCCCGATAGCGCGCGATTCAAGAGCAAAGATCAGCTTCGGAAAGAAGGATGGCGACGGGTTCGGGTCGGAATGAGTGATTTGCATTCGAGCATTAAGGAAGCTTGTCTGATGTGAGATGCAACGGAATGGGACTAATGCAGAGGCGGTGGGGGAGGAGGAGAGTCCTCTCAGGATAATAAAAGAGTGGTTTGGAAGAATCCAAGAAAATGTTCAAGATATCAGACAAGAGAGCAAGTAATGTCCCTTTTTAGTCTATCACTCACGTACGTCTACCTACATTGGCATCTTAGACTTTTTCGTTATATATCCGACCTTCTATTCCAGTATGTTATGTTTCCGTAGGCAAGGTTACTTTACTTCTATTCAGACACGATATCCAGAATATATTTAGCTGAAGGTTTAGGAACCCCTTCTTCTGAAGCCCACTTAGGCCAGATAGACGTTATGATTAATTGTAAATTGTCTACCATGAGTCTAACCTCATGATATAGTATAGCAACCGAATTTTTTTAAATTCAATGCATGCGATTGAGATATCGCCATGTTGAATAACGGTGATATCTATTCTCAAGTATTCAGAGCAAAAAGCGAGGAAAAATGTCACGCAAGTATTTTGCGAACAGTTGTCAGAACTGTGTCGTTGAAGTAAAGAAAATCATCGACAAATTAGAAAAAAGAGATGGAAAATAAAAAGAGCAAGCATGGAAGAGAGCCATGCATTAGACAACGTCAGTGATAAATGCAGGACCAGATAGGGTCTGCGCAGTATCTATTTTCCTTGAGCCATCGCTTGAGCATTCGCGTGTATGGTGTTGCCCTGGTGTTCCATATTGTTCAGGACAGGGATGGTCATAGAGTCTTTCAGACTCTCAGTGCTCGGGCCTCTTTGCGGGCTGGGGCGAGGAGAAGGTGAGGGAGTCTCGCGCTTGTCATGCTCAGTGAGACCTTTCCGGATAGCAAGAACAGAGTCGACGATGACAGCGTCAATTCCCTCCGCTACTTGGAGCTAATCGTGACAGATCCGTCAGCCAAACAAATTCTCTTAAGCACAGAAATAGGAAGAATGGGCATACCTTGACATTCTCAGGGTCATTATTGAGGGTTCCATAAGAAACACAAACAAGACCAGACTCCTTGACGACCTTTACAAGACGGGGCGCGATGACAAGGGGTTCGGCACTCGAGACGACACCCAAGAGACTCCACCTGGATGCGAAACGAACCGCCTCCTGCAAGCTACTTGCACGAATATCGCCAACGGGAGACGTTCCCGCATCGGTTAAGAAGAGCACTGGGATAGAGGGCTGCTTGAAAGCAAGCAGCAGGCAGCAGTCGGGGTTAAAGCTTGAGAAGAGCATGTTGCGACCTTTGCCCATCTCATAGACTTTCGTAAGGACAGTGTCCACGAAAGAGTTGAGTTCGACCGCGTAAGTATCCATCTCTTCCTCCTCAGTCTCGTGGAGCATGGGATACTCTGGCGATCGACGTCAGATAATCGCGTAACTGTCCTTTTGGGGGTTGCGGCAACTCACTCAGTTCCATGTTAAACCCAACAGACTTAGGTAGCTTTCTGAAAAGATCCTCCAACGTTGCAAAAGGTGCCTGGATATGGCTTCCACGGCTGTTTCCTTTGAACCCTTTCTTCTTGAAGTCACGCGTGTGCTTCATCTTCTCGTTCATATCTGACGAGTCATACTCGGAACCACCAACGGACATTGATCGCTGTCGGGAGGTAGCGTGTCGAATATTCCCCAGACGATCGCTACTCTGAGGAGAGCCAGATCGAGACGAACGACTGGTACGTGCCTCGCTCAAATGGAGAAACTTGCGCAAGTCAGACGATATCCGCAAAAATATATGTTGGGAAACATACTTGCTCAAGGGTAAGCGTATGAACTGGAGCATCAATTCCAGTCTCACTGACGAGAAAGTCGTGATAAATAACGGGAACGTGATCTTTAGTCAGTTGAATATCTTTTTACTGTATTAGTTATCTTCTTGCAATAGGCGCAGTGCTACGATTTCGTACCAAACTGGAGATTGTTGGTCAGCGTTTCGGTTTTCTTTTTTTGAATACTCCTCATACGGGAATGGAGAACTCACCTCAACATAAGATGCTCCTAAATTCGCCGCAGCAATGAAGGACTGTAGATATGGTCAGATCAGTAACCCGGGTGTTTGGTGTAGAGGATCTTACCTGAACAGTGTTCTCTCCGAGTTGCAGAGACTTCCGGCTGGCAAAGTTCTTTCCGAGACCTTAAATTTATGGGTTAGGAGAGAAAGCAGGGATAGAAAAGAAATAGGAAGCCAACCTCGATGTCCGATAACCATAGTTGAAGTCATTGTTCTCCAATACGTCTGGTTCTCAGTGATCGACATGTTTGGGTGGCTAAACGGGGTGATGACGAGGAAGTTGAAGGTGACAGAACCGATGACCTCCAGCGTATTCGCGGCCACGATGGGGACGGTTGAATCTCCCTTCAGGTTAATGCGATCAGAGCCGATGCTGGGTCTGATACTAGAAAGCAAAGCAACACCCCGTCCGACGACCTTGTCTTTCGAACCAGCGTATGTAGGGATCAAATCAAACAGGAGCTTAACCTTGGTGGGATCTGCGGAGTGGAAAACTATGGGCTCCGTAGAGATGTTGTCTTGGATGGGGAGATCGATCAGCTCCGGTTCACCGTGAGCTCCACTGGCCGACACGACAATAGATAGTGCGGTGTCAAGTTGAGTGGAATGGGCACTGGAAACGGGGATCTGATCGAGGCTGACGGCGGGAACAGATTTGCGCATGTCCATAGTGCCCAAGCTGACCAAAATCATGGATTCATCGGTAAGATACCGATGTCCGAAGGACTTGATAGGCTCAGGACTCCGTGTCCCAGAACTCCCGCTTGCAGAATTCACGTTGGAATTGGACTTCCGCTCAATAAGCGACGACTGCGGCGGAGAAGAAGATGCCGGCACAGGAACATTGACTGGTTCCGATTCAGTGACAACAGGTGTAGGGTTAATCTCAGCAAGACGTCGAGCAATGGGAAGATGACCTCTGAGAGAGGCATGTTCCTTCGCCGTCCATCCGGAAGAATCTAATCGCTCAAGGTCGGCACCAGCCTCAATGAGCAATTCTACCACACTGAGTGAACCATCAACACAGGCGATGAACAGGGGCGTCCAGGAATAGGTGTTCTCGGCAAGCTCAGTGTCTGCTTTCTGGTCATTAGAGCCTTCCAGGAGGATCTTTGCACATTCATCGTGCCCGAAGCGAGCCGCAATATGAAGAGCAGTTTCACCCTGCTCATCCTGATAGTTGATGTCAACGCCCGCATCAACCAGAAGCTGGACAATATCAACGAAATTCGCCTTGGTTGCCAGCGCAAGAACGGCGCTTGACTTGGAGACGTGCTTGCGGATAGCAGCCTTCTCCGTGGAAGAGCCCTTCCAATTCTCTGCATCGAGCAGAGTCCGAGTGGTAAGTGGATGTCCGCCCACCACACTTAAGTGAAGAGGCGCCCATCCTTCGTTATCTTGCCACGCAGGTCCGTCGATACCCTCGCTAACATCAAACATATCCCATGCCTGGAGATGCTCGATGATAACTTCGCAGACAACCCTGAATCCGTACTGGGCAGCGTAATGAAGGGGTGTACGGCCCGACAGGTCCTTGGCAAGTAATGCGCTTTTCTGGCGAGGGTGAAGATGGTCTAGCAGGTGCTGTAGCAGGGAGACTGACGGATCATCTCTGTCTAGGGTCTGTGGCTGACTGGTCTCCTTCACGACAGCGCGAGGCGGCTGCAAGGTAGGAGGAGCAGCCGGGGTGATGTAGTTGGACGTTTCCAGAGGGAAGTCCAGGACCATAGAAGCGGCCTGCTCTGAATCCGAGGTAGACTGCGCTCTTCCAATGGAGATCACTAGACGGTGGATGCAGTTCCGCTTGTTAATATCGTCGTCCTCTTCGAGGTCATCAATTCTGTCCAGTAATACCGTAACAGAGGACTTCGCACGCGTAAAAATAGCTCGTTGCAAGAGGTTTTTCAGAACCTTGGGGTAGATATTGTCACCCATCTCATCCGCCGCAATCTTGAGAGTCTCGAGCAGTTCCAGAAGGACATGCGTGTCATCTTTGCGAAGTGCCTCATCGACCGCCACGAGAACGCTCGAGGGAAGGTTGAGGATCGGGCGCGAGGAGACCTTCTTTAGAGACAGAGAAGAATGGGTCGAGCTGGCGTCGTCTTGGACTTTCTGGTCGCCCAGCACCGATAGCCAGTCATTGATGTGCTTCAGAGCTTGAGATAGACGAGTATTCGTAGCGAAAGGTGCGGGATCAACCTTCGCCTCGAGGTATCTCTTTTGTGCCTGAGCACCCGGGACTTTCTTGTCTAACTTCTTGGTGATCTTAATAAATCCTCGGCGGTTTACCTCTCCATACCACTGTAGCTTCCGCAGTTGACCACGTAGTTCCAACAACGCAGCTAGAAGGTCCTCGACATCCTCCAACTCTAACCGCTGCCCCGCAACCCTCGAATGTCCGAAACGATCCTCCAGCAGTTTCAGGCGCCTAGAGAAATCTGCGAATTTCTTGTTATAGAAATGGTCGACATCTTCGAGATTCCGGTCAAGGGAGTAGAAGAATCCTGAAACAATAAGTTAGCAAGGACTGATCTATTGAGAGAAGTCGAACTTTGTGTGTTTACCAGCAAGGTCGGGCTCTTTGCCAGCCTTCATGTCATCCGCGGCAAGCTTGATCAGCTTCTTCAATGCCTTGTACTTGATGTACGAGGAGCCCCATTCTGGGACGACGTTTCGTGGGAGGTTGCGACCAAACTTCATGATGGGCGCGTACTTGTTCCTCACAGGAACGCTTTCTGGCGCAAAGCGTCACCGGAATCGTTCCGTAAGGACAGAAAACTCCGCAGTTTTTCTTCGTTTCCCAGCAGCCGTAGATATTAATTCTGTTTTCCTTCGTCCGTGACTCCGACAGGCCTCTCTACCCTCTTCCAAGCGTATATGCTGATTAGAAAGAGAGAAAAAAAAAAATAGTATGAGGAGAAGAATCCTAAGGCGACTCGGATGTAGGAGAAAATGATGTTGGTTACGCTGACGACAAGCGCAGACGAGCATGTAACAAAAAGAAAGGTTGAGGATCCAGGTACGCGGACGCCATGTATGTAGCTCCGAGAGAGCTTGCAGGTGATCGACGGGTCTTGCGGACACCCTTCGGTCTTGTCGGAGTCGAAACAGCGTCGAGGAGCTGCGCAAGATCCAGTGGGACTCAAGGAGCAGTTGTTAATGGTTGCTCCCCTTGCACGTTCAAATTTCAGTCGTCAGTAAGACCTGCTCAGTGCTCAGAAACCGGCCTAGAGGCGGAGCTTAGAGTGGTACTCGGCGGAGAAAGTCGACTAGATAGTGTAGTTAGTTACGATGCGCCGGACTGGATAATCAGGCCGACCGGCGTCACCTTTTCAGATTGATCCTTTTCTGTGGGGAAGGAATAAATTGATTAATCCTACTTTGATAACACTTACGCTCATCGTAGGGCCAGAGCCCTGTCCTTTTTTTTCTTTTCCGTGGGTTGCTTTACTAAGTAGATCGGGAGAAAAGTTTGGTCGCGGGCGACCAGTGGCGAGAGCGTCTAAACGTTGCGCGAATGAGACTTTGTGGACGAGTGGGAAAGGAGAACTCAAGCACAAGGAGCTGGAGCGTGCTCGCAATGGCAGGTCGGGATAATTAATTCACTCAACCAGCAAAGTACGGAGGAATAATATCATAATGGAGGATTGAGGATAAAAGGGGGATGAATTACCGCCCAGCGTGCTTGTCTTGCTGCCTCTGATTTGCCTGTCACCGCTCAGCGATTGCGTTGACCTCGGGGACCACCAGGCAAGAGGGAATCGTTGTCCAGATACGAAATGGTGGCAAGCTTCTGATCTAACTAAGGAAGGATAATAATTATTAATTTAGGTAGATCAGCCAGCGCAGTCCGCTATGGATGTATGTAGATATGTTTCATACATCCAAAGGCGCTTAGAGAGCCCGGTCTTTAAATAGGTTCAAACTTCCCAGTCCTGAGGACGACTGAGTCCTCCTCCGAATCGATACATACTAACCATCTACCTAGGTATCTATGAAACCAATAACCCATCCGCCAGCTGCACGACCGGAGGCTCACGGGCAGACCAAGTGGAAAGGCCATAACTTTTTGACCGCGGACCACAACGATCACTCGTTGAGCTGTACTAATAGTCTTCGCCCTAGATAGATCGTGCATTCGAGCTTCCAAGTCACCGCCTCTTAAGTATCCCAAAGCCCGTCTCATTCGAGCGTCGCCGGTCTGATCCCTGCTCTCTCAAGCGTTGCGCCGTTCCTGACGCAGACCGACCGGCTTGCCCGTGGCTTTCCGCCACAGTATACCATAGGACTCCTTGTTGGGGGTACAGTGATGTCCTCTGCTTATTATAATTACTATTATTATTTAGTTAACTATCTGATCCTAATAATCCCCATAGTCTAGTATTCAACTCCATGAGTTCGGCTCAATATCCCCGTTTAGGAGTCGCGTTTACATTATCTGTCTCCGTCCGGGGCCGAAGAGGGCTGATGGGGACCGACCAGCTATCTACCCTGGTTCTCTATCAGAAGATCTGGACTGTTCGAGCCAGATAGAACACCCACACAGCTCAGGGCCTTCTCCACAGACAAGTTGACAGGACCCTCCTACTACTACTCCGTACTACCATATTTACCTGTAAAACAGAACTAAGTTAGAGGAGTCTAACACTGAATGCAGAATGCAGAATGCATCGGTCGATTTTCCACGTCCGTTCACAGATCACAAATCTAATCACGAGGTGATATGCTGTATGCTAACTCTAGCCGACCGGCACATGCTCTGTTATCTGATTCGTCGGATCAGTCAGTTCCTCCTCTTCCATTGGCTGACCATCTCGTCTCGTCTCAACATTCAAGCAGACAAGAGCTCGCTTCTTTAGACCTACTCCATCAATAATAATGTTCCTGGAAGACACCGCTTGTTGGACGGTGATTCTAAAGGAACGAATGACCCGCGGGAAGCAGATGCGAGCTTGATGTAAGTATCCCAAAGGAGCATCAGGTTGATCATAACCGAAGTTGTTAATTGCGGCCCACTGGGATTCGTGGTCATCCTGGTTTTGTCTTTTCTACAACTTGATGCATATTATTATGCCATCGATAACCTTACAGCTTTTCTCCGACCAACACGACAACCAACTCAGCAGATAGAGATAGCGGAGTTATCTCTTCCTCTCCTTTTCACCTGCTCACCATTACTATTATTAAACCACCCGGACTTAACTAGTAGTTATTATCTCACACCGCAATAATATTATTATGACCACGTGAGACCACCACCTTCTCCACTGATGTCAACAGTCTAATGGCAGGGTAGTATCGGCACCCAATAGCACTCTCACGAGAAACTCCACCGATCCATAACTACTTATTTATAAACCAAGTGATCATTTGACTCCTGCAAGGACGAACATAGTGTATTTCCGAGGATGGAGAGGAACAGAAAAAGGGTGAAGACATCACTAGTCAATAATAATATTGATGATACTCACCATGATGACCGGTACAATTGAAACCAGTGCGCCTGACATTATTAACATTCCCAGGATACTTTTATATGAGAACAAGTTTCAATGTCTGCTCCGACATGGGACGCGGGGTTGAAGGTGCCGCTGACGACACGTTACAGTAACCAGCCATAGAGAATAACCATGGCCAGGGAGATTCAGAAGGGCCTGAGCTCAACAGAGATTATACTGTACAATACAATAATCGACAAGAAGCCATTTAAATCAACCCAACCCGACCCAATCCTGTAATACATCAACACCCGGAAAAGAACATAAAAAAGAGAAAAAAAAGCAATTATATATTCTAGATCTTCTCGAATTGGACCATCATCAAGTCATGTGATAATTCTCACTGCCGCCGAAAAAAAAAAAAAAAAAAAAAAAAAAAAACAAAACAGGTCTAAGGGCCATAGTAGAGAGAATGTTGATAGCGAATAATAATATCAAAAGACAACAAGACACATATAGCTATCCCCTCGATGGCAGATAAAAAAAAGCAAAATAAAATCATATAGAACCCCCGGTTGACCTGGTAATTCCCCTCCTTTCTACGCCGCCGTAAGCGATGCTCCCGTGAAATAAGAAATGAATATAAACAAAGAAAGAAAAAAGTTGCACAAGAGTCGAATGGATGGATGGATGGATGTGTCATTAGCGATGAGCCCAGCCCAGGCCAGTTGTATTGGTGGCATGCGTCCGGTGCATTCGGAGAGACACAACCTCAGGAATGTCCTTATAGATGCCCCATATCCCACAATTCCCGTATCCCCTTGGGCAAAAGGAAAATTCTAATGGGAAAAGCGGAAAGGGGACGAGCGACGAGATCTCCGCCATTGCGGTCAACAGAAGGTTTCGGGCTTGACGAGGTCAAGTTTCTAGGTTATCTCCCTTGTCTACCCCGCATTCTGCTCGACCAACGGCTTCAGCGCCTCAACCCCGGCCTGCAGCACCGCCGGGTTGGTGGTCCGCCTGAGACAGCCCTTCAAAGTGTCGATCCCTCCGCTCCGTCTGACTGCCTCTCTCCCGCGGACCCCGATATCGCCTGACGCGCACGTTAGATTGCGGATGCAGGCGATGCCCCGGTGGACAAGCCCGTCATCTTCTTCCTGGCACAACCCCAGCAGGAGGTTGACGCCGCGCGGTCGATCGAGGACAGCTGCCACAGCGGCATCAAATTCGGTCAGCATGGCCAGGGCGCCTCCGGCAGCTTTCCGCGTGGCAACGTCCTCTACGTCTGTAAGAGCAAGCAGTATGTGGAGGCGCTGGGCGGCTCGCTTCGAACCGTCAGCAAACTTGCCTACTCCCGACTCGCAGGTCATCAGATTGCAAACCAGCTCGCAGGCGGCTCGCTGGATATATGGAGAATTGGACAAGAGCAGATCTTCCAGTGTAGACCAAGCGTGACGCACAATCGCCTCTGCTGCACTGGGATCTGGGGATGAGGCGAGATTGGTCAGAGCGAGGAGGCTTTCGAAGGCAGGCAGAAGGTCGCGTGGCTGATCGGCAGAACTCTCTGGCGAACTGAGCAACATCACCAGCGGCCGGACAGCGGACGTGATCTGTGGAAGGCCGGAAGACGGGAAGACATGGGATGGGTTAACGGAAATCAAGATCCGGGCCAAAGCATGAGCTGCGGCTTGGGTCGTTTCATTCATGACAGGATCTGAATTTCCATTCTTAGGCGCCAGAATAGAAAGCAGCAGCTTGACGGCACCCTGCTGTGCGAGCTTGCCGCGAGATTTTGGGTTCTTGGAAAGAGCTAAGAGAATCTTGCTGACCAAGTCGGAGATAGAGGTCTGGGCGAGGTTGTTTTTCGTACACTCAACAAGTACTGGCACAATGCCGGCTTCGATCACGGCGCTGCAGCGTGCAGTAACATGCTCCTCGTCATCGAGAGGATCCGGCCCTGTCGACGGCCCAGAAGCATTGGCATAAGCCTTGAGCTGGGACATTTTCTTCTGTTCCTCAGACATGTTGGGGAGATATTTGGTGACATTGAATATAATCATCAAGCCGCCGTATACCACCGAGGTGTCCCCAATGTTTTGGCGGATCAAACCAAAGAGGTTCTTCAGAAAAGAAGAATCCTTAGCCAGTTGTTCTTTGACCTTAGGTTTGACGGAGGAGTACGCCAGACCTTCGACCGTGTTCTGGGGGTTCTCGACCTTGGGTTCAGACATCAGTCCCTTAAATCGATCGACAAGTTCCTGCACGCTGTTATCATCACCCTGAGCCTTACCATTCGATTTGGAAGGATCACTCGGTTCCGAAGCCCGGATCTTTGCCAGGACGACGGCCGCTAGATCAGAACTCTCGCTGCTACCGTTGGTGAGCGTGTGGGAGAGCCACTCCGAACAATGCTTCGAAATCGCCTCCCGACAGGCTCGATCGATGCAGGCGGCGTTGCACAACTCCAGCATTGCAATCTCCACGCTACGACTTTTCACCTGGCGAGAGACCAGTGGCACGGCGGACTGCAAAAAGCCTTCTGTGAGAAAGAGGGAAGCCATTGCATTGGGTGCCACGGGGAATACGGCCGCGGCAGCTGAGAAGGCAATAATCAAGTCTTCTGCGCGGCCCTTCTTCACCTTGGCTGATATGATTTTGGAAAACTGCTTCTGGCCAACATCCTTGGATGCCTCGAGATATTTGGCCACAGACAATGTAGCCTGGCTTCGTATTTCAAGCGGAAGTCTATTATCGAGCGAGGTAATGATCACATCCAACTCCTCGTCATCCACTAGGTGCTGTAGCCTCTCTGCATCGACAGCCAGCAGCCGCGCGATCCCTTTCAGAGAGCGTCCATCGAGATCATGGCCCGACTCCATCAGCTTGGCAATGAAGAGCTGGAAGAGTTCACTCTCGGCATGCGACCGGGAATCTTCGGTCTTCCAGAGCGTCGGATCCAACACGATCGTATCTAAACAGACAGCGGCCCCATCTCCTCTATCGTAGATGGCGTCGAAAAACGCAGTCACGGAGATCTGGAGCTCACTCGCAAAGAAGCGCCGCACATTGATACTTTGTCGCACCAGACCGGATATGATCTCATCTTGTGCAGAAGACAAATCTCCAGGCTTCTCCGCCAAGATGAGTTTCAGACACTCGAGTGCCGTGTTCTCTGGGGGCTTAAGTCCGTCTGTGCGGAGATAACGACCGGCTTCCTTTCCCGCATCTTCATCTTTCTGTGTAGTGTAGCGGCGACAGAGGTCTAGTAGCGGATGGCCATTCTCTTCGTCCTCTCTCACTCGAAGAAAGGAGGATTTCACCTCCGGGTTTTCTGGAGCTATCGCAATAGCTTGGCGAATGTATTGCGAGGCAACCTATACAAAACGCGGGGTGTTAGCATGACTGACTGACGCAAGAAAAGAAAAAAAAAAAGAAGAGTCAAAAGGGCGATTTGTTACTGACCTCACGCTTACCCGCATCTATCGACTTAACAGCTTCCCGCGCCAGGTACGCAGCATGTTCTTGGTCCCTTATCTGGGCCATTTCCAACATGAAGTTGGAAAAGAGACAAAAGATTGTTGCAAAAGTTGACGGTAAGCTGAGAGACTGGGAAACGAGGGGACGGCGCGTAGCTTGTCTTTATGGGCTGGAGAGTCCAAGATGAGCGGGAGACCAAAGAGTTCGGAGGGGCTCTAGAGGCGCGACCAAGCAAAGCAGTGAAAGCACCGCGAATCTAACCGCCGGAGTGTCGGACCAGGCAGACACAAGGCCAGCGTGTAATCATGAGAAAGAACCAGACGACTAGGATTGAGATGATGCGATGCTGAACACACGGAAATGGGGGCGTTTCTTCTCTTTTTCCTTTGCCTCTTTGGTTCCTTTCGGCTGCGGAGACTTAACTAATACGCTGCCCCTCCAAAGAGCGGCCGATAACTAACGCACGGAGCACGTTGGGATCAGTAAGTTAATCTATTAATGAATGAATGAATGAATTAGTCGAGGACTCGAGGTACTCTTTAAGTACAGAATGTACATATATACGGAGTACATAGTTACCGCGATCTCAGCATCAACCTCCCAAGACTTCTCGAAGAATGATGCTGCGCGGATCACAGGCTCTTCTGAGACAATCGTCTAGTCTACATAATTACTTGGCGATATTGGCAATATTGGCAATATTATTCTTAAAGAGAAGAGAAGAGAAGCCATCGACAATCTCAATGCTCTCCACCCAACTGCACGCTTATCTGACTCGGTCCATCGTCCTCCGTCCGTATCTGAATAATACCACCAGGTCCCAACTATACGGGATAACTAGTTATATCCACTGATACCATCGGTGAACCAACACGCGCCAACCACGACAACGGACGCTATCACGTTTCCAAGACAAAGGAGATCCGTAGCACATCGTCCAACAATCGACATGAACCATTCCAGAGAACGACAACCGTAAGGGATGCCAAGTAACGACCAAGAGTTGCTCAACGGATTTCAGATATAGTCTGCGTCCATGCCAGGGGTTGGGATTTCTGTCGTGGAGTCTAGACTCTCCAGAAACCCCGGATGTAGCACTTAGTTATCTAAGCTCATTCTAAACCTTCTATATCTACTACTGCGTACTACATATTGCTATTTATCCGCCCACGCCTCGATCTGAGAATGTTGGTGGAGTTCGGATGACAGCTGGGATCTGAGATCTGGGTTCCAACCTCCCTGTCTGCTGGAGCACAGATTGGCGGCCAAAAAGTTCCGGGTAATACAACATGGCGATGATCCTCGTTGATCGCGCTGATTGATTGATTGATTGATTGATTGATTGATTGATTCTTTCATTCACATTGATCGTCCATTGCATCACGTGCTTTGGTGTCAATAGCGCGCTCCCGTGACGAGATCTCCGCTTCCGCTGATCAGCGCCAAAAAGTGAAGCTCTGGGATCGCGTACAGGGCATATTATTCTAATTTTACTGCTAACTATATCTGAGCCTCACTACTCCCACGTCCCTCAAGGCTTGGACGCGAGGAGGAGGTGGATTCGTGCCAAGGATACTAATCTAGGGGAAGTGACACAGCACTTGATAGTGCCAGAGTCGGTTCTACCTGAACCTCCATTCCGCGCCTCCCCAGGATGCTATCTTTTCTTCCCACTTCATCGATTCCACCATGAATGCCGTGGACGCATCGGAGCACTATGCGACAGGCGCAAACGGTTAGTTTTCCGTGTCCTCTACCTACTGGGGTCTTGTGATTATTCGAGATCATCGCGATCTGCTACTTTGCCAAGCTCTTTCAGACACTTGACTGATAGCATCGGTTTCTAGAGCCTGCTCCGTCCCTGTTGACGATCGTCCTCGACACCAACCCCCATGCCTGGGCCCTCCTAGAAGATACACTGCCTCTCTCGAAAGCAGTGGCAAACATTCTTGTGTTCATTAATGCACATCTCGCCTGCAATTATGCAAATGAGGTCGCCGTTGTCGCTTCACACAGCCAGCAAGCGGCTTGGCTCTACCCGTCCCACGGGCAGCAGGCCAAGATATCCGCTGACGCAGACGGAGACATTGTCATGAATGGTGGTTTGGAAGATGGCTCCAGTTCCCGCTCGGCCGCGGAAGCCAACAAGTATCGACCGTTTCGTGTTGTCGAGGAGCAGGTCACACGAAACCTCGAGGAGTTGCTCGCGACGACCAGTGCATCTGATGTGAGCTCGACGACCTCCACCATGATGGCGGGTGCTCTTACATTGGCGCTCACCCATATCAATCGTCAGACTCTTGCATGGGCCGAAGCTCACGGCGCGGCGAAGCTCGATGCCTCGACGGCAACATCAGCAGAGCTCGTACCGGGGGGGAATGGCAGCGGCACGTCGGCATCAGGGAACAGTGCCACCGGACTGCAGTCGAGGATTCTGATTATCTCAGTCAGCAGCTCTACAGGTTCTGCGCACCAGTACATTCCTATCATGAACGCTATCTTCGCGTGCCAGCGGCTTCACGTTCCAATCGATGTCTGCAAGCTCAGCGGCGATGCTGTCTTCTTGCAGCAAGCTTCAGATGCGACGAAAGGCGTGTATATGTCATTGACAGAGCCGCGCGGTTTGCTCCAGTATTTGATGATGGCATTCTTGCCTGACCAACGGTCTCGGTATCATCTGGTGCTTCCATCACGCGTAGACGTCGATTTCCGTGCTGCATGTTTCTGCCATCGTCGTGTCGTGGACGTAGGCTTCGTTTGTTCTATTTGCCTCAGTATTTTCTGTGAACCGCCCGAGAATGGTGATTGTCTGACCTGTGGCACTCATCTTGAGTTGGGTGACTACGGTGCTAAGCCTGCGGTGGTTGCACGTAAGAAAAAGAAAAAGAAGACTCGCGCAAATGGCACTCCCGGTGCAAGCACGCCCACGCCAGGAGCTACGCCTGGCCAATGAGTCTTTCCATGATATCCATGCTTTATGGACTCTGACCATACCATACCAGTATGTCCCTCCACTATGACTTGACGGTGACATGGGAGGGTAATTAAACTGTCCCAAGAAGAGGCCATATGTCCCGACAAAAAAAGCATCACCGCCTATTACCTTGAAAGCACAGAGCAATGACATGCAATCTACAAGCACAGGTGAATGTTTTGAACTGTCCTATTTTCCTATCAAGCCAAATACCTCTCGTGATACCTGGAGCCGTCTGCTACTGGACGTACGGAAAACACGATAGGCGCTACCTGGTATGTGGACACAAACTGCCAATGCGAGGCGCAGTCATCAACAACGGCCGCATGGAGCGGGATTCGCTATGGACTTCGATCTCCAAACCGCTCTGGTATCAATGCAGGGGCGGAAATGGAACAACCGGGAATACGAACGCCTCCGTCAGTGAGCAAACTGAATGCAAAACCCGCATACTACGTGTTGGCGCAAATAAGAAGACTAGTCTAGAACTCCCCAATTGGGAAGTGTCTAACTCTGTATCTGCAGCATTGCGGTCAGCTATCTCGCCCAATTGTGATGCACGGTTGCTTCTGATCGAGGTACTTCTTAATACCAACGTACCTTCTGTGTCTGTAAGCACGACCTCCTTGAGCGATGCTTCCGTTCCCATTGCTGCGCGACATGACACAAACTGGCTTTCTCTCCTCGGAGCTCATGGAGGCCAGGGCCTGTGCAATGTTTAGCTCAGAATTACTCCTATGAGATAGCCATACTCACGAAAGAATCAGTATTGTGACCGAAAAAGAGAAAGACGCCGTCTTTGGTCTTTTTGACTGCCATGATACCAATGGCGGCTTGGCAGTGACTATTCTTCACGCCAACATGATCTGTATAGACTGTGTTTAGGCATAGACTCCAATATCAGTTTCGATGCATGCAAGAACATACCCATGAAATCCTTTTCAATCATTGCTTTCATGGCCTCGTCCTCAGTGACCTCTTCGAACGTGCCGCCCTCGCCCTTCCTTTGGCTGTAGTAAATGCGTGATGCGCAAGTGCTGGCGGCCATTGTCGTTGCCATATGTTCGCCAGTCCCAGATGTAACAGTAGCGACAGACACCCTGTCAGGATCCTCCTGATCCGCAGGAATAACGGCAGTACCAATCCCCACCAGAGCTGCAGGTCCGACTCTGCCGCGATGCTTCATCCCAATGCCACCGGAAGATGAGGCTGCTGCAATATTTCCATAACAGTCCACAGCAATGGCACCAACGGTATCGGTGATGTTATCCACTTTATGTCCATTGTAGTCTTCCACGAGAGACTTTCTGTGCGGCGTAGGGGAAGATATTCCACTCTGCGCATCTTCTCCTGGGGTCACTTCAGCGTGTTCAGCGTGGTGCAGGCGGACAGGCAGCGTTGCGGCCGATGTCAGTCGACCATCGTGGCCAGAGTAGCCGTCAGAATCCCTCAAAAAGTTGGAAGGGTGCTGTTCCCAAGAGAAGGCATTGTCGACGTCGTCCTGCGGCTCTTGGTAGTGCTCATATTCCATGGAGTCGATGTGCTGGTCCTGATCAATACCATAGGAAGTATTGGCGCCGTCCTCAATCGCGGTACCCCTATTAACCCTGGCTGCGTTTGGACTGGCGGTGGCATCAACTGCCAGGTTAGGCTCAACACTAGAAGGCGGCGACATAACCTGGGTTGCACGTATAATGCCAGGGTAATCGGAAATCATATATGGATTATCCTGGCACTCGAGCTCCATCCGTTCTTCCAACTCTACCATTGCTTGACGATCAGCAGCCTGCAGATCTTGTCTCCAGCGACGCCAGCGTTCCCTAGCAGGATCAGAAACCAGGAAGTCGGGAGGGAGCACGTGTATGCCATTATCGTAGGCAAAATCTGTAGCCCCGGGGCCGACAAGAAGATTCGGGGGAACTCTGTGCAAGGAGAGGGGCTTCGTCGAAGCATCAAGGATTTTACGTGCTAGGGATATCGGGTTCTTTATCTCTGTAATTGTTCAGAAGGAGGTCCTCAGAAGCTCGCGGACAGAAATGACAGAGACACTCACGGGAGACAGCGCCAACAGCACCACTACGCCCGAGGTGATCGACGACGGTAGCATCACACTCGACAGTACCATCGACGGTCAGATTACTGCCATAACCTGCATTTGTGATTTCATGGTCCTCCATCAACGCAATGGCCATTTCTACGGCGTCGACTGCTGAGCCACCGTTCTTGAGCAGTGTCATGGCAACCCTAGCCGCCCTGTTGGGTGTCAGATAAGATCCGTAGAACATCAACAAGACAGTGTGGAGGGTGAAGACATGTAACTCTCTAACAAATATCCAATTTAGGGAGTTACTCACTCATTGCAGGCTTCCAGGTGGATCTTTTCATTCTGGACGCTGTGGTATCCTGCTCCTGCATGCACGAATATTGCAGCAATATCGCCCCCCTCTCTATGGCGGGGTGTCATGTTTCGTATTATCCTGATGCTGTTGTGAAGGACAGGTGCTAAGCTGACACAGGAAGCCAGGCTTGTTGCTATGTTGATTCAAGCAGGAGATAGATCCCTGTGGTCGAGGCAGCATCAGCTGCAGCAGCTAGGAGAAGTGCGAGGGGCGTGAGTTCAAAGCAGACGAAAGACCTGCATTAGGTGGGCACCGCTGAAGTGAGTCGAGGTTTGACAGAAACGGTCTGTCGACAAAACAATCACAACCATAGACGGATACCCGTTGTCATTTTGTGTTGAAGTCCGCCAGTTTCACCTTTGAGAATTCTTCAAGACCTGCAAGGACAGTTGTCGTGGGCAAAACCAGCTGCGTGGGCTCACAGAAAGTGTTGCATGAAAAGAACCAGCTAGGCTTTTTTCTTTTCCGGCTTAAAGAATATAGGAAGGCAGAAGGGAATGATAAGCCTTAAGTAACACTAGTTATGATATCGCGAAGGCATTACAGGTAATAGAACCGCGGACAAAGAAAGTTATCCAGAGATTCTCTGGATATGAAAACTTAGGGGCTCGATTGAAAGATAGAGATGCGTAGAACAGCAAGTCTATCGCCACAGCGGGTTGGGGAGAGTGATGAAGATTGAGAAGACGTTGGTGCACCTTCCCTTCATCTTACATTCAGATTTCTTCCTCAAGGAGCCATGGCGGATTGCAGGGGGAAACCACCATCCGCTAGTCCTGCTTTGAATCCTGGATATCCCAATGCCTGTGAATCAGAGACCACGAAGATTCTCCATCAAAAGTGCTGTTCGACTCTCTGAGACTCTACTAAATAATAGTTGGTCGATCTCCGCCAAAGCAGAGCGGAGCACATGACGCGGCTTGGCGCTCCCACTTGCCGCGACTCCAGAACGACCGGGCGGACACGAGGCAACGACAGCTACGCTCTCTATACTACATCCTTCCCCCGCGCTCTCCTCTTCCTTGGGGTAGGCTGCACACCACCTTTATTCTTCCTCTGATACCAATCTGCAGATCGTACGCCAGACATTGCGTACTCAACTCAGGAATTTCGATCTTCTAATTCCGGGCCTTAATTCCAAAGTCCAGTGGATCGGGCAGTACCCCGTCCAAGGTCACCATGGCTACCCAGACCCCGGCCGTTGTCATGGACAAGTATGTCACTTATCCAAAAGTCTTCTTATGAGACATATACAGCTGACTTCTCTTCCCTCCTAGCGGTACCGGTTTTTCCAAACTCGGTGTGTGCAATCGCATCAGCGGTGTGTCCAGGTGCTGTCCTCGAGACTGACTATCGGAATAGGATTCGCCGGTAACGACTCTCCCTCGTTCGTCTTTCCAACCGCAATCGCGACCAAGGGTGCTGCTGGAGCTGCTGGAAGCTCGACAGGACGACCTGCAGTTGCAAACAAGCCCTCGTACCTAACTGGCGGTGGCGGGGCAAGCTCGCACCTGTCTACGAAGCGGGGGACTGAGGATCTGGACTTCTTCATCGGTGACGAGGCGCTAGCAGCTGCGAACGGCCCTGGTTATGGTATCAACTACCCTATCCGCCATGGTCAGATTGAGAATTGGGACCACATGGAGCGGTTCTGGTCGAACTCCATCTTCAAATACCTGCGAGTCGAGCCAGAAGACCACTACTTCTTGCTCACTGAGCCTGTAAGCGATTCTCTTCCAGCTAGCTCCGAACATATCCCTAGCAGCTGCTTACTATAATTACTATATAGCCTCTGAACCCCCCTGAGAACCGAGAGAACACTGCCGAGATCATGTTCGAGTCGTTCAACTGTGCCGGTTTATACATTGCCGTTCAGGCCGTCCTTGCCCTGGCGGCATCATGGACCTCTTCCAAGGTCACGGACCGATCTCTTACCGGTACTGTGATTGACTCTGGTGACGGTGTTACCCATGTCATTCCCGTCGCGGAAGGCTACGTCATTGGATCCTCCATTAAGAGCATTCCCATTGCGGGTAGAGATATTACCTACTTCGTCCAGAGCTTGCTCCGTGATCGAGGTGAGGCTGACAGCAGCCTGAAGACTGCGGAGAAGGTCAAGGAAGAATACTGCTACGTGTGCCCGGATATTGTCAAGGAATTCGCCCGGTACGACAGGGAACCGGACCGATTCCTGAAGCATACCGTTACTTCCCCGAACGGCCGTTCTGTGACCATCGATATCGGATATGAAAGATTCCTCGCCCCGGAGATCTTCTTCAACCCTGAAATCTATTCCTCTGACTTCCTTACGCCGCTCCCTGTCGTCGTTGATGGTGTTATTCAGTCATCGCCTATCGATGTCCGAAGAGGTCTTTACAAGAACATCGTTCTTTCTGGTGGTTCGACCCTCTACAAGGACTTTGGACGTCGTCTCCAGCGTGATATTCGACACCTCGTGGATGCTCGTATTCGCGCATCAGAGGCACGCAGCGGTGGAGCAAAGAGTGGTGGTCTCGATGTCGCGGTCGTCACGCACAAGCGCCAAAGGCACGGACCGTGGTTCGGAGGCAGTCTGCTTGGCCAGACGCCAGAATTCAGAAGCTACTGCCACACCAAGGCCGAGTACGATGAGATTGGACCCAGCATCGTCCGGAGATTCGCGCTGCTGGGTGGACCGGGAAGCTCTTAGTGCAAATATCCAATTTTTAGTTCCGCTTGTCGATAGTTATATTACGACTTCTAGAAAGTTAACATCATAGGATAAGACCGCAAAATACAGGCCAATGCAGAGACTGAAATAGATGATTGGTATTATCGAGTCTAATAATATCTCTAACTGAATCCCATAATCTTCCTTATCTTGGACAGACTTGTGCGATTATTCCACCGGAGGATTATCAATCTTCAAGTCAACGACCATGAACCTCGGAGAAGATTTGCGGGTTAGGGATATTCAACCTTTCCTGGATGGCTGTGCGATTGCCAGGGACACTGACAAGACGGCGCTGGCCCGCAAAATAGTTCACGGCATCTTTCCAGCATTGCTGGCCAGAGCTCTGCCCGCCATTTCCCATCCTCTTATTGCCGACAAGAATGAGTCCGTCTCTAGCACCGCTCATGGCGACACATTGTCGCTGCCTATCTGCCACAAAGCCCAAACCTATCTTACCACCAGGACGGCACGTGGAGACGATAACGACATCCTTTTCTTTTCCCTGAGCGGAGTCGACGCTAGAAATCTCGACATTCTTATACCCGTATGACCCATTCAGAATCTCAGAGAGAATGCGACGTTCTTCTGAATAGTAGGACAAAATCAACATTTTGTCCTGTGGAAGCCCCGTCGCAAGAAGCATGCGAACAAGGTGTACGATCAGGATTGAACATCGAATGGAATCCCTTCCTTTGCCAGACGGTAGAATTCTCAATAGAAATGAAATACGAGTTTCCGGGGTCGCATTGAGGTGCATATTTCGTCATTTGCTCACGGAAGTATTTCGCCAGAGGACGATCCAGGCAAGTAGGATGATCTCTAAGACTACCGCCATAGAATTAATCGGAAACAAATCTGGAGATGTGAGGGTGCATCCTATGCTTGATACGTAACTGGACTGCTGGGTGTCCAGATTTCATCAGTCGTTCAAAAAGTGACATCCGCTCCGACTCATAACTAGCACTCATTGCGATGCATAGAAGTAACAGTCGGAGGTAACTGCGCCACTAAGGAGTATTTTCTTTGCGGAAGCAAAATGTCTCACGATGCCATTTAGGCACATCGTCTCGGACATTTGGGATGCTTCTTCCACAATGACATAATTCGCGTGGAAATCTATTGCTGATCGCTACCTAGACATAGCCTAAAAGCCAGTCTTCATCAATTCTATCACAAAGCTTCAGCACATGAGACCCTTCTGCGAATAGACCCACATCATTATTATTCAACCAGCTTCGAATAATAGTATCGGCATTTTCTAGAATTCGCGAGCGTCTTTCCTTATTGCGATGTGTCTGCCATATATATAACGTGCAGACAGTGGCCCGTCGATTGAAGACGAGCCTCAATTGAGGCGGAATATCTTTTGTTTCAACGTCTTTGAAGGAGACTCCGTAGAAGTTGCAGAATGCTATAGTCCATTTCTGGACTCGATCTTCCATTCTTGGAAGCTTAGAAAAACGTTTGATAGTCATTATATCAGCGACGATCTTGCCGCCGTGAACTGTCAAGTCTCTCTCATTTATATTTTCTCGATTTTCGGCTTTCTGGTTTGTCCACTCGTTGAGTGTGGCCGCTCTGAGGACGAATAGTTCGGTGTCGACGTCACTCTTCTCTGCCAGTAGGCTTAGGCCTTCTCGATTTCCGATGAATTTCTTTCTGGAGTTCATCTCGACGTCGTTTGGATGCAAAATTTCCTCCTTGATGTCGTTTATCGACTCGTGTTTTTTGGGTGGGTGATACCGAGTATGTGTGGGCGACAACTGCATTCTATGTCTTTAAATAATAAAAAAATAGCCTAGGCAGCAACGATATGTCATTAAGAACACCTTACTTCTGGCGGAACTTCCCCTAATGCCCTTCGCTTTGAAGGAGAGTTAGGACTCTTCGATCGTCCTCATTTCTTTATAGCCATGGTGGTGTCTTTGTCGTTTCTTTTGTTCTTCGTTAATATTGCTTTATACATCGATAGATAGGTACCTTACCTCTAGTAACTAGAAAATCGCCACGCTGCTTATTGATTCTTTGCTTCGCAAACTTGTCCATGTCGTTCCGCTTGTTTATATTAGTTCCCCACCAGGTACCTTTTGTACCCCCCTCGTACAGGGCGATGGAGAGGTATAGCTCTTTGCCATCCTGGAGATGAGAAGCACACTAAATGTCTATTAATAATGGATGATTCCTGTGCTCAAATTACAACCATAAGGAGACAAGACTTACCGGTCCCTGGGGAGACCCTTGGAAGGGCGCGCGGCGACCACCTCATAGGCATCTTGCCTTGAGACTTGTGGCTCGCATATAGTCTTGACAATAGCGGAAAGGGTCTAAGTCTCTAACTCTACAGGCTGAGAGTGAATTTCTTTAATATAAAGACAAATAAACAAAAGACTAGATAAGAAAAAGGAACTAGAAGATATAGATATATAAGATATGTTCTCCAGTCTACATAGACTAAGAGTGCCAACTATATGAGGGGATAGTAACCTGGTAGAGCGAAGGTCAGAAAGAAGAGGGGTACTTATAGGCAAGAATGAAAGTCGCGTGTAAGGAAAAGAGCCGATGAATGTACATACCTGTTCTTGAGTAACAGTGAAATAATATGACTTCCGGAGGACCCTGCCCAACAGATAGGAAGAAGGCAAGCGGAAATTAACCAGAAGTGAAGGCATGAGTAGAGTGAACATGCTGCGGCGGGGCTTTCCCACAATCCTACTCTATTCCTGCTTGAAGCCGACATAATCTCGATGAAGGCATGAAATGAATATATGGCCAGGGTGACTTCCAGTATTACATGGACCTGGCTTTTATGTTGATTCACTCTTTCCCTGAACATAACCATGATTCTCCTTAGTGACTGCATGTTATGTAGATGGCGGGCACATCGTAATCAGGAAAGGCGCTCGTGAATTCTAGAAAATACCGATAACTAGTAGCTAATAATACTATTCTCCTATTCTTGCTTACTGTTCTCCTCTTTGAAAGACTTGGAAGAGCTAGGGTCTGGTGACCACAGGACATACTAAGGAAGCTTGTCATATTTCTTGTAAAATTCGCAGGTTCTTCTTATGCAAGTAGATAGTTAGCTACAAGTTATAAATCATGATAGGAGCGCGAGCGCATGCAAGCATTGATAACCGTTGTATTTTGCATATTCTCGGTCTCGTATACAGTACTGGGCTTCGTTAACAACTAGTGCACTCAATTGAGAATAACGTACTCGAAGACGAGTCTACAGAACTTCTCCATCCCAAGCGAATCAATGTCAGCTTCATGCATATTCAATCTCGCCGACCATGGGGAAACATTGTTACATAAGCTGTGTATTAGGGAGTACGAGGGCCCAGCAGTAAGGATATATTTAAAACTTTGCCGGTCAAAGATCTCCCAGGATCGTACATTGACAGTAAAAGTTAGTTCGTTGTCTTCGCAGAGCTATGTAGATAAGATAAGCTGAATCCAAAATATTATACTACTTTTCTTACCTGGGAAAGATTTCCCGAGAATGCTGGGCTGTCATATATACAAATTAGAGCGCTGTGATAAAACCCATTTCCCCTCTTTTTTAATGACCCATAACGCCAACCTGTGCACTTTTGAGAGATAGTACATGCTCATCTATGACTCGATGGAAACAGTCGGAGCAGCAGTTGGCTCATGTACCCGGTTCAGGATGGCCACGCCCTCGACATGTCCCGTCTGCGGGAAGAAGTCAAAGCCTCGAATACTCTCGATCTCATAACGGCATTTGCCCTCCTTGTCTCCTTGGACCATGACACCGACATCACGGGCCTGCGTGTGGACGTTACAGCTCACGTACACGACGCGTCTGGGGCCGTACTCGAGTAGCTGATTGAGAAAGTCATCACTGCAGCCCTTGCGGGGAGGGTCGATGACTAGCAGTGTCTGGTCGGCAGGATAGGGGACATCCTTGAAGAGGGTGGTTGCATCTGCGGCTGCGAAGCCGGTGTTGCTGAGATTGTTGGCGCGGGCATTCTGGCGTGCGGAGGCAATGGAGTCGCCTGCAACATCAACACCTAGGGAGGATTTGAAGAGGGTAGACAGGGTGATGGTGAACAAGCCAGAGCCAGAGTATGCGTCGAGGAGATACTTGATGGGCTTCTCGTCGGGGCGGGGATTCTTGGGGTGGACGTGTTGGCGGATGTACTCGGTGAAACCGGAGAGGATGGAGTTGTTATTCTGGAAGAAAGCGCCAGCTTTGTTCGTAAAGATGAAATCGTCGATATATTCGATAGAGGTAGCATTGTTGTCAGTGATGCAGCGTTTCTCTTCGATATAATCCGGGTGCTCAATACGGATAACGTCTTCATCATCTTTGGAATTCGACGTTTGGCCATCCTTCTGTTCGACCGGTTGCTTTGCTGTCCCGTTCGATTCTTTGTTGTTCGCCGCTTCCTTCTTCACGCGTGTCGTAGACTCACGCATAAGGAGCGTGGCTCCCTTGGAGAACTCCTGGATGTTCTCTATAACCCTCTTCCTTTCCCTCTTAAGACCCCTGCGCACGATATCTGTTCCCAGAGGGCAATCCTCAATATCCATATCGGTTCGTCGGTTCTTCATTGTGAATCCAATTGGGGGGATCTCAATATCAGCAGGGTCCTTAGGTTTATTGTTTTTCTTGTTCCGGGAGAATCCTCCAGGTGTGGTGAAGTGCGGCGTGAGCTTCGTCCGGTAGCCGTACTGCAGAGGAGAGCCAAAGGTATCATCGATAGCAGGCACTAGTTCCGGGATCAGACCAGAAAAGTTGGCATATGCCTTCTCGACGATTTTCTTCTTGTGGGCGAGTTGTTCCTGATACGGCAGCATTTGCAATTGACACCCAGAGCATTTTCCAAAATAGCCGCATCCTATAAGAGAATCGTTCCTTTGAGGGCCCGGTTCGATAACCTTCAGAAAGTCCGCCGTGCTATAGGAAAGATCTCGGAAGTGTCTGATGACCTTGATGAGGACCTTGTCTCCAGGAACGGTAAATGGCACAACGTAGACATGGTCGCCGTTATCAGTGAGCGCAAGACCATCTCCAGTCGAGGACAGCTCTGTGATCTTCACTTCAATCTCTGTAAATGGTTCGGGCAGCTGCACTGCGCCAGTCGCTTGCTCGCCATCTTGGTCCTTCTCTTCTCTGCTCTTCTTCAGCAGGTTGTCGATATCAAGCTGAAGGACCTGATCGAAGCCGCTTCCTTTGTTTGCTTTCTCCGCCGCCTTTCTCCGTCTCTTCGATTCGTGTCGTGGTCTATCTGCAGGGTGAGGCATCACTGCGGCGCGGAACTGCGCATTCCGCGGAGGAAGCTGGTTCGTTGGCTGGTAGGAGATGTGGAGGTTGCGTCGTGCAATATTAAGCGCAGAACTCGAATGGATACAGGAAAGACCACGAGGAAATAACCTGCTAAACATGAAGGAGACAAAGTCGCCGTGGGGGAAAAGAAAAAAAAGAACGAAGCGGGGTGGTTTGCGCCGGGGGAAATAATCTTTAGGGAAAGGCTAAGGCGAAATGCGCGGACGGTGAGAGGCCGAATCGCTCCATGAGAATTTGTCTTTCTCCGAACTTCATCCCGGCAATCCTCTTGCTGCTCTGCTCCTCCACCAGGAACACCCACCACCACCACCTCGTTCCCCTGCCTCATCTGCCATCCATTGGGGCTTGCAGAGGGCCCTTTCTGGGGGTAGAGCACAACAAGTCGTCGCCATGAGCGTCTCACGGTCGGCACGATGTCTGTTCTGCAGCTTTTCTCGAACTGTCAATACCGGCGCTCGCGTGCCTCGACGACAGTTCTCTGTATCAGCTGCACAGTTTGACCGGAAGCCAAAGTACCCGAATATCAAGGCGACCGATCTGAAGAATATCCAGGATATCACTCGCGATCTCAAGCCGGAGGACTTCAAGCCGTACACCGAGGAGGAGAAGGCGCGTCTTTCCGAGGAGTATTCGGAGGCTCAGATCGCCGCTATCGAGGCTGGTGAGTCTGCGATCGACCCGAAGGACCTGGCAGAGCAGTTTGCAATCCGAAGGGATCCTATGAAGCTCCAATATCTGGACGACTTCTCAACAATCGAGCCGGTGGTCGACAAGCACGTCCGGGCACCCGAGTCCAACTCCGACTACAACGCGGAACTCAAGGATGATGATGACTTCGCCGCCGATTTTGCTCGCTTCTTCGCAGAGATGCCTGAAAATGCAACCGCGGCTGACTGGGTCCGTTTCGCGGAGACCCTGCGCTTGACCAAGGGCAAGGAGGAGAATGAGCTCAACCCACACACTGCGCTGGTGCCGCCGCTGTTCAAGGAGGGAGAGTCTCTGACTCAAGACCCCAGGCCCCAGAATGCCGTCAAGGAGGGCGAACAGAAAGGAAAGGAGTCGGAGGAAATGACGGATGCGTTGAAGCGCCTACTCCAGGCCACTGGTTACACTCCCGACATGATCCGGTCTTTGAAGCTGAAGACTCTGGTTTCGCACGCAGTCGTCAACCAGACACGTCTGGGTAAGGTCCGCAGACAGTACTGTCTGTCAATTGCCGGTAACGGCAATGGTCTCCTCGGTATTGGAGAGGCCAAGTCCGAAGAGTCGGGCGATGCGATGACACAATCCAAGTACCGAGCCATCAGAAACATGCAGCCGATCCAACGTTATGAGAACCGTACTATCTTCGGTGATGTCCGAGGAAAGGTTGGAGCTGTCGAGCTGCTATTGATGAACCGTCCTCCAGGTATGGCTTCGTCCTTTCCGTATCATATCTAGAGTTCTTGACTAACGAGTGATGCTTGCTTTCAGGTTTTGGTCTCCGCTGTCAGCACTTGATCTTCGAAATGTGCCGAGCCGCCGGTATTCATGATCTGGCTGCACGAGTCACCCGCTCGAGGAACCCCATGAACACGGTGAAGGCCGCCTACGAGGCCTTGATGAGCCAGCGGAACCCAGAGGACGTTGCCCGCGCCAGGGGCAAGAAGCTGGTCGATGTGCGGAAGGTCTACTACGCCGGCAGGGTCTAAATGTACCCTCATTCCTCTCTATCCCTTGTCCTTGACAGGCTGGCGGGTTGCTTGAGCCACTTCTATATAACGAGCCACTGTTTTGATATGGATTAGGCTTTATTTTTTTCTTTGGCCGCCTTTCTATCTGGCATGCTTAGATGGGCTGTACGAGTATGGGCACGATACACAAAGCGCAGGCACGGAGTCAGAGAAGATGCTGTCATTTCATTTTCCAACCGTCTTTTTTCTGCCCGGTGCTGTACGTAATTCCATTTTTTGATTTCATATTCACATGTACTTGTAACTGCATAGGATCATCCCCTTTATCCAAAAAGACTACGAAGGAAAAATAGATATCCATTGAAGCTAGATTACGCTAAGTGTCTTCACGGATCTTTTCAGACGTGTTCATCTGATCCCAACTAAACAACACAAAACAACTGTACAGTATACAAATCTCATCAACCTGTCTTTAGGAAGTATGTACTATACGATCGCATTCGCAGCCCTATACACTTCCAAAGTAATAAAAACAACAACATCTACCCCATCCTCAATCAGAAAATGTATAAACACCCTCGACACAAACGCCAGCCCAATGAAACCCGGGTATTCATGCGTCTTTCAACACAACAAAACGAAACGAAAAAGAGAAAAAAAAAGTATGCGCCCTCATCCCATCTCCAAACAAACACACCCCCTCCTAACTCATCGTAACATCACCCATCCCCATAGTATAACCATCTCCCTCATAACCGGCCCCACCATCCCCACCAACCTCATTATTCTCCTCATCGTTATAGATCTGCTGCTGCAACACGATACTATACACACTGGCCTTGAGTAACGTGCACACGGTAGCGGTTTTGCGTTCGAGAAGACGAAGTCCATCGAGAGTCATTGATGATGGGTTTCCTGATAGATCGGCGAGTTTGTCGGAAAGCTGTAGGGGGAAGGATAGAATATTGGTGGTTAGTATGGTCTTCAAGAATAGAGAGAAATGAGGAGAGAGGGATGAGGGGAGAGGGATGAGGGGGAATAACTAAACTAACCTTATTCACATTTTCTAGTAATCGTGTATATTCATCTAGGACTTCTTGTTCGAGATCCGAGACTAATGGATTGGATGGACGGAGGAGGGGGTTCTCTGTCGTGGAGGAAGTGAGGTTTGTGGTAGTGTCGTCGCCGGACATGGTTTCTTTTTTTTTCCTTTTTCTTCTTTCTTTTTTTGGTGGTCTTCTGCTTTACTCTATTGCTGCTCCTGAGAAGCAATTAGAGCTGTCTTGTCTTGTCCGGTTATGGTGTACAACTTCGATCGTTCGTAGTCTCTGGCAGGTGGAAGGCTGCAGGTGGGGGACAAGCCAGGAAAGAGAAAAAGGAGGTACCAGATCGTACCCCAATGGTATGTATATTCAGAGAAGAAAAAACAATGACAACGACGATCGTCTTCTCAGCTAAGACTGCAGTGCTCTTAAGTCAGCGCTTTGCTATTATTGTGTAGTTTTGGGGCGGTGAGGGGAGACTGGCAGTTCAATTGTTTCTGTCCGCGCGGGGCGGAGATATTGCAACTCCAAGGACGCGTTTTAGCACGGGCGGGCAGTCCGCTCATGTCGAACTTCAAAGGTAGGCGCACTACTTGCTATGAGGCCTGTTCGAAGGTTGGATCATTTTAGTTAATGGATAGTTTTACTAACACTGGTCTTTGCTCTCAAATGGTCTTTAACTAGTAATAATAAAATACAGTGCTACAATTTGACATGGCGCTAGGTTTCTGCATGTATCATCGATACAGTACTCGATATCAGTCTGCTGGAGTGGGAATCGGGCCGCCATGAGGAAGATGGAAAGGCCCAGATATCTGGCCAATCTGGCAAAAGACCAAGACTGCACATAGTAAAAAAGAGAAAGGTCAAGATCAATGCATCTCATCTTATCTTGTCTCATCTGGTCTCGTCACCGCTAGAATGAACAGCAAGTGTACTCATAACGCACACGGCTTCTCATGAGAAGCAAAGAAAAGCAGAAACAAGAAGGGGAACGGGGTCGGAAACGCCATACTCTGCAAGAAGCGTGTAAAGCGTGTAGTCACGCCTAGAAAGACACAGGTAGTCTCGTTTTCGTAAGGGAACAAGGAAGAAACTGTATGGGGCGAGGCAAACCGTATCCATCAACAATAAGTTCCAGAGACCGTAAGATGAAAAGCAAATTTGCTGGGTTGATAAACGCACCAGCACGGTCGAGGCCTCTGCGGCCAGAACAGCGTGGCTGAAGCACTCGGGACCTCGAGCCAACAATTAGTGGAGACGTTCTAGATGAAAGCGTCGGATCAAACGTCCTTCTACTTCGCATAAAAGAGCCAGCAATAAAGCACACAAAGACATCACACGCAAGGCAAACCAGCCAGATTCCAAATCACTCCCAAAACGCCGACTATGAGACCGACCGAAAAACTTCTTTCAGCGCATATACCGTTATTCGTCATGGTCTAGACCGCAGGGTCCGTCCTTGTGAATGCAGCATTGGCCCTCAAGCTGAAGAGCGGACCTACCCTATGTCTTGGAAAAGATCATATCGACGGCAGTGATTATCACTCATCACCATCATGGTGCAATGTCACACTGTTGAATTCCTCAAACGGATCCGCGATCTCTCCACCAGGAGTAGAAAGTCCAGAGTCCATCGGGACGCCCTTCATCTTGCTCGGGCTGTTTCCGCCAATATCGACACTTGCGCTTTCTTTCATGTTGCGGAAGTTGCTCGTGTCGATCCCACGGCCTTGATGCGGGATCATTGGCGGCTTCATATGACGGATCAGAGCCCACTGGGTCTGTCGGAAGAAGGGGTGTGTCTTGACATCTGAGGCACCTGCACGGGCACCCAGTCGCTTCGTCTCATCTTTGATGAGAAGTTTACGGATCAAAGACTTGCAGAGACTGTCATAATATTAGCACCATCGCCATGTCAGAATACTAAGCGCCCCAGACTTACTTTGAGATCTGCTGTGCCCCCGAGTGTTCGGGGAAGGGAACCTCGTCCCGCAGGATATTTGCAAAAGTAGCGTTGCGGTTCTTCCCCTTGAATGGCGTAGTCCCGTAGAGCATCTCGTAGATCAAGATTCCCAGGGTCCACCAGTCTACCGCACTGGTGTGGCCACATCCCTTGATGACTTCTGGAGCGATATATTCCTCCGTGCCCACGAAGGAGTTAGTGCGGAAATCAGCAATGCACGACTTGGTGTCGATGGTGGGTAGAGAGGTCGACGAAGTCCCGTTGCGTCCGAGGATCATGGTAGGGGCACCGCCAGGACCAGATTGTTTGGACAAATCGAAGTCAGACAACATGATATGCCCAGACTGGTGAAGCAGGATGTTTTCCGGTTTTAGGTCACGGTAGATGAAGCCCATCAGGTGGAGATACTCCAGAGCTGCCGTTACCTCTGCCGCATAGAATCGAGCGTCGTCCTCTGGGATGCATTTTCCCGGGCGTGTTTGTAGGGCTATACAGCGTTAATCATCTGCCAAATGAGAATACCTAGGAAACGTCCATCGCATACCTCTGAAGAATTCACCACCACTGCAATATTCCATACAGAGATAAAGATAGTCTTCCGATTGGAACGAGTGATACAGCGTCACGATAAAGGGATGGTTGCTGGTAGCCAAGATTTCCTGCTCTGCCAACGCACGCTTGATCTTGTTACGCTTAATCATCTCCTTCTTGCTCAGAACTAGTTCAGTCAGAAATTTGAACATTCTCGAAGGAACGCTTTCCCAAAGCCAACTGTCTCACCTTTCATGGCATACAGCCGACTCGACTTCTTCTCTCGAACCAGATATACCTTGCCCACATCTCCCTTTCCAATGAGCTTGATCTTGTCGAAGCTCCCAGGACCGACCTCCACATTGCGGACCTTGATCGAATTCGAGCTATAGGTCCGTCTAAAGGCAACTGAGTTTCTGATCTGGCCAGGGGAAGGCAGCTTGCTATCTGGGCCAAGTTTGGGCACAGGCAAAGACGGGCTCGATTCTCCCGACTGATCGACGAGGCTGAGTTTAGGACTGTCTCCCGGATGTTCTATTAAGGGTTCCTTTCCAAGCTCCGCCGTGTTAGGTCGCTCATCGGCCTTGTTTCCGGAAAAGAGCCCCTGGGCGTTCGGCGCCGATGCGACTCGACGCAGCTTCCGCGCCAGTTCCTCCTTTCCTGCAGTTGTCGCCTGGTCCTCAGGAGAGATTCCCTCGACCTGAAGCTCGGGGGTGTCTGGCGGAGAGGAGGGTACGGAGCCTTCGTTGCGATGGCGCAGGGCTGGCTGGCCCTGGTGAGCAAAGTATGGGTTGGCATTAGCGGTAGGTGAGAGGCCGTCATCGAGCGGGTTTCCTTCGCTGGCAACCGTGGCGGAGCGATTACGGCCGATTGTAGGCAGGAAACGAGACTGTTTGAAGGTGGATTTGGACTCCTTTGGCTCGATCTTCAGAGCCGGCAACTGGCCCCCTTCCCGATCGCGGTCATTGCTATTCTGATTGCTACCGTGGGAGCCGTTACTGTTGATTCGAAAAAAGTTCTTGATCCTCGCAGGCAGGTGGCTGCTGTTCGAGTCGCCCGAATGTTTCCTGGAGGCGAGAGAGATGCCCGGAAAGTTGCCGCGCTTCTCAGAGCCCACCGCAGGCGTGTTGTTCGACGTGAAGAGTTGAGTCATGGCGGATGACTGCTGAATCCGTCCTGGCAGACGGTTATAATAATAAAGATGAAGCCGCTGGAGGCCAATGACAGGACGAACAGGTCGATCGACGGACAAGGAGGGCCTGGGAAGGCGGGTTGGCCGGATTGTTCAGCAACGCAGCGGGAACGAGCGCCAGCACCGATAACGGGCTATCACCGGGCGGAAACAAGCGCGCGGACGACCGTCGAAATTCCGGCTATGTCCCGGCAGACAGAGAGAGAGTCTCTGTCTGAAATGCGAATGGGCAGATGCCTCAATGACAGGACAAACGGAGGCACATGGAGGAATTTCAGGATGGGTGGGAGGAGGTTGCCGGAGAACAAGGAGAGAGTCAAGTGAGGTCAGTTGGAATGGAGGGAAGAGGAAGTGCCAGGTGGAGACCGAGAACGGGGTTGAAAGTCGAGAGTCGAGACGAGAACTGAATAACCTCAGGTAGCTCAACTGCCTTGGATAGACAGATAGCTAGGTAGTTAACTAGCTAACTAGTATGTTAGTTAACCAACCTACCTAGTTGGCCCAGGTCGACCCGGCCGAGACTGAGAGGTGATTGCGATCGTTCATCGCGATTATTTCATTGGAAGCACTGCCACTGTAACCAGCAGTTGCCTCAGGCCACGCGTCTGGCTTGGTTCGCCCGCGGTTCTTCTCTTGTTCTCTTGGTTAACTAACTAATTATTCTTCTTCTTCTTCTTATTATTATTATTGATGCCTGGAGCAATTAGTTAAAATGACTGGTTCCTCTGGTCTCTCTGCCCATCTCTGACCCCATCTCGTCCATCCATCCGAACTCATCCTGCTCCGTTCGATCATCGTGCACATTCCGCTCTGTCCCTGAGCCTCCTCCTTCTAGTTCAAATTCATCCACCAACCCCTGGGCGGCACTAGTCCCGGACTATGAGCACCAATGCCGAGTCTGCAGCATGAATGACCTGAGTCTAGCGGCAAGTGGCGAGATCCAACGTCCGTCTACCTGTCCAGCACTACTACCAGTACTTACTCATGAGGCGAAATCAAAAACTCTGCAGTGCCACTGCAGGCTTAACTGATCCATTCATGAAGCTCGAGTACATCCGTCAGCAGTGCTAGCTAAGCAATAATGGTCTCAAGGGAGACTCGACTAAAAGCGCGTACAACGACGGTCTGCCGGTGATGGCAGCCGGTTTCACCTCTGCCATCCGCCAATCCACCAATCACCGCCTCTCCACATAAACGGCCGTTCCAATCAACGAAACTAACCTGCTGATACAAACAACGTGCTAATCATACTATCAGTACCAGGATATCTCCAAGCGCCAGGCGTCAAATCCACAATGCTGTCCCTAAGTCCGAAGTCGTCCGCTCAAATGTGTCTATCGTGCCAGATGCTGCGATTGCCGTTATGCTTCCGGTCTTTGACCATCCTAGTTAACGGGCTTCGTCGCGGCCGTCATCAATCTGGTACTTATGCATCATCATCATCTGCTCTTCGTCCGCTTCGATGCGTCGAAAGAATTCGCGCACCTCATCTGCCGCCGGCTTGTCACGCAGTCTCTTCTTGTACCAAGGCTGTTGTGCTGTATGTGGCCGGTGCGTCTCGTTCGGGCGTGAATAGCCGTCTCCCACGTGGTTATCGTCGGTGCGAGACGCCCCCGTCTCTGACTGATCTCCAGGTCCATCAAATGGGGGTAGGAATCCGTAGGCATTGACATTCTGAGAGACAGCCGGTGCGCATCCCTTCTTAGACGAGTGTCCTCGGCGTTGGTTGCGTTTCCACGGTGGGCCAGTCTGCGAACTGCTCTGCTTGACGACCCCCTGATTGCCCAGGTTAGAGGAAGAGGACGAGGCGTTTCGCGGCTCTTGCGCCGGAGCAGCTTCGTGGTCAATGTTCTGGATCCACTCGACGGTGTTGCGGATGTTCACAGCTCGATTCCCAAGCCCAGATCTACCTCTGCTCTTTCCAGAGCTTAAAGCTCCTTCAACTCTGTATAGGTGCATTGGTTAGTTCACCATACATATGATTACTCGGAGAGCGCCAACTTACCCTTCGTTTGATTCATCATCAAGTCTTTCCTTGGCGGCCTCTCGCGCAAGCCAGCGCTTGCTATTATCGACATCAGTTTCTCTTCGCACACTACTAATCCAGCAATGGTACTTACTCTCCTTCCTGGATAGTTGCCCAGGAGTCAGTAGTTGAAAGGCAAGAATAGCAAGATTTGCCGTCATCATCATCCTCCACTTCACGTAACCCTTGATATCCTCTACCTGAAGACTGAACGCTGCTCGGTCCTGATTTACGCGGTTTTCCCTTTGCTCTGGCCTTTCCATTCGATGTAAAGGACTGGTTGCGTTTCTGTGCTGCTTCGGCACATTTGACGTCTTCGCCTACATGGGCCGCTTTGCCCTGCGACTTGACTTGGATTCCATCTCCGTGACTGTCTGTGGCAGCAAACGATGACCTTTGAGGACGGAGAGCCACATGTTCTACAGACAGCGGCTGAGAAAGTCTCGTGGTCACGGCTGTAAGTTCTTTGAGCAGCTCCTCGATGGGCTCTCCATGCTTAGCAGCTTCTTCGATCTTGCGGTAAATATGACTGATCTCCAGCGGGGCTGACTGCATAGGAGCTATCCAGCCATCATTTTCTGCGCCCATGTCTTTCGCTCCTGTCTGCTCAGTGCTAAGTGCATGCATCGTCTGGTTATTCACATCGTGGCTTGCACCTATGACCCAGTCGGGACGATTCTGTTGGTCATTGTAGACATTCCCGGTACTCATACGCGGATCTCCGTATGCAAAGGCGCTATGCATTGAAGCCATGCTTCCTATGGCTGGGAACTGGTAGGGAAAAGATGCGTTGAGTGATTCGTTAGCTGGCAGCATTGATGCCAAGGCGTTTTGGATGGGCGGCGTCCAGATTGAATGTGCATTGCCGGCAGCTAGAGCAGGAAGCCAAATGTTCTGCATACTCGCATTATTTGAGATATCCCCCAGGCGCATTGAGGAAAACATGGACTCGAATCCAGATGCACACGCTGCCCGGTTGTCAGTGGATGTCAGGAGCTCCTGCTGTCTCAGGTTTGACTCGAGCTGCTCTTTGTACAGGCGTGTCGCATCCAGCTCCCGCACCAGCTGCATTCGGTTTTCAACCAATATCTTCTTCGAACTGTGGTCCCGGTCAAAGTTATGGAGCGCCATGTATCTGTCAATACTCGAAAGCTGAGCCGAAAGAGTCTCGTACTGTTTGTTTGCCTCCTGTAGAGACTTTTGGATTGCAGATTCTTGCGGCAGTGGCATGGAAAGCAGTGACTGATTCACGGAAGGGAAGACTGGACCAATGATTGGAGTAGAGCTCATCCCGACTAGAGGATAAAACGGAGCTCCGCTTGGTAACTTCAAGGTGTTTCCCGAGGGGAACATACCAGGGATACTTCCTACTGGCACTCCGAATGGGGAGACTGGTCCAGCTGCAGACTGCTGGGTCGGGGCGGCCAGAAATGGTGTCGGGGCTCTCTGCGCAGTGAGGGAGCTATTGTTTGGAAGCCAGTTGACCTGATCAGCACATATAGTATACGCTCCATGGTTTGGTGCGAATGTCATACACTCTTGATACGTTTGTACCGGTTGAGAAGAGTGAGTGTTGTTGGCCCCTAAGGCAAGGTGAGGCTGGGAGCAAAGATTCTGCACGGTAGGCGCTGTCTGCTGGGGTCCTGGGATTCGAGCATCACAGCCGGGTCCATCAAAAGCTGGACACGGCGCTTCAGCACTCCCTACGGTTCCCGAGATGGAAGGATGTTCTATGGCGTTGGAGTTGGCGTTACCATGAGCATCTCGTGTAGGAGCAATGTGTATTCCACTGCTGCTGGCTCTGCGTTCAGTCAGAGCCTCAGACCTGCGATGATTACCGGAGCTGGCCGCTTCTTCTTTTTTCGTCGGCAGCTTGAACTGCGGAGCGGGCAGTTCTGAATTCATGGGAACGATGCGTCCTCCAGCAGTGACGCGGTGGTACTTAGGGGATGCGTGCTCTTTGAGGAAACGAGCAAATCCAACGTCTGTCTGTGCCAGATTTCCATGCGGAGCGTTGCGAGGCTGCCGGCAGGGATATTGAAGAGGGCCTCCTGAAGTAAAGGGAGAGTCCTCGCTATGGGTAGCAGAGAAGCTCGAAGCCACACGAGAGCGGTTGACAGAGCGTTCAGTCAAAATGTTCGCACTTGCTCTGCGGCGGCTAAGAAGGTTGTCTGGCTCACGCGTCAGTGTCTTCATGTTTCTCTATTCCAGTGACGTGAAAAGATACTTACTTTCCAGTGCATGGACACTGAACTTGCCAATATCGATAGAGCCGTTGGGGCTCATGGCCAGCAGGGTTGGGATATCGTACTTCATCTTGGAAGGATTGGAGGTTGCGGAGGTACTGTGATGAAATGGGAGTGACTGGGAGCAGAGAAGAACAAAGCAACTCTCAGGTGAGTGTTTTTCTTCTGTTGTTGTCACGGCTAGCGCGTTCTATATCCAGGGGGGAAGGTGTCCCCCAGAAGGTGTCCCCCAGATGCTTCAGCATATGGCAACAACGTCCCGTGACCTTGGAGTGTTGCTTCTAAGTGACCCTGGCGACATTCAGGCACGCTGACAAGTATCCTTTGTGCTATCTGGAGATGGACTGTGTCTGCTGGTATCATGATATATTCAAAAAGATTACCTGAAGTAGTATTAAGGTAAAGCCTCCCGCATCCTCTCCCGTCTCTCCATACTATGACAGAAAAACATGACAACTGCATAAGCCTCCAAACCTCCTCTTCCAACCTCTAGACGCTCTCATGCGGCTTGACCGGGTCCTGAAAAGGATCGACATGCTCATCCTCATGGTGGTCAAAATCAGGACTGGCCTTGGGTGCATTATCCGCCTCAGTCTCTTTCTTTTGCTGAGCCAGCTCCCAGCTTCCCTGTCTCTCATGACCTCTGGTAGTCGCTCCAAGATTGGGGGTTTCTTCCGTCTGGGCCTCGCTAGTCTTGATGGCGCCTCCGAACGGGCTCTTGAAAGTCACATCGGTATCGCTAGCGAGCTTCTTATTTCCCTTGAAGCCTCCCATTGCGGACCTTTGCTTTCGTTGAATGCGGAAACCACACAGGAGAACGACAGCAGCAACTAAAGCTGTAGTAACAAGAGTGACACATGCACCAATGGCTCCTGCACCAGCAAGACTAAGTCCCTTCTTCGAGGCGCCGGTTCGCTCTTCCGAGTCCGAGGGGACTGAACCAGAACAGAAGATCGCTTCGCTTCCGCAGATCTCGCACCATTCTGCTGTGGAGGATACGGCGAACTGAGCAATTTCCGCCACGAATTCTGTGTACGGAACAGCGATCTGGCTGGGACTGTAGCCAAACAGTGGATAGTACGTAAAGCCCTCTGAGGCATCAGTGCTGTTGCGGAGGAGGAACCGAACGTAGAGATCGGAGACACTGGGGTACTCGACGTTCGATTCACTCTCGTAACTGAACAGCTCGAAAACGAGCGAAGCACCGGGAACTGGACGTCCGTAGAAGTTGGAGTTGAGATCTGACATCTGGGCTAGCGCTGCAAACGCCACAGCGGGCTCGTAGCTTCCGAATATCAGGGACATTTTCGCTTCAGAGCCTTGCGCCTGGATGCTAGAGTTGAAGGAATCCACGACGAGCTGTACCATGGTCCTTCCGGCGATGGTCGAAACCTGGCTATCGTTGCTCCGTTGGCCGTATCCTGTGACGTTGCCATTCGTCGCATAGACATACTGATCTGCGAGCGCTCTTGCATAACTGATATCCTCTTCAGTCAGGATATCTTGCAAAGTGGAATTATGCAAATACGAATATTCCAGATATTCGGAGATATCGTAAGCGTTCTCGTAATTCGCATGGTCCTCATCGTATACGCCCGTAAGCGCAAGTTCGTAAATATAGGCATAGAATCCAAGCGTATCTTCCTTGATTTGGGAAAATTCCGGGGTATTCTGGTATGCCCACTCTGACATTTGGTGCGTGAAGCAGTCAGTCTGTCCGGCCACTGCGGTCGAATAGGGGTCAGTCCAGCCTGCTGTATAGATGTCGGCATATTGATAGCCATTGAGCGGATAGCTGACAACTGAGCCGTTGGCCAAAGTGGAGGCGGAATCGAGGTAGGTGCCATTATATGATATGCTAAGAGGAGGATAAAGCCCTTGGATAAATGCTTGAGCTGAGGCAGCAACAAACTGATCCGAAGTCGAATATATGTTCACTTGATCTGCACTCAGAATGTAGGGGGATATCCCTTGAACTCCCGTGTGCGATTGATTGCCATTGGAAATCAAGGCCACATATCTGTCGCGGAAGATAGAACCAGCCGTGTATAAATCTTGGGCCCCGAGAGATGTCAATCGGCGCGGCACGGAGAAAGCAGTCGGTGTGGTATCGCCATATAGTGTAAAGGCGACAACACTCCAGATCGTCTCTGTGAGAGCCTGTGTCCAAACGACCTGGGCCTGCAGCACCAGGGCAGTAATTGCGGCAAGTAGTAGTCGCATCTTGTTTTATGGGTATGGTGTGGGAGGGTAGAGTGGCCTGCACACTAGGGATAAGGATCTATATAGATTCCAATGACGAGGAACTCGAATCTACCCTCCAGAACCAGCTGGACTCCAGGAGTGTCAGTAGGAGATGACTGAGAATGCCTATCAAAGCTTTTTCCTTCTGGGTAACAGCAAGAATAAGTATCTCGATGCCTCAAGGGACTGGGCCATTGAGTAATTGTCGGATGACCTCAGAGCATGGTATCCGCCAAATCCGAAGAGCTGGTACCTCGCTTGGGCTAGAACCCCTCGTCGATAAACGATAATGGAGGGCAGATCACCAAATTGCGGAGGCTCTAAAGCTGAAAACGGATACAATTCCAGAATGTCAGGATGATAGGAAATATGCTTTGACCTTTTCGAATAGGTCGTGTGAGCAGCTGGCCCTTAGCTTGCACAGGGTTGCGGTGATCCTAACTACATAGTAACCTACATTGCTTTCCACGTGTATGCATTAGTGAATATAGTTCTGGCGCTAGATGTGACGAAATTCTGTGCTTAAAATCGCGAAGTTAAATAAAAAGCAATCTCATATAGATCATTGCGCAATTGGGCAGAGAGCCGTTGCGGATTGCTATACGAGGACATCTTCAAGAATTCGGGGAACAACCCCACCCGCAGCCTAGACGTCATGTTCTTCTGATAAGATCCTGGAGATTTCATCTTCATAACGTTTTCCATTTCTTGGAGAGGTGTAGAAATATACAGAGCGGGCGGGATCTACAGCGGGAAAACGCTTTGATCATCGGTCCTTATCGCGATGGAGCGCGGGGTTCTGGCACAATACATGCTTGGCGCCCAGGACCTCGTTGCAAATAGCCTTGAGCAGTCCCTTGGTTCGAATTGTGTGAATAGTACTTCTTGGTCGGAAATCAAGGCTCATCAAGGCATTTCTGATGCAACCTTCTAGTACTAAATGCGGAAGCTTCGCTGGCCGGGAACCAGCGGACCGTAACCGTTGATACCGCAGAGAAACATATATATCACGTCAGTCTGGTGAAAGGACACAACCAGTCAATGACGCAGGAGGAGCGTAGGTTCAGTCTTACGACTGATCCCACAATACCAAAAGTTGGTGGAATCCACCTAAGACGATCAACGTCGGTTGATGTTAAGAACAGAGAAAGACAACGTCGAGACGCTAGATATCTACTTAAGGAATGGCATGTACGGTTCCTAGCAGATGAAATTATTCCCGACGGGACGGTCTATCTCCAACAATGCAAGAAGATCAGAAGTCGGAGATCATCATGAAAACAGTGTTATATGGCAAGAAGTAAGCAGTGCCTATTGTTGCTTTGATATAGTTAAATACATATTAGCCGACCAAGGAGAGAGCAAGAGAGCTGTCCCGTGACGCTTGAGTTGCAGCCTGAGGCAGGAAATGGACATAGTTGTCACGTGCGAATGTGCTCGAGCACTTTGGCCACTACCAACAAGTTGATAGGATGCATTTGCTTCACATTTATCTCGTAGAGCAATAATTAGACGATGGCTGTGATAAGACTCGCTTGTAAGAACTCCATGCGATACCCGAGATAGATCGAATTAGTCTGGCGTGCGATCTCCCATCTCGGGATCGGAGGCTTTCCCGGCATAAGCGCAAAAATTTCTCAGCAGCTAAGTAAGCGGAGCCTCCTCCAAAGCCCTACGCCCGCGCCCTACCCCTAAACCCTCATTTCTTCTCTTGGAAGTCAGATCGACCTGCATACAGGATAGATTCGGCCGCCATGGTAAGTACACGAGGCTCGAGGTTGTCTTCGGATGGGAAGACGTCCTCTACCTTCCCGACTTCGTCCGTGCCTGATGAAAATAATGGTGAGTGGCCGTGGCTGTAGCTACCTTCCTCTGTTACTTGTCTCCCGGCTTCAGGTGAACGCATCACTTTTTCTCGTCTCTATCCCGCGCAGTTCTACAACATAATGATACAGCATCATGCTAACTTGCTTCAATGGCAGAATTCGGGAAGGTCTCGCATTCGCTTGATGAGGACGATGGATCTCTCTCCCCAAGGGCGTTCAAGAAACGCCGGACCTCCGGCCCTGATACCTTTGATGCATCCTCTTTCCCGACCAAGGAGGAGAACAATATCACTGCAGGAAACCAGATAGAGGAAGAACTGGCTTCAGCACTGGATACGGGGGCGCTTGAGGCCGGGGAGAATCTGAATGGCAGTCACGATCAAGGTGAAAACGGGACTGACAACGGTGCGGTTCCCGCGGGAAATCCTGATCCTGCGCAAGATGTGGCTGCAGTGATATCTAATATTATAGGTCATTCAGAGCGTGTAGAAGAACAATTCGCGGCTAGTCAAAAGGAGAAGCAAGAGACAAATGATGCTGGAGCACCTGCCTCTAAAGGCGTCGTTTATCTCAAAGCCAACTCTCATCTCAAGATCCAGAGTCTGCCAATTCTTGACAATCTGGTAGGTAGAGATGCCACACTTCCACGATATTTGGACGCTGATTGTAGCCCAATCAATAGTCGACCCAGATCCTGACCCTATTGGCCAAATCCTCTTACCAGGATATTACCTCGTTCGTGTCTGAGCCCGACTCAGAGAATGGGCAGGCTTATGCAACCATGCGTTCGCTGTTTGATCATACTAAGAGAGTCTATTCTACGAAAACTGCATTCCTGTCTGCGACAGAACTCGATCTGACCGAACCTTCTCAAGTGGATATCATCAGGAAGGCAAACCTGGCTTCCTTTGTCTCAAGTATCTTTGGGACTCAGGACATCAGCTTCGCCGAATTGAATGACCACTTCCTCGATGTCTTTGTGTCGGAGGGAAGTCGTCTTCTCAAGGTTCAGGGTGCATTGTTCCTCGAACTTAAGACCCAAGCATTTATCGCGTCCATGAACAGCCGGGAACGTACGAGGACTGAGCTGCTCTACGACCTCTTCCCAGAGGATCTGGAGCAGCGCCTGCTTGCCAAGCGGCCGGGCACAAGGCAGCTTGCCCCCAGTGAAGCAGATTTTGTCAAGCGTGCCCGTTCACGCCGTGATATTCTTCTTGGTGAAATAAACAACGAAGAAGCAGTGAAGGCATTGCCAGAAAAATACCATTGGGAAGATTTTCTGAGAGATCTCAGCTCTTACATTAGCAAGAATTTTGATGCCATCAATAACCAACAGGTCTGTCACTCCAACCTTTCATGCACTCCATTCAGAATGCGGCTAACGGGAGATAGACGAAGAAGACTGCGAAAGGGCGCCAACCCTCCACCAGCGAGACTCAGGAGCAGCAACCCAGCGCTCCCCTTGAAACTCAGTTCTCGGTGGCTCCTCAGCCTCCGGAAGTTCCAGTTGATCGCAATGTGCACGGAGATCTTGTCGCACGAGCAGCGCGAGCGGCACAGATCGCCCTGCAGGGCCACGGGCTAAGACGCTCTCAACAGTCTCAGCAGCAGCAACAACAGCAGCAGCAGCAACAACAACAACAACAACAGCAGCAGCAGCAACAACATCATCAACAGCATCAGCATCAGCAACAACCTCAGCAGGTTCAGCAGATGCAACAGCCCCCCCAGCAGCAGCACTCCGCTCACGGGACCCCAATCCCTCAACCAACTCCGCCACAGCACGGCCTGCCTATGCAGCAACAATTCCAGGGCAGCCCTACTCCACCTGGATACCATCAGCAGCCTCAACAACCTCAACAACTTACATTCCAGCAAAGTCCTCTTCAGGCCAATTTCCAGCAATACAACCCCGCCGCCAACGCTGCATCGATTACGGCTCGAGCCAATGCTGCGGCGGCAAACTACGGTTACATGCCTGGTGTACCTCACTATTCACAGTCACAGCCTACTCAAATACTATATGAACGTGCTCGTATGGCTGCCACTGCCAAGTCTTCCCCGAGTAGCCGTAGGGCAGGCCTTCCCAGTCAACGTCGGCCGTGGACCACTGAGGAAGAAAATGCCTTGATGGCTGGACTGGATCGGGTGAAGGGGCCTCACTGGAGCCAGATCCTCGCCATGTTCGGACCGGGAGGTACGATTAACGAGTCCTTAAAAGATCGTAATCAAGTTCAACTCAAGGACAAAGCACGCAACCTCAAACTCTTCTTTTTGAAAAGTGGTATCGAAGTGCCTTATTATCTCAAGTTTGTCACGGGAGAGCTCAAGACCCGCGCCCCTGCACAGGCTGCCAAGAACGAAGCTCGCGAGCGAGAGAAGAAGCGAGGAGAAGAAGACAAAGCGCATGTGGAGGGAATTGAAGGGATGATGGCTCTTGCTGGTGCACACGCCCCTCATATTGCACCTGGACCAGGACAGGACACCATTTCTAATATGTCTGGTTCTCCAGGTCTCCCACAGGATGCAGACAACCATGCAATGATGGACCAGACTGCTGAGCAGAACTTGATGCAGACTCTGGGTCAGGAAGTCCACGGTGACCTCCTACAACAGGCCCAACACCAGGATCCTGTGGATCCTAATATGCAACTGGGCCAGTAAGCGCAGGCGGGTCACAGTGTCGATATATACCACTTTGATGCATCATCTCCGTTTATGCTTTCTCTTTCTCTTTCTCTGTTCTATTCCTCTATGGGGGGATCAAACCAAGTGTTGCGGGTGCACAGGCGCGGTCCTTGGGGGCTTCTTTCTCGCGGGCGCACTCACTGTAAGAGTATGTATGTACACAGTACTAGTAGTTCAAAAAAATAAAATCAGTTGATCATAATTTTACTATTTAAGAGATCAAAATATATTCCGTTGCCAACTTCAGATCTGTAAGCCCTGTATGGAAATTTGTCTGTAGGAAGCCCAAATGATGATACCAAGCCTCTTGTCCCGGAAGTAATACCCGTACTTCAGAAAAGGCGGTGGTGCCAAGACCACGCCGCTTCCAGCTTTCACCACTCACTACTCGCCAAACTTCGTGCGCACCCAACCTGGACCAACCCAGCGCGACCTTCAACCGCGAGAAAAAAGAACAGCAGGCCATAGGGGACGGGCCAGCGTTACAGAACCGTACCACACGCTGTGAGCAGGGATTCTTTTCATTTGCAGACAGCAGACAGGGGGGCTTTTTTTCTTACAGTGGCTGTCGATCCTGCTTGCCATCATGGCTGAACCCTCAGCCTCCACGTCGCAGCCTCCAGCGACACCACAGCCTGCACCCCCATCACAGACACAATCACAGGAGACTGCTCCGTCGTCAACAACAGCAGATACTGCAAACTCGACACAAGATCCAGTGCCAAAGCAGGAACCTGGCACTGCCGGGGGTGAAGATATCGACGCCTCCATCGAGCAGGATATTGACATGGCTGGAACCGACACCAATACTAATAACGCTGGTGAGAATGGAAGCGCAAGTGCAGACCCAACTGCAGCAGCGGCCGCTGGCGGTCTTCCTGTAGAATCGGTTGCACCGGCGCCACCGCCAACGAAGAAGGAAACCAGCCTGCGCGAGTTCCTCGGGAAGATGGACGAGTACGCGCCTATTGTAAGTGTTGCACGTTTGCTTTCCCTTCGGTTACACCTCAATTATACCTATCCCATCTATACGTTGCCCTGCAACTTGTATCGCCTGATCATATGATGAAATATTTCGGATGTAAATTCACAGACCTGTTCCGAAAAGCGCAAAAACCATGTGGATATTTCCGTTGCCTTCCTTCTGACAAGATCATGGCTCTCATCCCGTCTTCAAGCTTTCTGCTCATATCACAAAAATTCTTGCGAAGACTAACCATGTTTCGATAGATTCCTGATGCTGTCACCGCGCATTATCTGACTCTTGCTGGCCTTCCTCCGCCAGGTCATGGTCCGAATCAGACCCCTCCGCATCTAGCGCGTCTACTTGCCTTGGCTACGCAGAAGTTTATCTCTGATATCGCTGCGGATGCGTACCAGTACTCGCGAATCCGTTCTTCTAATAGTTCCAGCGCAAACAACCCTATGGGTGGTCTTAACGTTGCTGCAGGCCTGGTGCCTAACGCAGCAGGTCCCGGAGGCGCAGCAGGTGCAGCTGCTGGAGATGCAGCCAAGGGGAAGAGTGGACAATCCAACACCCATCTCGGTATCCAGAGACCCGGATTTGGTGGTGGTGGTCAGGGTGGTTCCGGACAAGGACGGACGGTGCTCACCATGGAAGACCTTGGTATGGCCGTCGCCGAATACGGAGTCACCATCAAGAGAGGGGAGTTTTACCGATGAGCGCGTGTCTCTCGACCTTTCAGTCATCAGACTGGGATCATCACGCACATCCCATATTTTGCCTGGGCTTAATTCATCTCCGGGTCCGGAGACATGATTGCATTGACTCGACAGCCAAATGGCGTCGTTGCCTTTCCTGAAGGGGGCTTGGAGTTCGGAACTGATTTCGGTGGCGTACATGGCGGGTGGTTTTATCATGAGCTGTCATGAAGCGGGATATCCCAACCCATTGGATTAAATCGGCGTTGAATGGGGAATCCTGACAAGCTAAAGCTGTCTGTAAGAATTGAAAGATACCAATCAAGTTTACTACAAATGACATCCTTTTTAATCACACAAAGATGATCAAAGTCAAGAATTACTGCACAGCATGGCCATGTACAGATAAGAGGGTATAGATGTTGTATTCAAGAATTCCGTACCGTGTGGATCCATCTCCATAAATATACATATGCAAATCGTGAAGAAGTAAAGTACAATACAATGGGATGGCAACGCAATATTTCCCTTTAAAATCAAAAACTCCTTTCGACATAATATCCCTTCTTTTTCCAGCGGACAGAAATCTAACGCCGGGAGAAAAAAGCGAAGTAGATAATATTGCCCAAAAGGAAAGAAAGAAAAGAAAGCCGAAACTTTTTTTCTCTCATTTATTTGTTCTTGGACTGCTTGTACGTGAAGCGCTTGCGGGTCCTGCATATCACCACCGAACAGTTAGTTAGCCCACTGATTCCGATCCCTAAACATAATCTTTCGTTCGTCGCTCTCTCTCTCTCTCTCTCATATCTTGAGTTATTCGACCCATTACGTGTCCCAATAAAGAACACCCCAGGAAGAAAAGGGATCCGAAAACGCAACAACATGACCAGAAAAGGAAAGGAAAAGAAAAGAAAGGCTCCACGTACGGAACGAACTCGCCCAGCTTCCGTCCAACCATCTCCTCAGTGATGATCACATCGATATAGTTCTTTCCATTATGAACCGCAAAGCGCAGGCCCACGAAGTTAGGCAGGATGGTAGCGGCGCGGGCTTGTGTCTTGATGGCCGGCGTGTTGGGTGGAGGAGGGATTTCGCGCGGGAGAGCGAGTCTGTGAGTATTGAGGTGTGGGTGTTAATTCAATTTCTGTCTTATTCCTTCGGATTTAACTGAGGAGAAAAGGGTTCAGGCCTGATGGAGGCTGAGGAAATGAAGTTGAAGGGGAAACGTACGGAACGATATTCGGACCTGGGAATTGAATCTGATGTTAGCCAAGCTCGCTCTATATTGATGCATTGAGTTCGTTCGTTGAATATCCTGTAGGGAAAAGATAATTCATTCTCACCTTTCCAGACCGATCGCGCCAGCAGTGCACGCGTGGGGAACATCTTGAACTGCTTCTGGGTCTCTCGACTGGCTTGTCGGAGTAAAACGCGGCCGCTTGGATGTCCGCCATCGAAATCTCCAAGATGGGCGGCTTATGTAATCAGATGATAGAACGACTGTATCTACATTCTCGACAGTATCATGACAACGATAGGCTGTATTATTCTGGATATAGATATGATGGCATAAATTGGTCCACTTAAAGAATAGCAAAAGATTATTAAATATGGTGATAACCGAATTCACTTGTTGATTTCTAACATCACAGCTAATATAACATTTGAATCGAGTTCTATCCTCGTCAGGAGGTCGCCAGCGATCTCCAAATTAGATGACAAGGCTTTCCGTAGATTTGTCTATTCTTTCGCGAGATCCTCCATGATTTTTACAAGGCTTCTCACGCCCATAAGCACGTTCTCATCTGGCCCTTGTCCAGGAGTCCAGCTCGCATGCGCGAAGTCGATCAGACGGAGATCATGAACCTTGGGTGGCTCCTCTTCATCATCGGCTTGAAGATCCCCCAGTTCTGTTGCTGCGGTTCCGGGATCAATATCGAGTTTGAGGGCGCCCTGAGCTAGTGTCTGGTCTCCGACCTTGACATCAACAACTTCCAGGGACCCGTCTTGAGGGAGGGTAAACTCCTCCCCGTCTTCATCTTCCTCTTCGTCTTCCTCCTCATCATCTTTCCTGTTTTTCTCGTATTCCAGAGCTTCCTCCATGGCCTCGGAGTCACCTTCGTAAACAATGAGAACACTGGCGGAGTACATCCTGCTCTCCTCCGCCTCCAGGACAGACTGCACACATCTTAACTCCTCCGCGATTCTTCGCGCTATTAGTTTCGAGCGGTCTTCCTTGCTGGCTTTTGCGCCTGCCAAGAAAGTCTCGAAGGCTTCTTTCACATTTTCAGCGTTGAAGGATCGACCGTACCATTTGTCGTATCGTTTGTAGCCCCCTTTTTCAATGACTTCCCCTTTCTTGCCTTCAGACGCCTCGTATTTGGTGGCATACGGGTCTGTCTGACCTAGAGGCTCTTCCTCTTCTCCTTCCTTCTTTCCACCAGTCCAGACCTTCATTCCAGCAATCCGAAATCCTAACGTCGAGCTTGTTGTTTCCTTAGAAACAGCATCGAGCTTTGCTCGCTTGCTCGGGGGAGCATCATCTGCCCATAATCGGGCCCCGAGTTTCACATCCAACACGTTTGGCCGCTTGAAGCCTGATGCTACATTTTCCAGAACGATTGACAGGCCTGTTTCGAGTTTACGCCCGCCCGATGGAACCCAGGGATCCTGTTTCTGGATAGGGGTGCCCTGCCCTGATGCGTCGGTAACGGGCAGAGAAGTTCCTGAACTGACTGGTGTATTTGACGAGGATGGGGCGTCAGATGGCGGAACAACTATAGCCCCCGCCTGCTGAGCTTGGGCGAGAGCCTGGGACTGCTGTTGGTCTGCAGATGACAAAGTTCCTATAAAAGTAGGCATAAAAGCCCTGAAATGGGGATGAAGAGAACTTGACTCATAGAAGGCGATCTCCTCACGCGTGCAGGGTTTCGCAATCAAAGAGCCAGACGGATCACAACGAACGCCATCACTATGAGATTGTAACTCGTCAGTTTCAAAGCACATAGAATCTATGTATAGACAGTTATATGCGGTTGTTCAGCCCATTTCAAATCTGGCAAGTACAGTATCGCCAGGTGACGCAAACCAAAGCTGCAAGCTAGACTGATAGGGAAAACTTACTGTCCAGCTGCAGCATGATCGAATGCAACAAAGCTGTCGCCGTCCAGCTTTGGCGCCTTGCGGCTGTCGGATTTCGAAGGTGATGGCATGACCAAAAGACTGTGATAAGAACCGACAGTCTCGATAAGAAGACTAGATATCACGACCGCATGCCGAACGAGTCACTTCGCCGGTATTTCCGGAACCACTCAGGCGGCGTCGATCGACCGTTCCCACTAGGACTGCAATACAAGGAGCGGGAAAATGCAGTGCCAGGGAGGAACAGAGTGAAGATATAAGAGCATGTCAGGATCGTGATCCGCTAGAAATGGCACGATGCAGGCGCCATGCAGGTCAGCGGAGACGAGAGGCGGGTATAGCGGGCTGTAGGGGTAAACAGGGCGCAACGGTGGATTGGAGAGTGTAGGTAATCGCCACGATCATCAATCAATGGCGAGCATACGGCCATCGATGAGCATCTCTAGCGAGTCGGAGAGCAAGCTGGATGAGCAACCAAAGCCGCGGCGGAGAAGTTGAAGTGGGTGTACGATACAATACCCGCCGTAATTTAAGTTTCAGGGCTCAGCCGGCCTTTGGTGGCCTCTCACCGCGCAAAAAACGGGCTTGCGGGGACTGCGTATTGCAGGCAGAACATGACCGAACGGTATCGACGGCAGGCGGAATCCCCCAAGGCGGTGACGAGTCAGCACGACGTCAGGCCTCTCAGCCTCCCTTTTTGTCTTTCTTGGTCTGATTGATTCAAGACACGAGAATCATTAAGAACAGCCAGGATGCGTTTCAGATGCGGCTGAGGGTTCGAGCGTCACTGCAGATTGCTCAGCCTTGCTGCACGCGGACAGATCATCCACCTGCTCGCATCCGAAACATCGCCGTTGATCCCCTGGATGTTTGTAGCGGCAACACGAAACGGCCGATCTTACTGTGAATGGCGACAATAAAAAGAGGATCTTCCATGCCATCGTCTGGGGATGCCGCTAACTTCTTCTTTGTCCTGTTTGTCAATCGGCAGTTGCCCGTAAATGAGCTTGCTCCATGTCAGGTGGACCCTGCAATCTCAGGGTCCAAGGGGAAATATTCTCAAGGTGTTCGGTATTCGGTATGCGGTATAATCGACTCACAGTGCTACAGACCACCAGTAGATGCAGGAGATTTCCAATGGGTGACTCCAGGTGGCTGATGTGGTCGACCATATTGTAAGAGTATTTGCTTGTCAACCATCGGTTTTCTGCTGGTAAACAATGGGTCTTGTGCGGTTGTTGTGCGTAGGGACAGGTGAATCCCTGTTGCCATCCCACAACTTCACTTGAGGCTTCACTGAGTGGAAGTCTCTTCTTTGTCTCTCAGCATTCTTCAGCCATTTTTCGTGCTGCAATCCCAACGCTCATTTAACATTCTGTGACGTACGTCCGATAAGTATTCTGGACGACTCTATCAAACATCTGCATCGCGGTTCTCAGATATTTCGCTCCGGCTACGATGGAGAACAAGGAGGAGCAGGCTGACGCATCCGTCCTTCCAATCCGTTCAGCACCCCAGGTCGAAAATGATCAAGACCAAGCCTCACATACAGCGCAGAACGAAACACTTGAGGCATCCAATGTGCAGAAGCTCCAGGAACAGGATGATGACAGAGGCGAGGAAGAAGATATGATGGCAGAGATCGATCTGACGTTGCCGGAGAAAAAGAAAAAGAAGAAGAGATCTAAAAAGCCCAAGAGCAAACGAGGCCTCGTCCGTGGAGATCTGTATTGGTGTACTCTTGATAGGAAAGCTAATGTTCTGACAGAACAAACCTACTGGATTCGAGGAATTCTACGTTGACCCCCCGATCACTGTCGAGGAGTATAATGAAAATAAGAAGCGTTACGATGTGTATGTTTCTCCATGTTTTGGAAATGGGACCTACTGACACCCGTATCTAGTTCTCTACCTATTCTCATGTAAGAGATGTACACTGCCCTGACCTGAACGTCGCTAATCCCATCCCAGCCGCCTCGAAGAGGCTATTCTACGCTTCCAGGCGAAACACAGAATCGAAAATGACCGGTCTCATATGTTCTCGAAGTATCTGGCGTATGGGGGCGTAGACGTTGGACAGAAAATGTTCGCTGGCGTGGACCAGCGCGAACTCGAAGACATGGACAAGGAGCAAATACTGGCTGCCAGAGCCCAGGCTTGGATCAACAGCGATCGTTCGAAGATGCTAATCGACTTTGACGCCGTTGTCAGGGGTTATTTGTATGTGATCATCTAGGAGATTTGGTGAAGGGATCACTGACAACGACAGAACCGCATTCTACCCAAGATACTTCTACCCGGACACTGAGGAGATGGCCAAGATGGGACCCATTACCATCAGAAACTTCCTCACATATCTCCTCCACCATGACGTCTGCCCTGAATATAAGGATAACATAGATGCTGCGCGGGTCTCATGCGACATTGCGATCAAAGAACTCTGGAAGAACCAACGTTTCATAGTGCAGGGCCCGGGAAATTTCAATGAGGCTTGTTCAACCTTATTCGGGGGTTCGTTTTACGACGACTATGTCGAGGAGAACCAGTGGGCTCCCACGGCGGAGGAAACTCGTCGAATGACACCCGACATTGCACGTAAAGTTGTCAAGTTCGCTCTTGCGGGTGCTGGATCGAACGAACAAGCAACTCGATTCCGCGACCTGGCTCACGAGAACGCACTTTGCGCCGTCCGTGTGGATGACATTGATGGTTTCGAGATCACAGCCGTAGAGTCGGTGCAGGATGATCTGCGTGAATTCTATCATCAATATGCTCCTGACCTTAACCCCGTTGGCAAATTACATGGAAAAGCTTTTCGAGATCCAGCACGGCCGCTGCCTGATCTGACCCCTGAGGAGCGTCTACAGTGGGAAAAAGGAAACCTAGCCACTGATGAATTCGAATTCATCATGGAGGAGAGCCTCCTTGATTTATGTTACCCAGGAATGAAGGTCATAACATCTGTCTGGAAGCTCAACTGCGGCATCTGCTTCTTCGATGAAGTTATGTCAGCTTACTGTTCCATTTACACCGTTCTGCCGAACGATCTCATGCTTGGCTGGAAGAAACCTAGTAGTTATTCCAACGGTGATGCAGATGGGTCTGATGGTGAAGATGGCAAGGAACACAACCTGCAGGACTATCTCTGATAGGCCCAAGGACAATTTCGGATCTTGAACAAAGGAGAATGCCGTATCTGTTCCTGGCTGTAACCTGGGTTAAAATTCGAGGTGGTACAAAGTAACAGAACAGGAGAGGCATTCTATCTCTTATTTTCGGTCTCAATAATCCGGTAGGTAGATGACAATTGCAGCAGTGAAACAACCTGGACTGTTGGACTTCTAAACCTCATTGGCGGCACAGCGCAGTCAATCTCCTTACTGAATAGGTAGTTAATGCATTGACAGATATCTCTAGTGTCTAACCTACAGCACCGTTATTTACTCCTAGTAGTATCTAGTATGCATGGTTCCACACAGTTCTAAACGACAAAGGTCTCGGTCGTACTTGATTATTATCGCCCGACCGCCCGAGAGACCCGCCCACGGCTACGGGCTCGGGCTTCAAAAAATGTCCGAATGAAGGAGTTCGATATATGAGTAGGAGTAGGTAAATAGTAGTTGACAGATGAATATAAAAACCATCGTGAACATCGTAATGGATATTTGTAACTTCTATAATCTTGTTTACTTACAACCACGATGGCTAGCTTGTCAAACGACGTTGTGATTATCGGTGCAGGTCTGGGTGTAAGTATCAACGCCCCCTCGTTTTGTTTCAACATTCTTTGTCTTTAGTGAAGTTACACTTTGGTACCTGACAATTATTGAACAGGGGGCTGCCTTGGCTCTTGCTCTTCATCAGAAATCTATCCCCTGTCGAATCTATGAAAGCAGAACAGAAGATGCTAAGGGGCTCGGCAGCGGGGTTACCTTAACCCCTAACGGCTTGAGGGTGCTCGACCGTCTGGGAGTCTATGAGCGTATTGCACCTCTGGGTTACCAGAGTGAATCATTTACGCTCAGAAATGCTGAGGGTCACACGATTCGCAATGTGCACCTCGCTGCCGAGCAGCTCTACGGGTACAAGACCTGTCGCGTATATCGCCAATTGCTGCTCGATGAGCTGAGAGCTTTGTTAAAGGAACGGAATATTCCTGTCGAGTACGGTGCGAAGTTCGAAGAGGTTCAGGAAGAGACGACAGACAGCGTGACATTTCGGATCAATGGCAGAACTGAACGGGCTTCGTTATTGATAGGAGTTGACGGAATCCACTCTGCTGTTAGGAAATACCTGACTCTAGACCTGCCAGCATACACAGGCATAGCTTGCGTTTACGGGCATGTTCCGACAGACAGTATCTCGTGGCTGAAGGAAGAGCCCGACAAAGGCTGCACCATTCAAGATGAACCTGGAGCTTTGTTCATGATTCCCGAGGACACTGCTGGCTCCGACCTGATGGTGGGTAGACAATTCTCCTATCCATCACTTGATCGTGCTGGTTGGGAAGCCTTGGGAGCAGATAAGGACGCGCTTTGCGGCTTACTTTGTAAGGGTTATAACAAATGGCACGACCCAGCAAAGGAGTTGCTGGATCAGTTATCGACAAGGAAAGAAGGGTTGCAACTCTGGCCTTTCCAGCGCATGCCAAAAATGGAGCGTTGGTCCTCGCCTACTGGACGCGTTATTATCACTGGTGATGCTGCTCACGCAATGCCGCCATCCTCAGGACAGGGTGTCAATCAAGCATTCGAAGACGGCTATACATTGGCTCTCGTACTTAGCTCCCTGCCGCCAAAAATGAAGTTGATCGAGGTACTCGATTACTGGCATCGTCTACGCCAGGTCCGCATCGACGCAATTCTCGACATGGCATACGAAACAGACATTATGCGGCTCCCCAAAGATGAGAGAGAAGTCTTTGAGCAGAAATGGGGTCTCAATGGTGACAGGAAACTGCAGCCTCGGGAGGACTACTTGAAATGGCTTTTTGCTCCTGGCACGGAAGATGATATTACTGCTTGGATGACTGCTCACTCCTAGACTATGGTTATCCTTCGTCAGATTAGGCCGGGGAATACCCATTCCTTTGGATAGGTGCTACGGTAGCCTCCTGGAGTTCATCTATAGAAAGATGAAAAGCATCGTTAGGCTCCCTGCTAGGAGGAACCATATCCCAGAAGGACTGAGCTCGCGTGCATTGACTTTTGAGAAAGGATTGTAGTTTTATCCTATTAGTCAAATTTGAAAATTCTTATAATTCTGGTATAGCGCATATGAAGGTTAAACAGAGATTTCAGGGGACATTGGTCTGAATGCGGATGCTGCTTGATAACCCTCCTGTGGCCATCTCACATGGTCTCGTGTGCATAGGTGAATAAGACACTGATAAGTCGGCAAAGTATAATTGTTTTAATGCTTTTGGGAGTGATGTTCAACATAATTTCATTTCCCTCTGAAAAGGGCATATCTGGATTACGGATATATGTATTACTTATTTGCACTGGAGGTAGATCTTCCTACCTTCATGGGCGCAGGAGCAACTTTCCGGTGGTCTTTCTGCCTTCGAGGTCCTAGAGCGACAGAAGAAACAAAGGTTAGCGATTGGCCGACAGTAGACTCGGAGAGAAAGAAGAATAGGTAGATTCATAAATTATAGGGCTTCAAGGGGAACAAAGACATACCCTCTGTGCCTGCTCAGCCTGCTCCAAGGGGTAGACCTTGTGGATCTTAACCTTCAACTGGCCAGACTTGAGAAGACTGAACAGCTCGTTGGTGTAGAACTCGAACTCTTCGCGCGTTTCAATGTATCCAAACAGCGTGGGACGGCCGATCTTGACACACTTGGGGGACAGACGACTAGACGTAGTTAGTACGAGATAATAGCTGGAAACGATTGCTTGAGAGCGTAGTTGCTTACGGGATCGGGATAGGAGGGATAGGGCCACTGGCATTGCCGAAATAGATGACAGTTCCCTTTCTCTTGACAGCATCCAAGCTGCCTTCCCAGGTGTCCTTTCCGACAGAGTCATACACGACAGTGGCACCCTCACCTCCAGTCACTTCCTTGACCTTCTTGACCCAGTCCTTTCCCTCGTCGCTCTTGTAGTCGATGACGACGTCTGCGCCGAGGCTCTTGACCAGCTCGACCTTCTCTGGACCACCAGCGGTTCCGATGACCTTTGCACCAAGCGACTTCAGCACTTGTGTCATAAGGAATCCAGCACCTCCTGCTGCAGCGTGGAGAAGCACCCAGTCTCCCTTCTGGACAGGGTATGCCTCCTTGGCCAGCGTCAGCACAGTCAAACCACTGAGGAATGCACCAATGGTGTCCTCATCTGAGATGCCGTCTGGGATCTTGACGGTCTTGGCCGCAGGAACAGCAGAGTACTCAGCATAACCTCCGGTACTGAGCCAGGCCACACGGTCTCCGACCTTGAAGCCATATGGGTTTGGTCCGGGGCCTAGAGCGACAATTGTACCGGCACCCTCACGACCAAGGACCTCCGGCTTCGGGGAGGGGTAGAGGCCAGTGCGGAAATAGGTGTCGATGTAGTTGATGCCAGAGATGTTGTTCTTCACCAGCACTTGACCTTCCTGCGGGGTAGGAACGGGGTGGTCAGTCTTGACCTTGAGGACTTCAGGACCACCGGTCTCCTCGATAACGATGGCCTTCTGCTTTGATGGGAGCGACATTTTGCGAATCTGAGAGACCCGAGGGCTGAAAAATACTTGTGGCGGGCTCAGTTGAGCGCGAATTGCAGAAAGTCGACGGGTACCACTGCTGCGAAGGATAGGCGTCGCGGGAGACGCCAGTACGCGATTGAAATACATTTGAGGGGATGGGATCGTCCCTACGATCCCGCGGGGATATCTTTTTGATTATTCAGTTCAGCGGGGCATATATACAATCGAGCACTCCAATTCCGCACCAAGCTCATTCGTTGTTCCAGCTACGGATGTTGTCATCGGCATCGCGCCATCGTCAACGAGGGGTTGTTTTTTGGTCGACTGCGGGGTCCACGAATAGGTGAGGTTTATGGTATTATTACACTGGTGTCTCCGTCAAGGGCGCATTGGAGGCTAAGCATCAAGGGAAATTGTTAAGTAGGTATACACTACCTGTGCGATCCACTTGCGGAAAATAAAGTAACCACCATATGGTAGTTATGTACGGAGAGTACCGTTTTGGATCTGCTAACTGGCAGGATAGCTATCCGACGGAACGCGATTCAGCGTGGGCGGACAATCTAGAGCTTTCTTTCGGCCGTACAGACTAACGTCTCTTAAATATTACTCCATTATCCTTTACCCGGTGGAAGGATCCCATCGGCCCGTATCCGTCGGCATCTGGCGGAAACCCACCGTATCCATGGAAACTTCTGACTGCGACGGGCGGAGTAGTAGAAGTAGTACTACTAAGTAAGTAGATATGATTCACGGGGGTTATTCTTCAAAATACTAAACTCAGAAGATTGTATACGTCGGTGCCATCGACAACGCCAGCTGAATTGTCACGAGCGTAGATGTTGGGCAACATCAGGGGATCATATAATTATGGCATGATCCAAGGGCAACAAACTAGTCACCATCGGATACTCAAAAGACGAACGACACCTGGGGTCCTCAAACGCCCCAAATGGTAGAGGAAGATGTCTAGTGACGTCGTTCAGCAAGGGTTGTGCTGCAGTGGCTCACCTTCATCGAGCTCTTAATAGGAAGCCCCATGGATGGTTTGTCTTTACGATGATCCGGGGTTATTGACTTGCCATCTATCACACGTGTAGTAGGCAGACAGCTTCCCAGGATTTCCATGGTGTGATCCTGTTGAGACAGATATCAGGCCAAGCCGTGGATAGTTGTGGGAGTTTGTATACGGATGAACGCCACATATTATTTACACCGGCCACCAAAAACCATTGAGATTGCGTCCCTCATCTGAGAAAAACCTATCGAAAAAACGATCCTCTCTCTTTTGAATGCAGAATGGAGTTCGTCTGCAGTTGAATGAGCTGACGAGCTTCTTGAGTTCGCTTTTCTCTGATTCTTTTCTGGGTCTGTCCGCCAGTTGGGCCGGAAATCGCGGGTCCAGGATCCCTGGAGGGGTCGACGTGGGCAAAAAACACTTGTAGCAGCAAGTGGATTCTTGATGGAGCTCAAGAGGCACAAGCAAGAGAGTGAGGCTTGCAAAGTGAGGGATCCTGGGACATTTTGCGGCCACAGGTTCGTTTCCAGACCCTTTGCCTGCGCCCCGTTTTAGCGTGCTGTCAATGGGGTTTTGGACATGACGAACTGCCTTACTCGACGGTCTCGATCCATGCCATTTGGTCTTTGCTGAAGTGCGTTGCAGGTTCCAGTCGCCACAGCCCTACTACAATGTCTGTATAACAGTCGATCTGGCCAGTGCACTGCACTGCATACTGTCGCGCCTTTCTTGGTGGTCAACAACAAAGTGGCCATGCCACAGGGCGACCTATCCACGCCCTGCGCAGACGGCATACAGGTCACATAGAACCGACTGGACAACAGATTCTGCTATTGTTTCAGGAAATCCGTCATGCTGACTGTGGATAGGTCTGACACGTTGGACTGATTTCCCCAGGGCGTCATGCTGCTGCACGTTGTCGCCCGGTTAAAACTAGATGCATGGCGGTTGGCTGCTTTTTCTCAGCCATCATTATTCTTGCCCATCAGTGCCACACCGTGGATCGGCCCGCATCTCTGTCTTGACTGTTGTTCTGCCTGTCAAGGGGTATCTAGAAGGGTCGGGCAAAAGCAGCCCACCGCTAGTGTAGCAGAAACGCAGGCGATGGAGGCCCTTCGAACGGCGGAGATGGATAGGAAACAGAAGAACGAACAACTGCCCCCGCCGGATGGCGATCTCGACTGCGCACGCAGTGTTCGTTTCGAAGGATCTGCGACTTCATCGCTATGATTTGGCGCCCAACGCCCAGGGTCTTTAGGCCCTATCACCATGGACCCTCATTTGACGGCGCTGCCCGATCGTGCTGTTGGGACATGCATTTCCTTGGCCATCCTGCTTCCATATAAATGCTTTTCGCATCGCGATCGAGTTCTCCTGCTTTTGTGCCATCGTACTAGAACCATATATTCAATTCTACGCTCTAATGTCCAATCGAGTCTATATCCTCTCTAGTCCATTTCTTTCTACTTGGGCCGCAGTCCTTCCGCCGCCGCTTTCGAGTGAGTCTAAATAGATCGATAGATCATCTAGCAAGATTTATCTAATTATTTGCGCTTGACAGGAGAACCACCGTGATAAGAGAACCTTTCCAATTCAATCCGACAGCCTCGTTGTCCCTTCAACCTAAAAGGAGGAAGATGTCGTCTGCTTGGGGTGCGCGCCCTCACTGGCCGCCATCTCCTAGTGTGGAGGATGAATCTGAATCACTCGCTCATGAACTGAATGGAACTGCCACGTTAGCAGAGAAACCCGGGGAGGAAGGTGTTTGTGTGAGGGGGTCTATCGACCAGTATCCGATCATCCTGTCCATGGAAATGGTTCAGTCTACAACGGCCGAGTGCAACGCCAGCGATACATCCAGTGTCGAAGCCATGTCGTCAAATGATAGCCAGGGTCCTGCAACCCCACCACCGACCCTGAAGGACGAGCCTGTCTTCCATCATGCGGATGACTCTCTGCTGAGCTCCTCTTCAACTGTTCGTCCTCATAGTCCTTTCGTCAAGGCCCCTGGAACCGACAGGCACGGATCTCCGGCAAGAACAGTCATAGCGGAGCCAGGAAAGAAGAAGAGACATAACCCTGTGGATGATGAAGTTGTATCTCGTCAACCCGGAAACCTTCATGTCTCTACGGAAGTCCTGGAACCGTCTCCCGAATACGCCCTGTCCCCTGAAGTCACGGTGCAAAGGTCGCTCGTGAACGTCCAGGAACTCGAACGGCAAGCGCTGAAGCAGTCATCTGCATGGGACTCCCCAGACATTGTTGAAAGACGGCCACCGCCAAAACGGAACGCGCCCAACATGCACCGCGGTCAATCTGACCAGGTGGTATATCATAAACGACGAGGTGCGGCGTCTGCGAGACAGAGCCATGACCAAGGCTGGTCCTATCATGAGCCGCGCAGTGACCGTCCAAAAAGTGAAGAATTCGCTGATCTCAGGCACGGGCATAAATTACTTCCACACCCACTCAACCCCGATGAGCCACGGCGAGGATCCCCCCTGAAATACGACTATTATTCTGATACCGGAATCGCTCATGACATGACCCAAGATTCTTATGATCGACGACGGAAGTCGACATCCGCGGAGAGTCATGTCAGCTCCAACAGGAGAAGAAGTACTGTGTCTGAGAACGTTCGCGCTAGATCTAGCAGCCCCGAGTCTCCAGGAGCGTACTCTGCCTGGGATCCATCTGCATATTTTGAGAGCTCGCCGAGCAGGTCTACTGCGGTTGATGCATCAGATAGCTACGACCAAAGCTGCCCCGTCAAGCATCAGAAACCTGGAGCCGGCTACTACTCTAATGTTCCTCTGCCTGCTTCTGCCCCTCAGTCTCCGCTTCAGAGAGCCTGTGTTCCAAGGTCCTATTCTCAGCTGGCACCCCATCTGCAGTGCTTGTCATCTGCCGCTAGCCCACCTCCGAGTAGCAGGAGAGAGATTGTCACTTCTTCTCCTAAATCGGTGGCTCAGAATACATGTGTTGCCCTCGCACCGATTCAGGAACCTTCAAGATCCTCTTCGCGCAGAAGAAGGACAGTCTCGTTCTCCCCGGAGCCCGTCCAGGCATCGTCCTCTTCACGTGTCAGCCGATCAAGGGCTCCATCGAAGACGCGATCATCCAGGCAGAGTTCTCCATGCAAAGAGCTTGTAGTCCGCCGTTCTTCTCCAGAACCCGGCAATCTCTGCCTTCTCCCTTGCCCGCGATCTGTGCCGATCACTGGCTACCAGGACTGGTACACTATCCGCGGATTGACGCATCTTGACATCTGCCCGTCTTGCATGAAGCAAATGGCCAAATCGAAGTTCCGTGACTTCTTCATTCCAAGCTTGCCAAAGCCTCGTGGCCAGATGGTGCGCTGTTCCATGAGCGAGCCATGGGCACGGCTAGCCTGGCTTCAGACCATTAAGCAGGGGTACAGTGATCTTGAGATTCTCTATCAGATTACGCGGCCGTCTTCAGGAACCAAGCCATGTTCTGGTCGAACAGCTTCTATTCAGTCTTGGTACAAAGTCATCGAACCCGAAACAGGATCGAGCCTTCCAAGATTCAACGCCTGCCAGGCCTGTGTTCGCAATATCCGCATACTTATGCCAGCTCATCGTGATAGCTTCAAGTGCAGTACTCTGGTGCAAGAGCGGATTTGCGATCTCGCCACCGACAGTCCCCGTTTTGTCCAGTACATCGACTTGTTGGATGCTGCAGCCAACGAATGTGAGTACAAGCGTCTGCCATCCCCGGACATGCAGGCCTTCGTGGACTACGCTAGGCGCAAGACCTCGTTTCACCATTGCCGCCGCGACAGGCTCATTCTCAGCACGTGGCATTATATCCCCGAGCTTCCAGAGTTCTCTATTTGCGAGGACTGCTATGATGACGTTGTACGGCCACTTGCCAAAGCCGACAAACCCATCGCAAGGCTGGTGTCACGTACCATGCGGCTTCTCCCGGGCTATGGACCAGATCTGTGTCGAGAGGCGAGCTGTCAACTATACTCACCTCGCATGCGTACTCGGTTCAGGGAAGCTGTGCAGAACAATGATTACTCGTATCTGAAGTTGGCAGCGCTGAAGAGATACCAAGCTGAGCTCCGTTTCCGCGAGAGAAAGGCCAAGCTCCTGGCCGATGAGAGGAAGGGCTATGACTGCGACACCGAGCTCCGAATCAACGCCGAGGAGTGGAAGAAATGGGAGTGAGACTTGAGACATCCATCTTTGTTATTCAAACATGTTATTATTTATTGTGACAGTTGACCTGTACAATCTTTCCCAATTTGGCGGCGCGCTCTAGCACAGATTGTTTTATCACACGGTGGAAGGACATCGTTGCAGGGAGGAAAAAGAAATCGTTTTTTGAACATGACATAAAAAGTGATACCACCACAGCATCAGGAGGACGCATTGTGACATTGAAACCACAGGAATAGTTATTTTGGAAAAAATTTTTGGATTGGTCACCGTTGTCGTTCTGCGTGTATAGTTATTCTATGTACTGTACATCCGGCATCGTTTTGGAGGTTTGCAAAAATTGCCTTGTTGTTGTCATTTTCATCATCATTATCATCATTAGCGGGTCATTCATATATATATACCATCCTCGTTCTTGCAAAGTCTTCAGGGTTCATCTAGCGCATTTCGTGGGATATTTTCTCTTGGGTAAACTGTCATTTCATTCCATCTAGCCAGGTGCGCCAGACGACATCTGAAAGTTATTCACCCTTGTGCAACTATTGATTCTGACCTAGTTCGCAATTGCTTAAGGTTGTGGATTGATTTCTAATTAGGGACATTGTAGCAATAGTCTGTATTATAATATGATCTACTGAAGCTCATTTACTTTCAATTTGATCATTCATAGGGATCTCTTTCCCTTTCGAAACGTAGAACCACTATTACCAAACACAAGTAAACTCGGACAGAAAAACGAAGAAATAAGCTCTTCCCTTTTATTTTTTGCTTTTGTTGCATTTTCATGTTTTCCTAAAGAAATTCTTCCTACTTTTCTTCGCGATCTCTCAACTACACTACTTGCTTCCCTCGAGTAGTTTGTGAATGTATTTATTTACATAGAGTTTATCATTATTTGGAACGCAGAATAACATATAATGCAGCCATTTGATTTAATTCTCTCCTTGAGCTCCTTTCCTGGCCTGTTTTTCTGTAACTTGGAGAAAGAAAAAGAGAAATTTTCTCATTAGATTAAAATTTTCTTTTCTATCCTACCAGACCTACCACCTCACCGGGCCATTTCCGGCCCCAGATGATCGCTCGCGCGGGGATTCTACCTCCCACGGGCGCGAGGACTCTGATCTTGCCTCGATCGGCGTCGACGTCGGCGACGTAGACGAAGCCCATGATGCTGGCGTCGCGGATCTGGGATAGAGGGGCGTTTTGTGGGACGTGCGTGATGGCGAGGAGGGTGTTTTCGAGGGAAAGTGGTGGCGGGGAAGGTACTTTCTTCAGAGGTACGGTGGTGTTCGAGGTGGTTGGTTGGGTTGATGGCGTACCGCTCATTCCTGGGATAGGTGTGCTTTCATCTCGTGTGGATGATGTTTCGGCATCGTTGATACCTCCTGGTAAGAAGGCATCGGAGGCACCGAATTGAGATGGGTCGTATTCATCTTCCTCTTCGTCTGGTGTCACGACAGTGATGTTATATACAGCTAGGGAGTCAAAGTCAAGCTGTTGTGCATGAGGTGAGAGAGTCACGGTGGTAGAGGATGTAGCGGAGACAGGGAGTGCTGATGAGCCCGTGGATGGGATTGGGCTGCCGAAGAAGTATTCTCGGATCTGAGCTTCACGAAGGGACTTCATGTAAGTGGCGTCGCGGTCGACGCAGCCACCGGATTTGGATAGCTTGATGACTGAAATGCGTTCATCTGAGGCCACGGCGGAGGCGCTTGATGTTGGCTTGTTGTCGTAGCTTCGGACCATGGTGCTGTAAAGACGCTCAGAACCGATGACGAGAATGGTCGAGACTATTGTTCCGTTAGCTCGCGCTGCACTGGGCCATGGCTTTTTTGAAGGGTACATACTAGAGAACTCAGTGACAATATGGTTTATCATCTCGATTCCACCTGGCTTGCCCTGGCTCAGGATTCCAGGCGTGTCCACGATAATGCCAGACTCCCTAGCATCATCGTCCTCCGCCATCCGACCCGTCACAGAGAGCGCTAGCCTGGAGAGAATAGGCTTGTATATGCTACCATCGGCATCAAGTGGATTTTGCATCGGATAGAAATAAACTAGGGGCAGCTTGACCGGGATAGGACTCGGTCCAGAAATCGGACTGCTTCCCCATCCTTCCTCAATATCAATCATTGTCCGGAAAGCTGTAGCTGTCAATGTCCCCGGCACACTGAGCATGCCCTCCGCTGGATCCAAATTCACGACAATTGGCTGGCGCCCAGCCTTGGTCGCATAACTCGTCAATATCTTCGCCAGACTCGTCTTTCCCGCATTCTCAGGCCCCAAGATCAGAACGCGGGGTCCATCCTTGCCTGCAGCTTTCGCTTCCTGTCTCATTGTCTCCAGCGCAAAGTGAACATTGGCATATTCCACCATGGGTGTCTCCTCCGCCGTGTATTCACTCTGACACCCTCCCGTCCCTTGGCCAGGAGCAGCCCCATTCGTGGTTCCTGAAGCGAACCCATTTGTGGCAGTAGGTGCCTCCCCCGCGCTCACCTCGAGTGTACATCCATGCCAGGTATATATCGCAGCCTTTGTGCCGGTAAAAGTGTATGTTCGTGAAGCGGCAAGCTCTGTGCCAAATAGCTCTGCGGTGCCATCTAGGAGCTAGAAACACACCTCACTCAGAGAGCGCGAGACAAGTCAGCCATAAACCATTCCATTCTAGCGATGCTGAATGCCTTTTCAAGTTCCATCCAGTGAATTCCTCGCCTGATACGACAGGTCAGGCTCATCCACGTGCTCCTAGCTTCGATGCCACATGTATAGCGCCGCGCGCATGTGAGTGGCATAGCCAGAGCTCAGACAAAACAACAAGATAAACCAAAAGAACTATGAAAGGAGAAACACACCTTAATCTTTACTGTCGTTCCAAACGCGACTTCGAATCTCCACTCCGATCCTCTTGATAGATTGATCTGCGTGGGCGGCGCGGGAACATACTGCGACTCCGCCGACGGTTCAGACAGCTCTAAACCGGGCAGAGACATTGCATTGCTGGATCACTGGGACCGCAAATATGGTACGATGGAAAAGGGTTGATGTAATTCAGATCAAGTATCTCTCCAATGTCCCCAAGGGATATGGGATTCTCTGATTCCAGTGCTGCAATTCAAAATGCAATCTGAGACTGCGGAGTTCTTTCGCGGTGAATGGAGTTCGGAGCTTCGCAGATTTGTTTTACTTGTTTGCAACCTCTTTTCCCAGCGATACAACTAGTGGAGTCACTGATTATTATTATTGCCATTCCATCCCCGATCATCAATCTTAACGATGAAGCTTATTTAAATTAATGAGGTTGTCTAGCTCATGAGGTTTCCGACTGTACCGTTTGAAGGTCAGGTTACTCTAACGCAGAATGGATTGTTAGTAAGGGCCCTTAATGCACAGCTCCAACCCCATATGCATGTTTCTAGATGGATAGAAGTCGTCATATCTTCACAGGTGTACTGACATACTGCAGCAAAGTGCGCTCCGGTATCCCGAAATGCAGTCTCCGCAGAACAGTCTTTTCAATTCCTTTACATGGTTCATTAACAGTGGGACATACAGAACATCGACCAGACCAAAGAGAACAGATATAAAAGAGAGATGGGATCCAAAAGACCGACGGAATCGACGTGCAGATCTTGAGGTTGCAGCCTCCACGCTTCAAGTTCCTGGGGCTAGTGACCAGACCAACCCACCGCACCTACCCAGTCCATGCCAAAGAGCCGATACCAGAGGAAACAGAAATTAAGTGACTAAAAGTGTTGAAGCGAGCAATACAGAGGGGGAATCTCAAGGGAGGGTAGAGTAGATGTGTTGCACGGGCTTTGGGGCTGGGCAGGACGACCTCAAGGACATTTGTGCGCCCAGAGAGTGCCAGATCGAAGGGTGAGTTTGTGGGAGGGAAGGATGCGAGAACCCATGGACAAGGGAATTGGGTGTAAGAGGTGTCGCAGCTGAGACAGTGGTTGGGTTACCTTCAAGAATGTGAAGATGTGCATTCGAGACTTGTGATGCAGTGACTAAGGGTATGATATCAGGTTCAGTCTGGCGTATTTCTGTGGTGTAAAACATTGGAAACAAGCAGTAATAGTATGCGTTGATACCCTGACCAAATCGGACCCTCTGACTACAGACATAGGGGAGAGCCTGTTAAAACGATCTCCAATATACCCTTGTCTCCGAGCCGGCACGAAACCAAAGGACATTATAATATAATAATTTTAGAAGAAATAGGGAATTGCGGCACTGCAGGATTTGTCAGATACACATCAAACGTGCTGATGAAGTGATTGGAGATACTTACGCAAGTGCCAGTGTTGCAGTAACGCCGACCAAGGCACGATTCCTCACTCGCTCCTTGCGGAGCTTCTCCTCCAGGACCTTGGCCTTCTTCGTCGGCTGAGCCGGAGTATCTGTCTCCTCACCCTCCTCATCAACCGCTTCATCTGACTTGCGCTTCTTAGAGGCCACTGAAGACTCTCCCTTCTCCTGCTCGAGTTTAGCGGCTTTTTCGACCATCTCCTTTGCTCGAGCGATCATCTGTTCGGTATCTTCTGCGGGTGGAAGGTCCGGCAGGAGGGCCGGCATCTCAACCGAAACGGTTGTCTGAGTGGCTTCCACCTCATCTGCTGCATCTGTGGTGGATTGCACATCGACTTTAACCTTTTCATCCGCCGCGGTAACAGCTTTCCTTGCTCGTCGACCGGGCCTAGGCTTCGTCTCTTCTTTGACCTCCTCGGCAGGTGCCGCCTTCTCTTCACCGTTTACTTCGCCGTTAGTTTCCACAGTTCCATCCACCGATTCCGTGTCAGCAGTCGATGCAGCAGTGTCCAGCGCAGACTGTAGGGAAGCATTGGCCGCATTAGTGGCAGCAACTGCTGCTTCCTTGGCTGCCCGCGTTTGCCGTGACTTGCGAGGAGAACTGGACTTCTTACTGGGCGACGCAGCCTTGCTCGGGGAGACGGAACGGCGCGCTCTTGTGCGGGACGCAGGGGGCTGAAGCTGAATCGAAGAGTCTATCGGGGGCAGATCGAATTTTGGCGGGGGAGATATTTGCTTCTTGGCACTCGAAGGGCTCTGCACAATATCTGTGGGGTCCAGGAGAGCGCGAACCCAGTCATACATGCGATATTCTTTGGAAAGTTCCAGAGCTGGATAGATCAGTTAGTGATGAACTCTCGTGTGTACACGGCTTCTGGCGCATCATTGGCGAATTGGCGTACCAAGTTCGGGGGAGATCCAGACGTTGCCAGCAATTTCGTCTTGGCTGGTTTCCGTCTTTGACTTCAGATACTCCCGTTCTGCTTTTTCCTCATCCAACTTTGCCCACGGGAATGCGATCTTGAACATGCCAGTCGCGCTGATGTAGCCATCCTTGCTTCGTCGCTGTGGAGTGGGAGAAAGACTGTTAGTCGATCAAAAGCTCGAGAGTTACGCTCTGAGGGGGCGGTGAGACGATGCAGGCACATACCATCAAGAAATAAGTCACCGGATGTTGCGTCGGGTTGTGAGATGGGAAAATCTCGGATCCTGAAAGGTCCTCTGGCAAGGGCGCACGCAGATGGGCATATTCGAAGGGACCCAGGTTTTCTGGTTTCGTGGCATTGGACGTGCCTATCTGTGCCGGCTTAACCGACAGATTTGTCTTTCCCAATCGACGACGTCCAAGAAGTTCCTCATCTGCGACATCCCAGGAGAGAGCGCGTGTCAGCTACGATGCTCTGGCGATGCAGTATCGGAAGTACCTGGGGAGAGTCGCGCGGTCGGCCGCAGCGCGCGCCTAGCGACGGAAGGTAGAAACTTACAGGAAGGGGACGCGTCCGGAAGGATGAGCGGGTTGTGCTTCTTTGGTAGCGATCGCGCCATAGCGATTATATTGAATCTCGAGAGAGTATCTCGCGAGAGCTGCTATGATGCAGGACGATGAAATGCGCCTCGAAGGGGACTGGGGATGAGGGGACGTAGTTGAGGTTGCGCGGTCGCCTACTCGGGTCGGTCACGTAAGATGCGACACTCACGGCTGCCACGTTGCAGGCGCGTTCCTCGACGGATTCCGGACGATTGCCCGAAAAGGGAGGAAGATAGCAAGTCGACGAACAGGCGGGCGCAAACGGCGAGTGCAGGTTGTCGTTGGGAGAGAGAGCAAGCCGCGTTGGCAGAAGCGGAGGTGACTTGCAAGGGCGGGAGAGATCATTAATCGCAGATAGGGGAGGGAAGAATCCAACCTTCCTTCGTTCGTTGCTGGGACAGGGCGCGTAACTTACCGTAACTGACTGTTCCGGGCGCCGTATGACAGCGATCTCCCTGGCGGGAAACGCAGAGACAGGCATAGCGTCATGCACTCCACCACGAGCGGATTGCCCAACGGTTCGTCGAATCCCCGGTATCCTGTGACGAACGCAATACCACGGGCCGTATCGCTGCCTGAGCTCCCTGGAAAATCCGGCGGCCACCAGGTTTCCCAAGGAGGAAAGTAGGGCTAGGGTTTCCCTATTCCATGGATCGAAAACGGAATGCCGTCACCGTGAAGGAAGCCAGCCATGATCACTACTAGAGAATATGCTGACTTCACTCCCCGTCATGCTGCCAATTCTTGGAGTATACTGAACCGAACTAATCAAACATGCAAAAATGAAGCATCCCATATCACTCTGGTTGCCACGTGGTGCGTAGACTAGGTGGTAGGTCGTAACTATATTCATGTCCACCATGTAGGGAAAGATGGGACGAAACACGCACCACAACACATAACTATGGGACTTTCTGGTGTTGACTAACGACTTTCTTCCCCCTAACTAACCAGTGTTGCTAATACTGATTGTTCGTTGCCTTCTGGCGGCCTATAGTTAGCTAGTTTTGACTACACCATATTGCCTTTTCAACGACAATACTTACGGAGACATCTTGTTGGCATCATTGAGCATTTTCACACTACCCAGAGCTCACTCACCTTCGTAGAGTAGATCTCACTGGCATTACCTGAAGCGAATGCCGCCTGAATAGAGCTCTCTTCCCGCGAAGATCTCAGAAGGATGAGGCTTCGACCCGCATTGCGGCCTTGAATTTGGGTACCTAAGGTTCCAGCGCAGCCTCGTTTAGCTCCCACTAACCAAGTCATCTCACTATGTACTAGCTCAAGCTAAGACGTGCCGCAGGTAGATACTGTACAAATAATAATGCGGTGGCATAGAACGCATTTCGTTTCCCCAAATGAGACTCTGAAGTATGGACACACATAATTAGCCACGTGGTGTCATCGTGTCTATGAAATGAAACAAGATGATCCACTCAGGGCAAGGCTGAGTCTCATATCTTTCGGTTTGAGTCACCAAGAGGAAGCAATAATAGGAGGAAGCGATACCGTACAACATATGGCCAACAAAGTAGACTCTGGATGAGATTGATATGCAGGATGGGGGGATTCTTCGAATCAGTAATCCGTACCTCGCATCCTTTTCTCACAAGGCTCGAGACCAGCTGGCGGGATCTCTTTTCAAATACCCAGCATAGTTAGTTATATTGATCTCGATTAGATCGGCTTTGAAGGGAGAGGGTGTTGATAAGAACAGCTCAGTTCCGGAGGAATTAGACAGCTGATGATACAGCGATGTGCAGCCTCAGGCATACTAAGTAGAACAACTCATCGATGCACCGTCAAGTTTCAACTGGCATCGCTTCTACTGTCGACTTTTTTTCAGCTTTATCTTGTCGCATTTGCCATCGATTCACAATGGAAGATAATTGAGAATATCTTTCCGACTTAAACAATAATAGTTAACGCCCAGGCTACTCGGCAGCAACCGTGAAGCCGGCCCGGAAAGCTTGATCCATGGTTGGAGTTCTCGGCCCATCCCCCGTTGTTCTAAAACACACCCCTCTTCCCACCGCCTTTCCAGCAACCCCACCGTGATAGAAGAGAGCCCCTGGGACGCCAACACATCTCCTTTTCCCTCCCCTCTTCTTCAACCAACGTTTCTTTTCCCTCTTTCATTGCCCCTCCCGGTGCTTCTTCCTGCGTGGCTATAGCTGCACATTACATATCATATTGGGATCTGATATCCTTAACCTGCCTGGACCCATTGTCATCGGACCGTCCAGTTGTCTGTCGTTTCTCGACACCGCTTTGTACAGCTCACTGTTCACGGGTCTAATCTCCCTTCGATTTACTTGGCCCCCACAGGTTCATTGATACGTCCAGAAGTTTGACAAGGATCTTCTTCACATTAAACAATAAGCAACATGGCCGACCATCACGATGACGAGCTCGCCGCCACCAAGACGGAAGGCTTCAAGGTCGGAGAGAAGAAGACACTAGAGGAATATCAGAAGCTTGGTAAATGATGGCCCTCCTTTTATTTGCTACCCTGCCTAGAAAGACGTCATTTCACATTATTATTCCCTTCTTGGGAATATGTATCCCCTCTCAGTAAGCTTGTCTATTGGAAGAGCTACACAGCCAGCTACTCCAAGTGACTAGCGACATTTCAAGCTCTCCACTTGTCTCCAACTTTCCTATCGGAGGCTGTCCATATTCTCAGAGTCATCTGTAGAAGACCTTGACACTGACAATTGACCTGCTAGATGCGGATGACGAAGCGCTCAACCGATGGAAGGCGTCTCTGGGTCTGAACACCGGCAACACAATTGCAGACCCTAACGATCCCAGAAAATGCATCATCAAATCCCTGGCCCTCGAGACTGAAGGACGCCCTGATATTGTTGTCGACCTTACGGGACCCGGTGCCCTCGACACGCTGAAGGACAAGCCCTTCACGATCAAGGAGGGTGCCAAGTTCCGTATCAAGGCCGTGTTCCAGGTCCAGCATGAGGTCCTGAGCGGCCTGAAGTACCTTCAGGTCGTCAAGCGTAAGGGTATCAGAGTGAGCAAGGATGAAGAGATGCTGGTAAGTCTGGATTCGCCTTGGTCTCTGGGAAACTGGAGCTGACAAGCGAAACAGGGAAGCTATGCTCCAAACACTACCGACAAGCCCACTTATGAGAAGAAATGTAAGATACGAGATTCCCTTGCGAGCAAAGAAGTGTCGAGATTAACGAATTGCAGTCAACGAAGAGGAAGCCCCTTCGGGCATGATTGCCCGAGGACACTACAACGCCATCTCCAAGTTCGTGGACGACGACGACCACACACATCTTATGTTCGAGTGGTCTTTCGACATTGCAAAGGACTGGTAGGAGATTGTGATTACGACCAAGTTTTCAACGAAGAAAGAAAAAACCATTTCGTCCCAAACAAACCTCTTTTGTTTTGTTAGCGATTTACCTGACCCAGCGACCACAACTCGACAGCTCTGCAGCTCGATCGAGGAACAAATGATCGCCATTTAATGGCGAATTTCCAAGAAACCAAACCAAGTCTTTGCTCGATACAGATATCCGAATGATTCTCTAAGATGTCAATGCTGTCTATAAAATGCCCTTATACCGAACTCCACATATTGCATTAAACCAGGGGTATCATAAGAAGTAGTCAATCACAGGGCTCTGTCCGTCCTTATTCTGCTGTGCTTGCTGCTCGCTGCGATGGATGTCGTTTTCCGGAGCTGCGTCAAAAATGTTGAAGAACCTTTCACCCGAATCGCTTACTTCGAGGACACTGGCGAGGTTTCCACATCTATAGCAGTAATTGGGTGCACTCCACACCGTGCTGAGACGATCGTCGTATAGGATCTGGTACCCTTCCTGACACAACTGATGAGCCCGAAGAATGTGCGACATGCTGTTAACTTCGAGGAATTTCCGAACGACCTGGGCACCAAATGTATAACCCGCACCTCGCGGAGATAAAGAAAATTCGTCACGTTCCGTATCCGGATCCGACCAAACCAAATCAGCCATGGGTCCCTCATGTGGTATCTCCCGGAACCGGTCGATGATCTTGATTTGATCTATAGAGTGGATAGACGGTGAAAGGCCGCCGTGCACGCAGAAGATCTGGTCATTGATGACGACACTCAAAGTGAGGAAATCAAACATATCGGTGAAATAATGCCAGACATTGGCATTGCCATATTTTCGAGCGCATTCCGTGTAGAAACCGTATGACTGTGTGACACCTCGAGACTCATGATTTCCGCGGATCAAATGAACACGTTGTGGGTATCGTAGCTTCAAGCAGACCAGCAGAGAAATTGTCTCCACACTGAACAACCCACGATCGACATAATCCCCTACATGCTGTCAGTGAACAATTCGGCCGTCATCTTTCCCTCAAGAAACACTGACCCAGAAAAAGGTAGTTTGTGTTGGGACAGAAACCGCCTATCTTGAATATCTCGATCATGTCGAAAAATTGACCGTGTATATCTCCAACGACAGTTACCGGAGCAGCAATGTGGACAACGTTACTCTCCTTCATCAACAATTCCTTCGCTTTGGCGCATATTGCCTCAATGACTGAGTCTGCGAGGAGTTCTTTCTTGTAGAGCCGTTCGATGCACTCATCTAGGTCGATACTAGCTGTAACATTGTCAGCCTCGGTAGACAAGCATGCGGAAGAGCACCATACATGGTAATCCGGGCATCACGACAGCGTTCTGTGTACCGTGGTGGCGGTGGATTCAGAGGGCAAGGAGGCGAAAAGGTAAGCAAGCACGGGACGAGCGAGCGAGAGTTATCGGGGCAGCAGAGCAGTAGATAGATGTGCTTGAGCGGTGTATGCAGCTCTCATTATGGCCCGGGACAAAAGGCAGCTGTCAACAGGTCCCAGACAGACAGAGCAAAGAACGTGCAGGTCAGTCGATGCCGCGGCGCGATCTGGAGATCCCACGCACAGTGGAGTTCGCCTCTGGAGTTCCCCGAAGCTGCTCCAGACCGCCAAGGCTGGTTTTGGTCCCTTCTGCCCCGCTCAACCGCCTGCTCTATTGGGATCCGGCCGGAAGTGCACGTGAACAGCTCTTTGGCTGGGGAATTTCATCGAGTCTTTCCCCTGGAATGATCAAGGGGTTTATATATCCAGTTGCTCTGTTACTAATACTTTGGACCTCGTATATATATGATTTTCATCAATGCTAATTGAATGACAGAGGCGTCCTTTGGCCCAGCGTCGCTCCCGTTCTTTGGAACTGAATTCGAAGTTCTCCACATTTAATTTAAGAAAGCGACACCTATCGCCGGAGAAGCTGTGCCTGATCTTCTAGATAGCACTCTTTTCCCGCAGAGATCAGCAGGCTATATTGTTCTGCTTTCTTAAAATACTCTGCCATTTTTGTATCTCACTTGAATTATGCTCATTCACTACTTGCGTCAAGTTTACGAAGGGGATCTCCCGCTGAAGTATTGGATGTCTTGCCATTGACTTGCTTAGGTATCTTATATCCATTATTTTCTTGTCCTGGCCAATGTTCTCAAAGTGCTATTCCGTCACTCTTTGCACGAGCTATCTTTGGAATACCGATATTGTTGCCTGGCATGGATCCATATCCATCTCCCGGGGAGGGCAAACCTCTGTTCCAACAGTCTCCTCAACAACGTGGTGAACTAGGGCACAAGGAAAGAAAACAAAGACCTAAGCTACTTCACAAGCGACCTCCATACAACCCTCAGTTCCATTCAGGGAAAGTTGGACGCAATGAAGGGCCACGGAGGATTCCTGGATCTCAGTCATGTTTCAACTGTGGCTCGCCAGGACATTGGGCTCAGGACTGCCCGGGGCCTCGAAAGACAGTCCCAAAGTGAGTGCCGTAGGACTAATGCCATCAGATATTGCACGTATATATTGCTGACACGATATCAGTGCTGTTGATGGCAACCCTCGTCCCTCAAAACGGCAAAAGATAGGGGAGCCGGTCGTTACTCGTTATCCAATATCAGATCATAGGAAGCAGCAGTATGGAGCGCCATATATGTATACTCCGCAATCACAAGCTCAGACTAGCTACATGCCATATGGTAGCTACCCTCCAACGCCAGTCTCAGCACACTCCCAGGCATCAAGCCCATGGCAGCAGTGCCCTCCGTATCCTTCTCCCGCTCAGCCTTATCCGCAGTGTGGGCCATACGGGTTGCCCACGCCTATGGCTTCGGCCAACTCTCAGTTCCCGAGCCCTGTTTCGGCCCATAGTGGCCATCAATATCAGGGTTACTTTCCTCCACAGCCACCGCAGCTTTCTTTCGGCAGTGACCAGAAATCTTCCTGCCAAGGCTATAACCACTATTCATCAACACACCCCATGTCTGGACAGCCTCGGGACTATCAGCCTTCCTGGGATGACACACCATATACTACGCCGCATTCAGGGCCTTGGACTGAAGGAATGCAGTCATCGGATGGTTGGCTTACATCAACTTCTTCTGAAGGCCAGATCAGTAAGTTATGATGGATAATTGTTAAGCGATTGGCTAATGTAATAAAGTCTGGAGGCCGCCCAATCCTGTTGCCCGGCCCCTTTCGTCAAGGTTCTTAGACTTCGACGAACCTCTCCCTTTTGCGACTCTAGAGCCGGGTATATCAGTTTCGAAGTACATCCTGAACAAGTTCCCAGCAGAATTTGAGCGTCATATTCGAGATACAGAAGACTGGCCGTCTGTCATGGATGACCCTATTTTCCGCGAAATTCAAATGGACTGTCCATTAATATCTATCAAGGAACTCATCTCCCGCCGCGAAGAAGTTTACGCAACTCATAATGTTAATGTTATCAACGAAGCCGAAGAGGGCGAGATTTCTGAGAAAGCATCGAAGCACGATTCTGGGCCGGTTGTAGACGATTTCGATATCACAGATGATGGACGCATTCAGGTTAGAAAAGAGAATGAAGACAGACGTGCCTTGGAGTCTTCGCGGGAATACGCTGAAGACTCCCCAGGGATCAACAGAGGGCCAAAGAGGGCCTTTGATGAAATAGAGTCCCTGGATCCCGATTGCGGTTATGATAGGGACTTAAGTCAGGAACGGAACTCCTTGTAAGTGTTCAGTGACTATTGAAGAGTGAAGATTGCTGACAGTCTACAAGACCGTCACGCAAAGGCACAGAACGGGGTGATCATTTAGGCAGGTTTTCCCGACAACCCAACCAAAGAAATGCATCCGATCATAGACATCCCAAACGGGGAAATGACTTCCCTAGTCAAAGCTACCACGATCGAGGGACTGATTCGAATGGTCCATCACAAGGAAAGAAAAGGCCAGGAGACACCCACTTACCCACATGTCATAATAATCCACAAGAGAAGCCGCAGCAAAGAGCGCGGAGATCAGATCTGCACCCTGGAGATGGCGGACCGAAGTTTCAACCCTCCACACAATCACGATCTGGAGCGAATAATAGGACACGGCGGAACGATTCTCATGAATCAGGAAATGATGGGCCGAGACGACAAGAAGACGATGTGCCCTCCAAATCTAAGCGGAAACGGCCCCAGATAGAGTCTGCTTACAGGTAATATATGCTTATGCCATTCATGGTTATACTTCCACTAACAGAACTAGTCGTCGATGGTGATTATCCATGCTGAGCAACCGACTATGGAATACAGCACACAGTTTCTCCGCAGTTTCCAGTCGATATCACACACTCATGAGTTACTATGTTAATATGTCATTTCTCTATCCGAGCTATGTACATTTGTTTTGCCCTTGCTTTTGCTTCTTTCGATATATCGTTTCGAGGCGTCGCTTCCCCGCTTCTGCCTCGGTCTTAGTTCCAGTGCTCAGCTGCCTTTTCACATTAACTTGGCAGCTGCTTGCTGAGATTCCAGTGGCCTCCAAGACTTACTTTATCCCAGGCAGTCATTAGTTTTACCCCTAGTCCTGTATCCGCCTCGCCTTCGATTGAAGAGAGGACATGCCGGCGTCAGCCTGATACCTTAAGCCCTATCTGGTTTCTCGGGTTCCACACCTCTGGCCAATCTAGCTACGCAGCAGGTAGGTGCTGTAGAACCATGTTATCTATGAGGAGTCGTTTGCCCAGCCCTTTTGCCGGACTGTAACCCTCTTGTAGGAATCCAATCCGACGGACTATGAATATGTTGCTATGCCATCACCCGGACGCATGTGGGTGTTAAAGCGATAGCTGCCACTTTTCTCGTGATAGACGACGTTGCATTTGGAGAATGTGACCGGGGAATAGCCCCTCAGCTATACGATACTAACTTTCACTCTCGAACATGGCTGTTTTGACGGTATCTCACATCCGCAGTCCGAATTCTTGCATTTAGACTAGGTTATTAGCGCCCACTTTTCATTATTTATTTAAATTCTAGAGGATTAAGAAAACAGCAAATTAGTCTATATATCATCTATCCAGCGAACTTGAAATGTTTGCAGCGTAAATACTATCTCGAATAGTATTAGTTCTGTTTTCAAATCAATTCTCCCCATTAGTATAGCAGTTGACTATAATCAGCATCATTATTATATATTTCATCTCCAAATTCTCTATACCATTTTTCCTTGGATCCGGAAAAGGAAAGAAAAGAAAAAGGAAGATATATACAGAGCTAGCTAGCTGGATGGATGGATCACTGATTAAAGGTTAGAAAAGGCCTCGATGCATCATGTTCATGGACATCTTTTCTTTCATATTAGATCGGACCTTCTAGATTCCGGACCGTGAAGGACCGTGTCCTGCCATCAAGCCTTGCGTCTCTCTCTCGTCTTCAGAGTCGGTTTCTTCCTCTTCATCGGAATCGGTCTCCTCCTCGTCCTCGTCCTCTTCTTCTTCCTCGGAGTCCGTCTCTTCTTCTGACTCGGTCTCTTCTTCCTCTGATTCTTCCTCGGACTCTTCTTCCTCGTCGGCAAGCCACTCGTCTAGTGATTTGTTCTTTCGAGCTGCTGCCGCAGCGGCGGCAGATGTGCCGTTTTGTCTCATGCGGGCTGCGACGCTTGTTCCGTGCTCTTTTAGAGCTTTGTCGAGGCGTTCACCGGCGGTCAGGGTCCGTTCGGTGGGTTCTGGTTTGGCTGCATCTTCCCGTAGGCGCGGGTCTGGTTCGTTTCCAGATTCGACCCAGTCAGGAATAGATTCGTAGCCCGACAGACCATGAATACCGGCTTCCGGTCCGACGACGAGAGTTGATGAACCGATGAGTAGATCTTTGCGAGTCTCTGAGGGACTAGGTGCGTGTGGCACAGGCTTGGGAGCCAAGAGCAGCAGACTGGCTAGCTGCGTTGAGGAGGGATCCGCTAACAGGGCTTTGTAAAGTCGAGCCCGGTCACGGAGGTCATAGGAGGTATCATATCGAGCGAGGAGAAGGACATATCGCCAAAGAAGTGTTAGGTTGTCTTCTTGTTCTGGCTGTTTTTCCGTTTCATCGCCGTTCTGCTGTTCTTCCTGTTCTTGGTCTTGAGTATCGGTCCACTCGTTGCGGATCTCTTCGACGGGAGGCTTGATCTCCTCTGGAGGTTTGGCTTTGCTTTGAGGGTATTTGCGTAAGAGGTGCTGAAGGTACACCTTGGCTCCTAGAAGAACAATCTGCTGTTTTGCAACCTCCGATTCGTCTGCGAAACCCCGTACGATAATTCGTAGGACGTCTGGGGCAATACTGTTCTCCTCTGATTCGTTGCTGGCGAACTCACCGACTAGCCAGATGATCGAGGCTCTCGCCTCGGGGCTCGTAGTCGTGTCGAGACTCTTCGCGAGCTGTATGATTGTATGCTTATGGGACAGCGGATCTTGCTGAATTAGGTGACGGATGACTGTCAAGGATTCAGAAACTAGAGCCTCGTCTGGACTAGTCACTAGACTTAGAAGCACATTGAGGCAGTGGTCGCCGGTTCGACTGTCGCTCTGCGCGCAGCGTCCGATGGCCCGGACACTCTCCTTCACTAGATCCACGTCGGGCCCTCGTGCAAAGTGCTCCAGTTCGCTAATGATGACACCCTTCAGGTGCATGCCGCAATAGGGGAATATTATTGTTAACACCTCGAGCTTCAAACGCCAGATGTGCGGCGGGTCTGCATCATGCACAAGAAAATGGTAGGCGTATCTTGCGAATAATCTCGGAGCTTCCAGCGCTACCGCAACAATATTGTAGAGCGCAACATGCTGAATATCCTGTGGGCTGCGGACGAGAGCAACAAGAGGGCCAATAGCAGACTCCAGATACTCAGGTGTTCCCAAGTAAAGGAAGCAGCGGACAACACTCAGAATGACAGCAGAATTGCGGCTCTGGAGGAGTGGCTTGCACGCTCGTAGAAACAGTTCCAAGTCACGGTCCACAGAGATGACTTCTTCACCTGTCTCTTCTCCTTGGTCCTGGGGATCCTCTTCTTCATAAAACTCTTTGGTCGCCTTCTTTCGGACTTTCTCCGTCTTCCTAGGGAAGCACTTCCGGCCATAAACTGTCAATAGCCGTAGCGTTGCAAGTTGGCTCCATTCATCCATGTCAACTAACTTTCTCACAAGACTGTGGTAATGTTTGTGGATCAGATCAATCCTATCGGGACAGACGTCCATAAACGCAGCTACCGCAGGGCCAACAACGAAGTATTGGGCGTCACCGAGCAATGTGGATACATATCCAACCAGCTGCGGCAGAGTATTTGGATCCAGACGATAACACTTTGGGATAGCCAGCGCAGCTGCCTTGCGGACGTGAGGACTCATATCTCCGCAGCCGCGCTTGATGGCGAGCGAGACAATCTGACTGACGACGGGCACCCTGATACCCGACATTGTACGCAGGGCCATGGATCGAACCTGAGGGTTCTGGTCCGTGAGCGACTTCTGTATCGCATTGATAGAGAGCAGCGCCAGATCGGGTTCGGCTTCTGCATGGTGGAGCAGGTAGATGTAGACAAGCTTCTTCACTTCAATATTCGGGTTTGCGACATTCTTGACAACGGCGGAGAAGAAAGGGAGACAGGGTTCCGAGCGGTACATCAACTAGATTCAGTATTCAGACCGTTAATGGATGTCGAGACCAAACAATACGGGGCAAACGCATACCGAAATGACCCTCCGCATCCCGTCCAGCACTTCTCGGTCATTGCGGCTCTCTAGGAGCTTTTTGATATGAGATACGGTAAGACCCCGAGCGGAATAATTTGGCTTTGCTATATTTGCAGAGCCAGCCGACTGAGCCGCTTCCAGTGTGAGCTCTCGAGCTGGAGGCACGCAGGGATTATTAGCAACCGGGGAAGCGCTGTCGACGTTGCACGCGGACGCGCAAGAACAGGACCAACCGTACCTGTCTCCAGCATCGAAGATATCCTCGAAATAGTCTCCATGCTGACCCGTATATGCCCAGCAGGGCGCCTTTGTTGGCGGCGTTGAAGTTGTCGTGGACAAGAAGAAGCACGAGAGCTTGGAGCGTCTTTCCACGATGAGTTGCCGAGTGCATCGGCGGCATCATACTTAAGCGTCCCGCTCACCATTCTCCCCGCGGCCCCTCTTCCAACATCTGCTACAACGCTCATTACTTGCGAGATCTTACGAATGTTGCAATCTTAGCGAGTTCCATACGATAAGATGCAAATACTGTTGGGCCTACTATATGGATCTCCTTTAACAGTCTCAGCTTTCCCGCTAAAGAACACGCAGCGGTGCCAATGACCAGAGAGCAAAGGATATATTTCTCAGATCTAATATCGGATTTTCTAGCATCCATCATACATAATGAGGCTTGTTCAACAGTCTTACTTGTATGCTCGACACGGGATCACTTCCTCGAGCAACTGTCGGGTTGCATACATCCACTACACGCCGCATCTCCGACGAGCCTGGAGCAGCAGCTTGAGAACGATGAGCGTCGCAGTTTCGCACGAGAGCCGGACCATCCGTTCCTCAGAAAGACGATTGGGCTCCTGGCGAATTCAAGAAAAATCAAACTAGCTTTCTGCCCAACAATCGAGCATCTGCGCGCGTATCTCTCCGGTCTACGTATTACAGACAACAAAGGCTCAAGGACGGACAATAGCAGCAGGCCGCTGTTAGCAATTGTCGATCTTGTAGCTCTCCATGCTACATCTTCCGAGTTCTCTGCCCAAGGCTTGTCGAGGACTCTGGCCCTTGCCGTTGAGGTTTCTGCTAGGGAAAGTCTCGATATAGTCCTCTGTGAATGTAAGGACGCCCTAGATCCTCAGAGCAGTGAGCGGGGTGATGGCCTCTGGAATGTCCATGTGCCATTACTCAGTGGTACCACGAGATCCAGTGGTGAGGGAGCTGGCCGGTCTGGAAGCAGTGTACCTGTGAAAAGCATCGCACAAAGATGGTTTAATTTTGAGCAAAAGAAACAAATGTCAGCAGAGACTTGATGGATATCACAACACAATAGGCCATTAAACGCCATATCCATATCCCAGGTATCTATGTATATCATATCACATCGAAAGAAAATGGGTATCCTAGACTAGCCAGCCAATAAACTCCAACTACCTTCCAGCGTGCCAAAAAGAAATCATAGACACTTTTCCATCTCGGTAATGTAGAGCTTGATGTGCGACTCCATCTTCAGATACTCGTCATGCGCGCTGTGAATTTCACGCTCGATATTTTCCTTGAGATCCGCCATCTGCATATATGTCAGCTGTGTCTCAGACAGAAGAAAAAGACAGTGAAGCTTACCTTCTTTTCAGTCTGCTCGATTCGTATTCTCCTCCGTTCCATCTCGCGTTGTTTCTCTGCGCGTTCTTCACGAAGCTGTTTCTGGATATTCCGCAGCTCTTCCATCCTTGCCTGAGCAATCTCTTGCTTCTCCTGGCTATTCTTCCGCAGCGCCTCTATCCTCTCGTTCCATCGGGCTAGCTGTCTTTGCAGTAATTTCTCTGTCTGCTCCACCTCCCGAACATTGTTTCCTCTCTCAGAGATGGCTTCCCTGTTCCGAACAGCCCTAGCGTCTTCTTCTTCTTCCTTTTGGAGCTCGGCCGAAATATCCTCGAGAAGTTTGGCGCAGGCGTGCACATCGTTTGCGACGACATTGAATGTATCTGCTGAAGTCTGCAACGCTCGCAGTCTCTTTTCCATAGAGTCAATATGCGCCTTTTCACGCATGAGATTCTCCGAAAGTTCGGTTAGATTTTGCTGAAGGGTTGCAGGGCTCTGCAGAACGTATGGCCTCAGTTTCTCAGCCTCCTGCCGGCTGCGGACGACCTTCTCCATCTTTTCTTCGAGCAAGGCTTGCCGTCGGGCCTTCTCTGCCTTCACTCGCTCCAACGTCTCTGCGACTCTTTCCTGACCTCGCCTCAACTCCAGCAACCGCGCTTTCAGCTCATCGTTCCGTCTGACCTTGTCCTTCACTTGGCCCTCGATCGCTTTCTGATTCCGCTTCATCTCCTCCAGGCGTTGTTCCATCTCCTGGTTCTCCGCATAGAGCGTCTCGATTCGCGCCTTGGTTCCCTCTGCTTTGTTGAAATGCTCATCGATCACGGCCGTCTGTGACTCTCGAAACCGGACAAAATTAATGAGATACGAGAAGATCTTCACGAGTCGATCATGGGTCGGCCTTGTCAGATCCGTAAACGTAAAGTCGTTGACACCGCACTAAATTCCCCCTTGTTAGATACTCTTCGAGGTCTAAGACAAGGTTAAGCGGCAAAATACCTCTATCATCAGCTTTCGCAAATTTATGAAGAATCCCATCAAATTGCGCGTGTCATTAGGCACGATGTCTGCATAGTCGCCGCAAACATCCTCTGCCGCCGCTCTCATTGCAGGGTCGACTGTTTCACGAGTCGTATTCATAAGAAGCTCTGCGAACCATTCCATCACCATCTGGATCTGCTGCGGATTTGGCTTGACTAGATCGGCCGGGGTGAAAGGGACGCCGATATCATTGATACATCCTGCAATCTCCTTGTCCGGCTGGAGTAACAGAATTAGCGAGTGCTGAGCCATCTGAAGGAACTAATACTAACCAGACGCATCAGAGCGTCGCTGTCATCTTCCTTCTTGCGACCGCGACCATGATGCTGGCCACCATGGAATTGCTGGCTCGCCCGGTTGTAAGCCATGGTTGCATAGAACGAAGAACCTTGAACCAAAACCCGCGCTTCGTTAACGACCCGGAACAGCTGTTGCGGTGTGGCTGCACCGCCGACGATAATAATGATGTTTTGTTTATCTATCACGAGAGCGACCGCCTGCCGGCAGAAGAGAGAGACCCCAAAGCGGACTAGCGCCGAGGGGCAGCGCTGCAACGGATGCAAACACAAACTATTGCACGTTCTGCGGGTGAGAGAGAGTCACTCCCAGCACATTTCATACAGCTGGTGGTTAATTCTTATATCGCGGGGTTGGGTTTTGTTCTCTTCCACAGGCACAATGGCGGCGACCACAGAAGCTTCGTCGGGAGCTTCGAAACCGTTCGAGCAAGTACCACCGTAGAATAAATACTCTGCGGGGGATGTCATGCTAACCTCAAGTCCCAGCATCGTGTCGACCTACAATGATCTCCTCCGCTCTGACCCCGATCTGACAATGCCCATCGCGGCCATCGAGGCCTTAGTTCTGCTTCTCACACACTCACCTTCTTCTACTATCTCCGAGACCCTCGACCTTCTAGAGAAATCGACGGACCACTTGAAAAAGTCGATACCAAACCCTATTGCACTGTCCGCGGGCACCGATCTTTTCCAGCGATATTTGATTACGACCCTACAACGACCAGGCCAGCTAGGGCCAGCAGGCGATTTTAACGCTATCAGAGCTCATCTACTATCTAATGGACGGTTATTCATCAAGCGCGCGAAGGAAAGCAGAGACAAGATCGCTGCATTCGGGAGGGGCTTCGTTCGAGATGGAAGCACAGTTCTGACGAACGGTGGCTCCAGAGTCGTGAGTGCTCTGCTTCAGAAAGCGGCTGAGGAGAACAGTGGCCCTTCTGCGGTCCGATTCCGTGTCATCTATGTCTTGCCGTCTGTCCATGGCGATTCCGTTGAGCCCGAGGGTCTCGATACGGTTCGCTCTCTGAGGGCAAAGGGTGTCCCGGTTGCTATGATCCCCGAATCTGCTGTCGCATACTCGTTGGGTAAAGTGGACATGGTCATTGTCGGTGCAGAAGGTGTGGTAGAGAACGGAGGCATTGTATCCCGCATGGGCACCTACCAGATCGGGCTTCTGGCCAAGGCTATGGGCAAGCCATTCTATGTCGTTGCTGAGAGTCACAAGTTTGTCCGGTTCTACCCGCTGGGACAGTACGACCTACCCATTGACCAAAGCGTCATTGAGTTCAAGACGGAAGAAGATATCGATGCGGAGAAGCAGAAACCTGCACAGAACGGCAGCAAAGCCCCTGAGGACAATTTCAACTCCGAGGAAGAGAAAGCTGAGCACATGAGCGCACTTCTCAACGGTGCCCCTCCCGACAAAGAGAACAGCAAGACAGTCCGACGCGACGCTGTCGACTTTACCCCACCACATCTCATCTCGGCTCTTATCACTGAGAGCGGAGTGTTGACACCCAGCGCTGTCAGTGAAGAGTTGATCAAGATCTGGTTCTAAACCTGCCGCAGTCGATACTACATAACGTCTGGGTAGGTGCTGGTCAGGCGCACTCCGGAATCGTTTGGTATCTTAAGTCGAGCCGAAGAGATGTCTGCAGATCTATGGTCTGAGAGAAAGAAGATTTAAGAAAAGTGTTGCGAAGCTTATCACCTATGCTGGCCAGGCGCCGGCAGCTATGCGGTTTGAAATCTATCCTGGTCGCCTGGATTTCAAGATATGATACCCGCTTCTAGGGCTCGCCAGTGCCGTTTCCATGATTTTCCAAGTTAGAAACATTACCTCGTCATAACCATATACCTGAGGCGAGACTACCGTCTGTATGCTGATGTATGGGTAATGTCTTCGGATCGGATCGTGATCATCATTAAGGTGTGAACGGCGGCAAAGAGCCGACCAAGAAAAATATTCTAAAAATGTCGTTTCACTCCTGAGTCCGGATCTACTCTATTCTATGACCGACAACAGTCTTGTGTTCCGGAATCTTACGTCATGAGTCTAGATAGTTAGCTATCTTGGGATGTGGGCGGGATACGCCACAGGATATCAGATCTTGGCTTATATTTATTTTAGCGTTTCCCCAAAGCAAACCAAGTATGGAAGACGATGACAGGCAAAAGGAGGCGTTGACACATCAAGAGTTATTTCAGAAAATATCTAGTTCAAATTCAATAAATATCGGAAAAGCTATGATGATCCGTCTTCGATCCATCCAGTACGACCCCGCTATAGAACTCCAAAAACAAATAGATTGTAAATCCACAAGATAAAAGATTCATTGCCATCATTCATCCATCCATTTCTCATCATGTCGTTAATCTCATAATCAATGTGTCATTCTCTCACTCCCTGGTTGCCTCTTACTTTCCCAATGGAGTCAAGGGTCCCCCAACTCGTATGTGCTGCTTTAAAACGATCGACTTCTGACCCATCATATGCCTCCAGTCCATGTCTAGGCATCATAGATCGATAGACGTACAGCGAATGGACGCGCAGACGCCGAGATATTGCGCGAGGTTTCGAGACTTCGTAGTCGATAGCCCTCACAGTCACTATCGATCGATAAGAGGATACGGGGGATCTCAAATCTGATATCGCCAACCTTCATGTGGTCTTGTTCTTCTCACGCAGGTTGGAGCGTACTGGGTTATTTGTCGACCCATCAATGACGTCCTCTAATATGAGAGGGATTCCCTTTTTGATATAGCTCCTCCCTTCGCCTTCATCGAAGTTGCCGTGATCTCTAGTTTATAGGGAGTATCATCGGAGAGAGTATGCGAGTTTCATGCTTCCATACTTCATGTCGAATGATTCGCATATCTTTTCACCAAAGGTGGGAGCCACCGATTGGTAGCTTGTTGTCAGACCGTCTGATTAAATTGACGTCTGCCTGCTGGGGCAGATTCCATGATTGCATCTGTATAGGCGATAAAGTCATGTCGGTATTGTAATCCATAAGAGGAGATACAGAAGCGAATGCATAGAGAAGTATATAGCCAAGAGCAACGAAGACCCAGAGTGCGGCCATATTGTGTTTTGTTTTTCTTTTTACCAATCAATAGATGATAAGTATGATATCAACAATATTCAGAGGGTAAAACAGCAGTATAATGAATCACTGCTCTGGATATTCTTCAAATCATCAACGAGGGGTTAAGTTCATTGAAGAATAAAAAAGAGACGGTGTGCGTGCAGTATCGACTTGACCGATACTTTATACATCAACTACCGCCGTTTGGCACCACCACACTGGCGGGGCCCTACGTATGGTAGAAGTAGGATTAACTTAGGCGAGGTGACTAAACTACCTAGCACCAAGTATCTACGTGGCTTGTCTCACGCGAGAATTCCCGCCCGATGGGTATTATTATTATTATTATTAAAACTGATCTTGTGCCAAAGAGCGGGGGGTTTCGGGCCTCCGAAGATGATGCAGAATTCTAGACTGGTTCTATGCATCTGAAAAAAGAGGAGTCATCGGTTCTCCGGCACTCTCGGACAGGCGCGGAATGGGATTATGTGGAAGATTATGTGTGCAAGAGAACAAATAAAGTAGGGACTCTGCGTTTCTTTTTCAGCTAGGGATTGGCGATCAGTATTATTCGCATGCGTTGTATTACTCTCTCTCTCTTGCTACTAGTACTTCGTATAGATATACCGGATTAAAACCGTTGACGCACTATCTTACGCAGCGGTGTCAAACTCACTGGCCACATCGCCCGGCGGATCTTGGGGTGGGGCAGAAGAAAGTCAAAGAGGACACAATAACTAACTAATGAAGATTTATAATAGGGGAAAGACATATAGAAAAGGATAGAATGGAAAGAAATAATACGGTAGAAGAGAAGAGGCAAAAATAGGTAAGAGTCCGGATAGTCTTCCGATGATGATCAAAATCTAGCGGTGTAAGTTTCACGGTAGATCCCCGGAAAATCCTCTACATATCAGATTTTCTCCCGGCAGCCACACCAGTCAATTAAACTTGTGACCTGCAGTAGAAACTGGCCCACCGGAATCGTAGACTGTCTATCCGAGGCATCTGATCTCTTTCTATTAGAAGTATCATTGGATAGATTGACAGCTAGAAATAGTCTAGGTAATATGTGAATGTGAATGAGACCTTTCGGGAAAGATAGTACGGAATAATTCCACTGGAGGAGTCGCGTTCAGCTCAAGTTGACTGATGGCCAATATTTTTCATAAAGAGGCGAGAGGTGAGCTCTCTATAATAACTAGTTATTCTTGTGATATATTCTCATTCCCAATTTAATTTCGATGGGCTCTTTACTCTAAGCACATAAAGACCTACACATGACATGGAATATGCAGAATAGAATTTACTTCCTAGTTTTATCGCTATAGCTTATAGAAACATAGACTGCTTTAATAATGCCCTACGGTACCGAAAACTGCTATTAGGCTGTATTTTAGTGATTTCCAGTTGAAGCATAACTGGTGTGAAATCATATACATTCATTTGCTTCGTAGACGAGCTACTCTGCTTACGGCTGAGTTTGGGGCCTTTTCCCGAGCAGACGCGACTAAACGAAATAGTAGACGATTTTCGTCGCGATGCTCAAGACTATGGCTTCCTGGAAATCTACCTTAGACTTGAGAGATCATATGAGCGCAGTCAGGGAAATGATTCGGCTAGAAATACAGAAAGTCAAATATACAACCATGATATGATACTGTTTCCTGGGAATGGATCAAGAGGGAACTTAACAGACGGTAGACGACGATAAGCTAAATGCTATTCATACATTTTGATGAGCCTAATTAAGTATAGGTGTTCCCAGAGGGCGGTTTTCAAATGCCGCGGGTCTAGATATTCCAAACTTGGGTTATATGCAAAGCTATAGACGCGATGATTCAGGGATATAAGTTATGACCAGGATGACTATATATGTAAGAACAATATATGAATTGGACCTGAGAATCAAAGACTCAGAGGAAATAGAATAGCCACGGTGTCGGCGCACGAAGCGTACGTCCAGGTGATCTGTTGTATCATCCGCTTTCATAGAGTTCTCATAACAGATAGAACCTGCGAAACCCTTTAGATCCAGATTCTCTGTATAATTAGGAGATAAATATGGTTTCAACCCCCCTTCTAGAACCAGAAGCAAGCAAGCAATCAAGCAGCCTAGATGTACGGTATAAGCTAGGTAGTTCAACAGACCATACTTAAGGTTCAACACATCGGCAAGTAGTATCCGAGAGAGTCGTCATTGCTAACCGGAATAACATACAGTTCTGAAGAAATCACTAGAATATAGTGGCAAGCTCTCGAGGTATACTTTCCATCATTCGATCCTTCTCGTTTCCAATACACACTCAGATACCATACTTGACGTCCAACTGTCATCGTCCAAACTCAAAATAACGCTCGATGAGAAGATCCGCAACGATCCGGCATCTCCATCCCGGTTCCTGACAAGGGGACCATGTCGAATGATCGCTCTCTTGCCATGGAAACAGGATGCGATAATTTTAATTGGCAAGATTGATTCATATATAGGTTTATGCATTTAGCTGCTAACAATAATAAAAATTGATGCGTATCACGATCTCCAGGAAAGAACAATACTATGGACAGGCTAGATAGAGCGTATGCGCGCAGCGATTGCGGAGTCCTTTAGAAAATAAATATTGATTGTGAGGATCACTTGTAGTATCTTAACTGTATACACTCAGTTCTAGTACAAAAGAAGGAAAACTGACAGTAAAAGAGGGAGAAAAGAAAGGAATGTGGTGCTTTCAAATATTAAAAAAGAGAACAGTTTAAAGCAAATGCCCCCGCGCGGGATTGACGCGAGCCTCGTGGAACAACACAGTGTTTATCTCGTTACTTAGTCAAACTTCAAGAATTCTGATCAGTTTTGGTAAATTCGTACAGTGCTATGTTCTACCACTGAGCTACAAGGGCAATTGTATCAAAAAGCAGAATGATTGGCGGATACTCGATAATTTTTTTTTAATTATCTAGTTCGCAGTTGTCATATCACACACACCGAAATAATTAAGACGGAGTGCGCCGGATGACGACCATGGTACAGCCTTATACTTACTCAATGTTATTCTCCATCTGCACCCCACCAAGTACCCTACTTTCTCTACTACTGTACTACGATCAGGAAAAGTAGATGAGGTCATGGATATCTAATCTAATTTCTCTGAAAGTCTGTGGAAGATTAAATATATATATATATACATACATATATATATATGTTCTCCTTCTCTTGATGTTAGCCTGCGTTCCATCCCTACACGCACCCCCGCATCCCTGCAAGCGCGAATCCGATTAATGTTTACCGAGCAATACCAAGACGCTGACTGCCCGCTGTAACTTGGACTGTTTGCGCCTGAGGCCTTTTTTCCTGAAAACCCTCCTGTTGACACATACTTGGTCTCTGTGAACCTCTCTTGAAGTTATCTCGACCTCTTCTCTCGAGGCATCGTGGTCCGATTTAACACATTGCGCGCCCAGTTCGTTGAGAGAGAGAGAGAGAGAGAGGGGCAAAAATGGACGCAGCGCCATTGACCACCGCTATTAGTGAGGACTATAATGACAACTCCAGCCCGGAACGAAGAGAACGAAGAGAATCTCTCTCTGAGAACGATAATGGGGCTACCTGGTCGATAAAGAAGCTGCTAAGCCGACATGCGAGCCGGAGATACCGTACGCTAGAGAGGCGAGAACCCAATCGACTGAGGAAGAAACCATCCTACAAGAAATGAACGAAATTACCCTCGATATCGCACGTCTGTGACGCGTACGGAATCAGGACTTTTAGGACAGGCGCGGTGACGATACGCTCGATGCAAAGGACGCGACCGCTGGCGGTGACGAACTTTGTGTGTTTTTGATGTTGCATAAATCCGGTTTGGAAAACTCTTCTATAGCTGAGATTTTTTTATATAGCTAGATCTTTTTTTTTCTAGCGAGTCAGCTAGATGTGGTCGGTCTGTTTGATTTTCATTTTATGGGAAACCAATATTTTATCTTGACACCACAGCATCGTCGGGTCGTTGCTTCTTTTCCAATGATCACGCATTCTGCGGCGTTCCAGTGGCTATTTGAATTCAAACATCTTTTGTGTATCACTGTGGTATCGACTGAAAACAGAATCCAACAAAGCTTTTGACAAAGTATATAATGATCGCCCTAGATAATCATCACGCAATTCAGTCCGCAGGGGGGTTTCATAGAATGAATGGTAGAATCAAGTTGCATAAACGCCCTCTATATCATTGAGAGAAAGATCGATATCAAAGTGGTATCATAAATTTTCCAGCCACAATGTCCAATTCAACAATCGCTGTGAACAGAAAGCATCTCATATATGTATGTATGTACTTTAATTGATGGCCGTATTACCCATCCAACGCAATCATTTGAACTCGCCAAATTCACCATCGTCGAAGCCGAACTCGTCCTTCTGGCCCGCCAGCAAAGCAGATTGAGGCCGTGGTCTCCTTCGCTCAGAACGGGTATCCCTCGCAGAGGGAGGCGGTGCCAAAATAGGAAATGCGTTGCTGTCGTCGCCGCTGTTATCAAACACTATACCGGTCGCAGGACCAGGAGGTGGCGGAATGGAAAACAGTGCCCGTTGGTCATCTTCCTGACCGGTAGTAGAACTGAAAGTATTCTTAATCTCCGCTGATCGCCGTTTGCTGCCAATGTCCACAGTAATCGTCTGGCCGGGTTTCAGACTGTAGTCCTTTGACAGGGCCTTCTCCGGCTGCGGTTTTGATGACGACGATTGTTTGGCGCCTCGTAAGCCTGACCCGGTAGCTTCAGTGCTGTCCGAAAAACCGAGGACTTTCCGTGCTTCCTGGAGAGTGACACCGAAATCAAAGGCTTCACTTCTATCCTCGAAGCCGATGCCCAGCACTGCCTTGCGTCCTTCTCCGACAACACGGATAGCAAAGAAGCGCGACGAGTCCAACACATGCTCTACCGCCTCTGGGTCCGTATATGGTGCCGCAGCAAAAAGAGCTCCACTGTCTGCATCTTCCAACACAATATCAGTCTTCACTTGCTCCTGTTGCTGATCACCGCCAGCGGTGATCGGGGCGGGGATGGCGGTTTCGAGAATGCGGAGGCGGGCCGTGAAGATCTGCCGGCTCTGTCCAGTTCGAGGATCGGGTTCGGTCCATTCCGCAGCCTTATAACCTTTCATCGAAGTCAGGGGTGGAATGGCGTAGACATGGACGGGACGGGCGACGAAGAGGACGCGCTGGATAGCATCCGTGGGGAGCTGTTGGCCCGTCGCGGGGTCGATGAGATTCGACATCGTGGGAGACGGGAAACCCGGCCGTGTTCAGGCTGCAGATGGTCTGCAGGTAGATATTGCGGCAATCCGCTCCTATCTTCCGGAGCAGATACAAGGCAATCGATTCCAGCGATCCGGAGAAAGGTACTAGATAGTGCAGCAAAAAGTGTCGAGCCGACAACTTTACAGTTAAGCTTCCCGCCTCGTGCCTGGTGGGGCGGTGGGTTAACAGCCAACTAACTACAACCGCTCTTCGAGACATATTTAAATATTATTGATACCTTAGGTAGTCATTCAACAGTACCACAATCGCTCTAGTCAAGTGTCCATTTCTCTTTCCTGGAATTATAAGACGAGAGGAACCCAGCAAATATTTACCCCGTTGTCAGAAACGCCAGTGATGGCATCTATAGTAATGTCATCGTTCAGCAGATCCCAATCCCGATAACTAACTCCCATATCAAGACAGACCTACGCGCATACCCGACATTATTATTATTATGCCAAATATACGTCAAAGAGATGGTTCACCGTCCCCAGCTTTCGCGGCGGCTTCGCCATCCCCGCCCCTAAGGACGTAACGGGCCATTATTATCCGCAATCTGTCGAAGCCGCAGGAGAAGAAACCAGACGCTGCTCACAAAGCCGCTATTAAATGCGCCAAGAGCATGGCGATGCCCAGGCTATGAGTACTCATAGATCCAGAACTCGCACCGAATTGCACATAGGGACTTTGAACACTTCGAATAATGAAAAGATAGAAAATTGGACCTAGGAAATAATATCCAACATGATCGTAATAATGGAAGAACGTATCGTATCCCCATCTGTAGTAGTTATACGAGCAAGTAGTAGTAATCTCCAAATCAGGGGAAAAACTAGTTCTCTTGGCTTCAATAGTACACACGACTAGCTAAGTAAGTCCAATCTTGGAAAAAGATCCCGATAACTAAGACGCAAGTGTCGTCTGATTTCAAATCTCTCTCGTTCAGAGCTTTGACTTTAGTTAATTGGTCTCTACTCTAGATATGGAGCATATAAAAAGAAAGGGAAAAAAGACCTGATTCCAAATCCGTCCTATGAGACAGGGTATAATTTCCGCTCGAATAGATAATAAGTATCAGTAGCAGGAGGTAATCTTCTCGATTCTCACATCTTCTACTCTGGAGTCTGAGGTCTAGAGCTTGCCCTCCAGCTCAAGCCAAGAACCTAAGCCAGGAAGTGGCTTTCTATTTTTGAGTTCAGCTAGAGTGTAGTTTAATGCCCACGTCTTCTATTATTATTACTCCTTCTCGATCGTAGGGCGCGAAGAATGTCTTATACATTAACTCTAGACCTCCTTGGCGTGCAGAGTATCATAAGAACTGAACGAACAAGCTACAAAAGCTTTTCATCCTAGGTACTGGCCAGCTGCCATGCTGTCCGTATTTGGAAATCGCTAGTATCTAGGTGAGATGCCGACTCCCGAGGTCATTAATATTATTACGTAGTACTTTGCTAGGAACTAAAGGCAAGTTTACTTGTCAGTAGGAAGTTAGGAACAGTAAACAACAAGTACAATGTTACTCTGTACGTCTAGATTTCTATAGAACTCCAGGGAGTTCTGTCATGCGTGTCGATTCTAGAAGATACTGCGTGCCCTCCAAATCTAAGCTGATATGCTCGGGTTTGGTCGGTTTCAGTTAGTAGGAGGATCTAGATGTCTCACTTGCCGTCCGACTTGAAATCTGATGGGGTCAGAACTGCAAAGGGACTTGGCGCAAGAGTCCAATATCGGTGTAGTTCTTCTTACGGAAGACTTCTTCTCCACGTGTTAACCGGTGGAACCAACCGGATCTGACCATATAGAGCATTCTCATGCAAAACATATCTTGAATAAGCATAAACAGCGAGTAAAACAAAGAGAGAAAGCAAAAAAAAAAAATAAATAAATAAAAAAAATAAAACCCAGGTTCGTTCAAAAATATCAGGTCCCTTTCCGTGTAACGTACGGCTGCGGGAGAGAAAAAAAGATGGTCCCGACGAGGGTCGAACTCGCGACCTTGGCGTTATTAGCACCACGCTCTAACCGACTGAGCTACGGGACCGGCCAAGTTGAATAACACATCCGTATAAGATCTCAAGTTCCTCTTGCGGATTTCTTCCCAATCGGGAAGACTTCGTCGACCTACATACCAAACTACCCATGAGAGCATGAGTCACATCCATTTGTCGTAGTTGTTGCCAGCAGTATATATGTGATTGGTGGTTCGTCCGATAGAAGAGTTGATGATAAACTTTCCAATGATGATTTGTTCATTGGGCAACTCGCCACCAGCTCTGAGAATCAGATCAGCTGTTGCGAAATATAAGAGCAATATCCACGCCGATATAAACAGACATGTCCTCTATCGCGTTTTCATCGCTTCTCTTTCGAAGATGCCAGGGAGAAAGAGCATGAGGAAAAACTCCAGTTAGATAGCGGTGAGATAAGGTGCTGTATATCCTTGCGGCAGGGTACGTGCGTGGCGTTCCTGAATGATGCCGCGTCAGGCATCCGTGATTCCAGATAGCCATCAACATCCTTGACGACATTGTGACAAGTGATTTCCAATGGAAAGAATCCTCCAGCAGTTAGACTGTCGCTCTTTTCTTAGGGTGGGGGAAAAATGACACCTGGCTCAGTGGAACCCAGATCATGCAAAGACTCATTGGCCATGCACGAAGTATTAACTACTCTTGTGCCCGTCCCCAAGATCACCAAGTGCTCAAAGCCCGACGGCCAAGCCTCCGCGGAACCTCGCACGTAAAAGAAAAGTCGAATAGCATATACGACCACGTGATCTCTATATTCGTGGATATATTGACGCTGCGCAGGAGTCAGAGGCGTGCAACGAAATCTCAGTGTTGTCCGGTCAAGTCCTCAGAAAAAGCTCAGTAGAGCCATGGCCGTTGACAGAAGGCCGTAATGGTCTGCCAGTATGCATCAGCCTGCGTGCCACTCTCTTGAGGCACAAATGGGAATTGCGACAAGACCTCCTAGGCTGTCGGGGAAGATGGTTACAACATCCATGATTCGACCAAGATACCGAGCTGGCCGAATGAGTACCTGTTCTCGTCATACATGCATTTTGCGGATGGAGATCTATATCCTCTCGAAACCAGTTACATCGTGTCAAACGCCACAGCTCCCCGGGAACGATCCAGTTGCCGCCTTGTTCGCAAGCATGGATCTATCTAAGCTTCATCGGGTGGATCGCTGGTGGCGTTGTGAATGGTAAGTAAGGAATGTTGAAGAGCCACAAACTTGCAGATAAAACCGATGCGATCCGAATCCCCCTTCTCCAATAATAGACGACATCTTGCATATGTTTTGCAGAGCGGTGGATGCTCCAAATGGTATGATGCTTCGGATAGGAAGCAAACAAGAGACAGCCGTCGTGCTGAAATCCTTGTCTATCTTTTTGATGCGGCACTTGCACCGAGGTGTGAGACCCCGGTAATCGCGACAATCCACTTGCTATCTCGGGTTTTCGTCCTGACACGTCAGTGATTGCCGGTGTCCCTCGATTCTTTGCAGGGCTTGACCAAGTAAGTATGAAAGAGATAGATGATTATTGTTCTCTCTTTCTGGTGTTTTTACTTGGACTGCTGCCAAGTGGCAGCTGACTGCGGACAGGGGTGTGAGTGATCTTCTGTACCTGTCGCAAGATGTCTCACATCTGCCAACTTGGAGCCAAATGGACGCAGGAACGTTTCGCACTGGCCGTCTGCCATGGGGTGCCTGATAAAGATTCACTCTTCTACCGATTTCTCTATCTAACAGAGAGAGTACAACTTGCATGCGATGCGATATCAGTGCCATCCCAACGGGTCCCATAATGCCGTCAGCGAAGAAAGCAGAGCGATCCATTTTGCCATTCACGTTACCAGTATACAGACAGAGCGCAGAACAGCTGTTGGAGTTAGCCACACTATCAGTATCTATCATTATTCGAGGATAGCACTCTTAACTATCGATTTCCTGGAGGAACCTTGGAACAATAATCACAACGCTTCTTTTTGGCCTTGGCGGCTGTCCGTCGACCATCGAGACCACCACGTTCCCAGGGTCTTGAACGGTCCACTACTGCTTCTGTTTAGCAGTTCGACTCGAAGCCGCGAGGGCCCACTGTCGAAGGTTGAGAGACATGGAACTTCTTGTGGGATTAGCGGTTCGCCCGCTGGTCGACGCCAACAGCCGTCCGGCTATCCGCTGATCACACGCTTGTCGTTCTCTAGTCGACCCGCTGCTCCCCAGCCCAATACGGGGGGGAGTCATCGTCACACACAAAAAGGAGTACGGACGGAGTAGAGTAAGCCACCAAGGAGTCAAGGACACAAAAAATAATAATGAACTAGTTAGTTAGTATGAAAAGAGAGAGAAAAAGGGAGGGGAAACGACAGCGGGTCTGAGCCCGAAGACTTGGACCTGCACTGGACGACCTGAAAGTCTCTGCAAGGCCCCAACGGCCCCCCGATGAACTACTGTCTGTCTGGTAGTTAAGCTCTCTCCATAAAGAAAACCTGGGTATTATTGTTATTATTATTACTATTATTACTCCTACTACTACTACTATTTCATCTCCCTTGGGTACAATAATAATGATTTATTAGCGCCCCCATCAACGCCGCAAAGCCACTGGTAACTACCGCCGTTTGACGTTATTTTGGGTCTCCGTTTGGAGCGGGCCGGTCGCATCTATTCCCGTTAAGCGACTGCGCCAGAAAAGCCCTCTGGTCCGAACCATCTTTTCCTCCGCCACATCAGTCCTTCGACCTGACAAGAGCCGCGTGGTTAGTTACTACTCCCAGTGTTGAAACGTCCTAACTGCACAACGCTTCATTCTTAGTGTCCCAGCGAGAACAGACCAATCTGGCCCATTGCCAGATCTTTTTCTTCTCTTTTTCTTCTTCTGTCCAAGACTGTCTCGCGTCTTATCGCATCGCGTGCTCAACCGTCACCCATGAATTCCGTCACTTCCCCAGCCGATCTCACATCCTCAAAACACCGCTACATTGTCTGACCTGGCTGCGTGAGCGCCCTGGGACGGGCTCACCACCGGTGCTGAGCAGACACAATTACAGCTGGCCGGGAGCAAGATACGACAGACGCCATGGCAATATGGCCTTTTGGTCGCAAGGGTAGGCGGTCCAGCACTCCGCTGGCGGGACCTGAAACAGTGGAGAAGATGTACGCTGCTCAGGAACCAGAGTCTATCCTTGCACCTCCTCAAGAGGCTGCCATCTCACCCAAACGGAAGCCTTCTCGCAAGAAATCCAAGCGTCGCAAGAACCGTGCTTCAGCAACTCCAGACGAATCCTCCATCCCAGGGCAAGATGCGCCTTCTCCTCGTCGAGCAAAAACCACTCCGCAGACGAGGTTCATCGAACCGAATCATCCTCCCATGAAAGCGAAAACTGAACCCATTGGTCAGCGTCCCTACGGCCTTGAACAGGCATCGCACTCCAGCATCGGTCAAGATCAACTGTCTGTCTCGAGGAGCGCATCAGTGTTGCGAAGGAAGCCCAGCAGCACCGGACCCTCAGTTTTGAAGAAGAGACTCAGCAAGCGGAAGATAGAACAGATTTCAAGGGAGCAGGAGATCCGGGCCATGTCTTCATCTCCTGTGAACATTCCGAGACGTACTGGCGCATCGAATGTCGTGTCCAGCTCGTGCGATACGAGGAGGGTTGGTAGTGTAATCAGCCGTTCAGATCGCCATGCTTCAGACCTGAGCCTTCCTGTTCGAGACTCGCCGGGTTCCTCCATGACAGATGGGTCCGAATCGTATACCTTCAAGGTCAACACATTTGCTGCCTGGACCCCACGACCTGCGATTCGGTACAGTGAGCCGCCCCGATACGAAACTCCCAGGAGCCAGGGACCGTCCGTGGCCTCAAATAAACAGGCGACCATCCCGGAGGAAAGTCTCAACCCGAAAAAGAGAATCGACGAACTGGCCGACGATCTGGATGCTGGAGCTCTGAGGGAACTCCTGGAACGGGATCGCCGTCGGAAGGAAAAGAAGCGTATTGCTGACCAGGAAAGGCTGCAGCGCAGGTTGCAGCGCAGGGCTGAGCGTCAACGAGAGCAAGAGCGTCGGCGAGAAGAACAATCTGGACCTTCGGATGATCGCGAACAGGGGACTGAAGACCGCCGCGGACGCAGCGTTCTCGACACACACAGAGCATCAGTCTCGCGTGATCAAGATGAGCACGATTCCGGGGCCAAGGCTGGTTCGTCTTCTCAGCAATCTGGTTCGTGGCTGCGAGGTCCCTCGAACGATGGTCGCTTGCCAAAAAGCAATCGTGCTTCTCTGGAAAGCGTGCATGTCATTGGGACCTTGGATGACAGTTCCATCCGTGCCGAAAAGATGGCCCAGAGAGACAGCATGGCTTTGTCCCAAGATATGCAGATCTCGCGGAGCAGTATTTCTCCTTGTCCCTCGCCCGTTACAAAGGATCCCAGTGGAACGAGTACGTCGCAGCATCCTGGGTTTTCTTCGGAGTCGATATCAGACCGCTCTAGGACGATCGATCATGAAAGACGCCCATCGGACAACAGCGGCAAGCGTATGAACGGATGGTCGACCTTCTTCCGCCGCGGTAGCTCTCGCCTCAAGAGAGGCTCTTGGGATCGTGCTCAACGCGCGCCTTCCGAATTCTCCAACACATCGCGAGAGTCCTTCTCGAGAGCTCCTCCGTCAGTCACGGGGACTTCACCTGGAATGGTGCAGAGAAGTTTCCTGCGTGTCGGCACGGTCAAACGCTCGCAATCCAAGTTCACAGAGCACCTGGGTGACTTTCCGATTTCACCTCCGGAGTCTCGGTTGCAGTCACCTGATATTCCTGAAACCATTCCAGATATGCCCTCCCCGGAGCAGGCTTCTTTCCACGACGATCTCGAGCAAACGATCGGTCGACCCATTCCTGGGCGATCAGCCGGTCGACACCGTTCCTGGGAAAGTGGCGTCGAAACGCGGCCGGACAGCGCTCTCCTGTCACGTTCTCTTGCGTCCGTTGACTCGGAAGGATCTTGGATGTCCGGCAAATTCCTGCGTCGTATTTCGCAGCACGCCAACAGCCCCGTTCGACACAGTGTTGCCTCCAGTGGGAATAAGCTCGAAGGTTATGCCGAATCCAGAGAAGCTGACGATATCGTTGGCGATGAAGATCTCGCCAGGCTGACGCCTAGCCACGAAGAATGCCGGGATTCTCTTGCCGGTGCGCGTAGGGCGAGTAGCAGTGCGATGGGTGCCGATAGTGATAGGGAGAGCGATAGTCTCCCCATGCAAAAACCCGAGCCTGAGGTAGAGCCGGCGGAGACATGGCATATCGGTATCGGTCGACGGCCAACTGTAATCCGGCCATCCAATCGACCCAAATCCAAAGCAGGACTTCTTCTCGATCATGTCCAAAATGTGCCCACTGCCCAGAGCGCGGAGGTCTTATCCGTCTCGGGAGATAACAGCCCTGTGGACGAAGAAGAAGGAGAACAGGAAGAAGCGGAAATCCAACGTGCGACGAGTGTCGATTACGGAAGAGGACACGTTCGCCATGTCAGCGCTGGAAGCGCAAAGTTGCTGGATATCCGGGCGTCGATGGATTCTAAATCACCCAGTTCTGGGGCGGAAGCCCGCTCTGATCCTACTGGGTCCAAGTTCTGAACTTTTTTGTATCTTTTCGCTTCGTGAATAATAACCCCCTTTGTCAGCCAACCCGACCTCGAGCGATGTTGCAAGGCATGGAAGGAAGGAATGGTAACTGGCTCGAGTCAATGGCATGCTGGAGCTCCCCGGAAGGCACGCACCTACCACATTCTTTGAAGATTTTCTTTTGTTCACGACACCCAATCGCGTCGCGAATGTCCCTGTATCCTGAACCAAACGCTCGTTTGATTTTTCTTTGTGTTTGCATTGTCGAGTTTCCGCCGATGTCTTTGGCTCGAGACCAGCATGAACCCTTTGCATGTCGATATTCTTGATACCCCGTTTGTTGTCGGAGTTGGCGCCCCCTTTAGTTATCATTGTCGTTTGTGTTTTCGAGTTACATACCCCCTGCTCAGTATTTTTGCCCGCGATGTCTATTGCTGTTGCTCTTCCGATTCAATGCACATATTCGCTATCATGTCCACGCCGTCTCCCATGAGTTTTGTTATCGGACAGTTCCGAGGATGTCATTCCCTGGGGTTGTAGGGAAGAGTTTCTGTAGTAAGAGAGAAATTTGATCATGACGAGTGTTTTCCCCATCTGTGCTTGGCCTGTGGTCCTGATATGCTGCTTGCTTTGGTGGACTCTATCCTACCGTGGCTTTGTTGTTTGAATGAGAAATGGAGGTGACGTGAATAACGACAGGAGAGACTGGCACCGAGAGAGGGCCCCTGTGGTGTGCAAAGATTGTCGTGTTCTTTGGTCTCGGCGATTGCTTCTAGTCCAGAAGATGAGTGAAAGGCTCGGCATAGCACGGCGGCTCTCACAAAGGGCAAAACATAAGTTAATCTGATGGGAATCTCCGCATGTTGCCTGACCGCTGGAGACTACCAGTCCTGTTGAGCGAACGTGGAGTCAGAAACGGTGGGATATTACCCCGGCGGTTTGAGTGTATGTTATCTATCTGTCGCACGGCGGGGCATGATACCAGATTTTGCTCAGCGGATGCTTTGCTTATGACCTATGTATGGATTGATGTGTGGTCTTATTGCACCAAGGGGATGTATATAGTTCGGAGTACTCTGTAAAATGGAAAAGAGCATCCCTGCGGAATTGCACGGGCATTGTGCACAGGAGTATATGGAAGTTCTAGATGGTATAGTTTATTTCCTACGTTCATCATTCCCAACCTCCCCTCCCACCCAACCAACCCCTCATTGATCATCCAGTTGCGGTAACCATGGCTCGCTGGTGTTTGCTGTTGATGGGTATCTAGCCTGGGATCGACAGTGTTTATCTACTTAGTACTACTGTAGATACTGGCACCGGCGGGTCTCGGGTGTCAGCTGAACTGATAGTTGACTGCTGCGTCTATCTCTAGGCTGCATTTGTTGGTGATCCTCTGCTATGATCACACCATGTTATCTGCGTCTGATGATGTCCGAAGAGCAATAGTAGCCGACCTTATAATAGATATATCATGATATATGATGATTATGATGATGATGATGATGATGATGATGATTAGATTAGATCTAATAGTGTTTTTAATAATTAATGATCCTTCGTAGCAGATCCAGAGTCCAGAGTCCAGAGAGACTAACTAACGATTAGTTAATGATTGGAACCCCGAGACTCTAGACCGCCTGCGATTGGTAAGCCGAGCACGTCATCCCGTCGGGTTCTGCCCTTCCATTATTGACTGTCTTTCTTTTCCTTCGAATAACTTCGTATTGCTTATCGATTTTCATTGCTCGAGTTACTCTAGTCCACCACGCTTTACTCTAACTCTGTCCAATTGCCTTGGATTCTCTCCAGGTCTCACATATCAACTTCTTCTTAGGTAAGCCGATCCATCCATATGTTCGCGTCGTTTCGAGCACTCCCGAGTCTTTGCACGTCTGCAATTGTATTGCAAAGCAGTCTATCAGACCCCGAGAGTGCAATCTAGCCCTCTGGATGATCCATTAGCCCTGGAGTCGCACCAGAGAACAGGAGAAAAGAGAAGAAGAAGAGTGTTTTGTTTGAAAATCAATCATTATTCATCCTCCCTCCCCTCTACTCTAGTCTTCCCGAGCCAGCCATACCATAGCGCCTCCCGTTCCACCAACCCAACGTCATTTTGTTGCTGCCCCTCTCCCCTTATAAAGCCCATCCCCCACCCTCCGCCGTAGAATCTCCCGCATCTTGAACTCACCGTGATCAGTCTCTACTTCCCGCCAACAAGTCATTCACCGTGGCCTCCCTTCGCCTCCTTCCGTCTCTTTCTTCAACCGCCAGGTTCTCAACCGGCTTGACAGCTGCGAAATCTGCTTCGCCAGCGACTACCGCGCGTTTTCTGAAGACTCCGTCGGCTTCCCAGCGAGCTTTCTCCACTACTCCCTCTCCTCAATTCCGATCCACAATCGCCAAAATGGGTGTCCACAACGTTTCCAGGTGAGTTCTCTGCTTTTCCTACCATCATAGATGACCCCGACTACCCACTCTCGATGAGGCGTGGAGTGAAGTCATTGTGCGGAGATGAGAAGATCGGTCAGTTAACAATCTCTCTAGCAAGGCTGAGTTCACCGAGAAGACCGGCCAGGGCGTCGCCGTTGTCGACTTCTTCGCCACCTGGTGCGGCCCTTGCAAGGCCATCGCTCCCAAGGTCGAGGAGTTCAGCGAGAAGTACCCCAACGCCACCTTCTACAAGGTCGACGTTGACCAGCTGTCCGACGTCGCTGCCGACATTGGTGTCCGTGCCATGCCTACCTTCCACGTCTACAAGAACGGCCAACTCGTCGCTGAGGTTGTCGGTGCCAACCCTCCCGCTCTCGAGGCTGCCATCAAGGAGCACTCCGCATAATTGAAAGAAGAAAAATGACAGCTATCAAATTTGTTTTCTAGCTAGTTGTTTTCCTTTTCTTCTTCTCTCAACCTATAAATCACTCGAGACCTCTGGTCTTTTTTTGGCATGAGGAAATTGGAGCATTCGCCTGACGAATTCCTTTCTCATTTAATTATTCCCCGGGCTTCATGACAGGATCACTGTCACGTGGCCATAAAATCCATTCAGATAGAAACAAAAGACCATATCCCTTTTCAAAGAATCGTATATCATTGATATACCTATATCGGACGAAATAATCATAGGAACAAACCTGCAGCACCGTAGATAACAAGTGAATATGCGCATCGAATCTAGAGAAAACGTCGGCTTCGTAAGTTATACTCTCAATGAAAGTTGGAAGAGATAATTACCATCTGTACGTACTCAGCAGAGAATCAACAACGCTCTAATGCACGCAGCATCGAGTTGTATTATTCAGCGTCAAGGAGTGCGGGGTTCCTGCAAGTTCCTGCAGGTAATACTCTAATTCATCTGATCATTGGGGAAATTTCATACCTGAAAGGGTCTATCTGATCTACGGGATTTATTTGCAAATAAAGAGAAAACAAAATCCACATCAACAGGATAATGCCAGAGAGCAAATGTTGCTTTTTAAGCCCTAGTCTAAAACATGGCTTCACTTACACTACATGCAAGCAGCCGCACCCAGATTCAGATAAAACGGCCTCCAGATACCTCCCGCGGCATCGGTCGGGAAACGCCAGGAAAGAAGAAAGAAAGAAAGAAGAAAAAAAAAAGATGTACCGAGAAATAAATCAATGCAGTGTAGCGCGCCCGGCACTACGTTGATGCTTTCCGTATCGTGTATCTTCATCTCGTAAATCCTGCCCAAGATGCTTGTAAAAGTAAAGCCAAGGGGGACGTCCGTAACTTTTTATGCTCCGCTCCTGCTCGACCCGTAAACAATAGGACCGAAATCAGACACCAAAAACTCCTAGACTCCCTGCCTTTATGCATCCGGCCAGGGTCATGCAATTCGAATAGAGAGGCCCAACGCGCTCAAAAATGCGGCTCAATCATGATGCATTACATGCAATGCTGTGTCGCTGTGACAGTCAAATGACGAAACAAAGAGAAGTGCGCGCCTTATTGCGGCATCTGGGTATTGAAGGTGAAAGACGGAAGGAAAGGAAAGGGGATATAGGGAGGGTCATGGCGGTAGTCATTGTCACCGCAGGCAGCTTTGTGTATGTCAGGTATTTCTCTGAGAAGACTTTCTTTTTGGGACGGCTTTGTCCCGCAGAGACTCCTGCTGAGACTCGCTGCTAGAATCCGCACTAGTGGTCTGGATGCGCCTGCGAGGGCGGAGGTTCCTCTTGTTCTCGCCTTTCTTCGTGCCCTCCGCGCTGACGTCTGTTTTCGTTACGGGCTCAGCGGTATCAGCCTGTTCAGCAACAACATCCGGGCTGACCCTCAGGCGTAGGGAAACCAGGTCGTTCTGATTCTCATCACGGAGATTGATTCCAACTGTGACGTTTGGCAAGATCCGTCTCTTCTGTTCCCGCCCTCTGGTCTGCCGGGGGCGACAAGTGAGCTTTTCATCGTCACTATCGTCTGCGGACCGCTTGCTTGACGTGCTATGACGGGAGGAAGAGCGCGACGAGGGACGCAAGCGTTGCTTGTATTGAGGCTGTGGGACAACCGATTGGAAGGAAGACGCGTCGGTGACCGTGGTAGCCGGAGAAGAGGAGCGTTTAACAGAGGAGTCAGTCGAAGTGTCCTCGTCCAGCAGTTTGACAAACGCCCTCTCAATATCACCACGACATTGTTGCAACATCTCCACGATGGTCTCTCGGTCATATTTTCCGCCCAGGCCTTCTTGTATCTTGGAAATTTTCCAAGGCACCGCCATATCCACCACTGCTCCAGCAGTAGCATCTTTACTCTCTTCGTTCCTCTTTTCCGTTTTCACACTGTCGACCTGGGAGTCGGCTTTCACTTTGGTATTGGGAATATGGGGAAGACCGGTGTGAGGGCCATTGATGTTGCGTACCGAAGAATAATGGTAGAAGTTCTATTACGCAAAAGCCTCCGTTAGTATAACAGAGAGATTATGGGAGGAAGGTGGGTGTAGACGGTAGCGTCACTTACGTGGAAGGCTATGTGGACCACCTCTCTTTCTTCGTCCGCTGGAGCACTAACATCACGGAAGTCTTGGATCCCAGAATCCATGTAGACGCGTACGTCTCGTTTGTACGATTGGCAAAATGCCTGGATCTCTTCGGATCCTCCCCAGGAGCCATTCTTCCGGCTCTCCTCGACCCTGGTCTCAAACTTCTGCATCTGCTGCTCCTTGGTCGCCGGTGCAGGGGTCACCGACGAGGAGGACGATCGAGAAGCAGCCGCAGCTGCGCGTCTGGGGGCCCTCCGCTCCCCACCCATCGCAGACATGAAATTCATGAAGTATTCCGGATGGGCCTGGATATGGTTGGCCAACCGGTTCCGGATCTCTTCAAAGTGGTCGAATTCTCCATACATCTGGTCCGACAGAGCTCGATAAAGACAATTGCCTATAATCCAAGAGGAAACTATCAGTCAATGCTTTTTTGAGCCCAATTGGAGGGACGCGGAGCTGGCAGATCGCGTTTCTCCTTCGAGACTTGCTCCGGACCAGTACAACACATACCATCTCCCACGGTGTTGGAAGCATAGAGGCCCAAGGCCTCCAGACAGGGCATATTCAAACATTCCGGGTCATTCCAGAGCTCCTGGGACTCCCTCGGCTGTGATTGCCTGGGAGTGGTGTGGAGGGTATCTCTGGTCACTTTGGTGACCTTGGGGTTGTGCTTCTGGCCGGCCATGACAGGCACGACCCGCGTACCGCTGGGAGAGACGTCAGCCATGCTTGCAAAACCGAAGAACCGCCCTCATCTGCTGTCTAATAGAGCAGGGGGCAATGTCCCCAAGCAGAGATTGAGAGAGGTAAAAAAGAGACAAGAAAAGAAACAAAGGGAAGAAGCGTTCTTTGAAAGAACCTCCGGAAGGGGAAGTCCACCAGTCTGCGGACCAAAAACCAGAGGCTTTACAACACGCGCTCTGTTTCTCTGTGTCTCTCTCTCTCTCTCTGTCTCTCTGAGGATCACGGCAAGGGTGCGGAGGCGCTTGCACCGAACGAGCATGCTTACCGAACAGGAGCGGTGAGTATCTGGAGTATTTTATTGGCTGTTGCCTCTCGGAAACGGCTTAGCGGAAGCGCCAGACTCCGTTTTTCTGCCGCGCTATGACGAAATTCCCTCCGTTCTCGCAAATTGAAGAATTGAAATATTAAGGAATTAGTTAAGCCTGCAAGTGTGAATGAGAGAGGTTGAAAGCTGATGATCAACACGGACACTTTTCTGCAGATACAGTCGAGCTCTTGTGGCTTCCAGATGGATCAGAGTGCTGGGGAGAAGTTAAACCTTGGGTGTCTGTCTAGTTAAGTATCTGACGCCTGAAGGCAACACTTCTCCCAGCCGTCTGTGCTCTCAATGACTCCTACAATACGTGACTATTCATATACAAAGACTGACAGTGAATCTTCCTTTCTATTCATATACCGTCATTGATAATGCACTTTGTGGTCCGTGACTTTCCATTGAACAATGGAGGTGCGCATTTATAGCAATTTCTTTCAGCGGCCACTTGGAGAACTAGATAGGCGGAGATTCTTTAGTCATTGTTATATTCAAATATTGATCGTGGACAGCTTCCACATGGAAACTGATATATTGTGAATGTTCCCAAAATAGAATATGTCTCTAGAGTCTACATGTACCTTTTCTTATCAGTGTGTGTGCGGCCTGTGTAAGAGTACCTAGTTATCGCCATGCCAAGTACTCCAGTATCACATCGGACCTTTGCAGCAGCAGATAATATCTAATTGGCATTTTTGTCTATGTAATTAATAAAATGATCATTATTGGCAAAAAGAAATCTTTGCACCCCTCGTGGACTTTCGGACCCGATTCGGCAGCTCGGCGTTGTCCCCACCGCCAGGCACGAGATTACTTATTGAGGGGCCCCGATGATAACCACTCTCCGCGTATCGGGGAACACACGACATATCTAGCTATCTATTCGGTGGGGGCCTCGTCCCGATAGGAATGACTCTACTGTGTTGCACGTTCTCTCAATAGAATAATTCACCGTTGCCGGTTCTATAATTGCATCTTTCAGTCCTTTTGGTCGGTCTTTGTCCCTTCTAAACAGCTTCTGCATTCTTTATTCTCGTGAGGGGCGCGTGGACAGGTCCACAATGGAGGCAAATAATATTGTGGTGCTCGGGTATGCGATTATCGATTCTCTTTATCAAGGATCTCTTTCGAGCCATGGTAATTAATCATCTCTCTACAGTGCTGGAGTGGCAGGCTTGACGACTGCATATCTCCTGTCTCAGAACGCGGCCAACAATATTACGGTCGTGGCAAAGCATATGCCGGGAGATTATGACATTGAATACTGCTCGCCATGGGCTGGAGCCAATTACCTGCCGTAGGTTCTGCAGTCTTGGTTTTCCCATGACTTGTAGGTATTTCTTCTCGGAACTGACAAACGGATCAAGAGTCGGTGTCCAAGGTAGCGCTCACGCGGAATACGAGAAGAAGACTTGGCCGGTTCTCCAGGAATTGGCGCAGAACCATCCTGAGGCGGGCATTCATTTCCAACGTGAGACTCAGCATGACCACAGCTTCTTGGACCACTATGCTGACGGTTGATATAGCGACTATCGTCTACAACCGCGAAAAAGATAAGCAATCTGCTACTGGACAATGGTTCGCGGAACTACTGAAGAAGGAGCCATGGTATAAAGATGTGGTCCCCGATGTACATACAAGATCGCTCCCCTTGAATTCCGTTCACTATTAAACTGACATCTTCTCCAGTTTCGTCCACTGCCTTCAGAACAGTTGGCACCCGGGATAGACAATGCCTCGTCCTTTACATCAGTCTGCATCAACACGGCCATCTACCTGCCATGGCTGGTCGGTCAGTGCCGCAAGCACGGCGTGGTATTCAAGAGGGGCGTCTTCAAACACGTTGCTGATGCTGCAAATGCCCATCATTCTGGAAGGAAGGCCGACCTGGTCGTCAACTGTACCGGCTTGTCGTCGAAGAAATTAGGCGGGGTCATGGACGACAAGCTCTACCCAGCCAGAGGCCAGATTGTGGTAGTGCGAAATGACCCCGGATACATGAGCTCCGCTTCCGGGACGGACGACGGAGAAGACGAAGCTGTCTATATCATGGGCAGGGCCGCAGGTATGTGACTAACTAATTAGATGCTATGCGCACAAAGCTAATATCCTTCTAGGCGGTGGTACCATCCTCGGTGGTTCATACCAGAAACACAATTGGGATACTTCACTTGATCCGAACCTGGCAATTCGTATCATGAAACGTTGCATCGAACTGTGCCCGAGTCTCGTCAAGGAAGGCCAGGGCATCGAGGGCCTGGATATTATCAGACACGGTGTTGGACTACGACCGCTCCGTGAAGGCGGGCCAAGAGTGGAAAAGGAGAAGATCGACGGCGTATGGGTGGTGCATAACTACGGTCATGGGGGTTTTGGGTATCAAGCTTCTTACGGCTCCGCAGAAGCAGCAATCAAGCTCGTCGCGGCAGCTTTAGGACAGAAGACCCAAGCTAAGCTATGAATGTATAGTTTGGAGTTGTTTGCAAAACCGGTGCACTTGATTATTTCCTGAAATATGGATACTAAGGTAGTTCAATCTTCAACTGGAAACTAATCGGAGTATTGATATCACGTAGTTTCAGAGATGGTAACAGTCAAACCGTAAGATAAGATTAAGTTGTATGAAATCTACTTGTACTTCCTGGCTCTGTAGGAGTATCCTATCAATAGCCAGAACTTCTAGAATATCCTTGTTGAGGTAGCTCCAAGTCGGAGATCGAGAGTGACTAAGAGGCGAGCGACTAATCGATCGGCCCACAGCTAACGTTATTACAAACCCTACCCCAATAATCCTCGTTGGACATCTCCAGGGGCAGGAGCTGGAAGTCTCGATGGATCTAGATCACGGGCAGCGTCCCTCGCTTTAACAAGATCGATTCCCAGCCGTTCAAACAGGAGCTCAAGCTCCAAGTATCTCTTCACTGCAAGTCCAATGTACTCAAGATTCAGCTCCTCCTTTCGGGCCTGGATGATGCTGGCGTATCGATCAGCCAACCATCGCAGATCGGCTGAATCATGGAATTTTGACCGAGTTGCTGCGGCGCGGAGTTTTCCTTTGAACAGATAGAATGGATCAAGGACACGGGCCTGACCAGGCCCCAGTTTTTGCCCATTCACCGTATAAAGAGAGGCTTGTACATCCCTCATGGTATATTGAGAACCTAGTAGGATCAGAAGAGTGAAACACAATCAGAGAGGTGGATTAAACTAACCCATGAACTGCTCACAAAAAATCTCCACAAGGACCGCGTTGCTGCGATCAGGCTTATCAGACCATAAGAATGCTACGTAGTCCTGTCGGCTTTGAGGGACTGCAATAAATCCATCTTGTCCGTCTAGAACAGCAATTATCTGTTCTTTGGATATGGAAGCAATACAATCAATATCCTTGCTCTCGCGGAATCCACCTAACACACCGATAGCGTAGCCCCCAAATATGCCAAACGTGATATTAGCTCGGCTCAAAGTTCGATGGAGGGAAATCGCTGCATCGTTGAGTCGGTCTTGAAGCATACTGTCGATGATAAGGACACACTGTCGTTCAGAGCCGTATGGAATCGCTCAGGTACAGTAAACGAGTCTAAATATCAATTCCTCTTTAAGGAAGCATTCACCGGATTTTGAAAGTTCCCTTGAAGTCACTATCATGCCACGTCAGCTAACCCCCTCCTTATGTACCAGCAGGGGATCTTCTTATGCGGCCTTTCATTGGTTGAGTACGGGCCCTCAGCAAGCCATCACGCAGTATATTGTACGTACAAAGTGTGCCAATGGATTCAGAGTTATTTCCGTGGTTGAATCCTAGAATACGGCCTTCTAGACACATATGCATGGGTCGAGAGGAGAAATAAAAGATAGTACTAAACAGCATTGAAATCAAGAGAAGACATTGATGGATTCTGCAATTGTGAATACCCAGATCCAGGTATCAACCGCAGATCCACGACTTTTGTGAAGCCTGCTGCGGCATGAAGCTCTTCAGATCCAAAGTATTCATCGTCCCTCGATGATCTTTGGCTAATCAGCATAGTTGCCAACTTCCTCACTTCAGGCGAGGCTTCACTCAGATTAATTTGCGCCCACTCTTCATCCAGGCGCATCCCATCCACTAACTGCTCTGCGGCAATCCTAGCCATAACATCCCTTGACTCGAGAAATCTCCGACACAAACCGACGAAAAACGGCGCCAGATATGGCATTGGAAGTTGCTGTACTTCATCCGTAGGTACTAGATCCAGAATCTCATGGCTGTAGACTATATGCGGTATTCCCTCATATGACACTATATTATGGGAAACCGGACAGAGAAAGAAATATGTATCTGGAAAAAGTACGACGAGAGGGTCCTTGTCTGTCGTCATGAGAGTAGGAAATCCTCGTTTATATTCCCCGTATATGTCGTATTCTTTCTTCTTCACCAGTCGAAATCTTCCAGTGGAACACAGAATAGATGTAGCCTCTCGCAACAGAGATTTTGGTACGCATATTTCAATGTCCTGTATAATAGTAAGACGGTGTTTCGCAGAACGCTGGAGAATACCTAACCCACTTACGTGGACAACTCGTGGGACATTGTAGTAGTTTAATGCTATTTCACCAATAATGCATGCCGGTATACTACCATCCTGGAGGCTCGACAAGACTGTTTTTATGATCAGAGTAAGCTCCATGGTCTAGTACTAGGTGCTGTAACAATTGTGATGCTCAAGCCAGACAGATAAAGGGGGGGACAGCTCCGGCTTCCGATATAGTCAACCAACGCAGTCTTGGCAAAGTCTCCTGCGCGTTTTGGAACCCCGATTTCTTCGACTGGAAATATTCCAGTGCTACATGATGTTTCAAAAACTACGATATTTTTTCAAGCGGCCATCTGAATCTTTTCAGATTCTCTCTGATCTTCATCTTGAGGTTGGCCAACAGTACTCATCCTACGAAATTCCAGTTAATGCCAAATACCTCATCCTCGCAGGTGATATCGGGCGATTGGCGGACTATAACGACTATCTTAACTTCCTACAAAAACAAACATCTAGATTTGAATTAGTATTTCTCGTTCTCGGCAATCACGAATTCTACGCTGGATCCTTCACGACAGGACTAGAGAAAGCTAAACAACTTCAACAAGAGCCTTCTCTGAACGGACGCCTGGTACTACTCCATCGGGAGCGGTATGATGTGCCAGGCTCTTATATCACTATACTAGGTTGCACACTTTGGTCCAAAGTGCCCATTGAGGCAAGAGAAGTCGTCCAAGCGAAGATCAAGGATTTCCAGAAAATCGACGGCTGGACGGTCGATGACCATAATGCAACTCATGATTCGGAACTGGCATGGCTATTGAAAGAGATACGATCGATACATCAAGAGAATGAAGCTGCGAGAGCGCAGACTCCAAGACGAACTATTCTGGTCGTGACGCATCATGCTCCTTCGCTTAGGGGAACGTCGAGTCCTGAAAACGCGCAGAATGCTTGGAGATTCGCTTTTGGGACTGACGTTCTGTCGGAAATGGTGAATGATGTCAAAGTCTGGGTGTTTGGACACACTCACTATAGCACTGATTTTAAAGAAGGGGGTATAAGGATTGTTAGCAATCAACGGGGATATGCGCTGCCTTGGAAAAGCACAGAGGATAGATTCGATGTGGGGAAGGTCATACGAGTTTCGTGAGAAAGGTTCAGATATAGGCTCGATGTTAACCAGAGTTATGTACATGTGTGCTGAGGTTCTGGTCGCCAGTTAATCAACAGTCTACGTAGACGGAGTCGATCTGTAAAGCATCATATCTCTTTCTCTTGTCGAATTTCTGCCGTCGAACATTGTATTAGTGATTGATGCTTTTCATTTATGACTTCTTCAAAGTTAAATAAACAATCCAGTTCTTCTATACGATATAAATATGTATGTACTATAAAACATCCCGTTGCATGACCACGGTTGATCGCCATCATACCGACGTCACACCCAGGATCACCTACAAGAGACGAGAATTCTCAACAGAACACAACTATCAGCCTTCTGACGTTAACCATCAAGATTCCCCGACTGGGCTTAACCAGCTACTCTAGAAGAATTTCCTGTAGCTTTCCTACTCTCAATTGCAACCGATAGTGAGCTTCCTCGACATCTCAATCGCAGCTACGCGAACCGATTTCGTCGACCAACCGAGCCTTTAAGCCTAACGCTTCCTTTCCCATCTTCCATCCAATCGAAAAAGAGATATAATCATAGCGCTCAACCAGTTTTAAACCAACCATGGTGCAGACACGCGCTCAAGAGCGTTCTGCCGGCCAGGGCTCCAAATCTTCACAGACCGAGACGAAACCGAGAACGACCAACAGATCGAAGACAATATCCAATAAGAAAGTCGAGGAACCAGATATCCATGAAGAGCAACAAGACGATGTACCTGCAGATGAAACGAAGATTGAGAAACGCAAACGCGATAACGCAGAAAAGGAAGAAGAGCGCGAACAGGAGCAGAAATCCAACAAGGAACAACAACCCAACGGGGTCGATACGGACGAACCACCAAATAAGGCACCTAAGACTTCTGAGTCCGAAGAGCCCGGTAATAGCATCGACGAATCTGCAGCCGCAAAGGTCCATAAAGTCATTGAAGAATTCGGTGCTCTACCTCTGAAAGACGCGGGTGTTGCGGAGCCGCTGCAAGCTACACCCGAGACGATCCTTGCGATGGTTCTTGATGCGATGCTGAAATCGACGCGGATATCGCATTCCCTGGCGCAGAAAGCGGTCAATACGGTCATCGAGGCGGGGTATCATGATATCAAGAAGCTTAGCCAGACTACGTGGGATGATAGGGTGGATGTCTTGGCCAAGGGGGGATATAATCGCTATCGCGAACAGGCTTCTACGAATCTCGGGGCTCTTATTGAATTTGTGAATGGGAAATATGGTCTGTATATCCTTGCGGTATCCTACTCTATCGAGCGTATACTAACGTAGCAAATACAGATGGCGACTTGAACAACCTCTACCAAAAAGCAGATCACCAGCCCCGCAAGGTGAGAGAATTGATTAAAGAAATCAAAGGCCTCGGCGACCTCGGTACAGACATTTTCTTCAACAACGCCCAGAGCATATGGCGGACATTAGCGCCTTTCATCGACGCCAGGAGCTTGAGAACGGCGGACGATATTGGCATCGGCACGGATGTAGATGCGATTTATAAAGAACTTGAATTCGACCCGGTGCAGATGAGCAAATTGGCGAATGGGCTCTCGGCCGTAAGGCTGGAGAAGAAACAGGGAGAGGTCTCGGAAGAGGAGTGAGTTCATGGCTGCAATATGATACCTAATGACCCGCTGAAAATACAAGGGTATTGCTATTTCAATATACTGTTTGGATAATAGGAAATGTATACGCATAGGGCACAGTAGGGCAACTGAAATAGAATCTTTCGGAATCATTTGGATTATCCCACTGTCCGAAATGATGCAGCGTGGTCTTCCCCAGTCTTCCAAGACGAAGGTGGTCGCGTAGAGCTTCTTCCCAATAAACTGCCGTCCATAGGGTAGCGCCGGGGATATATATTACGCGTTTAGTGAACTTGCTTGCATATCACAGACTATACAATAGTCGAATCCCTTGCATCGTCCGCGTGCCGTTGGGAGTCCCAGGAAAAAAAAATCGATGGTGATCGAGTGGAGTGGAAAGGAATCGATGGAACTAGGATAGGTTTCGACGGTAGTCAATAAGATATTCGATTAACTGTCAATGCGATGGATGCAGAATTGGTCGGGCCTAGAGAGAGAGAGAGAGAGAGAGAGAGAGAACCGGGAGTCCGATCCCAATCGTTCAACCGCTGAGGCAACCCACCCCCCCCCCCCCCCCCCCCCCCCCCCTTCCAAGTAGATAAATCAAACTCTTACTACTTGTTGTAGTGAATCCGTTATTCAAATGCAAATTCTAAGTATACAGTCAATAGTTGTCAATAGGATAATCGCAGTATAAGTAGACGGGAGAGGGAGTCTTTCTCTAATAGGTAGTGAATTCAATAGAAGTTCCCAGACAGTGTGATTTTCTGATTGCATATCCACAATCCATTCAGACGTGAAGGGGAGAGTTATGATTTGCGTTTCAGGAACAGGTATTTGTGAACTATCTTGTCTTTAATTAAGCATCTAGTCAGTATACTACGTAACTAGTAGTACCGTGAAGAATCATAAGACCCGTCAAGTCTTCATGAATAACCTATTTAATAGTTAATGGTTGAGCGTCCTCGCGAGTCACGGGTCTATTTAAGCTTCAGTAGAGGTGTCAAAGCAATGTTTAAGGATTATTCTTATCTTACTGCTATACTTGTGCCGTTGTGAACTGCTGAGGAGGTGACTTACTCACTTAATATGACCTTGGGAATAGAGTAAAACCATTAGCTTGATTATTATTGTAGAGCGGTATTGGCGTGATTTACATACAACAAAAAGCATTTATATCTATTTGTCAAAATATCAAAAAATGTTTCTTAGTCTTAGAAAGAAGACAATTGATAGGAAAAGGGATATGCCTTAAAATAACACGGCAAAATCAACCTTTCAACCCTCCAAATCAACAATAACCTGCCCCTCCTCACCCAAGTCTTCTCGTACCATCGTTCCTAAATCCGCACTTAATTTCCTTATTTTCTCCCTCACCCATACATGATCCCTATCATCTTTATCTAACAACATGGCCTGAAACAAGTCACATCTCGTCGGGAAGATTTCCAACCTTACTAGTTCGAGACCTGCGCGTTTCTTCCCACCTTGATTATGCCGCAAAGAAGAAGAAGAAGAGGCAAAAGAAGAATCAGAACGTTCCCTAACAACAACCCTCCAAACAGCTCCCAAATCATTCCTAAACTCCTTATTCAGCGCATAATCATCCACAAAGTCTCCGCATCCATAGATGATTAGTTTATTCTTATACTTCTCCACACCCTGGATGTGATGCGATGAATGGCCGTGGACGATATCGACGCCGCATTCGTCAATGAGGAAATGGGCTAGAGATCGGATGGTGGATTCGTGGGGTTGCCACGCGTAGTTGGGACCCCAGTGGACGGAGAAGATTTTGAGGGATGGTTCATCAGCATCATTGGAAGAAGAAGAAGAAGAAGAGGAAGAGTAAGAGGTCAGCCGATCCTTAAGCCTCTTAAACGTCTTAGCTGTATAATCAATAAAATGAAACGTGGGCACAGCAGCCCAATCTCTTGGATGGTCCGCCGCAGAGTAAATATGGATCGTATGCGAGGTATCGGGACATTCGTTCTTACTCCTTTTATTATTATTATTATTATGATCACTACTACCTTTCGAATCATCATGATGTTCATGGCTACTCGTCGCGCCCTGCGCGGAAGTTCCATCTTGTTCACGATTCGATGACGAATGCTTGAATTCTCTCCTGGGTAAACAGAGCACAGCCGGTCGGAACGCTTCATCTGTCGTTTCGCCCGCGCCAGCGAATGCGATGCGCGCTTTGCGGAGCGTCCAGGCCGTTTCAATTAGGCCCTCTGGGGAGAAGTCGAGGCTGTGATTATTTGCTAAACTGGCATAATCGACACGGGCTTCTTTCAAGGCGGCCACGTTGGCGGGGTGCATGCGGTAATTGAAGGCTTTGTGCGGCCACAGCACATTGTGCACGGTGATGGCTGTTTCGAGATTGATGATGTTGAGATCGGCGGCGTGGAAGAGCGGGAGGGTTGATCCCCAGGGACTGGCGGGGTTGTAGTTGCGCAAGTGGGGGTTTCTGGCGACGAAGGAGGCGACGAGGCGCGATTCAGATGGGTTGTCGACATGTTGGGGGAAGAGTTGGTCGACGAGGCGGCCGAGCATGACGTCGCCGACAAAATTGAGGTGGAAGATCCGGGGATTGGACATGGTGAGGTGGTGGTAGCAATTGCTTTTTCCTGATTATCCGTGATCTAGCTGGGTTTGGACCACACTGCATGGCGTAGTCTGGAGAGGATGGCACGTACATTGGAGAAGAGAAGAGAAAAGCAGGTGCTGTGCTGGATGAAGCAAGTATCGTGGCATTGTTGGATAAACTTCATGATAATCTCATGATGACATCTGAAGATGGGATGCATCTTAGATTGATAACAGATCTCAGATCCCGATGCAGATCACATGGGGATATCTAATCAATCTGATCTTGACAATATTATCAGATGGCGCTAGATGCTTGGCTGCTACCTCATGACAGGACCTTGAAATACAAAACAAGTAGGGAAACTGGGAAACTGGGAAAGACACATAACAGAGATTTGAAACAAACGTGATCTACGAGTGAGCTGTGTATTACACTGGTATACAAAATAGTATCTGGTGATGGTGGGCATATGCCCACAGCCACGGTCGAATTGCACAAACTAATTTCACTTCTGATAACCGTAGAAAACCCAGCTCAGATCATGAACAGCCGCATCTTACTCCTCGAGATCAGACCCATTATGGGCGTATACGCCCGTCGCTCCGCTAGCCACGCACAAATGAATCACACAACTTTTCCCGAGGTATCACCGACAACAACCACAGCAAAACAGAACAGTCACCGATATTAGAAAAAAGCAATGGTATCATATCTCGTATGAGAGTGACGTCGAATTGGTATCAAAGAAAAAAGACCTATAGCTGATCCAGTTCAGCCAGTTCTCGCTCCTTAGCCCGCAGTGCCTGTCGCATCTCTTCTGCTTCGCGCTGGAGTTGGGCGCGGCGTTCTGCTTTGTAGCTCTCGCTCACGTTCCGCAGCGAACTGGGAGACGATTGCGGAAGCTGTGGCTGGCGGTTCATCGGAGGCAGCGCAGAATCCAGGCGAGCTTCGTCGCCCGCACCCGCATGATTGAGCAGAGAAGAGATCGAACTCAGACGACCTGGAGGTGCCGTATTCCCCGAGGACATGATGGGAGGCAATTGATTCGAACCGCTTTCCAAGGTCGTCGGCACCGACGTTGGCTCGCCAGAAGAGGCGGCTTCAGCGATCGTTCGCTTTTTCGGGTTGCTCGTGGGATCGTGCAGCGCCCCCGGTCGGGGAGAGACGGACCGTGCAGGATACTGAGAGTTGGGAGACTGACTCGGCGCGCTCATTCTGTCGGGCTCCAAGAGTCTTGGGGGAGGTGGTGGGTGATGGGGAAGGGAGACCAGATTGGAATTATACCCTGTAAAATCCACCGGAGGAGGTGCTAGAGTGTACGGTCGCGGGCCAACGGGGGCCGCTCTAGAATCGTTGAGATGCTCGCTGCTCAGATGTCTGCGCTGCTCGTCGTGGAAGTGGGCGGGAACAACCGGCGAGGCTTCGGGTGAGGCAGAAGATCCGTTGGATGACTGCGTCGCCGCTGTCGGAGACTGGTCCCGCAGCGCAGGCACAACGCGTTTTCGCCGCTTTATGATAGTCTTCTTCATCGTCGTCGGCCGATAGCAGCCATGGAGCTTATAGTAGAGACCTGTCAGAGTCGCCATATCAGTTATCATGGTTCCCTCGAATGGGGAGGGTTGGCGTCGAGACAGCCAACGATCTTCATTGGCACTTACCACACGCGTTGCAGATAGGATGGCCCTGGTCGTCTCTTCGCCAAAGCGGCGTCACTGTCGTCCCACAATTCTGGCATGCGACCAGTAGACTCGAGCTATCTCGACCAGGACTCGCATCGTTGAGAGAGGTATCGACGGCCGGCGACGCAGCCGGCTTATCTGCCTCCTGGTTGCTAGGCGTGGGCCATGCCTGGCCAGCCGCAGCAATTCGCTGAGCGGACTTGTAGACTCGGTTATTGTACGCAGGACATCCCTCGCACCCCTCCGCACCCCCTGTGCCGTTACAGTTTCCACCGCCGGGACACGAACCATTACAGGCCCCGTCAGCTGCGGCCGCCGTAGCTTCTTGCACACCGGGCGCCGGTTGAGGACCAGGCGAGAGACTCTTGCGCGATCGAGGGCCCTGCGATGATGCAGCGGCAGGTTGGAGACGATTCCGTTTCGTAGGTCGCTGGACATTTCTAGCTTTGAGATAGAGACCACAGGCGTTGCAGATCATCGCCCCGGTAGGAGACCTCCGCCATAATGGGGTGTTCTTTGTACCACAGTTGCTAAGTTACAGATCAGATGTTAGTCAATAATACGCGTACTGATTTGGCAGGGATCAAGAATAAAAAGGCCGACAAACCTGCAAGAGTGGCCAAGAAAGGACGCATCCTTGGCTTGCGATTTGGGCGATCGCCTGGTCGCTGAGGACCCATTAGCGGTATGGGCGGCGGCATCATCTCTGGTGCCATCCGGCCTCAGATCCATCTCGATTGGAGGATCGCGCTTGTTGACTGCGGCCCAGTCATCGCTCTTGACATAGCTGCCTTCTCTCTGCGGATCAGCTGAGTGCTCACGCCCACCCCGCGCGGAAGAAACCAACTGGCGAGCCGCATCGAGATCCTCCGCAGAAGGCCGGCGCACCAAGTTGTCCGTCCTCGATCTGGGCCGCAACGTTTCCATCGGTGGCATAGACGCCAGCATGGCAACTTCTTTGCCTTGGTCCAAACACCTCTTGTCCGACTAGCGGAGTGCAAGAGAACCGTAGAGTAGAACAGTAATCCTCCGCGACTGGTCCTGTTGTTTTTTTTTTATATTCCTCTGTAGGAACGTCGAGGTTCAAGCGTATCGTACACGATCAGGACGGCCTAGTTGATGGGGAAACGTCCAGACCTGAAACACCGTAGCGGTTTCTGTACGTCGACAGCAACTGAACCCACCTGATTTTCCAACCCAGAAAACAGAAGGATGAACTCCCCCCAACGCCGGAAAAGAAAAGGATGCTGGAAAGAGACGATGCTATCGTCGTAAAATTCGATGCCGCTGGAAGTAGACGCCAGGCACCGTCGTCCGATGGCCCTACTATCCTGGGAGAGTTCCTGTTCGGGCAGAAAAAGCAATGTTCACCTCCGCAACAACCCGCCACAGAGGATCCACGGAGATCTGACCAAGCGGGTGGCGTCCGAGTCCAGATCTCGTCGACTTCTCCCGATGAGATGAGATGATCCTCGATCGCGTATAGGAACGACGTCGCGGTTTGCCTGCGAAGGGCCTTAGGACGGAGGTTCTAGGACGTCTTGGCGGAGAAGGAAGGGATGCGTAAAGGTCGAGGATGTCGACGACGGAGAGACGCAGTAGGAGGCGAGTAGGATGGAAGATGGGAATGCTGGATGAGATGAGAGTGGAGGAGCGAAAGAGCCAGCACAGCTTTGAGTGGAAGAGACGTGGAGAGTTGTGTGAGACCAAGTCCGCTGGGCGGGAGGCGAGCGGACCGGTAGTAGTTTGAAGCCGAAGGACGAGAGAGCGAGAGAGAGAGAGAGTTAGCAGTCCTAGCTAGTCCGAACCAGAACGACGGAGAGTCCCAGCGGAGAGAGTAGTGCCGACGTGTAGGGGTTTTTCGGGGATTAGATGGACGCAGATAGGAATTAATTCTGGCCCAGAACGTTCGCAGCGTTGGTTGCTTTTCTGGCCTTATCGCGTCAGGTACTGCGGACGGGGCTGGCGCTATCTTCAGGGGATCTACGATGCGTGCTGGAGAGAAGGAAAAGGCGTTGCTGGCCCCTGTTTCGTCCTCGTTCCGGCTGATCCTTTTTTGGGGTTGTTTCTTCCTGACAGATACGGCATCCCATAATAATTACTCTACACACATTCCATCCACCGACGACGCATTTTCGCTCATGAATCTTTTCCTGTCTTCTTTCTTTCTCCAGAATCCAAATCAGAGAATCGGATCCACCGCCATGACTCCACCGCCGCCTGATCGGGCTTAGCGCTGCCACGGGACCCCACTGCGTCCTTCCTGATCGATCAGTAGCGCATCAGCGATTAGCAAATCGGTGTTATCTGGCCTCTGATTGGCCATCCGCATCTGTTCCCGCCAGTCAGCAGCATTCAGTGACACTCGATTGGCCACGTCGCCACCCCGACCCGGCGTCCCGGAAAGGCTGACAAAAGCTTGTCTGGCCTGTCAGTCATGAACTATTAGTATTGTTCTATTTCTGGTCTCTTCCTCGCGGATATAGCCGCCAATTTGACTTAAAACGAATCAATCACCTGTGCAGCAAAAAGAAAAAAAAAGAAAAAAGAAAAGAAAGAAAAAAGATCTGAGATCTACTATAGTTATCCGTCCAGCGGAAAATTCTCCGCGATCCAGTCACAATCGACCGATCAGCTGTCATAATAATCTCCAGTCAAAGAAATAACTAACTACCAAAACATAATTAGTAGATTATCATTATTATCTAGACGAGGTTTTCTTGTCCAACCGGCTGCTGCAGGTTAGTACATCACGTCACAGCCGGAACCTCGGGTTTGGTGGTTAAGCGTCGTTTGGAGTGGTTTCACTTGTCAATCGTCCACCCCCCTCATTGCGCGTTAGGCCTCACCTTCTGCACGCTGTACGGAGTAGTTACGAAGACGAAAGACGAGTGGTGGATCCAGGAAAGCGAGCTGCAGGTGACCCTCTACTTTTATTCTTTTTTAGCCTATTATTTTATCTATCTATCTATCCGTACCGGAGACCTGGAAAAGGTAGAACTACCTATCTAGCGCTCAGTCACTGTATTGCTGACGGAGAGATTAGCATGATAGATAGTCTAACGGTTACATAGTTAATTCTTTGCAATAGTCTAAGCTTCATACCTTGATATCGAATAAAAGGCCCCGATCCCAACTCTACGGACCCCGCGTTGGAATCGGACTGGAACTGGGACTTTCACTTCAAATGGCCGCTTAATGAAGACACGCGTCAGAAAGCTAATGTCAAGGCTGCTAAAGAGTGGCATACACAGTTTACAGCACAATGGAATTGTTCCTACTAAGACAGTCTATTTCCAACAAGGCAACAAGATCGAAAAAGTCGAAGATCAATTGCGACAATGGTCTTATCTCCAGAAAAGTAAGCAGTGCCTGTTGTTCCTTTAATAATATAGGCTAGTCAGTAACTATCCGTTTAGGGCCCCTCCTTGATGATTACATCTTCTTGCCCTCTGACTGTGCCCAGGAAAAAATCTCAGTGGACCTATTATCATAGGCAGTCACATGTACCAGGTCTGATCATGATAGCTCTCCGTCCTAATTTCATTCCTCAATGCATGTGTTCACATAATCCGCATGTAGTTGCTATAATACAGTATAGTCAAGCTCTCACATATCTCAATAATATGCTGCGCTCTAGTGACTAGCCCACATCTTGCGCAACATCGGTCTAGGGGGTCACGCGCGGTTGGATGCCCACATCTTAGACCTGCTCAGCGCCCCAGGTGTTGTCGGCCTCTCGCATGTTGGCTGGGGGCTCAATGGAAGGGATGAACTCCAGAGCAAGGTATCCGACACCGGTGAAGCCGACAATCGAACCGGCAATATATTGCAGGACATGACCATGCAGCATGAGCGAGCCGACGAAGATGTAAACTTCCCAGCGAAGTCAGTATGCGATCGCGCATCGGATTTGGACACCATAACTACTTACAGATACCACGTCCCAGGAACGAGAAGAGGAAGGACGCGTATCGGTACACGTAATCGGGAACCTGGGGAAGAAACTCCAATCCAGCAACAACTGAAAAGAACCAGGTCAGTACTGCTGCCATGACCGCAAAACAAGTATCGTCGCAGGCGAGGGGTCGAACGTACTGAGACCGAAGATGATAACGTACACGCCAACGATGACCGCGCTCAGCGATGTAGGGAAGAACTGAGCAATACCGCCGAGGACCATAATCGCACCGACGGCGATGTTAGCGAGGCGGCTGTGCACAGAGAAGTCAGCTGTCTGACTCTTCAAATCTAACTCTTGAGAAAGGAATCTCATCCGTTGCTAGGGCTAGACCCGGTGTTGGCCGCAAGACCGCGTATCAACAACAGGTCAAGCGCATTGTACCGGTCACGATAGCGCAGCAAGGTCATGATCACGCATTGCAAAAGAGCCGCAAGGAAAGGCATACAAAACGTTGGAGAAATCCATCTTGTCGCGATGTTGTCTAATCAATCTGAAATGGTTTGCAGATTCGAGCTTTCCCCCTTCTAAATATCGGGACTTGCGCAGACGGGACTGATTCCTCCCTAAGACGCAACGACGAGACTATTTAAATCGGATTGAGATGATATAGCTGATATAGCCGTTGCAAAGACGGTAGGTATCAGGAAGACAGAGAAATAGTGTGGAGCGCAGAGCTGTCGGGGAAAAAACGTCGTGGCCTAATCGGAGTGGCGCGTGCGCGGATACACCACGATTGGTAAAGCGGGTCGATGATTCGAATGGAGGTCTGATGCAAGGACCAGATTCCCTTGCGAGCTGCCCAAACACTGTTCAGGTTGCGCAAAGAGGGTAAGCTTGGGAACAAATATGACCAGGACAGGAGACGGATCGCAATGGAAGATGGTAAGCTGGACATAACCGGTAGAGCAGGTAACAATAACCGGGGGAGGCTGGAGAGGTGGCCCGTGCTCTTGGCACGTGCACCGCGGATACTTGGATGTTTTTTCCTATGCTCCAAAGAATAATAATAGAATTGTCAAAGAGCAGTGGAGGATTCATCAAAGCGATGTTTGAATGCACTCCTCCGTATATACATGCTTGCTTTGAAGATAACTTTTTGTATACATGCTCGAGTCCATGATCCACATCAAGCTCTATGCTATACATGCCATGCAGAGAAATGGGCCTGCTTGAGTAAACATGACTTCGCTGGACTTTTCACAGACACATGGCAAAGAAAAATTGCCATAATCTGGAATCTCATTTCGACAATCTTTCAATATATCCGGGTTACTCGGGCCCATCGATTCATAGTTCATGCCGTGACAACAGGGGGTGTACTTGAACCGGGGGTATCTGGATCGGACTTTTTCCTAAGGCCAGTCTTCGTCTCCTTATGCTCTTTGCTCAGCTTTATCTTCATCACGAACGCGCTCGCAACCACTCCCACAGCAGCGACACACGTGTATAAGATCCACATATTCCGGAGGCTGGACGCGAAAGCCTCCTTGACAGCTAGCTTCTGGGCGGGATCTTTTATCTTCCTGACCGTCATGACGTTTGCCGCCGCATCCCCTCCCGTCAGTTCTGCCGTTAGGATCGCTGACAGCCCTGCTGCGCGAAGCCCAGGTGCTTGCATCTTCATGCAATTCTGGAATACCACTCCACCGATGACTATTGATGAGGAGGTAGCAAGATTTCGGATAAAGCCCAGCGTTGCCGTAGCAGTTGCGGTGTCCTCTTGCGAGACGCCAGCCTGTAAGCTGATAAGTGGCGCTTCGAACAGGAGCCCGGCGCCGATGCCACTAATGATCTGGAACCCAATGATTTCACCTAGAGATGAAGTAGCGTTGTACAGAATATACAGCCCGTTTCCGACTGTAAGCAGGACGACTCCGATATAGATGAGTTCGAGATATCTGCCGGTGCGGTGGATGACGACTCCAGCTGTAACACCCATCAAGGCTTCCATCAACACAATAGGGAGGATGAGTAGACCCGAGCGCATCGGTGACGCTTCCTGGACCGACTGGAAGTAGAGAGGCAGGTAATATTCACCAGCAATAAAGACCTGCGCACATTAGTCTTGTCTGCAAGCTCCTAAAACGAGTAAGGAAACTTACAAATCCTTGTGTAAAGCAGACCGTGAGACTAGCAATGTTGGACACATGGTTGAAAATATGCATGGGCATCAGTGGATATTTCGCAAGCCTTTTTTCGCTGTAGATGAACAGCAGAGACATAGCACATCCGAAAACGATAAGACAGATAACCTTAGGTGAGTCCCATGGGAACGTCTCCCCTCCAAAGTTCAGACCAAGGAGCAACATCAAAGTAAGGCCCAGGATTGAGATACTTCCAAACCAATCAATGGCCATTACGCCCTCAAGCATCTTCGTCCTTGGGTTATGTACGTCTAGGAAGAGCAGCAACAGGACGAACGTAGTCCCCGAGACGGGCAGATTGATCCAATAGTTCCATCTCCATGAAACGTACTGGGAGAAAGCACCACCCATCAGCGGTCCGACACCACCAGCGATAGCCCACATGAACTCGAGGAGTCCGAGATAAAGACTGCGGTGTCTACCAAAAGTTAGCCCGTAGTCCATGGATCTCATCCAGTCAAGATCATTACCTGACGCTAAACAGATCGGAAATAGTGATCGTCACCAGCTGGATGAGGCCACCTCCGGCTGTCCCTTGCAGAGCTCTACCGACGATAAGCATAGTCATATCAACAGCGGTCGCACATATTATAGAACTGCCAAAGAACAAGGCAACTGCAGATAGCAAGATTGGCTTCCGTCCCCAGATATCCGACAGCTTGGCCCAGATCGTGGCTGCGGCAGCATTTGCAAGAAGATAAGCACCGCCAATCCAGGTGTAGCCAGACGCAGAATGGAGTTCCGCTGATATTGTTGGAATGGCGGTTGCCATGATAGTTTGGTCAAGAGCGGCAACAAAGAGCGACAACTACAATCATTAAAAACATACTCGATATCACGCATCTTTAGGAACTGTTAAGAAGTCCAAGACTTACAGAAAGAGCAACCATGATAGCGACCACTCGGACTTTACTGCGATGAGGCTCATCATCTTGCTGCGACCAAGGCGGCCCAAGGTCTGAAGAAGTTGGTTGGAGTTCATGGTCCTCTGGCATCGCTCCCGGCATGCCCGAACTTCCTGAGCTGCCCTTGTCATACGCATCTCGTCCGAAACCTGTACTTTCTAGTTCAATGTTCATCTGCGAATCTCGACTGGACGAGACATCCTTGCCAACCCGCGAAAGAGCGTCGTTGACTGACGAAGTACCTTCCTGCATCGAAAAGCCTGCACTATTATCCGGTTAGTATCTCGTACCATTCTACACATGAGTCACTGCCAAGAGGAGCTGGAATCTTACCGTCCTGTGCCGTACAGAATGAAGCTCAATCAAATACACGATTCCTTTGGCTAATGCTTCTCATAGACATCAATTGGAAGCTACTCCAACAAGCATAGACATACAATACATCTACTCTAGGGTAGGATGAGGAGGACAGCTTCGTCCCGAGAACCAGAAGAAGCGACACACCAAGAGAACCTAGACTTAATAGCTGGAGCCCCCGCCGCCAGCGCGATGTTGCATCCCATAAAGGGATTGGGCTGTCTAGCAGGAAGAGGCGAGCTCCGAAGAAGCATGTCTGGATCTCCAAAAGCCCAGGCGGGGAAGGCGGGTCGTGTTTTCTCTTAGGCGCTTTTTTCGTCCCGTCGTTGCTTATGGGCGTTAGGGCTAGGGCTGCCACCAGTAGTAGAGAGCGTGGTTTTATCACTGACGAGGTATCTGTCCATGAAGGTTGTAGTATATTTCATTCTGTATTGCGTACTGGGAAAGCTGATATATTGCTGAAAAGTATGTATTTATGTACATACATACATTGCACGTCAAACACCACGACCGTCTAGAACGAACGACATGCGGGGAAGCGCATCTTATCAGCACTTAGACTAAAGCTCGGAATTCGATGTAGAATCTGGAAGAAACCGTATTCTTTAAATAAAGGGTTTGGGTTCCTAAGGACATAAGTATACATCGGATTCAGTTATATTGTTCATTTCGATTTCTGTGGTTCTTCAAACAACCCTGCATTCGGGGAACTCCGGCTTCCAAGAACTAGATCAGGATATAGCCACGTACTGTGGATGCCTCCTTCAAAGCTTAACTCTATATCGACGGGATAAAGACTCTAGATACTAGATAATTTGTTGAATGTTGATCCCACCACTATTAACATCCTTGTTCTCAGCTGCCGGACGACTATATCACTTTCCAAAGCAACAATCAGACTTAGGTACCATATCAAACCTTTCAATTAATCAGCATCTACATCAATCGATAAAAAACGAAGTAAAATTGACTCCGAAACTAGAAAATGTCAATTCCATCCTCTGCCGATACCATATCTCAACCACCACCCGCACCAACCGGTTACACCCTCCACGACGGATACCCCTCCGTCCCATCATACCTCCACCTTCGCTCCGCATCAGGCCTCACACCCAAGACAACGGCCCAAGCCCGCGCCGCCTTATCCGGGAGCTGGTATGGATGCTACATAACTACCAACGACGACGACAGCACACCCGTCGCAATGGGCCGCATCATTGGCGATGGTGGCTGGTACTTTCACATCGCTGATATGGCGGTATTGCCAGAACATCAGAGACGTGGGTTAGGCGATGCGGTGTTGAAGAGGCTTTTGTGGAAGATTAAAGTGGAAGTACCATGGGAAGAAGGAAAAGGAGAAGAGAGAAGAGCAAGTGCGTATGTGACCTTGTTCGCGGATGAGGCGGGGAGGAAGTTATATGTGAAGAATGGATTCGTGGAGGCGGCGCCGAAACAGATGGGGATGGTGATGTTGGTTTGAAGGGTGAGTCTTGTGCTGGATAGGATTAGAACTATGTCGCTTTCTGTGATGGTAGGTTCAGAACATATTATTAGACCCCTAAGAGCTAATTAGCCCCCTATAGGGTCCCACCCCAGGTCCAGAATCGGGTGGGCAACTAGCTGTCCCGCTACGGGGTTCGATATGACTACTTGCTCTCTCGCAGTTCTAGAACTCGACGGATCGTTTGTTTCAAGTCATGAAAGAATTATCATATTAAAGGCTAGCATAAGTGCAGAGGCTAGCATGCAGAGATCATGATGGATCAAATGAAGATAATGGGGATAATGTATATACAAGAATAGAAAGTAAAATGGCACAGATTGGCCGTCATGATGGTATCAAAAGAAGAAGAAGAAAAAGGGTATATATGTACAGAGAATGCCGTAACTGTATTGGTTATGTTATGTCATGGGGCATGGGTATAAAGAATCCGGAAAAAAAAAGAATGTCTCCCAAAAGACGAGAAGTGATGATATGTAGTTGTTGAGAAATATGAAAACATGTCATGGCGTAAGCGGTGTGGAAGTTGAAATTCGAAACCCAGAGAAACGAACGAGAATATCTAGGGTTCAGGTTGCATAACGAGTCTGCGCTCACTGATCGATTCGAATTCTTTATTGGGCTCTTGAACTGTCGTCATCTCGGTGGTGACTTCGATACCGCTCATCGTGCTGCGACTCGTGTTGTCGTCGCCTTTCTCGATGTTAATGGTGTACAGATCGAAGTCTGCGCCCTGGCTGAGCATCGTGGCCTGATGTTTGGAGAAGGTTCCGGTGGTTCGCCGACCCGCAGTGCGTTCGTTGTAGCTGCTGGCGTTGATGAAGTGAGGGAACATGCGGGCAATCAGAGGCCGCAGGTAGGGAAGACAGGCGCAGATGATGGCGACGTTGCATTCAGCAGCGGTCCAGAAGGCGGCGCTGACGTTGTCCCCTGTACAGACATGTTAGTCTTGCTAGGTTCGAGATTTTCGTTTTGATAAGATGGAAGCCTAGAACTTACAAGAGGTGTCTTTGCTGACGGCAACCTTGTGAAGGCCACTTAGACGTAGGATGGACGTGATACAGACACTGGATGAGGTATGTTAGCAGGAGTAATCGAGGTGTGAGGGAGAAAGGGCGGGCAGGCACTCACATGGCACCGACAGCAAAGACTCCCATCAGGGCAAACTTTTGCTTCTTAGGAAGCTGCAGATGAGAAAGGACCGGCATTGGGATAATAAGGAGTGTGGTGTCCGTAATGATATTCATGGCAGCGTTGAAGAACCAGAGGGCTTGGAAGTTGAGGCAGTGTCCCTTGATCGTAGGGTCCCAGAACTTGGCCACCGGCACGCAGGTGAAATAGCCGCTGACGATGGCCCATGTCGAATAGGAAGTGACAACACACATCATGATATAGCATGAGAGACGGAGGCGACGATTAGGAAAAACCCGTAGGTAGTTGAAAAGAATGGAGAACTTGGTGCAGACCAGACTGCTGTTGTACATGGGAATGGCGATCCAGAGACACTAGCATTCAATCAGTCATTTTGCAATCATCATCTGTGCTTCTGTTGCGACCCACTCGAAGTTGAATCTTCATGGATTCTGGGGAGATGGCCCACTCATGCTTTCCAAGCCCATATTGTTGTTCTATAGCATGATATTAGCATCTCATCCGTATGGCAGTAGGGACTGTCTTGGGTAACTTACGACCAACAACTAGACCAAGATACACAAAAGAGAACGCCTGCAGGACACATTATTAGCCAGGTACAATGATAACACTTGAGAGTCGACTGACCATAGCCCCTAAGATTAACCAGTCTTCACGTCCTGTCGACTTCAGAAGACCGGCTCTCGTGTAGAGGCGCACCGCAACAGTCAAGGCGGCGAATGCCGTGAGCACGCCTGTAATGATCACGGCGGCTCTCCCTCGAGACGCTCCTGTTTCATCTCCCCGGGGGAATATGCTGCTGGCAAGGACGTCCATCGTGCTCCCTTGGCTGAACCAGTGTAGAAAATTGACGATCCACTCGGTGTTCAGTGATCGTTGTTGTCTTGGGCACAGGCACGAAAGGCTGCACTCTGCAGGTTCGTCAAGATGGAAGTGCGGACGTCCTGGTACTTCAAGGCCAGTACATCAGGCAGAAGAGGCGCACAGATGCTGTTAAAGTTATCATTATCTCTTAAATTTAAGCGCGAAATTTTCCCATGAGAGGAGACTCCTGCGGGGGTATTAGTTATGACGGGACGAAGGTTTTGATAGTAGTCAATAGTGTACCCCAGTACGGGAAGCCCGTCCACATCTTGGGGACGCCATAAGAACCCCTACGAGGCGTGTACCTTAGTACCATGTGGCCGGACGATGGTACCCTCGTGTAAGTACTACTGTACCTATGGAGCATCATAATTTGTCAATTACGCTTGTCTCCACCCGCGTCGATCTCAAAGCAAGCCCTAACGACGAGGTATAGAGGGGGGCGTCAAGATCACTTCGAGGCTGCTGACTGTTGACTATCACCGGTAGTTAACTTAGTCAATAATAATAAGGTAAAAAGATTGAGGACGAACCATGGATCTCCTCATCTCCCGGGCTGAAGTGGATCGATACTCTTGTCTGTCATGCAAAGATGACAGTCGACATCCCGCAAGAGCCGAAAGGTACCGCGTTCTGAGCAATTTTCAAAGCCATTGAGAAGACACGCTCGAGGCCGAGGAGACGCAATAATACCCACTGACTCTGCCAAATAGGGAACGGACGGACTCAAGAAAACAACGAAACGGTTACAGAAGGTGTGACAAACGGACAAACGGTTGATACTACGTGAGTCGTGCGCCGGCAATTATCATCTGGCCCTGTATGCCGATAGGAGATCTGCTGTAGGACGATCGTGGCGCCATCGCTGAGGAACGCATAGATCAGGGATAATAATTATTTGTGTACGGAGTACAAGTATTAGATTACTGTGTAAGCCTCCGATATTCCGCATCCATGACTGTTGCTTGGTGACGAAACGCACGAGCCATGAGGAGGTTAAAGCCCGCGGTGAATCCATGACTGACAAATCTGAAGCCCGAAAATTTCTTGCAGAAAGCTCGACCAACTACGAGATCAGATTCATATGCCCTAGCGTTCGAACGGTCCCAGGCACCGCGGTTGGCTTGGTAAGAGACAACGATTCAAAACCCTCGTGGTCGGCGATCTACAAGATCCACCCGTGGTGGCGCCAAACGAAGTCTGAAGATGGTAAAAGCACGAGGCTCTAGCCAGGGGATTATTGATTTTACCCCGCTCCGAATCGCGACGTCTTGCTCCAGTTGTTAACCTCGGCGCAGATCTTCGACACGCCAGCTCGATCGCGCTTGCAAAAGAGGTCTTGCAATTGGCGAGACGTGGGATACACGGAGCCCGGAGAAAGTGCTCGTATGTCTTGGATTTCTTCATGAGATCCTCCAAGAGACCTCCTTTTGGGACCTCTGCCACCTGTACATCCCCACCGGATTGACCGCGACTTTGTTTTTGTCGCAGGAAACCAAGGCAGATGCGAGCTAGATAGACTAGTTAGCAGTATTGAGGCTGATAGTGACCCTGGTGAGAAGATGCGAACCCACCATGATTCATGGAGAGACCAGATGAACGCAAGTAGTGAAACCACGCGATGGAGAAACCTCCGACGAGCTGGTGCAACCTGCTGTCCCTTGCGAAGGATCGTTGACCGCCACGAGAAAGTCGAACTCGCATCTCCATCCGATCACTTCCAACCATGGATAGCCCATATCCACTGACAGCTTCGGTCTCATTACTCTAGACTCTAGAGTATGGTACAACAATGGTCTGCCATGTTGTTTATTGCTCATTCGGCTCTGAACAGTTCTCCTCTAGGCTCGTTCATCAAGTCGCCACTCAGGGCTATGATGCGGAGCTTGACCGTACCATACTCTAGTAGTGCGTGAGACGCGCACGTCATCAGGGCGACATCATATGCCTAGCTGAGATGTTAGATGTTGTATTGGCGGCAGTAGTGGTTATACTACCTAGATACTCGCCAACTAACCAACTTGTCGCAGGAACGCATACCAACAGAGAACAGTTCCGATATGGATTCACTCTTCTAGAACAATCACTGCTTGTTTCGAGACCCTTGAAAGTTGAGAGCCTCTCGACGGGGAACCCTGGTCTCTAGCTGGACCCTTGATTACCATACAGAAAACTCTCGAATCCATTATTATTAGTAGATATTGGCTGTGGAGACGGAACGGTCCAACCTTGCCGAGCCGAAAGCCCGCTAGGTAAATTACTAACACCGTACTCTTACGGAATAGTTGATAATTCTCAGTTACCAGGAGCGCAACGCAAGAGTCAAAGGCGAGTCAACGCGCGAGGCCCCTGCAGTAGTAGATATGTAGTCCCTTAGATTGCAGATCTACTAATAAGCACTGCCATTTGCTCATAACAACTTCCTTAGAGTGTTGTGTTGCGTCATAGAGGACAATTCCAGCCTTGTTTGTTCCAGTTCTTACGCTCTAAATATTAGAGAATGTAGAATCCAGCTGAACACCGATGTCTAGCATCCCAAGAGTTGGTCGGAGCATCATCGGATACATATTGCCAAAATCCCAATGTTGGATCAAGACATTGATTCGAAAAGAAAGAAAGCAATAAGGCGGTGGGAACTATGTTATCCTGAAGACGAGTAGACTGGAAGGAACTTCAGAATACCTGGGTCTTACATTGCTAAGTTACACCGGCTAAGAATTTCTGTTGTTCTGCTTGCATGTCACATGTAAGAAGAGCTCAGAAGAGAAATCCAACGCTGTCACTCCTGAGCGCCATATTTACTTAACCCAACAATCTCACATCATTTTCCGCCTTGACTAGAAATACTATTTTGATCTATTTCTCTGACGGAAAATATACTTAGCTGACATTTTCGCGCTAAGAGAAAGTCGTTGCTCTTTTATTACACCGGACAGCGCCAATATGAGGGATAACTATCTCTGCATATATATAACCCACTTCGCGCTATCTGTCCCTCTGCACGTTACCGTCGCGGAGTTTCCCATCCGATCTCGACAACTAGGCTGCGGGTTACAATACAACATTGACTTTTCTATTTTCTTTGTTATGTGTTGCATAAACTGTAATAGACTTTCTTGCTCTCGACTTTTCAAAGACTCTGAAAGTGTCATCATCGTCTGTCATAGCAGAAGATCGTTCCCGCCACTATTGAACTACAAGCATCAATTGGAGTAACTTGGTTTATAATTGCTTGGGTACCAGCCAGAAGGGACTGTAATGGTGACACAACTATACCTAGCGTGCTAGATTTACAATTGACTCTTGCGAATAGAACAAACTGGTAAAACCGGGCGTGGTGTCACATTTTCTAGCCTACCAGCCAAGGATCCTGTAGAAGCTCTTTAGCCGTGGGTCTCTCTTCAGGCATCCAGGTCAATGCTCTTCGTATGAACCTGAGGAAGCCACATTTATCCTCTAGTCGAGTTTCAAGGGCCTCCAAGGTACGGCCACGCGGTATGGGCGCAAGGCCTAGCCATTGACCTATAATGGGAGGGGTCAGAAGTCATGATACGGAAAAGCGACACATTGCGGTTTGTCTTTCTAGGTGTCTACTATTCTCAGGTAGCCAACATACCTTGATCGTCCCAAAATATAGATCTCCGCTCTGGATTCTTGGCCAGAAATCCAGGTGGAGGTGGACCCAAAGCGGCAATAAGTTGGGCAAGATGAGCAGCATCGTAAAGATCTCCGTCCTCATCACGTGCGGTGAACAATATCTTTGGTTCAAGGAGTTGCCAGGCCTTTCCTCAGAACGGGGTCAGCGTATATGCCTATGTCAAGGATGGGGATTTGAATCAACACACCGTTAGGCCGACACTCCACACATCAACGGGATAGCTCCATCCTACATAAAGCAATATTTCGGGAGCCCGGTACTCCAAGGGCATTATATCACCTCCGTGCGGTCCAGGACCAATTCTGGCTTCACCAAAATCAGAAAGGAGCATTGGGCCCTCCTTGGGCTTCATTAACCGAGAGTGGAAGATAGTTCGAGTGGACGACACTATCTTACGCAGAACGGGATGAGTGAACTCCCATTCTTCAAGGGTTCGTAGAAGATCATTGTTATAAACGCCAAGGAGCATGTTGCCAGGGTGCACATCTACAATTTATCAGTGACAAACTAAATGAGATATTTGAGTCGAAGAAGGGCAGTGGGAGGGTAGATACCAGTATGGACAGTTTCTCCTTGGGTGTGGAGAAAATCTAAAGCCTTTAGAAGCTCGATAATGGCACCCTTGACGAAATTTTCTTCAAACCCATCCGGCCAAAAGACTGTCTTCATATCACGCAGACTCATTTGCGCAGCTTCAAAAACGAGGACAACATGGCGGCCGTCTGGACCTGCGGCTTCGAAGAAGTCCAGTAGCCTACGGATGTTACCTCGCCCTACATGTGAGCTCTCGGTGATATGTCTAGCGATATGATGATAGAATGGCAGCTCGCGATGAACCAACGACGTGCGCACATACACCTTGAGCGCGACATACTGGCGAGCTCTGAAAGGATTAGTTAGAAATTCCCAACACTGGACCCCACGCCTACTTACTTCAAATCCCGGGCTAGCCAAGCGGTTGATGAAGTGCCAAATCCAAGCTTCGTAAGCACCTGATAGCGGTCCTTGAACACTTCACCTAGTTGTACGGGATAGAATCGATCAGCTCGGTAATCAGGCAACTCCTCTTCTTCCACTAGGTGGTCCGGCTCAACGGTCTTAAATCCACTTATTGGAAACACTCTGCGTTTCTCCATGGCGGTTTGCATCACTTTTCTGTCCTGTAACTTGGTTGCGAAAGCTTTCACTGAAGACATGACGGTAGACCACCGTAAGAGCATTCTTAGTCTACGGTGCATCGAAAAGGTCCCTTGAAGACTGGGCTGTCCAAGTACTGTTGATAAATGGTGGACGATCAGTCAAGTGAAGAGCGCTTTTAAAAGGAAATGTCATTGTTGAATGGCACACTACACAGCAACCATGGTTTAACGAGAATTGATCGTTATTTAATACATCGCGAACCTGGGTTTAACGACACCCAAACGCGGGCCGATCGTTGGTCCGAAATAGTCCCCTGATGGTCTCCCGATATTAAAGTTACTTGCATTTGACATCAGAAGCGCCGAAGCACTAGTATTTATAGTGTGGCATCTCTATAGTGCAGAATAAACTATTCTACTCTGTACTCCTCTTTGCGTGGCCATTCGGGATCTTATATGACAACTAGATTTACGATTCACCTTTACAAGAGTATTCCTCAGCCTAAACCAAATGACTTGTAAACCTACTCTGGATTGTCTGTGCAACTTGGAATGAGTCTCAGACTGCAAGTTTTCTCGGATTAGTTAAATATAAATCGTGTGGCTGGGTGCAAGGAGCAGGAAATGGGAACCACTAATATAAACTCCTACCATACTTAATGACAGTGAGCTTTCTCTTCTATTGGCGTATTCCCAAGTATCATAATGCGCTATATCTACTGGTACTTATCAGCTAGGCCGGTTTGTATTCTTTAATGTACTGTACAATCTAACAAATCTTGACATCGGCTGTCCATGTTCCCGAACCTTCCAGGTGATTGTTTCGAAGCCTTGGTATTCGGTTCGGTATTCATGCTTCCTGCGATTTCATTGCAAGTTATCTCGCAGGGGAAGCAAGAGTTCAATACATGTGGCGCTCCTGCCCGGGAACAATACTGAACCGTTCAAGTCGTCATTAGCAATTAATTATTCACCCCAGTAATGTACAATGTGCATGGCTGAAAAACATCAAAGACCATGAAGGAACACTTAATTATAACTCGACATCAATGCATAAACAGTACCCATGATCCATGTCATGACGCCGCATTAACGAACCAAGGAGCCATCGGACGTGACAAAGAACTCAGGAGATGATTTCAACAGGATACGAACAATCTTTCCAGAATGGAATCGACCGCTCTTCGTATGTAGTGATGTGGCTTGCTTTTTGATGGTGATTTTGCTCCAGGGGTGGACGGCGTGTTCTGCAACTTTTGTCCTGGTCGTACCTTTGCTGCTTCGGCTGATGTTTCGGTGCCGAACACCCTACCTATGTGGCCAGCGAAGCGTTTCCAGCTCAAGCGTGGCTTGTGTTGCCGACTCTGTGTTGATTTGACATCTTCCTCAAGACCGTCTCCCGACCACTTTGTTATTGGCTGACCCCCTTCTGTCTGGACAGGATTTTCAGATGTCGACCCAACTAACTCAGTGTCATTAACGGTGCCAGTTGAGGAGGACAGTACTGGTTTACATTCGCGCTGAGGTGAAACGAGACCAGGAACTTCGGCTAGATTGTCGTGTCCGCCCTGGTCATGGCTGTGCACATCCTTTGGATCAATGGCTGGTGACACAATGGCTGGTGACACAACGGCTGGTGACACAACGGCAGGCAAAAACGAAAGCGGTGTAATGAGCTTAGGCAGATTGTGGCACTTCAAACGTTCCCTGACTCGGGGGATGTTGTGAGGATCTGGAGGACTCTCGAGCTTCTTTGCTTGTAACACTCCGCTGACGGGGTTCTGCTTTTCAACCATGACCTGTTTTGAAACGCCTCGAGCATCGGCGTCATTATCAGGGTCGACATCAGAATTCTCCTGTCGAACCATTTTCTCTTCGCTGGAGTCTAGTGACGCAGCAACAGACGAAAATGGTGTAACGAGCTTAGGCAGACTGTGGAACTTCGAACGTACCCTGCCCCGGGGGACGTTGTGGGGATCTGGAGGACATTTGTGATCACCAGGAACGACTTGCAGAGATGAAGACAGGTAATTGTTGAGGACTTGATTATTTTCTAGGTCTCCTGCTGAAGTTGAGCCCGATATGTTTTCTACTTGAAGATATGGACGCTCAGTGTGAGCAACAATTCCCCGGGCAGACGAAACCGCAGTGCCATTCCTTTCTCCAAGCTCCTCTGTGATGGTATATAGTCCATTGTCGATGGCAGGAGTGTTGTTCACGATCTCATCCTCATCGTCCCACTTCTCGTCCACACTCGTGCAAGACCTCAAGGGTGAGAGAGCATATATTCGACTTTGCCTCACGATGCTACTATGTCGCCACGGGTCGATACTTCTCTGCCGTTCAAAAAGTGATTTCTGAGCATTCGCTCGCTCGGCCCTATTCATTACTGCTGGGTGCACAGTGAAACCGTTGGCGATCACATACTCCTCAGTTCCATAACTCTCCATGATTCCTTCGTCCATCCGCGTTCCCTCATCAAAGTGATTCTGATCTTCCCTCCACATTCCATGCAGCGTATAGCACTTGAAGACATTTCCTGTCACTGTCCGGATAAAGTCCTGGCCCCGACGGCGCAGATCTCGCCAATCTCGCCCATAATATACCACTGGATCGATGAACTTCAGGGCTCTGGTCAGAATCGCTTGCACCCTCATCTCATCATAGAGTCGTGACACCTTTGGCTCAGACACGATGTACCAGAGTGATACTGCTGGCGGCGTATCACTGTACTCGTACACTGCCTCGCCGAACCAGTTAAAATGATGGATATTCCATCCCGTCGTCGATGCCCATGCGGTCATTTGGTCGCGGTAACTGAATTCGGCTTCAACGTTCGCTCGGAGCATCTGGTCCTCTGACTCCTCTACATGCGAGACAGGAAAGGGGTCTTCGTCTTCGCGAGTTTGCGATTCTTGCCCCGGTTCAGGTGTCTGGCAGCGAATCTGGGATGAGTCAACAATGAGAGGCCCCCCTGGGATATTGACGCGGATAGGTTCTGCATCTGTTTCCACTTGAGATTGCGAATGCAGAGTCTCTTCAGAGACTTCATCATCGTCCTCATCTGCCCAGTTGAAGTTTTCGGGTTTCAGAAGAGCGTCGATACGCTCGCGGTCCATGGCAGGTTCTTGTTGGCTGGCACGAGATTCCCTGTCAATCAAGATGTCTGCATTCCTATAATGGTCTTCCCCATTACCACTGCCCTCCACTGTTTGCCCACCGCTGCCAGAGTCCCGCTCATGCTCTTCATTGACTGTTCCAATGATTGCGACATTCGACGCCGCTTCAGGTTGGACACAGCAAACAACGAACATCCTCAGGAGCATATCCCACTCCCATGTATAATTCTCAATGTCAAGTTCGGGCTCCATGGCAGGAACAAGGAAAGTGGATTCTGCGAGTCTCTCGCGGCCCGAAAGATCCGTGATCCATGCGTCAACAGCATACCATGTCCCTTCACGCTCCATTGCTCGCAGATAGGCGTATATATGGCTGGTTATCCCACCGTCTTTCACCTTCACAGGATCGTCAACATGGCAATGTGTGCCTGTCGCAGCTTCCTTCTGGCATATATCTTGTCGGTGAAGGATCGAAGAGAATACTGGGGCCCATGCCCTACAGACACTGTGGGATGTCATGCTCGGATCCATGGGAATGAAGGAGATTGATAAATAAATAAAGTGTAGAATGGAGGTACAGAATAAATGTAAAGCCACCAAGGGCTTTACGCGAAAGTATATCCTCTATTTCAGAAAAAAAAGATAGCGGATATTTTTATTGCGGTTCAATAACCAGACCAGCAGGTTATAGGAAAGCAAGACATGTAGGTAGATAAGGAATGCAGGAAGGTTAAGTCCATATAAGCTGAGGAATACTGGAGTAGCAAATCCCATGACTAAATCTGTGTTGTATCCATTTATACGGTGAATGAAAGAAACAAAGTGAAAGGAAATTGGACAATAAAGTCATAGTATAACGAGGGGGGTTCCTTCAGAATCATGAATAACGGATGGGTCATACCATATATATTAGTTTGCGCGGCTATGCAAACAAAGACAGGAATGACAAAGATATTCAAATCAAAGGTATATACTGCACAAACAATGCTCTTGACAGTAAAGAAGCCCAGCTGCAGCCTTATAATATGGTATATCGAATTGGACTCCTTTCTTGGTGATATGACATATTCCAATAGCCCGTATAACGCTGAGGCTTAATGTTGGCAAACCGCTGAGGGAGTTATTATACTCATAAGGTATATGGTCTTATCAATAACAGTATAAAGATACAAACACAGTAGAGTAACGGAAAATATGTTAATTATGGAAAAATTCAATGTTCTATAAGACTTCCTGGAAAGAATATTCCCAATCTTCATGAGTAGTTAAGCGACATGTCAGCCTCTCTGTCTTTTCCAACAAAAGACAAACAACCACGCATAATCAGGCAGTTGGTTCCGCTCTTTTATTGTGACTGTACATACATATGATACCCATTCAGAGTCAAGGGACCTAGAATGATGTGTTGTCTCTAGAGTTGAAGGGGAGTGCTAGAGGATGGTCGCTATATATATATTTCTCTTGATGGGAACTTAGCAATAGAAATAATGCCATGAGTAAATTGCAATCATGCCAGTCAGTGTTATCTAGTAGCCTTTGAGTGGAAGCAACACTGGTTTGATGATATAGATGGCAAATTATTTGTCGCGGCAACATAAAGTTATTTTTCATACAATCAAGGACAATTATACAATTCAGCAATCATTATGCTACTTGTTCTTATCTCAGTCGAGCATAGCTCAGATAATGAGCGTCATTCACTCGTTCGAGGCTCAAATGACTCTTATGTTATCGATGGTCGTGTGGTATAGGTTAGGCATAATACAATGAACAAAAGTGATATCATGAAGCCTATCTGATAGTTATGATAACAGTTGGTGTTGATAGGCAGGAAAATATATCTACCGATAGTGATAGCACGAGGACCTCGCCGCGGGGTAGAATCGCAGTGTAAAGTGTGCATATACAAAAGCAAATACTGGCCCTTTCCTCGATGTCTACGGTATTTATATTAGAGGCACCAATATATATCTAGACGATGGTAAATACTGTACCAGAAGTAATTATAGACGTAAAGGCATTGATATTGATCGGGACGAAGTCCGACGGCTTTCCGTCGGGTAGACGGGCGGAGATGCCAGAGACATTCCCCGCACGCCCTCCGATACCGAAGGTAAATCACGACATCGCCGCCCCTCCCAGTAGATAAACACTTGTCCATTCTCAACGAGCTATACGAGGTTATCTTTCGCGACCGGACATCTCATGAACTATTTGCGCACCTGCACGAATTCAATCAGACACCTCGCGCAGCTTGGAACGCCCAGAACTCTCCCCGCGCTTCACCCCTCATCAGTCCTAAGCAACTCTACGTTTGGGCCCAAAGCTCAACAGGTCTTTCTCAGACGCGCAATGGCCACCGCACAGGCAAAGCGCCTCGAAGGCAAGACGATTGTCATTACCGGTGCCTCCTCCGGCATTGGCAAGAGCACGGCCAAGGAGTTCGCCCGTACCGCACCTAAAAACTTGAAGCTCATCGTTACCGCCAGACGGTTGGACAGCCTCAAGCAGCTTGCCCAGGAGATTAAGGATGAGGTGGGAGATGGCGTCAAGGTCCTGCCAGTCAAGCTGGACGTCAGCAACCCCGAGGAGGTGAAGAATTTCGTGCCATCTCTGCCGGATGAGTTCAAGGACATCAACGTGCTTGTGAACAATGCGTAAGGATACGGCTCTTCGAGGACTCGAGTGAAAGTCATGCTAACGGAACCAGTGGTCTTGTTAAGGGTGTTGCAAGAGCTCCAGAAATTGCCGCGGAGGACATGAACGTTATGTTCGCGACCAACGTTACCGGTTTGATCAACATGACCCAGGCAATCCTGCCCATTTTCAAGAAAAGAGACGAGGGCGGCAGAGGAGACATTATCAACATTGGCAGCATTGCAGGCCGTGAACCATACCCTGGTGGTAGCATCTACTGTGCCACCAAGGCCGCTATCCGCAGCTTTACGGACGCTCTGAGGAAGGAGCTCATCGCGACCAGAATCCGAGTGATCGAGATCGACCCCGGTCAGGTTGAGACGGTATGAGAGTGCTTTTTCCGGCCGAATATATTCGTCACTTTACTGACAACTATATCCTCCGCAATAGGAATTCTCCGTCGTGCGATTCTATGGCGACAAGAAGAAGGCAGATGCTGTTTATGAGTAGGCCAATCCCTTTTCGGGGGAATTTTCCGACTGAAGCTGACCTTTTGCTATAGGGGCTGTGAGCCGTTAACGCCAGATGATATCGCTGAGGTCATCGTCTTCGCTGCTGGCCGGAGGGAGAACGTCGTTATTGCCGACACGCTGATCTTTCCTAGTCACCAGGTAAGTCCTTTGGCATGTTTCTGCCAGAATATACCGGAGAGAATATACTAGCCAATGCTGGTATTTGCAAAACAAGACCTGCTGACAGATTTTCATAGGCTTCTCCCTCCGCTGTTCACAAAAAGACATAAGAAAGGAGCCAAGATACCACAACATAGATTTAGCATCCAGTACTTAACTTAACTATATTGTTGTGACTTAAAGCTGGATAAAGAGTGTCGGATAGCTATACAAAGTGCATGCCAGGAGTATAAATCACGTGAAATTAAATATATATTGTTTCCTAGCACCATTTGAGCCGATATCCTTGATATATGTACAACTCGAACCGCAACCTGATAAGAGAGGATATTCTATATTACCCAATCGCGCCAGTAGTGCCGGTAACTCCGACGCAGAGCAGCAGTGGTGTCATCCTTCGAGTCGTTCCACTGTGGAGCATATCAGTCTTAGTGATCACCGTAACTAGTTAACTATCGGGCGGACAGGGGCAAACGGTTGCATAGAAACGTCAATGAATATTCTGGATGATCTCCCCAATCGTCTTCTCTCAAGTTGAAAAGGGGTAAATATCGGGGGGGCCACGAATGAGCTCTCGGTTGCGAGAACCGGTGCGATCCAGTAGAGTCGTTGGCTCGGGCGCTGATAGACCAAATAATAATAATAATAACCGCGGTTCTCAACCACTAACAGCGTAATTAACGAAGTCTCCAGTGCAAGTACGGAGTAGTGCTATTACCATAGAGGGGCACGGAGGTGCAGAGCAGCGGCAGTACTATACCGCCTTAGACTTAGTGTACCATATAGTACCTAGGTAGGTATTCCAACTAGAGGAAGAAGCTTGGATTCTTTCACAACACCACAGTCAATCTTTCCAATGACAGTCAACTCCAACCCTACTTACTCAAAGCTTGGGATTCCCCTTTCACAATAATAGAAATATTCTTTGATTCTTTCCATCACGGGTCTTCAGATTTTTGCGTCAATCGCAATGTTATATTTCTACCTCCTCACATGACGTTTGGTAATAAAAGACCGGTATAGTTACCGTAGATTCATAGTCCAGCGCCTACATCTGAGATTGCGCATTCCTGGCCTGCACCTTCCCAGCCGTAACAACTCGCCGCGCGAACCCGTGATCGAAGGCCGTATTTTGTTTCGAACTTGTGAGTGTCCCTCCAATTCATCTTTCGTGGATCGTTGCAACTTGAACTGACAAAATGGCATCAGACAGGGAGCTCCCCATCATCGTCCCCGCCATCTGTCACTCGATCACGATCCGTCTCCACCACGCGTGCTCGCCCTATATCTTCAATCCAAGGCCCATCTTTTGATTCATCGGGCTTATTTTCCAAACCAACCGAGCTTGAGATCAAAAGACTCACGGGTAAAGATTATTGGGTCTGTGGTGCAATAGATCCCCAAATCGCCCATATGGTTGCAAAAGCAGACAGTCAGATATAATTTCCCTTCTCTGACTATTGAAAGCTCAGACTCATTAGCATCTATATAGATACCATCCTAGCATGACGCTAGCTTATTTTCCCCTGAATTTAACTTCAAGTCTGTGGCAAACGCAATTCCTCTATATCCCACTTGTCATTATCAATTCGACAAGGCAGAAGACCCGGGTTTCATTTTCTTTCCGTCGGACTTAAACTTCTTTATTAAATTCAAGCTGAGAGATAAGCGCCAGCGAGAAAACACCAATACCCTACAAATACCCAATGCTGTGTGGCCTATCGAAACTACCAAATTTCATCCAAAGCCATACCCCCCAACGCAATTAGGGGCCTCTAGATGCGGAGTTTTTTGAAGGATTTATAGAACGGACTCCTGCCCGAGGAAATATTGCAAACCATATCCACCAACAAACAATGGCACAGAAACCCGTTAACATCTCTGCGACGGGCTTTCGCAATCCTCGGAAGTCTATATATATACATCATGGATCCAGAGACCCGAAAGCAGCTCGACAAATTGTGTTATCTCTATTTCGAGGAGACTTTACTAAACCCGGCCAACAATATACTCTGTAATATCTATCGGAAAGATCCTGTCGCAGCCGGCAAACAGTCTCATATAAAAGAACAAGAGGAATCTGGCCAAGCAGCGAAGAAAATGAAAGATAAAAAGATGCTGAATGACGCTAGTATATTTGCAAATGCGCCATCCGGCGGCTAAAAGAGAACAAATGCATCATAGGTCTTAGGCCCTGATAGCACCGCCAACAGGGTCATTTAGCTATACTCGTCAGAGAAGACCGGCTTATATTTATATCAGCGCCTGGCTTATCCGAACTGATTCCGAAGAGAAGCCCGTGGATGAGTTAACAACTATTACACTCAAGTCTTTTCGAGGACCTCATTTACAGTTTACATACACCCTTAGTACAGATTTTTCCTATCGCTTTATAAGTCTTGATGAACTAGGCATATGCTTAGCGATCGGCAATGTCTCTTAGATAGGCTTTTACCTTCAGACAGTACGCTTAGTTGTTACTTTCATAACTAGTGAATGTTGTTAATTCCTAAATTCGCACACTTGCTTACTGATCAACTTGGTTTTTTCCCGCGCCAACTAATAATTGCTTCACTTGAAGATGCTGTTCTGTGACAATTAGCCAAGAGAGTTTGTATTCAGCTAAGTATATTAACAAGGCGGAAAGACCACGAATTTAAAGCCTAAAACGCACAACTGTAATTATTCTACCATCACCTACATTTACTTTGTAATGTGGTCACAAAATTCGCTTAAAGTACAACAGCATTTGGAAGAACTTTTAGCATGTGCGATGTGTACAGTTGTAACAGACTACTCCGTATGCAAGACTGGCTCTGTTTCACGTCGTCACCAGAGCCCTAACGGTCATAGCGCCTTTCCAAACTGGTGACTGATGGCATCTGGTCTGTGCTCTCTTCTCTATGACCTGCCATTTGGAGGAATTTCGGGGATCCGGACTCTGGAGGGGACCTCTAGGCATTATTATTATTTACTGGGGAAGCTCCAGGTGTCAAGGCCAGGCAGATAAGCAACATTGTGTGGAGTAATGCATGATGCAACTCTATGCAAGGTTGCAAGCCATCGACTGCTTACGGACCGGGTTTTATGAGACGCGGCTGCTCTCAGAGTGAGACTTTCCTGGTACCCTGCTGTATCAGCAGCCTGAGGATCTGCATGTATTGTATGTAGTTTCGACCAGGACGGAATCACAGGATGTGAGAAATCTGCTAGATATTAGAGTTGATGGAAGACTTGTGAGACGTCTCGTAAAATGCAGGAGCTCACAACCGTTGGACGACGGCCTTTTTATACATCACAGTCTCGCGGACATCTTTGGCGTCGAGTGGATCGCCTCCGCACCTTAAACGGCAGATAATCATATTATTGGCAAGGGATCGATCGTCCTCTGATCTGTTCTAACTTCTCTGGTTCTCATTCTTGACCCGAGGAGACCGCCCGCTGTAGATGTCGAAAAAAGAAAGAGTAGATAGGATCCGCGTCAAGCGATACGGTGACGACGATGAAGATCAGACTTTTGAACCTATCCACTTAGCAGGCCAACGAGACTTGAAATAATGATAACAGTAGTAGGTGGTCGCCTGACCGTGGGGGAAAGAGTTGGCGGCTACGCGCAACGTCCAACAGCCCGTAAAAGCGAAGCGGCCGCTATCAATCGCTTGATCTGTCTCTTGTTGCTCTCTCTTGATCATACCATTCGATCAAGAACAATAATTACTGGCGCCAAGGGTTCAAAAGACGGAGGACCAACGAGAGCGGTGGGCGGAAAGATGGTGATGGGCAAGCTGGTTGGACTGTTCGTTCGTTAGACTGGGTGGACTGGGCGATTTAGCATTGACCATCACTGGCGCTTCAGCGGATCCTTGGAAAGGCGAGAGAACCATGGATGGCTGGTGGTTAGAGAGGGAGAGGGAGAGAGAAGAGAGAGAGACGAGGGGTTGGTTGGTCAAACCGACAACCGTTCTCCTTTTTTCCCGCCAAGCGGCGCTCTCCTTTAGCTCAGGTCCATCACAGGCCAGAAACCGTCCATTCTGCTTCTGTTGCATCTAACTAACTATCTATCTATCTCATCTTCTTTTTCCAGACAAGAGACTCAAGAGTCTAAAAAGCGAAAAAGAAAAAGATCTCTCTCTGTAAGTCGAGCTTCTCCTCCAACTGCCACATAACACACACGCTCTCCGTTCCTCCGCTCCAGATCCTCTCTCCCTCTCCATCGCCAACTCAACCCGATCAACTCTCATCCCCACCCTTTGGTTGCTCCCTAAGCCTCCCTTAAACTTATCCCCCTTCCCGTTCACTCCCTGTTCCCTGGACTGGCCCAAATAGTTTCCCCCGTCGACCCCCGCTGGCTTGCGCAGAAAGGACCAACCGGTCTCTGAGCCAGAACCCCTCGCCTCCAATTATTCCGCTGTTCTGCGTCTGCACCCCTGATCCCGATCTAACTCGTTAAGCTTGGGCTAGTTCACTAGACTGGCGGGTACGGTGGACTGCTGTTTGGCGCCTGTCTTCCGCCAGAAGCCCCCGACATTCTGGGTCCCGACCTCGATCCTCCTTCTGAAGAAAACTGTTGCGACCTCAACCGCCGTCCCTGCTGCTGGCATAGCTTGATCACGGCCCTTGACGCCCGACGCAGATAGAATCCGCCGACATGGCTTCGAAGGTACGTCGATGGCCTATCCAATCCCTTGGGGGCGGAATGCCCTGGTCCTTCCCGGCAAATGGGACTCGCATCACTGACATCCTACTTTTGCCCGACTCTAGTTTTTACGAGAATACAAATTGGTTGTTGTCGGTGGAGGTGGTGTCGGAAAGTCATGCTTGACAATCCAATTAATCCAGAGTCATTTCGTCGATGAATATGATCCGACAATTGAAGGTGGGAAAGACCCGACCGCGAGCGACGTTAGATCCTTTGACTCATCAGACTTTCTCTGGCAGACTCCTACCGCAAGCAGTGCGTCGTTGACGATGAGGTCGCCCTGTTGGATGTTCTGGATACGGCCGGACAGGAGGAATACTCGGCAATGCGAGAACAGTACATGCGGACGGGCGAGGGTTTCCTTCTCATCTATTCCATCACCTCGCGCCAGTCGTTTGAGGAGATCATGACCTTCCAGCAACAGATTCTGCGGGTCAAGGACAAGGACTACTTCCCCATCATCGTTGTGGGTAACAAGTGCGATCTGGAGAAGGATAGAGTGGTCACGCAACAAGGTATGTTCCTAGCCTCCAGTGAGACCCAGGCTCGACTCGTTGAACCTCTGCTAATCAACATCGCTCACAAACAGAGGGTGAGGCTCTTGCAAACCAATTCGGTTGCAAGTTCATCGAGACGTCAGCCAAGTCACGCATTAACGTCGAGAATGCGTTCTATGACCTTGTCCGTGAGATTCGCCGCTACAACAAAGAGATGTCTTCTTACTCCGGTGGTGGTGCCGGTGCCGGTGCTCGTGCCCCCGAGGGCAAGATGGACATGAACGAGCCCGGCGAGAGCGCCGGTTGCTGTGGAAAGTGCATTATTATGTAAATTGCGTGGGCGTTGGGTTCGGTTTACAAAGAGCGCAATTCGAGAAAGAAAAAAAGAAAACCAGGACCGGGACCAGGAATATGCGATTACCTGGGTATTACAAAACTAATGGCCGGTCGGTGCATTTGGCTGGACATTTGAGACATGAGGCTGTCTTTGGGATGATGTCTGCTGGTCTTTTAATGCTGTCATCGTCCGCACGAATGTTCTATTCACCTTTCATTCCTCCGGTTGCACCGAAAAGAGCTCCGTGTGGAATTGATTTTCCCTTCTTGAAGAGCGAGGATTGGGATGTCTACGCGGCCGCACCGCACCTATCTGTGATATTGGTTGACACTTGCTGAGATTTTCGCCGGCCATCTAACATCCCTTTTTCCTCCTCGAACTACATATTTTTTTTATCACATTTTGTTTATCATGCCTGTCACCCTATTGCGTACATCGACCGATCTCCTTGTTATTACAACTCCGATATCCCCCCGCGCTTTCCTTACTTTATTCTCCGTGGTTCAGATTTCGCTTCTCACCTGTCCTTTTCTTTTCTTTTCTTTTCTTCTCTCTGCGCTCTCCTTGTTTCCAATGAGATCCATCCATGCATACGGGTAGTTTAGGGAAATTTGATTTGAAGGCAGATAGCCAGATTTGTACGAAGAATAGCCACCCTATGGTTTAGCCGGTCAAAGCGGTATAATTGTTGAATTTCTCGTTATGTCTTCCATTCTTGTGATAGGTACCATGTATCCATTCCCTTGTTGAAAGCCCCCAGGATGGCAGGTTTCCAGCGCAAGCTCTGCATGTAGATAGACCGGTGATCTGCCAATCAACCACACTGGAGCATAGTACGTACATATTAGCGTATCCAACGGGATGAAGAAGTATAGCATCTAGCGACGATCCGAAAGTAGGTCCCTCATGTGATTACATGGTAATATGCATCCACAACCACAGCATGAGAGCTAGAGTATACTCTACTTCAGCTAGTTAATTTCTACTTCCTCGTTTGATTATTACCACACGTCACGACACTAAAATCCAAGAAAAAGTAAAAAGAGAAAACTTTGTTTACTCTACGTCTTTTCTTCTCCCTCTCCTCTCTCACTGTCGATCAAATGGCTTATGGTGTTTTTCTTTACGATCCGCAGCTGTGGAATGTGATACGGAAACTGGCCCCGCGGCCAATACCAGTCAAGAGGCAGAACCTCTGCCTGCCTGCCTGCCAGACGGAAATGTTTGTTCCTTGCATTGTCCAGCACTTGCATTGTCCGTTGATGAATATTTTGACTACTCATAATATGAAGCCCCCCTTGCTCTCTTGTGCTTTTTCTTTTTTTCATTCCGTGTAAGGACGGCGTGGGGACGGCGAAGGGAAGAGAATCTAGAAAAGAAGGTTATGCTATTAGTATGAGATCGTAGCCTAGTCTGGCGTTATACTGCGTATTCGGACCGAGGAATACGATTGGTTTATGCTTTATATATAGTTATTGTTCTCCGGTCTTTTTCTGATGTACATAACAACTCTTGCTATGGTATATCCATCTGGGTATTTAGGCAATGGCAATAGCAAGAAGATACTTATTTGCTCTCCTCAGTGTCTGATGGTGGGTCATCCTCGTCTTCTCTGTCGACTTTGCGGCCCTTGACATTCTCCTCTACCTCGCGGATCAGAGAATCCATATACGCCTTGTCGGTTCCTACCAGAGTGACAGTGTTGCGCTTCTTACCCCACCGCGGGTAACTGCCGACCTTGACACCGTGCGGCAATGCTCGTGTTGCAAGATCTGTCAGATACGGCGCCACGGCGCTCTCTGGAAGAGGCGTGCTGAACAGGTAGCGGTAGATTCCCTCCCCTTCTGGGTTTGTCAACCTGGGCAGAAGCAGGGGCTTCAGGTGCTCCAGCAGTCGTTCAAAGATCCTAGGGATACCGGGAAGAATGTGCACGTTACCATTGACAACGGCAATTGGCACCCACGTGTCCTCCGCGACGAACACGGCCTGGTCCTGCTCTGGTCGGTTCTCATCGTGAGGGAGCTCGACCATGCGGAGCTTGGCTGTCAAACCCGGGGATGGCGTCTCCCAGTCGAAGTTGGGCTGCAGGGGATGCGGCTTGGATAGTCTCTTCATCCGCTCGAAGGCCTCTTTGTGCAGCTTCAGCTTGAGCCCGAATGCCTTGGCTATCGATTGATATGTAATGTCATCGTGCCTTTTGATCTCAACGTAGATTAGCTATCATCCTCGACGTCGACGCAGGGGAGCAAGAAGTGGTTTTATTTTTAGAGTGAATATGAAGATAATCTGGGGTGTCAAGAATAATGGAAGCTACTGGCACTGACGTTGGGCCAATTCCTCCGCTAGTCACGACAAAGTCGTAACGGTCACTCATGCGTCGGACGGCTTCTATGATCTCGTCCTCATCGTCCGCGATGACCTCCACTCGCTTCAATTGTATACCAAGAGAGAAGCAGAACTTGGCAAAGTAGGGAGAGTTCGTGTCAACAGTCTAAAGAAGCCCATTAGCATGGCCACATTCAATGAAAGCTCTCTCCGTCGAAGGCCGCGTTCCGAACATGGGGACATTCCCGGTGATAGCCGCATGCAAAAAGCATTGAGAGCATTGGAAGGGACTGGCGGATTTCTCCGTTGAAATGGTTGCACACCTTACCACCCAGCACTTCATCACCGATAATCAGACATGCTGCCGTGTGTATCGGCTTTGGTTTGAGAGGAACGACGGATGATGTCATCGCGTAAGGGCTCTGGTTCCTGCTCAGGACGGACGAGCCAGCAGAAGTATGGGCGTAATTTGGCAAGGGACGCGAGAGGTGTCGGAGTAGCTGATTTACGCGGCCAAACATGGACACGGTGGATGGATGATCTGTAGGAAGATGTCGGGGTAGAGAGCGCAGCGGGGGAAATGAAGTCTGTTGGAAATTACTCTAAGAGCGAGTGGGGTGGGCAGAGACGAACAGCGTAGCAGAGCAGACGACCGTCAGAGGGGCCAAGGCAGACAACGACTTTTTGGACTCCGGTGGTTTCTCTATACGCAACACGCTCTGTTTTTCTTGATACCCAGTACCTTTCGTAGTCTCACTATTTGCTTGAGAAATTTCTTTTTTTCTATTCCAAACATGGTGAGCGAGGTTCTACCTGAGGTCTAGCCTGATGTGAGGGGAGGCTAACATTAACCCGCCAGTCCGATTCACGACTGTACTCGTTCTCCCCGGAGACGAAGGAGAAGCTGCGCAAGTTTCGCCTGGGCACTTCAAGAGCAAAGGACCCTCAGGCCATCATCTGTACTTCCTCTTCCTTTCCTTCCGTTTCGTTTCAGCCTGTCTGTCTACGCTGTGTTTCAGCAGCACGACCCCGCACACCGCTGGTAGACAGCGCACTTCCTCAGCGAACAGAATGATAACCAGAGTCAACGGTTAATCTCCCACTATAGATCTGATCGATACGAAGAGCCAGGAGATTCGACCTGAAGATGGCCAGGTTTACAATAAGATGGAGGATTTGGCGGATGAGGTCCCCGACTCGTCCCCGCGTTTTATCCTCCTCAGCTATCCTCTAACTCTGGTCAGTATTCCTAACCTCCCCAGGATCGATCAGTAAAAGCCACTAACGACCCATCTAGGCTTCCGGCCGTCTCACCGTCCCCTACGTTCTCCTCTACTATCTCCCCGAAAACTGCAACCCATCACAGCGAATGATGTACGCCGGCGCTGTCGAACTGATGCGCAACACTGCCGAAGTCAACAGGGTTATCGAGATCGAAAGTGAATCCGACATTATCGCAATCGAGTCTAAGTTGGCTGGATCCGACTAGAAGATATAATATACCTTCATCTTGGTGTTCATTATCATACGTGTTCAGTTATCCTTACGAAATGGGCAAGCGGGCGCATCAACGATGTACGACGAGCTAGGTCCCATAATATGCCGAAGTGCGAAGCACTGCAAATGAGCAATGGCATTAGAATCTCAACCGTCTCTGGTCTAATCGCGCAGGAACGTTTCGAGTACTTCCACTCTATGGAGGAAACTCCAGCAGCTTGTCCATTAACTGGCATATAGAGGACTTCAATTCTCCGCAGAATTTGCCAAGTCACTGTCACCACAGGAGATCACATTACTGGGGATGTCCACATGGATGTAAGTTGTGTACGGCAACAGTATCTCTTGTACAATGTTCACCGCATGCTGTTTATACAACGACGAATTGTGCCTTGTGAATCTTGGAACAATAACTAAATACGATTAAAAAGTAGCTCACCTGAACAGAGGAATAAATGCGCTTCCTAGCCCACTATTATTGCTGCTGTGGTTACTATATACCGTTCCAGAGCGCCTTTGTTTGCTTTCCTTGCTGGATAAAAGAGCATAGTATATTCACAATAATCAACTAAATGTAAAAGGTGATGGGTCACTCTAAGAGTCCATATTCACTATATACAAAATCTGGTCGATAAGTAATTATCTACATACTCGACTTCTTCTGGAAAGGGCCTCTACTCTAGCCACACCACGTGATCGATAATTCCCGCTTAAAAAAAAGAGCTTCAAGTTTGGCGTCCAGCCACCAAAATGAATCTCCACTTGATTCAGACATCTCAGATGGCAAAAAATGCCCACAGACGGGATCGAACCGTCGACTTCTTCATTACGAGTGAAGCACTCTACCACTGAGTTATGCGGGCATTGTTGGCCTTAGTGGCGAATTTTTTGAATTCTTGGATTTGCTCAATCGGATTGTTTAGTTTCAGCATGAGTGTATTGGTATATCTTCGGGGGTCTTTTGTTGAGTGTCTGCGAGGTATGATTTCTAAAACATAAGGTTGCTTACGTGTAATAATTGAAGTTTGGTTTCGTCATAGACTAAACTCTCTATAAGTATGCAAGGTTTTCTTGCGACGGTAAATCTGCTGGATTTGGCTCGTGTTAGAGCGCAACACGATAACAAGGCAAAATGAAGACATATAGGGGAGAAACAATATTGGGAGAGTATCTGACACAGTATAATTGGTGACTCTCATATCGACTCGAAACTTAAATTTGGCTTTGGTCCACTATTCCAGCATAAAAGCTGAAATGTTGGATTCGCTATGTGAATACTATATTTGTAGACCTGCGAGGACATTTAACAAATAAGGATCTGGCAGATGAGCACATTTATAATGAATGCCACTGCCAATAGCCTCCTCAATTGCATATCCTACACATGGGGGAAATATCATAAATCCTGAAATGAACCTTTTATTGGGGTCTGCATCTTCAATTGGACACTATATGCGTGATGTTTTTCTTGAACTGAGTGACTATCGAATACATCCAACCATTTGCATCAACACTGTAGTATAATCTACCCTTTATAACGGAGTATGCGTGCGGCGGTAGAACTGAACGAGCTGCAAGACGACGAGAAGGATGATTCTGCAGTCAGTCACGACAGGGATATTCGAGAATTATTTTCTAAAGTATGAAAGTAGCATAAGCCACACTTAATCCTCCCCGTGAATACCATACCATAACACGCTCTCCAATGCCGTTTAATTTGAGCTATTTCAATATCCTACTGAGGTCTGATGAGAAAGCAGATATTGTTACTTGTTCTCTGCCAGTGTCTCCAGATATTTCCACTCGATGTCGGCTCCCGACATCTCTTAAAGCGTTATTTCTCAATTGATCATCCACGTCGTGGTAAATTGGACACTCATGGTCGTACTCAACCGCCACCAATGGTGTTCTGGCGCTTAGATCATCGTAAGAACTCTTGTACAGTGCCTATAGAGGCACGTCAGAAGATTGATCGGGGAGAACACCGAACTTTGAATGAACAAGAGAGGCGAAACGTAATGCGGAGATCGAAATAAGAAGACGCATACAGAGAGCCTGCGCAACCGGGTAAAATTCCGTCGTATTACCCCAAGTTCCCCGGGATATGTGGTCATTCCCCCTCGGTCCGAACACCGACCCCGCATGAAGTATATCAAGTAAGCTACATTCAGGAATCTTAGTCTAATTCATAGTGTTAGCGACTGACCTCGAATGAAAGTATTCTACCTTCTATAATTGTACATGATGGCTTCTGCAGAGAAATTTGATGGGTTGCCTCCATTTCCCGACGACGTGCCAACTGCTCCTCTTCTTCGTCTATCACTAGAAAAGCTGCTACAGCGTGACAGTGGAGAAATCAAGCGCTTCAGCGAGGCTTGTGAGGAAATAGGTTTCTTCTATCTGGACTTTCGAGATTCGCAGCGTGGGGAAAGTATCCTACAGGATGCCGATAGGCTGTTCAAGGTCGGCGAACAATTGTTCGAGCTAGACCTGGAGGAAAAACAGAAGTATGACTTCAGCAAGGAAAATTCCTACTTTGGATATAAGGGACAAGGAGCTGCTGTTGTCGACCGACAAGGAAATGTGGACAGAAATGAATTCTACAATGTGAGTTGATCTACTTCGTTTTAGACTGCTTGTTCGATCTTTTCTAATGATAGCCACAGGTCTCGAAGGATGACATTATGGGGGTCTCAAAACCGCTTCCAGCACCTGAAATATTGCGGGAGAACCGTGATCCTATCAAGTCGTTTATGGAGAACGCCCATTCAATAGTGACCCTGGTTCTGGACCTTCTCAATGAACATCTCGGACTGCCACCATCGACCTTGTCCAATCTGCATCGTCTCACCGGTGTCAGTGGTGACCAAGTTCGTTTCATAAAGGCCCCTCCACAGCCCATGGATGACAGGCGCACAGCCCTGGGAGAACATACCGACTTTGGAAGCGTCACCGTGCTGTTCAACCGTCTTGGTGGGCTCCAGATTCTCCCGCCTGGGGAAGATGCGGAGTGGTGCTACGTGCGGCCTCTTCCCGGGCACGCAATCATAAACCTTGGAGATGCTATGGTCAAGTTCACAAATGGGCTCCTCCGCTCCAATATCCATCGCGTGGTCGCTCCACCTGGACAGCAGGCGGATATAACCAGATACAGTCTTGTCTATTTCGCACGACCTGAAGATAATGTACCTCTCAAACGACTAAATGGCAGCGATCGTATTCCTCCTCTCCCTTCTGATGTAGTGGAGGAAGATATAAACAGCAAGGATTGGATCATCCGACGAGCGCTGGGACGGAGAGTAGCACTATATAGTAGTGTTGATTTTGACAAGTCTGCAGGAACAGAACAGATAAGCCGCAGGATCAAAGTATAATTTGTTAAAAAACGTTGATTGTGATAATGAACCAAAGCATGCTATCATCACCATGTCAAATGGTAGGATTCATCCTTCCTAGCATATTGTAACCCAAGGGGGTATCTTCCCGCTAACAACCAACCGACAAACGCCTGAGTGACATCCCTGAACTCCAATGAACCAGCCATCACTGTGATCATATTCAGATCTCTGATTCCGTAGTCTCTTCATAGTAGGAGTCCTCCATCAAGTCACTCTCAAGAACCCAATCTTCAAGCCAGTCACTGAAGTTAACGAGCTCTTCTATATCATCGGCATCTCGTTTCTGCTGCTTCTTAGAGATGCCTTTTCCATCACCTTCTGTAGTAGTATCTGCCTCTGTTCCCTTCGTAGCAGTCCTGTCGATCAATTCCTGAATCCTAAGCGCATGCGACCAGTCGTCTTTGCGAAAACCCCATGGCGTGTACAAGGGACAAAGTTTCATTCCCTCTTCGGACCGCATTCTATACCCGAAGGCCTCCAGCTTATTCGCGAACCGCATGATCCCAAACTGAAGGCCTGTGAGAGGAGGTCTTGAAGATATGATAATCCCTCCGTTTTTGACGTCTACAGCAAGACCGGCCTGGACTGCTGCGATTCTGATATGGACACGCTGGAAGTCGAGGGCACGATGTCCGGTTAGGGTTATGCCAAAGGGGCGCTCCATCGCAGTGGTGTCCTTTGGGAAAGGAATGACGAATGGGCCGAGGTCGCTGCGATACTTTTCGGCCTCGGACAGACCCCAGCCTTGACCAAGGCGGCTAGCTAGGAGACGCTGGTTGATCTGCATGTTGATTTGCTTTTGAATTGCGGCTCTGTATTCTCGATTTAGATTGGAATTGAGACTGGAATCTTATCTTCCGGTACGTCAATGGCACGATACAAAGTGTAAAAGGGGCTTGGGGACCTACTTTTGCCGCGGAGATTGCTCTTTCAGGTTTGCTGACAAGGAGATAGAAGAGAAAGTGCAGACAGAAAAAGGAAGAGAACTTGATTCAAATGATGTCTCGAGGTAATGAGTTCAGCAAAGCAGGCCAGGTCATACTGTGAGGTTCGTGAGGTTAGTGAATTCGACCGGGCGTCCTCCAAGTACCTGCTCTGCAAGACGGGTTTTGGGGCTGGGAGCTCATCAATGGCAAATCGCCACTCCAATTGACCATATCAATGGGCCCAGCCACCTCTGATGAAGTTTAAAAAAGGGCTCTGGAGAACTGTCTTATGATTCTGACAGTGTCTTCATCTAGCGGACTGCTGTCATATTATGTCCGCGTACAATACGAAACAGATTTGTTGTGCTTATACTATTTCATCTCGGGAAATATCTTAGTTTTAATATCTATAGAGACCTGCAGGTCTGTTCAACTCAAATAGATAGATCTGGGCGTATCTTGCCAGAAAAGCGTGCGAATATAAAGCTATATCACTTTTACTAGCTGGGGGAACTCTATATACCACCATATGCTATACAATGCTGCTCTACTGCTATAGTTTCTCAGAGTGCAGATGTGTAGATTTCTCTCATGTATAACATATACTGTCTTCAGTGAAAAAATCTAAGTGCATCTGTAGACCCTTATTCACTGAAAGGAGGGTGGCTGGGTTATTGGGAGTGTATTGTTGTTATTCTGAAACAGGGGTCTGCAATAGTTACCTTTGTTCTTGCACTTTATGTGCTATCGCCGTGGGGATTTCTGCTATTATGCATCTTTCATTCAATACAATCTATTGGGGTTACATATGTTTGCAGACTCAACTGTATCTGTGTCTTACTACCCAGGTGCTGTTTACTTTAAATCTAAACCATTTTTCAAATCAATTGGAAAAGATTTCTCAGGCCATGACCGCGTCCCTTGTGGGATATCATAAACCAGCTCGATCCCACAAGTAGGAATAAAGATAATTCAAGCACTGTACTGGGATAGCAAGAGTATGGAAAACACGTGAGCAAATAGGAGACTGCATTTAAGAGCTCTAATAGGGCACAATAATTCAAGGACAATTAAATAATTCTTCCAGAGAGCACTTCTACGATTTAGATGATACGAAATAGACATGGTATATCCTCGACCTAGCTCGTCTTCCACCTCCGGCACTGCGTACTATCCTGTATCTCGATATTTTCTCGCTCAGTAGCTTTACACAGTCTTTCGATGTTCCGCTGACATGACACCGCAAACAGTTCGGCATGATTCGTATTGGGATTTTACATACTTCCATATGTACAATATTACTGCTTACGTGTACAATAAAAACGTCTCAGGTAAAGATAATAAAACTCTATAGGAACAATAACAGTAGATCCTATTTCGAGCCTCAGATCCGGTAGGCTGAGCTAGGTCAGTGAGACCTACATATTCTCTGGAAACAGAAACCAATTAGCCAATGGTAGTTAAATGAACACTGCAAGAGCTCCTATATAGTCAAGGGTAGATTAGAGAGGACACAGGCTTGGTTTGGTTTATGGGGATAATATTCCAATATAGGGTTTCAGATAATGGTAATAAACCTGACTGTCATTAATATACTTCGGACCAATTTCTAGATAGCTAGTAAATCCTACAGGAGAATAGACAATCAATAATTGTTGAATCCCGGACGATCAGCTACACAGGTTGCAACGCAAGGAAATAGTATGGTTATTTAAACGACACGACACTAAATCTAAGGATAGACTCTTCAAATGGCCTCTAGGATATCAGTTTGAATAATGTGAGCAGAAAACTTGCTAAACGAAATAGTGACAAGATGTAACTATGTCTCTGCATCAAAATCCCCCAACCTCCTATCCATAGATATGCGTCTGGTGTGCGAAGAGGGGACAAGGGTGTAGTGTATGTATGGCTTCGTCACGGAGCCGTACGGCTGGCGTTACAGTCTAGTATGGTTATATGGGTCGCGAGGTCGCGAGGTGGCGTCTCGCGAGGTGGCGAGGTTTTTGTTACCAGTAGATTACTAGTAAATTACTATTTTATATTAAAATTATACTAATATATACTAATAAAGATTAAAATCTAAAATTTTTAAATCTCGCGGGGTGGTAAGTACAGGTAAATCTTATCTTGCAGGGTGGTAAGATTGTAATTGCTGTATTTTATACTAAATATTATTAGTTTTATTAATAAAGTTTAATTACTATTAAAATAGCTTAGTTATAAATTACTATTATACCGCCCCGCGAGACTATATAAATAACTATTAGATCTATATTAAAATTAAGCAAATACAGGCTATTAATTTTAATTAATCTTAGTAAACTAGTCTATTAAAATATATTAATACAAAGTAGTTGCGGCTAGTATACTAGGCAATATCCGACTTATACTTTAGTAGTGGGCTATATCTAACTAGTATATTAGTGGCAGGCTATATATAACTAATATACTCATAGGCTATATCTAACTAATAGACTAGGCAATATTAAATTTATTCTAGTAGATGTTTATATTTCTAAATTAGGCTAGTATATTATTTATTTAGCCTATAAAAAAAAAATCATATTTAATTAATCCTTTTTAATTTCTTCCCTTTATTAACTATCTTCAGATAGGTAAGTCCTAATTAATCTTATTTTTAATCCCTAATAAAAGTGTCTAGATACACTAAGTTTATTATTATTCTAATTCTATCTTTTTTAAATCTTATATCCTCTAGTTTAAGCTTATAGGGAATAAGAAAGTAATAGTCAGATTTAGTAGTTGCGATTGCGACTAATAATTAGGCTTAAAAACTAATACTAGTTACTCTTATTTCTTACCACTTTTTATACATTTCTAGTTATATTAGTTATATTTAGTAAATACTAATTACTAATAGATGGCAATTAGTAGATTAGGTAAGTATAGTCTACTAACTAGTATAATAGTAACCTTTACCAATCTGATTAGTAATATTATTACCAATGCTAATAATAATACTACTAGCATTATTACTATTACTACTAATCCTATTAATATAATTAATTATACTGCTCCTACCAGCCCTACTGGCGGCAGTTATACTACTAATACTACTAGTTTAACTAGTAATTCTAACGCCTAGAAGGCTACCCTATCTAAGAGTAGTAAAATTATGTATATCTATTATATATTAGTATTTATTAGTAGTATTATTCTAATTAGTTATAGAAAGAAAAAAATTTGCAATTATATCTATTATAAGAAGAAGAAGTAGCTATATAAAGACAAGATTGTAAGTATTTATATCTAATCCTTATTAGTTATATTTAAGAATACTAATAGCTATTAAGAGATATTAAAGTATATAAAATACTATCTATATTGCGTCTATAAGCTGTATATATTAATTAGTTATATAATTGCCTAGTTAGTATTAGTACTAACTGGTCCTATTAAAGTAAATTAGTTAACTTAGAGTTTAGGTTCTATTATTTATAAATATATTAAGATATCTTATATTATAAGTATACTTATTTAGTTAATTCTCTATTAATATTAACTAGTAGTATTAATAGGGATTTAAATATATTAATCTCTTTAAGGGCCTAAGGATTTTAAATAGGGGAAAGGGTAAAGGCGATTAGTAAGTATAGTTACTAAAATATACTTTATAATACTAGTATCTAATAGTAGTAATAAACTTAAAGTGGCAAAAACTAATTCTGAAGGGGAGGACTTCTCTAATAACTCTACTAGATTAAAATCCCCTAAGATAACTATTAGATATATAATAGTTCTACTAGTATATATTATTTCCTTAGTTAGTATTGGTATTTATTAATATAACTAGTCTTTGTAAATTATATATAAATAAGAAGTATAAAGCCTGTAATAGGATTAATTACAGTTATTCCCAATAAATATTAATATTCTAAGATATATTAATTATTACTAACCTTATTAATAGCTACTACCTACCTTATAAGACTTGAAATAATCCTATTACTACTAATAAGAGTAGTACTATTAATATTACTAATGGGGCTAGCAGTGCTAAAGGTAAAAATAAAGGAAAAGTAAAGATATAAGTAACTAATTGTAATTGGGCAATAGGTTAGTGCTGCTTAGTATTAGTTAGTATTAGTTAGTGCTGGTTTCTTATAAAGGCAGTTAGATAGACTATAATAGATTAATATTAGTTCCTTTTAGTAGCTAGTAAATTTATTAGTATACTACTTAAAATATCTCTATTATTACTAGACCTAATTATCTAGTATATAGTCCTACCTAATATATAATTTTCCCTAAGGAATTAAAAACTTTAAAATATAAATATCTTAATAATTAGTAGAGTAAATAATTAGATATTTAAGTAGAGTATTCTAAATCTCTAAAAATAAGAATATATATAATTTTTATAGAATAATAATAATATTAAAATAATTAAATCTATTATTATATTTAATAATATTTAAATTTTTTTTATTTTAATTTTTAATAAATTAATATTTTTATAATTTTTAAATAAATAAAATATTTATAAATCTTTTTATAATTTTAATAAACTTATTTAATATTATTTTAAAATTATTTAATTCTTAATTCTTTTATTATTTAATTAAGTTTTTTAATAAAATTTTTAATTTATTTTTTTAGCTTAAATTTAAAGTAATTTTTAATATTTTTAACTTATAAAATAATTTATATATAAGAAAAAATATAAAATAATTATAAGAAAAACTTCTTTTTTTATCTTTAAACTTTAAAATATAATAATATTATATTTTATAATATTATTAATATTTTAAAATTTAAATATTAATATTATAATTTATTATAGTTTTTAAAATAATTTAAATATTATTATAATTAAATAAGAAAAATATATATTATA